GTTTTCCACAACAGAGCGAAGACTGTTGAGACCGCTTAGCAAATCGACTTACCCGGAAACACAAGGAAGGACCTAGCTGCTTGTTGCCTTTCCGGCTGCATTACCGGCTTTCATCAGCTGCAGCTATCCGTAACTGTTCTCTCGGCAACTCCGTCTCCACTGAAATTTACAAGAATATCAAGTGCACATCAGATTACACACAGCACAAAAAACGCATGAGAAAGAAAAGCCCCTCACTTCGCCAAGAATAAACTGGGGAGCGAGAAAGTGTACAGTGGCACATATTGTACACTGACAATGTGTATACGGCGCTGTCTGTATCTGTTGGGCAGTGTCTGCGTTTACGGACGATGAGGTATGTAAAGAAGGCACCCTTCCGCCAAGTGGCCCGGTTTTAAGCAGCGAATGCAGTACAATAATATGAGAACAGACACAGCAGAAGCAGCAGCAAGCGCACAAGAATAAAAAGGAGTCTCCAAATAAGACATATCCCCGTAACTTGTCGGATCAGCATGTCAGCACTTGAATCAAAATTGTCCATCCTCCTCACTTCCGCCTATCTATATATTCTATTTGCCCCGGCGCTAACCTACGCAAGTGCCGCATCACGTGACGGAAACTGGATTATAAATAAGTATCGCCGGCTGCTTACTTGGTCATGTCTGTACGTACATTCAGCGAATCAGCATTCACCGCACTATTCGATGAATGGGCCAAAAGTAGCACTGCAAGAAAAGTAGTACAGAATGATAATAATCAGTCAGACGGATGAATCAAAGCTAAGAATTAATAACCAAATTCAAATGATCCGACAAGTAGACCATTAGTCATATCGCAATACCACAGACCTAATATTCGCACCATTTATGCACATATGACCCAGGGAATGACAGAGACAGCTACGCCGATACCGTTGATATATGTTACACGCACACATGCTTCGCGGCTCCTTATTCCCTTGACTGCCAGTACGATAGCCAGTCTGCTACTTAAAAAGCACGTAATATCGCCATATCTATTATGTTGCCTACAGTGGCCGGGAACAAAACTTGTCCTACAAGTTTGCTGAGTGTCTCGCGAGAAGGCCCCGCGCTCGATGAACTGTCAAACAGATCCGGCAAGATCGAAGTGTACAGCATAATTCCACATTTACAGTGTGCCGGACGATCATGATCTGCTGTTCTCCCCCAATCCTCTTTCGGCGACCGGCATTTGCAAACTAAACTCGAATTATCGACGACTATTCACACAGCTCACTCTCCTTGCTGTAGCTGAAATTTTAATGATTTTTCACAATAATGACGTCAAAAATCTTGTTGCTCCAAGTCCATTTATGAATATTACTAGTGTAAATACACTGAAATTCCCTTATTAAAAACGAAAGCATCGATTTTACTGTCATATTTCCCCATCGTCGATTCTTCAGACTCGATTTGTGTATCGATTCAACATAAGGGCCAACAATGTCGATATTACCCTACTAAATCAAGATGGTTAAATATGGAACAGAAAACATTTTCCAACCGGTAACAAAACAAATGGAAAATAGGGCAGACATCCCCATAATCTGGCAATTACTCGACACAATAATGAAATCTGCGTCCTCAAACAATGTCCTGAGATGCCCTGACCGTGAGAAACTAGTAGTACTAGTACAGAAAAATACGTAAGCGTAAGTAAAAATTTTGGTACTTCGTAGCGGTACTGCCAGTAATTTTAATATGTGAAATTAAAATTAAATACGTAGTTTAAAGTGTTGCAATGAATATTTAATTATTTTAACTGATTAAAACCATTAAACTTGGGAAAGTACTATTAACCGTTTGAAGTAAAACACAAATTATTAGGTTACTGTTCGCTTTGGGTATACAAAGCAGCAGCGTGACAGATTGTGAATTCCCTTCTCCCATCTGGGAACATCCTGGTTCCAGTCCCCGTGTTAAGTTATCTCTACTGAATTCGCGTGTCTTCCCACAACAAAGCAGATCCGGCAGCATGAACATGGTCTTTTGCACCGCACATCTGCCGACTTGTCTAACATCAATTTTTAAAAGCCAAACTTCCTTTACGCAGCTCATGTAGCAGATTGTTAGCATGCGCTATATTGCCGGTGCTATCTGACGCTATTCATACTCTCCATAATGCATATGCATAAGTATGCATATTACCTTTAAGCATGCGTCACAGGGGAGCAAAGCCGGAAGCGCGAGGATCTAAAATTCATCTCATGGCATCCCACTTGTACAAAGGGGTGCAGTCAAGCAAGCCGCAAACGTGCACACAGGCACCACAATGCCGCCTTCCTGTTGCAGTGAGAAGGTCACACACCCGCTTGCGTCTGCGTCAAACGGGCACTTTACTCACGTGTGCGAGCCAGCAAGAATCAACAGCTACCTAGCCCAAATTGCCCACTTCGTGCCCGTCCTATCCGGATCCCGTTCGGCCCGACAGGAATTGTCTGCTAACGTAGGCTGAAACAGAAAAAATTCCCCAAAATGTATAGCTCAACCTCCCGACGGCAGGTGTCTCTCATATCGTACGTATACGTGAATTTTTATCCGCCCACGCGTATAAAGATGGAATAGCAGAAATCCTACGCACATTTCCGGGTGAAATCAAAGTACTTCTACGTACGTAATCTAGATCAGGACGAGTCAGTACTACTGCCTGTTAGCAAATGCTACACCCTTCGCGATATATTTATTAATTCTTTCCTAGAAACTGGTAAGCTACTTTCCCCAAAGTCACACCCTTTGTACAGACTCCACAGGTCGCACTTGTCTGCTGCAGCAGGAAACCAGAAAAAGAACCGTGTTGCTGCTATTATGTCAGCTTCCGTGATACGCCAGATAGAGCAAATGGGTATGTCCGGAAGGACACTCAACGCTAAATCTACTCGTAATCACCATCAAGATAAGCTAAACCATACCAACACTAATACTTAACAGATTCCGTTGCGGTGTCGAACTGACTGCCCTTGCGCAAGAACTGCTCCATTCATTGCAACAAAGAAAGGTAGTATTACAAACCTCAATTAACAAAAATTACAATAAAATTATTGTTTTGTCGATAATAATTTAAGCCGGTAAAAAAAAGCAGTGATAACGCCCTTTTCTAACAATCGCTAATAAGTACGCAAAACGTACTCAGCGACTCAGCGACACGTACTCAGCGTACTACTTACTCATTGCATCTAGATCTGGATCTAGCATTTTACAAAGTAGATCTGCTGTTCAATAACTGTGACTACAAAATAAGAGCTTCGTAATGCTCCGGCTCGAAATTGTGTGGCTCTTTGCACAGTCTAACAGTTTTAATATCTGCATTAAACGAACAAATGCAAGAAATATAATAATTAATGTAAGTAAATATGGTGAAAGCACAACTTAACTACTTCGTACTCGTAGTTTGAATAATAATTTCATGATGCGACACGGTAGCTATAGTCTATACAGACATAGTAGCTTTACAATTTAATTTTCTCAAAAATTCAAGTAATTTTTGAACTCACATAATTTTAAATTTTTTCTTATTTGGTTTTTATTTTAGTTCTTACATATCACCGCCTGCCTTCAAAGCAACAACTTCGTTTGCGCAGTTTCAAATTATTACGGCCGAACCGCACCTACCGTACATACTAAAATGGGAATTGCTGTCAACAGTGTCAAGAAAAAAGTTTAGCTGGAGGACAGGCGATTAGTTACAGAGCTGCTATAGGCAGTGTTCGGTCAGTGGGTCGGTAATTAATTGCCGTCAATGGCGCTAATAGTGGGATTGGTCATAACCTGCGGATGTGTCGTGCTATAACGTTTACGGTTAATTACAAACTGATCTTTCACAAACAAAAGTTTCACAACCGCGCCCAACCGTCTAATCCAGAAAAGTGCAAAACCAAAGGAAGTTATAAACACAAGACACCTACCGGTACCCGAGCCATGGACACTCATTCCCGAGAAAGGACTCGAAACCATCGTTGTTCATGTACAACGTGGACTCGGTTAAATAGTCCTAGCAGTAACACAAAGCGTTCGATATCATATCGTACTTATATAATTATACATTATTTATAGATACCTGCTCGAACAGAACAGAACTGCGCTATATTGTCAACAGAATTATAACTGCGGTAGCCGCCACTAGATATTGCCCCAGTAACGAAAGAGAAGGAAATCAGCAACTAAAATCAGAACTTCCAACACAAATCCCGGTCTTTATTTCCACCATTTTCTTCTACCCTCTACGTAACTCGTGTCTAATATCTACAGCTAAATAAGTTAAGTATAGATATAAGTAAGCGAAGTACAGCATAAGTACAGTAATAATTTCCACCAAGACCACGAGTACTCGTACAGATAACAGAACTACTAATTAATTACACTTATTACAGTATTTCAGTACATACATTGATACAAATCATGTTCGGCTTGCGCAATAAAATACAGTACAGTACTGAAGAACATGCTACTGTATTTTATGTTCGCGCGCAATACTTTTGATACGCGTACCTGATTTTTCTGCGATTCCTTCCGTCCACTGAATACGGCAGGGGTACTGGGATACAAACACTGAACAACAAGAAAAGCTTATTCAAAGAGGAACCAGCAAGTTATTAGATGGTAGCGGCACTGTTGTGAGGTTCATGTGATACAAGCATTAGTTCTCAATATTTAGCTTGCAAGTTTCATAATTACCATCAAGAATGCTAGATACACGTAGTAGTTTTCATCTAATTAAGTGAAGACATAAATATTTCTAAGCCGTTATTGCAATGTCGATCGAAAAAAAATTCCAGAAGCCTAGAAAATAGGGCCAAAAACGGTCTACTTTTTTCACTAAAAAAAGCCATTCCCATAAACTTTACGTGTAAAACGATTCACTTCCTGTTTAATTACCGCAAAATTACTTAGCTTCGGCAACGTTAAACAGGCGAAACGGAAATTTCACTGATTTTGCATTCTTTAACACAACTGAATTCCTGTTTCAGTTATTATTAGACCATAGTCAATAGTGTCTACTGTCCACGATGCACAGATACACTACTGTATAAAGCGATAAAAATCTGAAATATTGCATCTCGAACAAGATTTCCATCATTTACTGGTATTCCATCATTTACTAGTATTCACTGCTATTTATTCTAGTACATCAGAAGAACAGTGGACTGCACGACCAAATTTATCAATATCACAAGGAGAAAAATGGCTTCGCGACAGAACATTTCCGGCGAAAGCCTTAATTTCTTCGGGATTCCCCACCGTAATACAAAGTTGCAGCAACCGACAAGTTTCCTCATAAATAGCAGTACCTTCCGCCACCAGCTTATCCAACAATATTTTCATCACCTGTAGAGTGATGCGGTTAATATGATTTGCACAAACTGGCCAACAATTCTGGAAGACCGCTCGCAGTAATTTTAACGCCAAACTATACTGCCACAAAATCTGCATGGAGATCAGAGAGTCCATCAGATCCAAAAATCGCGGTAAATACTTTCCGCAACGCAAACCGATTTGATCCATGAGCAAAATCGTCTCATCCAGCAAACCAGAGCGAATACTGCGCTCAGTGAAGAGCTCCATGTTCCTTAGAGATTCAACCAAGACGGTATCAGTCTTATCCAACTGTCCAAATTTTGTGGGAACTGTGCTGCTTTCGTGGTCTAGTGAATCAATCACTAAAAGTAAATTTCGCACAGCGACATACGAGGGAGATAGCAGTCGGAGTTCCTTCATGAGGAGCAGCCGCATGATACTATCGAAGGCGACATCCAAATAGCCTGCTTTTTGCAGGCGATCTGGTGGAACTCCTTCAAGAATCATACAGAGATAATCAAGACCAAGCAGTTTGGCTTCGACGGTTCCATGCAGTAGTCGAAAGACCGATGACATAATTCTTGCCAGGGAATGAGAGCTAGTATACCAGCTGGGAGCCAAGGTTTTCGAAAAGTGGTCAGCAAGGATTTTCTTATCGTCTTCGCAACTGGAGTCGTCCATCATAATCGCAGCACCTCAAACACACCGTTAAATCGCGAGGTCGCCAGCTTCGACTTACTTTGATGCACGTTTAGTTGAGCCTAATAATCCGTATCCTTCCGTACTTTAAACTTCTGCTTATTGCATACAGTTTAGTGTTAAAGAAGTACAGTAAGGACTGAAGTTCCTGTCTGCGCACTCACGGCCAGTCACAGGCAACCCCACGGTTCCAGATTAGGTGTCTAGAAATCAATCGATGATAACATTCAAATCGATGATTTTAATATTATTTAGATTGGAACGGTTCATCAAAACAACCTGGTTTGAAAAAAACATTGAACAAAGTTTAATACTACATAGCTTCGTGAAAAATTTGAAAAAAACTTATAATGTGCAGGAACGTCTCCAAAGACACAAAACAGGTGGTAACGTGACTGCCAGTCTGCCACCATGTCCTGTTTGTATATGTACAGACCGTGGCCACTTAGTGCACTTTTTGCAGGGCTTTCGTTTGTTTGTTTTAAAATTCTTTGAAGACATTTTAGGACCCTTTTGAGTTTCTTCGAGGAACGCTTACTTACGATGAACGATAAAATTAAAAGGTTTTGAAAAGTTTCGAACCTTGATTCTGGTCGAGCCTCAAAATTGTCTGTAGATTTTCTGTCTGTTGATGAACTGCCCCACAAAGGTGCAGTATCACTGGACGGCTGGACCTAAGCCCGTTGATGTTATTGTATTTTATGCGTATGCGTTTAATACACACTTACACCTGATTGTGATCGCAGATTGTACCGTAGCTTGAGGGGAGGAAATAAAATGACCACTTTGCCGGGTGCAACAAATTCCTATTTTCGTGAGAGCATCTAACAACAAAACCAGACTAACAAAATTCGTAATGCCGTGGTACTTTTCAGTAAACGTTATACAAAGTGAATGATAGTAACAGCTGAGCATTGTCATATAACAACAATATATTTTATTTTGATATCCAGACGTGCCTTAATTTAAAAATGCATCAACCAAAATATAATTACTATACATTAAGGAAGCTTTTTCCTGGTACTGAAGTACAGAAATTCAAACAATGTTGGGATCCATTAAGCTGCTGTACAAAGCCGGTCTCCTGCGTCGCATCCATCTTTCCAGTGCTTTCTTAAGCTCCGACGCCACAAACACCGTCGACGTGAGCATTACCAAAAAACAAATATCATAAAATGTTAAAGCTTCGGTCTGAAAGACTGCCTGAAGCGGAGGAAAATAAATGACCAGCATCTGTCCAATCAGGGATCCACAAACAGCAAATAAAAACGCTTTGTTTGAAAAAAGTCCTATTGTGAAAACAGATTTGAGGGAAGAACGGCAGGACAATGCGTTGAACATATCGAAGAATACGAAACAGGTAAAGGTCATAGTGGTGTCTCGCGGCGTGATGAGATTATCGCTCATCTAGTTGAGAAAAACAGGCATTAGTAAATCCTTTATTTGATAGTTGATACCATGACTGCAATGCCTTACTTCTTTTACAAACACATAAAGCGTCCCAGTGATAATTATGGTGGCAGATAAAATAATGTTTCCAATTAAGTGCAACGTAATCATGTTCTCCTTCACGTTTCGGGGGGGTTGCTTAAGAACGTCGTGGTCAACCGGTTCCACGCCCAAACTAAAACGACACGAGATGAAAATCGAAGGACTGTGTCAGATCGCAGTAATGCCTGATGAGTAAAGACTGTTTCTTTCACAGCAATTTGCATCTACCCACCTTTGCGCAGGGGGCCCATCCATAATGATATTGATCCACAGAATTTGCATGGCATTCAAAGGAGTGTGCTTGCCCATCATTGTCGATATTCCAATCAGAGCGAGCGCGGAGACACTAGTGCTCAGTTGGAATCGTACGAAATTTCTTATATTGGAAAAGATTGACTTTCCTATCAAAAAATTCTTTTATTGAAGTCTGCATTTTTTAAGCAAAGACTGACCTTCTTCTATGGCTTTAACAATCGTGTTGAAGTCGTCATCAACCAACACCATATCTGCCGCCTCTTTGCACGTGTCCGTTCCAGCTTTTCCCATGGCCACACCAATATTAGCGGCTTTCAAGGCTACCGAATCATTCACTCCATCACCAGTCATGGCAACGATTTTACCTCGGCGTTTCAAAGCCTGCAGATATCGATAAATTTAACAATATAAAGTATCTGTAACATTTTGAAAAAATCGACTTGAAGACTCAGTAATTTCACTAACAGTTTGAAACGAATGTTCCCACCTCGACTATAATTAATTTGTCATGAGGGCTCGCTCGATAAAATACATCGGTATCTTCAATAATTCTCTCCACTTCCTGGGAAGTCATTTTTTCCAGCATTTCACCCGACAGTGTGCCTCGTCCAACATAATGCCGACCTTCTAAAATTCCAAGCCGATTGGCAATTGCGTATGCTGTTTCTTCTGCGTCACCGGTGACCATTTTTATCTGCACTCCACTTGCTCGTAGCAGCACCACCGCTTCGTGCACTCCATCCCGTGGCGGGTCATGAATTCCCACAAACCCCATAAATTCCAGATCCCTATAGTCCGGTCCTCTGGCAAACGCTAATAGTCGGATACCATCGCCGCTGCCTTTGGACAGTCTTTTCGCTTCGTTGAGAAAAAACTCCAAATCTTTAGGAAACATTATGGACGACCCGTTGGCGCCACGATAGCGAGTGCACATCTGGAGAATTTTTTCGGGAGCACCCTTGACATACTCCCATTCCTGTCCTCCTGTGCGGCCCGTTCGAGGATCCTTGATGGCGCATCGCACTGCCATCCATTTTTGCTCATGCGTGAAGGCTTGTTCCCGTGTGCGCACGTAATCACCACGCATGTCTCGCAGGCCCATCTTTTGCCCAACAACCAGAATTGCAGCTTCCGTCGGCTGACCATGATATGATCCATTTTGAACAGTCGCATTGTTGCATAAAATCCCCACCTAGAGCAGATCAATCATTTAAGTACCGGCTCCTACAGCTGAGTAACGAAGTATGCTAGCTTAAATAAGGACCACGATGCAATCCAATTTTTAACCTCGATTAGTTCTCGCAAGGCAGGATGTGAGTTCGACTGGACAGTTTCGCGATTGCAAAACACCTGCCCTTCCGCAAAATATCCAATTCCTGTCACTTCCGCAAACTGAGAGTCAGCCGTGTATATGCAGGTTACGGTCATTTCATTACACGTCAACGTTCCGGTCTTATCACAGCAAATAACGTTACAGCAACCCAAGGTTTCTACCGTTGGCAAGCGCTTAATAATAGCGTTTTTTCCAGCCATGCGCATCACACCCAGAGCAAGCGTTACTGTGACTACGATCGGCAGGCCTTCGGGAATCGCTGCGACACCTAGGCTGCAAGATACAAAACAAAAACAAAACTTACTTCCGAAAAGCGAATACAAAACTTACTTCCGAACAGCTACTGAACCCAAATACAAAACGCGAATACGAAACGCGAATACAAAACTTACTTCCGAAAAGCTATTCGAACCCTTAACAAATATTTCACAAAATCATACACTGATGGCAGGCACATAAATTCGCAAATAGGTACAAAAATCAATACAATACTTTTGTTTAAACGTTTTCTAACAAAAAAGATGAACCATATTCAAAATAGGTAAACTCTACTGCTGTCTGCATGCACAGCGTGTATAGACATACTACCGGTACACACACAGCTGCACCCACCTGACTCCTATTGTAAACATCTCTACAATCGGTTTTCCTTGCAGATAGCCAATAAAGACAATTATCACGATCACTCCGAAGGAGTAAATGGAAATATGTTTCCCTAAATTATCCATGCTGACTTGAAGTGGTGTCTTCGGGGATTCCACATCCTTCATCTTTTGATACAGTTCTCCAAATTCAGAACTTTCGGCAGTGCCTATGACAATGCCTTTCCCATTGCCAGATCGCACCAGCGTTCCCATAAATGCAATGTTAATTTTCTCCTGAACACTCCGTTTTCCCGCCTGGAATGGCAGCACGATCGACGTCTTTCTTGACGGTTCATTTTCACCGGTAAAGCTCGATTCATCAATCGTGAGATCATTTGCCTATAAGTGCATTTTATGATTAGTAAAAGCAATTAATGCAAAACCAGCACAATCTAACAAGTCTAATCTATGTATTTCAATTTAAATCCATCGTACAAAGTACACAGGGTTACATTTATAAATTACGCATACAATCCAGCACATACATACACACGTCATGTCCTTGGGAACAACACCAAAACAAACTTTTCAAGCCGTCGAAATAATATACCGTGTAAAAGCACACCGTGAAATTTGTGTTAATATTTTATCATTTCAAATGCCTAATAACGTAACAGCAGCAATTTTTCTCAACACTGATAATTCATGATTGATTTAAATAAAAAAAACTACAGCTCTACTTACTACCTACCAGTTACTTAATTTAGAAATTAATACATACTATTACTGTAATCGCACTATTCGGTTTATATATTATGTAAATTCTTTTTCCACATAATTTTATTCCTTATAAAACTAACCACGAGTTCAGTACCATTTGGTGATCGTGGTAGGGTATTGTAACGGTATTTTTACTGAGGAAACCAGAATACCCCGCGGCATTCGCGCATGTGCTTGCAATAAACATTCCATCTACCAGCGCAAGAGCGCAGTGGCATGTTCAATTACCTCGAATAGCCGAACATCGGCAGGCACCCGATCGCCCGTGCGAATTTCCACAATATCTCCGGGAACCAGTTCGCGTGCCAAGAACGTGTCCAGCTGTCCATTGCGCACGGAGTTGCATTTTGGTGGCACCAGTTTCTTCAGTGCTTCAAGAGATTTTTCTGATCGATACTCCTAAAAAATGCAGCTTCGATAAAATGCACAGCTTAGTCTCTAACCAATATTCCTTTTACTAAATCGGAGTTTTGACAGAAGAGCGTAACCATCGCATGAGCAAATAACAGATATTGAGGAATTTTTAAATTCAAAAACGACGAATCGCACAAGACATACCTGCACGAATCCCACTGACACCACAATAATAATTGCGACGGTGATGCTAACCGCATCATCAAACTGTCGCATAAATAAACTGATAGCCGCGGAGATCAAAAGTAGTCCAATCAAGGGATCTTTGAACTGGAACAACAATACTGTAAGTGTGCGAGGAACTGCAGCACGCTATCCAAACCGTGAACTGCTTTTTACCTGCTCAAGATATTTCTGCCATATGGGCGCTTCTTCCTTCTCGCTGAATTCGTTGTACCCATGCACTTTCTTCCGCTCGCTGACTTCGTAATCAGACAAGCCATTGTCAAGATCGGTCTCCAGAGTGCGCGTAACTTCTTCCACCGAAAGAGTGCACGCTTCGTCTGACTTCATTTCTTTCAGCATTTCTCTGACCTGGTTGCCCAGACCTAACCAGGTTCAGGCGTTCGTAATACATCAGAAAATCAATTATGATTCCGTTAACAAGTCAGAATTTCGCAATATGTCATCAGAATAACAGCCAAACATCAAGTACTACAAATGGCAATAGTGCTGGAAGTGGAATAATGAATTACTTCACGTGGAACAGAAATTAGAAGCGCTATAAAACGGCAACAATATTCGTCGGAAAAGGAACACCAGGTGGCTGTGACAACACACATGTACTGCTGTTTTCAGCGCTCTTCGTTCACAGGCTCGAAATACACGTTGGAGGCCACTACCGAGGCGGTTGGCAAAACTCCTGCAGGTGGTTTATTACTGTATTTAAATCTCGAAATTTCAACTGATAAGATTTTGAATCTGACCACTAAAAGGAAAAAGTCCAACTCAACCAAAGTCAATTCTCATTATTTCATACTTTCCAACAATTATTTACACGAAAGCAATATCGCAAGGCGTACCGAATAATTTCTCAGCTGAAAAGTAAATCATTAAATAAAAATATTTAAAACATGCACAGCATCTAAATTACGAAAGAAATGCAATCTGGGGTGCATTTTGCGTTCACCAAGCCCGTTTCGTTACGGAAACTTTCGTTACGTTCGTCTCTCTGATAATCGATTGTCACACCGACAAATTTATTCCTTTAATTTCCAAAGTTGAACATTTAGGTTCAATCCGAGAAAGACAAGAGGGATATCATTCATTTCCGGGACGAAGTTGCATATCAAACGACTGCGAAGTGCAACATTTCATTTAGCATTTTTTGGACTCAATAGGATCAATCAGTAATGCTGCAGTATATCAAGTACAAACGGTTGTCAGAATGCAGTTAACAATTAAGCAACGTATCCACTCCCTGCTCGGGAACACGGTATCACGGCTTCGATTTCGCAAATATGCTCTTCATCCACCATAACATCCATTTTGCATTGTGCAATCTGCAACTGATTTTTGAATTAACGCTGTAGAGAACAGATTTGGTATTTGGTAACAGCATGCAACGGTACACTACTGGGTAGTAGTACTTACTTTTAACAGCTTTAAACCTGGTTTAGCAAACTCCACGCCAGGCCGGATGGATCGCAGTTCTAGCATTTTGATATAAATTATATCGGGTTGCCAAATGGCCATCTTTTTAAAAAATGATACAGCGGATTCGTTTAATGCCTTGGATTGTCGACGGTCCAAGTAACCAACGACAGCATTCGCAAGTACGTCGTACGAAGTGTCCTCAGCTTCGATTGCCTTTAGAAGTGCCGGCAAGCTTTCAAGAAATGTCAGTTGCAGTTGCCGCACTGCCCCAGTGCTGTCTGTTTTAGACTTCAGCCTAAAACACATCAAGAAAAAATAGTTCCCATATACAATGCCTGTGTGATTAGCGTGCAAGGCTATTTGGATTATGTTATTCACAAATTACCCCTTTTGACATTGTTCACCCAAAAATCGGCAAATGATGGGTAACGCTTCTTTCGTAACTCGATGCCGGAGAAAAGAGCCTCCGACAGCAGCCATTACGGTTAAACAGCGAAAAGCCTAAAAACGCATCATTAGCGTAAGTATTCATATGTGCGTATAACACAATTCGCGTTTCGAATGTTGAAAAACTATGAACGCAAGAAAACTGCTAGAAACCCACCTTTCGAATTATCAGAAAGTCCGAGGATCTATGCAACATAATAATTGACTGCCAGATTTTATGTACAACTGGTAAAAGCTGATCTTTCCATTCAGACAGAACAGTACATCCAACACACATCACATCCAGTACGACCGATCGCAAATTTCTTGCCTCAACCGGCAGAATATAAGCACAGCGCTTCAAGATCTGAAAAAGAGATCTTTGTCATTCATTGTTTCCTATAAAATAGCTATAAGGCAATGTCAGAGCCGTAAGAAACAGAAGCGTATGAAAACAATAAAGTTCATTTATCTTTGAATAATGCATGCAATTTGAATGCTTCACTTAATATCTTGCATCTTAACATCAATATAATAACATCACAATACCTCGGAAACCGCCACAACGTACGGCGGTAATTCCGTCTTCTCTTCATCTGCCAAAATCTCAGATTCATCATCACAATCATTTTCACCAACATCTCCGCCGTCACAGCCAGAATTTATCCCACTGTGCGAATCACAACTGACTTCTGTTTGTTTCGCTGCGCTTGCATTTTCATAGCACCCCTTCATCAAGTAATCCACCCCGGCTGCAATGGGATCCTCTTTTAATTGTTCCGGTCGCGGTGCGACAGGATACCATTGGCTAATCCGAGTAACAACAGCATCCAGAACTGTTACAAAAGGCAAAGCGGCAACGTTATGGTACTCGTCCAACTTCTCCAGTACACGCTGCACCAGTTTAGCCACAACCGGCATGGATTCAACTTCCAAGTGCGATATTAAAGCTCTCACGGCAAAAACGGTTTTGGGGTGGCGATGAATATGTCGGAACCTAATCAGAATAGGATTAATGATCACTTCTGTGTTGTCTTTTATCAGGTCAGATGCCGAAGAATATCCGCAGGTGGCAGCTACAATGCTTAGAGTCCTTTTAGCTCTGTTAGCGATAACAGGCATTTCAGCAACGGTCTTTTCCAGAAGGCTGTACAAGGTTCGGTGAAGATACTGGTCGAAGTTTCCACACTTCTGCAAAATCAAACGCTTAGAGTATCCGCAATTGTCAAATTAGAACACAAAAACTTAAACACGTGCACTGCTCACCAGCTTTATTGTCTTCCCTCGCAAACAACACAAAAGTGTATGCTCACTCATACTGCAGCGTTATGGTGTAGACTTACAGACAATTCTCCGATCCCGTCTATCAATAAGCATAATCCCATTAACTGCCGCTTAATTTCCTTGAGGCTGAATTCCTGGTGTCGTTAGGCAAATCTCCCTCACCAATACACTTTTGTGACAAAGCAATCGCATGGGAGGAAGTGGTGAAATCCCATATTTCGCATGACATGTACGACTCCAGTACAGATTCCACGTCGGCGATGCCGACGTAGGTATCCATTTTATTACTGAGCGTTGGCAAAAGGTGGTTGATCACCAACAACGCTTCGTTTCTTTGCTGGTCAGCCTTGTCCACTTTGCGCAGCAAGTGCGCGATCAGTGCGTTCCCAACCTCGCATTTCGTTAACGCAGCAATCAACTCCAAGAAGGCGTTTTGACTTTTTTGAGCCTTTAAAAACTGAAAGCTATAAGGTCTACCTAAAAATGTCAAATAAAGTTACAAGACCATGTTTCTAGCCAACTGCAATGATGTGCAATCACACAGTAACAAAGTACGTAAATGGAAATTGATAGATTTCCCTTTACGTGGAAATAAATAAGTTTTCAGATAAATGGAAATTTACGTCTTCACAATGTACCGGTATCATGTGCTGCTTCCCAAATATCGAACATTCGTTCGTCTAATTTGCCAATGTTTATCAGCAAACCCGCTAAACGTTCTTCGAAATCCCCATAAGAAAGGAGTTTTTGTATTGTACAGTCTAAAGAACAACCAGAAAATGTAAACATCAGTCAATATTTTTCTGAGCAAAGGATTTGGAATAGAATCACGGTCTTCAGTCTCACCAAAGAATTGGATGTATCCAATGGTTAATCTGAGCTGTGAGACCAGAGATTCTTCAGAATTCTCCTTGGGTTGTGGCAAACTGTCCAGCAACTTCACAAAATCCTCCTCTGCGAATTCTCGCATCCAAGCTAATTCCATTTTGTCATCCAAAATCGAAATATCCAACAAATGCTTTTTCGCAGCTTCTTTGGCATGCGGATTTTCGTCCTGGGACAAAGCCACCAACACTCGCAAAAGTATTCCGGAAATTTCCGACAATTTCCTACAAAAATGAAAAGATCAAACAACAATAGAGCATGCTCAACTATCGACTGACGCACGTTGAACAGTTCTTAATAATGGTGTGACAAAAGTCTGCCAATGCCAGCAGCACTTCTGGAGAGTCGTTCTTGGATAGCGAAAACACAAGCCGGAAAATTATTTCGAGCTTCGGCTGTGCTTGCCGCACCCATTCATCACTGCGGCAGCCCGTTGACGGGACTGTAACGGAGATATCGTTTGAAACGGCAGCGAGTTCGGTGGTCCCCGACATGCTTTGGACGTTTACGAATATCAAACATAATACACTGGACAAGCATCCCAGAACTTCAACAAAGATCTTCTGGCCAATGTAAGCCGATGAAGCGGGCTGCGTTATAACGTTCGCACAAGCAGCCGCCACACCAGGGAGGAACGCAGCATAGACACCGCCTACTAATCCCCGCAGTTCGAAAAAACTCTCATCTAGAAGAAAAATAAATTTCAAAAAACCACAAGTATGCAGAAATAGTACTCAAAAGTCAAAATCAATATACTGTCAGATCGTATAAACTATAAGGCTTAGAAATCACAGCAAATATAGCCTGCTGCGATCACCCTCAATGATAATCTAATAACGCCAAACTCCGGGTAAAGAGCATGTTCTAGATAAATTATCCCGCACGCACATAGCAATTTTGAAATAAAGCCAGGCCAAAAATTTCGACATTTTTAAAGCAATTGTTCTTAAAATTTCTCATGACTATGTCCACGGCTACTAACCAAAATTTCCAAATGCAGTGGTCTTCAATAAGACCAGGGCTGCCATTTTGAGCTCACGAGAAGAATTCTGCTGTAAATTTTCGACACAGCTAAATACGATATGGCTCCAAAACAATTCGAATTGGGGACGGTGATTTTGAAGTCCGGCAGTCAAACTGCGGAAAACAATATTGAGCAAAGAAACGGCTATTATATAATTAATTCATCAGAATTAACTAAACTACTTAATACACCCGCGAGTCTCGCATGCATACGACGTATTACTGAATCACTCCTACTTCACGGCTACTTGTGCTTACACCGAATCGGTGGTGGCTTTAATTGCAGCGTCCAAAGTCTTCAATAAAATAATCACGAAGTGTTCGTCCCTGCCGTGGCCACTCGCAGATAGGTTCTTTAACAGAACGCATAAGCATCCCAAAATATCCCGAAATTCAGTCCAAGAATACAGCCGACTGCGGCGAAGAATGTGCAGCAATAAGCCAAGGCATTCTTCGTGAATTGATGATCGCCTGCAACACTACTCATATACGATGATCTCGTGCAAATGGTAGTTCCATACTTACGCGAATTTTTTTTTAACAGTGGACAGAAGGGGTAGCAAGAGACATTTCTGGTACTGCTGAACGTATTCGTTGGGAATACGCTCGATTTCGGAGCCAAATAGCTGGAGGATTTCTTGATCTGGCCTTGCCATCACTTCGAGGCTGATTCTCTGGAGAGTCAAGAAAGAATTGTCCATAGCGGCAGGCTGTCAACTGGAAAAGAAGTGACTTGAATCCTTCGATCTCGAGACACCAAAACTTCAGCCAGCACAATCTCATCAAACTAACATAACGTAAAATAGTTGTAAAACTTGTTGAAGTTTGCTAGTTAATAACTTCTCTTCCTTGTGTTAAAGTGTAAGCTGTAGTAAACAGAATATTTTTCGGAGAGATGTTTTCTGTACGAAGTACTCCACGAAACATAACAGCCGAATCATTTTAATCAGGTTAACAAGTAACTGCCCACCGCGTACTGACGTGGATGCACGAGGATTCTTATTAAAGCAACCCCCTCCGGGAGGAGGGCACAGCTATGTCAAGTCAGTCAATTGCGGAGAGCCTCCTGGAAGTCCTCCTTCATGGTCTGTGTATATAATAGTCCGAATTCCTGTTCGAAATCACTAAAATCCTAGCGTGACTAGGTTGCTGCGCGGTGTATTGGGACGATTACACACGTGAATACACACTCTGCAATACGTAAACTCTACGCAACGTAGCGAGCACGCAAGTCTCCGTATCACGTAAGACATGTTTATTAGAAATTTTCGCGCAAAATTAGCACCGCACAGACTCAGCGATAACATCGATTATTCCCCAGCATGAATTTTTAGCTTACGTTTTTTAGACTCAGAACTTTTCGACCATTGCTTACCAACCTTGTCGTTTAACAATTTTGCATAAAGTGAATTCTTATTTGAAAGTAATAAGATGCACTTTTTCGAAAAACCTCAGCCCACGAGCACTCAACGAATGAATGTTTGGCGCTTGGAACGTCAGAAGCTAAAAGTAAGCATGTATTAATGCGATGAAATTATGTGTCCAGTGTGTTCAGAAAAATCTGTCAAATTACGTTGCTGGTGATAATCGCTGCCACAGATGCTCGGGTCCGCAGAGACAATGCTGTTGTGTTGTCGATAGGAGTGTTTGTAAGTACAGAGGTGACGATCAACAATGAGTACTTCACTGAACTGCTGAATACTGCTTACTATTAAGTACTATTACTCAGGTTAACCTTTTAAAAAATCACTGTTATCGCTCAATGAAAAGTTTAAACACAAACGAAGATCAGAATGTTGGAATCAAAGATAACATCTACTGGATCGGAAAGACTGGAGAGTACGACGCAATCGAATTGAAAAACGTCATGAGGCGCTGCGTCATTGCAGCAGTGTGTGTGCATTCTGCCAGTACAGCAGAGTGTGTATTACAAACCCGCACCACCGCTTAAATTTTCGTCACGCTGGGATTTTAGTAATTTCATACAGGAATTCGGACTATTATATACACAGACCATGCCTCCTTTCTGATTTTCACATTTTTGCCTGTGCGGTTCCATTGTTTTTTTCGGATGTTGAAAAATGCATGTGGGATAAATCATAAGTCAAACCTATCCACAGTATACAATAAACTTCGATTTGTGGGAATTGTTTGGATTACCGATTTGGGTCGCGATTCTTTCCACAACTTGTGAACTATTTATTATTGAATATTGTGGTACAGGCACTGTACTCAAATTGTGTTATAGCAACACTCTAAAAACATGGGCAAGAAGTTCATCAAAAAGAAATCGGGTGGCGAATTGAGGAAACGGAAAACGGCGCCTGGAGCAGTGGCGGGAAGTAGTAGCAAGCGCCCTGCAAAACCTGTTCAGAATGCAAGATCTCAGAAAGCCCGACCAGCGTACGCTGTGCGAATGGCGAACCCGAATGCCAGCAAGCGAGGCCGCAACAAAAGGCACGGAAACCCGGATCTCAGTGATGCCGATTCGCTGCCTTCCGATTCCGACGATGCCATCGATTCCGACGAGGACCTGCCTACGACGAAAGCTGGTAAACCGCCAACAAAAAAGGCCGCAGATGATTCAGATTCCGATGTGGAGCAGTACTTGAAGGATGACGATTCCGATGAAGAACCACAGCAAAAAGTTTCCAAGTTCGCTGACGATAGTTCGGATTCTGACGGCGAAGAGCCCGAAGATGATACCAGCTCGGCTGTTCGCGTTACGCCAAAGTTGGCGGCGGAATGGGGGAAAGCGCTGCAGGTTTGTGCTTGTGACAGACACTGACAGTGTGATCGATATCGACAGCCGCGTGTTTCCTGAGTTCGGTTATTTCTTATCGCTTTCCTCTTTAGACTAGTCCCACCGCGGCCAGCCTTAAAACATCAATTAGAGCCTTTTTGGCCGCGGTTGCTCAGATTTCGGGACAGAAGAAAAAAGCCTCCTTCATCATTGACGGTGGAATCGGTAAGTAACTGTGTGATGATAATTTTTGTTTGAATTAGCTCTAACTTTGGATATGAGTATGTGGTGTGCATTTGATTGCGTTTGTGTATATTATGTTATGACATTTTTCTGTTAATTTTTCCGTTTAGATTTCTCTTCCTGTTTGGTGCAGTTAGTCGTTTTGATTTCATCACTTTACGAACTTATGTTGATACGCAGTTTAGTTGTTCCTTGTAACCTTGTGAGTTAAATTTATTGATTTTATTTCGGCTGTACTAAGTTATTATACTGCGTTAATTTTAATTTTATTTTTCATTTTTTATATTCAGTTTAATTTACAATTAAGTCAGAGCAGTTAAGCCCTTATCCGGCTAGGGAGACAATCTAGCATGGGATTTTGTGTACACTGTATAGTGTATTAACTAGTTTAAGTGCCAGTTTAAATTGTAATCTTTTGCAGCATTCAACGCTGTGGTGTCTATGTGCGTACGGAATATTGGGCCAGCGCTCCTGAAACTCTTGAAAGTGTCTGCTAACGCCAGACCGAAAGAGAAAATGAATCAACTCAAAAGAACAAGAAGTGGAAGGTTCTGCATGTTCCTGTGCGTACTTATTTAACAGGACTGACCGAAGTAAGTACAATGAGCAGATTGACTGCATGCAGTTGCGTTTCCTTTTGGTTAACATGTCCTTGTTAATTGCGATGAATTTGTAGCTTGTCACTCGGTTCCATGATGTCGCTGTTGTGCGACGAGTGCTAAAGCACATTATGGAACTTCTGCCGTATTACTCTTGCAATCCAAAAGCTTGCAAAATGCTTTTCAAGGTATTGGCTGGCTTTGTGATACTATAATTTCACTGTCGCCTGTTACAATGGTTTTAATAACAGCACTTGATTCAATTATGGAGCAGCGGGAAGGAAGAAGTCCGACTTGCAGCTTTTGTTACACTATTAAAGTTTCTTCGGACAAATGACGAAGAATGGATACTCCCAGCCGTTAAGGTGATTATCATCAAATCCGAGTTGAGTTGCATACTCGTATCAGTTTAACAAGTAAGTGCGTCCTACTTTGTTTTCTTCCAGAAAATGTATGTGGCATATGTGAGTAATTCGAAGCAGACAAATGCCGCAACCTGGCCAGTGATTGGGTTTATGGCATCTTCTCTTGTCGAAGTGATGTCCTTGAATCCAGAAATTACTTACCAACAAGCTTTTATCTACATACGACAAATGGCTATACATGTGCGCAACGCCACAAATAAAAAAAATAAAGTACGTACGACAACGGTTTGACAAACCAGAAGAAGTTACAATTGCAGTTGTTAGTCAGACGGTAGTAACGGTTGTCTTTTTTGACTAAATAGGAGACGCAGGCTAAAGTTTACAACTGGCCATTTATGCATTGTATCTACCTATGGAGCAAGCTTGTCAGTGATACGTATCCCAGTCCCGTTCTGATGCCGCTTGTCCATCCCATTGTGCAGATCATAACTTCTACGATCAAGTATGTAAACTTACTGTGTTTCCACGTGTAGCTTGCTGTGTTTTTTTTATGCTATTGATCACATTGGAGACACTATAAAGAGTTTTAGTTTGGCTATCTGTATTGAGACTGTTACCACTTTCGGTTTGATCTTATCTTGGCATCTTAATGCTTCCAGGATTAATCCCGTGAAGAAATTTTATCCTCTTGTGTTTCACTGTGTTCGCGCCCTGAATATAATGTCGGCAAAAACGGATGTGTTCATTCCAGTAATTCCTATAATTTTAAACGTAAGAATGTCTTTTACCATCAAACGAAAACCTGCAGTTCAGATGTTTGTTTCCTCATGGATTTTAGACGTTGCAAGCCCAGGACCTGAATAAAAAGCCGAAAACAGCTAGCATGAAGCCGTTTGAGTTTTTCTCGATGGTGAAATTTAGCGATTCTCAGCTGACGGAAAGCAATTACCGGGTAAGAAATGGACATTAACGTTACGATGTTCTCCGGCGTGTAACAGTTGCTTGTGCCGTTTTGTAGACTGGTGTCGCAGATCAAGTCCACGAACTGCTTATGGACTATTTAAAAACCCAGTGTTGTAGGATTGGATTTCCAGAGTTAATTGCGGTTGCAACGATCCAGGTGCGCTTGAAGTTGACTGCCTGTTTGTGCCCCTGGCATTTGTTTTGAAATTGGTTAATAAAATTTTAGATCAGGAGATTTTTGAAAGATTGCAAAGTAGCTGAAATTGTCAAGAAATTCAAACAAGTGATGACATTAATGGGAGAGCAATCTAATTTTATCTGTGAGCGACGCAAAAACATCGGTTTCAAGTTCACGGACAGTGGAGCAATGGTGAGGTCTTTGCTATAGATCTCGATTTTATTAAAGGCAATTATGCCATGAATGCAAAATTTCTGTAGACCGCTTGGGAGAAGCGCTTGCAGAGTGAAACATCGACCTTCACGCAAGCGTACAACAATTGGAAACAGTCCAGGAGGAACCTGAAGGATACTGTTCAAGCGGCTTTGGAAGGCAAAGTGAACGCGAAACAGAAACCAATTCGCAAAGATGGCGAAGAGGAGAGTGAACCATCCGACGAAGAAGATGAAGATTTCTGGACCCATGCAGAAGAAGCCGAGGATCCCGCGCGGGAAGAGGAGGAGACAACTGAAGACAAAGTTGTTGGCGACAGTAACGAGAAAGATACCGTGACGGCCATGGAATCATTGAGCGAAGACGACGACGATGCCGACAATGCGTCGAGTGATGATGTTAGTGAGGAATAACCGGTCTTCCCTCCTGTTTGTTTTGGGAAGTTTTAGAAGTAACGACTTTTTTATCCGTCACGGTTTTATATATGTGGCATTTGAAATTGTTACCGTCAAGTTATTAACGGTTTGTTTTTTGATTGAGTTAAATGTCCGTTGACATTAGCTATTGTGGAAAATACGGAAAGGGAAATGGATTCTAAGCTTGAACAGCGACGAAGATTGAATTGGCATGGTAGGATGTGCAGATTGCGAACGCTCTTTGCTTAATGTAAAAGACCTTATCGGCAAAAGTCAGTGAATCAAAAGAGCGGTTGGCGTTAGCAGTTCTTAAATTATGGTGCACATTTTTAACATCAAACAATTGATGAAGTCGTACATTCATTGTTCCCCACACAGCATCGTATTTCCTTTGACAACAGCCAGACTTAGTTATTGTTTTAAAATTCCGGCGGCTCTTGAATCCAAGAGGTCACGGTATCTTGGTTTCAATAACTTTTCTCGAATACTAGTGGTCAACCAGAGCCTTCTAACCATGTCACTGGCGTTGTGCACTCAGCTAGGAAAAAAATGTTCAGAGTGTAGTTGTAGTACAATATACGAGTATAAGTACAGTATATACCTTAAATAGAGCAACGGTGTAAAGGTAAAGTAACCTTTGGCCGTGGATGTTACCTGCGTTGACACACTCGCGGCTTCCTATTAATCTCACTTCCGTGAACGCCGGAGCCGCCGCGGAGCAATCTGAAAGGGAAAGCTAACGAAGCACAGCTGGTTGATACCAAGATATGATTTCGTCCCGGCGGCGTTCGAAATCTACAGACCGTGGAGAGACGGAACTAAGAAACTTGCGGACAAGGTTGGAAACTGCCTGGCCAGAAACGCACCAAAGACTTTTTCGGCAGCATTCGTCTATACAGATACAGCGCGGGAATGCGATACGCGTAATGTGGCATTTACCCGAAATGTGCACTATTCCCGGGCAAGACAGTATTGAGGTAGTGTTCTTGTTGTGATCTGGGTGTATCTGTTACGTAACGCTTGTTCTATTGTTATTCTTGTATGTATATTTCACTTTTCTACGGAGGGTTTTCGCGCCAAGTTGAGACTGTTTTGCGTAAATTTATTTTATTTTCCCCAGCTCAGATACTAATTAAGTAGAAGCGATAGTCGAAAGCCCTTTCTTTCTACAGATACTATAAAATCATAGCTAACAAATCTTCGCCAGTAGCAAAATACAGCAGCAAATTTTCAAATGCAGGCGCGTCAGTAAAGTACACATACAGCCATGATAAAGTGTAACAACCATAAAAATATCTGCAGCAAAAAATAGTCTTATTTCAAAACATCTGGTTGCTGTAAATGCTGTGCTACAGTATTCTTTTAGTTTTACCAGACAATTGTTAAAAATTACCTGCAAAATTGTTATTTGTATAGAAGTATACGAGTAATTGTAGAAATCCATAATACTGTCTACGGCTCTGTTTAGCACTGTGTTTTGGTGGCGGGCAGGTATACGATAAAGTTTGACTGGCTAACAGAGTAACAATCTTGGTGAGCGAGTGACAGAGCGACACTTGCATCTACATCTTAGCGCATAAATTTATTATAATTTATTTTGCATTGCCCCTATCATAAAGACATTTTCAAAGGAAGTAGTTAACGACTTGTTTCACGAGCCAGTTCATCTGAGAGGAAATTGGTCATGATCCCACATGTTCAAATCTTTGATCTGTGCGCTGCGAAGTAACTATACATTTCCGCCCAGTCTAACTGGCTTCGTCAACCATACCGGATAATTCATTTGCTTTTTTGCCCATTAATGGCTAAATAACGAAAGAGTGTAACAAGTAACTAAAGCCTGTAAGGTTTTAAATGTCTTTTGGTGTCGTCTGGCTGCAGGCTACCCAAGCCGGCTTTGGTCGGGAAGACAGTCCAAGGTGTTCAGCAAGCGTAAAAAGATCAATAAGGGTGTTCCAACTCATGGCGAAACTTTCCTTTTCCCGAATTTGTCATGCTAAAGTAAGCAAGACCAGCCTGCTTTCGTTCTTCCGCTCTTCTACCGGAAGGATGACAATTTAGCATTTACAACGGTTTCCCATATGGTGTCATTAGAAGCTTATGCAACATGGTGATTCATTCAAAAAAATCGCATGTTTTTTAAAAGCTTTTCAATTTGTGTCGCAAACACGGTGTACCTGCTCTGTTGAAGCCATCACAGTTTATCGCAACACCGCATTCTTTACAGAAATTGGAAAGCGAAAGGACATAGGTTGTACCGCATAAATGAGATTATGAGGCTCTGGGTCGTATTCCAATTTACGATAGTGACCTAAACTAACGATAGTCGAGGTATTATTATTTACATACAATTTTAGTCAATTATTGTTTGGTTAACAAGATAGGAATGATTTAGTAAGGAATATATGTAAATACTACGAATAAGTACTCGTACTTACAATTGATGCTTCGAATCACAGTAGTGGCAGGATCAATGGTCTTGCTGCATACTTCACATACAGGCGGTACAGCTAATCATAAGTACATATGTAATTTTTATTGCAGTACTAATTGTGAATTAAACCCGCTGCATACGGCTGAATACGAAAAGACGAATAGATAAAAATTATTGCTTCGAGTTTTGAAAATCGGAGCCATTTTCCTTCTGCTGTAATTCTGCGGTACCGATAAAGACGGCGCGCATAGTTATAATGTATATATATACGTCAGATTTGTTGTGTTTGCTTTGTGCTGCGTAGTACGTTGAGTACCAAAAGGGCAGTACAGATATATATAGCTAACAAACGTAATGTAAGTAATATGCAAACATGATTTTCTAGTTTTTGTTTTTATAGTATTAACTGTTAAGTCTATTCGCACATGAGCAATACGGATCATCCGAAGATACTCGCCTCCTAGAATATTAATTATGTTCCTTGACAGGACTACAGAACTTCAGAGAACTACGCAGGTCCCGTTCCATATTACTTACAGTGGCAACTAGGAGAGTACAAACTTTCCACAACTGCCGGGATATGATTAACGTACTGCCCTTGCCAAGCAATACCATACAGCCGATGAGCATGTGTATAGAGTCACTATAGATGTTGCAAGTGTACTTGTAGATGTTGCAAGTATTAATGTGGCGCACGTCGACAAGAACTACAACATGAAACCCGGCTCCAGCATTTTCACTCATCTTCTTTATATATCTGCATTAAACTCTTGTTTGCAAGAAAGTTGTTTTTGTGCAATGCACTTCTCTTGTGTTGATTGAAGTAATCTTGAATTTTTTACGAGGTACGCTACCATTGAATCCCGTGTTTACGTATTCGATTAATATTTCGCTTTTTCATCTTGTTGCTCTGATTAATGATTTTCTGAGGACATTAATTTTGTATTACACCTGCCATATTACTGATGCTGATGACCAAAAACACGACCATCGTGTTGGAATTCATTTACATCGCATACGGACATCATAATTCAGTTAAACGTTCATTAATTTGGATTGAGAATTGCCACCACGTTGGGCACTAAAGTGCACATCCCGGCTAGTACAACCTTTTGTTTATCGTCATCGCGCTCATCGGATCACTTCTACAGTAATTACGTGATCAAAGCTATATGAAGAAGCTGACTGGAGATACAAAAATCACTGTGATTTGCCACAAAGAGTACAACCATAATATCAGTACTCGTCCGAAGATTTCTCCCGAACCAGTTTTTCGGTCGAGGTGTGAAGCATCCTGTTTATTAATGTAAGTATATCGATCGTGGATCAGATAGCAAGTAAAAACGCGAAATAAATAATGTAAACACGGTGGCGATTAGATGCACGGCAATTACGTTGATTAGCTGTTATGACAAGGCCACACCATCAGCGCAAACACAAATCGTGGATCATATGCTGTTCCCTACCAGCAAGCGGTACCGGTATCGTCGCACTGTCTCCTATAAATTGCTGACCTCCAACAAGCGCACGATTGCCACATCAAGTTTGCTAGCCGATAACTTCACATATTGTATCATCCTGTTTGTGTAAAGGAAGAACTTTAATTAACCGACCTAACACTTCATTGCCGTTGTGAAGATACAGTCCATCAAGCGGAAATTTTTGATGATCCATGTTTTGCCTGATCTTTAAATGGTCAAATGCGATTACGTAATTTCGCTGGCTAACAACGCTACCGCAGTAACTTGCTACTAACGCCGTGCAAAACAGCTTGCGTATGGTATTGCCATAGTATTAATACTACGGTACTCTAGTACATATTATTATCATTAAAAACTACACATTCTGTCCGGGAGCAATGGAGGTTTTTACTTCAGATGCTTACGATCGCCTCAAGCTTAATCGCATCATGCATTTCCGCAAATTTTTTTCGAGCTTTGCTGTGCTGATTTTTCTTGTTTCATTTTATTTATTTCACAGCTGTTTTTAACGTTTTGCTAGAAGTGAACATTATTCTATTATTTGAAGTTCATTATAATATGTAGAATAATGTAATACAGCTATCCGCTAGCAATACAGCAGGCATGCATTCTAGCGGTGCTTGGGGCTGTGTATTCTCGAATTATGAAAATGATGATGTGAATGATTTCTCTGCTTTAATTAAAATGAACTGATATTTTTGGGGTAAAACACAGCGCAACTGTAATTGTGCAGTAGCAGCGGAAATAGCCTGGCTCTTGAGCAACAATAAACCGACAATCCGACACGACGCATGCGCAGAAAGTATTTGTACTTGACCTTAACTGCTGGACAAAACGCATGGCGTCTGTGCCCATCACCATCGCTAATCTAATCAATATTCGGGTAATGATGAAAATGGCGTCAGTATGCGGCAGTACAAATGGTTGTAACTCTTGTTTGCTTTTTTCGAACTGGGATAATTTGGGTAAATAACAAGAAACAGGATGCTTAAGTGGCCTATAAAAGTCGAGATAACGTAATAGATCAAGCAATGATCAGCAGTCTCATACAGCATGAGGTGCATTTAATTTTAGCAAAGAAGTAGTAAAACGCCCTCGCCCGGAACACTGTTGTAAATTATATGTTTTCCCCATGGATAGATCGCGCTTTTTCGCTGCATATATATAACACCCATACTCGCTAGTCGTGTACAGTGACGCCACAAGCGTGTGTTCCGTAATATCCTATTTGATTTTAATTCATCGAAACCAAATCTACGAACTGCAAAGTAGTACCATGCAACTATATTGGACACACGCACAGATCTGTATATGGCTACCGTTAAGTATGGTTCGGTGTTGAATGGGAATTGAAATTTGCTCCTGCTTAGAGCGCATCCGGGTAAAGTGTGCGAATTACTGCTGGTAATTCCCATGATAATATTAATGGAGCCTAGCCAAAGCTGTGTGGAATCTCACGAAATTAAGCATAAATCTCTTTCTCCTAGTGCCACTGGGTGACTACGTTCTTACTTTAAAGCCGATATAGTGGCTGACACACAACACGAAGACTGCTTTCAGGGCACACCAGATTTTTTTCCCTCAGATAATTCCTTGTTTCTTTTCGTCCAACGCTCTTCCAGGCACAGTGCTTGCGAAAATGCCTTCACTTATTACCGTATGTATCACACATATGGACACGTTTGTCACGCTATTCCGTCATTGAGGTATTTACCAGCGGTCCGATGAGCCTCATTTAGACTCATCATTTGTTGAGGTCATTTCCACGAGCAAATTGTTAATAAATTTTCATTTAACCGGCTCGCAAGTACTATTATATTGCAAATGGTAGGAAATAATTTCCTAAACTACGTAGCAGAAAAAATTGTTCACTGACTGGACGTAAACAGTCTGACCGAAAAATGTGTTTGTACTATGCAGATCACCGTAGGGAATTTAAGTTTAAGAAAGTCAAGTAAACACGGTACGGGTCGGCAGCGGGACATGGATACGCTCTCTGCTCTCAAATAATAACGCTAATTATAGTTTATAGATCCTTTATCTTAGGTTATTACACTGTTTATTTAAGGCATATGTATCGGAAAAAATTGCACTGTTATTTGCATAATACACGGTTTTTTTTGTTATTCATCGGCTACTTTCGAACCGGGGTGAGCCGATGGACATGTGATGAGCGGATGGGAAATGCTTAAAAATGACTCGCTTTATACAGTCGCAGCTTATGCGATGTTTCGTCAGCAGTGAGCTGAGGATGTTTAATGATTGGAACTGTTATCATTCTGTTCTTCCTTTCTGGCAAATGGCATTAGTTACGCTGTGAATTCCAGTGGAATTCATTACTATGACAGTTTAATGCCCGTAAGGGGTCTTCGGCCATGCTGTAATTTCCGGTCGTTGTTAGAGCATGCTGAACCCGGCCTGTAATGAGGTTAAAACTGTGTTGGTCTTTACAGTTCAGCCGACGAAGATCCCAGAGCCCCCCATACGTATTCTTCGAAAAAACACTTTTCTGTCTTTTTTAACACGGGTATTTGCCTTAATCCCCATGTTATTCTCCACATTGGACCATCCGCCTGTGGGTGTACAAACAAACGTCGCCAGAGCAGTGCAGCAGGAGGGCGTTGGCCATTAGCAGCTGTGCTGCTGACAGACTGGCCGGCTGTGTGTACATGTATACTGTAGCTGTGCAGCATTATCCCCCTTATTAATCAGCGCCACCGTGTCGTCCAACATCCGGAGCTCAACTTGCCGGGGAACACAAACATGTCAGCGCGTCGTCCAAAATGCCGTGTGTGCCTGTAAAATGCCAAAGAAATGAATGATTTTTTAATGACAGCTGACGAGCATGTAACACACACTGAGTACTATGTACGCGCGTCGTGCGACATGCGCAGAGAGTACAACACAAAAAGTCGTCTCCAAGATTTGGCTGTTTATTCGCTCCACAGAGCGCTTTACAGCACTGGACAACAAATGAGATTATTACGTTAAGTATAAGAAAGTCACTCGAGAATTTATCTGTCAGGATTAGTATATCACTGATTTGTTACTATGGGTGGGCGGTAAAAATTCCCTTTATCGGGTCACAGGCGTTAAGCTGGAGTATTAGGCAGGGATAAATATTGGCAACGCGTGTACGCGCGCAATGCCGGACAACTGGGCGGGTTGAATCAGCGGAAGCGTTGGGTGTGGAGTGTCGAACGTGTGTACGACGCGTGCAGCGGCGCCAGAAATAAGTACCTTATCCTTTGCAGTTGCTTTTGTAATTTATACGTAAATACAAATATAGCGAAAGACTGACAGTTCTTTGACAAGTTTTCCTCCTAACAGAAACAGCAAGCCAATCATGATCATATACTGGCACATTACGCAAGCGAGTATAAGGGATTCGGCGCATTTGTGATATGAAAAAGTGAAGTAACAACTGGTTAATTAATTGCATAAAAATAGATTTTTAACAACTGCAATAACATACGATCGCAAAAATAATCGGAAATATCTTGAGAAGTTTGTTCCTCTGCGTGCATCCAGTTGGCTTATAGCAATAAAGAATTTCTAGAAGCACGCATGCGTGCATTGTTGTAGTATTTCTGTGCTGTTGTAGTATTGTAAAGCAGTGCTGCTGCTGCTGGTGGCATCCGGTCAAGTGGCAGCTCTTGTGGAATACATTCTTAAGGTCAAAGTGTGCTGACTACTTTGTCGCACTCAATACCATCCTGACTGTTTGTGGGTAGAGCTTCAATTTAAATTCCATTCTATCGATTCGAGTGTGAAATTGACGAATCTTCCCCAATTCAACATCCTGGGTATCGGTTTCCCTTTTTCTTCTCCCTTCTGCTGTTGCTGTTGCTAATAGTGCATATGCATGTATGCGCGCCCGAGAGAGAGCCAATTCCTTTAGTGTTTGCACGGGATTGTTGTGTCGCTTGATCTGCGCCGCATGTTGTCCTGATCTCGGGGTCGCAGATAACAATGCACACTATTTCAAAATTAATGAAAGAAGTGCCGTCACACTGAGTATGGAAAATTGCAAAGTCCTCCTGTGCTCATCTGTGTTGTGTGATGCTCCAAGAAAACATCTGAAATTGCAACGACACGCACAATCAGTTTAGAGTTGCGCACTTATTGCAACAGTGCGGTGTTGAAGTGAACACAAATCACGAATGACCTTCGTCCATAGCTGCCAATCTGGATTTGCATTGTTGTTAAACTTATCTTCTCGTGTGTACTACCAATGCAAATTCGATTTGCAATTTTTTTATATTATTGATATCGCCTTTGATGAAAGGGGAATTATTGTTTTATCTGCATTAGCAAACCCAAGTACGTGCGGTCAAATTTGATCAGGTGGGAACATGCACGCTGTGCTTTTGACGCTGCACCTGAGTGTATTTTAACTCTGAAAACTTTTATTAAGCTTTAAAATAATATAATTTTGTTAATTACACTTTGAGCATTGAATTAAGTAAGGATCTCGTACCGCTGAATTGTCTGGTTCACACACATAAGCGTTATTTTTACTTACTGCTCGCATTAAAATGCCGCAGTTATGGTGAAACAGCGGCCATATAACTGCACATGTATAGGTGACATATAAGTATTACGAGTACAGATATGGTGCATTGTACCTAAACGCAGATATCGCTAAATAAAATAAGAATCGAAGTGATGAGCCCTAATTTTTATTCACCATTAGCCAATAAACATTTTATATATATATATATATATATATATATATATATATATATATATATATATATATACCTGTCCTGATGGACACGAATTCTAAAAATTGGTAGTATTATAGTTTGCGGCGTAACTTATGTTTGGGCTTAAATGTACGAGTATGATTAGAAAATGTTTGTGCTTAAATGTACGTATAACTTTGCATTTGCGCAAACTGTCATAATACTGACGATCAATAACTGATAGTTTTTCTTCACAAAAAAGTTTAAAATGACGAAAACAAACAAAAAAAAAAAACAAAACAGCTAACAAAAATTAACGTAAAACAACAGCAACATTTTTTTTCCATCGGACCTTTGCCGTTCAAACTTTAGTTTACAAAATCGAGCGATTACCAGTAAAACAACCCATCCAATCAGTCGTAACCCGGATCAAATTACCGCACAATCCCGCGTTTTATGCATTTCGTCGGGTTGTGTACACACACTGCTCACAGACAATCATGTAAAACATTTGTCCGGTGTTGCACGACGTTTTCGGTGCCGAGTTGTGCTCTGCCGGTTTTCCGGAAGAATGCTTTCTTTCAGATTGCGAAAAGGACTCTTTTCTCTGGTGACACCCTCAACGACAGACAACATTACAACTGTTTATTGATGGCAAACAAGATTCTGATGGGCTTGCTGCCCATCCCAGGATGACAGTATTGTAGCCGCGAGAAAACAGCCAAATTCGTAATTATGATCCCGTCGGCAACATCCCGCTGTTCAGTGCCGAATTGCATCGTCGTGTTAATTCAAGAAAAAATTCTATCTTTATCGCTCATACAGTTCAAGCAATGTGGCCATTTTGTGTACAAACAAGCACAGGAAGCGATAGTCAACAGAACAAACATAATTATCAACAGTTTATTGTACCCTCACTCTGTAATTCTGTCAATTATTTTTCACTCATTTTTTGCCGGCTTTTTCACTTTTTATTTATACAGGTAACCACGAAGCCCACTACGCAAAACTTTGTCGTACACTTCAACGGTTCTAACGAAATTTTGTTTCAGGGATAGAAATGCCTGTTTTGCAGTGACCGGCAATTCCGTGGAGTGCCTGCAGCTTGCCGCCTTAATACTGTTTGCCTCCGCATAAGTATTTACATAATATTATGGATTTGGATTCTCTCTACCAGATCGCCAACGGTTCCGATGCACCGAACTGGACCGCACTGTGCCACTATTTTGACGAAATTTTCAATGGAAGTGTGCCGGAGAATTTCTCGTACCGCGCCCAGTGTCGCTGGGATGACTCGGCGCGACTGGAAATCGGCACAAACCAGTTCGTGCAGATTCCCATGTATGTCGTTATCTTCATTGTCTGCGTCGTGGGCAACACGCTCGTGATTGTTACCTTGCTGCAAAATCGCAAAATGCGCACCGTGACCAACATCTTCCTCATTAATCTTTCCGTCGGAGGTACAACATATTTCTGTGCATGTAATTCACAGCTTACGCCGACGCACTGGCGTAATATTGTTATGAAGAACGATCAGTTGGAAGATCAAAGCGAATCATAATTAAAGCCGTGTCAATATTTGGCAGCGTCCGCGAAACAACTTTTCTTGTTGATGGCAGATACTGTCTTCGATATGCTAAAAATACTATGACGAAATGTGTGCCAAATGGTGCAATTTAATGCATCATTTAGGATAGTACGTATTTGCGGTTTCGAAGAATTTCATTAGGAAAAATTCAGTCAACTCGTTTATAGCAACCGAAAAATATTTGCACTTTATGCATACTTCTAGAAGTAGTGTATTGCACTGAATGAAAGCGTAAGGGGAATCATTAGGCAAAGCCATCCTAATAACAGAAAAAGCTAGAGGGATAACGAAAAGTGTAAATTTAATAAATAATCCGTAGCGCCGTATACATGTGGCATGCATTATTAGCTGACTATGCAAATGCCTTGTTTTGCTCTTTTCTTTGTTTCATAAAATAAACTTGTCTTTAGAGATACGCTCATGCGTCATCAATCGTCTTAAAAACAAAAATGTTTATAAATTAAGTTTTTTACAGTACCTTTATTGGCAAAATTGGCAAAATTCAAAGTATAAAGCTGAAATAAATTAGTTAAATTTGTCGTACTAGAACGAATCTTGGTAAACAATGACTCGACCAGGAGTCTACAACTAATTGCGCTAGGTAACGTACGCGTACAGTATTAGTACTATTCAGCGTTTTAAATTGCAGCGTTTATTCTTTTGCAGATTTACTGTTGGGAGTATTTTGTATGCCTTTCACACTAACCGGGCAATATTTGAAGCGGTTTATATTCGGTGCTGTTTTGTGCAAGATTGTGCCCTATTTCCAAGGTAAAAGCCACGAGATGCAGACGAGGAAATATTATTTTAGTCAGCAAAAGCAATGTGCGAATATGTTTTCTTAGTGGTGTCAGTTGCGGTCAGCACATTTACTTTGGTGAGTATCAGCATCGAGCGCCTCTTCGCCATCTGCTATCCTTTGACCTCCAGGTAGGTACCTCATTTCCGCGCGCCTTCGTGGATCGTTATTAACTGGGTTTAAGGCGGAGATGTTGGGGTGGTTGCAGGCGGTGGCAGACAGTATCGCATTCCATAAAAATGACAATCATTTGCTGGATACTGGCCTTTATCGTGGCGTTTCCTGTGATGTTCTACAGTCGTTACACGTGGTACAGGCAGCTGGAAGGCGTCGATTACTACTACTGCCGCGAAGTCTTCCCCTCCATCGACGAAGAAAAAGCCTACAATCTTTTCTTGCTGGTTGTACTTTTCGGACTGCCGGGAATATTTATGACGATAGCGTACGCCAAGATAACAGCCTCGCTTTATAAAGGAATAAAAGGCGAATCACAAAGCTCATCGAAAGGTACAGGAATTACTGCTGTATACGCGCGCGTCTGGCCAGTTTAAGTGAACATATATTTTTGAAAATGGCAGTCATAAAGAGCATTGAGGCAATTAAGCTTAGCCTTTACTATAAGTAAAAAAAGTTTTATATTCCGCTTTCATTCGCTAAAATTTTGTTGCATATTGTATATATATACGATATGCGTACTACACGTATCGGTATACCCATTACTCTTTTTAAAAAAACATTGTTTAAGGTTGTTCGCATGACGCCGGTAAACAGCCAAACGCCAGAGGTTCTAATTTCGTAGAATCCTATGCATCGAACGGAACACTAGCCAAATTCAGTATGAAATTTGCCCGAATGCGGGCTAACAGTGCCAGCGAACGTGCAGCATTGTCGCGGAACGGCAGCACCACTACATGTTCGGCAATACAGCGCAGTTCCACCGCCGACGATCTGGATAACATGGACACGCCCATGGTGACCTCTCCCGGGCAGACGTATAATCCCCAAACGCCGTCGCCCGTACACGGAGTGCGCAGTACTCACACCGAGCGCAATTTAGCGGCAAAAAAGCGCGTAATCCTCATGCTGGTTATTGTCGTGCTGGAATTCTTCGTCTGTTTCACACCCTTATGGATCATTAATACGGTTGGCCTGTTCGACCGCGATTTGATTATCAACCGAATCAGCGATCTGGGCATGCTGTATCTGCAGCTGCTCATGTACATCTCCACGTGCTGTAATCCCATTACGTACTGCTTCCTCCATTCCAAATTCCGGCAGGGTTTCATTCAGGCTTTTAGGTGCGGCAAACAGCGGCAGGAAATCAGTGACCTTACGCGCACACGAACATCGCGCCCGGTCAGCTACAGGAAAAGCGACAACGTCAGGGCCGCGGCGGCTGTAATCAGCAGCAATCGAAACGGTAAGGCAATTACAAAGTATGTATCTCGTACATCATTGCGGCATCATGCGACGTTACGAGTGTGCTGACATACCAAGAACATAAATTATTGCACTTTCAGTAAAATTAAAGGACGTGAATTACGATAATGATGACCGTTTATTTGAGTTTGTGATACAATACCCTTTTACTGACCAATGTCCAAGCAATTTTGGGTGGCTATTTTTCAGGCAAGCAAGCTTTATTTCGGTGACCTTTAGTTCCGATTTTTTTATTTTTTATTCCTGTTGGCTTGTTTATCATAAGACTGCTTGGAAGTTTTATTTTTGTACATTAAGCACGCGTTTTGATAAGGTATTCTGTTACGTTCGCTTCTTGTGTTGCCATTTCAGTAACCAGGAGCCAGTTTGATTTGTTTGATTTGTCTGTGACCGATTCCAGTCCGAATCTGTTGGATGTGCCGGTTGTCTTCCGAACACGCTCCGCTTCCGCCTGGTGAACATTTCATAAGTACCACCGCAGATTCCTTGGTTTCTTTCTTTCATCCGCGGTTAGCGCATGAGTTGAAATAATTCAGAATAAATTAGCTGAGTCGCAAGTCAGATTGACTTTTTATTACAGCCAGTCCAAACATGCAAGCAGCAAATGCGGCAGATGCCTACTTATGATTATCTGGCATATTTTGTGGTCTTCCATCTGTCACCGTGGTGCCTCCGATGTATCCCACGTTGTATCCGCAACGAAGGAAATGCCAAGGCGAATTCATTTGCTCTTCCGTGGCATCTGTGTAATTTGGTCAGCATCCTCGTGCCTTAATAACACCGAAGAAATACATAATAAAAAGAGGCATTTCTCCGCTCAGCAAACATCCAATAATTAACGGAACCAATCTTCCGGCAGTAATAAACTTAATTTTTGTATGCACGAGTTATTTTTTGGAGTGCAACTTGCTATTTTAGTTTCTAGTTATACATGTGAGTGATTACTGAAATAATTACAAGACCGGTGTGTCGATTTTCGCCATGTATAGATAGGAGAGACATTTGTGTTTTGCTTACTTAAGCAGCTTGCTGGTTTTAGCAGAATTATGTTATTAAATTTCCTTGTTTATAATCTGAATAAGAATGATTTGCGAACAATAATCAACTTTATTACTATAACAGTTTACTTACAAACCTGAAAGAACAATCATTACAAATCTTTTTTATTTCAAGATTCTTCAGTGTTAGTTTCCACAAAGATATGTAATGTGCACATATAACAAAAAATGTACAAAACAAGAGCAATATTTATCAAAATCGTATACTACAGAATGATAAACAAAGGAACCGAAACTAATCCATCTTTGGAAACAAAATCCCGGTAGCAAAGAGATAGTACTGTACTAGAGATCTGGAAGCGCCAACGAAAATCATTCAACATGAGATAATGTTATACAATATGTTAACATTTTAACCTCAATAGAACCGAACAGAATCTAAAATCCGATTCCACCTAACACTAAGACCAGTATCAAGCTATCATCTCTGAAAACACAACAGACTGTCCGAAATGCGCTACAAATTATCAAACATTTCCTTCCCAAATATCCTCCCTTCTCTGGATACTTTTCTGTTTTCGATCGCGAGCCTCTTTTAGCTGCTCCACTTCCTGCTGCCTCACGTTCCTCGACACGGGAATTGTCACACCGAGTGCGCCGCCCAACATCCGGCGCGCCGTTCCCACGTTGATATCCGGTCGATCGCGCCCCGCATCTCCATCGTCCAACTTTAGGTAGAATCTAGCCTTTCTCCGTGTCTGATCGCCCGCGTTCTCTAAAGTTTTCAACACAATCTTCGCACCGGTATTTCGCATTCTGAGAACATTGGCGGCTGAAGCTGCACTGGAGAAAATGGCCAGAGCATGGTTATCATCCACCCACTTCAAGTCGTAGTATTCCGCCGTGATCAGGCGCATTTGTTTGTCCAGGTCAGCCGTGGAAAATTCCGTAGGAATTTCGGAAACTTCTAAAACATGACTAAATTCGGCACCGCTGACGTCGCTGTCCGGTGAGAAAACCTGGTAATTTCCCTTGGACTGCGTGACCGAAACTTCTCCGAACGCCTTCAACAGCTCCTTGTGCACAGCATCAGCCAGCTGCGGAAGCGGATCGCGCGGCTCAGGTCGATACTGAGCACTACGGATATTTGGACTGCCAGAAAGTTGCGGACGTTTCATGATTTTCACACCGTTATCGCGATGATCCATCGAAGCATTCTGTTCCAGGCGTTCACGGAGATCAGCCAGATTACGCTTTTCACGCAGCTCCTGCTTAAAATCTGATTCCGAATACGGCTGAGACAGATCGCGCGTTGCACGCTTCCAATCAGGAGAAGGTGGTTCCTCACGAATGCGGTACAGCGGAAATCCTCGGTATTCCTCTTGATCACCAACGCTGTCACTCAAGAGAAAAGTACCAGGGTTTGTTAAGTTGGAATCGCCGGATTCGGATTTCCCAGTTGACGATACCACAGACGAGTCAACTAAAATACATTTCTGTAAGCCAAATGGGACGATTTGAAAATAGCAACACACCGATCCCAGTTATGTACGAGTATATGTCATCTAGAATGATAATATTAAATTTTCTTGTACTGAAGACGCATTCGGTTAACTTACGTTGTCCATTGACATCTCCGTAATAAGCGGAACATTTTGAGTCTGTGGTCGGTCGACTAGGGGAGGGTGTCGGCTGCTGTTGTCCAAATCGCGGTCTGGATGAGCTGGATCCACTCTTATCGTCTGCTACAAAAATTCTTTAAAAATCGAGTTTTAAAAGACATTATTAAAACCGGTGTTGCCCACCGCTGCGCGAAGTTTCCAGAGTCATGTTTTGCAGTTCATCGGCACTGTTTATCTGTGAATCCCGGGAATTGGGTGGCTGCGACGATCCAAATCGCGGCCTAGAAGGCCCCGATACGCGCTTCTCGTCTACCAAAAAGATTCATAAACACCCATTTACAAGAAAGAAATAAAAAGCGTTAATTCCCACCACTACGCGAAATTTCGGGAGTCACGTTTTGCTGTACATCAGCAAACCGTGTATCCTGTGAACTGTCGGAACTGGTTGGTTGCGGCCCAAATCGCGGTCTGGACGAACCTGATCCACGCTTCTCTTCTGAAAAATATTAAATAATCTCACAAAATAAAAACACTGAGCGTTATTTCTTACCGCTATGCAAAGTTTCGGTTTTCGTGTTCTTGGGCAGACTGTTAGAAGATGTATTTAGCGCATTGCCGGGAGAAGTCGACTGCACAGGTTTGGACACAGGTCCAGGCAAATGCGATTCTGGCTTCGCACCTGCTAACAAATTTTCGAATTCAGAACCGCGGATGACAGCTACAGCGAGCTATCTTTACCGTTATGTGCAACCTGGGAATGCGCGCTTCGTTCATCGCTGACGCGTGAATACGAATCAACAAGAGAGGACTGCGATCCCCCGAACCTTGGCCTGGACGAGTTAACGGATCCCCGTGCCTTACCTGTCCAAAACAAAATAAACCGTTGTTGAAAATTACGACATGTATGTAAAAAGAAAAAAAGTATGAGCACTCACCGTGCGGTGATATTTTAGAATCGTTCAGATCTTCCTGACTAGCAACGTGTGAATTCTGCTGCGACGGTCCGAATCTGACCCTTGATGAATTCAATCCATGCTTTTCATCTACGTAAACATTTCGTAAAGAAAATCTCACAGGTCAGTAAAACTGTGGAAATATAACTGTACCGCATCGTGGGATTTCGGGATTCATCTGTTGCTGATGGTCCTTAGCCGAACGCGCATTTTGACCAACCGGAGGAGTCTGCTGCTGATTTCCGAACCTCGGTCTGGATGAATTAGATCCTCGCTTCTCTTCTACCACGAAATTAAAATATAAGAATCAAAAACAGATTTAAAGCTGACGAATAATGCTGTACCGCTATTCGAAGTCCCGGGGGTTATCTGTGCTTTTTCGTTGCTATCAAACAGACTTTGCCGATCAACCTGACAATGAGAGGCAGTCGCCGATCCGAATCTCGGTCTAGATGAATTTGGTCTTCGCTTCTCGTCTATCCGGACAACGATAAAAATTTCAGGTTAAAACAGAATCACACATAGTCTTCCAGCCCTTTTCAGTCATTACCACTGCGTGCTGTTTCGGAATTCGCACGTTCATCTTCGCAAAAGTCAGGCCGATTATTCGAATTAGCGGGAGATTTTAAATCCGATCCGAACCTCGGCCGAGATGTATTACCGTCACGCTTTTCATCTGCCAAAAAAAAATTTAGAAAAGTAGAATCCAGATATGAATACTTTCTTCTTTCTGGATAAGGCACGGGCACCACTTACCATTTTGGAATTATCCACATGTTGTTCACGTTTCGGATAAGCCGTGTGTGTATCACATTGGACTACTTGTTGAGGCCCGAATCTTCGCCGAGAATTTTGTTGCTGTATTTTCTCTGCCGCGACAGTGAGCATATCTTTCGCCTCCGAAGATCTGCTTCCACATCTGCTTTCGCTCATTACTGCCTTGTCGTTTTCTTCAGCCGTTTTCACGTGCAATGAGTCGAGATTCAGTGGACTCGCTGATTCCCTCACAGGTGCAGTCGACCAAGGGCCAAATCGCAGTTGCTGCTTCGCATCTCTCCTTTCAGTGCACTTCGAACCGTTCGAACTTGCACTCGAAATTGCGCGATCCCCAGCTTCTTCCAGCTTCAGTAATGTTTCATCCTGAGCGGCACGCGATGACGGCGAATCCGCGCTCTTTTCGTCTGCTCCGAAGTCCAAGAACGTCGGACTAACAGCAGAATCCGGGATGGCTTCGGAAATGTCGACTGATAGTGTTCCCGATGATGTCCTCACTGATAAAGCACCATCTGAATTTATCCCAAATTCGAAACACTTTTTATATGCCGGCAGTGTGAGCCAACCATAAACTCAACAAAACCAGAACAAACAGTTACAACAACTTGTAATGGTTTAATATGTCGTCGAAACAGTTGACTCTTCGAACTTCGAAGTACGTACTCGTACAATACAATACTGAACACACTGCTTTCAAAACAATAAACTTATACTAATATAGGTACGTACAGTACAATGTTTTGGCTGTAGAGCGTCGTAAAAGGTGCAAATAAGTGTCTGGGGAGCCGGGGGCCCGCGCTATAGCTAGAATTTTCCAGATAATGTACCAACTCAAAGGCTTAACCTTAAATTAAAGCAGATAATTTCTACAAACATGAATTTAATGAAACTATAATTATACTCTATTCTTTTATTTAATAAGAATTTACCTATTGTGATATATAATTACTAATTAGTTATTACAAGAAATGACGTCGGCTTCGCCTCCGCATTTCTTGTGGTCTTCAATGGGTCTGTATTTACGTATTAACATCTCAGATTTTGGCGTAGCATAGTTAATAAACTCCAATAGTGCGAAAAATTTAACTTCATTTAATTTTTTCTCCAACACAGCAATTTTTAAAGAACAATCGGTTTCGCCGTTTCGGGCATCCTGGTACTCATTACGCGTGCCTACTGGCTTTGCAGGTGAACATTGCTAAATTTGAGAAGCGAGAACTTACGTACCCAACTAAAAGCCACAGTAATGGTAGGGCAGTCACTTACTAACCTGGCGGACTGTGTGGTAGTTTGTGAACAAAACTTTGGTTACTCACCCATTTAACGGGCAGTGTGCACTAGATAGCAGTGGTAGTTTGGTCACTCATTCACCTAACAGGAAGTGTGCACTAGATGGCAGTGGTATTTTGGTCACTCATTCCCCTAACGGGAAGTGTGCACTAGATAGCAGTGGTAGTTTGGTCACTCATTTACCTCACGGGAAGCGTGCACTAGATGACAGTGGTATTTTGGTCACTCATTCACCTAACGGGAAGCGTGCACTAGATAGCAGTAGTATTTTGGTCACTCATTCAGTGTAATTATCTCGTGTTTTTGGTCAGTGAAATTAGTACTAATTACCTCGTAGTGATTCGTACTATATTTTGCACAACTGCATTTTACGATTTAAATGCCTGTCTGGGTATATAATGCAGAATTTTTGTCAGCGATCTTCTGATTAAAAGATTTCTGATCAGCGTAATATTTTGGACGTTTCCGCGAAATGGTTAACAGTAAAATGAAAATGTTTTACGTTTCACGCATTTTCTTATGTTCGACAATTAGAAAGGGGCAATTAATCCTATAAGACCCAATTAATCCCTTATGGGATTAACCGAATATTTGTCTTCTTTAAGGTCATTTATTTTCAAACTTAATATTTTTAACATAGCAACAGTAATTTCTTAAATATACTATTCTTAAGTATATACTATTCTTCTTAGACATACTATTCTTAAGTATGGATGCACTTCAGCTTTACCTGGCAGACCCGGCTTGTGGAGGTGATTTGTTTTGTCGCTTGAATGCATTTTCGAAAAAAACGAACACCCTCTGGCCGCGTTTTAGAACATGGGCTTTCCGATGATAGCAGTGGTTTTTGTTTAATTCTGTCTGGGATTCTGGCACTGGTGTATGCATTTTTTTCTGTTCGTGGTAATAAAGATCTAGAACTAGATATGAATACTAACTAAGTAACAAGGGTCCTCGACACTTTGCCGTTGTACCCAATTTTCTCCCGTTCCACCCATCCCATCTGCACGCTTTAAAGTGCTACAGAATCCTCTCAGTGTCGAGAGTGTTCCTGCATCATAAGTTTTCTGCAAAGCCCAATCCCCAAAGTCCAGTGGTCACTCAAAAGCTGTGGCCATTAGCTTAACATGGGCTGTTTGTTAATCCCCAGATTATATTACAATTATTGTTATTACATCGAATTGTCATTGAAATTAGCGAACTGCGAATGAGCAAAATAAGTAACAGATTCTGCTCATGCCTGTTTATTTTGTTCGTGCCTCCTTAATGTAATAAACATCGTGCCATTACATATGCAATTAACCTTTTTACATTATGCAATCAACCTTTTATGATATTATTATTTATTAAGTATTTATTACATATGCAATTAACCTTTTTACATGCTCGAAATCTTAAGACATTATTCATCCGCGCTGGGCTTGTAATTACTAATTACCGTTATAGTTACCGATCCAACACAGTGCCACCATACGGATTTAAGATTCGGTCAAGTTACTGTTCATACTCGTAAAAAATTATCATTATTTTTTAAAAAAGGTAACGCGTTCATTGAAAAGGGTAGCTAACCTCGTTATTTATACTTTTAAAATTAATAAAGCTGTTGTTTACCTTCTATCGCAACCGACTGTGAATCCACCGACCCGGCGGCGCTTTTCGGGCGACGAACTTTAAAATAATCTGCAGGATTTCCGCGAGAGGCAGCCGGCGCATTCGTCCTGTTCGATCCATTCGAGTCTTGGGACTTTGCGAACTCCCTACTTCCTCCTCTGCTGCTTTGCATCCGACGGTCATTCCCTCTTCCAGGGTGTTGATAGGCTAAAGTCACACAGGAATCTTAATCCGCAAAATATTAACAGGCAATAAATGATTGCAATTTACGTTTTTGCGCATGATTACGGAAGTTGCGAGGATAATCACCGGAACCGTCGTAGTTTGGTTCGTACTGCTCAATTTCCCTCCAGTGCGATTCCTCCTTTGCTGTAGGGTATTTTTTGTACTGCGTTGCCATATCGGCTGGTGTAGTGGATGCAGAACGAGCTTGAGTTTTGGATGAATGATTTCCCGTTGAAAAATTAGTCAGTCTGGCCGACGCGTGCAACTGCGAATCTCGAGAGTGGTCAAGTTTAGTACCATCCACTTTGGGGCTATCTCGGCGACTTCTCTGCGGCGGTGGAACGTACGTCTGCATGGCGGGCCGAATTGTTTTACGCGGAACTTCAGCCTTCGGCTGGTCGTTGTTGCATGCGTTTTCATTATCTTCGATCATTTGTACAGCAGGAAAAATATCCGCAGTTAATTGAGAGGATGTTGTACGATGACGACTCTCGCGGAAAGACACCGTTAATCGACGATCATCACCCGAGCCAATGGATTTGGTAGTAAGAAAGGGAAAACGGTTCTGAATGAGTTGATGGATGTGATAACGATAGCGGTCTAAAAGAGGAGGAAACAAGAGAACTTCAGGCGGATCAGATTGTGGTCGTGCGACAAAGTCTTCGATATCTTTTTCGACTACATCAGTCAATGGATCTTCCCACATGTCAATGAACAGCAACTACGTGCCTGGCGGCCCTGGCCAGTACTATTAATTTAGCGGTTAACCACTTAACCCATTCAAATTTCAATTTCTCCCAAATTCAAAACGTTGACTAACCAGAACCCAAGTTCATCATCCATTTTTGAACGTGCAGTAATCCCTAAACATTAATCGAATTACCAATGAAATCCATTAAAAGGCTACGTGCAGGCTAATTGATACTAATTGCTAATAAAAGGCTAATAATTATTGATACTAGAATTGATATTAGAATTGTTCTGTTTTTATTATTATTTACAAAATACCTAAAAAATGTGCAATCGCGCAGCTAAAAATTTCGTTAAAACCACGTGAAACAGAAAACGCATTCGATGCTCGCCCTGTACGGGCTTGTGTTATTAAACCGCAGACCTAGTAATTGCCAGGGACCAGAGAGAGTACCGCGGCTTTGAAGTGGAAGTGCATGATATTACACCCCGCATCACTCCAGAATAATACGGGCCCATAATCTAATGTTCGACCAATAAGATTGCACATCGTGGCTTAGAATTTTCTGTTTTGGCCAGTCAGTTTGTCTTTTGTGTTGCTGTTGGTGTATTTTTAAGTGCTCATCTTGGAGTCACGATTTTTTGGGAATTCCTCAGGACTCGAAGAGTTGTTCCTTTCAAACTGAGAAAGGCTCATTAGTTACTCGGACTTCCTACCATCCATTGAGTAGGTTACAGGTACGCTAGGCTGCTAGCGATGTTTCACTTTTGATAGTCCCGTACTAACTTAGACAAAATGGTACTGCTCCACTCTCCAGTATATGCTTTTGCGTGGTGATAGTTTAATGACTCGAATCTTAGAAAGTAGTGTATTATTAGTTAGATGGAGAATTGTTGTACTTATGTTCTGAGTTTTCCTGCCGGGTGCACTGTAATGATGCACTGTCATTATGCATTAATTACGTTTATATTGGGCCTTTATTGGCACACAGTATACTTGATTACGCCACTTCTGATTGTTGTAGAGAGCGTTCAGTCGCGTGCCTGTCGTAACATGGCCCGAGTGAGGCCACTACTCTTCTCCGTTTTCTGGGGGCTGTTGATTGTCTGTGCTCAACGCGGTGGAGTGCTTGCTCAGGACGAGGATGAGCCCAGGAGAGTAGAAACGGAAAGCCCTACTCCCTCGGAGCCACAGACGAACGTCTACGACCTACCTCGCGTGGACAAGAGCAAGGCCTACTTCTTCGAAGCCTTCGCGGACGCCGATATTCTGGAAGGACGATCTCGGTAATTTTTGGTTTGGCACCTATAATAATGCAGCGGTTTTCCATAGAATAGTTTGCTCCAGCTGCGTATTCGTTTTTCTTAATTCGTCGCCTGGAATGAGACTGCCCGCTGATTTACGGAAATAAGCATCTTTGGCACAGCGAAGTTTTCAAACGACAAACTAGAAAGAATTCCTGATTTTTTTGGGCAAGAAGGGAATTTCTCAAAATAACTATTGGATAATTATCATAAATAATAAATATGCTCATTGTGCTGTATTTTCGTTGCACATTCTGTAGACTGTATGTCTAAGGTGCTCGGTACTTTTGTTACACTTTTGGTATTTGTGTGATCTTATAATACTTTATAGTGACTTGTTTGATATTATTGTTTTAAAATTGTAGATGGATTCGTTCCCAGTCCAAGAAGAACAAAGCTGATGCAGCGGAAATCGAAAAATACGACGGTAAGGAATAAAAGTTTCTAGTTGTGGATGGCATTGTAAATGACATTTTTAAAAATTGATCCATCAACTTGATGGTGATATTTTGGTACAAAAACGACTTCATGAAGTAATTAAAATGTGTATTTTATTTAGGTGCTATTTTGAATTTCTATCGGGGTTAGTACACCCATTAACTAATTGAATTATAGGAGAGTGGGCCATTGAATCTACGAATGTCACCCGAATGGAAGGCGACTATGCTTTAGTTTTGAAGGTAAGTGTATAACTTAAGTACTTGGTTTTCATTGTACTTGGTGCTACGCTTTAAACGCAGCGGCCTGATTTTGTCATGCTCATTCTAGAGTTCGGCTAAGCATCATGGAATCGCGGTGAAACTTGATCGTCCGTTTGTGTTCAATGGGAAACCGTTCGTCTTTCAGTAAGCCAGTCAGCTACATCGGGTGGTGTTGCAGCTGTGCAGAAATGCCTAATCCCTTGTGTATGCAGATATGATGTCAAATTTGCCAATGGACAGGAATGCGGTGGCGGCTATGTGAAGTTGATTCAGCAGAAAGCCCTGGATAATCTCGTAAGGGAAAATGGGACAGATCACCTGGTAGTTTATTAGTCTCCAAAGTGATGGGATTATTTTCAGGCGGATCTCAACGATAAAACACCGTATACTATCATGTTCGGGCCCGATAAGTGCGGCAAGGACTCTCATTTGCGGTTCATTTTCCAACATCGAAATCCGAAAACCGGTGCCTATGAGGTAGATAAAAGAAGTTTTTCATTATGATCGATAGTGACATGATGAAAAATCGTCTCAGGAAAAACACTGGAAAGAGCCGAATAACTTGAAAATTGAAGAGTTGGTCAACAGTAAAAAGTCCCATGTCTATACCCTGATGATCCAGCCTGATAACACCTTCAAAGTTTTTATTGACCAAAAGATAGTTGGAGATGGCTCGTTGCTGGTGGACATGAGGTGAAGTTTTCCGTTCGTTTCTTGTGATATTTTGTAGTTTTCGTTTTTTTAATGGATTAATTTTGCAGTCCTGCCGTTAATCCACCTGCTGAGATCGAAGATCCAAATGATACGAAGCCGGAAAACTGGGATGAACGCAAAACGTAATTCGTATACCCTTTTTGTATATGATTTTTTGGGTTAGCTATTGAATTATAAATAACTGAGGAATCTCCTTTGTCATTCAGTATTCCGGATTCCAATGCGAAAAAACCCGACGCATGGTATGGTTTAGTTTTGTGCCAATTATTTTCAAATTGTTATATTTGACACTGGCAAAATATTATTTCACTGATTTCGTCTTAATTTAGGGACGAAGAGGCGCCACGACAAATTGCAGATCCTGCTGCTAAAATACCTGAAGGTTGGTTGGAGGATGAGCCGCAAATGATTCCTGACCTTAACGTAAAGCAGCCAGAGGATTGGTAAGCGCAGATTTTTTCTTTATGCGTAGCTCGGATTTTTGTATTTCATCAGTTGGGCCTTTTGTCGCTAAAGGGATGTGGAAATGGACGGTGAATACGAACCGCCTCTAATTGAGAACTCCAAATGCAAAGGTGTGGGATGTGGCAAGTGGACGGCCCCTCTCATCGATAATCCCCAGTGCAAGTCAGGAGGATGTGGTCCCTGGACCGCTCCGTTGATCGATAACCCCGATTATAAAGTAGCTCTCAGCGAGTTTTATTACGTTGGCGCTGCCCGCTTAACCGCAATGTTTTGCAGGGAAAATGGGCGCCAAGGAAGGTTCCTAATCCTGACTTTTATGAAGACTTGGAACCTTATAAAATGACTACCATTGTAGGGAACTCATTTTAGAATCTTAAAAATTTTTGTTTGCTAACGCGCTTTTGCTGGATAGGATGCGCTGGCTCTTGAACTGTGGAGCATCAGTAACAACGTCCTTTTTGACAGTATCTTGATAACGGATAACTTGGATGTGGCTGATAAGTTGGCACGAGAGACGTGGGCCGTGAAGGAAAACATGGAAAGTACATCCACTTCTCTCCTGGTAATTACTTTCAACACTTTTTCGGTTGCTGCAGTCGAATTGTGATCTATGCTTTATATCTTCCAGGGAGGCAAATTTAATTTCAAATACATCGGTATTGCTGTGGCAGTGGTCATTGGTTTGATAACTTTGGTGACTATGAGAGGCAAATCGCGCCGACAGGCTAGAATGATTGTGGAAGACGATGATTTGCTGGAAGAGAAGACTAGTGAAGGAAGTGCGGGTGCCTCGAAAAAGAAAGAGACCCAGACGGTGGTGGAGGATGATGAAGAAGATGCTGATGATATCCCGCCACCTGGTCTGGAGGGGGAAGAGGGGGCGGGTGATAACGCGGAATCAGCTTCCGCTGGCAGTGCATCGGAGCCGGAAGCCGAACCGATGCTTGATCAGGAAAAAGAAACGTGAGTATCGAACTGGTATCATTTACTTATTGATGCGCCATTGTCACATCAGCGCGCAGAATTAAAATTTGTAAAATGAGTGAGGCGGCTCGGAACTTCCTTTAGTAGTTTGTATCGTGGAAGCCCAAAATCGGTTTACTGCTGTGGTGATGGTTGTGTGCCTTTTCTTGTAGCAAAGTAACAAAACGGTCTCGTGCCCGTCGCGAATAGATGCGGCAACCGGACAGCGGATCCCTGGCAGGCTGAAGATGACGCACTTGATTTTGAATTGACGTTCCGATTGTGTTTTCTAGCTCTTTTTTGCGTTTTTATCTGATAAAATTGACATTTGGTTGACGTGATGTGATATGCAGGCAGTTATTCGAAACAGTGCGGACTCTTCGTTGGGGCAGTTTTGATGTTACTTAGTCGTTTGCTCGGTTATTTGTTGTTGTTGTTGAATGTTTCTTTATAATCATCTGATCAGGAAGCCGTGTTCTTATGTTCTCTCAAATTCTGACGTTTATTTATTGACCCGTGAGGAGTGTGCGAGTATAAATAGTCATCAACTATGCCAACTCAATCGTACTTCAATCCATTATTCCAAATAAAGTAAGCTGTACGTACAGGTATCAATTATAGATCTGCGATTGGGATTTCCTAATATCGAATCTAACTCTGTGAACGAAATTCAGTCCATACAAAATCGCAACAACTAAAAACACCTCTTATTATGCGATCACCGTCCTTGATTTACAAGTTACGGCTAACAGTATGTGCGAGAAAAAGTAATTATAGAAAACAACGTAAACCGATTTCCGTAACAAATGCAATCACGCAATAAAAAATGCAAAGGCAAACCAGAGTTATCATCGACTACCCTAAGTAGTGTGGCAATAAGGCATTTGTAAAACAAAAGAAATCTCACTATCATTAAGTACACGGTATATCGTGACTGTTTCGCAGAATTAAACAAATCATTAAGCACCGAAAGGACTGGTCAGTCCATAGAAAGCATCATGGGTTTCATACTGTAATCCGTGACATCCTCAACGTATCCCTGATCGTGCTTGATCTGATGCACTTGCATCTGGGACATGGTGTTGACCACCACGGAGCAGGTCTTGCAGTGGTAATGGGTTTGGGTGTAATACAGGCAGGACGGTACACGACAGGGATTCCGGAAGGAAAACTTATCGAATCCGGCAGCGGAGACAGCATTCTGCTTCGAATGGCTGCGACGATGTGTGGAGATTTTGGCGGTTTCCGTGCAGGTAAAATCACACTGCAGACAGTGCACGTGGCTGGAATGTTTCAGTGAGCAATTATCATCATCACAGGAAACCTAATCAATGCAGGGAATGACAATTAACTGCACGCGGAGACGCAATGGACAAGTTAACATAATAAAAATTATTGTCAGAGTAAAAAAGTCAGATTTATCAAATCAAACAAAATAAAATTAATAGCCTGTGGTTTGTGTCTCCTCGTCCTATTACTAAATTACTGCCCGCTTTTGTCACGATCTAAACTTTACGCGGTAAAACAATTTTTTTAAGAGCTCATAATTACAGTCTTGCAATTTTGCAACACTTTTCAGTTAATTTGGATCCGGAATGTTTTATCTAGTTAAGGCAGAAAGAAAAATACCTTTGACGAATAACGGCGAAAATCATCCCCAACAATGGCCGCCAGCCGTCTATGCCGCTCCGAATGCCGCAATAATCTCGTCTTATCGGAGAAGAACTGCCGACAATGCTCTTCCTGGCAGTGCCAGTGTGTCTGTTTGCGGCTCAACGGACACTCTTCCCAATCACAGGTTTCAGTGCACAAAAATCTGTGAAAACCTAAAAAATCAAAGCCGTCCCTTTCCAGCTTGTTATCCCCAAAGAAGAGCTCGCTAGCGGCGTGCTCACCATCCGGCGCCGGCTGGATATCCGCGCCGCCATTAAGCCCGCGCCCGTTGGACGAAAAGGCCACCGGGATAAACTTGATCTTCTTACTGCCATAACCATTCCCGTTCATATTCGTTTCCGATCCATCGGACATTTCTGACGGGGAGGAACGGTGCGGCGACGGCGAATTTACCGGGAATTTCGATAAAATCGGCAGCGATACGGATGATGGCAACGGCGGAGGAGACGCAGCATGACCGTTTTGGCATTTGCGTAAATGCGTCTGCAGCCGTAGTGATGAAGTGTACGGCTGCTCGCAGTTCTCACAATGGAAATGCTCGCGTTGCGCCAGCCGGCATACCCGATGTGGACAAGGTTTATCCGCTGTGAAGTGCATCTTGGATAACATGGGATGACAGAAAAAGCGTCCTTCGCCAAAGTCCTCCGTTTTAATTGTGTGCATATCCGACCGGGATTCGCGCTGCAGGTTCAGCTGCGCAAACACGGGATGGGTCATCGAGAACGCCGGTGGCGATGGTGGGGAGGGTGCCGCTTGCATCGAACGATGCTTTTCTTCGTGGGTGGCCATTGTATCGTACCTGCACGATAATTAATATCTTCGTTGACGCAATACTTTAAAAAACAAAATACGGTACGGTCCAAATACCGACTGACTACGTAAATCCACGTTAAAGTAACTAAAATATTTGATAAGTACTGTAACTGAAAATAAATATTACGTCCAACAAGGTAGGCAGTATACACTTAGCTAATTATAACCAATAAAATGTGCTATGACTGCTAAAATAATTTTGACAATTTTTTTATAACTTTATTTTCAAATGGACCATGGTTATGTGAGAATTGCGATAGTACGGACAGCAACTGGAAAAAAAATAAATGCTGACCGGTTGTACAACAAACGTAAGAGCTGTCATTTCTGTCTGAGCAGAAAAATACATACGATTTAGTACCTGACGAATGAGTACAAGCAGTTTGGCCTAACACAATGGAAATGCCTCGTCAATCCATTGGATGGGCAATCCGATAACCCGCAATCAACCGACTGATCGAAAAATTCATATCCTTCTAAAATATCGATATTGGCGTGAAATTCGCGACTATGGAGCGCCAATATGTCATCCCGTTCCGAAGCGAAATGGCAGCGCGGATGAGCGCAATGATAATGCTCTTTGCCGCGGTACACACAGGACTGGTACGGACAGTTTGGGGATTCTACAACAAGGATTTATTCACATGAGTCATCACGTCCCATATCGAGCAGCAACATACTTACTGTGAGGCAAATGTTCGTGGGAAGATATCGGCTTGGGATGGATGGCTCGTTCACGGAGTTTATCCGCTTCCGACTTCAGCGATGGACTTGGTGCATTTAGATTCTATCGTAAAAATAATAAAAAATTAAATCGCATTAAGGAGTAAAGCATGCACCCCATCGCGCAACACCAACATCCGGCTCGTCATTTATGCTTGAAGAAGCCGGTAATTTACATTATTCAATTTAACCAATGCAGAATAACCAAAATTTTTACTGGCCCGTGGAACGAGTATCTTGTGTTTTCTTACCCGGTGCACGGTAGCGGATTCCTGTCGAACATCCATGAGAATACCACCTTTACCTGCGAACACAAAGCAGTTATTTATTTAACGTACTTTTTATGATTATTTAAAAGTACCGGCATAATCTGCGTATTTACCCAATTTAAAGCTGCTGAACATGGCTTGTAAATTGTGATTGGCACTGGGTACCGACGGATATACATGCACGTCAATAACGGGATTCTTGGGCGGTCGACCTCGTTTCCGCTTGAAAGGAGGATAAGGCATCGGAGATGGAGACACAAGGGAACTCAGTGCTGATACTGTTAATGAAAAACATTGGGGATCAAAATAGTGTCGCTTTTGTAAACACAACAGCAGGTAAATTGTCCTTACAACGTGCTGTTGTCAACTTCCTCTCAAAATTCTGTTGTAAGTTCATTTCTAATCTAGTTTATATAAGATCAGTTAAACAACATAATAAGTGTGTGTACAGAAATAGATGATGCTTCTTTTCCGGCACTCAAATGAACAAGACAACGACACACTGCAACTCCCGAAACAAATTTCTGAGAATGAAAATTAATGCTACAGTGCTAATTCAGTTTAACTGTTTGTTGAAACCTACTTTACTATGGGTGATACACGAACATAACGTGCCACGTCACAGTGTAGAAAGCATTTATAATCAATTAACAACAACGCTTCGGGAAAAATGAGTCTACTTATTGCCAGTTTGCAGTAATTCGAAACTTTTGTGTGAAAAAGTCATTGCTAAAAGCAGAAACTGACAAAACCACACTTATGTGTCAGGCTTGTTAATCTGATACTTTTACGACATTTTGCTAAATAAAGAAATATGTGTCTTGTGCGTCATTTAAAGAACGGCCTCTTATCCGCAGATTGTCATCAGCGTGAACGAAAATTAATTATGCGCGAAGTGGCAATTGCCATTTATGGGAACGCCTAAGGCTCCTTAAATTATAAGCGGTAACAGGTTATGGCAGTTCAAAGCCGAGTCAATTGAAAAGCAGCAGTGTCGGAGCAAACTTTTATGAGAAAGCGTAATAAACACGAATTTCACATAGTGTTTTTCATGTGCATTCTAGGCTGTACCTAATTATCGAATTATCGTACCACTTATGAATCTTGACTTTCTTGTATGTCTTTGGCAGTTTATATACAATTTCAGCGAATTCGAAGACGATTAAATTTGATCACAATAACCCGTATATTATGAACATTAAATCACAAATTTTTGAGCTGCAGTTGTAGACATACATGAATTGAGCGCCTGCAACGGATTAGCCGGCTGCGGATGCGGTAAACCAAACAACGAGCGGGAAAACTGCGAACCAGCTGGCGTGCCATTGGTGACGAACTCCGTGACACCGAACGGTGTGCGGCTGATCGGCGAAACCGATGTTCCGCCGCGGGACGACATATCGCTGACCATATGGGAAACCGCTAAGTTTTTTCTACATTAACACATAAAAAGACAACGTTGTTGTCGCGGTCGGCGGTATGAAGACAGAAGTCGACACAAATTAATCGGTTGTTTTATATAACGCTTTTACCTAGCCTGCGGTGCCGTGAATTCAACATTATTTTCCGTGTGCAGCGGTTGTCGTTGTTTGGAGCTGGCGACATTCTGCATATTGGCCGCTTCGGCCGCACGTAAAAGTGCGGTATTAAATGGTGGCTTTTCATTACTTAACTTGCCGTGTGATTTTTTTGAGAGATCTATATAAGAGCCGGAAATTTCATCATCATCGTCATCGTCGTCGGACGAAAAAATATGATTTCCGCCAGCCAGATGGAATTCACTTGAATCCTCCTCACTGTCACTCGATAAATTACAAGTTTTGTCGTGTGTGTACTTTGGCGTTGCAGCGGTGGTATTGGGAATTATCGTCAGATCATTCTTGTCATGTTTACGTTTATGGGCATGCAGCTGAGCGGACGACGTGAACACGTACCGGCAGCCTGCAACACAGCAATCCAGATTAACTTCAATGGGTTAATTTTGCCTAAAAACCTGCCTCCACCACCTGCTAGAATTTTTATTAAAAAGGAAATTAGAATGCCATACATGCAGATACCAAACGTCATCAAAAATTAATATCGACAGACCCACCACCGTTTTGACTCTTTTATGGCTATTTCGAAATTTGCATACAACACGGAAGTGTGTCATTTCTCTTGATTCATAGCACCATACAACTTCTACTTTATCAAATCCCGGTATACAGAGACAAGAGATATGCCAAAAAACGTGGTTTAAATAAGCAATATTTCAACACTATCGCACTTGCAATAATTGTGTACGTGCTGTTTTCGTTTTAAAAATAATGACTACATCGAAACACAAAGGTCACTTAAAATCGGAGCTGCCGAAGCACTAGAGTAGCCTTACCTTGGCGGATGCAGTGAATGTGATTCATAATTTTGGAATACGGGCAACTATCGAACATGCAATGTTCATATTTCATGTATTTTCGGAAGCCGTCTTTGGCCAGTTCGTCATTTTTGGCGTGATATGCTTTGTGTTTCTCTGCAAAAATGCATTAAATGAACATAAATTTCCAGAACACCTGCTAGGCAGAAAATTGCGCCGACGCAGCACAGAATTAATCGCACTTACCGATATCGGCTTTATTTTTAAAGGTGAATGTACAACTTGAGCGAATACAGTGGAAATGAGTGCTCTTCTGATCACGAAACGGACAACTGGATTCCCCGCAGTCATCCATTGAACGGTAGCGGCGGAAGCCTTCCTTGTTAATTGCCATTTCTTTCCGATGGAGATTTGCATGCATCTGCACATCCGACGTGCTAGTGTACACCTTCTGACATCCATTCTGGCAAAAACAAAAATATTCCGGTTTACACAACCTGTACCCGCTCAAATTTAACCGAAACCACCAAAAAAGTCGAATTTTTCTAATTAATATTTACTACTTTTTTTCTTATTCTGCGTATTTTCTGCACACGGAAGTAATTGTGTTGTTCGGCACTCTACATTCTCACCATTAGGCAGTGATAGTGGGTCTGCCGGCCTGCATGCGGGCACACACTGAACTGCTGGGAGCAATCATCATTTCCGCTAAAGCGCAAAAAGCCCAATTGCAGTGTTTCATCACGTTTCTTATGCCATTTTACATGGCGGATCATTTCCTCTTTACGGAAAATGACCTGCAACACACAAACAGTAAAGCATCGAGTTTTAAACTGGGATCATTGAGAACAAGATTATTCACTGCACTCTCATGTTGTGTGGAAATGCTTAATATACATCAAAAGAAAAACATTTGAGCTAAGCATATCTTTACCTTGTTAGGGCAAGTCAAACAGTGAAAATGCTCTTTTAATCCAAGAGTGCGGCATTCTGCTGATTGGCAGATTTCATCGTTTCTGTAGCTGCAAAGTGTAACACGGTAAAATTGAAAAACATAAAAAACCGGCGATAAATATAGATATTACGTTGACATGCCAAAAGAATTATTCATCTGCACACTACGCAACTATTACGCAGCACTGCTAAAGCGCCTTATTTGCAACGGCCAGAATACTGAATTAGCCACTCTTAGACCTTATTCAAACATTATACGAAAAGTACAGAAACTGCAGACGTTTTGCGCAGTTATAGAAACTGCTGTTAGAAAACCCAAAAAATTATTCATATAGCTAAAGTATCTCCAAAAAATTTCTTAGATAAATTCATTTTGGAGCCTTTACACAATACATGTTTATTCGAGTTAAAAGAATTAATTAGAAATGCTATTTTGATAAACACCGACACGATTTGAAATTAGCATTGCTTGTTTTACGTTGAGTGTAAATGGTGACACAAACGGAAAAGGATAAGTATAAATGTCCCGATTCTTTATTTTAAGAACAAGGCTGATTTCATAAGCAGCCCACAGTAGCAGCACTTACTGTTTGACATATTGCCAAATATCCAGTGATCTTATACTGTTTCTCACGCCAGACCATTTCCAGCCATCTATACATTGAGGCAAAAAAAAACGCAGACAGTGCATTAGAAACGGGATCAACAGAAGCGGAAAAATAACGTTACACAGTAAAAACGCTGCGCCTATCGCGTCAGTTGGATGTTTTTGGTAGCGGCGGCGTCAATCGTTATAGTTGTGTGCTAGTTTACTATTCTCATTTTTAAATCCGGCTAAATAGCGGTGGTTCCTAAAGTGTCAACAAACCTGAATCAAGTAAGCCGGTTTCCCGGCGTTCATTTGCTGATGAATTTCCACTAAGCCGTTCGCCATTTGGTTGGGGTTGGCTGGCATTTGCAAGTCTTCCATCTGGACATAAAGAGAGAAAAAAGAAATAGTAACAGATACACAGAATTATTATGCCCAGCGGAAAAGGCGCTTTATTTGTTTCCAATAACAAAATTTCTGCCTAACTGTGCATTTTTCCATGCTTTTCCGGCATAAACCATGCAATGCCACACATGCGCATAAAGTTTATTATCTCTCAAGTCATTTCACATGATACAGACCTCAGTATTTATCTCTTTTTTTCATAGCAAAGTTTTTTCTTCATACCGGACTGAAAACAACTTTTGTGCGGTGCAAACCAGTTGTGTGTGGGTGGAAGTGTTCAGAAAAAACGTGATGGGAAAAAAGTAGTCCAATTTTTTTTTACCTTCACTATCTGCCAGACTTCCATCGTCCTCGTCGTCCTCCAAGTTTAGACTATCGTCGACGCTATCTACAAACACACAAATGAGCAAAAAATATTCAACTCTCGCAACAATTCACATTCATATAAAAAAAGGTCACAATAATACGTGAACAATGTTCAGGCCAGGCTTAACTGCCAAAAAAGCCCCATTCAGACGCTTGAGTATAATTTAATAAATCTGCGCCGCCTAAGGCCATGCGTATAAACCAGCGTAGCAAGACAAATGCCGGGCTTTATGAGAAAATACTCCTAATAGACCAAAACCGCTTTATCATAAAATGCGACGAAACAATCGCCATACATCTTAGAAAACAATCTATCAACGAAGCCAACAATTGCACCGCGCTGACACTGACTTGCTTTTTGGCAGCTTTGAATTGCGCATATTTTTAAACGAAAACGGGAAACGAACATAATTATATTCGCAACTGTGACCATAATCAGTAAACGGCAACGTGTAACCACTCCTATAACGATTACCGATAACTATTATATATACATGGTGACACGGTATAGTGGCATACTATAGAAATCGCTTAAGCTATTATAAAAAAATTTCACAGAGAAAATAACCTACATGTCACGTTCGAAAGAAAGCAGCAATTCAATTAAAAAGTGAAGTGCACAAGAAAATTGATTGATTGCAAATTTCTAATTTTCTAAAGACTGCTTTCGAACGCTTTTGAAAAACATCTATAATTAATAAGCAAAATCAAACTCATCTTTGTATTCCCACCCTAATTTTCAAGCACCCTTACCACATGAAATACAGAAAAGGCATGAAACAGCAGAACATACCTAGTTGAAGAATTACGACAGTTATTTTAGAGATACTGTAAATGTAAATTGATAGAAACGCAATACAGAAAGCGTAAATTAATTATGAAAATTATAGATCATCTTTTACTTTAGATCACCCTCATCACAGCAAACTAGCAAAGATTGCCAACGGAACGTTGATTGCGTAATGTAATACATAAGTTTGGCGAAATACTGCAATATTAATCGGTACTACGAATTCTGCGACAACTTTAAAAAGTAATTGAAGTTGACTTGCTTGTGTTTTGAGCGGTCAATGGATTGTACATCAATCCCATGTTCCTGTAGTCCACAAAGGGCATAAATTGCGGCGGATGGTACATGCCGTGATGACCACCGTATAACGTGCTCAGCAATCGGCGCTTTTCTTCCATTTCCCGCTCCAGCAATCCGTTATACATCATTCTCTGTGCGAGGGCAATGTTCTGCAGTTGCGACGGTTCAATGGACGGCGAGGGAATGGGAGAGTGATTCGCCGTGCTTCCCGCGGGATTCGCCACGATCACCGAGGTCTGGGATGATACGGGGGATCCATTGTCATGACTTCCGCATTCTGACTTGATGTCGACATCCACATCAACGTCCACACTGCCAGCCGGCGAGACAATGCTGTGCTCTTCGCTTTCCACGATGGCAGTGTTTTCTTCAGTTCTGTTCGGCACTGCCTCGCCGGTCTTCTCATTGCGACCAGTCGTGCTGACCGGACGAAAATTCTTCCTTTTATTCACCTTCTGGATGGGCTCAATGTCCGGTGAATTTCGCTTACTGCCTTTTATAATATTATCGGCTATGTCGTCGTGAACGTCCTCCAATAAAACACTTGTATTGTGATTGTGGCCATTTTGTCGTAATTTGTCGCAAATGGCTCCAAGCTTCGACATTGTCGCAAATGCCGGAGGTTCTGTAAGGCACTGTACGGTAAAAAGCTGCACAAAAACCAGATAATGATTATTTTTGGCTAATCACTCATAGCCGCGTATTAACGAGAAATGTGTGCATTTGGCGTTATAAGACAAATGTCATATCACACGTAGTCGTGAATTGAAAGGCGGAATTCACAGCCGTAAGTGCCAGTTTAGCGAAGAAAAATCGCTCAAGGAAAAATAGTGGCGTGACACAAAGTAACTAACTGCGTAAGAAACGAGAAATCGGAGAAACGAAACGAAAGACAAACAAACCGAAATGTTGATCAAGTATGTTGAATATATGACACAGTGTGCTATACGTCAAGCCGGTCTTGTACCATGAGAAATTTTTCTCGTCGGAACAGCTCGAAAAAAATTCATCGTTACTCCGTGATTCTCGTTGCGCAATTCTAAACATGACTTAATACAGGTTTTCTGAGCTCCCGTTAATACTGAATCTCAATCTATTACAGTGTATTAGCGTAACAAGGTTTCAAGTAAACTGTATGTGTCGTATCGGTATGAAATCGTACCAACTCACATGATACAACTGAAGAAGCCAAAAAAGCGCAAAAGGCCACCAACATGTTTACTGATTAGTCCGACAGATCATAAGCCATTTCAGCCTTTACAAAAATAGAACATCTGTAAATGTGTTTACTGATGTTCAAAGCCGAAGGAACGTACTTTCCATTTTCCGTACTTCCTAATCAAGCGAATTTTTTACATCCTTACAGATGACAAAAATACCAACCTCGTTTACGTAATGCCATCATGTGAAACCTTAACTGCTTGGATTTCGCGATGCGGCCACGCAAAAATATGTAAACTGCGCGGAGAATGTCGACCTGCAAGTGAACCAATCGCAAAAAAACTATCACAATTAAGCCGCCACAGGGTAATTAAAATCTCTTACAGTAGTTACCTTTGCAGTAATTGCCTATCAATAATTTACTTGTTTACTTTGCACACATAACACCGGTAAACGTAAACGGAGACCGGAAAACATGATGGCAATCGCTGAATCGTTGGTTGGTAATGCTAACATAAGAGGGATACTTTAATTTCCTGCGAAATTCGTTGTAAACACACCTTTTCGTTTATCCATTCAAATCTCACAAATCCACAAAGCACTATGACAAGTCCAAGTGCCCGCATATCTATCGATTGCATCTTTTGTCGGTTTAATTGGTTAACCATTAATTTTGTAAGTACAGCGTACTACAGTAGCGCATATGTACTCGTACTCGTACATACGTCGACCCGGGTAGGCTATTCTACGGTTGTTAACTTGTTGTACACATAAAATTAATTTATATTATATTTATAATAATTATGCCAGAGCTGTGTAGTGTGTGCCGCACAATACAATGAGTACAGTACATGTACAATACACCACCGCGGTATTTACCTACGATTAATACAGAATACTGCACATCATGCCGTCATTCGACTTTGTATGAATAAAAATTGAAACATAATTTGCAATTACCAAAATGATATTAAACGTGCATATCTGCGTTTTATCTGATACCTGTAATGTAATACGCAGCATTAAATTTTTTTCGTTTATTACTTATGACATACGTATGTGTACTGGCGCTCCAGGGTATATATTCAAGAGAACTGGCATAACTTTGCATTCCCAAGTAAACTTTAATTTGTTTAATTAAATAAGTATCTTTATCTTTATTTATTACTCTAGGAAAAAAGTGCGTCCCAAAACTGAAAGTTAAATCCAATTTTTATGTTGTGCTTTAACAAATGCGTCAAAAGGCTTCACTCGCTGTCTTGCTTTACCATTATGCCACTCGAGATTTGATAATGGGGGCATTTATAATAAAGTCCACGTCAAAATCTCCGTCAGTAAGCAGTACAACAGTGACCAGTGTGTACAGTGTTCAAAACAAGTATCCTTGAAAACAAGAAAAAGGACAAATTTTATCGTTAAATTATGTTGAATAAACACGCCAAGCAGCGTGGTTTTGTTCGTGGGCAAACACATTGCACAGAAGTCAGTTTAATATGATACCGGCTTTTTACAGATCAACTCGCTGAGTGAATCAAGTCAAGCAGAAATTGACCAAAAAAAGCGCAATATGAGGTTAAGTCAAGATTGGCTGTTTGTTTTATTTATCTAAATAGAAAAGGTGTATACGCTCAACCAAAACCCTACTGTTCTGCTGCTTATTTATCAAACCAGGAAAAAAGTGTACGCGTTTTCCAGCTTGCAGAAAAACTGGAGCGTTTTTTTCGTTTACGCTCAAAAGCGATCCTAACGTCAATAAAAAGCAACTCTTAAACGACCATTTTTTGTTGCGCTCGACTACACCAGAAGCTGGTGCAGCCAGTTTTTATGTGTAGCAGACCGGAATTTTGTCGAAAATAATTACGCTCAACGCCTCTAAAAACGTTACTACCTTCTGTGAATTCACCGATCGTTTTTCCAATGTAAGAGCAAAGGTGAAACTAATCAATTTTTTCCGTTTACTGTTTACGTTTTCGCCACCGCAGTAGCAGTAGCAAAATGACCGAAATGCCGCTGACATATGTCTGAAAACTGGCAGAGCTGCATGTGTGTACTACTTCTACGGATGAATAGTAATTTACCGGATTATGGCGTTGATTTTAACGATTTTGAATGCGACTTACACGAGATCAATAAAACTTTCATACTTTCTCAGGATTTGTTAACACACACACTTCTTCGATTTTTCATTTCTGAATAATCGACTGTAGTTCACTAACATCAACTGTGGCCAAAAATTCAAAAATATATGTTGTTGCCACTTGCCATTAGCAAAGCAAAATCGATGGAAAATACTGTAACACAACTATTTATACTTGTATACACGCTCGAATAATTAAACTAATACTAATTCAAGATTTTCACAGAAAAATATAATTTATGCATCACTGGATCTCTTACAGTTCGTTACTCGACCTTACATCAGTTCTTCTAAAAACATTACACAGGTACCGTGTTCACTCAACGCGTTGATACATGGGTACGCACAAAGATAAAGGTACAAGTACCAACAATATATCACAGAAGCCGTGTATACACCTTATACGCACTGACAGAAGTACCGGCTTTTTCTTTATTAGGAAACCAGAAAAAAAACGTGGAAGGAGTTAAAAATTCGCCGACTTAAAAGTATTACAGGATCGTCAAAATCGAAAGAATTATTATTTCAATCTTATCTTAATTTCAGAAACTATGGAAAAAGCAAAGTGCTAAAATATGTAAATAAAATTTTATACACAAACGGATTCGCCGGAAAAACAGTAGGGGCAGAGGCCATTTTTCACAAAACCTGGAGTAAAACGTTTTATCTGAGGTTTACCTTTGGTTAAGCGTAGGTGCATTGCACTATTAATTATACATAAATAAATCAAACTACACCTCACTACGGTATTATAAAAGGCAATACAATAACACATGCCATGCATCATGATGCATGCGATGAACCCAAAGGAAAACTCTGCAAATTAGCTGGGAAAGTTTGCTAACGACTTTGTTATTTACAGATATTCAGCACAATTAATGCAATTTAATTTCAATAAAATTGTGATTTCAACGAACACATTTCGCAAGTGAAAAGGGAAGTCCTGTGCCATCAACCGCGCTGAAACAGACATACAGGCATGCACAAAGGATGCGGTCAGTCAGAGAGCAATTAATCGTACACCTTTCGAGAGAACAAAACAGAAGTTTGTCCACGTTACCTTAAAGTATCACCAACGAAGACTGACGAAGTCCACCTGACACTGTTCAGGTAAATAAAGCAACAAAACAAATGAATGACAAGTTAACAGTCACCCTAAAGATAAGATCGCCAAATCCAATCATTTCACCCAAAGAACAACATCAAAACAATTACAGTTATTGTACTGTATAATTATGATAAAATGATTTGATGATTTCGATCTGACAATTGTGAGCAGTACAGGGGAACAAAAGCGAGGAAACCGAGCGCTTTTCCGCTAGATCAATAAACCAAATAAACATAAACAAAGAAAATTAAGTATTTGTTATTTACATGAGTCTCCGAGGAATCACCATAGAATGGTTACACATCATTAAGACTTTAAGAGTATCTGCCACAATAATCCGGTATTACCACAGCTTAAGTGTTAATATTGTAAACTCTGGAAGTGGAAACAATTTCCGGCATTTTAAGGAAATAAATAATCAGTAATCATTTTTTAACGAAGAACTATCCGGTTTGTTCCAAAAGATCGTCAACCAATGATGTCACCTAATTTGAATCAGTAATAGGATTAAGGGCGGGCTTAGCCGATCTCAATCATTTGGCGGGTTCTATGCGTGCCGGTCCTGCCCGGCACCGAACCGATCAGCGCAAGACGCGGCATGCGGTCACAAACTACTAAGTTTGTAACTACACAAACTACTAAGTTACAAAACTAAAGATTACTGTAACTGACTTTTTAAACAGCAGTAAAATATTTTAATTATTGTTTAATCATTTTGTGGCAACGCATAAGTGTGGAAATTCAGCGTGGGAACGCTGCTTCGGTTCTGGGAACGGTTGGTGTGTTCTAGAGAGTTGTTCTAATTAATTTCTCAAGTTCAATTGTAAATGGCGTATCGCTTGTACATTTGATAATAAAAAAGAGAGGGTATTTAATTGTTAGTTATTGCGCAGAAAGGGAGTGCTTTTATGTAACTTAAACTGATCATCGCGCCCGCAGTGTGACTCGTTTCCATTAATATCTTCGGTTCTCTCCCGAGTTCTCCTCAACAAGAGAATCATTGACCGCTCGTCTGAATGGCCGATTGCCTGACACTGACAGACTGGCGATCTGATGCGGCGGCTTGGACAGCTTTTTCGAAATATTTTAGATTTTGTATATTAGTTTTTGAATTAACAGATATGCCTTCGTGGTAATAATAAGCTAAAGATACGATATGGCAGTAGGCTGCGTAGCAGGAGCTGTGCAATGTATCTATGCACAAGGTACCATATGTACAACCTGAAAATTACTTACTTAATGAACTTGGATGTCAGTCTACGGAATAAAATTCCATACTTCTATCAAGTTCTACGTACAGTAACTATGCGAAAAAAATTGTGATACTGCTTGGCTTTTGATTAACATTGTTTGTCCGTTGGCATTGAAATGCAGACAAAATATCACAATCACCAATTTCTGTGTAAGAATCAGTAAGATGTCCTATACTTCCAGTGCGTAGGGCTACTGAGTACGCTTGTTAAAAATGATTGTTCTCCGCTTTTCCAGCGTGAATAAAGGCACCCATTACAGATATAACAAGAATAATTACAGCAAATTTCGGAAGAAATTTGGCATATAAAAACACCTTTATGAAAGGGTTCGCTTTCTATCATAACGAGTTATTATGGTTAATTTTCTATTTTGTGTGAACTGAATGAACATCAGTCAAAAAGTCATGTTACTCACAGAAAACAAGTTGCGAAAAGCGAAAACGGACAGATTCAATCAAACTTATTCTTGTTGAAGCCGGTACGATGCCGACAACGACGTCTAACGTCCACGATGTCTAAAAAAAGCCAACTTGAAAATAACACGATATCGGTAAATGCGAATGACAGTATCAAATGTCCCACGAATAGGATAGTCTGTCTATAAATTGATATTAATGTATATGTATATTTTACAATTACAGTAATAGACAAGAGGCATCCAGATCAATACAAGTGCAAACCCTGACACACTACTCAAGAATTCAAAAACTGGGACGTAAATTGCTGGCCCAGCTTTGTTAGTAATATTAATGCGAAAGAGTGTAGTTCATAAATTACAAAGGGAGTCGACATGAAATTGGTAAACATGATAATAATTTAATAACATGCATGGTCCACCGTGTAAGTTCAAATACTATGAATACTTGTATATAGATATAATTATAATTAAATTTTTGCACCAAACATTGTAAATAGGTTGTGTCCGCTATTTTCTCATCCCCGATCCATACTACAGCAACAATCCTAATTTATTCCGTCTGCGCATCAAAAATCTGATCTTTTCTTGATGTTTCGCGTTAAATCTGTATTTCACACTTCTGGTTGTAGTCTTTGAGCTTGACACACTGTTTCGCACATAAATTTGTCAAAAGCTGTTCAGGTTTTTCTCCGATTCCGATAATACAATGCACCGATAGAGCATGACAGAACTTCCTGCGGCCATGCTGAATGTATAATTTTTTTCTAAAACGAATAATACGAGTAACTATGCTAACATCCCGTTCAGAATACTTTTCGCAGTGAAATCATCACTGCGAAAAGGTTGATGAAAAGGTTTTGCAATGCCGGTATGCACTTGTACACCTTGATGGAAGGATCACCTTATATTTGTGTATAGTTAACGTTCTATAGTTCTATTCTAGAATAGAGCTTTTCAGTTTTGTGTACGGACTACATAGAACATACCGACTGATACATATTTTTGTAAGAAACACATTAATAGAATCAATCAGGAAAGAATACACGAAAAAAGGGTAAGGGTTTCAATTTGTGAGTAAAGAGAAGAACCGTGTACTTTCCAGATGTTGTAAAAAAACTAGTTATAACCAACCCTCGAATACCCCCATATTTTAATGCATTAATGCCAGTATTTATAATAATTTATAATTTTAAGTTTCGATCACAGTTCCGTAACTTAAACCTTGAAAATATTCAATGAGCTGGAGCAATGCAGTGTCGATAATCTACAAATTGTGGAAGGCGCAGTCATTTGTTTAGCGTACAAATACGAGAAAGAAATTCTTACCGCCTACAAATAAAAAAACTACAAACTGGAAGTTTTCCGCCACCGACTGCGAGTCTGCGACGAAGGAATCTGTCGTATAGCACAATGTGTACAATACAGTATAACACAAAAATCAAAGGACAACAAAAAGCGCTTTCCCAGAGTAGTTTTCTGTGGTGATTATTTTATCATTGATCATAAGATTTATCTTGCAGTACCGGATGAGTCAAGGTGTGATGGAACAGCATTTAAGGTGATTGAGAACCACAACTGCTTTTATCATGCACGCGAGGCGAAGCCATTGAGTGTGAACAAAACGGTATTTTAATTTGCGTAACATTTCTTTGATCCCGAGTGCCAAGTTTTTCAATTTTACCAAACGAAATGTTTAAGGAATAAGAAAATGTCTTATCACAATCCCATGTGCTGCATTATTTTCAGCTGCGTACTTGTGAATGCTCAATTAGAACTGCACACCGAGCCGGCAATCACAAGCATCACCCATGTCATAAAGTGCATTTTTGGTATGGGAAATAAAGCTTTAAGTCTCATCATAAAGACTCGAACAACAAGAAATTCAAGAAATCCATGTACTTCCAAGGGAACAATCAGTAAAAAAAAGCTGTCCAAGTCAGATCACATTGGCAACAAGTGGTCATCATTATTATTCGACGAGCTGCCGCGGTCCAGAGCTGGTTGGCGTTCTTCGTCTGTACTGACAGCTGTGTAATCGTTGTAGCTGTTACCGCGTACACGACGCCCGAAGACGTACCTCCAACCATCCTGAAATCGAAAACGAAAAATAACCTTTCCGTCAAAAATTATGGAAAAAATTAAAAACTAATACTCACTGCTTGCATTGACCAACATCCACGCCAGAAATCAATAAAGGGAACCTGCTCCCAGCCTTGTGCACCAACAACGAACTACAAACAACCACGATAAAGCAACACAGAAAAAAAATACAGCTTCCAAACTGTACTTACCCGTTTATACGCACTTCCCACGGCGAAAAAGAGAAACAATGGGACAAGAACTCTGGAAAAAATAGCCAATCCGCAAATTGCACAGACTAATTTTATTCTAAACGACTGATAACTGATATCACAATAACAAATCCCAGCTGCTCTGTAACCCGCTGCACTTACAGTATTAAGATAATAGATCCCGTGCTAAGAGCCGCAGTCGAGGCAGTAGCTGATCCCGTCTGCGCCGCAGGAATGCCACGAGCTGCACCTGTCGTACCTGTTGCAGTAGATGACGACGTAACAACAGACTTCTGAGTCGACACAACAGTTGGCTCGACGTGGACAGTGGTAGGGACAGTAACAGGGGGAGTGGACGCAAACAAATCACCTGCGTATGGTTTCAAAATATCTCCAAAATAAGTGGAAGGCACGAAGAGTTCGAACACATAATAACAGAAATCTTCGCCCTGGCCGACAGATTCCTCCGTGAGAACCAACACGGGCTGAACACACAGAAACAGGAATATCATGCCCGAAATAAGATCTCCGCAGTTATTCACGTATTCGTGAGTGCTTTTAGGCACACCCTTTTTCACCATTCGCTTACCTTTTCAACGGAAGTGCTTCTTATCAACGTTACTGCGCGACGTTCGGTTTTGTTGCAAGCATTATTATAGTCATCGCCATTGGTGTACGTCAGCAATAAAATATCCCCTGAAAGTGTCCAGACCAAAATGGAGTACAGTCTCCAACGCATAAAAAAATAAAGTTTGACCGGAAATACATGCTTACCGGTGGAAGCAAGAATGGCATCGGTTTCATTCATTCGTCCAAGGGTGCGCGTATCTGCTTTTTCCTTTTCGTAGAAGGAAGAATTATCATTCACATTTGCACGATCCGGGCATATTTTGAAGAAGTAAGTCTTATCACCGTACACCGCTGTGATCCTGTCGAAAATCTCGAATTAAAAAAATACTAATAATTTAGGCTAAGTGCTAAGAAATACCCAATTTAACCACTGATAATTTGAGCAACAGAGAAACGGTAACAAATACATAAATACACAGCCTGCGAGAGGCCTTACTCGGTGTTACGGATTGACGGGTCTATCTTGTTAATTCTATCCAGCAGAGTTTGTCTCGGTTTGGTGGCCTTCTTGTCATCGTCCTTCTTTAATGTGGGATTTAATAAGCACTGCCCAATAACTTCTCCCACGCAAACAAGCAGGAACAGTGATGTAAATGAGTACATTAAATTATTCCGCTTCATGATCACTGCAGTTTTATCCAGGACAATTCCAGACTTCCGTCAGATCAAGAACCTACGAATTAAATGCAATTTTTTTTCACTTCAAAGCTCACGGATAGTACTTTTCTACAATCCCTCGAAACCATACGCATCTGCGGATGTCCTTTATCCTACGAACCTCCAATGCCAACGCGCTCTGCTTTCACGATGTGGCGGAATCACGTTGGTAGCGCCGAATTCCAAACGAACCGATACGCGATAATCGATATCAGCAGCAGCAGCTACAGTAGCACTTTCGGCAGATAACACTGTTCCCGTGAATAACACCACCCTTGAAAAGGTGCCACGAGCAAAAAGTCAGCAGACAGCAAAACGTCTGCCCCTCAATCGTATATCAACAATCTACAGCAAAACATGTAATCATATCGCGAAAATACAACGAAATGAATGAATTATTTTTCTGGAATTTGGTCCTGTAAAAATACAAGAATTTGTTTATGTCACTGACACGGGAAGTGACTCACCACTGTCACCAGGTCTGTGCAGGCAAGGCTGCATGCACTCTTGCTGTGAGCATTAGCACCACCCTGGGGAAGCGGACCGGAGTAAAATAGCCTGTTGAGTGTTGACTTACGTATTCGTGCACATGTGTGTCTGGCTCACTAAAAAATCATATGTAAAAGGCTCCTGCTTGTAGCTGACGTCAGCACCGAGTCTTGAGGCTGCGCACACGGAATCAACGCAGGCTTGCTCCGTACACGTAGTGGGACTTAAACGATTTTCTTGAATCTGAGCAGTTCCAGTCCACTTGCATTTTCTAACCCACTACCACTTGAATCACTGGAGTCGGCACTGAACCAGTTATCCCACATAAATAAGTTAATATGCCCATGTAACGAAGCACCGGGTAAAAAGTTGTGAATTCTCTGAAATCCCATTTATGTATTTTTTTGCTCAGCTGCGATTGTATACATAGTTTAGATATGACTGACGCTTTTTGATGCAATATTTCCCGCTCAGGGCATCACTTAATTACATATCAAATTTTGTCATTAATACCCATTATGGAGTGTCTTATATGCACCGAACGGAACGGTGTCTCGTACACATTTAGCAAAAAAAGTAATCTTTCAAGGCATATGAAATTAGTTCACGCCGAAAAAACTGCGACCTGTGTCTGCAATACATAATACATATTGTTATAAAACATATTGAAAGCGAGCTGTATATCTTCATTCTCCAGCTTGTTGCTGTCAAGAAGCGGAGTGCGACACTAAATTTAATCGAAGATCGGAGCTTATCGTCCATCTGAACGAAGTGCATCATTTAAAGGAGTACGCAATATCGCTTATTGAACTAAACAATGTGGCCGAATTTCAAATGTGGAAAGGTCGTGTCGAAGCCGAAACTTATGCTCAGTTCCGCAAATGGGGTGGAACGTATATAACCAGCGTTGGAATGCAGCAGGAACAGTATGTCTGCCACAGAACATCCAGAGTTCCGGAATCAAAGCTGGAAAATAACATCGGCTCTGATTCACTGCATTGTACCGCTTTCATCAAGGTTGGGCACCATTAAGATTTAAGACCCGTTATTAATTATGGTGTATGTAAGCGCTCGACATAACTATCTGAAGTCTGCTGTATGCCTTTTCCAAAATGCATAACCTCACAGGTCATCTGGCAGTAGTTCTTCATACAGATGGCAGTACTCGTACAAATGCTTGGGTTCGGTGGTACTATGTAAAGTGCTAAATATTTTGGAATAATTTAGGTTATGACCAGTAATGCAACTGCGAAAGTCAAAGTTCAGTACTGCCCAACGCATTATAATCATGATCCGCTGGACGACGTTCGCCTCCAGAGTCTTTCCGAAAATATTAAAGCAGATATCGTTGATCGTTTGGAGAAAGGCGCTCCTCACCGCAGAGTCCGTCTCGACATTAGGCAAGAAGCATACGAAAGTTACCGTTTAAGTAAGTTCAGACATCGGGAACAGGCAGCTGGTGGTGAAAGAGCGGACGCTCTCGTATCTCATAGTACACGCCGCAGTCAAAACTGGTGAACGTCCCCCGTGTGATCCAAAATGGAACGATCGTCTTCGTTCTCTGTTGTCAGATGATCGGCTAGAAAAAAGGTTAAACGCATAATTTGGGCAGGTTAATTTATTTGGTGAAGTCCGTCATGCGTGTACGATGCATGTGTATTACCAGATTCCGGAAAATAAATAAGTCGATATTACTACGATTCATATGCTTCTGATGGGGTCTTATACCTATCACGTACCAGACCATAAACTTTCGCTGGTCAGCATTTTACATCGAAATTTTTTCAAAAAACACTTGTTGTTTAGATGAACAGAGGTATATCCATTTTGCGATACCAAAAAAACAAGCAGATAAAGTTACATCTTCAGCTTCGTCACCAGAAAAAAACGGAAAATGTATCATTTACTGGATTTACTCAGTGGCCAGTTTACCTGCATTCAAACTACCAACATGACAGTGCATGCAAACTCTCAGCTTACAGAAGATTTTAAATGTACCGCTGCTAAGAAAAGCAGTAAACGATCCTCAAATAATTTCTCATAAATAATTCTAACTGTCAGATTTATAGAAACTAGAGAAAACGTATTAGCATGAACAGCATGCAAAGTCTGCAGAAATATCGTGGGTATTTTAATTAACTGGCGCCTGGCGGTATATAAAAGTCACACAATTTTTCTTTCGTAATAAAGATGCATTTATTCCACAGCCTCAGCCGACAACTGAAAAAGACGGCCTAATTATACAGAACATCTCATCTAAATTAGCCGATGATGGTGCTGTTCTCATGAGGAATATCAAGAATAGAGTTGTTATAGCTGATCCAGAAAACTGCCACCTCGGGAAGCTCACCCGGCACGATGCCAGCCAGCAGTTTACTTGAGCTGTAATTAATCTGATAAGATCTAAAAAATTATAACAGCACTGTTTTTAAAATAGTTATTAGAACACCATTGGAAACTTGCAATAAGTTTGTTTCAAAAGTATTTTTTGCAAGTCTATGTTTATTACACGATGCCAAGGAAGCCACTAACCGGCAAAACAATCTCCTGTGAGATTCCTATGCGCATGACGCGCAGCCGTGGGAAGCTGCAGGATAATGAGGATAATCGCATGATCCTGCTACTGCAAGAAAGTGAAGCAACAGGTAGCTCTCAAAAATCAGGGATGCCGTTGTTATGCTAAAGCTTCTGATAGTACTATATTTATATCTTGTAGTTTCAGATAAAGCTCGGCATGTTGAAAATACCGGCACACCGAATCTATGCAGTTGTAGCAGCCAAAGAATCCAAGAACCGCTTGCTGGTTTCTCTGGCGGTGAGGTCTTGTCAAACAAATGAATAGAAATACTTCATGATAATTCACCCTGATCTAAAACTGTGCTCGATAATGTAAAGGCGAGCTTATCAGTCGCAACAGCCCAGCTCTGTCAACGCATTCGCAGAATGGAAGCGGGCGCTCAAGTGAAGGCCTCGACGTCACGACCTGGCACCCTTTTATAAATTCAGATTATTTAATGGCTAATCTGGGAACTCTAACGATACAGTTCTCATGGATTGTATTTCTTCGCAACCGTTCGGTATATTCTAACACCGTTCGGTATGTTCTGACATGTTAGTTCCTTAACCGGAAGACAATCTGTGGCATTTTACGTGATCATGCCACACTTGTCAAACATACGTTGAAAAGTATATCTGCTGTCGCCGCACATCCTACCCCATAGTGAACAACACAGTTGACCCCGCAGTAAACTGAATAGTTAATCCCATAGTTATTACTATATTACACCACACAGTGCAATAATTTACATATTACCCATAATTAGCGATACACATAACAGTGCCGTGAATACTAAATACCTCTGCCAAGGTAGAACCTGGTGTTGAGTGAAGCTGAAGTTAAGCTGTACAAAATTCAGTACTTTTCGGCATGTTTTCGTTGAAGGCATCAGGTTGTAATCATTAAGAGCGCAAACGTGTGGCACGACCTACAGCCTCAACCACATGGATTTTTTCAAAACGGGTTGCACATTCTTTTATACCAGATTTTTATGCTCTCCATGTTCGTTATCCATTTACTAAGAAATTATGACTTTTGCATAAGTCGAATTATGAATATGAGTGAGTCTTATATAAGTCAGAGCAGCAGACGGAGTGAGTGGGGTTGTATGGCGCAGACAGACTGTCGCTACCGCGCTGCCTGCCTTGTCTCTATGTAATACAAGCCCGATCAATAATTGATGTCCGTTACTGTACACCATTTAGTAATATTCTGCAGCCTTAAGTTCATGAATTGTCCATCAGAGGTTAGTGTTTAGAAAGAAAGATTTACCACAAAAAATACGTAAAACCTTCCAACAATGCCGAAATTAAATTGTTTTTTAAACTACGACCAGTTTGAAAGTTGCATGCTTCCAGATTTATTCAGATAAAACAGTTTAGTTAGTTGAAGTAGTATATGCCATTGCGCTATTAACACAAAGCGGCAGGAAACCAGTTGCAAATTGGGAACTGGGAAGATGTTCTGATAAGCGAATTGTTAAACGGAATAAAGCGAATTTGCATATTATTAGCTTACAGATCAGACAAAAGAATTAGGCATATCCTGATTTTGTTTAAAACCTTGATTGGAAATACGTATTAAGCAACTGTGTTATAGCTGTAGTCTTTATGCAGTATAGATATATACCGCGCATAATTTGCGCGGGGTTAACTAGTTGTGAAGGATATATGATTGTGGAATCCACTGTACGGTTTACTGTAGAAATAACTTTGGGGTTAACTATGCAGTTTACTGCGGGGTCAACTGTGTCGTTCACTATGGGATAGGTTGATCGGCACGTTCATGTAGATTGCGCTGCAAATTGCCTTCCGGTTAAAGTACTGACATGTTGGAATATGCTCCAATGGTAAAATGAGAACGCAAGCAATGAGAACTATGTTTTAACAGTTCTCAAATCATTCATAAAATAGAATGATTTCACATTCGCTTGAGCTTTCAAAATATATATGCAGAGTTGGCCGATTGTGCTTTGCTTTTACTCAGCCAGGCTGACTGGCTAAATTTACTATATTTCTAACTTTGTTTTTAGCTCTGTTAAAAAGATTTTTGTTGATTCACATCGACGGTTTCGAGAACTTGAAAGAAAAATATTGTCTTGGATATTAAACGTCATCGAAGGCTGTACAGAGCTTATAAGTGTACGAGAATCCATTTACAAGAGGTTTTGGATTTGTGTAAGTAAATGGACTGGAATAGCTCAGATCCAAGAAAATCGTCAAGTTCCACTACGTGTACGGAACAATCCTGCGTTGATTCCGTGTGCGACGCAGACTCAAGACTCGGTGCTGACGTCAGCTACAAGCAGGAGCCTTTTACATATGATTTTTTAGTTGTCAGGCTCAGTAGCGTTTGTTTGTTTGTGTTCTCGCTGTGTCTTGCCTTTGCAAATCGCATAGAGAATCGCGTTGTACGGTTTTAAAGTTTGATCAATTTTAAAAGCTTTTCGAATCCTGTTGAATGCACCTTCTACAACCAGTATTCGTCAAGATCAGCAACGCTCGTCGTTTAGTAAGTACCAGGTCGCAGAATGACCGATGCGCGAAGGGGCTTGTCACTTGTGATGTGGAGTTGAAAATTATCTGGTCGAGCGACTGATACAGAATGATCCGTGATGTGGATACGCAGCCGGACGATCCCAGCTGTCATCGTTTTCCTGTCCGGGACATTGTTCAGGAAATCATTCGCTCGTCCCGTTTAACCTTCGAAGATGAGACCGCCGTTCGTCATCACCTGATTGTGGCCAAGCGAAGAGAAAGCACAGTACCTTCGTGGTTACGCCTGGTTGGAGCTGCAGCCGTGTCTAGTCTTCCTTTTGCTGTACCCTACGTCGCTGGGAGTGTTTTCGTTGGACGCCAGACTCTGCGTCAGTACCCCGTGCATGTTGCAGTCAGTGTGGGAGTCGGCGTTCTTGGAATCAGTGCCAAAGTGGGACGATTCGTCCTTCGAAAGTGTGTTATTGCCGAGGTTGGCCGCTTGATGCGCTTACTGCAAGATACGGCGAGTTTATCCAAGCGCATTTCGCGCTGGGTGCAGGATAACGAAGTGATACAGAGAGGTTTCGTCCTTATGCAGACACAGCCGCGGGAGGATGTCAATGGTGCCAGCAAGGTCCTGTCGGCAAGAGCATGCCTTCGCTTGCGCCGTGCCGTTTTCATGGAATCTCGATTTATGGTTTTCGTATTGCGAGCAGCTGCCGTTGATCTGCTACAAAAAATTAAACGAGGTAAGAAAAAAATTTTTCAAAAATTTTATGAAGTCAACCCAAATCCAGGAGTTTCCAAAGGTTCGTCTGTGTGTTTTTTTATTATTTCCGAAAGTGCACTCTTATAAGTAAGTATAATATGAACAGATGCAGGAGTTATCGGTTTTCCATCATTAATTTTTTGTTTTTAAATTGGGTTTACTGCTCTGCATGGCCAGTTTCTCGGATTTCTTATCGCTACTTATTTGTTTTCTTTCTCTTCATTGTTTGTTTACCAGTGGCTCGTAATACACATCCACGCTATTTCAGAAACGCAGTTGGACAACACGGAGAATCACATCTGCCTGATCCCTCTGGAGGAATTTGGGGAATCTTTGAGCATTCCCGAAGATGATTTGGAGCCGCTGTATCTCGCCACTGATGGATTTTCCTTACAAGCGCTGAAATCTCTTACAGGATTGCTAGATCTTCAAGTTTCGGAATACGCAAAGTTGCTATGCGAGGTGTCCATAAAAGGACATGATTATCTCGGGGAAATTGATTTTCTGAGACGTCTTAGAGAAGTGCACCGATTGTTGCTGGATGCGTTCAATCGAATGGAGCTGGAGTACAAGTTTGAGACAGATGAACCACTGGATCCCAAAGCCCGCCGGAGCTCTGCGAAAAATTCGTTTGCTCCTCCGGATTATTGGAAAAGCTTGGAGCTGCATCTTATGGCTGGATTGAAAAGTGTCAGAACTCTGGAGAGCGAAAACTGTACTGAAAACGAACTGCAAAAAGTCATGCAGCAAGATATGTTGGAGAAGCTGGGTTACCATGTGAAATGTTGCAGCATGTTGCTGGATGTGAGTGTTCGAACAATAGAAGAATCCTTAATTAGTCACTTAGACATTCATAAAGTAGAAAATCTTTTAGTTCTGGTGGCTCTTTCACAGAGCACATTTTTTATCCGTCTCCACACACATTATTAAGTTATCTGGTTTATCTATTTTTAGCACTTGAAACGACGCAGCATAGTGGATGACCAGTCGCGAGAGACAAGCGAAGCCGATGTTTCACCTACCAAATCTGATTTCGAACTGAAGGATGTGGTGAAAGCCGACGACGATATTGGCGTGCAGGACGAGATTTTTGAGGCTTTTATTCTGGGTGATGCATCTGGTGACTACAGAGGTGAACCGGTCAGATCCGAAATGGTTAGTGGAGAAATCAGTTGTAAAAGCTACCCTGTTGAAATCTTGGAAATGCATGTTTATGATTGTAGAATGACTACCAGGAGCAAAAACAACAAACCAAACTGGTACTGGAAGAAATTAAGACGCTACTGAGCGTGAGATCTCAGGAGTGGAAGCAGCGAGAAAATCGCGCTCGAGAGCGCAAAGGCCTTCCGCACGCCGAAGAAGAGGATTTCGGAAGCAGTCCCAGTATCACGGAAACATCCGCTGACGACTTTACTTCGGCAATATTGCGACCGAAATTACCGGAAACAATTGGTGATTATGTCACACCCGTAGATGTGGCCAATATTGCTGCTGCGTTGAGTTCTCAGTGGCGAAGTGGTGCCGAGGAAAATTTTGGATACGGTGATTCGGAATCGGAAACAGAGGAGCCGAAAGCTGGTGAATGAGGTGGTTTATGGAAGAACTGATATTTGACAGCTGGGGAAAAAGTTTTATTTCAAAAGCTCATTAAATATTCATATCGGTATTTCGTTATTCGTTGTTGTTTGCCATTGTTTTGTATTTTTGTACTGTGGCGAGTTGTATATATACGTTTGTGAATGTTTGTTATTGATTAGCAGTGATTGTTTATCCTGGACGCATGAAGCTTTTAAGTTAAATTAAATCGGTTAAAATTTGGTTGTTGAATGACAGTGAGTACGTGTTGAAGTTAAACAGTGGCATTTTACCAAAAAATGTTTTGTGAAAGCTTTTTTATAATACGGTCTCGGTTATGTTTGAACAGTTTTGATTTCGAAAATTTTAGTACTTGTACCGCCAAAAGCACAGTGTTATACCGTCGAATTTCATCACACAAAAAGCCACAAGAAGAATCAGTTTTAACAATATAAAATATCACAATTCTGTGTCGTTGATGGTTGAAAATTCTCGTTGCAAGACAAACCAGTTAAGTACTCTCTGCCTCTCGTTCATATTCGCAGCCAGCACGAATAGACGCATCCACGGGAACAAAGTGCTAGTTTTGCTTCAGTTCCAGATTATCGTTCGACATTATGAGAAGCGCCGTTGGTTCCAGACCAACCGAAATGCATCCTTCTACACCTAAACCTAAATAAATCAAGCACTTCCGAAGTAAAGAAACGCAGTTCATTAATTAATAAGCTGCAAAAGTTGTTCACGCGGGCTGGAAACATCACATTAATTTCATACTCGGTGCTCTTTGTCTCCATGGGCTTGCACAAAATACATTTCTGGACGTCTTCGCTGTACGTTTGTGCGCTTTGCGCGACTGTAGTATTTGGATAAACGCGTGGCTATTATTATTGTGGGAACCGATGCAATTAAGATTGATCCCCATGCCAGCCATATTCCATTCTGCAACCAGATTCTTTGAAGCTATTAGTTGCTTTTTAACTTGCACCGAACTTGCAAGTTGTAAGTTGTAAGCGCGCACTTTATACAAAAAGGTCACATCAGACTCGCTCACATGCAAACCTTTTCTGTAAGCCTTACCAGTGGTGCGATAGTATCCTCACAAAGAAACTTGGCCACGTTTTCGTATGTGTCATAGAGAGGACGACATTTCCCGATGTCGTTTTCTATCTGCATAAAAGCAATATTATATATATATATTTGCTTTTCTCCACGATGTAGAATGATTTTAGCATAAAACAATAGTTCACGCCAAATACTTTACAATCATAAGACATCTACGGTATAGCTTACCGTGTAAATAATATAATCTACTAGCTCCCGACCATATTTCACTTGATGATCAGCGAAGTTGCGCACTATCTGCAAAATTATAAAAGTTTTGGACCTTCACAACTTACAGGAAAAATTGAATGTAAAGATATACCTCATTTAAAGTCCCATTCTCAGCCAGTATTGTGCCATTAAGATGTAATTTTGCTTTGCTGGCTGCGTAGTAAATTTGGTTAACACGGGATAAGGAAGTATCTTTCAGAGCGTCGAACATGGCAACTTCTGCCGCGACACTTTGCTGTCAATGCAGTATCGTTGCGCACCATATTACACATAAAGTATGACAGTAAAATGTATAGCTATGTTGAATTTCAACGTACGATTTCTCCTTTTAAACGTGAAAGCCATGGCATAATTGTTTGTAATTGCATCACAAGGTCTTCGAAGCCTGGGACTGCACTATCGCCGATTTTGTCTAGTAAATTTTGAATGTTGACTTCCAGTGCTGATACGGGTTTCTGAAACAAATATAAGTTTGCGAATCCTCGTACAACTGATAGCGACTGCAGATATCAGCCTACCACAATGTCCGATGAGTTGTAATTATTAAAGGTCACGCGCGAAAGTTCTTCGGTCAACATGCGAATGGCGTCTTCGGTATTGCTGCTGAACACATCGATGCCGAAAATGTTTTGGGTCAACTGATTTATTTCGCTGTGTATATCCAGATTGTCCAGTTCCTGATAAAGGCTGCTCAGATCGTACTCCCCGGTCAAGTTCAATATGGTGAATAATGTGGAATTATCATACGAACATTCCGTTAAGGCTTTGGACACATTTACGGGCAATGAACCGTTTGGCACAAAAACACTTAGTGCCTGTAATGAAAGTATACCATTCGCCGATATTAAAGTTCAGGTACACAGTGAATTAAATATGAGAAAATGTGAAATCTAAATTTTTATTTGCTCAAAATTAACGCCCCCACAAAGTTGACTTGGTAGATAAATTTCTATGCATATTATGTAATACCGGTACATTATTAAAATTTGTATATGAATGAATCTCATTATATGTGCTTGCCGGAAAAATAAACTTATACTGAACTGCTAAAATACCTTATCAAGTTTGGAATAGTTATCTGCCTTCCCGAGAATCACTGGACATATCGCCGAATCGGAGATGGTGCCAGCCAAAAATATGCCCATAGCTGCCACCATGAATATCCACGAAACCAATAAGGTAACGTAAACAAATCTGGTGAGAATAATGTCAGGAAAATTAACATTTTTACTTTTGAAGCGTTTGAAAAATGCGCGTAGTGTTTTTCTGAGAGTGAGTCCATCCGCAAAACCTCATGAGGTTTTGCGGATGGACCAATGATCGAGTAACAATAAGTCATCGATCAATGAGTTACTGTGCACATTTATTTTTACTTACATTAAACAAATACAGCAATTATTTCATGCAGGATTTCAGACCAGCTCATGGCGGAATACTTAAAGCTGCATAACGTGAATACTGACGTCAACGGTAACTAAATTTTGTTGGAAATTGAATTATATAGTGACGTGCACGTTGTTATTTTGCAAGATATACCTGGATGTTACAAACACCATATATACGTGGTGACCTTTGCTTACATCATCATTATGGTTCCAGAAGCCACAACACATCCTCGACGCTCTGTTGGAAGAGTTTTTGATTTGAATGACGCCGCACCACAACACATTCCCAGGAAAATTAGACAGAGCAGAACCGAATACAAGGTAGCCAGTCCGATCGCGCCGTACCACCTAATTAAACAGTCATTTTTGTATTACCTAACCATGCACGCAGACATCACGATATTTTTACTAGAAAATTACTAAATTTCGTAACATACGTAGTGACTTTATCTGTTCAGGAATCTGTAGTACCGGTAATCTTCATGCAATTGCAATACCGTTAATTGTGAACACTTACACATAATCACTGTATGGTACAATTATGGAAACCGATCGTTCAGCGTCCTGGCTGATATTTCCCACACTTTGTCGAACGTCAGCAATTTCTTTTTGGACAGTTATCAGATTGTCATCCATTTCCTTCTCGAATGTTTGTAAAGAACTGTTCAGTTCTACATAAAGTAAAACTTTCATGTTTCATGTGTGTCTCACTGCGCGGTTAACCCAAAAGGATGTTCGCCGGCATGATACACCATCTACAGTACGAGTATACTTCTAATGGTCTTTTGTGCGAAATGCAAAATAGCAGCTCGGAGGCGGTCGGAGCAAACAAACCTTTTTGCACAGAAGGTATTGCGTTCTGTATCCGGTCTGGAATGCTGTAGTACTGGTGCAGACCTTCGTTTCCCAGTTGCTCGATTCGCTCTTTAAGAGATTCTAAAGTGGCGTCCGCGGTGGCCATGTTAGGCTGGGAAATTGTGAAGAATGCATGTAATAATGCTTTTGAATGACTACAGTTGTGATCTGGTACTAACATCAGAGTCGTAGATATCTTCCTGAATTTGAAGTTGTTGTGCATCAATACCAAGAGTACCGCATACGGTGGGCTGCTGCAGGCAATTCTCTCCAGCTCCTCTTTAGCGGATGCCAAGAAGCTGCTTAGATTTCTCATCTGGATTTGAATGCCGGTCATATTTGGATTCAAGGTACGGAGATGTTGCAGAACATTTTCAATTGCTGCAAACGTAGTTGTCGTTATACACAGAGTTTTGATTTTTGTTGGGCAGATGCTGATTTTACAGTTGGATAACAATAAACAAATTTCTATCGTAGGCCATCAGCACCAAGCACGTGTAGAAGTGCATTTATCTTACTCCTTACATACAAGTGAGACAAGTTTCTCTAGATTTTGCAAGATGTGTTTGTGAACTTGATTGCAGAAGTATATACCAGTTGAACTTATAACTCACTTTCGTTGATGTTGACCACATTGTGCAGCGTAGTTTCGAAGGAGTTTTGAGACGTTGTCAGGTTTTCCGGTTGAATATCGACGACAACTTGCGTATTGGTCATATTTGTTGCGTTGGCGGTTTGAAAAGTTGGTTGGTTCAGCGCTGCATATAAATCTGCACTGATACTGCTTCCGGAATCTGGAATATGATGACAGTTGTTGTAAAACTTTGTGCACCGTATAGTAGGACTATGTTCTACTAGATACTGGTCACAACTACTAAATGATCTCTAATATTAGTGACGATTTAGAAGTCAAAATACGTTTACTTGTCAAAACGTGTGACAGTGTCTAATGAGCTGGCTATAGTAGGCGTTTTGCCTTTTTTCAGACTATAATTCAGGCGAATACAAATCGCTGATACACATTATGGCATTATTAATATTACTTTGCAAGTCGGTCATAATTGCAGTGGAGGTTATTTGAAAAGCCGATTTCGAATTATTGTTGCTTGCGCAGCAGTGTAATTAAGTACAGCGTCAACATTGGAAAAACTGGAACTGACGACGCGAGGAGCGGAGTGCAAAGATGTGTCCAGATCTTTGAATGATATCAACAACATGCTTGTGGCAAACCTAAATTTTTATGCGTATAAGACTTTAAGTTGTGAATCCTTGTAAGTTGCATCATATCTGATATGTACCCGGTTATATACATCACGTACGTATTAGCTAAATCGACAAGCAATGATCACAAAATGGTGATTCATAAAACAAGTCACTTTTAGCTGCCTTTTACTCTGTATATAGTGCCCGGCTTTAAAGTTATTATGTGCATTAATCGAATTAAAATCAGATTAAGGTAAGTTTGTGGTGAAGCAATCTACTGAATTGTATGTGCTTACGCCATTATCACAGTAAAGAGCAGGAGAAACATTGTCATTGTGGAACGCGCACAAGTCGAGCCGTGTTTGTCGTATTTCTGGTATTTCTGATTGCAGCAGCAGCGGCAACAACAAAAGATAAACCCTGTAACGATAAATGAAAACAATTTAATATGTACGTATTTTTATAAAACGTACTTTCAAGGATTACTCGTAGCACGGTTTTTATAAGCGCAAAGTAAATAACCTCGCACAAGCGAGAAATGTGTTCCCTGTTACAATCCTCCTAAATTCCAGTCTCTCTTTTTTTGAGTCGCACCTTACATTCTGATCTTGAAACCTGGCCATGATAGCAACAACTGCAGTTTACTTATATAATTAGCATAACCATGAATTACCTTATCATACGTATTTCAGTTCGTTAATGTGCAGAAACACCAGACAGTAATTACTAAATAATAATAATTAATGGGCATTTTGCACTAGTTTCTTACCTCCAACAAGCATTATAACCACATATACTATTCCAAGCGATACCAGGATTACCGTACCCAGAAGTTCCTAAAATAAGAAAAGCCGTTTCCGTTTGTTCAGCAGTTGAGCATTTCTCTGGAAATAGTGGTAAGAAAAATGAAATATAATATCCTAAATTTATCAACGCTGAAGGCATGGAAGACAGTAGTACACATAAGTATTGACACTTTGAAGATTGATGTACTACAAATGTAATTTTTGTAAAACCAGTCAAAACCATTTTCGTACAGGACGTCCGAGGAAAGAAAACAGCGTATTTATTGCAAATCCATTCACGATTAGCTGGTCATACATTTCCAGTCCTAGATCTGCAGATCCAGAAACAGAAATCAAACATCCAAGTTCAGTTTTAAACGGCTAACGAAGTCCAGTAAATGCTGGATTACCTATGCTCAGATCAGCCGGTTGCACTATTTTCATAAACCATTTTTCAAACGAATACCAATAACCAATGGGAGTAGCAATGCGATGGATGGAGGTTACATCAAGACTTGGTGCGGATATATTTGCAAAGGTCATAAAACTTGCATCCGACTTCACTGCACTCTCCATTAATAAATTTGTTATACGGATATCATCCCCTGTTTCCCTTAAATCCGGCGAAATACCACCAGTAATTTCACAAACCGACACAGCGATGATAATGAGACATCGCAATAAATCCATCTTCAAATGCAAGAATTGATACCGGCACGAGCCCACAACTCCCTCGTATAATTAAAAAAAAACAAAACTCCAGAAAAACCAAGGCTAGATGTTTTGAAAATGCTGAACGAGAAGCCTAAGTAATTACTTTGCGGACAAGTTTTCGTGGCGTAGAAATCGTTACACTTAAAATTTAGGTGGAACAGATCACTGTACGCAGATGTGACATCAAACCTTTGTGCATGGATAAGATAAAAGAATAGTGTTTCGTATTTCGTGGATGAACTGTAATCAAACGGAGCGCATTGTGTGTTGATACGTAAACGCAGGAATAACCAACTTGCAGTTGTCATTTGTTCACCGGAGCACGTTCAGGTAACACGGAACATGTTCGTATACATTTTAGAATTGAATTCCGTCCTTATCATCCATTCCGGTGCATAATGCAAGTGCGCTGCTGCCGTAATGCCGCTCCGGTTATGTTTGATGCATATTAATCCGAATTATGATGACAAAGTTCGATTGTAGCTGCTTCATAGTGTGTAAGCTTCCGGAAGTGGTATTTCCAACTTCGCCAGGTGTACATAACCTAATACGGCCTTATGTTGTCATTTTATTACTAGTTTGACATCGTGCTGATAATCCAGCCGTTCTGTATGTTTAAACTTTAAACGTGCGACGCATGCAGGCAGTTATTCCGTCGAAAATCATGTCATAAAGGTTATAGGACGTTTTTATCTTGCGAGTTACGAGCATCCTGTGAGAATCAGTCCTCGAAGTCAGGCTGCAGACAGCTTGTAAATTTTTATATTTTAGCGGGTGCAATGTGATTCAAAGAGAGTTCGCGTTCCCGTTTTTAATTGATAAAATAGGGCCGAGACAGAGTTACAGATGCAAAGGATGCCGTGCTACATTTTTCCGAGGGCTACCAGAGAGGCAGAGACGAAAGAACAAAAGGCAAAGCGCGGGACGGTATAACTTGCGGTACCGGGGCGGGTGACTCCGCCGGAGAATTATCACTTCCAAGCCAGATGATTGCAAAATTCCACAATTCCAAATGTGTTTGAGGAGGGAGTGCCATGAAAAATTGGAGTCTGCACGGTCCATATTCTTTGAGAATTTTAGTAAACATTCATTCATCGCAAGCCAGTCAGAAACTTTCGTCCACTGGATACAATAGAAGTAGCAGACCGAAAACGACCGCCTGCCCGCTGATCGAAAGACCGCGTCGCGGGCCCCTTTTGTACAAAATTGACATTAATATCCCCACCGTTAATATATATGTTTCCATTCTGTTTTTAAAGCCGATAATGTAACTTACGTTAGAAGCAGATACACGCGTATCTTTGCGTTTGTTGTAAAACCGTGACGATGAAACGATCAGAAATATTTAATTACAGTAAGGTGAAGTTTTACAACCGTACAATTATAGACGCCGTGCACGTTAAATTTTGTTGTTGTGTTAGTTTTGTAAAATGTTTCATGATGTCATCGTGTGCTCCTTTTAAAATTTTAAAGTTTTTTTTTGTATTCAGCTAATTATTCGAGCGTCAAGATTGTGCAATCTGAATGAATCCCGGTTCTATTCGAGAAAAAAGCGCCCATGTCTTCTTCATCCAAAAGATGTCCTTTGGATGGTTGTTTTTGGAGTTTCAAAAAGCCATAATATAGTTTCGTAGACCATGTAATTTAGACGTGAAAATGTACATAAAAAGGGGCTCCATAAGTATACTGAAACATGCCGTTCTAAAGACGACGTTTTGTGCTCCGATGATGTCTAAAGCACGTCAAAAAAGTGCTTGCCGTAGAACCGGGCGAAGGCTCACATACTAAATAGCATCAAAGGTCACTTTTGTACAATGATGCTACCCATGCCGTATATACAACACATGTGCGTGTGCATGTAGTGTATAAAGTATAAACATCACGTGCAAGAATCGCGGAAATCGTATAAACCGTAGAAAAAGGTATAACCAACTAAGCCAAGGGGTATAACGATATAATAATTGTTTCAGTACTTGCTCATCCAAAGCCGATATGCAAATTAAATGATCCAACTGGTCAGAGTAAGTACAAGCGGTGCGGCGACCCCTGACTGACTTCCCGACAAAGGTACAGGATCGGCGAAGCCGACGACTCCGCAAATCGTCGTGGTGGGCGCCTTTATTTCGGAATGAATCAATTCCTTTACAACCAAGGTGTGAAACCGTAACCCAAAATTAGCCTTAATGACGGCTTCATCGCTTGTATTTGACACCAAATACAGTGAGGAATGTTAGCTTTTTCATGCTTTCATAAATGAAAAAGATGATTAGGTTAACGCCTAGAACCTTTCAAATGCCATTGCTGTTCGAATAAAGGCTCTAATATGACATTTTGATGTCACAATGGTCTCTGTTTCTAGCTGGGCAACTTTTGCTAATTAATAGGGCTTCGTTAGTCCTTTACAGCCTGCAAGCGATCAATAACTACAAATATTAACAAAACTGGACACAATACTCCTGCGAAAGCTCTCAGTTAAAGTACATATATGGGATATTACGAGTATATTATGTCGATTATGGGTAGCGCTCTTTTGAGTACGCACTTTATGCAATTGGTGGAACTGGCCATTGCACCTCGCAATGTTTTCAGATAATTCGACGCCGTAGCAGATGAAACAATTTCCAAAATTTTATAAAGCTGTTTTTTTAGTTGTCTTGCGCTGTACAAATCGCCTATCTTGAGCCTATCTTTTCACGATATCTTTATATAGTTGTATGTACTGTATAACAGAAGTTGTTGTCCAACGTATGCTTAATTAATATTGTGAAAGTTGCAACAGTTACCAGCGAAAAAAGTTATAGTACACAACCAGAAAACTGACCGTACAGATATGCAATGTGTGTGTAGAGTATGTGGGCCATTCTTGTAAGAAGCCTTGCAAGTACTGCAGTTTTTTTAAATTATCAAGGCCTTCATTGCTTTGCAGCTGGATGCAGTCATGCAAGTTCATTCTCTTTCGTCACTCGATCCGTAATCTGCAAAGATTTAGAATGTGTTCGCTAATGAATTGCCAATTTTCGTTACCATGTTGTGCCGGCATGTAAAATCAACTACTGTACTGCCAGTGTTTTAGTTCTGTGTGGCATCGGCGGCAAACTTCGAAGCACGTATGCATGTCTTGAGAAGATTCTCATGTTTAGTGTGCAAGTGTGCACGATCAGCTCGCTGCATTGGACTTTTTTGTGGTCTAAAAATGTTTTCCGATGATGTACGAAACTGGATGCTTCTGTGGACTTATCGTAATTCGGTCATTACGTTTTTAATTTTAAATATAGCTTTATGAAAAATGTGCAGGCTCAGAACACGAGACAGTCATAAGCGCCGTAGATGTATGTATCCTGTACTTGTACTCGTGCTGTAATTCTATAGGCGACATAGTACATAGTGTAGCGCAACCGTTGGCGCTGCAGTTTTGTAGGGAATATCACCGACTATATAATACTATATTAGCATTCATTGCTACCGAGAATATCACAAACATACAAATGTAAAATTGTAAATTTTCAGGTCGTGGACAATATTTGGTGGCTCATATCGCATGCTCGGCAGCTTAAAGGTTTTTGCATTCGAAGTTGTTTTGTTTGCTAGGGTTGTGTAATATTTCAGGGTGATTTCTGGTTGGTTTTGCACACCGTGTTTAATCGTTTGTACATACACTTAATAATTATCTTTTTACGTCGAGCAATAATTACTGTTAGCTTTAAGCCTATAATAAGTCTAAAGTCAGGGTGTTTATGTGTTACCTTCACCACAGTCAATTTATCCAGCTTAATTAACGTACAGAGTAGATTCGATCAACATAGTAGCAATTTTGATTCCTTTATGAAACGTTAAAGATTAACCAACCATGTTATATTCTTTAATTATATGCAATACAAAGTACCCATCAAAATAAGAAACCTGTTATGATTAATTCACAAAATCGGAACAAAATATTACTTATATCGATTCGAAAGTGCACAATCGTAAACTGCAAATTTTGTGTCGCGGTTCTGGAGTTAACGTTACAGATTAAGTATTTAAAAATAACAGAAATATTTTTTTCCATAAATTTCGCATTCGTGTCGAAAACGCCGCTCAACGAGACATAAACACAATTAATGTGGATAAAACTGTATCAACAAATTAAAGGTTGGTGTATAAGCCGAACTTGCAGCACACAATAAAGCTTTGTAGTTTGTACTACGAGAATAACGTTAATGATAATAATAAGGGTTTACTTTCATATGACTTGATAAATTGACGGCATCCGTACCGTTGATTTAAGTACTAATTGCTTTCTGCTAAAGTGTAGCTGTAAAGGTACATGTCTTAACGATGAAAAAAATCCATCCATCTAAAAATAACGGGGATAATGGGATACAGACAGCATACAGTACGTAAGGTAACCCATTACTACTACCATTTTTTGATACTTAATTTTATCCCTGGAAAATTCATACGCGTTAAATTGCGCAATACAACCAGATAGCCACAGTGCGGCGGTGCTAAAAGAGCGGAATCGCTCTGATTGGCTGAAGTTTGGGCGCGCCTTTGCCGGAATCCCTGTTCTCAACGGTCTGGTCCGCGCAAATCGCAATCACGTCTTCCACTCAGACAGCCGTGAAAATACCCTATCAGCACCCGTTTATAAAGAGAGCAGCACTGCAAACTTGGAAAATTCTCGCAAGTCATATTTTCAAAACCGCGAAGCGCGTACTTATGCATTTTGGGGTTAGTTTGACAGAAACGCGAACGCTCGATAGTTTTGTATCATTGCGATCACGACAGTACACGAGCCCTCGTTGTTTTATCAACAATTTATTTATTGTCCTAATTTCTCGAATTATTCTTGTGTTGGGTTTTGGAGCTGTAGTTGTAGTTTATCGGCTTTTTCAGCCGTGAGAAAACTGCAAACTGCGTGTTGTTTTCTGGGTTTAACGCAACTGCCGGCAGAAGAGAAGATTCGACGTTGAACAACAGTTCTTTTGAACCTGGTTGCTTGGATCTTCTTGAACCTTGATTGGTAGAATTGCGCTTGGACGCGTCTGGACGACGTCGGTGACCAAATGATTCAAAAACATCTATTTAGGACGTCGGAACCAGGATAACAAGATAGTGACTGAGCCTCTCACTGACTGATTGTTTTCCCAAGATTGCCGCTTTGGCGTTTCGCCGTGACGAAGATGCTTCCTCGCCCAGGAATAATAGTCATTTCCAGTGTTTTTCTCATAGTATTGGCTGGCGTGCGCTGCGGAAAGATACCCCTGAAAGCCGACGATGATGTGCAGAATAATATGCAGGATCCCAGAGACAGATCGCCCGGTGAGAACTAGACGGGAAAAAGTTCCCAAGTATTCATTATTGCTGAATCAGTATGCACTATGCAGTACACAATCTACTGAGCAGAGTATTGTAAATTTTTAATTACCGTAACCGTGTATTAACTTTGCTTTGGTAATTGTTAAATGTATAATTTACTGCTCAGCAAGAATTTGTTCCGGTATTAGGTTTATCGCCATTTATTCAGTTTTTATGTACCGCAATAATTTCATGTTTCTGTCGTTTGTTTAAATTTGAGTACTCGTAGTATTTCTGTGTCTTAGCCTCAGGACTGACAGTTATTGTTCAACCTACTGTTATAATAAGTGTGCAAGTTAAACGCAAATAAAATTTCAAAGGTTTTTAATGTTGAAGTAAGTAAAGTAACTCACCGTAACTGTTAGATTTTCGAAGCCTGCAATACGATCTAATAGTTTGATTACTAATTAGTTATTTCGTAATTACTGTTTTTGCTTCGTTAATTCGGTGTAGGAGTATTATTTCCTCTGAGAATCAAAGTTCATTGCAGTTAACATTTTGGCGACGCAGTCGGTGAAGATTTTTTCGAAATCCGAGACAGTTTCGCGTGTCAGGCCCGTGACGTTGTAAGACAGCAATTGTTAACTTTGTAAGCGTGACACTTTTCCCAGGGCGCACGATAATGCCATTACCACCCACCGTCACTTTAAAGGAGCACGCTGTACAATGGCTTTAATTTCGATTGTTTGATTACCTTCTCCGCGTCCAGCCTCTTAACTTAGCCAGTCTTAATTAGCCTGATAATTGTTTAGCTAGAACAAAACCCGTTTATGATCATCTGCCGCTCTTTTCATTTTCATCATGTAGACTGAACTTGTTTCAATTAAAGCCTCATCAGCGCCTAGGATTATTCACCAGAATAAAGCTTGTTTTTATGGGTTACGTGGGACAAATGCAGGCATTCCGTTTGCAGAGTATTTGAATGCGCCGTGTTCAGTTCCATGATCCGTACAGATGACCGGTGTCTTTTGCGCAACCCGCAAACGATGCATGTATGATTGACGAGTAATTCGATCGCAGGTGTTTCATACTTAATTAAATTACACTACCGAGAAGGTGTTTATTCTCTTACGGGAGGAAGTATTATTAAAGAGCTTACTATAAGAGAAGAACTAAGATGGTATGCTTCAAACGAAAAACTAAGATTAAATGTTGTCGACTAGATTTATTATATTGTTCAGGGTAAAACTTATAAGGATGCATTTCGATTGCGAAATACTGTCACTAAACCGCGAGAGCTGGTTTGAAATTGTGCCATGATCTTCCAGTCTTCAACCAAAAACAGATCATACGAACAGTTTTTCCACTTTTGCTGGCATAAGCATTATGTTGCCATATGTTGCTTATTTTGTTAAAGCAAAGAGTAGCAGACACGCGACACTTCTACTCTTGCCGGTAACTCAGTCACACATTTCCCGTTAACTAACTGCGCTAGAATAAACCGGCAAAATTACTGTATTGGTTTGTGATTCTCTAATTGACTCAAATTGGTTCCCAAAACAAAAATAATTGTGTTACAAAATACAAGATGGTGGTGTTTCAAAGTTTGTACAGATACATTTTTCGTAATTTGAGGAGTCTGGAAGTGTGCAGTCACCTGCGGTTTGTCTGGCGCATGTACTCGTAATTACCGCCCTTGTCGAATAAGCGGCTCTTAAAAAATAATATACGTGTCTGATAATTTTGTTCTGACTGTTAGTTCTCGGTTTTCCGTTATCTACATTATTTGTCCAATCAACTGTTCTGATGCCGGTTTTATATACGTACGTACATCACAAGACTCGGAGGTCGTCAGGGGTTGCCGGCATTGCTCGGGCGAGGAAGCCGCTAATGACCGGCTTTTGGAGTTGGTTGGAACTTTGGGACTACAAACATTTTTCTTTCAACTTGCGGAAAGAGCGAACTCTACGTGGTGTGAAAAGTTTCATTCTGAAATCGATTACACTTTATTTCACAAAGTGTGGTTTAAAATAAAGTATTTTTAGTTTTTGTATTAGATCTTGACACTGGTTAATTAAAAACCTGTACTTTCAGTTTAGAAATTAGAAATAAATTAGAAACTTTTACAAAGTTTGAAGAAGTGAAGTTAGAAATTTATAAATTAATGTGCTGATCTGCGATAAAGGGTACAATCGATACGAGTACATAAGGAAAAATCTTCAGTTGCAATTCAGGGTGCGCAATGTGCAATGATACTGTACATGTAAACTGATGTAAATAACTTAATTGTTATGTTTTGTAACTTAATTATTATGTTTTGTTTTTTTATTGGCAGTAGCCACCCAATTAACAAAAGTTTCAGGACGCTGGTACACCACTTGGCAGTTAAAAGTTGAGCATTATAAGACATGTTTTCTGTTTTGTAGATTGTAATTGATAAAACCGAAGCTTTAGAAGTATGTTAATTATTTTGCTTTGCCGCATCATTGTGCTGTACACCGTGCATGCGAATTTACCGAAAATGACTTAAGCCGGTTATGAACCGTACTAGTTCTTGCGCTGACATGGAGACTCATTAGCATCTGAATGAATGGCCACTGTCCAGGAGATTGAAAAGTGAAAACCATTCAGTTTTGCGGTCTGGCGAACGAGTTCCGCATCTGCGCGTTTCGTCACACAACTGTGATCAAATCAATTGATGAACAGTTAATAACATCCACGTCGTTTAACAGTAAGCATTTACAAGTATAGGGAAAAGCAGCAAAGCCGACATTTTTATAAAATGTCCACCTTTGAGTGTCTGTTGCACATAAAAATAATACGATATTCAAACAATACTAAATTAAATTACAGTAAGCAATGGCAGTATTTAGGTAAATCTCAATAAGCATAGTGCCATGTTGTTGTATGATTTCTTTCGGTCTAAGTTTGTTAGTAGTGATCATTATATATTTACCAATAAAAACATGGGTGCGACTTTTAACTTTTTACTTTTCTGCATAATACGTATGATCAAGAATAAGCAGCTTTTTTGTTTGTGGGTAGTTACTGCACTCGTACTGCAGTTATCTACTATCCAGCCGGCCTCGTTTCTGTGGTTTCCTAATCATCTTTCTTATAAACAGTTTGATGGTAATTTAATATTTGACATAACAACATCTAACATTTTTCGCCTTTGATTGAAACTTGGAAACTGCTATTCGTGTGGGGCAGCCTTCTGGGTTACAAGCGAGAACACTTGTTGCGATGCCGTTAACGGTTAGGGTAAATGATATTAACTGGCGCCATATCAATTTTTAAGATAAGAGTTTGAGTTGTTTAATTGCCGCAAGTCGTAGTAAAACGGTTACGCACGCTGTCCGTTGAGTGTGTGTGTATAGTTGTAGTACAACTGCGACGTGCTTGTCTGCTAAGTTCGGATTGCATCTGTTCTTTCCGTTTCACTTACGACTCGAAATTCTGATCTGGACTTCTGCGCCGTTCGCTTTGCAGTTGGCCTCGTTTTTGTCGAGTTACACAGTAACCGGTTAACGGTCACGTATAATCACTTATATTTTGTATACGTATGTTTGTGTCGTTATGGATGCTTGATATGCAAGAACAACTGACGTTGAACTCGAGTATGTTGTGCTAAAGTAGAACGGAACGCTTCGTGGGGATTCTGGGTTTTTGTGTGTAATTTTCATGGAAGAAAACGGAAGCAGACCAAGTTCAGTCAAATCTAAATTTAGGGAAGGAACCTGGTGATTTTTATGTGAAATTTGTACTGGCCTGAGTGATGCCGGCTATTTTATCATTTTTATGAGCTTAAAAATTGCTTTTTTGACGGACATGTATGTCCGAATCGGCGCCAGTGTAGTCTTGCTTTTGTACGGTTATGATGTGGCGCGGCAGCACATGTTTCCAAGTTGTCATGTGTCTGCAGAAATGTATTTAAATAACACGTTACGTCCGTAATGTTAAGCTTTGACGTAGCAAAAACCGATTGAAAGTCTTGCGTACTGTAACTACTGTTATATGCGGCTTCGGCACCGGTTACTTGAAAACAGATAAAAAAATAAAAAATAAACGAAACGCATAAAAAAGTTGTTGCCGTTTGACGTATTTTTTGATGCATTATATACTCGTATTGTTTTATGTGCAAAGGAGGCTTTAAGGAGCCAGCTTTCATCTTGCGACAAAATCGCATTGCCACTTAGCATAGTAGACTCGAAGATTCGAGTTATTGATCTATAAAGTTGAAGAGTTGAACTGTCAATAACGCTCGAGTGAACAAGTTAGCAAAACTTTGACGAGATTGTATTTATCAATTATGCTGGCTAAAGCAGTTGTATTATCGTGTTGTGGACATTAATAAAGGACACTGAAATTGTGAACGACGGCATTATGTTTTCTGAATATGGACAGACGTCCTGGTGTCCAGCCATACATATATGAAAGTGTCATAAAAAGTTCGCCGGACATAACGAGCAAAGTGGTTTTTGAAATCAACAGAGAATATGATACTGCGGTATCTTTTTCTTTTCAGTGATGATACTAAAGTGCATTCGGTTGTGGTTTGTCCTTATCTTTATCGGTTTCGTTTACGAGTGTGTCTGTTGTATATTGCATTTGCAAACACGACTATTCAGTCTGATTTGAAAGCTTGAAACGGAAGTTTGCAACGTCAAAAAGATTTATAGACTTCGAAAGTTATTTGAGCCTGACAAACGCAGACTAAAATTGGATACGCAGTTACAAGAAGAACTGGTCGACTGGAAAATAGCCAAGCATCTTTGATAACTACAGAAATACCATAAGCGTTGTATTTTATATTTTCTATTTCCAACACTTGAAAGCCGTTCGTTTATCACACTCTGGGCCATTATGGGGCAGTGCTCTACATAATCACATGATGCATTAATATCAGCAAACAATAAATTACTCTTAATATCAGCAATATTGATTTAAATTTATCGGTAAACAATGAACAGCGGAAGCAGAAAATCAACTACTTTATTTCACTGTTGGTGTTAATTTGTGTATACAGTATATACTTCACTCTAGTCTACAGTAACTTCACCTTTTTTAAAAAAGTTTTAGATGCTCTACAATTTAATAAACACTGAATTTTTGTTTCCAGGTTGTGTATTTGATGGTCACACGTACGAGCTAGAAGATACTTGGCATCCAGATTTAGGACCTCCGTTTGGTGTTATGTTTTGTGTGAAGTGCGAATGCATTGCGGTACGTACTGCACAATATATAAATCAACAAATCGCTTTAAAAATTAACAGTGTCTCGGGCTGGGTCGGAAGGGGATGGGTTGCCGGAAATGGGCACCAATCCATGACCGGAAGCCATAAAAATGTATTTCGCTTTCAGTGCATATGATTAATCGTATGTTTTTAGATGCCACGAAAGGGACAAATTATTGGGAAAGTTCGCTGCCGGAACTTCAAGCATGAATGCCCGAAACCCGATTGCCCAGAACCGGTTCTCTTGCCCAATCAGTGCTGCAAAGTCTGTCCCCGTGATACCAGTGAGTTATTTTTCAGGCGTGATTATGGTTTATTGGGTGTGTCCTCGTAGGAAAAAGTTGAAAACCCAAGAAGATGTGTTATTTTCCCCTTCGAAGCGCAACAGTATAAAGGGCAAATCATATAAAATTGACATTAAAATCTGTATCGAACACCGTTAGAAAACTATATTTAAGATACTTATCATATGCCATTTTCCTATTATGCATATGAATCTTATTGCGCATACGTCTGTGCGTAGTCAGCAGCGGCATTGTGACATCTCATAAAATGGCATTTCGTCGCTGGAACTGCGTTATTTTCGTCTCTCGCCACTTCAGCGAACATCAAACTCAAAACAAGATTAAGCAGACCATTGTTTCGCTAAATTACATAAAAGGGATGCCATGATGGAATGGGCTGAGGTGCTTAAGCAAACGAAACACCTTGATGCCTCATTATGGCGACGAACAATGTAAATTGGTGCGCGAAACTTGTCAACTACCGTCTCAGCTCTGTATCAGACCACAGAAGGAAGTTGGAATGTGACAAAGCATTAAAGAAGCGCAGAAACACCCGTTCTATGCTCGACGATATTTGGGTAAACATCCCGGATAAAAGAGGAATTCACGGCGCAGACGCCGGGCCAGTGCGCAGCGGCTTTTGTTATAATTGTCTAGCATGAATTCGATTATTTTTTGTGTGGTCTGGAATTCGCCTGAATACGCGTCTTATGTGCAGCAGTCCAAATCAGGAAGAATCGCTCTGCTACACATTTCATAATAATAATAATGAATGAACATAAGCATGTGGCGTGGGACAGCCATTAAAAGCCTACAAGTCCGTTCGCGGCGTTCAGCATATATAGTGGCTGCGGAATGGACTTGGGCAAACGATTATAAATAATGTGTGTTTTGATGCGGCCTGCTAGCAGCGTGATTCCCTTAACTTTCTGGCGCCAGCTTGGTAAACCAAAGCAAGCATGTTGTCGGCAATTAAAAATTACTCTGTATCCGATCTGTTTTTAAAGCCCCTACCGCGAAGTGCTCGCGGCTGTCGCCCAGAGGTTTAGCGGCAGTTGATCAACCTGGATGAATTAGTGGAGCGCTGACTGGGTTTGACAGTTGACGGCGGAAACTGCAGTCAACTTTGAAACTGACCCAAACTTCTCGCTGTGCGAACTGAAGAATTTGCGCCGCGGCTGGTTTGAACGGCTAGTGTAATATTTTACGTAACTTTATACAAAGTGATTTGGAAAAGGATGGATATTTCCCTTTTGGAAAGGCGATATCCGCTTCGCATTACCGCGACACCGTAAACAAAAACTTTTTAAAAAAAAACTTTTATCGAGATTTTATCATCCAGATTACGCTAATACGACCGGTTTATACTGGCTGTTAACGAATGGCTAATAGTTTTGAAATAGACACCGTTCTGGCAGTGGCGATAATCTGCCATATCGTTGCTGCCGATGGAGATGACCTTATTCCGACAGAGTCCTCAGCTTTGAAGTGAACACTGAACGTGATACCTCTTGGCACCGCAGTGTCTCGCCGTTAGCTTGCGCGGATTATACTGAACAGAAAATGTGAAACTGTTTACGAGTGTTTGAACTAGACAAAACCGCTTTAAGAACAACTAATCACTTCCACACAACCACACCATGCGCAATTTATGTACACTGGTTTTAAAATCGTACAATTGTATACACAGTCGTTGCATTGAACGTAGCTGACGAGTGACGACGAAGTGTGACCTGCGTACCTGACACAATATGCGCCACTCTGAAGCGATTAAGGTTTGTCAACAAAAGAGCCCTTTTTGAGTGATTCCTGCCACCTCAGACAATGATGCATTGCAGTTTAAGATAAACATACAATATGTACACCGTTGTCGCGTTTGACCGCTTATTTGGAACTTCTGTCAGAATGCCGGTGTGTTTTCGGTTTAATTTCTAATGTTAAATGTATGGTATTATTGCAGGTGGCGGCTCCAGGGCGGTTGCCGTTCGTCCAGAAGGCGACGGAGCCCCGGACGTCCCGAGATCGGCAGGTAAAAAACCTAAATTCTAGAGACATTCGTTTCAGCAATGACACAGGTTTTTTAAAAAATATATAGCAGTTGATGTTGTCTTTACGTGTGTACTTGGAAGGGCTTAACAGCTGACGTCAGAGCGCAAAACGTGAATAGCTTAAGTACCTTTAAACCGCACGACAAAATAAAACTGGCACGCGATCATGACAGACCACAAAAAACATAATCCACGGCCGGTGTTATGCGGCGCTATTTCCAGAAACATGTCTCCGTTTGTAATCCATGCCCTAAAGTTTTCGGGTGCTACGGGTTGTTTTCTCTCCGTCTTTGCCAGCAGCGTCCAAGAATCATTTTTATTGCAGAATATCTGGCAGTGCTGGGCAATCCTGTCAACCGACACGCCGCACGTGCTGTCTTCCATTTTGAATCGGCGGCCATACATTATACGCTACATTTCGCACCGTAAGTATCACATAAATCACAAATATGCGCGTCGAGCAGCATCCGTGCTGTTTTTTTTTCATGGGTGCCTAGGTGGACGTTTGCCGATCGAGCCGTAGTGTGCCATTACAGTAATTGAATTCTTTTAGGGATGGCCACTGAATTAAATCAACCGAATAGAAAACCGGGAATTTGTCATAAACTGCCGTCATTAGTAGATTGAAAGTTTTTTCTTCCTTGCAGAGGATTTCAACCGAACGCCGTCATATTCCAAGATGAAACCGGCAACGCTGTGTTTACTCAACCAATTGAGGAAGGTCGAATCAGTGCCAGAAAGGTCAGTCGATTACGGTCTTAATATGGGCCATTTGGAAATGTTATTGCTACTTGCAAGTAAACGTTTCTGGTGAAATTGCATTTTAAACTACTGTATTTGAATCACCATTCGAAACGCCGTTGATAGAAGCCAGGTTATACTTAGGAAGTCAGAAGTTACACGTATACTTCGGATTGTGTGTAGCATATTAAATTTGATGGTTACTGATGGAGCGTGCATGTATTCTTTTTGATTTTGATAGCTACTTGTTTGCAGTACTGTGGCGTGTGGGATCGGATTCCGCGGATGTTCCGTCGCACGTTGGCGAAGGAGACGATGCAGATTGCCTTAACTACTCGCGATGATCCCAGACCAGTCACTAAAGGAAGTATCATCTTGAAACGTCAAACTCAAGAAGGTGAAGCTCACCAATTTTTAAGCATACTGAAGGATAGTTTTTAAGCATTAACACTTTACTGTATGGTATGCTGTTGCCTGATAATTGTGATAATTTATTTACGGTGTACATTGCAGAAACGTACAGTGCTTTGTTGTTGCCGCGCGATCCCCGGAAATACGGAATGGCTGCCATTGCGTCCATTGCTGTCGGTGCTGATGGAACGTCGCTGGAGTATTCAGTCTTTATTCACGGCTTAACGAACCTTCGAAAAGGTAAGTTTTTAATAGCTGTGATCTGTCGAATACCGTATAAGCGTCATGCTATACGTCATACTGGCAAGTCAACCACCAAGTTTCTGTAGATATGCGGTAAATACAATCAGTTTAGCACGTTTATGAGACATCCTCGTTCTACGAATATCACTGCATTTGCATTTTATAGATGTCAAGCAAATTGCCACTGTCATTCTGGAACGACCCGAAGACCGTGTCGTCATAAAAGAAGCGGCAAGTGCCATTGCGCCCAAAGTAAGCGGCCCCGGGCGATGAATCAGTTGATTATTTGGTAAAGGCGAAATTTTACAAACATTCCGGCTTCTTAGGCATTCGAAGTATCTGGCCGGATGGCGGATTTGAATTTGAATAGTCATGAAATGATAAGATGGTTGGCCCGTGGTAAACTGGCCCTCAGTCTGCGCCTTTCCAGTGCCGCTGATGTTGACCTTGTCGGGATAATCCACACCAAGCCGACGTGCAACAGTAAGTGGCGCTCAAAGCTCCCTGATCAAACATTGGCTGAAGCGTCAAACGCTAGAACGGCGATATTTAATTGCTGATAATCTGCATAATAGGATTTCATCTTCGAATGATGCCGCTTCTTGTTTCCCGTAAACTAGCACAATCAAATACTTTTATTGCATTCCTTTCCAAGAAATTGCGTATATTCATTGCTTTCGTTTATGCATAGTCGTATATAAAGGCCAAAGAAAAATATTCTGCATATTTTTATACCGTTAATCGTCAGTACCAGCATCGTCAAGGCGCATGGTAAATGATTCGGCCTGGTTATTAACAAAGGTCATGAAAAAACTAAGCGTCGAACGTCCGCTTGCCAGCCGATATTAATTGATCGTAAATCAGGGCTTTCAGGCTAATTCCGCTTCCAAGAATGACAGTGCGTCTGACATGGACATTTTGTTGTGTAGTTTTCCAGGCTGTGCTGTATGACAGCAGTCGCAGTAAACCGGAAATGCCGGGAGCCGGAGTAGCGCTGTTGGAACTCAAGCCAGACGGCACGGTCGGCTATCGAGTGCATCTCCAAAGGTTTCCAGGCCGTCCGACCCAAATGACACTAGAGACGAATCCGCGCAAAGGACGCCGTCGAGTTATCGATGACCTTGCTGGATCGTTCGTTTCCGGTTGGGTAAGCTAATGGGAAAAGCTACGTAAAACTACAATAATCATTATACAGTAGTTATGACACTATTACGAATTACACTCAAATCGGAGCGATTTGTTTCATAACCTTCAACAAATTGTTGTAAATAAACATTCTTGTTTGTACGCATTCGCTCAGTTACAAATTAGAGGATAATGCATCTAAAAGCTTTGTGTGAATTAATCTTGAACAGGTGAACGGGACGTATACTAAACAAATTCCCAAAGATATCCAAAGTCTGCTTGCCGACGATCTTGTAATCAGCATTGTTAACGAAAATTCTGGCGCGCGCATGCAAGGACAAATAAAGCAGCTCCTGTTTGAAGAAGTCTATACACGAAGTAAGCAATCAGGTCTGCTTATATTTCTTATAAACAATTTTATGGTTTTAATAAGACGACGTAGGAGGGTGTTTAGCGCTAGAATTAGAAAATGAATTCAGTGCCTGGGCTCGACGTGTCCGTTCCGAAAGCATTCGCCGTTTGCCGTTGCCGAAACTTGCGAAGAACATAATTCTAAGATGTTGCCCAGCCGGAACCGCGTCTGGCTGATCATTATTAATGACCATGAAACCCTTCGTAATATGTGCGCGGGGGCAAGAATAATTTTCCGCTGTGTAGACAAACGTTTGATCAGGCATCAAATCAAAATAAACTATAAATAGTGACATAACGCTATAAGCGATGCCTCTGACTAATCGTATGGTGGAAATGGCATTGCTCGACTAATCGGCAAAACGCTACCGCGATACCAAATTGGCATCGTGGCTTCGGCGAACTGGATACGGCGTATTCTTGTCTGGGAGTTTCTGTCATCAATAGCCAGTCTGCAGGGGATATCGAATTGCTATACTTCTCCGTTTTTGCAGTGTTCCCTAACATAATAGCGGAGAATCCATCAGCATCGTTTATGCGGGATGTCAGCGGAAGTGCTGTGGCCTGGCTACGACTGGACGAGAATTGCATCCTGAATTATCACATCTTTATCGATGGATATGCCGATGCTTATGTTAAAAAGCTGCAGACAACCATGACCTATATGTACGATCAGTACGGAAGCCATATTCGAAAACAGTCACAACTGGACAACTTCAAGAAAAATAAGGTATCGAGAAGTATGAGAGTCATACTTGTACACTGCTGCTTGCGGTGAATTTGTAGTCGTGTAATAATGTATAAGGTGTACGCTGTTAAAATTTCCGTGTTATTATAACAGCACAATCAGCAATCTTTTTTACATATATGCACGATACGACATGAACTGCATGTTCTAAATTATTGACGCATCAACTTTAGCACAATTTTATTTTTTTTTTCTCAATACAGACTTTTTGTATCGCTTTCAGTTGATGGGCCGAGTGAAGAATCTGAAAAATGATGTTTTAATGGGGATGCCAAATGGTACTATCGAAATTCTGATAACCGCGAAGGATGAAGTGGAGCCTCGTCTGCGGGGATATGTGAGTCTGTTGCTGACAACGATTAAGTTTTTGACCTGCTGAAGTGGGCGATAAGTGTAGCTGTTGTAGGAAGCAAATGTCTTCACCCTTTAAATATTGTACAGGTAAAAATAGTTGACGACTGCTCTAGTCGACACAAATTCAACGGCTTTGTTATGGAAGACCCGGCCAATACCGTGGTCCCGACCTATACGTGTCAGTATCGCGAAAAAAACTACGAAGACGGGAGCAGCTGGAAATCTGAGCACAAAGAATGCACAATGTGCAGCTGCCAACGTGGTAAAATTGTCTGCGAGGAAGTGGTGTGCCCAAAGGTCACCTGTCGCAATCCCGTCAAAGTGGAGGGCGAATGCTGCATGTCGTGTCCGCCGGGTACGTTTTGTAGTGAAAATTAATTTTAAACTGACCGTAATTGCTTGTTGTTACGAAGAGTCGAAGTGGCAGTTGAGTGAATATCGCTCGACAGGTAATCATTTGGCGACAGAAATCCTGGTAAACGACATCGTTAATCATCAGATGCACCACTTTCGCCTTAGGTCGCCAACAGTAAACATAGATTGCTCTACTTTTCACCAAAGAAAACTCATTAACTGGGGTTGTTGTGTACTTGTGTTTGACGTACGAAATTAACAACCATGATGGAAGAGCTCGGCATCACATGTAGACCCACTAGGCACAGTACTTTATACAGTGATTTTAATTAGGCAGCATTATTACGAAGACAGCGGTCACTACTTTAATGATCGCACTCCATTTCCGCCGCCGCAAACTTTAATGTAATGTTTTGTTGTTTCAGTGCATTTCCCGGCGAAAATGATTGCAACGGCTGCGGGATCGATCGCAATGGCTGGTCAAACAAACAGCACAGTGGCCGGGTGTTACTTGGACAAAAAGTGGCACAAACCGGGCTCTTCGTGGCATCCCTATGTTGTACCCTTTGGTCACTCGAAATGCGCGGTGTGCACTTGCATGGTAAGAGAAATCAGTTCATAAACTTGATAGAAATTTGATTTTGTTGTTCCTTGATTTAGTATTAAGATTAATGACTAAGCCCCTTGATATTGGGTTACTTACTGTATTACGTTTGCAGCCCGGTACAAACATTGTGAACTGTACCCGGATCAGTTGCCCGGCACTCGCTTGTCCGGAGAGCGAAGCATATCGAGAGAATCCAGCGGATTGCTGTAAAAAATGCCCTGGTAGGTTATTAGTTGTATTGTTTCCTTGATTTGCTTAGCTTATGACTTGTTGGTTTGCACTAGAACTAGCCACTGTTGCTTCTGTGTCGACTTCTCCAAATGACACTATGGGAGATGAGGGTGTAATTACGCTACCGGAAGATATCTTGCGGGATGGAGGATGTCGTTTCCAGGCAGAAACATACCGCAACGGAGCCGAATGGCATCCGCGTGTGCAACCTTTTGGTGTGATGAATTGTGTTCCATGTCGTTGCAAGGTAAATACGACAAAAGCTTGATCGGGTTTAACGTTAGGTTGCTAAAGGTCACTGAGGTACTTCCACGGGCTTGTTTTAACCTGTTATTTTTGTTTGTTCTTTTCTTCCCTCATGTTATGTTGCTTTTCTAATTCGGGTTGCTGTTTCAGGATGGTAAACCATCGTGCAAGCGGCAAAATGCCCGAGACTGACTTGTCCTTTCATACGGAAAGAAGCCAACGAATGCTGTCCTCGCTGCACAGGTGTGTAAATGAAATAATAGATTAACACATTTCACTAACAACGGCTACTAATGCAAAGTTTCTGTCTATGATATTGTAGATCAGGACGATCCCAAAGCGCGACCTAACCGCAGGCTAAGCAACAGTCGCCGACGGAAGCAGCGCACGAGAAGGCGCGAGTGAAGCACACCTGGTTCCGGGCTTTCTGCTGTTGTACGCGAAATTCTGCTACTCTTCTAAGCTGATCTGTGGAAGAGCAACGGCGGCGACGCCAACTCCTGCAGCTGAGCAATGCGCCAAGTGATCAAATACTGGAGAATAGTTTAACTAATTAATTATTAACCAAAAAGCGTCGACTGTTTTTTTTGACAAAATTGTGAATCTCTCTACCTCTCTCATTGGGGATGGGGACTGGGGTTGTTTGTTTTGGGGGGCTGGGAAGAAGTGGGGTGGGTATTGTTGAGTCGGTACTCGAGTTTGTCCTGTTGCGTGGTACGGCTGTTGGGGGGCACTTTCGAGTCATCCGTTGTACATTAGTGCTGTTCACCGTCAGTATTGTTCCTTTTCCGCGTTTTATGTGCATATATCTATTTTCTCGGTTTCATGTCTTGCATGTTTTTGCTTGATTCTTTAAAAAAGTATTCGTTAAAGTTTGAATTAAACCGCACAACCGGACGATGGTAGTAGTTCAGTTTCTAACCAAGGTTCCGAAAATTTCTCAAAAACTCTGAAGCAGTTTCGTAGATGCTCCTTCATCTTCTCCAGTAGTGCAGAAATACCCGATGAAAATCTCCAGACTTCATAAAATCGATCTTTATTACAACAATGGAAGACCGGTAAATAAATACAAAACGGGCACCGAATAGTCCAAGCACGAGGTTACGCAAAAAATCCTACAGCAATGTGAAGTGACAAATTATGTTTTTACGGGTCAAACCGGACAAGAAAGAGTAAAAACTAACGTTAAAAATGTTATAAATAGTTTAAAAGATAATTCAAAAACCCAGAAAAAATTATCACGGTTATCGGACCATTTAACAACCATTTCACTGCATTAATAAAACTCCCAAGCCATTCGTTGCGACCGGAATTGAACACCTCGACCTGACATCAGCATTGTCTATCGCTGAAAACCAAATTCCTTGGCATCGTCTTCAGTGATGTCTCCATAACGCCAGATGTTGCGCTGCGAAAACAATAGTCAGCATTAAAAACATTTGCAGCTCAAAATTCTTTTTATAGTTATATTTTGAAGATAACCTGACTTACCCTAGAACGCTTAGCTTCTTCCTGAGCGGCCTTGTACTCAGAAACCTAAGAAACCACAGTTGATGGATCGAGTACAACTGCACATTTGATATAATCCTATGTTTCAGTGAATTCATGCAATTTCTGTCAGGACCGTTTAACAATCAATACAAAACAAAAATAAGGGTGCTAACCAATTTTTGCAGCCGTCGTTCGCGTCTCACATCGACCAAGCAGTAGCCTTCGCTAACCAAACCTTTCCGATGTCGTCCTTTGTGTCAGCACGAAGCAAAGTGACATGATCTGAATTATTCGCTTTGTATTCCACATTTAAAAGCATTGGCTGGTCTTTGACAGCCTGCTGGAATGCCCACTCAGCTTCTGAGTCCTAACAGCAACAAGATTATCCACACAGCGAGTTAAGTCCGCACTGATTGCAACATACCGTCGATGGTTCACGGACAAAAGCCAAAGTATACTCCACAGCCTGTGGTGACAGCTGCTTAAAACTAGCCGGAAGATTTGCAACATCGGTTGTTCTCACGTTTTCCCGCTGAAAGATCACGAGTGAAGTAGTGACCTTTATATTATAATTCAATAATATGCATTTTACAATTATTTTTTGTGCTCACATTTCCATAATCAATGAAAAGAACCTGAACTTTGCCTCCCTGGATTCCTTCAACCTTAGCGCGATACCTGACGAAAAGTCAAAGCTTTGAAGCCATCATGTCATCATATAACGACATCATTTCATCAAATGCCAAGGGAGAAATTTTTCTCATACCACTGCCCATCGACGCTGAATTTCGCTGCACATACATCGCCACGCTTCGGTACATACGAGCCACCCAGTGGAGGATTCGATGCGAATTCCTCGCGAATGCTATTCATTAAAGATTCCAGTTTCGCACCTAAAATACGTCACCGTCACAGAAGAAACCGTGCTGAATTTCTATTACGCGTGATATAATACCTGAATCACAATCCTGAGCATAGAAACGCAAACCAGGAAGAATTTCCACCACCATCACACGTTTATAATTCTCAGTTCGGTCTGTAGTGTCCTCTTCCTGTTTAACTTCAGTTTCTGTTGGTTCGACATAGTCACTCCAAATCTAAAAAAACCATGAAGTTATCACCGGAATTTTTTGCAAAGCTGCCTCGATTTGAAATATTACAGGCACCTTGAGTTTTTTTCCCTTGGCCGCCGCTTCAGCATTCTGTAAAACGCCCAGATACGGGCTTCGCTCTGCGGAAAAGTAATTAACAGAGGCCAATCCGGCTTCCACCAATTCCAGCGAAACATTTTTTCCATCAACATGCACCCAACCAATGAAATTTCCAACTTTGTCCATGGCATCGATCTCCACGTGGACCTAATAGAACTCGGGGTAGGCATTAAGATAAGTCTGAAAATAAATTACTAACGTACATCTCGCTGCAAGCACAGCTCTTTGGAAAACTGCAGAGCTTCGTTGCCCCATGGCTCTGCTTCAAGAATTTGACCGTTTGGACCTTGACGACTTCCCTTTGGACATACGACACCTAGAAATTCAGAAAACTTGCTATTTAACTATTTTTATTGCTTCTTATAATTACACATCTGTCAATGCATTTTTTAAAAAAACGTGCTCTATAGTCTGTATACTGAATCTATCAGTAGCGATCAACTATATACAACCTTAAAACCAACAGGTAAATGATCGCATGCTGAACCGGATCAGCGCACTTACCGGCAAGTATAACGCTGACAGTGCATGAAGTTTTTGGCAAAAACACGCGAAATCGAGAGCCACTACCAACATACTCGACAACCGCTTCTTGCTTGCCGCTTCTCTGGAATGACGGTAAGAACGCTTTGCACTTGGCGGTATCCTGTAAAAACACATCGATAATAACCTGGAAAAGTGCTGCGAACTGCGCTGTTAGGGCTGGCTTACGTTAGATATGTCGCTGACGCGGACGGTAACAGTATTCTTTTTGCTGTAGATTCCTTTCTTCGCAGTCTGAGCTTTGGAATCAGCCGCCAGCAGAGCATCATAGCAGCTTGGTCGCTGCTCGTCGTCTTGACGGTAGAAAACAATGGAAGCTAATCCTTTTGAAATCAGTGCCTCATTGACAATTGTGTCACCAATCTTTACGGTACAACACTGGCGTTCGGGGAATTTTTCCGAGGTATCCGCTCGAGCTGGTTGGATGTAGTCCAGTGTGATATCCACCTGGCAAACGCAAAACATCAACCAGTGCTCCGCTTATCCATGGGCCATGGCCCATGTATCAATAATTTCTTTACTTTCTGTCCAATCAATTTTTTTCGCAAGTATTCCCGCGCTTCGAACATGTAAGGGATATCATAAATTGGTCTAGATCTCTTGTCTTTTTGTGGCTGACCAGCACTCTCGACATCGGCGGGCATCCTTTAAACAGTAATTCTATTATACAGTGCATCAGCACAGATTAGGAACGGACTTCGCAAATTTTCAAGCTAAGTGCTGTTTACTTGGGTGGACGCACTCCTGCGAGAAATATCTTTTTGTACTGTCCACAAGATGTCTTCACAGTTATCGCATCAGCATTGTTAATCTCCACTACCTGTACAGCGAATAAGCGTTAAAAAATGCATTTCAAATCACCAATGCATAAGTGTCAAACCTTGGCGCTATAATGCCGTTCATCTTCCCGGATGTTGCTCTGGCTGGCCTCATAATTTTTCCATATTCTCAACTTCTTTTCTTTTGCTTCTCTGCTCACAAAGCAGACTTACAATTTCAGAAATATTTGTCCAAAAAACCCAAATTTTACAAAAAGTTTTATCCAAAAACGAAGGTACAGTACATACCTTTCGGCTTCCCGAAGTTTAGAGGCACCCTGACTATATGACCCGATGTTCCAGTCGACGCACCGGGCAAAACCTTGCTTCAGCAGAGCTTCGGTAATCGATCCAGCCTGCAAGAACAGCGTAAAGCCTATCTGGTATTAGGCGGTATCCACATTAAGACGGAGTAACTCAGTGAGTGATGTTAACGACAAATCAGTCCCAAATTAGGCAATACACGGGTAGAGGCGAAAGAGCATACTAAAATTACGAGTACAGATGCTATCGATTTTACTGTTACCGGATGAACGATCGATCCCATGATCAGCTGATTGTTTACACCTTCAATTATAACCTCCACATCGCGATGCAGCAAGCGGCTTTCGGTGAAGAACTTGGCTTCCTCCGCGAATTCGTCCTTTGTCCCATCTTGTTTAAAAGACGGTCCCTAATGAAAGCACTAACTTTTGCGGTACGTACTTGATAAAAAAAAAGAAAATTCATCCTTTACCCGAATTCCTGTCAAAGCGACCATTGCAGGAATAAAATCTGGGAGGAGAGTCACGCGCAGCGTGCAAGAATCCCGCACAAATTCCACAATGCCTGCGAAAAGCAAAAACCGGTTACAAAATTCTATAACAGGAAAACCGCGTAATCCAAAATCCGGTTTATCTGTGCTACCTTTGATCGACTGATTTTTATTTTTCTCGCAGAAACTTTTAATATCTTCGAAATTCCATGTTATCTGACGTTTGTGGAGATTAGCATCATCGCTGCTCCATCGTCCGCGGCCAGCTGACTTCGCAGACTGTTCCAGTTCAACCAGACTGTTGTATCGATCGCTGCGTAGGCAGTCAAAATATAATATCAATCGGAAGTTTGGAACCGCAGAAGGCGTCGTCAAATTTTCCTTACTCTTGCCAGACACCACTCTTTTTCACCTCCAGCCATCCTTCCGACACCATCGTGTCCAGCACATTCTCCGACTGTTGTCCATCTGGATAAGTAAAAAATAAAATACATGATGAGGCTCGTATAAAAACCAACAATTACGAAAACGCAAGCTGGAAAAAAATGGTAACAGTAGCGAATCAGGCTATCAGCAAAACCCAAGGAATACCACAACGCTAAATGCTCAACAGTTGTGCCATCATTAAACTTTCCCAAACCTAAGCGGAGTATTTTATATTATCTAAGGAACAATATTTTAAAATACATGGGAAAAAGATTATTACACCATACAAAAATAAAACAGTCAGTGGCGGAAAGCACATTACGCGAATACAGGCAAGTAGGCAACAATATATGCTGAATGCTGAATATATACGCCTAACTGTAAGGTTAAGAAAATTTTAACAATTCGCGAACGTCTTCACTAACACTAACCTTGAGTGAGCCAAAGCGTTCCGTATTCCCGTCCCGACTGCGGAACTCTATGGTCAATGGCGCAGACCACTTCTTTGCCGACAAGTTTCTTTCGCAGAAACTCCCGAGCTTCCCAAGCGTACGGCTGCAAAACAATCATCCAAGATTACGCATACGCTCCAAGAGCGACACTCTGCATGTGCACACTCACTTCGTCGTCGGATTCGGAGCTGCTGTCCTTGGGGTTCGCGCGACGGGCCAATTTCGGCGCAGCCACGCTGGAGAAGTACAGGGTGAATTCTGGCGGCGGACCACCACGCGGAACACCCCGCACTACCACCGCATCGCCCGACAACACCTGTCACACATTTCCCAACGTAAGCCTGATAAGTCGTCATCAGTGCGACAGGAAGGTACGCAAAATAACACTAACATATGGCGCACAAGAATGAATTTTTGTTCATTAGATATTCGTTTTGTTATACTGTACTCGTATCAAAAGTTAGAGAAAAGGAAGCTTGCTACTGCAACACAAGAACGTTAAACTTGAAAATGCACAGAAACCTTAAGTGAGTATTTACACGGAACACCGCGCACGCGCGACACGACGGGTCTTGCAATTCCAGTATCAAGACGAACTCACCTGCTTGACAATGCCACTGCGGCGCTCCTTGTCTTTCTTTTCCTGCGCCACTTGGGAGTTAACGGGTTCAGGAGTGCTGACCATTTTTTATCTTTCAAAAGGATGTAAAAGTGTCGGGAGTCTGGCAGGCGATCCACGTTCTGTAGCCGGAAGTAAGGGAATTTAAAGTTTTTAATTTGGAAAACTTAACAGCTGCACCGTGGTAAGTCTGTGTAATATCGTGTGTACAATTTTATCGTTGCGACTGCAGCTAGCGATGCCGATACGGTCAGACACGTCGACCAAGGCGGAGTCGCACTTGAAACACCATTCACGTCTCAAGCAGCAAACGCAGACGGCAGACCCAACACAACACATGCAATTGTATCTATCGCTCACTGTCAGTGCAGGCACTTCAGTACTTATTAATTTTGTAAGTACAATTTTGTACTTTAAGATTTATTACAGTACCTATTAATTTTGTATGTGTGATCTTGATGAAAGATCGTTACAAATTAATTGTTTCGGAAAGTTTCTTTATCTACGGTACTCCTTCTTTTTCTTCAAGTACAGTTTTGTAGTTCGTATTTTTCTGTTTTGTCCAAGTATTGTACTGACCAGACTTGGAGTTGGAAGTGCCTCAAGGGTTTGTCTGCTCAATGAATAAACTAAACAGACAAAATAATCCTGAAAAATTAGTATGTTGAATTAGGAACAGGACTTCGATGGTCTGAAGACTCTGGTATGCACCTAAATAAATTTTAATCTAAATACATACCCAAAACAGGAAAAATTCTTTTAATCTTCATTAACAAGAGCTAATAACTGCCATTTACAAAACCATTCACAATTCAAAAAAAAAGACAAGATACTCATACCGAAACCAGTTGCCTAAATAACTCCACAGAACCATTCATGATTTCATCAATGTCAATGTTGTAAACAGCATTCATGTTTATTGTAAATGTTGTAACAAAAGTAAAACAATAGGACTTTAAAACGCAGTAAATACAATCATATACTGTAATCAAGAAACTCGGATCTCTGCAGCCGATAAATTTCCACACTGTCACCTGCAACCGCAAGACACCGATCGCTAACAGCTTCAGGAAGTCCACACTTTCCCTTCTGCCAGTCCGATATCGCTCTTTAAATTCTGTATAGTCTTGACTTCTATTTCAGCAATGCAATTTACCGATCCACAGTAATTGTTAATTTGAATCATTCTAGGGAAGGCGTGGAGCGGTTATTGGTTTTCGCCAAAGGAATACCGCTTGGCACGTCGGCGCTCGGCTTCGAGTGAAGTTTCGATTTGGGACCGCTGCCAAACGCTGACTTTCGAACAGTAGCAAATTCTGCAAAATTAAACGCAGGTGAATTTAGTTCAACTAAAGTAGTTCAAGTTTTTCGCCTAGAAATCCTCCATAAATATGTAGAAGACAGAGTCAAAATGACAGCGATGTACACATTGTACAGTCTGTAATAGGGCCGCTGAACAAACCAAACACTGTGCACGATCCCTGCAGATTAATAAGATTTTATTGTAATAGTTACGTCATCGGTCATACGTGTTATATGTAGAATCTGAGTCTAAAAGAGCACGATTGTTTATTATTACTTATTATTATTACGATTGCTCGATTATATTGTACCACTCCATTTACAAAATAGCAATAATTTCGAGTTTTAGCAAACGTAATTTTTAAAATAAGAGATAGCGCCGTTGCGATGGATAATTACAAGGGAAAAAAAGAAATTATGGAAAGTTAACAATAAGCACGGCTCACGGCTGTGGATTCGTGGAACAACGCGGTAGCTGTTTTTTTTTTACTGTCTCGTGCATGGCTTTATGCTGTGCACGAGTTACTGAGCACTTGTCACACCGGTGTCGGCCGCGGGCACCGGCATCTGTGCAATTTTATATCGCCCTGAAAATCTCCAGACTTATGAATCGTTTGCATCAGCGATCAGAGGTGCGCGCTGCTCATGGTCAACTAATTTCTCATTCGCACGAAACGATTTCCATTACAGAAGTTTTAGAAATTTCTCCAGAACGAAATATGCATCCCTAGCACTCTGAATTGCTGAACCACCTGACCTCGCTTGCAGCTGAGCAAAATAGTGAAGGAAAAACGTGAGTCTCGGTGTAATTATAAAAACTTTGTCCCCAAAGTATTTGTATCCGAAAATAATAAGTTACTTGATATCTGGCTACATAATGGTAAATGTGGCATCGAGTTATATCGATTTAAAGTATACTTAAGTATCTAACTGTTTTAAACAACCAAAAAGTCGCCCGATACCTTTTCACGGTTAAAACTTGCGTTAAACCATCACCAACAGCCCAGATAGCCCGATTTTGCGGGGTTATTTACAGTCGTACATTCTTCTCACGATCAGAAGTCACAAAATTAATTACTTATTACCGTATTACTATTTAAGGTTTACAAATCGTTTAAATCAAACTTCCTTGTGGTTTTTTACATAGTTCTTATCATGCGAAAATTTTCAAGATCAAAAACGGAGGCTAAGAGTTGTGGGCCTGAAATCAATGTTTGCAAGTCAGCAAGAGTTTTGAATTCAGATTTTTGAGGGTGGCTTTTAGGCTTAACAGAAATGTAAACTGAAATTAATACACAACACAAAGAAGATAGATATGTACCACTGTTACTGTACTATCATTTACAGTTTCTGAACAAGACTAAAATCTTCTAGTCTTAGAATCTTTAAATAAGGCAGGTTGATTTCTCAAAACAGGGCTCCTAATGTAACTGCTAAAAGTTTAAAACTTGAATAATGCACGAGAGTTGTGGTACCAGTACAATACAGTACTTACTAATATATTTTCGTTCTTCTTATTATTTTGGTGGTTGCAGCTATGTACTGATTCTTCTGTTCATAATTCCAGCTTTTACAACTTTAACTTTTAAACTGCCCGAGTACCTCTCAAAGAGCGTCCACCGGAGCTGGTCGTTCGCTTAGCAACGGGCTTTCCCGTTGAGTTTACCGGACGTTTCTTATTATCCACAACTTTGATGTAGTCATCGGCATTTGCATCGATGCTGATCGATTCAACTGAGAGTTTTTTGGAGTATTCTGTGGCGAAATCACAGCCTTTGTCCTGACACGGCCCACAATGGCTGCTGTGACTTTTCAATGCGTTCGCTTTCCACCGATGCACGGTTTTACCAAATTCCGCGCCGCTTTCAGGCAGGAGAACACTGGTTTGAGGATTATATCCATACCGTTCCTGCATCCTCTCGGCGTCGACATTCTGAACTCGCTGCAGCTCCCGCTGTAACCACAGTTTGATTGCGGGACTTGAAGATGTCCCAAATAAGTTCACGCAGTGAGCTGGCTTGACAATCTCGCGATTCACTGGTCTGTGGTTGGACATCTCTTATGGCCGAGATCGTGACAACTCAAAATCCCAGAAACGAATGTTATCAAGAAAAACAATAGCAAACTGCAAATGCGTGAAAACTTAATTAACCCCACACTGTTTATGGGTCATCCAGGTCTTTCTCTGTGGTTTCGAAAATATCTTCACGATGAACCTTAACAGTTAAGATCAATCATCTCTGGCCAAATTAAATAATACAAATGAATGATCGTAAACAGCGTAAAGTACTCCTGCAGACTGAAATGTGTACGCCGAATTCTACTCTAGGGTCGGACTACTGTATTATACCCGACTAGACACGCCATACTTATCTGGGCGTGACTGACACGTCACTCGTACGGACAGCAGCTAAATGCAATTGGTGCACTCACCTACGCTTACACGGTCCATTTGCTAGCGTAACCCATCCCAACGAATCAAACAGCATGTTTTAGCATTTGTTTTCTGGCGGGCTTAGCGTGACGGCAGTAAGAAAGGCACTGTGAAATGTTCTAGGCACAATCGTTTATCAGGCACGATCATCTGTCACAGTTTCACAAAGATCCGTAAACAAAGTTCATCCATAAACCGTAGGGAAGCGAGTCCACGTGCGACTACTGATTGCTGAAACTGCTGACAAAATAAAGCAGACTTCTAACTGTAAGTATTATCCATTTATCCTGTACATATGCCGCTGATATGCGTAAATTCATAACTCAACCAATGGCCAGTAGGCAACTATCATTAGGTAATTGGGTGGCATTTATTTATTTGGGCCGTAGCCGCCGTACACAACCATTGCACCCTTTGTCAAATATGCAAATTTAGTCGTCCATAGCGATTCACGCAGCGCTAAATCTGCTCTGAATTTACTAGCAAAATTAAATAATAAACAGAATATATTTACGGTACATAACTATACAGCAAAAGATCAGTCGTTAAAGTTTTAAACAAAATTAATTACGTCGCTTCGAGACCGACCGGCCTCATAAATTGCAGGATACCTAGTTTTTATTTAAGGTCATCAATTTATCGTATTATTTTGTACTTTTTTGATTTTCGCCATGGTAGCAAGAACTGATTGATCCAGTGCCAAAAGCTTTGCTAGGTCGAATTTTGCCAGTTGGAGGAACTTCTTTGATCTCAGGTTGGCCTTCTGGTATCCATGGACTAAGAGTTCCGAAGCAAAGCGGGCAGAACAAAGTACCGGTGGTTCTGAGTAATTTCTCGGTATTTTGCGATGCATATTTTTTGTCCCGCTCTACTAACTACTCGTACTCTAGAAGCTGCCGAGCACTGCATAATAGGAAAAGGCTTGATGTGCCGCTGTACCATTGCGTTGTTTATAGTATAATCTTTTATTATATAATAAGGATCTCACGGCAACGCGGGCTGGACCCTGGAAGCCTCCGTTGGAGCTACGTTGGAGCAAACGTCCGATCTTTTCCCATTGGTTCGTGAGGACCAAGGGATTTCTTCTTGCACCGGCCGGAGGCGAAAGCGCGCTTGATGGCTGGCGCCCATGTGTCGGTTTCCGCCTAGCGCAGAGGTTGCGGCTTGGGGGGGGGGCGGGCTGGCGTTTAAGGAATCTTTGGATCACCGGTGGTGGCTCCAGGACCAGGACGCAAGAAGACCGGATCTATGTTAACCGGACAACCAGTTTCCTGACGGTGAGGGGTCGCATTAGGCATTACTTAGTTTGGCGATATTGAAAGGAGACGCACTATGCACCTTATCGGGCAGAAGTAAATTTGCTGAAGTGTTTGTTTTGGTCAGTCATGATAAATGCTTAGGGCATTTTTAACCACAGTAATAATAACATAATTATATTATACTCGAAGAAGAACGTATACGAAGAACGAATACGAGCAACAATTTATTAAATACGAACATGGGTCATGGACATGCTACACTCTGCCCCCTAAATGCCCGTTGAAATTTTAGCCAGTGCACAATAGTTAGTATTTGGTTATGATCTAGTTATGAATACCGTGGCTACTGAGGCCGCTACTCGTGAAATAGAAGTACAGTATATCTTATGCACATCAGGAAAAAACTCTATCAAGGTAACGGAGGCTTTGAAGAGTCACTCGTAGATAGAGATATTTAATTAAAATATTACTAAACCTATCATATCATAATATTACTATTGTGATTTAACATATAGCAGGAGCCGGGCGAAGCAATCATCCGCGAGTTTATTTTTTTATTATGGGTTTCCCACTCGTTAATCATATAACTCTGGGTTTAAACAGCGATTCCTATCCGTGACAAAATTATGACGGACTTTGAAAATATATGCAAATATATGATAACAAATTAGTGTTGTATTTACCAGCGAAAGGTCAGTCATCTGAACTTATCTCACGGTGCGCCTGTCTTGTTCTGTCCACAAGTGCATCATATAATATTGACTTTTTGATAAAACCATGTTTCCCCAAGATGATTTCAACGTTCACTTGTGTCAACGGGACGCCAAGTTCGTGACTCTGTTGATCCGAATGTTTGTCTTTTCACGAGCCTCAGTTTCCTTGTGCGCCTATTCATATTTGCTAAGTGATCAAATGTAAAATGCTTTCTGGAAAACGAGAACAGGTCAGAAGAACAGCAAAATTAATTCTGTGTTGAACAGCGTTCCCACTTTCTATAACACCACCAAGTCTTGTTATATCTATATACTCGTATTTCGATTAGTTATCATGCAGTTAGTTACGTTAGTGATACGAACAGTAACTTACTACTACTATCAAGTACTACTCACTTTTAAAACAAGACAATCAAGTTCATAAACTTTCAAATGATCCAAACGCGCAGCAAATTAAGCTATCTCAAAGAGCGATGAGAATAGTAGTAGGACAGCTGCGTTAATTGCTGTTACATAATCGTGTATTATATTAAGCACTTTTAGGTGTGTGGCAAGAGGGCCTCTTACTCCTGGGTATATAGTCAACATTTCGCAAACAACAGAACGTAACAAAAAGAGTTTCTCGCGTCTAAGGTTAAGATACAATCGATTGCAAAATTAACCTGACGCTGACCGATACACGTAATAATCGATTTGTGTCTGGTCCGACGTCAGGTTAATTTGCAGTCCATTGTACATACAGCAAGATGTGCACACCGCTAGGAAAAACGAAAACATTGGCAAAAGTGCCGGTATGCTGAATTTAATTAACGAAGGATTGCCAATAAGCAATGATGTATTCTCAAGATCTCCACAACAAGCAACAAAGCATTCAGCGAACCTGATTATCCGCTCATCCTTTCTTCCGAATTTATTTACTGTAACTCACACTAAAGGCAAAGCTTCCTTCGTCATAGCGTTATCACCGTCAATTCGTCAAATAAGCGTCATCTTGCTGGATTCACAAGCTCAAGAAAAGAATGATATTTCGGAAAAAATAAAAAAAACAGCACTAAAAACAACAAAATTATTCCTCTCTGCGGGCTTTCCGGCGCCTAACCATATTATCCTCTTCAGGTTCTGCTTTTGTTTCTTCTTGCAGCTCTTCCTCCTCCGAGCCTGATGACGGGGATCCGCCAGCGGAAGCCGAATTTTCTATACCTTCTTCGTCCGTTCCTTCAGCATCCGTACCGCTTGGAGTGGGTGAAGCACTAGATTCAGCTTTCTCCTGAGTTCTTATTCTGCCTTCTGTGGACTCCTGAAGTAAAAACCGTTCACAACGACTCAACACAAATGCTAAAAATAACCAACGGTTTAACTATAGTACTATAAATGTCATATAAATTATTTGAAATCTATTCTACTATTAACGAACAAATCCCACCTTTGCCGCAGCCTTAATATGGGTCCGGCCTCGCTGCGGGAACAGTTCGATGAGAAACACCAGCAACTATAACCAAAGCAGCATCATGGGAAACAGTGCCAAAAATACTGGAACCACGGTACTGGACCGGCTTAAAACAAGCTGACTATTAAATTAGGTATCACTGTTAAATAACATCATTTTGTAGAAAAACAGGCATCATTATGATAAAAACGGTGCGCAATAACCTGGAAGCCAATAAGAGGTTTTAGCTAGAGGATTTATAGTAAAAAATGGAATGTTTAATGCACGCACAAAATAACCATGCCCAGACAAACGAGAAGCAACCTTAATCCTTACAGTTGCATATTATAATGGAAATGGCTCTAGGCACCCCCTTTCACCCTCCATCTACAGGCACTGAGGCACCCCCTTTCGCACTAACTTAGACTATAGGCCCCCCTTTTCGGTTAATTAACCCTGCACCCCGTCGCGTGCGAAAGCTATAGGCACCCCCTATTGTCATTTTCTATGGTCAAGTTCCAATTTTCTTGACCTTAGAGAATTTCAGAAAGTCATTGATTGCACTGCCGGCTCCAGCGTTTTTGCTCTTTTCATATAGGTATGTGAGTTCAGCGGAAACGGCTTTGTAATAATAAAGTCTGAAAGTTCTTGATCTGTAGTCCATCCGATGATAGTCCACGATCTGATAATGACCTGGTATGCCCAAGCACTACCGAAGCTACTTTCAAGCAGTATCAACGAGCCGGACAGTGTCCAGCTTTTGCCGAGTAACGTCCAATTGACCCAGAAGGCTGGCACTAAAAGGCGATTACGAGAAGCATCTGGCGTGAGGTTCCTTGTGCATTCGATCCATGCAGTGGCCGATCAGCCAAACCGGCCCATTGTCGGATGGAGTGCTTAGTACACCTTTTTATGTGAATGCCTGACCAAGACCCAGTCATGTCAGATCGCCAAAAAAATTTGTGAACCAACAAACTGTAAAAAAATCTTGTCAGTCCTCTGGGAAAAAAACTAAAAATAGGTGCCTATAGTAAGCGGAGAAAACGGTGTACGAGAATTATCTAACAGAAAAGGGGTGCCTATAGTAAAACAGGGTGCAAAAAGAGGTGTCTATAGCAAACAGGGGTGAAAGGGTGCCTAAAGTCTCACCCTATTATAATAGCTACACATAAAATTAGAATACTAAAACTGTTAAAGAAAATACTGCACTATACGGCCAGCATTTCGAGAGGCAGGTACAAGTGCGCACTTCCGCCTGTGAGAGAGTGCTCCGCTTAAAACATTTCAGAATTTAAAATATTTGCTTTGCAGAATAAGTCCATTACGTGAGCGAACGATGCTTACGGCTACCGGTAATTTTTGGTGGTAAATAATATCACTAAACTAAGCTATCCAGACTACAAAATTTAATTTAGATACATTTACCAGCTTATTGTTAGCAGTCTGATTTCCCAACTTCAAATACGTACGGCTATATAAAAAGAAACGCTTTATACTCACAACGCCAATTGTTCCTCCTAAAACAATCGTTCCGATCGCGAATACTGCATAGGTAACCCAATTAGGAAGCCCTTGATCTTCTACCATCCAAGTCTGGAGATTCTACAACGATAAAAAAAGACCAAATCGATCTGAATTCGCTACTCTAGCACTATAGCCCAAACTCATACCACGAAGTCGAAGAGATATCAATTATCAAGCTAATTATTGTACCTGCTTACCTTCAAACAAAAAAAATTCACAAGAAAAAACTAAACTAGGTTAGCAATGAGGGAAAACGTTGTACTGAATTTAGGGGGCACTCACTTTCAACTTCATCGACAATTTGAAAAAATTCCCGACAAGGCCCATGCTGAAAAAAGCGCCACTTTCGACAAGAAACTGACAGAAAAAACTGCATGAAAACGCACTGAAAACCAGACGGATGCAACCATGGTGAAACCGGAGTAAGTTTCTGCCAATCCTTCTCCTCCATGAATCTCATCATTCGTTCACGATCTCGGACACCAGTGTATTGTCGGAACTCCCCCTCCTTGACGCTGAAAAAGTTAAGTAAAATTAAGAAACTCAACACCAAAACCATTTCATTCACCAAAACACTGAATTTCTTAGCAATCACAGATACTTACTGATAAACTGTAGGCAAGGCGCTGATCAAGAAACGTCCGCTTAATCCTAAAAATCGAAGTAAAATCAAGAAATCTGTAATTCTGACCTTACGCAAACAATATTTCATCTCTTTCTCAGGATAAAAAGGAAACTAATCCATAGATTAGTTTAACTGTTTAACAGGCCCCTTTTATTCATAGCAATAAAAGGGGCTGTTAAACAGTCAAGCATGCCTTAATTGCCTTTTACCGCGTTTACAACAAATTCAGTGTTTACCATTTACAACAAATTTGTACAGTGCGACTGCGAGGGACAAATCACTGATATTACCACTGGAACAAATGCAATTTCGGATCATAAAAAAACAAGAATTTTTTGAACAATATAACAGTTCACAACAGTAACGAAACAACCAAAAATGACTTCAGAACACGACGGTATGGAAACACACTCGAAATTCAAAATACCTGGATGAGCATGGACATCTACGGCTCCTGCCTTGAAACCAAGATCGCGGTCCCATTCTGCAAATCGCTTAAATTCGGGTTGGAAATCTCGGCAAGCTGGACACCACGGTGCATGACTACAGGAAAAACCACACAATCACGCTAATTTTTATCGGAGCCGCAATGGAAGTCAAATGAGCCATAAACAAACCAAAACAAGACACAATTATAAGAACAGGCAGAAAACTCACAACTCAACCATCCATTCCCCCTTGAGGATCTGATCCCAATTAGATTCAGTCAATTCGATTACTTCGCCCTTCCTCTTAACTTTTGCATCCGGACTTTCCGCCGAAATAACATGATAAAACGAAAATACGAAAGAAACCCATAACATTATCCGGCAGAGCTCAGAGTGATGACGTTGCACCATTTTAAAAAATTACAGTGTACACACTTATAAAATATACCTAAATTTTCAACTGACAGTTCGACAACACTGAAATCTTGTCTCACAGTATACCGAAACAAATACTGGTCCAACTATCGGGAAAAAATTTTATGGTTAGCACCTTTAAAACAATCATGAGGTTCTTAACTTCTTAAGAACTCACCTAAAATAAAAAATAAAAATCATGGATTCTGCTACAAGCCTCTTGTTTACATTTTGGCAATTGTGATTTTTGATTGTATGATCTATGTTTAAGGTGTAAACCTTATTAAAATCATACGTAGCGCAGGGTACAGGGGAGACCCCAGAGATGCCGCTAAGCTGACCGCCCTGCGATGGAATTATGCGAAACTTGATAATCGCCTAACTCGCGCCAACGGGATAATCATTTCGATATTTTCGTTGCGCCTTTGCCCAAGGAGTGCTAACAAGTGAGGTGTGATCATGTCCACTGCATCGAAGATTACTTTGGGAATATCTGTGGCTGTAACTAGTGCAGTTATCGCGTATGTTCATTTGTCGCAGCGATGGGATCTTGAGAAAGTTCGGCAAGGCGTCGAAACAGACATCCAGCGCCAAAATTACCGCCGTTTGGAAAAGACGCAGACGGGCGCAGAGAATAACTACCTTCCGGTTTCTCCTTCCCAGTCATAAATTTGCGAAGCAGCGCCATCTAAATCGCCCTTTTGTTTCTATATGACTTTTACGCCTTCAGCCCAGTTAATTTGTAATTTGATGTTTTTGTTTCCGGAAACGCGGAAAGACATGTTTTATAATCGTACCACCAGGTATTTGTGATATCTGGGCACCCCGGGCCCGGGGCGGTTGCTTGTAGTATTCTGTCCGCCTTGCCTGCCTCCACTCTACTACTGCTGAAATACTTCCCGTACTTTATTTTTCTACTTTCGCTTCGGCTTAGCCGCAAATTTGAAGAACTTCGCCACTCGCCAGTCGCGACTTTTGGTTTTTCACTGAACTTGACGACTTGTCCCATTCTCGATACAAGATTAAAACCGAAGTTTCTTACATTTCCGAAGGTGTTGACCATTGTCTTCGACGTGGAATAATCCATAGGGGAAACGATAAAGGTATGTACCTACTACCACTGCCGTCTACAGCGGAACGAGCGACTGCACAGTCGCGACTCGCGAGTCACTAAACTCTAAGAGCTAGCTGCGCAATAACACGGCTTTCAGTATCTGCTAGAATTTATGTTTTGAATGTAGCCATTACTGTTTACAGTAAAGATTTTTCCTGAGCTCGTTATTCATGCAGCTTTGCATACCGGCAGGGAATGTAAGAGCTAAAACCGGCATTACAGGTAAATGAAAAACTAGAACGAAGCATCAAGCTGGAGACTGGTTCTTATAAGATAATTATTGAAGCTTGAACTTCCTGCTTTCCTGCACGATTCTTGGCGACAGTTAGTTCAGAAAATTTTGTACTCGTAAGAACTAAAATTAATAGCAGCGGGCAAATGACTTGCAGGAAACCTGTAACTGCTATCGAAGAACTATGGAAGGACAAGGGGATTCTGTTATGACGGAGTCGAAGAACCCGAGCAAATCGATGCTGAATGGAAATCCGGTCGCGGATGGAGACGCAGAAAAGGACATGACTTCAAAGGATTACTATTTCGACTCTTATGCCCATTTCGGCATTCATGAGGTTTGTTAGCTGTGATCCGGTAATTGGAACACTCATAATAGAATCTGCATGCAGAAATTCCAAAACTGTATGATTTGCAGGAAATGCTAAAAGACACCGTTCGAACCCTGGCTTACCGCGATGCTTTTGCCATGAATGAGCATTTAATCCAGGGGAAAGTAGTTCTGGATGTGGGTTGTGGCACCGGTATCCTGTCCATGTTTGCCGCTCGTGCCGGTGCAAAGAAAGTGTATGCCGTAAGTCTTTGCTTGTAGCATATGGTTGGTCGGTTATTTGCAACTGTACGATATTAATTTTACTTTATTTTAATGCCGTAGATTGACTGCTCGAACATCGTACATTCGGCGCGGCAAATCGTGAAGGATAACAAACTGGACCACAGTACGTGGCGCTGGCCTTTTTATGGAAATGTTTGTAAAACGAAAGGGTTTTTCCACAGTTGTTACGGTAATCCAGGGGAAGGTTGAAGAACTAGAACTGCCGGACGGATGTCAGAAAGTTGATATTATTGTCAGCGAGTGGATGGGCTACTGTTTGTTATATGAAGCTATGATTGATACGTAAGTGTTGTGCGTGGCTGTAGTATACTTCTACGTTCATTGTGACAGAATGCGCATGTGCATATGTTTATTCCAGGATAATTTATGCGCGCGATAAATGGCTGGCACCAGATGGTATCATGTTTCCCGATCGTGCCCAAATGTATATTTGTGCCATCGAAGATCGTGATTACAAAGAGGACAAAATTAACTGTAAGAAATTATTTTGATATTATAAGCCGGCATTTTTAGAAGTAATTGATATTGTGTCTCAGTATTCCTTCTATGTACATGCTACAGAGGGTTATTCAGCCAAGTGTGGACACTTTTTGGAAAATTTCTCCTTAGCCGTCGCAGGCTCATTTTACTTTTTTAAAAATTTTATCAGGTAGCCACAACATCCAGTCATACTTTAAATTCAACCGGGTCCCGATTCCCTCATCCTGTAGCTTAGGAAAAAATTAAGTTTGTCCCCCCCATGTTGGCAACAGTTGACCAGTTCAGCTATAGAAAATGGATTCCCTTTATTCAAAATTTATCTAAAATTTGGATTTCCGCCATAACCCGTTGAAAACCTGTCGAGGGTTTCGAACTATCCTTTTTCTGAAGGAATTACTAGTTTTTCTCGATTGGGAAGCTGCATCCTTGTTTTCTCAGCAGTGCTCCCGGGAGCACGTCTCGGGTTCTGGATGACTTCTTCTTCCCTGCCAGGTTTGATCCGTGGAGCGTCTTTCTCGACCAATGAACATTGCAAACGGTAGAGAAAGACTTGTTTTACAATATTAGTTTATAGAGAGACGGAAAGGATAGCTATAGTTTCGTGCATAAGAGCTCGCGCAATGGGCATGGCTCCTGCGGGTCCCTTCCTGTTTTCGCGTTTTTTCCAACCGTCCTACCGCAAGAATGCGCAAGAATATGAAATCGTTTTCGCTATAAAAAATATTTGGATCGTCGTTTTTTACAATTAAAACCATGCAGATTTGAAGAACAGACGATCCTTTTAAGGCCAGGTGTCCGAAAGCCAAATTTTGACTGGTCAAGGGGTGGAAGTCGGAGTCTTTTGGTTAACAGACAATATCGCGAGCATTTTACGTTGGATTTTCACCAAAATTTGCGAAAAGCATTCGGATTAGTTAGTCGTTGTATTGAGATGCTTATGACATCATTTCTCTTGAAATGAAATTTATAAGGAATTTTTTTTCGAAGTGTCCACACTTGGCTGAATAACCCTCTGTACTTACTGGTCGTGGTTAAGTGGAAAATTACCATACGGTACTTTACCTTTTGCTATCGTAATTTTGTATGTTTGTTTGTTTTTAGGGTGGAAAAATGTTTATGGATTTGATATGACGCATATGCGAAATCACGCCTTATCTGAGCCGCTGGTAGATACAGTGGACGCGCGTCAGATTGTTACGAACCACAGTATGCTGATTGTGAGTTTGTCTTTGATAAATTTGCAGTAAATTTATTTGTACCTAATAACATTGATAGAATTAATATTTGCGGCTCAGTAATAACTTCTGCTGAAGGATCGTGTTCAGGAACGCTTTTTTAAAAACTATTCTTGTTTTGTAGGATATTGACATGTATAAAGTAACGGTCGCCAACAAAACTTTTGGCGTGGATTTCGATTTGGTGGCCAAACGGGATGATTACATTCATGCGCTTGTTGTATGGTTTTCTGTGGATTTCACGCGCTGCCACCGTAACATTCGCCTTACTACCTGTACGTCCTGGGTCTCCATTCATTGTCTCTAATTACCGGAAATGCGTGTGCCTGAAAAATTTTTTTCATGTTTAGCTCCTGAATCTGATTATACCCACTGGAAGCAAACTGTGTTTTATTTGGACCGGTATCTCCCCATTAAACGGGGAGAGCGATTGTTTGGGAAATTTGCCGTTAGTCCAGGCAAACAAAATGTCGTAAGTTGGTTTTTTTTAATAGCGGATTTTTAGATATTTGAAGTACTTGTATGCGATCTTATTTGCTTACTAATAACCTTTCAGCGGGATCTGGATTTCGATGTCGAAATCAACTTCCAAGGACAACACGGTAAGCTGATAAATTGCACTGGAGACTAGTTGCTGTTGTTTACCCGATTTGTTTTTACTTTTTAGGCTATCTGCATTCGAAACAGAGTTTCAAGATGCGTTGAATGCCGTGACTGTCCTAACCGGTCGCTAATTTTCGTCTGATTTGCTGATGTACTTATTTCAGCGTTATTCTCTGCTATCTCCAGCTGATATTATCTGTGTTTAGGATTTGGGTTACTAGATACATTCGCTGCTGCATCTGGCTGGATGCACGTATTGTTAACACCCGTTTACAGTTGTTTTGTTTTTGGGAGATATTGTTGAAGAAACAACGAACTGCTGTTGAAGTGTTTGTATCGTCATAAAATTCGCTGCACCATTACTGAGCTTGTGTGGGTGTGGTACAATATTTTAAAAAAAGTTTCGCGATACAAGTACAGACTGAGTACCAAAATGGATGAAGGATGAGAGGCAGAAATTATGGAAGCATCATTATGAAAAGCACGAATGAGACCAAACCATTACAGCTCCTTAGGGGCAAATGCCCACTCACGCACCGCGATGTTATGGCCAATTATAAATTTTCAAAAATGAAATTTCAAACTGACTGCACTGCAGTTGGCCGCTTTAGCTGCCCTGGTCTGTTAAGTTACAACTACTGCGCTTCCAAGTTTTGCTAAATTAAATCTTCATGCCGATAACACCTCCGTTACACTTATAACGTAGAAGCGATAGCTGTTCTTCAACAAGCAGAATTTCAAAATTTTCCCGGAACGCAACAGTAAGTTGTTAAATTAAGATGTTAAGTTGTTAACCGTAAACTGAAGACGAAGTTAGAAATGCGCCCAGATAGCCAGCTATGGTACATAAGTAATTGTTCAGCAAATTTACATTATTGTTCAGCAAACTGTTTTGTACAGATGTAACAACACCAGAGTGACCAGACCCTAAAACAACACTGTTAGCACCGGGTTACATGCAGCAGCTGATTGGTGAGCGGAGCGCGTCATCAAAATTCCCAACAACAACACTTTACAGTCTTTACCCAAAATCTTTGCAGATAATTAATTATTAGTTACTTGTCAACCTTAACAAAAGCGGATATTTATGAACGATTGACTGTTTTTCGTTCATTTTTACTTACAGTGAGATACGTTCAAGTATTGGAATGGATCTGCCATCATGATAGTACATAGTACTACATACCTATTACCTGTAATAAGCTTTTAGCTTTCAACTTTCTTATGATGACACCTTTTGCAGCTCGGTGGCGATGTGTTGTGCATCGTTACAGTGATCTGCGTGGGTTTTGGATTTGTTGTGCAATCTTTGAATACAAGCACTTGTATTGCAAGTTGCCATATTGAAACTGTACCTTTAGTTGGAAGGCCGTTTTCGGCCCGGAGGAGAAAGCAATCTGCAATGGCCGTAGCCTACGCGCCATGGCATAGAGAACAACTTGGAAGTCCAGATCAGTTGGATTGTCTCCTGCCAAATGGAATATACCTCTCCCTGGCCGTCGAGCGCCATACGACACTGGCGCACTTGAAAACACAGCTGTGGAAAGAAGCTCAGAGAAGTCCACTACATTATCTCTTAGATGAATTCACGGATTACATATTTGTGGGCATCACCACCGATGCGCCTTTCCGTCAGGAGTTTTTCGATGAATCTCGTCAGTTGACTGATTTGAGATTATTCTTGCCTGCACTGCAGTTAAAGGAAGTCGAAGGGAATCGCGAAGAGAAAAAAGCCAGCAACGAAATCGGTATGCTGCACTTGCAAAAGCAACATAGTTATTCCAATTGGAACTCGTACTTTGCAGTGTGTGCTGGAAATTATAAGACAGTTAGGCCGATTTGACGTCTTTTGATTTTAATAATTAGAAGAACTTAGTTTTCGCGTCTCCTTTTATTAATTTCGAGTTTTTCTTCGCATTTAAATCCATTATTAATTTTGTTGCCTGATGTTTGTCTTGTGCTTTCCAGTTCAGTGCATATGTCATATGTTAATCGGCAAATGCAAGGATCCGGATTGTGTATTAACGAGCGGTTTTGCTGTCTTGTAGGTGAAGTTTGTGGGATAAATATAGCAGATTTCAATGCATGGAACGAGCAGGAAGCCGTGGAGTATCGGCGAACACTTCTGAACGTTACCAAAGAAATTTCGGAATTTCGCGAAATGGGAGGAAAGAAAGCGCTTGCCTCATATTTTTACCCTTCGCAACTAGAAAGCGAAGAAACATTTAATAAAGACATGAAAAATTCCCTTGAAGGGGGTATGTAATATATTTCCCTTGAAGGAGGATTTTCTGTTTAGCGTTTTGAACTTTAAAGTACACACTAACCAGTAAGTAGTACAATATTGTACAGTGCTAACAATTTACGTTGATACATGGGCAGTATTTGTCGTTCCTGATGGTTTATTAATGTAAACATTTTATCCTCCTCATTTTATACTCTGTGGTAAAATTTATGCGATTATTTCTCCTCATTGTGGATTTTATGCAGATGTGGAAATTTTTTTGCTGCCTCCGATCTCCAAACGGCGCACCTCTCTGCGTATCCGAGTGAGTTACCGCGATATGCCCAGCGATGTGGTTTTCCGCTGTCTGCAGGAAGGGCTGCACGAGCTGGCCGACCCCAACGCGCTACCGTCCATGAGAACTTACGCCGAACGCAATTACGAGAATTATGTGCTGAAAGTGTGTGGTCGAGAGTCGTTCTTCTTACGAGGCAGCCCTTTCATTCAGTATAAGGTATGCAAACGGGCAGTTGCTTTTGCTGTTGAAACTCATTATTAAATTGCGCGAAAAATTTGCTATGTGATGTTTTTTTGTTCAGTATATTAGAAATAATCTTGTCTACAAGCGAGCAATCAAGTTGACGTTAGTCTGGAGGGAGGATCTTTTGAATGCCCTGGACCCATCTCCAGTTTCCCTGCCCAGCATTGCACGTAGACCACTTCCGGTGCCCGTCGTGAAAACGCAAAATTCTACGTGGCATTGTGATAGAAAATTCTCCGTGAAACCTACTGGTGTGATGAAGCTTGCCGGAACGGGCGAAAAGGTAATTGATAGTCAGATACTTAAGATTGATAATGGGTCTTCGAAAATTAGCCGCTTCTATTTTTCCGGATCAATATTCTCATATTGTTTGTGAATAACCTTTTCCATTGTCAGCTGTTCGTGCGAGCTGGCTTATATTGGGGAACGGAACCTCTCTGCCCAGCTCTTGATACGGAGCAGAAGCCTTTTAACGATCCCCGCTGGAAAGATCCGTTGAACTTTGACATCAAAATCAGCGATATTCCCCAGGCTGCCAAATTGTGCATTGCTGTTTGTGCCACTCTACCACGCAAACGGAAGGACAGAGGCGCCGAAGTAGGAAACACCTTAGCAGCGCCCTCCGCTGCTGTTGGACGCTCTGCGTCGTTGTCTCGCCCGAAAAAAGAGCAAATGGTAGGGATTGTTGTTTCCTTAATGGCTTTTGGTTTGTAGAAGCGTATATAGTTTTTGCAGTTCATGACGCGATAATTGCAGGATTATGTTGCGTTAGCATATGCTAACATAAACGTGTTCAATTGCCGGGGAGAATTGCTAAACGATCAGCTTACCATAGGATTATTTCCCACCTCCCGGGACTTTACGCATATTCTTAATCCCTGTGGTGTGACGGGTTCAAATGCCAATAAAGATTATGGATATTTGACCTTGCGTTTTGAACAAGCTGCTTTGGTATACCCGTTGCACGCAGCCGTATTAGCTTGTGCTGGAACGCCAACCGAAGTTTTTCCACCGGAAAATGTTCGTACAGAAGTTGACGTACAATATTCCCTTTACACGTTGTAGTTCAAAAATTTTGAATTCGTATTTTCATTTCTATGCAGCACTTTAACATAAACGCAATTTCGAATGAAGTACATATAGTAGCGTCGACTGGTATGTGTTTGTTATTTTATATTTCTGCGAGGTATTTTGACGCGCACGTACCTCCATTTCCACCGTTTGATCCGTTATGTTTGCCCTTTTCAGCCCGTAAGCTGCATTCGCTTTGCGCTGTTGCGAAGAAAATCATGTGATTTATGTAGGTGGAGAATCTTAACGCGGATGAACTCCAAGCCCTTCGATTACTGGCGAAAAAGGATCCGCTGTATGACCTGAGCGAACAGGAAAAGGAGATGTTATGGCGTTGTCGGTATGTCTACTGCCGGTGTGATTCGCTCTGTTTTTAAAATTATTCTGTCAATAAACAATAGAAAAAATTGCCCGGAAGTTCCAGAGTGTCTTCCAAAGTTACTAAGTGCGGTGCGTTGGTCGAATCGTTCAGAAGTGGGAGAGGTAAGGAATTTCTTTGCCGATTGTTGTTTAAGTAATAATTATGCCATTGAATGTTGTTGTATTTTGTAGTTGTATGCTCTGTTAACCCAGTGGCCATTTGTACCACCAGTAGTTGCCCTTGAACTCCTGGACTGTAAATATCCCGATTCTGAGATCAGAAAGTTTGCCATACGATCTTTGGACCGTGGGTGTACGGACTCAGAATTGGAGCGTTATCTCCTGCCTCTTGCTCAAGTCAGTTTTAGTCCGACGAAGCGCAGATGAAACAGCTAAGGCCAGAGAAGAATGCCAATTTAGCTGTTCGGTCTTTAGGTGTTGAAATACGAGCAGTATCTCAGTTCCCCCATCGCCGAATTTCTCCTTCGTCGGGGGCTTCAGAACAGGCGTATTGGGCAGCTGCTGTTTTGGTTGTTGAAGTGAGCACCCTCAATAATACTATGACTACTTGAGTCTTCTTCGCTCCGTCAGTATTAAGGTCCATGAGAGTTAACTTGCAGTCCTCGTTAATCACGCATTTTTTAAGATTGCTTCTGCATTAAATTTAGTCTGATTAGCGCTTATTTTTTGCAAAGTAATTGTTTGTTTTAGGGCCGAAATGCACGACAACTTTGTTTTTCAAAGATTTGGTTGCATTCTTGAAGCGCTGTGCCGTGGTAGTGGCGCTTACACCAAAGCACTCTGTCGGCAAGTGGCTGCCTTGAATAAACTACGGGATCTCAGTACGGCTGTGGTGCAAGGCGAGGAAGGAAAGGTACTGTGCCGCATAGAGATATCCATCGTAACGTTTATAATTCACTCTGTTCCCGCAGAAATACGTTATGGAACAGTTGAAAGTAGATGAAAATATCGCCTGCCTCCAGTGTTTTCCATCCCCGCTTGACTGCGACGACACACTAGGCGATTTAATGTAAGCCGTGGCTGTGAAAAAGGTGTATCTTACGGTGGCCAGTTTGAATTTCACCGGAAAAAATTTTAGTGCCGCGGAGTTCAAAGTTCTCGGATCTGCGAAACGTCCGTTGTGGCTTGTGTGGCACAATCCGGATCCCTTGGCAGATTTGTTTTACACTAAACATGCCATTATCTTCAAAAATGGTGATGGTAAGTATTAAATTCGGTTTTGTTTTGTGAGGTACACCAGCCATGGGGTACGTTCGTACGGGCGTACTGGACAATCCAACAAATCTTTTGCTTTATAGATCTCCGGCAAGATATGCTTACGCTGCAGGTTATGGCGTTAATGGACAATATCTGGCAGACCGAAGGATTGAATTTACGGTTGGTGAAAAGTTTAGTCGGTTTGCACTTTGTCGTGCAGAATAAAATCATCCAAGGCGACTATGAAAAGCGTTACACTTGCAATAAAAACCTAACCTTTCTGCTATTTAAGCAGTGGTTTACCAAATCCTCTTCCGTATCGTAGATTGATACCTTATGGATGTCTTCCCTCAGGAAAGAACATGGGTGTAATTGAAGTCGTGCGTAATTCAAAAACTGTCATGGCCATTCAGAAACAGAAGGGCGGTATGCGAGCAACTATGCAGGTGGATAATTTTGCTGTTTTTAAATGGTTGAAAGAAATGAATCAAGGTACATCGCAATATGAGAGAGCTGTGGATAATTTCACCGCCTCTTGTGCTGGATATTGCGTGGCCACTTTTATCCTGGGAATCGGCGACCGGCATCCGGATAACATCATGGTGACCGAATCCGGTCAAATGTTCCATATTGATTTTGGACATTTTCTTGGCCATTTCAAAAAAAAATTCGGAATAACTCGTGAGCGGGTGCCGTTTGTTTTGACACGCGACTTTATTAATGTAATTGCGAAGGGTTCCGAGTATCCAGAGCGTACAACGGAGTACGGCCGATTCAAGCAGCTGTGCTGCAATGCGTACAAGATAATGCGACGTAACGCTAATTTGCTCATTACACTTTTTGCCATGATGCTCTCTACCGGCATTCCAGAACTGCAGTCACTGGAGGATGTGGCGTATTTACGTAATACGTTGGCTGTAGACAAAACGGACGAGGAAGCGATGAATTACTTCGTGGAAAAACTGAACGAAGCGTTCGTGGATGCGTGGACCACCAAAGTTGACTGGTTTTTTCATGGAGTTAAGCATTTGAATACTTGACTGTGATAAATTTAAATGTTTTTGATTGCGATATTTTCTCAAAGACAGTTATTGCTGCTATGATGCAACTTGTATTACCGTAATGGATAAGTTATTTTGGGTGACAGGATTTTTGGATTCAATTTATTTTTTGAGTATTTTGTAGTTTATTCTTTTGCCAACCGGTGGATGTATTTTATTTTTGATTTTTCCCCGTCCATATTTGCCTGTTTTGTTCTGGAGTTTTCGGTATTTGTTTGTTCAGACTGCTGCGTGTACAAGTTTATTTATGGCAATCCAAATTAAAAACCGTATCGGTGAAAGTGGCGTTGTTTACGTATTAAGATTTCCGTTTGAATGATTTAGTTATAAGTACCCGAACATTAGTAACGAATAGTGCATTTGTGCTGAAATCGAGAACATTTCAGCAGTGCTATCAACTTCTTAATATTAATTAACCGGTGAAGTTAAATAAGAATTTTTTACAATGTGAACACATGCGCTGATAATGCGATGATACTCGTAATACTTGAAAAACCGTTGCGTCGTAAATTCGTATACGTAAGAGTCCGCGTCTCAGCGACAAATCGTGATATACTCGTAGGGACGTTTTCATATATACGCCGTCCATGATGGCATGAAATAATCCTCCACATTAAATAGCCTAGCCATTTCGCTACCGCTCCTTGGCCAATTTTTGAAGTAAAAGACACGTTTTGCATCGCTTAAGTAGGCTCCCCACCAACCAAATGTCCCAACGCTCAGCACAATGTGATCCATTAAGGTCAGCAATGCCATATCGACTTCCGGTGAACTGTTTTCCACAAAGAGAAAATTGGGGAAACCCGTAAACAACTCCCGACAGTAATCAATTTCGTTACTAACAACTATAAAAACAATCGAGTCGTAATCCTGGTGGAATCGAAGGACCGCTCGCAGGAGATATTCCTCGGACGCCGGTCGGTGTCCGTACTTTACTTGTACGCTAGTGGCCATGTCACCGCGACGAACGTGAATGCCGACTAAAGTTGGCAGTGAATCCGCCGAGCTATTACGCACATAATTATCAAATAACGGTTCAATAATTTTCAGTGTTCGATTGTAGACGTCTTCTTTGAAAGTAAAGAGCGACCGGATATCGTCACGATACGCGTTGAAGTATTTCCACGATTGCAAATATCCGTCAGTAATAACATTTTTATCTATTGAGATATTCGTCAATGAGGGCGTATATTTTCCAGCTGATATCTCACGCAGCGTAACATTTTGGATCGCTTGCTGATCGTCACTTCCGACAAAGGTGGACATGTTTAATCGCTCCAAAGAAAAATTGGCGAAATGTTGATTGGCCCAGGAATAATCGAACAGTACCACCGGAACACGATGGGTCGTTCGGGATATTCCGAAAGCCGAGGCAATCATGAACATCCAGTTGCCGAGTCCGCCTTGGCTCTGGAAATTGCACGCAAGCATCAACGGGGTTTGGTTTTTTCTCGAATATTCGGAAACGATTTGTGAAGTGGTGATTTGGTGAGAAGTGGACCGTGAGAGATGCTGACCAATTCGTAGCCGCAGTCGTGCCATTGTGACACCAAAAATGTTGGCGGGTGAAAGGTCAACATAACTTGACAGTACTGAGTCCATGGGGTGTTCCTGACGATTGAGATCGTCCAAACCCTTTTTAATAAAAGTATACATTCAGGCTTAAAATTGCAGTTAATGTTAAATGCCAACATAATACATGTAGTATGGAAATAATCAAAATGTAAAACAAATTCTGTATCATCATTTACACACGCCTAAATCTACAGTCAGGGATGCAGTCATGTTTATAAGTGCGAGTATTACCTCATCAGTCAGAGCAACTTTGTTGTCGTCATATAGCAATGTCAGGACCGGCTTTAAATCGTCGACAGCACTTGCTAATTGATCTGTCGGCAGTTTTGGATTAAAGTGTTCTTCCTGTGAATGCGAACTGGGTAAAGTAGAACTCGCCGAAGGCGAGATGACTTGCCTGTCTGATTCGGCATTTATCGCAGCGGAAACATTGCTCAGTATCCGCATCGGCGAAAGCGGCGCATCGGTGATTAGCACAGCAACGTTACCGTTGTGATAATGCATCGGCTCATTCTTGGCAGTTTTTTCTGAAAACTGCAAGGCTTGTAACGGGATCAGATTGATAAACCGTTGTCTGGAGTCGGTGAGGAGTGTTATCGACGATATGAATACGATTAACATTAAAGCAAAACTGCACGACAAAATGATCCATGTCATGCGGCAACGCAAAGCCATTTATGTGGTTTAATTTCCCAATATCGATTATAGACAGATCACCAGAAAAAATTAATTAAGACGATTCAGAAATGAATGCTGATGGCTTATTGCACTTACCAAAATCATGGCTAGCATAAAAAATTATTTTTTTGGTTGTATATGAAACATGATAATTGTTACTACTGAAACAGAACGAAATAATATTATATCCCGTATAGCTGGTTAATGGCCGAGGCACGATCCATGGATCACCGGCGATTCCATGAAGTACAGCAAGACAACAAAATTTTCAAGATGGCGAGCTGAGGTTAATTTAGCTCTGAACATGGATTTAACTTACTATAAAATCTGATAAAAATAAATTTTTTCAGGATCATATGTTCCACCACATCACAGCGTATTGAAAGCAAAAATATAATGCAGTGAAATTAGTAAAACGTGTATCAATAATAAACTTAAGACACCGGCAATCACACTATGAGCATATTTCCTTTCAACAAATACAACTATAATTATTTCATAACTCGCACATTTACGTAAGCGTTCTCTACGGCATACGGATATAGTCTGGACTGGACTGCTCATTAATAACTGTGTGGTTGGTTTTCACAGTTTCTCGTGTGTTGACCGAAATTTCCGAACGTCATTGAACTAGCTTTTACCTCAGAAACATAAAAGTACCTGTTTACGCATTTCCTTTTCAAACGGACAACACGAAAAGTTATCAACAGTTTACTCAGCAGTTCTGCTTTGATTTTTTCAACAATTTCAAAGTGCCGCAGCCGGCATATGTATGTGCGTCAGATTGTCACATATTTTTATTAACTATGGAGACAAAAAAACAGAAGTGACAGATTCAAATCTTTCAGTCTAATTGTTTCAGACAGATTTGCTAACTGCTACGCACACGGTATGATATGTAAACTGATACGCTCACTAATACGGATTCATTAATGTACAACAGTAGGCTGGATTAGACTGACATTATAACACCGTACGTATTGACGATATTGTACATTGCTAGCTGTGACTTTAAATCAAAAGATGGCAGAACACTCTGGCGAGTAGAAAATTTTTATCACCGGTGCACAATGAAAAATGGATTGTTTTCACTGCTCAAGAGCAGACTATCTTCTTTCAACCAGATGATACGAAAGACTCGTACGGTGCGAGTTAACGTTATGGGTTGGCAACACATCCAACAAAGCAGTAAAGATGGCTCTTGTTGTGACGCACAGAAATGAGGAAAGGATAGTCTGCTTTGAATTCTTCGGCCGGCGGGCCGCTGTTGTCTTTCTGGCTGGTCTTTGGAGACGCTTTCAGAAATGCAAAGGCACTTTTTCTGCCGGTGCCGGGCGTACCCGGACTGTTTCCGCTGCCGGCTTCGGCTGCCCGAGAATGCACTTCGCGGTAGCGAGTGTTCTTGAACGCAAACGTACCGTCTTCATCCACTTCTGTAATCACGAAGACACTTTCGATTCTTTATTTTTAGTTTACATCGCTTAAACACAAGATGAGTGGGTTGTGCTCTAATTCTAATTCAGTTACTGTACTATGAAAAAGTACCAAAATTTCCAAGTTTTCTCAAGCAGAGTAGACGTTAGCGGCACTTACGAATGGCGCATTTGTGAATTCCTTCGGAAATTTTCAGACCTTGAGGCGTCATTTGGTTAAGTCCCGTGTCGCTCAAGAAAATATCCCGAATTCCGATACTGTTAAACAGTGTTTTGATGTCGTAGCTGCATTCGATGAAAAATTTTGGAATCGTAATATCCGTCAGTTTCATGCGTCGTTGCCTGTAGTACAGAATATTTTGCTCAGCACATACATGGTTAATTGAAGTTAGCGTTTAATCGCTAACTTGTTTTAACGATGCGAGAGAAACGCCGGCAAGAGCTACTCTCTTTCTGCACAGGACATTAAAGATTAGCCGCCGGACTTTGAGCGAACCGACAGATGCATTTTCTCTTCCTTCCTGGAATGTAGCACCAGCATGTGTGCCAGCGAATCGCCTGCCTTTCCTGTGCGGACGGTGTGCAAACTGCCTTTTGCCTACGGACTACCTAACCGTCAGTTCTATCTCACGCTGGCCTAGTTGTATTTATCGCATTGGTGTTTTTCGGCATGTGCGAGTCCTTTGCCTGTTATCCTCACTTTTCGTGTGTGTCAAAATTGGATGTTGATCATTGAAAGTTAACGTTGCAATTTTCCTGTTATCGTTGTTGTCAGCATTGTGTTTTCACATAAAGCATGACTGGACGGCGCGGTAGGAGATCCAATGCGCCGGGACCGCCTGCGACACGGCCAGCTCGCGGCCGTCCGCGTGCGCGCGCGAACCCTATTACCCGTCCGACGGCATCTGGTGGAAGTACTGGCGCGGGAAGCACAGGAGATCTGGATTCTCAGATTGCCATGGCAAGGCAGCATTTGCAGTCGTTGTTAGCGCAGAAGGATGCGGACGTCATCCCTGTCTTGTCGACATCGGAGGCCCCACCACCACAGCCTCCACAGCCACCACCGACGGAAACGACTATGCTGCTTCAGCTCATGATGAATCAGCAGAATCAGCTTGTCCAGCTTACTCAGAAGGTCAACGAGGCCCAGGCGGCGCCATCCACCAGCACCGGAGCGAGTAACAGTAAGAAACCGCCACCGTTGCCGGCTGGGTTCCCAATTGTCAGTGAGAAATGTCTTGAAGAACTGTACGATCTTACGGTGAACGTTGACTTAGATAAATTGCTTAGAGCAAATACCATCATGTCGCCGATTCAGGGAGAAGCTAAATTCGAGATTAGGGATGGAAACTTTATTCTTTCTGATTCAAAGCCGAAGAAGATTACGATTACCTCGTTCACTCTGTGGAACGAAGCATTTATTGTGTTTCGCCGTGTGCGCAGTTATTACTATCCCGCTCTTCAGCAACCGCTCGATTCTTACCATACGATTATGACTGAAATGGCAGGTGTCTACCTGCCGCCAGTGTGGTTGGAGTATGATAAGACTTTTCGTGCCTGCCGCATCCGTGATGTCACTAACCATGATCAGTGGAACCTGCTGGATCGAAACTTGCTGGACCGCTGTATAGCCAGGCATCCGCTTCGCGCTCATCTGCCATTATGTCGCGACTGCAGCATTGCGGACCATACAGATCAGGACTGCCCGAAAAAGCTCCAGATCACTGCACAGGGACAGAAAGACGCAAAGGGGGATCGGCCCTTTCGACACATCCCGCCAGACTTGTGCAGGAACTGGAACAACGGGAGATGCACCAACGGTTCGAACTGCCGCTTCAAGCACTTGTGTGGAACATGCAGGGCGGCCGACCACACCGTCCACGAGCACGATTCAGCCCAGCATAAGCCTGCCAGTAGTACTAACGCCAAGGCCGGAGGTGGCGACGCCCGTTTCCGACGAGAGACTCGCTGAATTACTGGTAGAGCATGATGACCGTGAGGCTGTGTGTTTTCTATTGCAGGGTTTCAGGTTTGGCTTTGCAATCGGATATAACGGCCCACAAGTACGCCGGTTTACCGCAAACGCACGTTCAGCACTCCAAGATCCACAGGTCATCACCGCAATGATCATGAAGGAGGTGCAAGCCAATCATGCAAGGGGTCCATTTAAAGTGCAGCCACATCCGAATTTTGTTGTGAATCCACTTGGGCTGCGCCCGAAGCGACCGTCAGGCCATCGAGTTATTATGGATCTGTCGCAACCATTCGGACTGAGCGTGAATGATTTTATTCCGAAAGATAAGTATTCGCTAACTTACGTAGGCGTAGATGATGCAGTTAAAATGGTGATGTTTCATGGGCGGGGATCGTTAATGGCAAAAGTAGACATTGAGAGCGCATTTCGTAATTTACCAGTCAGGCAGAGCGATTGGCATTTGCTGGGATACGAATGGGAAGGGCAGTTTTACCATGATGTAGTAGTCCCGTTCGGTTTACGTTCAGGCCCGTATTTGTTCGACACCTTTGCCCGCATGCTCGAGTGGATATTCAAAAAGTGTACGGGAAGTGATACGTTTCTTCATTTTTTGGACGATTTTTTCATGTGCGGTAAAGCAGCAAGTTGGGCATGTGGGCGGTTAGTAATGCAGGTTCAGTCAGTGTGTAAGTATTTGGGTGTTCCGATCAATGAGAAAAAGTTGGTGGGTCCGGCTACGGTAATTGAATTTCTCGGTGTAGAGATCAACAGTGAAAGCTTTACCTTATCTGTATCGGCCGCTCGTTTAGCAGAGTTAACAGAGTTACTCGAAAGCTTTTCCGCATGTACGCAATGCACAAAACGGGAACTTTTGAGCTTGATTGGTAAGCTGTCATTTGTGACGAAATGTATACCGGCCAGCCGAATATTTTTGAGACGCATGATTCAACTGAGCTGCAAGGTGAATCGGCTGTATCACCGGATTACACTGACGGAGGGATTCCGTCGTGATGTTGCGTGGTGGAGGGAGTTCTTACCGGCATGGAACGGGACGGCCGGCTTTGTACAACCAGAATGGTTACCGGCAAGCGTACTACATCTGTACACTGACGCGGCAGGAGCGATAGGTTTTGGAGGCACGCTCGGTAATGAGTGGTTCCAGGGCGCGTGGCCGGGTTGGCTGCTAAAAGTGAACCCACCGATAACGTTTCTGGAAATGTACCCAATCTATGTAGCGTGCGTTATTTGGAATGAACAGCTGTGCGGAAAACGAGTGCTTTTTCATTGCGATAATACAGCGACAGCTCAGACATGGTCAGCTGGCAGTTGTAGGAACCCAGCGGTGATGGAGCTCATACGCAGAATTCACTTTGTTACGGCGCGGTTTAATTTTATTATTAGAATTACGCACATCGCTGGCGTTGATAATAGCACTGCTGACGCATTGTCTCGATTCCAGTTGCAACGTTTTCGTCAGCTCCATCCTTCAGCGGACGCCAACGGTATGTCGGTACCGGATCTGCTTACACGGCTGAAACCATTCCTCATCGGAAAGGAGCCTCCCATAACAACCTCGACGCCGGCGCTCTTTTCGCCGCCGGAGTGGCTACTTCTACCCGAAGAGCTTACGCAATTGGAGAGCGAAGTTTCGAGCAGTTTTGCAGATCAGCAATGAAACAACCATGGCCAGCCACTCCGGAAACAGTCGAAGATTATGTGGCATACTTGTTCAACCGGAAGTCGTCATCGTCAACTATAAATGTGTATGTAGCCGCTGTTGCCAGACGTCACATATCGCAGAAATTGGCCGATCCCACAGCCAACCCCAGACTGAAGCAGATTGTGGCAGGCGCCCGCCGACTGACTGGAACGCAACCGGATCAACGACTTCCGGTCACTTTTCAGTTGTTGGGACGCCTTCCAAGCCGATTACATCTAACCTTCCCCACACAATACGACCAACAGATGATTTGGGCCGCTTTCACGATGGCTCATCATTTCCTGCTGCGAGTGTCGGAACTGACATCGCCATCACCGACAATGTTTGAGATGTCTGCCACTCTCCTGCTCCAAGACGTGCGTTGGAACGACTCTATGCTGCAGCTTTCCATCAAGCAGTCGAAAACAGACCAGCAAAAGAAGGGAGCTACGCTGTCTTTGACAGCTTGCGAAGCTCCGATCATCCACAGCGCCTGTGTCACATATGCCCAGCAGCGTCAGCATCGACAGCCTTCTGATTTGCCATTTTTTATCCTTAGCAGCGGCCGCTTCCTCACGCGGATTGACCTTACACGGGCACTGAAGACGACCCTTCCTGATGGGGAGGACCGCGCCCGCTATTCATCCCATTCTTTTCGAATTGGCGGCGCCACTTCGGCTGCCGCCGATGGCCTGTCAGCTGACGCCATATGTGAACGGGGACGGTGGAAATCGTCCTCGTTTAAGCGTTACATCCGCCCGCAACGTCTGCGCGTACCATTCTTGTTTGGGGCTCCCCTCACTCGCGCTGCTCTCTCGCTATGGTACGCACAGAACCGCACCGGAAGGCAGCCGCAACATCCTGGCCACGTATCAGGATCCAGCTCACTCCCTGGCCACGAATCAGGGTATCACCTGGCCACGAATCAGGTGTCTTCGACCCCTGACCACGAATCAGGGGGTCACCTGGCCACGGACCAGGTGACACTGCTCGCGATAACACGTATACGCTCCTTCCGGTGGCCGAGCATGTTCTGACGTTTTCCACGAGACTCCGCGGCCGAGCCGAGGCTGGCCATATGCCCCAAAACCATGTCGGCGTTTCTCGAATACATCGTTAATTGAAGTTAGCGTTTAATCGCTAACTTGTTTTAACGATGCGAGAGAAACGCCGGCAAGAGCTACTCTCTTTCTGCACAGGACATTAAAGATTAGCCGCCGGACTTTGAGCGAACCGACAGATGCATTTTCTCTTCCTTCCTGGAATGTAGCACCAGCATGTGTGCCAGCGAATCGCCTGCCTTTCCTGTGCGGACGGTGTGCAAACTGCCTTTTTGCCTACGGACTACCTAACCGTCAGTTCTATCTCACGCTGGCCTAGTTGTATTTATCGCATTGGTGTTTTTCGGCATGTGCGAGTCCTTTGCCTGTTATCCTCACTTTTCGTGTGTGTCAAAATTGGATGTTGATCATTGAAAGTTAACGTTGCAATTTTCCTGTTACCCGCCTTCCCAACCCTTTAGCAATTAACTCTTGTCTTGTTGACTTCGTTAGTTATAGCAGCACCAGTGTGAAACTCATTAAAGGCCATTCCTCACTCGCGCTGCTCTCTCGCTATGGTACGCACAGAACCGCACCGGAAGGCAGCCGCAACATCCTGGCCACGTATCAGGATCCAGCTCACTCCCTGGCCACGAATCAGGGTATCACCTGGCCACGAATCAGGTGTCTTCGACCCCTGACCACGAATCAGGGGGTCACCTGGCCACGGACCAGGTGACACTGCTCGCGATAACACGTATACGCTCCTTCCGGTGGCCGAGCATGTTCTGACGTTTTCCACGAGACTCCGCGGCCGAGCCGAGGCTGGCCATATGCCCCAAAACCATGTCGGCGTTTCTCGAATACATCGTTAATATCGCTACAGAAATTACTCACATAAATTAAGTAATTAACCTGATCAAATTACTGTATTACCGTACATGTGTAACTGTTTCCAGTTTATCTGCATCGATGTCAGTTGTTGAATGGATTTGGCTTTCGTTGGGATTGTTAGGAGCAATGAAGCGGTGTTCTGATAAAATGGGATCTCTACCATTTTAATTCCGGCGTGTTCGTCACAAGAGTAAGGAACTGTTTGGCGCATATTCATATACTGCACTTGTTTGGTCTTTCCGTTGTCCAATCGGAAAGGCCCCCAGAATGTGCGACTGCGTTCAAACGGTGTGTCCCATCCGGCCCGAAAATGGGCGGCCGAGGCGATTACGGCCCGCGGTCCGTTGTACTGGGCGTCAATCAGGCCTTCGGGAACCGACACATCGAATCGGCTCTCGATCTTCTCCTTCAGCCACGATTCAATGGCCTTCTCGCCTTCGTGTTTACTGAAATTCAGCTCCAGCTTCTCAATATCAATGTTCAGATTGCGATTGATAAGATCCGCAAATTCCCTTTGGATATCAACACTGCTTTGGACGATGATCTTCGTAGCCAAAACCATCTGAAAGTACTGAGCTGCCAGTTCTTCCGCCTGTTCAGTGGCCTCCTGGTCATTCCCGTCGCGGAATTTTGTTAGTGTTTTGATGGCCGCGCGGAACGCCATTAACACATTTTTGGCGTCATCGTTGCCTTCGAATAAATCTCCAAAGCGCAGCAACGATTCCAGTTGCCGATGTGCTGGCTCGCCTTTTGATCCGTAGTACAGGAGCGCCGCTACGGCCGTTACGGCAAAAGGGCTTATGATGGTGTTTTCTTCCTCGTTGGATTTTGACTCCTTCAGCTTCAGATCTCGAGCAGCAATAAACAGCTTACTAGTCATGGCATCGAGTGGCTTTCTCAAATAATCCATTTTCAATGGCGTACGTAACTAAATGCCTTTAAACAATCTGTTTGACTGAAATATATTAATTTTACAATTTCCTCGTTAACGTCGTACACAGTGGCGATTCTGCAGTATACCGTAGGTAAGTACTGTAATCCTGCTGCACTACCGGGCGCATCAGACTACCGACGTGCTGTGTTTGAAGTCACAAATCCTGTGGTATGATAAATTATTAGCAGAATGATCATCACAGTTTTCGCAGCAGCCATAAACCAACGAGATTTCATGGTTTAAGGGCAGCAGTTGTGTTCGTTACATAGCCGGGAGAGGAAGGACACGTGGCGCTTATGGCCAGAATATCTGTACAACACAAGTGAATAGAACAAATTACTGTTTCTAAAAAAATCTTAAGATTTGCACAGAGTTTCGGCTTCCGGCAGTGCGTTATTGTGCCCCAAACCATTAACTGAACTAATAAGCATTGTGAACTAATTTAATTTTCGAAGAAATGCCCAGTTCGGGAAAATATGCCTTATTACTGAAGGTGAGTAAGTGTATACTGATGTACACGACGTGCGCAGTCATATGGCGCTTATTTATTATTGCTTTTGTATTTACAGAGCACTAATGATAAGAAGCTTACAATTAGAATCACAACCGTGTACACATAATTTTTTCCGTTAAGGTACTGTACGAACACCATACAAGCCATCCATCCTCGTCGTTTTTGCTTGTTAAGACTGTGAAAAAAAGCACGGTTTCATGTCAGCAGCCGGCCAGCCGCTAATCGAAATTTGCGGTATCAGTATGAGAATTTCAGTGCACCGGACTTCTTATACTCGTACAAAAATTAAAACTCTTCTTGACGCCACAGGCGGTATTCGTAAGCTTCCAACAAGGGTATGGTTAATAACGGTGCATTCACGATTTTCGCAGGGCTTTCTACGTACCATTTACGGAGACATGACACAACCGGAAAACACAAAAAGTGCCGCTTTGTTATGCCTTACGGCAACCAAAAACGGTCTGTCTGCTTTGAATTCTTCGGCTTGTGGACCGGTTGCTGTCTGAGGCTTGCCTTTGGAAAAAAACGGTAAAGAAGCGGTAATCTTTTTCGGTAGCGGCTCATTGGGCTGCTTGGATGGCGGTGCAGGGCTGCTGTCGTCCACTTGTTGCGTGTAATCAATGTCGGATTGGAAAGTTCCATCTTCGTCAACTTCTGCACATTTATAATAATTACAGCAACATTCAGTTATTTGCATAATGATACAGCAACTAACTACTTTAATTCTAACTGCTTTTGAAACTAATTTGCTTTTCTTAGGCAACGAGGCATTATTACGTTAAAAGACTTAATTGGCATAAATTTAATTTACGCCATATTAGGAGAAGTATGCACATACTGTATTATACTACCCTATAGAGTGAGCGGTTATATTAATTATTGTACGTGTCAGTCACTAAATAAAAAACATATATGTGCAGCCATTCGTAGAAGTGTGCTGATTCATATTTAGATTTTACTAACAAATCTGTTAATGTTAATGTACCAGTACATACGTATGGCGCATTTGTGCAGTCCCTCCGATATGCGGAGATTCTTCTCAGAGGAAAACTTCAGCAACTCTGTTGTATCGTGCAGGATCTCTTTGAATCCGGCATGATTTAGCAGCGTCCGAAGATCGAAGGTGTTGTGAATAAAAAATCTTGGCAGCGTCAGATCAACTAATTTCATTCGGCGCCGCTGCAATTACAGTTTGCAACCATTATGGTATTGGTATCTGCACTACTCGTATTTATATAATATATTTAAGCGATCATTCGTACCATGTGTAGCGAGGTGAAGACGCTGTTGCTGACTTTTTGCAGCATCTCCGCTAACGGTGTGCTGCGTTTTGACGGTATCGTTAAAACCAGAGAGGCGCCGTTGGCGTAATACGGAATTTCGATCATTTTGATGCCGAAAGTCTCATCCTCAACATATGGAAAAGTATTTTTCATGTTCATAAACCACACGTCTTTATTCTTGCCGCTATCGAGTTTAAAAGATCCGCGATAGCTTGCTTCTGGATTGAAAGGAGTCTCCCATGATCCGCGGAAATGCGCGGCCGACGCGATTATTGCGCGCGGACCAGTGTACGTCGGATCAATCAGATTGTGCGGAATATGAGCCGAGAACCGGTTAGCCAGCTTCTGGCGCAGCCATTTCTCAATTTCCGCTTTTCCCAGCTCGACATCGTCCTTAAATTGTAGTCGTTCCACGTTGATCATCAAATTCCGTTCGATGGAAGACAAAAAATCTGCTTGTAAATCAATATCTTGTTGGACAAATATTTTATTATGGATAATCATGTGAAAGTCGCGCGCTTTGTTATCAGCGGCGCCATGTCGACTTTCCATTTCTTTGATTTTTGTCAGGATTTTTGTGGCACAACGGAATGCCATCAAGACCATTTTGGCCTCTGCCCGTCCATCGAACATATCCTCAAAACGCAAAATATTCTCCATTTGCCGATTGGCTGATGTTCCTTCTGAGGCGTAATACAGCATCGTAACGGCCGAGGTCACCGCGAAAGGGCAAATAACAACGTTGCCCTGTTCCCCGGCTTTGGATGTCATATCCCTGCACACCAGAAGATGCACCGTCAAGCATGTTTTTCACAACTATAACTTGACCACTTTTACCGAAAAACTGGTAATGTTCGTACTGACCTTGCCGCCAAAAACAGACGTAATGTCATCGTTTCCAACGGTTTCCGGAGCTGCTCCATGGTTAGGTGGATAAAAAGCAAAATAACAGTAAAAATTATCTGGTTTTCCAAAGATGCGTTGAACAGCTGATGAAATAACTTTTGTAGTAAGGTGCTTATTCACAACTTTGCTGCGCTCTGAAACGAACAATAATATGTGGTGGCATGTCGAGCCCCGCGGACACAATAAAGTGTATACAGTTGTAGCGGATGGGCCAACGTTTGAAGATTTTTTCGACGGAATTTGTATGCTATTCCTAATTTCCTAGACCATTTTGCCTGCGGGTCGCCGAACCTAGCTGCAATACACAGGAAATTGCTCACAGTTATAATCACACAAAATTTTAGATCAAAGATAATTGTCAGTTAACAACAGACATTATTCCGCACAATGGCAATGCGCAACATCTGACTCACAAGCATTCGCTCATCAGTCATCACTGAAACATTTGCCCATCGGGGTGTACAGGTAGACGCAAAACGGTGTAGGCCATTTCTGTAACTTATTGTTAGGCCATAGGCCAGCGAAATATACCTTCTTATTATTAGTGCTGCGATAATTTGGTTTCTCCCAGTGCTCGGTTAAAAGAGACAACCTGCATATTTAAAAAAAAAACATGTTTATTGTCTGTTTTGTCGTAGTACTGTATGTGTATGGTAGTATGTGTGGAATGGGCAAATACGGTACACACTACACATGCATATTATTATTATTATTCCTGTGAATTTCCAGCCGACTATATTACTAGTATCTGCTTTATTTACAAGCGAAACCTTTAAACAAATCTTGATTTATGAGAGCTCAGATATAAGTGATTCGGTGACATGAAGCAGTTTGAGCCATCATACATTATTTTTTTGTCTGAAACGACATTAGAATCTACCGGTATACCTGCTCAACATGTGAAATGTGTATGTATTACTTATTCGCATAATATACTCTAACCGCTGAAGTTTCTTTAACGGACGATGGTCACATCTAAATCAAGCGTGGAATTTTGCTAGAACGGAGCAAACAGACTGTGTTACTGTTTTTAATTAATTACTAGGCAAAACAATGTGTTCAGCAAACAATCATCATCAATGAAAGACATCGGCATACAAAAGAAAAAAACAGGGACACACAGACATCGAGTACAATAAACGCAGTGTCCACCCCGAAACATAATTAAGGCATAGAGCAAACTTGGTACATTCCCGGTGTGTGTCATACGCCCGTATTAATCATATCTTCAACCCTTTCACTTTGTATTATTCTGTACATCATTCACCGCAGTCATCAAATAAAAAATTCAAACCATTCCACGTGGTTTCCACTCTTTTGCAGAAGAAAAGCTGCCATGCGATCAGCTGTATTCTGCCCATCCTTCGACTTATCCGTGAAGATCATATCACATGCAACAGTATTGGTCTTGAGGTCATTCGCATCCCTTAGACCAGAAACCCCTCGGAGACGTTTGCGTTGAGATGCTCCCTTAATGTCAGAATGCCATTTAGCAAGGCTTTATGATGGGCCGGCAGGCTAATACCCATGCGGCTCAGGTCATCGGGAGAGAGACGGGCCAGGGCATCCAGACTGTTGATGCCGGCAAAATGGTGAACGTAACATGAAAGACCCAAACTGTCCAGCCATCCCTCCACGTTTAATACAGGAGCGATCTCCTGTGAATCATCCCCAAAGTGATCTCCCCATTGCCTGAAATTAACAGTACATGTACCGCAGCCTATTGTATTGCACATGTTGCAAAACTAATATTTTTTTTCCCGAAAATTGTTTACACTGTATATATTCCGGATAGCATGATGTGCTCGCAGAATATAGCTTATGTATGTACAAATACGGTTTTGGTAATACTTTGTATCTTAAGCTTTTATAAGCCGGCGTTGAAATGATTATTTAGAACGTCGTACAGGAATTTCTTCACATAACAAAACTACGCCAGTTGTGCAATTTAAAATTGTATTTCATCCTCACCCATTCTGAGCAATCAAGGATAGTTGCGAAGGCGATCGAATCATCTTATCCAGCGCTCGCAGACACTGTCCGAACGTCGGTCGCTGCAGCAGCTCATGCTGCCAGCACTCGAGCATCAACTGGTAGATCAAATCCGGGCATTTCTGGAACACATAAACAAATCGGTTAACGTCTAACGATCAGAGATCAGCGCTGATTGTTCAAGCTAAAACTGCCTGTTTCCAGCAGATCAGCCCGATAGTAAGTGCATTATAAAATGGACCGTGTATATTACCATTGGTGGCGGCAGGCGATAACCTTTGTCGATGGACTTAATGACGTCTTGGTTTGACCAGTTCCAATACGGTCGTTCCCCGTAGGACATGACCTCCCAGCAGACGATGCCAAAGCTCCAAACATCGCTGGCTGTCGTGAACTTACGGAACTGGATGGCTTCGGGCGCCGTCCATCGCACTGGTATTTTGCCGCCCTGTTGAAGTCACAAATAATCAGCCTACACTGACCGTTAAATTGGGGCCATATTCAACTATAAACTAGCAATTCAGACCATTCTGTATAATTGCCCATTTCGACATTTATGGCACGTACTTTGGTAGTGTAAGCTGCATCGCAACAGGATTCAATCTCTCGGGATAATCCAAAATCCGCAATTTTACATATTAAGTTTTTGTTGACTAGGACATTCCGGGCAGCAAGATCCTGCATTCAGTAAACGCGTTAGAAACAATACTGGTACCGACTGTACACTGTGTATAGACAGTGCGGTAAGCAGTTTAAAAGATTATAATTTCATACTCTGTGAACGTAATTCTTTGAAGCGAGATAATTCATGCCTGCCGCAATTCCTCGGAGCATATGAACCATCTGGATCGACTGGAAACTCCCAACATTTGCCTAAAAAATTAGATTTTGGAGCAGCTATTTAAAAAAAAACATGGTGCACGAATTACCCGCAGGAAGGCATCAAGAGATCCATTCTCCATGTACTCCGTGACGATCATAACCGGATTGCTCCGCGTCACAATGCCTTGGAGATAAATAACGTTAGAGTGGTCAAACTGGCCCATGATGGTGGCTTCCATCAAGAAGTCCGCTTTTGCCTTTTCGTTCGACCCGGCATGGTTAGCATTCAGTGTCTTGATGGCCACCGTCATGGAGCACTTATTCGGCAGCAACAGCGTTCCCCGGCATACATCTCCGAATTCCCCGCCACCAATCACGGCGTCGATGCAGATCAACGAGGGATCCAGTTCCCGGGTGAAATCCCTGACCGCTTGCGTGGGATCTTCATAAGTATGCGGATCAACGTACGTACGCGGCACCACGCCACTTCGATACACCGGCGTGCCCATGCCGATGGGGTGTAGGAGATGCGGATGGTGGGGATCAAAGGGGATCTCCGCATGCCGGTATTCTAGCGTATCGCAGTCACTGGCTTGTTTCTTCCCGCAGCCGTCGTTGTTGCGCTTCCAGAACATGTAAAACATGATACCGAAAAGCACGACGCAGAGGATCAAGGCCACGGTGATGCCGGCAATCATGCCCACTTGGGCGACGGGACCCTGCGATTCCATTACCGGTTCGGCGTTGGTGAAGAGCGTGGCGAAGTCGCTGTACGGTCCCCAGGTGCTGCCGGAACGCGCGCGCACCCGGAAGTTGTACTCCGTGTTGGAGATGAGCGGGTCGAAGAGCATGGCGCTGTTCATCGTGGTGACGTTGATGGGCGGCTTTGTGCCGGCAACGGCGTACTGGATTTCATACAGGTTGATGTTGTCGTCGAAGCCAGAGACGGTATGCCACATAAGTTTGGCTTTGTTGTTGCCCAGGTATTCGGCTTGGACATTTAACACCAACGAGGTATCAGCTACGAAATGAAAAATTAGATAACAATAAATACCTCGATGTTGTTATTTATGCGAAAGAAGGGGATGTCGCAACATACCGGGAATTTCTCCGGCTGTCGTCACGCTGATTCTTTCGTACTTCGCTTCCTGACTGAGTTCGGATACGCCGTTCTCCGAGTAGATGGTGAAAAAGTAGCGGGTGTGTGGTTTTAGACCGGTGACCCTGACCCGCGTCCCATTGAAACCGCTCTGGCTCGGACTGTACATGACCGTGCTGCCGCAGATATCGCAACCGATTCTGTAGACGACGTCCGAGCGACCGCCATTGGACAGCGGTCTGTTCCATTTCAGCACAATTGATGTCTGGTCAAAAGTCTCAACCGTAACGTTCTGCGGAGCACTCGGTGGTTCTGAAAATTGAAAAAAAGATATTAAACGAGAAAGCAGTTTTGCTATAACTGTATTTGTAACAACAGTTCATTTTTGCGCGGTTATGTTATGCATATGTACTTATCCGGCGACTTGTTTTGACGCATTGCCGAAAATCATAATCACTAACCATCCCATTATGCAGACGATTTCACTTACGCGAGCAAGCCATAGACTTGGTGTCTGAAGGGGCTCTGAAAAATCCCTTTTGGCATCGACATTCAGCAGCCCCCGGGGAATTAGAAGTGCTGAATTCCGGGCAATCAAGACAAGAGCCATCGCCAATCTCCGTTTTATACTTGCCAACTGGACATGCTGCAAGAAAATGCACAAAACAGTCAATACACACGTACAGACTTTCACTGTATGAAGAGACCACTGACGATGACCCTAAAGAGATTTCGGCTAGAGCTAAACGACCGGAAGGGGATCAAGATTAAGTCGAGTATATGAGAATACTCCACGGTACCAGAATATCTTGTCAACAAGCCGCTTCACCAGTTCCAACTACAGCAGCAGCGGATCGCCCAACAGAATGTCAAGTGACTTAAGATTCGCAACTGGACAAGAGCTCATTTAAGCTACCGTCGAAGGGGAAAAACAGATTCATCCGCTAGATGAATATACTGCATGTTTATGCGCCGCAATCATCTTCGGGCGCTCATGTTTTGCATAACAAAGCGGTTAAAATCGTCCGTGAATTCTCGCTGGGCAGTTTACGCCCTTTTTGATAATTCTCAGTGTGTGGGAATATTTTTGCGGATTCTGCATTCAAAATGTCGGAATTCTAAAGCACGTGCTTTTACTGCATTTGCATGGAAAACATGGTGAAAAACAAACTATTTTCCAACGAGATGTCCAGTTATTTATTTGATCAAGCATGATCTAACCCTGCTCGTCTGTTACCAATAATAGACTGTTGAAATAAATAAGGCTTAAAACTGTTATAAGATCCGTCAATGATTCCAGTTGGGACAGCGCAGTGCGGCGGTGGCAGATACATAGCACTTGCTGCTGGACACGAATACCCCTCAATCTTCTCACATTTCGCCTTAATATGACCAAATTTGCCAGTCCAGATTACCATAACAAATGTAAGATGTCAGAGCGGACTAAGCACAAGATGATCCTACCGGACATTCACATGACATTTTAACCCTTTTCCGAGTCGTCGTCGACGGAGACCTTGGCCACTTTAATGTGCCCTGGCCATATTGTACATGTGCTGCGTTGTTAATGATCGCCGGCACTGATAGAGCCGCATGTATAAACCATGGACGTGACCAGTTGTATATATTGGTCAAATATGATCCGCTTAATGTTATATTAAGAAATATCATCTGCTACTCGTGAAAAGAGCATTTCACGTATTGTTTACTCAAGATGTACACGCGGTACTTTGTTGTCGAAGACAACTGCCGTGAGGAGCTAATTATCTCCTCCCATCCTGATTTCCCACTGCTTCCACCCTGCACAGCACAACACAGGGAGTGCTGAAATGCGAGATGGCCCCCCTGTAGACGCCCTGAGTGCTTGCATTATCTCCCAACAATTTCTTTTCTTTCCCTCTTATCTATGTAAACCAATAATTATCAGTCAGAAGCCAGCTGGCAAACAAACGAACAATCAAAAACTGCCACAGCGATTGTTCTGCACTGTCGAATATTATTACAGCTTACGGATAAATTATACATATATGGCACAGTATTAACACCTATACAAAACTATCCTCGATAGTAAAAAAATTAAATAAAAGCACAAACGTATGAGGTAATAAAGTGCAGGTAAATTGTCAAATCAAGAATTGCGTAGTTCCTGTCGCTGAATAGGATATTTATTTCTTTCCTATTTTATGCTTTCGGATTTTGCCACTGATTTAATTAATTCGCTTTATTGATTCTGCGGACGTACACGTGCGGTGTATTATTGTAGCTTATAGTGAGTGCAAGAAATGAAATTTATTGTGATTTCTGTATCCATTAACGAGTGGAATGCAGTGGTACATTTGCAATCAGTTTCAGATTTCAAACACCCTTCTAACTAAAAGTTGGACCTCTCGGCACCGGTTACGCTGTGGTAACAATGTTCAGCTGTCGGCTCATCCAGCCGTCGAGAATGCACACGCGGATGTACAAGGGGGATGCCACGAGCGAGCCGGTCGTCAGATTTCAACTCTCAGGTCACGAAAATACCGCACAACAACTGACCACTATTTACCGAACTCCCGCAGCTCTTATTGGGAAATCTGGCTGTACATGTGCCACTACAATTGTCTTTTATTTTGATAATAGCCACACTAGCTATTTGAAATATGGGCGATTCGCTTTTGTCTGCGGCTGATTAACGAGAAGAACAATTATTAACAAGGAATTCAGTGCACAGCCGTCGCCAGAAAGATTAGCATAATCCGATCATATGCTACACAAAGTAATATTTTTTTGCCCTATTATTAACACAGATGGTGGCTTCTGACCAGTTTCAAAAAACCGAAGAATCTCTTAATCTTCCATATAAAAAGGGAAGAAACCTGAATCTGCTCCACCTGTTTTCGGGAAATGGGTCGTACGAATGCAAAACGTTCGACTGCATTTATTAACTGTTCTTATTAATTGCTTCGGAAACAAGAATGACCACATACACTGATTGAATTACCGGTATTCTCGTTACTTGCGTCGTTATTAGGGAAGATGCGGCAATCAGCCACTTGGGAATGGCGAGATTCCCATTTCCTTTGATCGTCACTTGCAAATGCAAATTATCTATGGCATCTGCGTAATTATAATATCGATAGTAACGCATAGCCGTAATATACGAGGTACGTATGGCAGTAATTCTGTTAGTGACACGATAGATGAAGAATTTCGGAATTAGTGTCTGTCTTCGACTGCTACAGAAAGATACCCAAATACAACAAAACTACAGATGAATCTTCTGTAATACAGCAGCACTCAGATGAACTGCCATGATAATGCGCTTAATCAGAAGCGAATGAAACCCGAAAGTAGGGAAGCAGTCATGATAGTCTGCAACTACAAGGGACAAAAGGGAACCGGACGGGAATGTGGAAGAAATATTGGCAGCGTTAATGGATGACCTACTGTTTAAAGGACACCCAGTGATTCTGACACATCAACAATAGGTTATAAGGATCTCATAGTTAAGCGTCACATTTCCGGTCAATTCGTGGACAATAGCTGCTCCGCTTCTTTTTGATTACAAAATGCAATTATATTGCTTTGCGTTTACAGAAGCGTAGTTTTAAGAACAATGCCCGTGATTTACGGGTCATACTATCTGTTTTGGAAATACCCTTTTATCGGTGTAAAAGATGGAATATTATTTTTTAGAAATAAAATATCGGAAAGTAAAATGTAAGTCATACACAGCGCATTGACGCACTGGAATCGGAAAGGGTTGGCAGCGACTACAGACTGACTGTTCAAGCCATAAATTTAGGCTTGGTCATCATGCTCCCTTGCTGAAAAAAGGAGGGGAACTATTTACTCGTTGGCGTGGTCAGCCTCGACAGTCTGGCGAAAGAAAAGCGGCAATCATGCGTATGTAATGCAGATATCCCTAATGATCTTCAACTAATATACCCCAATTCACAAACACATCGTCTCACGCTTCTGTGTATACCAGTCGAAATCCTTTCGTTTCAGTTTACACATCAGTTTCTTTCTGCCCCACAAAGTGCTCAACCTAACTTCCCCTTCACACAGGACAGCACAATAGTATCAAATGCCGCGCATGATAGATGACCTTTTTCCGTCTGGAATGCCTTCCATTCATTTTCTCCACACTTTTCACTGATTTTCGCGGTTCATCTGTATCCGGACACTTTGTTCTACTTTTCTAATGCAGCAGCTGGGTTCGGATCTGGTTGAGAAATAGTAGCATTATCGTCCGCACTATATATGGTTTTCTAATTGATTCCGTACATATTTGCATTCTTATGCGTCATTAAAATATGTACACTATTTTCGGCTCAGTGTCGTTTATTATCGGGAAAAGTCTATCATGGCTCGCTGCATACTTATCATCAACGTAATTGAATTGCTTTTTATGAAGATAATAATTATTCCAATACAGCATGTTTTGCCATGATTGTAGTCTTGGTATAATCCATTGACAGAGCAAGGGATTATCCGGTGGGGAAGAATTAGCAATTGAGTTGACCAGCAGCTCATCTTCCCACCAGATGGTCAGAGCCAGTCGGTCCACAAGAAAATCATATCTGCATTCTCTTCTCTACCATGTATAACTCAATTTCTACTTGCTATCGCTTTCTCTTTCAAAAGTATAATCGCTACTTGCACTGGGCTGGAAAACGCCCAAAACTATCGCCTCGTACTGCACTGGACCACTTGCTCTCCTTCCCCTTGTGCCCTGGACCAACTATTAAACTGTCAAATTTTACAAAGTGTTGCGATTAATCCCGACGCCTTAACAACGCTGCCTTTCCTTACAATTATAATAATAACAGAATATCTTCGCGATACCATACAAGACCAATATGCGCTACATACGGTCAAGTCTAACCGTAAGGATCGAATAACTTTGTAAAGACAGGTGGGAAACGGCTGTACGGGTTATCTACGGCCACTTGGACAAGCAATGCATAAAATACCGCCAGATATTATCGTAGCTGGCCAAATGTTTGAATTATTACTTTGGCTGCGAGAGTGCGCATATATTTTCCAACTGAAACCGTCTGTTTCTAATCGCAATCGTTCCGTTATGTGCTGCTTCTTGGACAGCACACAGCCGGAGAAGATAACATCATCGGCTATTATCGGTCGATAACGATAAGGAAGAGAACGTGCACCATCGAAGACAAGACGGATGTGCTTTGTAACGATGCCGGCTGCTGATATGGTTTCACCTGTAGAGTATCATCAATACCGGTTCTGTGGACAAAACAGTTCGAGACAGGGGTGCGGATGATAATTCTCTCGTATACGGTCAGCTTATCTGATCGACCTCAGCGAAGAGTATGTATAAATTTACTTTGAAGATCGGGAAGGATGTTTTACAGTATTTGCACTCTATCCTGAGACTTCTGAACGTAATAAAATCATAACTTTTGCTTGTATTTTCGGTCGGAGGCACAAAAACATTCGCACCAATGGCTCTCGATTTTTTTTAAAATTCGAAACACAAAGTTTACACAACAAGTTTTATTGTGCTTCTTGCCTCACATTGGTTTCACGTAAACGCGACTTGGTATAGAAGTATAAGAGATGTTAATTTTGCCAGCTACTTAAATCTTTGAACTTAACCGACAGCACAGTGCTGCTAAACTACATACAGTTTCATATGATTATGCTCTAATCTTAGTTTCGAATTGTGGGCTTCAGTTAATTGCATATAAAGGATAGATCGCCGGATTCTGAATGTGAAAAATTAGACGAGTGCCGGCATCACTAAGCCTGTCGAAACCGATCAGCCAAACACAGGTGTCATTACAAGCTGCAGGCAGCCATTCCGCAGCTCATAATAAATTCTGACAGTAAATCAACTAGCCAAAACAGCTCAGAACAGTCGCAACAAACAAGCTTTATCAGCTGGCCGATATCAGTGTTTTGAAAGCTTTCTAGCAGCCGTTAATTGGCGTTGATTTGGAGGTCATGGTTAGAAGTTTTCCGGCTACATTGTGAACCTGACGGCCTGTTGAAAAAATTAAGATATTTAATGCCCTCAAAATGCCATATCGATGATAGGTTAAGAAGACTTCTGCTTCGTAACTATATGGCCATCGTGCGCCTTTAAACACACATGTCAAAACGGTTGCGTTACAGAAAAGTCGTTTAATAATAGCGTTGCAGTTATTAATTGAATGATACAAACAATATTTCAACCTGCGCATGGGCGGAACCATAAATTTCTCGAAAGGATACGTTTAATTGTCACTTGTGTAGATGTTAACAATAACTGCCAACACTATGGGGCCTTCATCCGGATAGTGCATTATTAATTATGGTAAAATGCAAAGAAAAAACAGCTAGTAATGAAACGCTTTTTTTGTTAAATGCCATGCTGTTACAATTTAGCACCTGCTTTGTGTTCACAATCAGTTCGTTGTGAACACAAAGAAAGTGTAATAACACCCTTGGCGCTGATTATTTGCATCGGCTCCATTTCAGAAAAGAATCGGACAAGTTAGTTTAGAAATCTAACCGGTAATATTAGCGCTACTCGAGCGACGACTTTGTTAAGAACGGAATCGCATTTTGGCAAATTAGCCTAATACCGCTCAGAATGTTCGTCGGTTATGTATTCATGTATTATATATCGCTGGCAGCTCAATAGGTAAAATTTTCAAAGCACACTTTTTCCGGCGATAAATTATAACGCTCGGTGCATGATTACCAATCATTATCCCGTTCTTTAAGGTTCTGCTCTAAAACGAGAAGTATAAACTTTCCATTAAGTGGACAACGCACGCTGGTTACGCTTTTGGACATGCGGCAGATATTCGTTACATTTGTATGTATGATTAATAGACAGACAGACAAGCTACTGCCATAAAAATCAGGAAAGCAAAGAATACTGACCGTTCGTACCGTTTAAAATCGTTAGGTCATAAAATCAACGCTGTTGCGCACAAATTATACCCTATACATATATTAAATTTAATTAAATGAAAAAGAAATTATTAGTCTGCAAATGCAGTACCGAGTTTTTCGAAAGCATTGCTGTTATCTTTGATTTTGTCCGAAATTTGCATGCTGAATCGGTGGCACAACAAATGACGCCTGGTAAGGAGACACCTTGGCAATTAAGGCGGACGCCCCATTGCTAAAATCGCCAACAACTGGACAGGAACTCTTCCCAGCCAGCAAGTTTATAAATAATGACTCTAAATTTTCCTGTCGCATAAATCATGCTGGTCAGCGGTACCGCAAGACTGCCTGTTGTTATTATGCTAGCGGTCAGTCCTGCTGTCAGCGCTGCTCTCCATGAGACTTTAACCTTCGCGCAAAATTTCCCCAGATGACGACGATAGTATTGCTTTGTTCTAATACAAAATTTTTAAATGTTCTGGCAGCTTTGTGACTGTCCGGCATAGTTTTTTGTATTAATTTCCGTTAAATTTCTCTTTCTTCGTTTTGATCCACTTCCGGTCAACCTGATCGTCAGGCGTCGGCCATTAAGCAGTACTGCAAACCTACCTTTGCATGTGTTCTGCACCCTTTCGGTGCCCGGCATGCAGAGACAACTTCCGGTCATGTAATACCACGATCCATCACTCTTGCACAAGTACTTCGGCGGTTCGATCTGTACCGAATTCGGAAGGCACTGGCCGAACGTTTCCGCAATGGACGCCACGTCGGGTCCAGTCGGTGTTTCTGGGAAAACAGCCGAATTGATGGTCACATTAGGGCAGGTGATGTAGTACACCTTGACGGCCAGTACGGAAATGCACGCCCCTTGGTCTTGGAAAGCGAAGTAGACGCCTTTTGCGTTCTTTGACAGAGGAATATCCCGCACTTCCATGTTGATCACCATGTCGTTGTTGGATGTGAAACGACCTTTGTCCGCGGCAATACGGTCGATCAACGTGTACGCATCGGGGTCGGTTGGGGGCCGTGACCTTTCGGAGGGGTCCGTCACTTCATGGTACAGGAGTGAGAAGGTCTCCTTGCAGGAGCGCACTTTCCCCGGGAAGAGGGAGCAGTCGCGCATGCTGAATTTGACTTCGATGAAGAGCCGGTTGCCGTCCTGCCGGTCTATATATGGCGTCCATAGCCAGTTGTTGACGTTGTCGTAGGCGACGTCGCAGGCCACGTAGGAGCGCCAATTGATGCCGTGCTCGAAATGCGTATAGCTTTCCTCTAGCCACTTGAAAAAACAAATAAGCGATTAGTTGCCAACGTCTTATACATCGTACTGACAATTGCTTCTTTTAGCTTCATCGCCTCACTAAATCGCTTCATCAACAAGGAAATGCACCAGATTTTCCATCATACTTATCAAACATATTCAAACACTATTTCAAACAGACCGATTCTTGTATTGAATGTTTTTTCGCATATAATTGAATCGGATCTATAGCCGTCATTTGGATCACTTTGGCTACCTTGTTTGTGTTGAAAAATGACGGATAAAGTACTCAGGTGAATGGTAAACATTCACTATTTACTTTGTTTCCCACAACGTCATACAGGAAAAAAATCATTATTGAGCGAGAAATACGTCAAACTGCCGCGACAAACGAGGCCGAATTTCTATATGCGTCAGTTTAAAATATAATCGTGCAAAATACAAACGCAGGTTATTGCAGTTGGATAATATTCATTAAATGTGCGCTGGTTATCATTTTTCATAAAAAATCTATACGCATAAAGCTATAACCTAACAATTCATAAGTTTTTTCACTTATTTGAAATCGCATTTAATAAATTACGAAATATGTATTTTTCACTGGTACTTATAAATTGCTAATGCCTCTGTGTGAACAGTCTGTTCAGTGCGACATGAGCCGGTGCTTATGTCCAGCAGCCGCATCCGAAATCGATATATCTCTTGGGCGAGCTGTGCCGGACAATGGTCAGTGCACAATTACTACTGTCCGGCAGAGTGTCTTTGTCAATAACATATTCACATACAGAAACTTTTGAAGAATCTCTTCGGTCAATATTTGATGCCCATTTTCAATGAGGATGGCCGATTTTGTCTATGCAAACCCCTTTCGCTACTTACCAGATTATTAGACAAAGTTTCCATTAAATTATTCTTAGCCATGCCTCTACACTACACAGTTCCCCCAGTTTTATCTCCTGTGCAAATTAATAACCGCTTGTCCGAGGCCGGTGTGCACTGCGCACCAACAGGAAGCAGAACACGTTGCCGGCAGTGCTTAAGTGTTCCAATAGCTTTTAAGAGCGCCAATATTCGTTCATTTTTCAAATAACTGCCGTATTTTTCGACATTTAAATCTGTCGGGTCGAATTCCGAATGTCAAATAGGCCGATTTTCTGGATGGGAATTTTTGGCTAACCTATCTGCTCATTTGCTAGAAGACCGATGCTCATGTAAAATGCAGAGCTAGTCCAGCCACTCGATGTATCCGAGCGTGCTCGCGTCTGCATAGATGTGTAACAATTACGGTCATGGTCAGCTGGATAAAAAGCACGCAACGGTCATCGGGTATGACGAGTTTGTAGGCTAATTTAACCACAAGAGTGTCAGCGCTTGCAGATGAGATGATCAAGCGAATCGAAATCTGCATCCATATTCATAATAATAAGTGCCTCCTAGCATGCGCGCACAGCTCGTCGATCAACGATAAAATTTCTAATAGGCAATTTACAACCATCATTTCAAATATTAAAGCAGCCATATAGTCTAATCTGTATCGCGCTTGACCCCATCCGCGATTATGCCGTAGGTTCATATTAGCAGCTGCTTTGCCAATAATACACAAATTATTTATTACTTCACTCGCACAAAACAAAATTGCGTTGTAAAAAATGACGAAATTATTTCATATTCTTTAGCTTTTTTTTACGTTACCCGTAATCTATTAACGTAACAGAATGCATAAATTTGTAAAACTAGAATTCGATGGTCAAGCAGACATGTTTCAATAGAGTTGCGAAAAGTTCTTTAATCATTAGTTAATACTTTCTGCTGCCGCGTTAAGGTGATGTATTTTTTCGAGTTTTATTTGTAAATCGATTGGTCAATAAAGTTACTAAAATATATGTCAACATGGGCACCCAAACGCTAACGTATGCCGTACGTGCATCGTGAACTCTAGGTGGAAGGAGGCCACGTGTAATTCGGTTTATCCCGGCTGATACTGATTCGCCCTACACTAAGCTGTCTGGATACAGCGCGGTGCTGCCTGCTTGATTCCAGCCAGAAGCCGGCTTACGTTCGCTGCAAGAGGCGAATTCCTGTCAACCCAAATCCTCAACAGTTCACTTGAACAGTCGTAAATCCTGTGAGCCCAAACAGCTCTTGTACATGGAAATCTCCTGATACTCTTGATGGACACGCGTCCAACGTTAATTATGAATTGGCCTCGGCTGGTGTTGGCAGTTGCAGCCTGCTTCGGCACTTACTGCCTGCTCGGGTTGACCTAATGGAGTTCCGCTGGACAATTCTACCCACTTATAAGGGCGGATGCATAGAATTATTTTCCTGTTATTGAATGGTAATTGGAGGTTACATTGGGTAACAAAATTATTATTATGGAAATGCGACTTCCTGCTCGTTGTTTTACGGTACCAGCACAAAAATTACATTGCAAAGCAGTGTACTGTAATTTACATACACATTCGTTTACATAAATATGGTGCTAGTGTTGACGAAATTAACGTCGGGTGTCCAAAACATACGAAGCATACTATTTGAACGTTTCCGCGTAGTAAAACAGTGTGGATAACGCTGTGGTTACAAAAGATAACACACAAGATAATAAATATTGCTCAAGTCGGCTGCGATCCCGACAAGCCGCACACAATGCGGAAAGCGCGGTAGATCACAGGAAAAGGAGGTCATTCGCCCAAAAATCTTTTAGAAATTATCTGTGAAAGGTACTCAGTTGGGCTGAGTCAACAGATATTTAAGAATTACCGGTCAATCCTGAATCAGCTAGCAAATATTTTAAAATCGTCCCATTCAGCTGTTCTGCGCTGGCCCCGGCTTTTGTGGGATGACGACCTAGTCAGTGCGTGATGATTGACAAGCAATTTGCCGGGTTTATTGTCGATAGCGAAGAGGAAAACATTTTCGACTGTGCCGAACTGTAGTTAGGTAGGGACAATATTAAAATGCGGCACACTCAGCATCCCTGACTGCGTAAAGTCGGCTAGAGCCTCACAAAGTACATTTCAGACCATCAATATTGCTGATTTTAAACCTGTTTGACTGTGGCGCGCTTCTCGTTGAGCTTTGTACCGATACATGGATGAGAAGCTGAAGCAAAAGCAATTGCCCACAAATCACTATTGTGCGCGGCCCATCGCACTCAATCTAGGGCAATTATAACGTTATGGGTGGTAATGAATTTTTTAATAACTCCTATCCATAAAGTCGTAGCGGATCCGCAAACAGTTTTCGTTATAGACTAGATTAATAAGCTCTTTCAAGTAGGCCTCATCAAGACCGATTATGATCACCAAAATAAACATACGCTACTGTATCTCAACTGATAGATATATCGCCTGCGGTTCAGTTTTTCAGATCGGGGAAATTTTTGCAATTATATATGGATCCTGATGCGCACTGACAAGATAACTGGAGCCGCTAGCGGCGAGTGGCCGATTAAGTGCTGCTGACGATAAGGAAGAATAATTTTTCCGTCATTCCCATCTACTGAACAACTGCATTTCCCGTTTTACTATTCTGCACATTTGAATAAACGCTTAAAATTTCAAGTACATATGACCGATTTTCGGTTATGGGAAGTGGTCAAGGAAAAAGCGCAAGACCACCCGGCATCCGAATAATGCATTAATCTGCGACATCCGCTCGACACCGAAAATATGATTTTTACCGAGCCGTACTCAACTTTCTTCAAGAATGCCAAAGAAAATATTCGTATTTGCTATATAAACACTCAAAATTTGGTGAGTTAGTAACTTAACTTACGGACAGCTCATTTGCATTTATGCACCACTAGTTTCAGAAGCTGAATTCAGTTTCAGGATTTTAAGGCCTGTAATTCTGTTTTTTATGATAAGTGATAAATCTGGAGTAATTATACAGTAACATGCCGGCAAAATAAAAATGCTTTTATTGTCACTTATTGCGTCAAGAAATCACGCTATTTTTAACTATTTCGCACAATATTTAATTGACACTCTGGGAATGCGGCAGTATGATATAACTTTATTGCACTAAACATTTCATGAAAAGGCTTGAAAACAACGAATGAAATCTAATCTGCAGTAAACCTGTCAATATCGGATTATTTACTGTACGTTACCGCTTTACAGCTGACAGTCATAATAATGCAAACATGCATCATAAAAATTCTGTATTTATGATGCATGAACAATGAGGATATGAAGCATAAACTACAAGATTTGCGCACTTTGTATCTATAATTTTGGTATGTAAATTTCGAGAAAACAGTTAACAATCTTATGCGTCGCTTTATATCGTCTGCTATGCACAATACTTTGTGCAGATGCGCATAAAAACCAGAAACCTTGTTGGGTAACATTATAAGTATATACATGTACTGCAGTTTCCATTAGCTGTAATTCCATAACCACTGGCCCTACGTAAACAATTTACGATGTTTAAACGATAAGTTTGTATTAATAACCTTTTATTGTGAATAAGTCTGTAATGCGACTTTTGGGAACGTTGATAAACTGTCCTTACACTAAAATATGACAGGAAATACCATGTCTAAAACCATCGACACTATGGATGAAAGCTTTTAGTTTAAAAAAATTTGTCCCTCAAATCCACCTGTCAATTTTACGCCACATATAACCGCCAGTATGCCAAATCTATGTGTGCAGGAATATATCCTGTCATTACGGGGATTAAATGCCCTAATTTCTCACAGAGTTCAGAAATTCTTGTCACGCTACAGCAAAAGCCCTTCCTTGCAGTTGCCCTGCTCTCCGGTTTTAGAAAATTGATCTGAAGGAAGAGATTGCAGATTAAAAGGAAATGTTTCGCTACCGAGTATGTGTTGATGGTCATACGCTGCCGTACATATGTACAATATGCCAATGATGTAATGACAGTTGTTCTCTAAAATTATTTCCATGATTCCATCAATAATTTTAACCCGTACATTTTCTTAATAGCTACTGCGCGTGCTTCGCGCATAAAAATCGGTGCATCTGCCCACTGAGGATCAATGCCTATTAGGGAATACAGTCAGTGCTTACTCCTTGCGTTTGTAACGTGACGTCAGAGGGCGGCAATTTCATCCATCCCAATTGTGCCTCCTGAGTGGTGTCCAATAAAATCACTGCAACGAGAAGGCAAATAGAAGATTAATACATATTTAGTGGCCCGACGTGAATAATTAATATCGTTAAATGTGAAAGTGTGCCGCGTTATATACAATTATCCCTGGAATGCACTGCTGCGCAATACGATCTCTGTGCGGCTGCGCTGTATCTGCACAGATACACATATCTCAGCGTCTTCCAGCGCAACGGACGCGACTTCCTGTGGGGTTTTTTGACAAAAGTGATGCGCCTCTTTTGTTCCATTAAGCTAACTTCTACCGAAATTTTTCTACGCCCTATGTATACCGTGATATTACAAAGTTTGTATGCGTTTACATCATCGTTCATCAATTGGGGAGAGCGAGAGGAAGATACACACAACAAATAAAGACGTATTGATTTTGTTCGTCCTAAATGAAGCAAAACGCCGCGTGGGTGGTTTAAACGATTGTAATGATGAACGGTCTTGTTGACCCCTTTGACCACGCTAGATATTTCAAGCTTTGATAAAGAAAAGAGTGCAAATAATAATTTTGTTACCAAAATGACAAGTTTTTCCTAGATTATATTATTGAGTTTGCCTTGGCTGTACAAACGTTTTCAGCGGATATCCTTCCCAATTGAACTCTGCGCTGGCCGCAACGGCAGCACTTTCATGGAGGGATGGCTAAGGAAATTTTTACTAGGGGGTCTAATCAATGTCTAATTTCGACTTGATTTGCCATGCAAATTCAACGACACTTTTGGCAATTTTCGAGAGGAATGACTTTTCCGGCTCGTATGCTGCCTGCAGCGTTTGCTCATTCTCCCTGACTATCTAATCTGTTATTCAGCAGATTATTTCTCCCTCGACATGAGACTATAAGATCAGTTCCTTTAAATCTAACAGTGAAAAAGAAAATCCTAACGTATTCTTCCCTAATACCGCTGCGAGAATGCGATTTCAAGTCATCGGATGCGTGGGCTTTATCGTAAAGCGCAACATCCAGTATGGCAGTCCGCACGCATTTCAATTCCGGTATACTTTAAAAATAATGAAAATCGCATGCACAACGAACACCGGTTTAACAAGCATCCTAACGCATTACTACCAATACGTACTCCTTAAGCATTTTTCACAGAAAAAAAACAAAATACTTGCATCTGCTTTGTCTCATTTGCAGATCTAGCTTGAAAGTATGCAATGAATGCAAGTGCACAAAAATAGCTCTATAAATTACGTCAAACCGCTCCTGTATTGCACTGCTGAAGAGGAGATCAAAATGATAATCAGAGCAATATTTTTTAATGTGGGAAAGGGTCACAAAGGAATCAGAACGGTAACAAAGATTTCTTCTGCCAAATTGACCAATGAACCATAATTAGACGAGCTGTGATTCAATTGCGTTATTAAAGTAGTGCGTAATATTGTTACGGTGTAAACATTGTGAGCCACCTGTGGAATGTTATGGCTACCAAATCTACAACAGTCCAAAATGTGCACATGTGCTTGTCTGCACTCTGTAGTCAGATATAACCGGTCGGATCCGGTGCGCCGAATTTGTGTCAAGTGTAGCGAAGTGTACAAAGTGGCGAAAAAAACCAAATACCGTAAATGTTGTTTGCTCAAAGTCGGCATTACAAGCCGGTAGTTGTGTGCGGCACGCAGCCGGCACATACGCACCAGATTACAATCGCTGAATCCGAAAGTAACATTTTCGTGCGGAAAAAACTTACTACTAACGCGCACGATTAGTTCAAGCGCAAGTAAGTGTATTAGTTTTTTTGTTTTACTTGCTTGGTCAAGTTAATTTAGCCGAGCTTTACCCGGTCAGGAACAGCAAAAATACCGGCATGACGAAGTCACTCTTATTTTCTAACAATCATTACCATGCATTTCGCTCAGATTCAGCAAAACAATTGCCACACTTGCAAATGCTAACATCAAAACATAGCCAGCGCTGATGAGGACGCCATTTGATATTCTAATGCGGATAAAAGCACAAAGTGCATTCATTCGCAGACTGAATGATGCGCGCATGCCGACAAACGTCCCGAACAGTCATAAAAATCTGGTGCGTTAATTATTTGCATTTGGATCAGGGTCATAAATGCTGATTACAAGTCGTTTTAATTATGCTTACAGTCTGATGCCTGTCATTATGAGGACGCGCTGGTCAGCGACTGTCCGACAACAGCCCTTAGGGGGCGCCTAAATGGCTCCTTCCCAAAACACACGCACACGTTCAGAAAGGGCAGCAGCCCATGTTAGCCTGGCCAAATGATTTTGATAACGGATGCAATAAAGAGCGAAATGTTGGTATATACATGGTCGAGACTTTATCGATCAGTTGACTTGTTAGGCCTATACATCTATATAGTTTATTAAAGGAGCCTTTCGACTGCCTTATCGCAATTCACAAGTATCGAGCAGCTCTCTATCCCTGTTGTTCTATCCTGCCATGTGCATCAGCTTGGAGCTGGCCACGGCACAACGTTGGCCATATATTTCCCTTATTCGCATCTCGCAATAAAATCTCTCTTTCCTCTTATTTAATCTCTTTTCCGGCTGGCTCCCGGACTCGAGTAATCAAAGTCAGGGCCTTAAAATCCATATGTATCGGCCAGTGCATCTAGGGCTATTTGAGCACTACCAAGTACATATACTTATAGACACCGACAACAAAGAGGATGCACGGTGAAATGCAGCAAGAAATTGAAAAAGATTTTTACAGCCGGGAGAGAGAGAGACAGTAAAATAAAGTTAACATTGCAAAGAGTTATAGCATCATCTAAAGGCACTTGATGTTGCTAAACATCTGTCCGCAATCGACCATGCCCTGCTTTTCCTGCTCCTTAACGGACGGCCATCCTATACTAAACATCACTCAAATGATCGCCAACCTTCGGCTCATAGCACCCAAAGCGACACTTAAATTAAATTCCGTTATGCTATAAGAAAAATCCGCTTGATCAATTCGCAAGATCGAAGAAAATGGATTGTACTTATTTTCCGCATGTTGATTATGAACCTGAAAATAATGCAGAAACATTTGCCCGGTATGCGTTCTGCGCTACTTACGACTCTAACTAAAAGATATCCCGCAAAGTTCATATTGCTGTTCCGATTTTCGTGCCTTCAACTTAAAATATGTGTTCCGCTACAGGCAGCATATACGCAGGCAGGACGATTTTGATGTTTCTAAAGCTTTTGCGCAGAAAACGTTATTGCGCAAACCTTAAAATCACTCTGTATGGCACTGTAAGCGCATGGTAGCTGGGCAGATATATTTATGGAAAAGATTTGGAATGCGTACGATTCAAGTAGCTTTTCAAGCATAAAAATCCATTTGGAAAATGCATAACAACTACGTACATAAATCTTGAAGCCGAATTGCGGACGAGCAATTGTGAGATTAAATCAGTATTGTGATGGGGTCTCATATTCATCGGCAATTGCGGTACTTATACGAAGATCAGCTGTTACCGGCTTGAACTTGGAAAGTTTCTTTTCCACTCAACTTTCTTGCCGCTGATCGAACCGTCTTTTCTCTAACGAGCGTGATGAAGGATGAGACGTTTTAGCTCAGTTGTCTTTCAAACTATTCAATCTCTCTACCGCGTATCACTCACGCACCCCAATTTATTATCGCGTTTTTCCGTTTTCTCAAAAATTCATCAATCTAAACTGAACATACAACCCCGATATTTTGCGCTGGCAACTCGGAATATGTTGGCACTTTGCACTCTGTGCCTTTGTTTAATATGTACTTTATAGTTTATCCATAAGTTCGATTTTTACACAAAATTTTAACTACTAATCGTATTTATTGCCATTCATTAGCTGAACTTTTTTTACAACAATACTCCATAATTACTTAAGTTAATTACTTATGTTATAATCACAATTGTAAGACTTATTTATAGCTGCTACGGCACACAGCATCCCAAATGGACGCAGTGCACGTCATACAAGATACGCGCATAATCACTGCTAGAAACGCTACCGTAGAGCAACTTCTTTTTGGCATATTAACACCGGAAGTAACCTCTTTAGCACGCAGTCCCGCTTCACGGCGCTAGCAGGAACTAAGGATCTGACACTTTCAGCACCACTCGGTTATACTCGGCACCGTATTGTTTGTCGTTGCACCGTATACGGTCCTATAAAAACATGTCTCGAACCCAAACACGACCCGGTTCACTGCGATTGTTACACCTTTTCAATATTGATGCGATATCGTTTTTATGGATTATAAACGCAAAAAGTGCTGATTCTGCACAAGTTATCTCTTAATCCTCTAATGCAAACAAATATACTCTTTCATAACATAGTGCCGGCTTGTTGAACATACGGTATCGCCGGCACCGTACATATGCATCGCATCTCTAGCGGTCAAGAATATGTTACACTGAGTAATGCTTTTTACGGAGGATTACGAATCTTTTGAGGCATATTTCTGATCGACTAACTAGCGGCGCACTTGGTGAAAGACAGCGCCAAAGTTTGGTCGGCTTGTATACAGACTGATCCGACTTGTCCGATTATCATTGTTCGTTCGGCGCACTGTTCAAATACACCGCAGGTAGGTAGCAAAGTAATATCACAATAATACCCAACTATCCTAAACTCCTTTCCTCAGTTTACATATGCCCACGCAAAAGACCACTGCTTCACAAAAATGTGCTCGCCAAATACCAGCAGAATGACTTCACTACCGATTACTCAATAATATTATTTCCCAATACAACAAAATAATAAAATTCTCTCTAAAACTGCAGTACCACCACCAAAAAAATATGACAATGCCACAATTATGTGCTTTATAGGAAAACCGTTATAGCTAAGCAGTTAAGTGGTAGGTTATCACCCAGGTTGAATTAACACGAAAAACAAACTGAACCGTTAATAAGGATTATATAACTTGTATGAACACAATAGTAATACAAAAATAATGAGGCTTTATTAATGGAACATTAAACAGCACAATTCGTCACTGTCGGATTAATTAGGACGACAACTTATATATCTGTGTATATAATATCAAGATGATCATACGGCAAATATTTAGGTCAGTTATCTATATCATCTGTAATATTACATATGGTAATATAATAGCATAGTGAGTATTAGTATCCCGAATTCGGAGTTATGGGCTGTGTAAATTTTTCAGCAGTACGCAAGCTTCGGCGAACAAGTCTCAATAATTAAGGCAGACAAAAATTTTATATGTAAACTTGAAAACCAATAAGCTGCAATAATGGATTAAACATTCCTGATAGAATTGCAGTTGTTTATTCAAAGTATACGCTAATTCATGTTCATACACGCAACGTTCTTTCTAAACATTTTGTAATCGTGCAGCAGTTCCTGTACCGACATAAAGTTGGTTTGCAAATTTCCTTTGACGCTTAACAGTGAAATTAATTTTCATGCTTTATCACAGGCTTTAAAATATACATTTACAATTACTATGCTGAGTATGCTCTGTAGTACCATAGATATTCGGTATGAGAAAAAATATAATATTAGATAAAAAACGGCCTTCGCTGTTCTACGTGTATGTAGTATTTAATTGTGCACTCATAAGGCCGCTCCATGTTTTCTACTGCATAGTTAAAACAGCGCTGTAGTTTTCCGTTTTATCAGATTGTAACTTCTTTATGTTTTCTTATTTTTAAGTTGCAAACGAAATGTCTTGATTGTGGGTAAGATGAACTTCGACCGCGCCTCCACAAAGTCAATTATCACACAGCTACATAAAATGCAGCAAAAAGTTTTCTCATCGTTAAACGTACCTTGTCTGCCTAAAACTGGAATCACAGGCGCTTTGGCAGCGGCAGTATTCAATATGCAATAAAGTAATAAGAGAGTCGTTAGAGCATATTTCCAAAAGAAAGGCTCGGATGGTGTACGGTTATACGACCGCATTATTGTTGATAAATTATTATTAATCCGTTGGTGGTGCTGAGAGTGATGACGGGTATCGTAGCGCTCACATGCAGCATCTTGCTGGGCCACCGGCATATTGTGCGTTTTATAATTGTAATTTAATCACAATATAACTTCCTTAAAGAGCGCAATAAAATCAGTTAGTTGCATGGTATTAATGCCACATGGTCAAACATGGAGGAAAAAACATAACATGCAGTAAACAAGTGCTGCCAATCACATGCATGTTCGAAATCGCGTACGCTTGTAAGCAATTCTTACATGTCCATGCAGAAATTGTGGAAAAGTGCTAAAATTTCTTATATGACGGACAAAAGTGAACTGACCACATGTGGGCGAGACGCCGGCAGTCGGGCAAGAGCGTGCGTGAAACAGTGCGCGTTATAGGATGTCAGTCAGCAATACAAGCGCGCTGTACGGTGTTGGCTCCGCCCCGTGCCAGTTGTAGCAAATCATTTCACCAACTGAACCCCTTCGCAGATCGATTACAACCGGCAAAGTTTATAACTCTCCGGTTTATGATGATACACAACACATAAACTGGGCACAGGAAATCGGCGCGATCCCGAAAAGAAATGCCTGAAATTATGGGGAATGATCGAAACAGAACCGGAAGCGGCAAAACACACAGTTAGGCTATTTGTTTTGCCGCTGACAGCAAGTCAAAAAAAGCATTTTAAACTGGGTGCTATTGAGCGGATTAAGCCTGAGGGAGATGTATTCGGCGTCGGTCAATCATGAGCGCTAGATTTTCAATAGAATTACGATAATACGTTTTCGTTTGTTGTTATGCTTAAGATAATCCTGACGCTCATTGTGCGCAACTGACAAATACAATTGAGATTACGACACCGTTAGTATTATGAATATTATATCTGACATTGAAAACGTTCTCACCCAGTTCGGATTTGTGAATCTGAAGGGCGAAACGCAGTTAGAATAAAACGAATTCCCTCATTTTTATATTGGTACACATTCAAGCTACCACATTTAACACGATTAAATTTAGTGCACTAAACCAGCGATACACGAACCGTTTTCATTCAACATACGGGACCTTATTAGAATAAGTAGTAAATACACAGTTCTGAATGAATAACATAAACGCAGGTTGTTAGTACGTAATACTAGTGGGTGAAGTGTGCCCAACTGCGTCACTTCCGGTCCCATCTGGAGTTTTAGGCGGACACATTTGTTACGCGATACCAAATACATGGTTCCAACTTCCATATGCAGCGCCGTTGCGGTCTGGTATTGCAGATTTCCTTGTCATGTTAATTTATTTATTGGTCACTGTAGAAGAAAATTTGTAGATTAATCATACAGTTTTTCTGAATTCCTAGTTCCTGTCGTGACAGAAACTGGAAACGATCCTATCATCAGAATGGCTGGCATGAGAACAACTGCTATGTAAGGGATCATGGTTTCAGTCATTAAGGTTTTTCTCATCCGGCTAGACCATTGATGGATGTACAAACATATTGTTGCACTACCAAAACGCAGATTGTGTGCTTTTTCTAATTGTGATAAACGACTGACCGCAATTGTCTTGACTATAATTAGACAGTGTAATGATACAAATTCTCATTATCTGAACCTGTGTCATTAGACACACACGCTCGTTGCATATATGCAAATTGCGACGCAGTTTTGTGGTTATGCCACTCTGCTGCAAGATCATTGACACAATTTCTTCACGCTGGATTTACAGCGACATGTTATTGGCTGTCAAGCTTCTTTGCAACAAATATCGCTGTACATAAAAAACGCATAAATTTAAAAGTATATGAAATGAATGCCGATGCATTACGAAATAATTAATGTAGTATTTTTAAGTCCATTCAACGGCAACTGAATATGCAAGCATATTAACTATTAGAATTTGTGGTCAGTTTTCACGTTACACATGTATGTTGGCTTGAAAAAAGTTGCTTGTTGCTGGTTGAAGTATTGCGGCTTGGAAATTGTTAGGGTTGTGGCACTTTGTGCTCCACTTCATACATTTCCACAGTCGGGAAGAGAAGATTGCAGGTATCGAGCTGGCGAACAAGCTGGTATAATTATAGACCAATTACCTGTCAGCATCCAAACGCAAGCCTCAAGCCGCACAATTACATGTTTATGAACCTGTATTTTCTTCGCGGTCTTATGTGCTGTTGTGCATATAATCGTGCAACAGCGGTCACTCACAGTCGCACCATGGGAAACAGTGATTTGTTTGTAGGCTGCGGATTGAGGCGATGACAATGGTTTCATTATTTACGCATATTCTTACATAATAGATCCTGAAATATAAAAATGTTTTTAATTTACAATATCGCACGCCACGTACTGAAGAGCACACGCGACCATACAGAAATGCAAAACAGGGCAGGGCTGCGCTTTGTTGTAAGCACATGGTCAATAGATTGCTGCTTATATGCAGTAGCAGCGTGCGGTTAGCTGTAATTGTTAAAGCCGTTTCACACAATTGTATAAAACGCATTTCTTTGCAATAAGATCATCCCTTGTCTTTTTAAAGTATTTATGAAAACTTGACATGGAATACGGAGTGGAATTTAGCGATTTAATACTATATTTCGTGATTTAATTTTCTTTTTTTCACCTACTTTACTCCTACAAATACTTATCTCTCTCTGCAGACTGCAGCTAATATAGGCTAAAATTTCTAGTTACGCAGTTTACATTGCACAATAAGTAACTGAGATTTTCTGCATTGTTGCCACTCGTACTGTAACTATCGTATTTGTACTTGTAGAATTATTGTTTTAATTTATGGTTATTTTCCTATAAAAACTGTTAACTTATTTTTGCCATACCAAAAAAAGTCATCAGTTTGACAATCCAAACCTCCCTCGCGAAATCCAGAGACCGCTACTACAGATCTACATGTATTTTCACCAGAAAATTATGCATGTTTCGCATTATTCGGCGGGAATACTATTGAGACTTATTCCGTCTAAAAATTAGACTCTCCATTTGCAAATTCGGAATATGAATGCTGCAGTGAATTTGTACCGAGCGTCCGCGTGGACTGCGCTGATAGCGGACAGGTGGCTGGTGGGTTAGTGAGGTCATTTCTGCATCCACACCAACTATTCACGGACCAGCAAACCCGGACAAAAGCCCAGCAACCGAACGCCTAAGTTATTCAGTGGTATGGATATTATTTTGCTTTCACGCTTCCTTTACATAGGAGCAACACCCCCGGCGCGACAACTCTTCCCTCTTTGATTACGAGTATTGAGCCAGCCCAGCTAGCCACTGGTCAGTCAGTAGATCCGGCACGGTAATGGCCATTCAGACACAACGGGCATTAGTAGAAAAATCCGCCGAATGAGAAATATCATTATACGCTTGGCAAATCCCAATATATCTTGTTAAGAAACTAACAACCTTTGTTTCAGCTGATCGTTAGGATAAAGAGCAGGAAAAGTGAAAAGAATCGGAATTCTGTCCAACGCGGTAGCTCGCCGGTATTGATAGAGAGTGAGTGTGTTGTGTGCGTCAAGTGTTGTCTGGAGAAAACCTTGGACGCATCATCTTGTCAAAACCAGTGGGCCGGAAGGAAAGTTCACAATTGTGCAGTATATATGCGGGGCCGCCTTGTTCTTTATATGTGCATCTGGCTAGATTTAGTGTGAAATGCTCATAATGTAGCGTGCCAAGGTTGCGTAAATAGACGTAACCACGGGTCGCTTCTGTTGCATCGGCGGGCAGCCGGCACTGGCGCACGACCAAGAGAAAAGGTTAAATTGCGAAGGACGTTGTAGCGATAAATTTGCATGCTAAAGAACATGAATATGCTATGCTGGGCTATTGTTTGAAAATGATCGGCAATTTCTTGTTCGTTGTTTTCATCGCAAACTTTTCCAGCGCCACTGGGTCGTGTTAAGCAACAAGGAAAACGACAGTTTTCCTCCGAAAATATATACGGAACGTAAGTTGTGCGGAACTGTGACACGGCAGCAGAACACTCTTTTTCACAAATGAATCAGAATCGTTGAACTTTACTCATAATATTTTTAATTTCTTTTATGGCTTTTGTCCAGTATCGGCATGATCCGCACAAACGCATATTGAATAGGAACAGTTTGACGGTTCGTAACAAATGAAGTGGAAAAAAACAACATTAGGTACTTGACATGCTTGACTGAATAAAGCATAACGTTCTCAGTAGTATATGTACGGATGTAGTGCAAGCACTGGAGAACGAAATATTAGCTTCGTCTGTTAGCACATTTCTCCTTAAGAAATTGCATCTAACAGAATAAATTAAGCAGCGCTATATTTTGGACATTACAAATCGCAGTCAGATCGCCATTACGCTGTTACTCGCCTGTCGTCGATTGATTACTTGGGAGCGATTTATCTTAAATGCAATCAACTTTCAACTCATCTTTCCGTCGACTAACTGTCGAATAAACTACAGGCGAATGTCGGTTTTGGTTATAATTAATTACCCGATAAATTCGAAGCGCGTTCTCATTTTGTTATAACACTAACGTACCAACAGACGCACATAAAACAATAGCATCGTGCAGGGAAACGAGTAAAAGCAGCGTACAATATATGGTTTTATACGGCCTGGTACTGAAGAAACCCGCTTTCAGATGGTAGCAAAAACATGTGAATATGATAGATTTTCAACAAAATTTAGGGGTTTACATCGAAATGAATTTGATAAAATTTTCGGCGATGGTGTGCAGTGATAGAATGATACTGCATATGTGCTGAACTAGCACAAAACAGAGCACCGTACCGCCTAAAATTAAAACTCTGAATGACCAGCTTCGTAGAGATTTGTGCTATAAACTAATCTTCAAAAATAAAGTATTTTTTATCTAATGCATTCACTTTTTTCACCCATTATGACTATTTTTTGTACCATATTAACACTGTGATGAACTATTTTTGTGCTGTCGAATGGTTACAATTTTGCATGTCTTGCACAATGATTTGGAAAAGTGAGCAGTATTCACGGTATTACTTACCGAATATTGCAGTTTAAGTTTTACTAAATGATTTAACTTTAGGTAAAATGCCCAAGAAGGCATATACACAATAAAACAATACACAGCATTTCGTACAATAAAAGCATATTTTTTTTAAAAGTGCGTGCGCAACAAGAAAACTAATTTGCCCGCATCTACGTTTAGTGCAACTGCTTATAAAATTAATTTGATGTCGATCATACTAGTGCTTATTGTATGCTGCACCAGGGACTTTGAGAGCTGCTAAGTTCATTTGAGTGTAAATCACGCATAAGTAAATGGGATTTATTTGGAGAATGTGTTGGAAAACAATTCGCAAGCATTAACCATTCCCGAAGTGCAAAACATATTGTGTGCATAGATTATGCAGTCAGCTCGAGTCATATCGACTGGCCACAGTCCAGTCAGCCCGGATATAGTGGAAAATGTTAATTTCTGTGGGAGATTTAACAGGATAACGGGCGCATCCAATGCATAATTGTGCATAATGCCGATATGGTGCAGTGAACGTGAGAAGATTATCAAGTCGGCAGTGGTCATGGACCATAATTCATATATACTCACTGCACTGACTGGTACTTATGGCGAACTGATGCAAGGCTCTTCAGGCCACTGCAAGCAATTCCGGCAGTGCCCTTGCGTATTCATCCTCAAGTGCACCCCAAAGAAATGCAATATTCCGATAACTAATAATGGCGACCACTCTGGAAAAAGAAAGCGTCACCGAAATCGATATCATTAATTATCTAGCCTTAATTTTGTCAAGGTCTGTTGATGGGGTCACAGCTTCACTGTACTTCTGTATCCATGCATGATATTTGTAAACTCATCGATGGATGAGGAAGCGCCGGTTGTCTGCGCATCAGCTTGACAAAACTAAAAATGATTCACCCAATAAAAAAAATCTCTGCTATCAACGTGGTTTTATTGTGGCGTGTATATTTAAACTGTCCCAAAGAACCTTGTTGTATTTACAAACTTCATAATTATATGAATATTTTACCTACCCAGTAAGATATTTAATTACACCGCGTGATAAAAGTAAACATCTGCTGTAGCAAGTGCTGTTTGTTTAACTATGACGGTTTACTAAAATACTTTATAAAGAATTACAAATGCCTGGTACTTTAACTGTTTTTAATAAACAATTTCACTTGCGCATTAATACATTATGTACCATATGCATGCTCGTTTGATGTTATAACTGACCATAAGTCATGCGGGCCAATACTAGGTTTTTTGCAGTTGCTAGTTTAATTTGCCAGATGATCGTAGATGTTTTTGCTCGTAGCAAACCATCGATAATTAAAACCTTCGAGTTAAGTTTTGTTAACTTTTTTGTTTTGACATTTTTTTTCCGTTGACGTAGCGTTCCTTTTTATCACTAGCTTAATAACAAGTAAGGGCAATGACTCCTTTCAGCGCAACAATGGGAACAATGGCTGGATTCTGAAAATTCCTTTTCTATCCGAACCTGGCGTAGTCATAAATTATCTTTGATATTGGAAAACATTTTTGTGGCTCATTGGTGTATTGGAGGATTGTTCACCTAATATCAAAAACCCATTAGGGAAGCCATAAGTGATGAGAATTATCCTGGCAGCAACGTGCAAGAAAGGGCACGCTGCAGCCATCTGGAGCTGACACATCGCATTTCAGCCATTAATGCATTGAAACCATCGTGGAGATCAACTTCTAATTAGTTATTATGGATATCCATTCTAATATTCTTGAGCACAATCAATTAGTAAACCGTTTGACGGTGGTCAACATTCTCATGATCCCTGTGAATTGATTCTCGCTAAATAAAATTTTATGCATTTTTGGTGCAGACAGGAAAGTGTTGCCGGTGGGCCAGTGTGCACTCCTAATTCCCCATGAAGAAAGATTCCTTCAGACTTTGTACATTAAATCGTTTTAAAGCTGCTCCGCTTCATCGGGCTAATTGCCCATGTCACATGCGCCTGGATCATGTACTTCCTGGAACTTAAATAGTGATTATTATTTAAAGTTTTATTCAGTTATTTTTTGTTGGCTTTTATTTGACAACTTCATAATTTTCTGCATATATAACGTAAACATGCGCACTGGAACGCTAGTGTACAGACACTGGGTAGCTGGCATCATCACCAGGGACTTGGCTGACATAAAGCCGTTAATTACTTGCGATTCGGTGATTTTTAATCTGCAGCATCTCAGCAGGCCCTCTCACGAATGCAGGATGTGAGCACTGATGGCGATTGTTCCCTCGCAGTGGGCGCCTGATGAGAATGAAACAAGTGACAACCAGTTAATTTGCTGCCGGAGTACTTCAACACACACTGCACAACACCACGGCCTCCTCCCATTTCCCTCGCAATTGTGTGGGCCTCTTCTAATTCTATGCACAAGGATGCCGGTTGTCATCGCAATATTTCATTGCTCTAAAACATTTCCAGCGCAACAAAATTGAGCTACAAATTTATGCTTCGCAGTTAACAAGTTGCATGCATTCACGTTGTCGCTTTAAAACTTACATAATTACGCATTTGTGTACATAATAAAACCGGAATTATTTTCCCACATTATCATAAGATGCGTACGTAAGGGAACTCAGCCCTTTCAATTACTCATACTAGCATCTACGAGTAGCGCACATTCTTTTACAATTGGTTTAGGCCGAAATCTGTCAGGCTGAACAAAAGTACAGTACTCAAGAGTTCTTTTCAAGCAGAACAGTAGAGACCATGCATCTTCATACTTCCTATTGTGGAGCATCTTTATCTCCTCATTTCTTTCCATAACTGCCCGGCACATACGGGCATGGATATATACAGGGATGCAGAATGCAGATTGCATTGAATACATAAGCTGATCGTTTAGCAAGGCACTTCAGCGAGACTATTCCTCTTCTACTCCACTTGGGAAATCATTTCTCCATAATGCATCCGGCATAATGTGTCGTCTTTCGTGCACAAGATGCTCAGACAATTCAACACTTTGTAGGAAAGAATTTCAAATGCATTGCTGAACAGTTTGGTAAATGTCCATCAGCTCTATGATTACGATAGCCGCATCGTTGTGTCCTGCGGTAAACTGAAGAAAGATGCACATTAATCTTAAATACTCATATGTATTTCCATAATATCCCTTTTCGGCATCATGAATGTGCCGCTTTTCTATATTTTGCTTTAATAAACGTGTCTAGCCAAAGACTGTAAGTCGTACGTAACGTAAGTATCACGTCACAGCCTTCAAGATATTTTCACCGACTGTCCAGATTTTGCAAAATTATGTTGAAGGGAAACTGACAAATTCTGAATGATGAACCCAGTTAGAAGGGTAAACAAGTTGACAAATTTCAAGGGAGCTGATTGAAATGCTGCATGAAACTCAAAGATTTATTGTACACCAGCTGTAAAATTATGCAATACATATATGTTCGCTACAACATCAAATTTGGTCACAAAAGAATCTGATTAATTCCTCAAGAGTCCAGCGGAATTTATATATGCCATGTATTGGCCTTATCTTTTTATTTGCTGTTTCCGCCAGTTCTTTTAGTTTTGTCAGATGTTCATTCAAAATAATGTACATGAAAAAACTTAACACATAAATCAGAAGGTGTGTTATTATCCAAGAACGTAGACGTAACACTTTATGGCCACAGTTGCTCCAGTTTGTAAAGATTCTCGGTGGGTTGTCCCTTAATACAGCTACAATGTATCTTTATCAATATGTAACGACACATCACACGCGACAAAATAATGATGAAATTACACCGTACTTGGAAATGTCTGATCATGATAAGAGAAATACAAAACAATTGTTCACAGAAAAATTTCAAAACAACTTCAGAAACGATCACATTAAGCATCAATTGCTAATCACAGAGAAAATTTGATTAAATTGTATCGGCGCTGTTCAAGATCGATGCCGCATTTCTCGTTGAATTTCAGCTAATCCGCTGGCGAAGATATTCTGTGGCTCGTTTTTCGCCGGTTTCCTGTCGTATCATCTGTCCGAATTCCGTTGTCCCTTAATTAATGCACTCTACTTACGTATCGGTATAAAATGGCATGATAAATTTATTGAAACCTGCCGGTTCACGGTCGCGCTATTTTTTCATGTTACATTATACGTAGCGCTTTATCATTTTTTAAGCCCGTAGTTATCCTGTTATCGCATATATGAAGTGCCACTGCACACCATAGCAAAATTTGATTACTACGTGTGCATCATGGTTAAAAACTGGCCTGCGTGGTTTTCCCAAAATACGGTAACTGTAGTACTTCCGATTATTGCATCTTTGTTAGAGCCCACATGTAGTGGCGACTCTGTTCGTGTGGTATTAGTAATCATGGAGTACAAACCGTAATCTTCAGGTAAGGTCTTCGCAAAGGCATTGTATAAACGAGTCATGAGCAGATTGTTCCACAAACTTTGACCGTTCTCAAGATAAGAGAGCTATTATCAATAAACCCACATATTTGCACGGTGAGTGGCGTATCGTTTAAACATTCGCAATAAAATGATACCTGTGCAACATTTGCAGCATTTCTGTAATCAGTGGAAGGCATTTTGGGCACTGTTTTAGCTGCAATAGTGTTGAGAAACCACCAAGTTTGACTGCATGTTTACACACTATAGTGCGGATATGGTCACACCGTAGAAAGTGTAGTTTTTGATATTTTCCGCTGCACAACTTCCGGTTGTAGTTTTTTCTCTCACTGCCGACAGTATTTGTAACCGGCTCCAGCCATGGAGCGCTGGATGTGGTTGTCGGTTTTCCTGTCCGTGGTATTATGTTACGCTTACGCCCAAATGTTTCCTCAGAATTTACCACCTCAGTCACCAATGAACAACCCGTTCGCCCGGCCTCCCGGAGGGGCGGCTGCGCCGATCACTTGGAATTCCCGTCCTCTGACAACAGGACAGCGTCCAAATCAGGAACGCTATCCAGATCTCAGAAATCCTTATATGCCGCAAGAATACAGAAGTAAGACGCAATTGGGTACTTGTGAGCACCGAGACGTAAATTTTATTCAAATTCGTTTCCCCAGTTTCCAGTTCAGCAAACTGAGGCAAAGCGTTTTTACAAGTTAAAACGCAAGAACTGACAAAAGGGAAATTGGATTTATCCTTATGTTAACTTAAAAATAGGTTAATTTTTAAGGTTTTTATCATAAACTTTGGCGACAGGAAAAGCGCAGTTACTGGGTCTGTGTCAATGATAATTAGTATTACCTGCTTTATTTGGGTGCTTAACCCACGTCGACATAAACAAGTGTTTCGCTACAGAAAATGTTACAGCCGTCGGTATTTTTTCTTTGGACTTTGCTGTCTCAGAATGCCTATAAAACAGCTATATTTCAACAGCACTGTTTTAAAAACTAATATCACTTTCTTTATCTGCTTGAAAGCGCGCCTTAACATCACACCACTGGGTGTTCGCAGGAATTAATACCGGCATTTTACTTGTTGAACTTGTTTTCGTTGGACTTTAAAAAAACAAACCGATTTCAGTATTGGTGTTGTTTCTGATTTATTTCGTATTAGTGATTTTTCTGTACTTGGTGCGAAAGGATTTATTCGCTTCATTCTGAATAAAATTTAAATTTAGCGTTGGCGCGCTGAATCGATTGTGTTCAGCTAGCGAATACCTGTCGTGCCACGATCAGGGAGTGTAGCATAAACGCAAAAGCGACAAATACAGATATGAGCCGAGCGGTGAATAGCTGGCTAGGCCTCACTGCAAAATTTAAGTTGATAAGATATCGCAAAATAAAGTCGTTTTATTGAGTGCAATTGTGAGTCACTAGGAATTTGGGTACAATCACAAAGTAAACAGTATTCGTAATAGAATTTATGCGAAACTGTACATTCTATACAAACACTGATGATAGCACAATGCTCGTACACTTTCTACAACAGAAATTAAGGTGTAAAAGTTAGGCTGCGGTTTCGCTACACGAAAAACAATGCGTGCAAGCATCGTTTGTGACGATTTGATGCCATTTCAGGAGATCCACTTCTTTACTCGTATGGGCATGAATGGGGCGATAAAAGCCCGGAACGACGTGGAGGAGTGACGGAACAGGTCAATATTCCGTTCCGACTCCCGTTTTACGGAGGTGTATACAATTATACAATTGTAAGTGTGACCAGGCATATGCGAACTGCCTAACATGGCCAAGACCAATACTAAGAAAAATGCGATCGTTCGCCGTTGTTTCTCTGATGCAAAATATTAGCAAAATATGTAATGTTTACGTAACTTAGGTTGCTACCGACGGTTTCATCGCGTTTGCGCCGCCCCCACACGGAACTTCCAACAATCCTCAATTTCCTAATCCCAGATATCCGCAGGAGCGTGATCATCCGTTTATCGCGCCTTTTTACTCCAAAACCGGCTTTACGCGCCGGAGCAACGTCTTCTACCGGACCGTCGCTAAAGGTCAAATCGCGAGCACGGCTCCCGGACTGCAAGAACAGCAGAGAAAGCAATATTATGAGAATGACTTGTAAGCCCACACGAAAGAAGATTATTCATTATGTAATCATGTTTGTAGCTGTACTGTGCAACGCTTTACAGGATCTTGGAAATGGCCCTGCGCGATATTCGCTTTGGCATAATTGGTGCCGAGGAATTCGTACCGATTGCCGGCTTTCTGGTTACCTGGAGCAACTTGACATTCGAAGGCAAGGCTTTCGATGATGATAAGCTGGAGACGGAGCCAGTGCCGGAAAATACCTTCCAGCTACTGGTTGTCACCGATGAGGAAGCACGCACGTATGCCATTTTCAACTATAAGGAAGTTAGCTGGACAACGCATTCCGGCGCATATGGTGATGTGCACACTGGTCTCGGTGGTCATCCAGCGCGGGTAATTATTCATTTTTAAGCGAACATACAATGCAAACAAGGTTTCAAGCAGAGTGTAGCGTCGTTATTTGCTTGTTATTTTAATCGTGAAAATAATAATTTTTTCAGGTTGGTTTTAACGGTGGTAACGGCACCGGTTTCTGGGAATTGGCACCATTTTCCAGGGACACTCGTCTGGCTCAAATCGACGAGCGATCTAACGTCGATTTCACTGGCCGATATATTTTCCGTGTTGATGAAGTTATCCAACCAGCTGGATGCGTTGAAGGAGTTTATCGTAAGATCTTCTGAAAAAAGAATTATTCAAAAGGTCACCAGCTTGGGTTTTGCAGAGGGCATGGCGTACGCTGCACCCAGTGGAGGCAGCATGTTGGGTGGTGAAATGATCAACGTCACCGGACCGTGTTTCCTGCCATCGAGTCAGATCCGCTGCAAGTTCGGCCAGTATGAGACGCAGGGCATTTATCTGAATCCCGTCCAGGCGAAATGTATCACACCCATGATGTTCGAAGCCGGTTGGCGTGAATTCGGTGTTAGTGTTGATGGAGGTCGGACATACAATTTCCGAGGAGAATTCTTTGTCGGTAGGAAAATTAGCTAAAAGTCTCCAGTTCTATTCTGCTCACAACTTCAGCTTGATTAAAATTTTAGTGCAACATGGACGAGTTTCTCCGAGCATCCAGCTGCGGGCTATCGACGATTGGTTTCTTGAAAACCCGCCCACGCAACTCACTCTGGAATGGAATCCCAGGAACATGACATGGGCCGATGGTCTGCAAATCGATATTGGTAAGCAAGTGCGGAACGCATATAAAAATAATTCTTCATATTTAGACACTTCTCTTGCAAATTCACTTATGGCGTCTAGCATTTACATTTTATTTTGACCTTTTCCTGGATAGGTATCTGGGGTTATCGAGAAAAGAGTGACAACCCGGAAATACAGTTCCTGGCAAATATTGCCACAAATGTACCGAACAACAATGGTCGTTATCAGTTCGATCCCCATGGACTGACACCTGGTAATTTCCACGCAATATTCACCTACGGATTTCTTCGCATCAACGCTACGGACACGTCGGGAGCGAGTTCTGCCGAATATCCGTAAGTTAATATCTTTAAGGTTTATGATATGCGAAAGTACTACTCATACGATATAATATGTGCACCGCAAAAATGGCTGACAATAAAATTTGGCGAATTTGTTGCTACAGACATCTCTGGTCCGAAACCATACCGTTAGCCTGGTACTTCCGGAAGCAATGGCGAAATACTATTGGTGACGACTATGCCGGGCAGTTCTGTCGCGATTGGTACTACGGCGATCGCGTTCTGCCGCAGTTTATTGGTTATCTCGAGGTAAACACCACGACATATTTGCACTGCGCTATACACCGGTCTGAAGTTTACATAACACCAAATTTACTATCCAGCCATGTCCCTGCACCCTCGCCCAAGCGCAGGCAGATAAAGGTCGTTTCTTGCCGGATTTTGAATGCGACTACGACGGCCGCAGTACGTGCAACCTCCACAAGGAGGCCATTCACTGCGTGCATGGACCGGTGCACCCATTCAATGGAGCCGGACAGGAGTGCTGCTATGATCGAGAGGGAAATATTCATTTGACGCACGATAAAAAGTGGGGTGGATCACCCAATCGCGCCCATCCATGGGGTGTTATTCCATATCGCGAATCCCGTAAAGTAAGCTTAATTTGGTGCTTAACTGCATAAAATAGCTGTATTAAATAAAAATTATGTATAAATTGCAATATCAAAAATTAAATGTTAAGTGCTGATAAAAGTGGTGCCTGTACGAGCATGGAAGTTTTGTAAGTACATACTTATGGATGGTAAAATGCGTGATTTGCGTGCGGACGGAAATGCGTGATTTGTGATTGGTCCGGTGTCCGGTGCTTACATTCTTACACGACATAGGTGCCGTCACTGTCTAACTGGTTCCACGACAATATGCCCTGGTTTTTCTGTTGCCATTGGTCAGACAACTGTGACTATTATGGACAGTATCGCCGTGTTTCGCACGACTGCGTTGGATACCATCCGCCGGGCGCTGGTACGTTCCGCAGCACCCCCAACTGAAAACTATATCAGTCGGATAACAGCAGTATGATTATTGCAGCTATCATCTTTGGAGATCCCCACGTTATCACATTCGACAACATTCACTACGGATTCCACGGAAAGGGTGATTACGTTTTGCTAAAGTCCGATCTGCGACAGTTTCTAATCAATGTTCAAGCCCGTCTGGAACAACCTCCTCGGCAATCTTGTAAGAATATATTACACGGTTACTGTAATCCGGAACCGATCGGTGGAAGTTATTGATGCAATTGTGAAACTTATTTTCTTCATGATTTTAGTCGGTCTGATCAACGCCACGGTGATCCGAGCAGTCGCTATGAAGGAAAACGACTCGGACGTCGTGGAAATTCAGGCGCGTGAGTCGCACAAACGTTGGCGCTACCGCCTCCAGATTCTCGTCAATGGTCAACCGCGCTATTTCGATCGACCGTGGTTGAAGCTGCAAACCTTCAAAGGTGCGCATTTGAAAACCATAAAATTAAATCAGAATGAAACACTCTTCTTCTGTTTAGGCGTATCCATCCACAGTCCTGAATTTAATTTGGATCAGTCTAATTTAGTCGTCCGATTTCCGTCCGGTATTGGTGTGGAAGTACAGGAAGTGCAGGGTTATCTTCACGTGACCTCTTACGTGCCTCGCGAAATACAGGTACCTATGTCCATTACAATGGCTCACATACTTAATACGAAATTTTTTATGCAACTCTCAAGACGAGACAATGCGGTTACAGAATCACACGTACGGCCTATTCGGGAACTGGAGTGGAATACCAGAAGACGACTTGAAAACGGCCAATGGCATCGAAGTACCGGTATCGTCCAATCCGCGGGCAATATACCAAGATTTCGCAAAAACTTGTAAGATACTACAGTGCTTCATGATTTTATTCTGTTTACCATTCAGATATTCGAATTTTTATAGGGCAAGTTCAAAACAATCCCATCACCGGATCATCGTTGTTCCAGTATCGCACGTACCGCGGTGACCTTATGACAAATACTGGTAACCCCAACGAGCGCGGCGAAGAATGGTTCCCGGTTTTCGATGAACCTCAATATCCTCCCGCGAACACAACGCTGAAGATGTAAGTCACAGTGTGATTTGAGTGTTTCTTGACGTGTAAATAAGAAATACACAATACACGCACGAAATAAATAGGTCGGAAGTGGAACAATTATGCGGTCCACCGATACCAGAGAACAGAGAATGCCGGTACGACTACCTCGTGACCGCTAACCGTCACATCGCCGAAGCCACCGCCCAAGCCAAGATCAACTTCACAGCAATGCGCAACAACGGTCTGCGACCGGTGTTAAGCTGCGGCGCCATTTTTACGCCCAAATACGGAATCAAAGAAGGCTACCGTATTACCAGTGGTGCGTCCAGTACTTTCACCTGCATGGACGGCTACTACCTGTACGGAACAGCTCAGTGGAAGTGTCTGCCGGATGAAGGACGTTGGACCTATGGCGAACTTCCGTACTGCATGTGTAAGCTATGCAGCGAAATTCTACCATCAAAATATAACTGGATAAACATTACCTGCTGTCAAATACAGCGTGCGCTATATGAAAGGCTTCGTGGCCATAATCCATTTTCCTGAATTTTAGCATACGGAGAATGGTCCAGATGGGTTGCCGGTACAGCCATGGGAATCGTGTTAGCCGTTCTGATACCTGCCGTCACGGTCATCTTGCTATGTCTCAGCCGGAAACGTTCCGACAGCTCAGGGCGATCGGGAGCAGAGACACGCGCACTAAATTCGCGACCAGCAACCTCATCGGAACTGCCGACAGTTCATAAGTACGAGTGGAAATACTCCACGCTGTGCTAATGATTTTGAAATGCCATTTGTTGCTACGTTGTAGGAAGACAACGACAGTGATAACGTCATACGATACCAAAGAAGAAAGCCCAACCTCCAAGAAAAGCACAATGGAAGCTGATAATAACGTGAAAACGGCGATTTACACCAAGCCAGCGAAAGACATCAGTCCGCCCTACCGACCAAAGGCGTATAGTCCCCCGGGAGCGGGAAGAGGGCCACGTGAAACCAGTGCATAAAATAGCGCCAGTATCGTAATAACAGTCTTATGTAAATCTTCGGTTTACAGTACTAAAAGAATAGTCTCCTTTGTTAGTGTTTTGTACAATTGTTCCAGTTCTCATCCAGTAAATTTCATGTACCGCGACTATTTATAATATGCGCGATGACATATTTTATTTTTTCATCGTCATAGTTTGTTGTTTTTGTGAAATCAGTCAAATATTGTTATAATTTAGTATTATTTGTCAGTCCAAAACCAACTGAATACAACATAATTATGCAAAATGAACGTCAACAGCATCGCCGGCAAACGCTGAACCATTTTTTAAACCAAAGCATCGAGCAAAGCAAAAAGCGACACCGCAATTCAGTAACCTAAATAAACATAACTGTTCACACAAAGAACCCACGAGATTCCCGGTAAATGATTAGTTGGACATTTCGTTTCTCCAATTACTGCTCAGCGGCCTTCGTCAAAATCTCCGTTGCGATCCAAAGAGTTCCCATAATAGTTAATAATATCAAAATCTCCATTACTGCCACTAGCTCCAGATAGGTTTTCCTGTCTGTCATTAGATCTTGCACCAGATGTCTCCAGATTAGCACGCGCCTAAGCGAAAACATAAAACAATGCATAATGCGTTCAACACTATCCGAACGAAAAGCTGTTTCCACACTATGATTGTATTTCACATAGGTAAGGGTTATTACACACAAAAAGAGCTGATCAGTTTAAGGAAAATGTTAAACGCTTATGGTCATGCATTTAGCACCTGTTCGGCTGCAGTTGCCGGACGGCGTAAGTTTTGTCGAGGAACGTCGAACGAATCACCATCTGTTTCGATCAAAAGTCGCTCCTGCAGTAGAGTAATTTGCATCAGCCTATTAAATTTACCTAAGCTGAATCAGTATAATAAACAAAAACGGACTTCTGTCGTATTATTTGCTTGGGCTTGAGCCGATCCCGCATTCCCACCGAAAAAGGACGGCAACGTATGTTGTTGTGGCCCCTGTGACTGTGACGGCGTCAAACCGTCCATTCTTGGTGGCTGCCACAATCCAAGAGAAGCCATCCGCGCTCGCGACGAGTCGTTGCGTGCTGCATCCCATGGAAAGCTGCAGAAGAACCTACAATATTTTTAACAAAAAAAACGGTGCAAAAATTCTATGTATAATTACAGTCTCGCAGACTCCAGTTCTCGTGCACTTCCCATCAAACCCGGCGAAGCAACACTTCGACGAAAGAAAGCATCCATCGGTGCGGAAGGCACCATCGGCTAGAAATTATCAACATCAAATCATAGATCTAGATGCTGCAGCAAAGTGAAATTAAAAAGGTAGGCCAAAAGAAATACCCACCTCAATCGGGTGTTCGGATGAGCCATACCCCACTGTAGCATCGGTCATCTGCATGAATATATGGCGAAATGCATCAGCAACACTTTTTAAATAAACTGCAAACCTGTTGCATTAATCAAAACGGCTTTTGTACAACAACTATACCTGTGGATAAAATGCATTTCCGTAAGCGCTTTTGTTTCCCGCATTTGGTAACATAACACGTGTTGAATCATGCGTTGGCAGACTTTCGACTCCAGTTCCGTATAGGCCCTGAATTTTTGCGAAAATGAATTGTACGACGTAAGTAAATATGTTACGGTAAACATATGTTACAGTATAATTTACCGAAGGATGACGATGATGGCTTTTCTCGTTCTGTCTAGCTTTGTCAAGCTCTGCGGTTGCCAGCAGCCCCAACTGCGACGCTACCGTAGCCCGCGAAGTACTAGACTTCAGAGAGGCAATTGAGTCCAGCATAAAGTGCAAAGAACCCAAATCGTTCCGATAATCTTTCAAGATTTGGTTCATCAGGCTAACCAATCCTTTATCCGTGTGCACTTCACTGTATCAGACAGAATACAGGCAAGGATCACAATTACTGTACGCAGAAGGTCAGAAGCACAAGAGGTTTTTAAGTTCACCTGACAGGTATCTGTGGCGAGTTTGCTTCAGTACCTGAAAAAACTATTATTTTACAGTAATTCTTTTTAGAACAAAGCTGAGCAAAATCAGCAGTACGTATAAATCAGCGATTTTTAACGCCTGTTAACGGATAACAAAAATAAGAAGGCCACCTCTAGTTTGCGATCGGCGATTTCTTCGATCTGGATTTCCAAAGCTGTGACTGAAACCAGGCGGCTTTCCTTCGGAAAACGATGGATTACGTACTGGATAATCAGCGTGGTGTCCAGTGACTGGCCCGCCTTCACATTGTTGTGAAAACGACTCCTGGCGCAAAGATGAAGGGGATACAGCGTACGGATAGGCTTCGCCTTCTCGTCGCTATAACAATTAAAACTTGCATTCGTATTTCGTAACCGACAGTGTTCGTACTACAATTACACCTGTACTCAAACAGAGGAACTAACCTGATTATTGAGCAGTGCAGTGTCTGCATCTAATTCTTTTCGTCCATGCAACCGAAGTGAATTATTCATGGTGGTTTGTGCATCCCTGGCGGCACTTTCGGATTTCTTTCCACGGCCACCGGGAGATTGTCGCACCAGATCCGCTTGAGCCCTACATCTGTCATAGTTTACGGACGGCTTGGATACAAACTGCGCACAACTGTTCAAGATCTTCTGCTGCTCCGCCATAATAACTTGGAGGGATGCCACAACTTCCGGTACAGGCATATCACGGGTCGGTCTGTTTTCGTATGATGGTTCGCACTTGCTCGCACCATAGTCTGAAAAAACCGACTTCCAGTGCCGAAATCACATCAGTCGTTGCACCACAAACCTCTGTCATTTAACACAGGTGCGTGATCCTGATAATTCGATGCACGAGAACGAGTGGAATCATTTCTTCTTTCGTTGGAATTTTTATTAGGCACCTAGCCAAATCAAATCATAATTAACCTTACAAAAACCAATATCAAAATCTGCGTATTAAAACTGAAATCTATCACTGCAAGTCGTCGAATCCACACCACTTCAAATTACTTATATTAGCCTATCAGGAGATCAAAGTAAAATAGCTAAATAGAAGAAAAATTAAAACAGCTTGATTAATAATTACGGTCATGCATGTACATACTTGCTGATATCTACAATATAGATATATATCTATACTTCTTTACCTCATACACGGTGCAGCATGTACATAACAGAGTACTCCGTACACTCCACAAACTTACGCTAAGGTCATTTCGATAACTTGGATTGGTCTGTTTAACCCAATTTTCACTCCGAATCCGGTTATATAAGGGATCGTTAAGGTCCGAATTTTCGCGATCGCTTTCTGACGAATGCTCTTCTAATAATACCAAACAGCTATTCCAGTACGAGTACAGTACTTATACTCCAAAACTTAATCAGTTTCGGATGTTTGGAAAATACCTCGACGCCCAGGTGCGCGGCCCAAACTTTCGGAAGTCCGTCCATGAATATTATCGATCACGAAGTAACCATCGCCAGTTTTAGAGCTTAATCCATATAATCTGCAAACAACCACCAATCAAAATCTACCAACTAACAGATAAAAACGCAACGTAATAAGCCTACTCGTTATGCAGAGCGCCAGTTTCGGAAGGAAATCTACCGTCCGTGGTACGTTGGGAGCGAGGCGAATTGTTCAACATTCTAAGAGGCGGCTGCGAATCTGGTATACACTGATGCCGCACTCCATACGGTTCGCCAGGATAGCGAAATGTAGCGTTCGGATTGCACCATACTGGGTCGTTCTGTCGGAAGGCACCCGGTCCGTAAACTGCCTCCGGTGGCGCCGTTCTAAAGTTCCCGCCGGCAAAGTCCTCACGCGCCCGCTCCTGGTTGCTCAGTGAATTCTAAAATTAAGCCAAATCCAGAATAAGCTGATTTCACAGATGCATATTATTATCAGCAATTCCACCATTGAGCATTTCGACTTTACCTTGCCACTCGAAAACTGCGAACCTACTGATCGAAAACGCGACATGTCCCCGAGGTCATTTTCGACAGTCTGGACGACGGACGATCGTAACCTATAATGATACTGTATATAAAACATTCAAGAACAACTGAAACCGATAAATGAATTAATGATATTCGTACCCTCTCTCCTGTGACGGTGCCAGTGGGTGCGAGCGATACTGACTGGCCATTTCCCGCTGAGATGCCGAACTACTTTGAGGTTTGTGACTTGAATCGGGCGGAATCTCACCACGAGTCACGCCGGCTGCAGGACCACTGGCAGTATTAGCTTGATCCTCACCGGAATATGTACTCAGCTTCTGCTGCATGTTTCGCAGTTTGGCTCTTAATTCAAGCAAATGACTGTAAGCAAGAACGTGTATTGAGGAAAGTAAGGCCGAATGTTGGACGATCTTTGTCGTACTTGACATCGGACGGCGTATCATCCTCACTTTCTTCTTCCTGAGCTGCTAGTGGCATCGGAGCACTGGATCCTGCACGCTCCAAAGCACTTCGCACAACTGTTTGATTCCTAATATACAAATGAACAGCAGTTAATTAACAATAACGATGCGTTTGAAATTAGTATGTACTTACCGTTCCAGTTTTTCCATTGCAGCCAACGTTTTCTCTGCATCGGCAAGGGTAGCATCCAATTCAGTTATACTTTCTTCGTGTCTTTTAATAAGTTGAGACAATCGCGTGCGATCTGAGTTTGTTCCTAAATGATGCATGCGAATCAGTAATGTTTAGAATTAACAATAGTATCAGAGAAAAACCTTACTACAATCTTCAGTTAGCGAATGCAGATGTCTAACGATTCTATCCAATTCTCCTTTACGGACATGAATATCTTGAATGTTCTGCCGTAAAATTCTTGTCGGCTGATCAACCGGCTCACTCTAAACAAAAAAAGCATGAGAAAATTTCAAAGGCTGATGATACTGACTGAAATAATTTTCTACCTGTTCTGCATGCGCGGATTCTTGCTTGGTTTCGACAGAATTCCGGAGTGGCATAAGCTTGATCTGCGGGCGATTTGTGCGGTCTGCTGATGGGCGCTTTCGAACTACGATTAGGACAGGACAAAGATTATGTACGAAAATCAATACCTAAAGAACTGTGAGCAACACCTAAATTTAGAGGTTGTTCCGGACTTTGCGAACGGTTGCGAGTCGCAGGGAGGCGGGGCTTATTTTCGCGCACTTCTTCGTTTCGAGAACGCGTCTGAAATTTGGAAACGAATCACACGAACATTCGCGACAATAATTCCATCTTTCTGTTCACCAGTTTTCATTCAAAGCAAAATGAGGAACAATGAATTCATGCGCTGAATTTATGTAGCATTCGCGAGCAGGAACACGTACCGAGCCAACTTCCGCCATTTGAACCTCTATCGTTTCGCGCTGTGAGTACAATTTCTCCATCATACCCAAAACGTCTAAATTTTCGACAAATAATTATATACACCTATTGCACGCAGACGTCATTAAAATCATACAAAAGACATACTCTGCTGGCCTTCCAAATCTCCAATCGTTTCATATTTATTTAACAGCTCCTTTGCACTATGTTCTAGCCTTTCCAGTTTACGCATTTTGGCCACTAACTCCTCTCGAGCGCTCTGTAAGATCAAATGTGTACAAAAAACCAGTGAACAAGAACCTTAAAAACCCATTCTGGTACATAATAAAACAACACCAAGGTACTGTACATGCGACTATGCTAATAACTATTACTACAGTAAGTGCCGTACCGATTGACGTTCTTCGCCAAGAATATCCGGGAGAAATCCCGATGTGGAACTGCTGGAAGCAACAATCACTGATGGGCTTGCCATATCGTCCACTGCATTCTGTAAATCACCCCAAGTGATAATCAATATTGCATTTTCGTCAAAATGTTGATTTCGTCAAAGTTTCAAAGCCGATTTTAATTATTACGCACACATTCTGAGACTTTCATCAGCACAACTGCGCACAGTAATTTCACGGTATGCGTAGACGAGCATACCGTATGCTAGTCCTGCACGAAGCATAGCTGAAAAACTGAGGAAAAGTCGACGAGCGATATTTTATTGCCTTAAGGCTTAAAGGATTTTACCTAAAATCTACGCTGCAAATTTTCACAAAAAATTACAGAAGTCAAACGAAGTAAACCACAGGAGATATCCAGACTCACTTCGGGTGGTGGCGGAGATTCCACGTTCAAATCGTTTGAGAACAACTCCCCTTCTATATCATTACGCTCGCCACTTCGAACAGGCACCACTAGATCCAACACATCGAATTCTGCACGAAAACCCGTCTGATTGCTCGTGCTGGGTGAAGCAGGGCTGCCTTCCGGAGCATCCATGTTTGTCAAAGAAGACGATGGTTCTGAGTTCCCAGCTTCGTCCGCTGCCTCCTCTCGTCCATCGTTATTCTTTTGCGACATGGTGACCAACTTCGAAAACTATCGATTTTTTCTCCAGTGCTGAATCAGTATGGCAGCCTCAAGCACTAACCGCAAATATGAAAAGACGCACTGAAATACAAAACTAACAAAAGTTGCGAAATTCGAGTAGTGTTACTCAGTAGTCAGTACTCACCATTCGCTTGTTTTGATTTTTCTGTTTTCCTTCGATTTCGTGCCTGTCAGCCTGTGTTTCAAAACCTTACAGTACTCTTACAGGTTCAGCTCGATTTCAACCTACATAACCCATGAATTCCGTGGCTTTGACCTTCAATCCTGCTTTGTTCCTTCACCTCCCGACATTTTTCAGCTACTTAAGTTGCTGCAGCGCTTTTATTCTTGAGAGTCTCCAAACTTTAAAAGTACTAACATGAATACACTTCCACAATACTTCGTGGAAAACGAAATCCAAGAAAAGTTTGAAATAAAAACAACCATAGGATCTAAATTAATTCGCATAAAACCAATTCCCTGTAGTTTTTAAAGCGGAAAAGATAACCGCTTCCCGCTCCTGTGTGGACTACGCTGACTGTTTAAAATTTCCTAGCATGTTGTCCACGGCAGTGGCACCTTGTCCATTTGACATTATTGTAATAACCGAGATCATTAATTTTATGATTAACTTTGTTACTCGCAGCTTGCTTTTCAAGTTTTTTTCCAATTACGAGTACTTGCGGTGGTTTTTTCTAATCGGAGCTTTAGAAACTGGAAACTAAATCGTTTTGGTTTACCAGAATACTTAACTGGATAGATGCTGCTTGAGAGGTACATGTATTGGTACAATATGGAGTCTTGTCTGTTTGCGTGCTCTAATCGTGTTGTATATGTAAATAATAAACATGTATTCCTGTGGCTGTCGTTCGACGGATAACTACCACGTCCTTCATGCTGTGCACGCTTGCTTTTTCAGCTCCTGATCAACCGTTGAAGGACCTACAACAAGATGCCTCGTGCAGAAATTAGCCTGGAAGTACCGCCTGATCTTCCGAATGATCAGCTGCGCCAACGCCTGAATGTGAGTCCAGTATGCCTGTTGGCTGTGGTGAATTGGGGATTACAGATTATGCGTTATCTGGCTGGCACGCTGCAGCTGGCCACTTACAGCTACTACTTTAGTACTGTTAATACCTTGAATAATTGTGTCTTTACAGGAGGTTTTTAACAAACTCCGGGAGGTTGACAACAGAGCTAGCAGTCATCGCATCTCGAAGCGGTTGGCCGAGCACTACGCACAGGAGGCTTTTCTCCGTCATGCGGACGACGAAGTGCGCGTGCTGGTGGCCGCCTGCCTCGCGGAATTCTTCCGCATCTTCGTGGGCACCACGGACGATGAGATGTCGAGTCAGGGTGTTCCTGTGCACCTCGGTCCGTTATCCGATTTGGATTTGTTGAAGGTAGAGAAATCACCATTAGTAATTCGATTTTCAGACGTTTAATCGTGGTGCGCTTAATAAATTACGGCTTGCTTGGTATTCCATGGCAGCTCATAGCCTAATTAATGATATACGGCGTTTTTTTTTCTTTGCAGAATGTCTTTACATTTTTCATTGAGAACTTGCAACAATTCCTTGTTCGCTCCAGTCCGTTTTATACCATGGCCTTCCATGTGGCGCAGGTCGGTGTTTGGTGATTTGTTTGCATTGCTTTATCCTTTATGATTGTATAACTTTAACAAATATGTCACTTTGTGGTAGTAAAATGTATCAGTATTTTGATTGATTCTGCTGCAGACCATGGCAGGAACGAAGGCGTTTATGTTGATTTTCAATCTGGAAGACCAGCAGCCTCTGCTGGAAGATCTGGTGCAAATGTTTTTCCATGTTATAGGGTGAGAGTGCGTTAAAAGCAACATCCTTATCAAATGCAGAAACGGGAGTGCTAAACTGAGCAGTGCTAAACTGCTAAACTAAACTCTCGTCAAATCACTATGAAATCCAAGAATTCGGCGTTATTTTACTACGTAGAATTTGGTTTTCTTTAGGGACAAGCATAGCCCCGTCGATCGAATGACGTTCCTGGAGATAATGAGCTCTCTTCTTGGCGACGCGGAGGTGATGCTTTCTCGCAACTTACTGCGTACGATCCTGCAGCCGTTGACGCCTGATGCTAAAGTACGTGCATGACGATATAAGCTGGAAACTGATCTGATCTGTTATTTGTCTCCATGCAGCGACAACAGCCCAGCGCATACGCATTGGCCAAGGAATTGCTGAAGCGAATTCCAAAAGGAATTGAACCATGCATTGGCACGGTGCGTAGCTAACTCCATGTTGCATTAATTATGGAGTCTTTTTATGTCTGACTGGATTACTTTTCTGCAGTATTTTATCCGGTTGATCACATTTGAGGATGCCACGGAAGCCGGCGAGATTGGAGATAATTTATCCAACGTTGTGCTGGAGCTGTTCAACATTTCCCCGGCCCTGGTTACATCGTCGTATCGATATGTGGAACTTCAGATTAATGTATACAATTTGTTGCACACAGGTATACATTTGTCTGATGCTTTTTCATGGGCGTTTTGCTGTTTAGTCCGCTGAGATGAAAAACCGATTGGAAAGTCTCTGTTTGGTGGGAGAAATCTTTGGTTCGCGAAACTTCTCGGAAGTGGCACCTGGCGAGAGAGATTTGCTGTTTAGATTGGCATCTGCACGGTAAAGCGATATAAGAACTTTTCTCATCAAGTATATATTTGGTTTCTCATCAGCATTCTGGCTTTGTTTTAGGCTGCATGACATTGATGAGAAGGTTCGCCTGCAGGCTGTCAAAACGGCCATTAAATATATTTGCAACCCAAAGGATGTGGATGATAAATCGCGCTTGAAGGATTATATTGGTGGGCGGCAGTTAATGTTGTGCCTTATTTTAAACGAAACTATTGATATCGTATTTTATTTTTCGGTCTTTAGAACGTCTTGGTGAATCGTTAATGGACCCCAGCACTCAAGTGCGCGCGGAAGCAGTAACAGCAGTTTGCGAAATATGCCTTGAAGTTTTGGATTTGATTCCCATTAGCATCATTGAAGAGCTTGGAGAAAGGATTCTGGATAAAGAGGTACGTTATAAAACATGTTTTTACCAAATTGCTTGTGTGATTGGGTTAATAATTAGACGCGATGTTCTGCAGCGCTCTGTTCGGGATCATGCTTTGACTGCAATATGCAACATGCTTGGGAAACTAATGTATGGTACGAAGTCGCTGCCAAGTGGCGCAGACCAGGTTCGTTCTGGAATCGGCCCCTTGTTGCCAGCTTTATTTGATCGTGTTCGGATGGTTCCTGAAAAGTATGACGTTTCTTTTGCATTTCACTGTCACTGAATGCTGTCACTGTTACTAACATTTTCATTGAATTACAGAACTGTAGCAGAGATGAAAATACACTCTATTCTTCTACCCCTGAGCGCGAGCAGACAGGCCTTGGCCAATCATCTGCTGTATTTTTATTGTTCTGCAGGAGATCCAGGAATGAAGTAAAGCTTTGTAGAATAACTCTGTTTTCAAAGAGTGCTCAGTTGTTCTTTTCATAGGTTCATTGAAGATGTTCTCGATCGAGGATTGAAGTGAGAAATCGCCTTTCACTTTTATTCGCCTCTCACTTTAAGCTAATGGGGAACTTTGTTTTAGAGCTCGTCGGTTTCTGACGGCTTTTGTGGCGGCAGACCGCGATGACGATAAAAAGCGCAAGGAGAACAAAGTGCCCTTGATAAGTATGTGATTTGTATCGCGTTCAGTTTGCACTGCCACAAATTCGAGCTTTATTTTTAGAATTGTTTCCTGAACTGGCCCCTAATTTTGATGACCTCGCCTCACGTTTGGCAGCTGACTTCAGATTCCTCACTTTGGCAAGAAATTTCACAAACTTGGAAGTCGATAATTTAAAAGCGGCTATGGTACGTCAGTAATTACGTATCTAATTCTAAAAATGTATTCTTTGAAGTGGTTTAGTTGGCACATACAGAAATCTGAAATCTGCAACAACTGTGGAGGTGTGTATGGTACTGTAACCGCACTCCTTTACATTAGATGTACAAAGTTTGGAGCAAGTGCTAACAACATCATTCTAAAGATTATTGATTAGCCCTAAATTAGAAATATTTATCGAGCAGTAGCTGAACTGTAACTTACAAGAATACTGTAACATCTTAGTACAAAGTCACTACAAACATCGCGGTTAACTGGGGTATTGTATCCCGCAGGATGAGCTGTTGAAATGTTGCGACAAAAATTCTCCTGCGCAGTCCGTAGCCAAGCGGTTATTTGAGATAATATCACCATTTCGTTTGTCTACGAAATTATGCGAATGCCTGCACAGCACTGCCATGGACATATTAAACGACCATATAACCGATGCGGAATTCCTTTGCCATTCCGTTGCTCTTCCGATTCAGCCTGAAATACTGCGGCAGAGGAGTGCCAGATTGATCGAGGTTGGCGCTCTTAAGCTGATGGTAACCATTTTTGAATATCTTCTTATTTTACAATGTGTTTGTTTAGTTTATTGCTAAACGTTTTCCTGGTGGATTTGCACGAAAAGCAGTTTTGGAGCGCGCCTTGAAATTCTGGAGTGATCGGGACCCGGTCGTCTCCCTCAACATCCACCGTTTATTTGCAAATTGTGCTTCCGAACTGCGGTCTAATGAACTCTCTTCGAATTCAAAATTTATTGGGTATTAGTGTAAATCATTTCTGGCATTTGATAATAATAAAACAGCGAAAATTTTAATTTTCTTAGTGATATTTTGGAAAAAGCCATGGAATTTACTGCGCAGCCAACAGTTTCCCTTGTTCCTCTCCAAGGAAAATATGATGTTCGGTGTGTTGACGGAATTTCTGCCGATAAAATCGAACACTTTAAGGACATTCTGACGGTAAGAGTACATTCTGTTACGCTTCCGTCGCTTGATTGCCATGCGGACTGATGATCTTCGTAAAGTTTTACTGGTTGTGCATAAATATTCGTGTACCGCTAATAGTGATGCGTGAATTTTCAGTGGGCCACAACAGCTCTGCAGAGCGATGAACTCGAAGACACGGACAGAACTGTCGCTGTTTGCGCTTTGGGAGAAATGGCTGCATTAACCGGTGGAGAAAACGAAGAAAATATGCAATATTCTCCTAGACGAAGTGAGACCCAGCTGCAACTAATGAACCAATTCAAAAAGGATCTCCTCAACACCTTCGAACATACCGTGCTACCACAAATCAAGTTTGGCCAGGTGAGCACCAGTTTTACCATCCACCATGTCGCTAATGGATTCACAACGTAAAGGTTACTTTGTTTAGCTGGAGCCGGCAGCCGTTCTCGACGATGATTTGTGGTTTGAGCGGGATGGTTTGTCGGGAAGCGTTTCGTTTGTTGTATATGCCATAAAAGCATATGGGAAGTTTTGCCGGGGTTACCAAAGTTTTCTGCCGGTGAAGAAAGACACTATGTATCCCCCATTACTGCGAAAATTTATTCACAAACTCCGAGAGGGCGTCTTAGAGACCTCTCGGCATTTGGAAGATCTAGAGTACGTTAGTAAAATAATACAAGTGCTTTTTGCGTATGATTTGTTAATCTGAAATATTGATTGATATCGAACGATCTGTAGAACTATCTGATTCTGTTTATAATTCAAGAAAAGTATCGAAATTCTCACTTAATTTAGGCATATCACTTAATTTAATGTAACTATAATGAGCTGAAGGTTTTACGGGATTGTAATTGCATTGTGTATTGCAGCACCGTATCGCAGGATCACATTCTGCTGACAACTGCCATTCAGCTTTTGAAAACTCTGCCGCTCTTCGATCAGGAGCACTGCGCGGTTGAATTGGCCTATGTACTGCAGGTGCTTCCCCAGGTGCCGACCGTACAACCTACACGTTCCTTCAGTTAGTCTTATTTTTGCTTCGTTTATAGTTATTCTACAAGGAATCTCAGAAACAGTTGGTCCAGTATTTGATGGAAGCAGGAATTGGCCAACCTTTGTCCGGAGTGTTTTTGGCTCTGGTGGCTAGTGGTGCACTGCATCCAGATCCCGATGCCTTACGCTTTCGCGAAATGATACAGAGCCCGTTGATAGCTGTTTTTCAACATCTGCGCAAACGAGTTCAGCAATCTGGTGACAGTAAGTTTGAGCTGGTGTTGTCGGTACCCTGTTGCAATAGTAGGGTGGTAATACTTTCCGCATTGTTGTTTTTCAGAATTTGCCATCTTTCAACCCGAACTATCGGTTGTTTTTCTGCTCCACATGCTGATATGCTCCAAAGAATTCAAAGATCCAGACAATCTGTCTGAATGCTTTCCCTGGTTGGAAAAAATTGGACCGTAAGAGAAATACGATTCGATAAAATATTAAATATCGATGAAATACCAAAATTTGTAGAGCGATTTACTGCCTTGTTGACGCGCTCGTGACTGAATGCCAACAGTTTTCTCCTGGAATTCTCGCACATGTGATTCATTTAGCGAAACACGCGCATGTTAAGGGCCGAACTGGAACTAAACTGGACCAGGTTTAATATTTGTTGTTCAACCTTGCCATTTTTTCTATGATATTTTAACGGACTTTGTAATTTGTACACAGAAATACTACGTTTTGTGCGATTTCACAATGGCACTCCTGGGAAAACGCTGCCTTAACCCCAATGCATCGTCTCAAAGCGTAATTGTGGGACAGCTCCCAGAGAAGTTGTTTGAGATCGATAAGGTTCGATTTGAAATGCAAATTATTATCTGATCATGATAAATACATATTTATGGCAATTTTGCAGAAAATGTACGACCAGGAAGAACAGACGTATTTCACTACACCCGTGAATGTTAGTCGTAGGGTGAGTAGTTGGCTTTTGAAGGTTGTTTTCTTCATTGTGTGAAAATTTTATGTCGAAGATTGGAAGATTGTCGAAGATGTCGATTTTATGCTACCTTACTGGGTATAGGGAGATGGCACGGTGCGAGTGTGGATAGGATCTCGAGAACAGAGTATTTCTAAAGAATCTGACGGTCACGGCAGCACGAAGAAACGGACCAAACGTTCACGGGCTACGGCCTCTGGGCGTAAGTGCAGTTTTACTGCTCGCCTAATATTTGTCCCTTTGTACTGAATCTAACGGTTCCTGTGAACGACAGCCTTTATTCTTATTTCTTACCCCTTTCTTAGGGAAGCAATTGTCCAACACATCTATATCCCGAGATTCCACCCTGGAAAAAGAAGAGATGGACGCTGAATAAGTTTTCCTTGTTTCTTCTTATTTTAATGTTTTAAGTTTTGATTTAAACTGGTTTTGTGAGTCATCGTTGACTTTGCTTTCAAGTTAAATTAATGTATTCCTGACGTTGTTTTGAAGATTTTCGAACTGGTCATGGCAGACGCTATGCCAGTCCCGTTTTTACAGAACCGTTCCCTGTAAACGTCTAATGCGGCTTACTTGTTAGCATCGCTGGAATGAGCCAGTGAGTAGTAGTACTCAATAAATGCATAATGTAGTTTCACAGTAATTATCACCTATCTTCCTGATTCTGTGACTTTGTATTATTGACCGTGAATGACTAAATTATGTAACGGATTGCCCCGCTTGGGCCGGCTTGCTTTTTAAAGGTTTTATTTAGGCTTTGAGCATTCACTAAAAAAAGAATTACGTAATTCAGTTATAAGACATTACGTAATTCAGTAAAGAATTCAGCTATAAAGACATTTGAGAGCACTACGTAACCGCACGCCCAGCGGTGACTGCAATTCGACATTCCATTGACGCAGTGCGCTGAAGTGGATCCAGATTGCTCCAGCCGTGTCGAATAAATCACTGTCGATCACTCGCAAGTCGGAGAATCTGAAATTTTGCTGTGGTTATCGAAATTCGTGGTTATCGACAGTTCTCCGTCAGCTGTGTTGATTCCGGGGTGAAATTCTCAAAAATGGTAAGTTTTCTGCTGAGTATATACTCCTGACAGTTATAAAATGTTGCTTCTAATTCGCGGTATTTTTTGTAGACTTTTACCAAAACCGTCGAAATTGGCCGAGTGGCGTACATCGCCAAAGGGAAAAATGTTGGAGAATTGGCCACTATTGTCGACGTCATTGATCAGAACAAGGTGAGCTGCCATCTTTCTGCATAACTTCGATGGTTTTGGATTCTCAGAATGGCGGCAGTTTGGTGACGGTGATGATCTGTGGGGAAACTGACTTCGGGTGCTTTTGCAGACTTTAATCGATGGCCCGTCAATTCCTCGCCAGGTCGCCAACTTTCGCGACCTCCACCTGACAAAATTGAAGACGAAAATCTCGCACACGGCTTCCCACAAGGCTGTGGTTGCAGCATGGGATAAAGGAGACATTGCGACAGCGTGGAAGAATTCCAACTGGGCAAAAAAGCTGGAACGCCAGAAAAAAGTAAGTTCCGCACTAAATGCGCCGTGACTGCAGTTACGATCAATCCTGGTTATGTCGAACCAAGAATTATGATATGGAATGCCGGCCGAGTTAATATGCTGACTAAATTGATTATACTTCTTATAAGTTTACAGGTAATTTTGTGAGTTTGCTTGTAGCATTTGACGATATTTGATGGTTGACATTTGATTGCAGAGAGCCGCGATGACTGATTTTGACAGATTCAAGCTGATGCGTGCATTGCAGGCGGTAAGAGACGTATAGAATAGTTCGACTTAAAACGTGATTTTGTATGATTTTGTACGTTGGCTGGCAATGTTACTTTTCGATACCTGTTAGCATTTAACGCAGAAAGCTCTTTGTGCATCGCACTATTCTGAAGTAGTTGTTTGCTATAACTTGAATTATTCTGCTGTTTCTAGAGGAACAAATTAGTCAAACTGGAATTTGGCAAACTAAAGCGTCTCCAAAGCAAGAAAAACGGAGGCGAAAAGAAACCTACTGCAAAAGGAAAAGGACCTGCGAAATAAATATTGTCTTTGTTTACCAGCATTTTTCGATCTCATGTATTTGTGGATTAATCGCTTGGGCGATTGGAATAGTTTAGACTTGGCGAAAAATCTGAATTATTGAGTACTACTATTAGTAATACTATGCTTCAAATTGTTTTATGGTGCCATTCATAAATTCGATCCGATTCCGTTCATAGCTGTCCGCTGTAACCAGATCCAGAAATTTGGAAAATGTAAGCTAATTCAAACGAGACTATCGATAGCGTACTACAAGTCACAGAGTACTCGACAAAACCGACAAGCCGCACCATTGCTGTCGACATTGCATGAGTACTAAATATTAAATACTGATGGGAATGTTCTTGGCTAAAATATACGCGAGACTATAAGCCCTTGTCCATGCACGTCCGAATGCCACCGGAAAGCGACGCCAAGAATTAATTTTTTGTATTCAGTTTTGTGCTACCCATACACACGCGACGAAAAAATTCCCCTTGACGGACCGAGAAACGCTATCAATAACGTGCATTTTTATTCCTACACCAGGCCCGTGTTAGTAGTCACACCCGCGCTAGACAGTATTCCTTTGATTTTCCTTACGCTTTCACAATTTTCAGAATCCTAAATGTCACACATTGTAATTATTATCCACCTAAACAAACCTGCGTAATACGGTACAGCAATCGTAATACGTTCCTTTGCATTTAAGTTTGTAGGCGCTGTACAACATTTGAAACCGAAGCTCACACCCTCGTGCTCAACATCATGAGCGCAAAAACCAGTGATACCAGTAACCAATTTAAAAATAAACCATGAGAACACGTAAAACAATTTTTAAATTAAAAAATACTACTTAATCAATGCGCAGTAAGAGCTTAAGAGCACCCATTCCAAAAAACGGAATTAAAGATGTCTCAAACCTATATTCATTCAAGCCACAAAATCCAAATCAACAATCAATGCAGCTTGCTCCGCCGATGTGTACGCTCGCGTTCCGTACCATCTTCCTCACGATTGCGTTTCGACGTCCTTACTACACCGGTCTCAGTTATTCCGCTCATCCGGTGTTTCTCATTTGACTTTTCCCTTTCCTTCGACGTTTCTCGACTGGAGGGATGAGAGGCACGATTTTCCGTTACACGCTCCTTTTTCTCAATCGCATTCCTTTCTTTACCACGCTCCGGAAGGCTGGACGGTTTGATAGGAAGGAATTCCGGGCTTGCGATCCGAGCAGACTCTTTCTCCTTGGTCTTTTCAACCAGGGAAATACTTCGGGTTAAATCTCCACCGGTGCGATTCGTTTCTGACGCTTTTTCAGTAGCCCGAGCTTTATTTTCCGCACTGCGCTGTTTACTGGTTCTCTTCTCCGGTGAACTGGACGGTTTCGATGTGGGCTTGGTATCTACAAAAAGCATGATGGGCTCTTTTCTCTCCCTATCTTTCTCTCCTGCATTACCATTCCTCGGCGCAATCTCACTCTTCTTCCGAATCTTCTCTGCTTCTAACTGTGCTGAGGCCTTTAACGCGTCAGGTAAAAGAAGCAGAGTGGGCTTCCGCTCCTTCTTAACCTTCTCACTGTTGGCTCCAGCGGTCTGCGACTTCTTGGCGTCCTTCGGCAATTTTTTAGTCGATCCATTCCGCTTGTCGGACGAACCACCCGCCGCTCCGCGACTGCTTCTTTTGGCCGACTCCGCCTGATTACCGCTGCCGCGGTGCCGTTCTTTATCCCGCGACCGGCTGGATCCCGATTTAGACTGGTTGGTGGGCTCTTTGGCAGAGGGCTTTTCCACAATGTCGGAGATGATGGAACTCGGCGAGGGTGGATCGTTATTGTTGAGTCCGGTTGGTTCTGGGATGACGTGTTCATGCGTTAGTAATTCACTGACTACAGGTACATTACCCAGGCGGGACGGGGATGAGGAAGGCGTTATGCTACCTGTTCGATTATTCACCGCCGGCTTGCTGTCCGCTTTGGATTTCTTCGGCGGATGGCTTCCGGATGTTTTTTCACGGCGTTTGGACACGGGGCCGTTGGAGTCTTTAATGCTGGCAGTTTTGGTATGTGGTACTTCGGAAAACTCGTCACCGGACTCGATATCGGATGTGCGGTTCAGAATGGACTGCTTGGGGGGCAAGGCAGGGCCCATTCGAACCGGAGATTTCCGGATGGTCACGGGCGTGGCTTTGGGAGATCCGGAATCGCTCTACACCAAAATTTACCGCGTGATTTTCTACTATAAATTACCGATCAACCATACAAAATATTCAGAATCACATTTTGTAACAATCAGTAAGTCAAAATGCCCACTGATGCACAATTACAAAGTTCGTTCCAAACGATTGCGCACTACTGTAGTAACTGACCATGAGCATGTGTTCCGCGAAATAACAACAGTACCTTTTTTGAAGAAGCCTCCGATTTTTTCACAACGCTCTTCTTATCACTTTCAACGTGATTTTCTTTTGCTGAACTACTGGCAACAGGTTTCGCGGCGAGGAGTGGCTGCGGCGCACCTAAGCCGACCGGCGGCTGGACTGGACCTTCCGCTTTTGCAGGAGCCACCTGTAAGCTCTCCCCCGTTTGCAAATCTCCGTTTTTCTGTTCTTCATCGTTCTTGCCCTCTTCTTTCTTTGCCTGCAAAACAAAAATTTCCTTTCATCCGAGTTTGAACTGCAATCTAAGAGAGATTTCCGCACCGGTTTTGTATGGAAATTCTGTTCCAGGACTAACTGAGATTTCTGCGCTTTCATTCTTCCCATATAGCTGGAACAAACCAAAGCCATTAGCTTAACGAGCAAGCTCAACTGCCGATGTACAGAGTATATTCAATTTTATGTACCCATATGCCAAAGAATACAAATCCGGACGCTTGTCTTTCTCATTGGCCATCAACTGCTGAACTCGCTTTTCTATGGCCAAATAAAAATTGGACACAATTGGATAGAACGGCAATACCTGGAATTTTTAAACCCAAATTTATTACGAAAAAGAATCAAGCTGGACAAAAAGTAGCATACTCTATCCAAAACGATAAGACTGTTGCGAATTCGGACATAGCTCCCAGTTTCCAGCGAGCTAACCATGGACTTCGTCAGCTTAAAATGCCACTTATGGCATACATGGCGAAAATTTTCGAAATCAATATGATCGACGGTGTCGGAACCGGTTCCAACGGCTGGTGTGCGAAATTTGGTTACAAACCCAGGATGATGATGACATTCCTATCAAGACCAGCATTGGGATAATACAGCAGATAGATCATCCGGTACAGTACAAAGATCTTAATTTACCGCATCAAATGTCTCCTTATTACGATGCCATCTCATAATGGATTTCAGAACAGCGTTTAACAGTCTTCCATAGCGACTGGCTTCGTTCTCCGAGCAACACATCAAGGCGGTAGTAATATCACAAAGCATCTGTCAAAGTACAACGTGGGATTGGACAACGAAAGTGTAGACAACTTTTAGCATCGGTCACAAACGTTACTGCCAAATGATTTCGGGACACGGAAACGCACCAAATACGCATACATAATCACTTTAATTTCTTTCTTCTTACCCGATCGTAACAAAGAAGGGTCGAGAAATTGGCCGTGCGCAGCTCATGCAGGCACGAGATGAAATGAGCACTGAACAAAGCATCCACAGCCGAATAAGTAGAACGCGGCAGTACACACATCTGCAGAAACTGCGAAACAACATCGCTTTTTGTCGTTTCTACAAGAGAATACGGTGCATTACTCAAAGAACCCTCCATAAACAGTAATGTAGGACAAAAGCACTTACTCGTCATATGAAACCATTTGTCCTTCTCTTCGGCAAGATGGTTCCGTAGCATCTGCACATGTTGTCTCTGAACGCTCATTTCTTCCTTTAATCTGCCCAGCAGGGCTGTAGCGCGCTCTTTTTCTTTCTTCCTTTTTATTACAGCCTGCAAACAATGTTTTTAAAAAGATTTCTGAACGAACAAATTTTTCTGCAAACAACTGTTTTATTTTAAAAAATTTTAAACGTTTGTTCAAAAATTTGACGAAAATTCATCTTCCAAAGTGAAAAATAACCTGAACCAACCTGCATTGTTTGAATGTCTTCGCTGCTGTCTCCATCAATTGGCTGCGCAGCCAAAACTTGTTGCAATTTTTCGATCTCCTGTTCATACACTGATGTAGGCACATAAAGGTCGTACAAGGAAAGGAACCAGAAAAGAACATAGAACCGTAAGCTGAAAAAGAGGACCTTTTGGTTAAAATTAATTTCTTTCCGCATGTCACTGTACTCAAATTACCAGTAACAAAACAACTAAAAGCGAGCAGACAATCAACTACCAGTACCGTCAACGAAAAGTACTTTACCTGATGTCTTCCATCGGTGCCTGAGTCATCACTGGTGCGATCAAATCAACAACTCGTGTAATCACATCATCGAAAATAGCACTGAAGCGATCTTGCACCTGCAATTGTCGCCCATGAAACTTACGAAACTGAAACAAAGCAACTTCGAAAACGAAAAATAAACTTCATTTACCACTCGAAAATCTTCTGCATTCAAAGTCCCATGCGAAATACCACGAGATGATCTGAATTCGTCCACTTTTGTCTATAAACAGCCAGTTTTCATAACGAACTGCACAAGCAAAAGATTCTTCAATAACCGCACCATAATCTCGTTCCAGTATACAGATCGAAGCAAAAAGATGGCAGTTTCAAAGGGCATTTTGTAAGTTTGGATCATCTCGCTCAGCGAAGGAAAATTTTCGGCATATTCCTTTTTTGTGAGATTATTGGCCAAAAAAGTTCCATATTGTACCAACGCATCATGACACTATAAGAAAACAAGTTATTCAACTGGTGAAGTGAAAGCAACAGCTCTGCGAAATCCTTACCATGTCATAAAACACGCCCAGCAGCTTCAGGTTTTTACCATCTTCTTCCCTGTACAAAGTGTTGGATTCCGAGTGGGAAATCAGCAAACACAGCGGCAGGGCTTGATTCGACCGTAACAAAGCCTCCTTCAGTTTAACACTGGACCGCTTTGTATTTCGCATCGGGCTGAAGTACGCTCCCTGTAAAAGCGGCAATAAGAAAAGGCACTGATTAATCAGTCCCCATCATGACCACAAGGACTGCGCCTATGTTATTACACACTACGAACAATATACCGTAGTTCGAAAACGGAGTGAGAGAGCCCCGTAACAATTTTGTGCAATGTCCTCAAAATTCGCGAAAGTTATAAAATTTTATTGCTGAACCCATTTGTCAGCTCTAATGCATGAAAATGCACCACAAAATGCCTAATAGTAAGTTTACTGTAAAATCCTCTGTTCTATCACAGTTTATATTACTCACGAAAAAGATAACGCAGTCAATGCAAATGTTAAACAAGACTGTACCTCAGATTTCAAGACGTCTCCCCCGGCAAGGGCTTCAAGCTGCTCTTCGGTCACGCCTTCGGAAAGCTCGATTCCAGACAATTTGTGAACCAATTCTTTGAGGACTAGCAAATCCACCCTGGAACATTCAGAGACGTGTAAGTCGTTTAGTCAACACCGAAAATACCAAACGAAAATTTCAATTACGTTTGCCCGTTTTTCAACATTCCAACCAGGTAATCGATAACGGGTTCAACATCGACTGTCTGCTTCTTCGTGAAAGTCGCAGCGAATACTGCAATAACTGCAAAAACAATTTCGATCCGATCAAGCTCGATTCGATTTAGGATTAGGCGAATTCGATTCCAATCGATTCAAACCGAATGCTGCATAAATCTTTGTCCAGTGCGAAGAGATATCGAAATTACAAAACATTATTCTCGTTTCAATCATTCTCACATCTGTATCCCGGCAAGATTGTCACTTGATCGTGTTTCCGGAACGATGACATAGACATAAATTCCAATACAGTATCTAAAAAGGCAAACAAAGAATACAATAATAACCGTTCCTAACTTCAGTTTTCTTCACAGAAATCAAGTAAATAATATCACTTACAAAGCATGACATCCACAGCGAAATTTGATGCATTCCGTGTAGCATCGGATACCATCGTTCCAAAATTATCATAGGAAACAATTCTTTCTGTAAGCTGTAATACGACACATAACAGAATTGTGAACTGTAACAAAGAAATTCCATACAGCTGCAGACGACTTACATAGCTGCAAACGACAGCCGCACTTGTGCTCAAATCTTTGCCAATAAGCCGGCCACAAAATTTGAAATTATCCTTATTGACGCGCCTACGAAATATCAAAATTTGATAAATGCGAAGCCACAGAAAAAATCAGATTAGCATACTTCTGAAACCATTTGGAGTTGGCTATGGCAATGGACTTCGCCAACACGCCAACAGGATGTCCGAATTGGTAAAAATCATTTTTCACTTTGTAGTAGAGAGTGAACCTGAGGCAAATAACACATTTTCATAAAACCATTGGCTGAATTCTGAATTCAAATCACCGCCTTTCTTACCGAATATTGTAGGGGACCATTTTCAAAACACTGAAAACCATTTCCGAAAGCGCAGACGATCCAAAATCACGAGTCAAAGCAGGTAGAAAACAATGCTCCATCAAATGCATAATGGTGCCAAACGTCGCCTTTTCATCGGAAGAAAGCGCAGAGTAATCCTGGTTGATTTTAGACTGAAATCCATGAAATGATAAGCATTAATGCAAAACAAAATGCAAAACGATGCAAAAACGAAAGTAAATTACCTCATGCCGGAAAACAAAATCATGAGATATGCGCAGTAATTTGTAGAACAACCATCGGTCATAAATCAAATTTGATCCCATTAACAGTAGCCACGGATCCAGTTTTTCCTGGAGCTCGGAAAAACTAACCAACTGCGCTGGCAACTCGTCATTGAGAACAATAGGGAATGCGGATGAGGTCGAATAAAATTTGAGAGGGTCCAGTCCAACGCTGTAGAGACAACGTAATTTTTATAAGTTCGTCTGGCGCATACCGGTTTAATATGTAATACCTAGTATATAGCGGATTGATAATATAATGGATAATTTTCGCTAACTCCGCAGCCAACGGCTGGAATGTTGTGGCGTATAGCATGGGCATGTCATTGATCAGGCGCACAGCATCATGATACATTCCATGTTGAAGCATCACAGTCACCAATTCGATCCGGGGATTTTTGTTTTTCTACAATACTCAATCGATGTAGCAAACGATACGACAGTTAAACCATCAACATACCTCAAAAAACAAGATCACATCTTCAAAACTACCACTTTCGTTCGCATTCTGCTTTTCCTTCATCGCAAGACTCTTGGTATTAATAATACTGTTCTCTGCAACTGAACGATCAAACATCTGTTTCCAATGCTCCTCTGCTTCTGATCTCGAAAAAGGCACCTAAAATGACAGCGACAGTGTTGAATAAAGGTCAGAGTAGGGAAACCGTCACCAATCTTACATTAGGAACGATATCTTCCCACGTTGCTAATTTTTGTTCCACAAGATGGCATGCCACTTCGCATAAAGCGCGGACCCGATGAGGCTCTTTAACAATTTTCTAGGAAAAAGCCGCTTGTTCATTTCTTAAATGAACTCCAATGAAATCCTTGTTAAGATCACAAACATACCTGAACGGCCACTTTAAAAGTGTTGCCGAGCATAGCCATTAAAGTATTCACGTCGAAGTCAACATTCTCACAAAATTCCGCTAGCACTCTGGACAGAGAAGCGGGAGCGTGAGAGCAAGCAGTCAGCATGGTTTCCACGATCCGATAAACATCCAAATCATATTTCCCTGCAACATGAAGGGTGTTTTCTAAAAGCAGCTGCTCAACCTGCAGCCAGTCCCTCGTATTACACACATCTTTCTGACTCTAACGGAGAGAATGCTGGTAAGTGGTAACAGTAGAAGTTATTGTCAAAAACAGCCAAGGGACTTCCAGTTCCCGACTGCAGCTTCCATTCCACAGCTGATCTAAGCGGTATATAAACGCAGACTTCCTACTCAGTCATTCAGAGAAACTAAAAAATTATGTTTCAGTCAATAATCCCAAAAGAAACGGAACACCAAAAGAGGCATATACCAAGGAACACTCCTGGCAAAGGCGCAGTCGGAAGGAACTGAATTGTCAGGGCATTTCATAATAAACCAGCGCTGAACAAAAATATTTTGCATTTCTTAAAGGGTTTTGGATGTACATTTTGACATCTACATCATGGTAATAAACGAAGACCAAAAACATTTGTCAACAAATATTCGCAAAACAATCCAACAATATACTGTCTGTCTACTATACCGATTTCCAGTCAACCCTCCACTCCTCTAATATTGCGTAAATTACAGAGAACTGCAGCGAATTTACCTGCTATTTCCATAATTTTATCAATTATGGCGGACGTAGCAGCACCTTCAGCGAGGTCCAACACGTCAATTAACTCAGCAAATCCTTCCGGTTCTTCTCGTAATAAGTTGAACTTTTGAAGTTTGAAGCTGCAACATACAATTTTAAAAATGCTTGCACACGATGCTGTCGTGCAGTGCCGATACGTACAACCACTTTGTCTTGGTCCGCACATATCGCGTATCCCACTGATTCTTGTCCGACAAACCCAGTGTCTGCAGGACTTCCTGCTCCAATCTTTCACGAGCGTCCGCAGCCACGTGAGGTAAAGGCTACAAACGTATAAAGCTTAAAACCTGACTCCGGTCTATATTCACGTAAATTTCGTGATATCTATGCAAAAAACTGTTCATGCTTTATCTTGCTTACGGTGAGCTGACGACTGAAGTCGTTGAATCTGGCCACTTCCTCAGACTCAGCTTCGAGGCTGTACTCTAGAAATTAAGATCCACCTCGGATGATTATTTGGACAGCAAAACAAAGTTGTAATATGCGCTCGCTTACCAACAAGCTGCAATTGTTCCAGAAAAAATGGCACAAGTCCCGAATACGTTTCCTGCCAGGGCAATCACACTGTTAGACGAGTATTTGTGCCTCATAATTTTTTAACTATTATATTTTGTTATACAAAAATAATAAAATTTCTTTTAAATTTTACCATATTACAAAAGACAAACTGTGAATAAATATAAATAAATTTAACTATTTAACAGATTTAGTATTTCTAACCAAGTGGGGCCTTATTCTCTGTAATCCAGCGTCAACGGAAACGTCTCCCGAAATTACGTTCCGCAATAAAGATCCAGAGAACTCCAGAAAATCTACCCATAACACAAAGAATAAATATCCACGAGCCAAGACTATCGGCCATCGGGTAGGGAGAAATGCGAGAATACGAAAAGACCATGTCGCATACCATCCGTGCTACCAAGTTCTGGTAGCTGCGGCAACGGCGCTGCTGAATCACATTCACAATTTTTTGACTGGATGCAAGGATTTCAGCAAAAAGTCCATCTTTGGTTTGCCGAATCCCATCGGCGGAAATAGTACCAGAACCAAAATGGAGAGAGGCATCCATAGTGATCCTGGCGGTCCGCTTTACGCCAAACCAGACAGTGCAATTCAAATTCGCGGCTCAATTCAGTGTCGCACAGATGACAAGATCAAAAGCCTATTCATCGTACGGGATTTACTTAATAAAAGTTCAACAATGGAAACTTCGACTGAAAACCTGGAATGCTGCACTCAGACCCACCAAACCTTTGTAGTGATTTACATTATTTTGACAACTCAGAAAAGTTAAAACAGCTACTTCTGAATTTATTCGTATTTTTTGCATAATTCAAATTTTTTATGAAACTTCCGATAATTCAACGACATACTGACTGTACGTGTATTTCGACTGGCACAGTGATACCAAGTCGAATCGAAATTTGACTCGAACAGGAGTCAGGAAAACGAATCAAAGTGAGGCGTGTATTTGCCGATTTTTTCTAATGACGTTATTTGGCGGTGCTCCCTAACGTACTACAAAATACCAATTAGAATTAGGCACAATCATAAATTACGTAACGCAAGTAAAGAGAGGGAGAAACAGAACAGAGTTGAACTAAAAGTACAGTAGAAGTACTAGTACTGTATTTTTGCGAGTCGAGTCCAACCGATACCCACGGATTTCGACAGTCTGGCTCGGCTCTGTTTTGCCAAGAACGAACGAACGAAAAAGATGACGACCGCGCGCTGCGACAAGTTCTTTTCAACTTCTGAATTTAGGATTACAAATTATTACATCATTCTTCAAGGTCTTGATCCTTCGTGTTTGATGGGTTTCATTCTGCTCTGAATACTTCTTATCCTAAAACGCTATGGATTTCGAAAATTGGTTATATAATTGCCATAGACCCATGTCTGCAATTAATAATTTTCTGCATCCACGATTTGCGCTCCGTATCCTGTGGGGAAGCCGCTTCACGTGCTGACACAGTCTACGTCGTCAGTGTTTGTGATTTGTTAGTTTTTATTTGTAATTTATCGGGATCATGCCGAAAGGACGGAAAAAGGATGCAGGTACGCAGTTTGAACAGTGACATAAATTTCTGGACTGCAATGAAAATTTGAAAATTGTGAAGTGGGCCGTCTGCCTCTCTGTTCGGGTTCTATCTGGCTCCTTGTTGTCATTTGTGGCGGAATTTCTAAGCAGCTTAGAACTGGTCATAAGTGGCGCCATAACAATATAACACTATCAGTACAGTATTTGATTGCAACGTTAAAAAAATTCTCAATTGTTAATCATTATTGTTAAATTATTTTTGACTTACATGTTATTTGTAAGTACTTGAACTTTGTTTGTAAGTAATTTTCGCGTGTGAATCAGCATACAGATTGTATCGTCGAATTGTTAAGCAAAATTAGTGTAGTGACTCTAGTCACCAGACATTATTATTTCAAAGGAGTTTTAGTATAATCTTCAAATTTTTAATCAAGAATTTGACTTGTGGTGTAAATATGAAGGGTCGCTATTTTTGCTGACGTTGTTCTCTCAAAAACGGCGAAACGAAACGGTTCATAGGTCGTTCTGTTACATAATATTCAAGTTCATATGAATACTATGGCTACGACTACGTCTACAAGTGCTGTACAGCCTGTACTTGTGTTTTCCCGAGTCTTCCGGCCTATAATTTTCTTGAGTCTTGTCTGAGTGATAGTCGCACAACCTGACAGGGTTTATGTTTTGCTGCTATCGTCCCGCGCCAGAGACATTATCGTCGGTATTAGTAATGTTAGTACTTGTTTTAAATTGCTATAACTGAACGCGTTTGGTTATGACTGCAGATAATATTGTATGTAGAATATGTAAAGATGTACTTGTAGTCGTAGTTTGAATTGGTTTTCTTACCATTTGGCCCGATTTGGGTGCTGGAAGTAGGAGTAGAGATGGATCTGTTCACTGCGTCATTTTCCGAGTGGTTACTGGCTTGGTAATGCTTGGCTTTTTCCACAGGGAAGAAACCTCCTGTCTCTCCTGTAGCAGACGTTGCCGATGACAAATCAGACGCCGGTACTGTCATCAGTTCTGGATCCGATGTTCACACGATCAATTTGGATGACGGTATGTTATCGTTATCGTTACGTAGCCTGCAAAGTTATAATAATAACACACTTGTATGTACGGTGTATGATATTATTGACGGAAACATTTTTGGATCCACGATGCTTGTGGAATATTAAGTACAGTAATGTAAATCCCATATCCCGTAACAACTAACAATATTGCCACGAGATTTGCGAGATTTTGGCGTATTTTGTGTTTAGACTGAATAAATGGAAATAATTAGTGAAATTTCGAACAGATTGACTTGAAATTTTTTAAGTTACATGGGGACATTATCGTCTCTAGTTGCACCCTAACCAGAATTACCGGTATATTCGAACAATTTCAGTTTTGGCATGATGTTATGCTATGTAGGCTGTTGGCGTCATTTGAATTAATTTCACGGCAGCTTGCTTGAATTTCATCATATAAAAGCAGGGAGAACTGTACGGTTTAATATGGGTATCGTAATGGTAATTTTGTGTTTAGGAATCGGCGCAGATGGAACTGAAGATCAGGCATACGCAGCTGGATCCATTGATTTACTGGAAGAAAAATTAAAAGATGCCATTGAAAATGCAACGGATAACAGGTAACGAATGACTTTGTTTTTGATAATTTCAGAATGAATGACTTGTGCATTGCCAAATTTTTAATATAGTGCTAAGTCCCGAGAGGCTTCACTGGCGGAACTATGTTCAGGTTTCGAGCGTCGACTGTTGTACGACTTCATCGCGGGCCGTGAAGATACCCTTGCTGATATTGTGGAACGTTCTTTGCACCGCGGGAAGACTACGGAACAGGTTCTCGCTGGGAGATTAGCCTCCCTGATTTTTGTGCAGCTGGGAAGCGACTGTGGAGAATTCTATGGAAAGATCCGTAATTTGCTTCTCACGACGCACACCAATGCATCAGTGCCGGCTGCAGCTCGCAGTGCCGTAAGTGCTCTGGCGAATGTTCTTTAAATGCTATATAACTTCCGCGATTTCTTACAGTGTGCTGAAGTATTGAGTATTGGCAGCTTCATCGCCGACGAGGAACCGGAAGTGAGATTCTAGTAACTTGTTTCGGAAGTATAATCGACTAACCATTTCACATTTTCTTGCAGACGTTTTCTGACACTTTGCGCAAACTGAGCAAAACTTTTGCTCTTTCCTATTTCAAAGGTGATAAAACTGCTCCGCAGTATCCTCCGGAAGTTACGGCATTGCATGCTCAGAGCTTAATTGCATGGTGTCTTCTGATGTCCGTTGCATCGGAATCCATTGCTGTGGACGAACTGAACCTGTAAGTTTCTATAAATCTGTGGCTTTTTATGTTGTAAGATTGTTGATTCGAAACGAGGATCAGTTGTTTCAACTCATTTGACAACATGATAGGCATTTGCGTCGTTTGCCGGAATTACTGGAGTCCGGCGATGTTGATTTACGCATTGCAGCTGGTGAAGCGATTGCCCTTATGAAGGAAATAACGCGGGATGTGCACATGGAAAAGGCTAAGAAACCGGACGTGGTGTCCTTGTGCAATCGACTGCGTGAACTGGCAACCGAAAGTACTAAGCATGTTGCCAAAAAAGACAAGAAACAGCAGCGATCCAGTTTCCGTGATATTCTGCATTCTGTTGAGGTATCATTTCAGGTGACGGGATTTGGTCCAGTTGACCATTGGTTTTTCCAGAGTCTGAAGGGTTTATAAAACATTTTATTCGTGCATATTAGTATTTCGTTTTTAAACTTTTTCTCTAGCGCATTCCCGAATAATTAAGAGTTTTGTTAATTTGCATACCAGCATATTTCGCTGTATGCGGGCTGCGGGCCTTTTTGCCCATTAGCAGAGTTATAAAATTCCGGAACACCTTTTTAGGTGCGTATGCGGTATGCATGTACTATGTTTAACGTGTTTTTCCTTTGAAGGACGATGACGGCGTCTTCCAGCGCGTCCGTTTTGGCAAGGAAGTTTTGGATCTGCATACATGGCGTGCAAAACATCAGTATCAAACGTTTTGCAATGTTTTACGAACAGGGATGAACTTCCATTTACGTATGAATTCGCTGATTCGACAAGTATTTGATCTCGGAGAGCCTATTTTGGACGACTTAATGTTCAGTGGTTCAAAGAAAGCTGATAAATTTCATAGAGTAAGTTTTTGTTTGAGAGCCAGTTAATGATTAGTTTCTGAAAACATGCTAGTTACTCTAGCACTTATTTAGCATGTTCTGTGGCTAGAATTATGGATGCGATAGTACTTATGTGTAACTAAACTTATTATTGTTTGAGGCCAGTAGTATTGCAGGACCACTTTAAGAGTACAATTCAAGACTAAATGGTCGCGCGATCCCACGCGACCAATTAGTTTTAAATTGTATGTTGTCGTACAAGTAGATACTATTGCTGCGCTACTAATTATTTACCTCGTGTGACTTATGGATTTTGCGCTTTTGGATGTGAATTCTCTGAATAAGTAATCAGTTGACGTATTTTAAAACAAATGTTCTGTTTATTGTAGCAACTCCAGCAAAGCGCTATGGAGAAGAACCGCACCATGTCTCGCAACATGCATCGGGGAAATAAGCAAGCCGGTAACGCAAATTTTGATGATGACGAATAGTGCAATAGAATGCTTAAAGTACTGTAATTCCTGGTTTCGTACTCTTGTTCTTTGAGATTGTCGGTTTTTTCTTTGAATTTTTGAGTTTCCATTTGGGTGACCGGTGCGTTGTCTGTTGGAGCCAGAACGGAAATAGGCTTTTATTGTCGGTTTTAGAGAATTGTTTTGTGAACAGGCTGTTATGTGTTTTTGCGTTACCGTTGGAAATAAAGCGACACTGCAGACGAAGAGTGCTATAGCGGTTTCTTTGAAATTTACTATGGAAGCAGTCAGGTAACCAGCTAAGTGAATGTGGATTAAATTCGTGGAGATATTTTGTGCTTAATTTCGGATAGTTCAGACACCGAACGCCCACACCACGTACCTATGAAAAGTTGCATAAATTGCATAATTTTATTAATATTCAGAATTGCAGTGCATACAAATCATCACCAACATCACTGCATACATCACTGCATACAAATCATCTGTAATTCTTAAGTCAGGGCTGACCGGAAGCGGACAGCCGCAAGTAGAAATTCGGGGTTACCTTTGCCAGCCTTTTGTTGGAATTGTTCCTTGTTCACAGAATGTCCTTTCAGTAGGTTTTTTTCGCCGTGCACCAGCTTATTATGGAAGTTCTGGCTAATCTTGCGATTTCATCCTTGTTGTTCCTTTCGCTCAGCCCGAGTCAACCGATGGGATTTGGCCTGCTTTGTACGCGTCCACGCGATCAATAAAATGACTCATATTGTGATCTACTTTTCGTTTGTGAATGACTGACGGGGCTTATGCGTGAGATCCAAGTATGCTAACCGCTGCTTTTAACATGTCCTTGTCTTAAAGATCGTCGTAATATTTTGTATTTTTCAAAGCCCCATAGACTTCTACCGCTGGGCGAGTCGCTGGCCTTGTTACGGATGCTTTTTGTGCGTATCAATAATTTAATATAATTTCGTCTGTGCGGTCAGTCAAGCTTCGAAGGCACGGGATGCAAGTTTTAGCCAGTTTTCAATGTACGGAGCGTTACTTACTTTACTTACTTACTTAAGTTAATTAGGTACGAACCGTATGTTGGCAAATCTGAACAAAATGGCTTGTGGCAGGCAAAGGCACCACATGACCCTCTTGTTATAAAACTTTTATTTCAAATTTTGCCAAGTTTGCTGTCTGACGCACTCATTGTCGGTCTGGGCCGTGTTCTGTGATTGGCTGGTGTCTCACGTATTGCGCAATCTGTGCACGAGGTCCACGTGTGGCACCAGCTGCTATCGATAGGAGGGTTACGACACCGCGCTAGCCGCTGCCTTCTTTTATTTAAGCACATGTTCGTTATGTTTCGGTTTGCACACGACCGTTGCCGCATTCGACGAGCCACATGTACCGTACATACCCGTTTGTAGACGATTGATGATATTCCTGTTTGCGTTTAATGGTGAAAGGCGCACTCTTCAACGTGGAGTCCACGAGTGATCTTGTGAATTCTGTGTCAGTCCGATTTTGCAACACTCCGTTTCTTCCTGCTCTAGCAAAGTGAGCATGCCCGTACGCGCAGTCACCAACGAATCAAAACCTGATCTTCACATTACTAAATTGCACATTCTAATTGAAAAACATGCCAAGCTTTGTAATTTTCTTTGTGGATGTTCGTGAAAGCCGACGGCTGAATTTGCCCGATCATATTCCTTCGCCATTCGGGACGCTATGCCGTGTCGTGTCCGGTTATGGCAGCCCAAATATGGACCCATTCCGGAACTTCCGGATGATGTGGGCAGGTACGGTTTACCACTTCCATGATGCGAAAATACACCGTATAATTTCTTACTTAAAGATATCGATTTCGAAGGCAACGGATATGTTGGAATATGCTAAACTGCATGCAAAATTAGTGCACACATGACACATTTTAAAACTCGGAAATCAGCTGGTAGTGCTTAAGTGCGTCTAATACAGGGCAGCTAATAGCTCGTAATTGTTTTCTAAAACAGACGGTAGATTTTACTGTAGATCTGTGGTTCAGTGGCTGCACAAATATTAAGTACAGTGATATGAAATATTTTGTATTTTAATATGAATTAGGGATAGAGTATTCATAAATAGCTGCTTTGAAAACCTATTTGGCATAAAAAGGCATTTTGCAGTAGATTGTTCTCGCTAGTGCTGTAATCGCTTCTGGTTCTTAACAGTTTTTACGGATATAGGGTGCCGGCACCGTTATTGTTTTGCACTACTTCCTTAACCGGTTTTTTATGCATTGTGTCATATGTGATTGCCGACAGGGAACCTAGTTTTGAACAAAAGCGAACATGCCGGTTTATGTGTGTTCCAGATGAGGACAACAACCTGATGCCACTGTTGTCCGACCGCATGTTGATAGATGCTCTGCGGCGTCTTAGTCCACGGGCACCTCTGCATGTCTACGTCAAAGGAGTTCGTAAGTGTCAAAATTTCTTTGTCATATAATTTTGTAACAACATCTTAAGCGGTACACGTAAACTGAACCATGGGAAATTGGGAATAGTTATTAGACTTTGAAATGTTTACTCCGCATAATCAGTCAGCGCCATCGAGCATTCTGTGCATAAGCATATACTTAATTTCGTCTGGCAATAAAAGCTCAGAATCAGTTGTGTTCATGTTTGGCGACCATCTTAATTGAGTAATAAATCACCTTACATCAAATTTCCGTACATTTTTGGCGGACACTTGAGGGAAAACAGTTTTTGTGGTAGGATTTTAATAAGGAGTGGTTGCTATTACTGTCTTTTCCGGTCGATCGATACGTCATACAAGTGCAGTACTCTCGCTGCAGCCGTTTCCATTGCGCAATCACATATCTTTGTTTCGGTTTACATGCTGACCTGGTTTGGCGTTTTCCGGCTGATGCAATAGAGTTGACGTTTTCAATAACACAACAGCTCAAAGTCAAACTCTACAGTTTGTTAGTAAGTAATTGTGCACTCTATGCAGTGCACCAAAAAAGCCGGAATACAACAGACAGGAACATCGAAGTATCAGATTTTCATTTGCATAGGTTCTCGTTCAGCATACCTATCTAGAATTATATCAACTTATTTGACCGTTGGCTAATTGTCTAATTTCCGTGGCCACGAACAGTTGTTCTATCGCTACTATATCTTTATAATACTTAGCATTGTTGAACAGGACCTCCACCGGAATTTATGGGAAATGGAGCAATTAGAAGCCGGTCCAACAGTCTGACTCTGCGTGCGGCTAACCGGGTAAATTAAATACTTAATAAAAACAGTATTTATTCGAGTACTTTCAACCGTCGCTGGCATTATAAGCCGAAATGTTTAGACACAATACAAATGAAAATAATGATGAGTACTTTACAGAAACAATTCAGAACAAATCAAAACAAATTTCAGTACTGGTATACCACAAAAAAGTGCATTCACCACTGTAATTCACTAAATACTCGTATGCTTCTGTGAATATAGAGTGCACCCTTTCTGAAAGCACGTCCACGCATTTTTTTGTAAACTACCCTGGAGTATAACTGTGCAGTTGAAATTCAAAAAAGTATTTTTTAATCTTTTTGCTGGTCACCTTTTGCCGCTTCTCTAAATTTCAGTTTACGCATGATCCGACGCAACAGTAAATGTGGAATGTATGTACGTCAGTTGTACTCAACTTATGTGCGGCTTGAAGGTTCCCAACACGCGTTAAAATAATTTGCGCTTTAAGCGCATACTGTTCGTTGAACTTTGCTGGTTATAAAAATGTATTTCGTCATCCCGACTGACTGGAGATGGAGCTCGCATAAGGCTGTTATCATTGTAGCTTCTAAAGGCTGTATGCACCAGCGATGGTGCCAAAAAATTTTAAGAAATTGCGCTGCTTGCAGGTCTAAAATAAATCGTAATTTTTGTCGCTACAATAAAGCCATTTATTGATGAAATTACGAAATTAGCAGTTACATGATATTAGAGATGTTAAACAGCGAAGGGTTTTCCTTTTTTAACGCTTTTCATTGGCGTTTTAGTATAGTTTAAGTAACTGCAAGTGCTTAAAGCGTCGCCGCTTATAGTTAGTAACACTGCATGAATATATTTATTTGATCGTTAATAAATTTATCTTGTTTTTAGCCGATTTTAGATTACTTGTGTGTTCGTACAGCATGAGATTATGAGATTATAAACCAACCGCTTTATGAAGTGAAAAGAAACCTCATTCTGCTTACAGGTCGCCGAATGTCGTATTTACTAAGTTTTGTGTTTCAGCCTATGAATTCCAACAATAAGGATCGGATGGTGCAGGAACACCTCTCCAGGCCATATGGGCCAATGCCAACTAAAGCTGACAACACTCGGTGGATGCCGGCGGCCGGCATGAACCGAAATAATTTTGAAAGGAAGGGAAAGGATTTCAGGGTGTCATTAATGCCCGAAGACCCCACACTGGCAGAACTAGTGGACAATGTCCGACAAAATTTAGAAGTAATATTGCATCTTCTTAACTAGCGATATCTGAAAACTAGACGTGAATGAGTTTTGCAAACGCTACGATTTGTAGGCCGCTCTGAAATCGGTGCAGTTCTGCGCGGCACCAGTGCCAAATCATGAAGAAACTCACAACGAAAGCATTGAAATTCCTATTGTTCCGGTGACCGCTGTTCCTGACCCTGAGGACACCAGAAGCCCGCAAACTGATACAGCGGATGTGCTGAAAAGCGGACAGAATGAAGAGCCAAAGGAAAATGACCTTTTGGACGCACTGGATGAGGGTGCAGCCACTCCGCGTCCCTGTTCTTCGGCGAGTGGAGAGTTCATGATACTGACACCTAGCACTGATTCATGTCCCATTGTTGTGGGTGAGAGGGAATTCGAGGCCGTCTTCTCCGAATTCGACAGCGAGGTAATGCGTGTTGAGCACCTTTAAGAGCTTTTTATTTCGGATGGTGTAAAAATAATACGAAATTACTTATTTATCGTAAGTTAGTACATCATAGCGCGTTCGTAGTAAAAAAGTACGTGTCCTCTATAGTTTGAAGTTGTGGACGCGCCTGACGAGTGGGATTCCGATGTGGATGTCGACTGGCGTTCGTTGTCATTTAGTAAAAGTCTAAACGAGCCTGCCTGAAAGCTTTTGTTAAGTTGGGTGCACCGTGAAAACAGTTTTTTGAATTATTACTTTTTATTTACTGCAATTTGCGTAAACGCTTTTGCTCTTCCTGTTATACTTTTTAGTAAGTCGTTTGGTAATTCGGTGCGCACTGCGTACCTGGCTGTATGTGTTATTATATAGATATAATTAGCTACAGTCATATGCTGTACTGTGTAGTTGTCGGCAAAGATTTTTTTGTTACCTTTAATTCTGAAATCTAAGTTCGTCAACAAATTTTTGTGTTATGGGGTTATATGTGTCAGGTTTGCGAGTTAAGGAGAGCACTACAGTTATGTATTTCACATAACGAAATTACGTTGTCGCAGAATTCGCCTCATACTATTTAACGGTATTTTTTGCCTGTACCGTCTAGTGCGCTTAAAGCGTATATGTATCTCAAATCCAAAAACAATTACGGCTTCGTTTTAAACTTATTTTACCTTTATGCTATCAGCACCATGGTACGAGAAGTTATCACATAAGACATCGTTCTCGAATCTCACCACAGACCCTTTTATTTTTATCGAATGTCCCGTCCCGTAAGTTAAATGTCCAATAATTTCCATAATCGTAAAGTAAAAAACAATTTTTCTCTCACTTCTGGTTAATTAAGATCCACTCATTGCAAGAATTGCTCTGCTTTTTTGTTTTTTCTTTTCTCTGCAAACTGCTTTGTAGCGTCGTCGAACAGTCTAACTTCTTCTCTGGCTTCAATTTGCTGCTGAAGCATTTCCAAGGCGGATCGGTTAAATCCCACCAGGTTCTGAAGAAAATGAATGAAGTTTGTACATTATGTCACTCCCTACCACCAGATGCACGGCGCACGCCGGTATCGAAGCAGAGGCACAGGTACATGCAATCATGAACAGGAGCATCCCAAACATTCTCTTAAGGAAAATGTAAAAGAACAGAAACCTTACCCTAAAATTCCTGATGTGCTCTTGACCTCGACTGCGAAGTTCGTCCAGCTCAGGCAAAAGTAGCTTATTCGATTCCACTTGCAAGGCATTAATTCTGTTTTGAATCATAACGCAACAGATTAATTTTAAAAAAAGTCACTAGGAAAGAAGATCATTACCTTAAAAGATAAGTCAAACACTTCATAATCAACTCCATCTGCGGATTCTCCGCCAACAGCTTCTCTAAAACTTGCACCAGACTCACGGCGTCATTTAGCGGAAGTGCGATCAAGCATCCTTGCAAATCCCTAATATCAACAGCAAAGTAATGCCAACATAGCGGATATGAACAGCGGACAACTATACAAAACCGCCCAAGCAATGCCGCTTTTCGTACCCAGGTTTCACTTTTTTAAGAACTTCCAAGACGTATTTCCCAGGTGAAATATTTCCAAACGCAACAAGAATTGCATTAGGTTGATCCTACAATCAGAGATTATCAAAACAATGAATGTAAAAAGTCAGAAAAACGGAAGCACAAACCGTACCTTGATACCAGCATCCGCTTTTTCTGCTTCTTCCTTCACTATAGTCAGCGCTTCACTAAGTTTTTCTGCCTAACAGGTAAAAGAAGAAAACAGAAAATCAGTATTACACTAAATCAGTAAGTACAAGAAAATTGGTGCAACGTACTGCTAATAAAGCAGAAAGGGACTTCCTTCCAGCAATTCCAATATCTTTGTTAGATTCTCCAGGAATCTGTAAACAATCGTAGAACCATCACAATCTTTACAGTAATTAGGGGTCCGACGATTTTGCCGTACCGCAACTTCACCGGTTTCCTGTTTCTCGTCCTCCTCATCCTGCTCCTGTAGCAATCAAGATGAGGTTTAACCGGAAATCACGTAACAGTCAGAAAATCAGCACAAACAACTGCCTTCGATTACCGAATATAAATATTTCCAAATAAATAATTAAAAGTTTCGATAATGTGCCTACTTTTTCTCGTTCCATTTCTCTTTCTTCTTCAAGGACCAAAATCTCTTGCGTCTTCTCCCATACTCTAATAGAGTGGTCATGAGAAGTGGAGACCAACAAATTGCCGTTTCCTGTCAACGCTAAAGACCATACGGCGCTATGGTGACCAATCAGTGTGGTGATCCTTTCAAATTTGTCGGCATCCCATTGCTTAATTTTCCCATCACGGCCAGCGGAGAAAAAAAGATGTGTGCGTGGAATAAATACCACGCTCGTCACGCTAAAACACGGAAAGCCCACATCTTCAATTAGTCGAGCAATATTCACTTAAAAACTCACTCTTCATCGTGCGCAAACAACGATTTATGGCAATCCCCAAAATCGAGCCCCCATATTTTAACACTTTTATCCTGAGATCCCGTAACGATCAACTGGCTATCGGATGAAATGTCCAAACAAAGAACAGGAAGCGCATGGCCGTAAAGGCTAAGAAAAAACTGAAAAGCAGCCCAGGTTTTCTCATCACATAACTAATACACAGTAACATATCGCAAGATGCGGCTTAAGTATTCTTATGTAGTAATATACATTCAGACATACGGTAGGAGCATACAGAGAAATCGTGCTGGCGTTACCTTCTGTGTGTTAGCAAAAACAATTTTCACGGTGCTATCCGTCAGCGCAATAGCCAGCAACCGTTGATCTGGACTGCAAACATAAAAAAATCGGTCAAAATAATCACTTTCTTGAATCGAGGCACCAAGATGTAAGTCACCTCAATCGCAGAGATAAAACGGATTCCTCCATTTGTAAAGATTTTCTGCATACTAATGCCATTTTCCTGCAAAAATTAAAGATGATTAATCATTTAATATTGTCAACTTTTGCATCAACCATCCTACCGCTCGGAAATGTTTTCTCCAAAGCTCAAATCCCAAAACTTTATTTCTTTATCTTCACTTCCCGATATCACGCCTTTCTATAGCACATTTCAACTTAAACCATGATGAAGGTCTTAACACAGAAGAAAACGAAAGGAGGGATGAAGAATGATACGTGTACCTTCGACTCGTGAAGTATGCACACAGCCCAGACAGCACTTGCATGCGCTTGTACAGATTCGTGCATACTGCCTTCCACAAAATCAAACAACTCCAATTTCCCGCTCTGTAAAATACAGAAAAAAAGCGCGCTGTGTCAAAGTTATATGATACAGAATTTTGAAAAGAATAGGCTAACGGCTAACCTTAGTTCCCACCACACAGTAGCGATCGCCGGGAATCACGGCAGACGATACAGCGTAATCACAAGGCAAAGTATGGACACATTGTTCTGCTTCCCTGAAAAGCAGCATTTTAAAACGCTGTTCTTTTTAAATTACAAACGGCTCGAAATGCGTTTACCTGTTCCACACACGTAACGAATCCGAAGATGCTGTTACAATCACTTCCCCATCGGACGCAACGGCACATGTGCGCATATCAAAACGATGTGCCGGCAGCGGAACTAAGCTGGTTTGATTGAAGGTATTGGACGATATATCCATGGAATATGTTGCAAGGGAATCGGCCAAATTAACCAAAACCTGCTCGTCATAAACAACTGCTGGTATACTGTACATATAACACAGATAAAGGCAACGGGAACATCAAATGATTTACCGCTGGCGCTTCTCCGACTGGTTTCTTCAGAAATGCAACAGATGCAATCTTGCCGCTGCATCTCACAGGAGGAAGCTTCACCACCTGCGCCTCAAAAATCTCCGTAGGGGTGGGTTCTTCATCCTGTATTTCTGCGTTAACCACACTGCTTTCATCGTTTGCTAGTCTAAAAGATCCAGTTGAAAATCAAAAACTGTAATTAAGGTCAAACCGGCAAACTCACTTTTTAAGCTTCTTTCTTTTCTTTTTAGTTCTTTTTTCCAGTGTTTCGCTGACTTGTGGATCGCTGTATAACCGTACACCTTCCAGCCATGGATCATTACCCTGCCATAGCAATTCAACTGCAATTCCGCGTAAATGATATGCAGTCACAAAAAAGACGTACATGAAAAACCACGACCGACCCCGTTGGATCGGCAACCATCTTCGTGATTCTTTCCTTGGCCTGCCGAATGACAGAGCCTCGTAAAATCCACCTGACAGGACTGGTTGCATTTTCGTTTTCGATTGCACTAGCTATTATGTCTTCAGTGGTCTCAACGAAACGTCCCTGGAAGAAATTATCAAAATAACCAGTACTGCAATTTAGAGACCAATGTTTGCAGCCGTATTACACATGCAATCGTACTAACATCGTTGCCTTCGCCTTTGAATTCCAGGTCGAAAATCCGAATTTCAGCATCATTTGAACCGGTTATAATGCGCTTATCATCATTCAACAAAACGAACCGGCAGATCTGGAACGGTAAAGTAAAGAAAGAATTGAACGAACGTTCTAAGAAATACGATTAAAAACCATTAATAAATTCTCGAAATTAAACAGAACTCTGTAGAAACAGATTAAAATGCCATCACTCTCAGTTAAAAAATTTCCGCGTCATTCGTAAATACTGGGAAATCGTGCAAATAAAACTTGGGAAAATGCTTTCGCAGCGACCTACCTCCGCTCGGTGGCCCACCAATGTGGCGCAGCAGCGGTACGTTTGGTAATCCCAGATTTTCACTAAAGCATCTTTCGAACTGGTAACGAGATAAGGGTGTCTGACCATGAAATGGCAGTCCGTTATCAGAGATTTATGGCCCTTCAAATTGCAGATTACTGTTTGCCCGACAACGTCCCACAAGGCAACTTCCGTATCCTGCACATCAAACGAAACACCATAAGCGCATAAGTACATATAAAAAAAAGTTAACCACCCCACCTGCTATTTAACCAGAAGCAACAATAGGACAACTAATTCTTTACAGTGAATTATTATTATCAGGTACGAACGTTGTGTATTGGTTCCGTAAATTAACAAAACAAAGTTACAAATATTTTTCAAACCATTCGGCAGTGTGAGAGAAAGTCACTTAAACAAATATTTATTGATAATTAGATATTGTAGCTAATTGTCATAAGCAACAGGTGCGCATTAAATCCGCAAACTAATAAATCAACTATGAATTATTTTTTCTTCCAATCAACTGTTGATGAAAGGAATTGTAACTGATTTTATAAATATCTGATGCAAACTCTAACTGTCTTCGAAAGTTCCTTACTTTTGAAGTCAGTTTCAATAATATTTACTTTTAATAATATTAACTTTTATAAAATCTTAATTTTAGATATCCATGATATTCTAAATCTAACCAGTGAAGCCGATGCCAAGAGGGATCCATCCACGAGAAATGCCATACATGTAACAGAGGAACGATGTCCTTTTTGCGTGAATAACAACTGTTCCGTTAACAAATTATACACGGCCACCGAGCCGTCACTATAACCTGCTGCCAACAACTTTTCATTTGCTAGAAAAGTCAGAACAGTCACTTCGTGTGCGACCGAAGAGAATTCCAACGCCTATAACCAAAATTGGGTCCGTTTCAGAATAATGTTACGCAGATGAAGGGTATGCACTATGCTGCGTAAAAAGACGCGGTTTTCGGCGCATTTTGACAGCTTAGTCTGTTAAGAACGCAAGTACCTTTTCGTTTTTGCGCAGATCCCAGACAAATATGCGCTCTGCACATGCAAAGCATATCCAATAGGAGCGCGCACTGCGGCCTTTGCCTTCCGTGGGAGCCTGAATGACGGCAATGTTGGAGCGCGGAGATGCTAAGAGGAAGTTCAGGACACCAGCACTCGCGTACCGGAGATATTGCTTCGTGAGGCCCATTCCAGAGAACTAACAGCAATTCTGCAGCTAATCCATTGACTTAGACTGGCCCAAGATCTGCTTCGATTTTATCGCTCGCAGTTTCCGACCGAGAAAACCTGCGATTGCGAGCGTTTACGGGAAAATCAAACAATCCGGCACTAGCTATAAATTACGTGTTCTCACCATGGTCAGTTCTGCAAAAAAAAAGTTTATTAGAAACTTTCATTTTCAAAATAGTAAGACTACCTGGCTGAAATTGCGCAATCCCAGTGCGAGCTCCTACCGCAACGCGGTGTGGTTACGTGCGTACACATTTTTGGGATGTTGAACAGCTTCCGAAGGCGGCAACTCCGCCAAATTCGGGCCAGTTGGGTGGGGTTAAGCAGTTTTTCAATTATTCCCATAATCGTTTCGTTTTTTCTCGATTTTAGCGTGAGCCACTTTATATTGCAAACCCAAAAAATCAAAACCGGGATCCTTTGGTGTGTCAGTAAAGAGCTAGGTGTTCATTAAACGTATAGAGTAGTGGTCATTTTGAGGAAGCTTAAAAAGTAGCTGGAAAAACGCAGCTGCTTGCAGCTTGCCTTCTGAAAATTTAATCGGATCTCCTGTGGCTATGTGGAATTCCACTCGGACAATACTGTACATCGATTGTGTTGTTTTCGGATGCTGATTGTGGACAGTGTCGAGTTTGCAACCGTAAACTAAAATGTATATTTTATTTGTCTGGTCTGGCGACTCTGGCCATAAAATCCCGTAAATGATTACAATCCGAGTAAGAGTTTCCAGCTTTTTTGAGAAACAGATACTGTATGCTTTTTTGAGTTTCTGGCTTTGTCAAGATAAAAAAGTGACTTCATTGGCGGATACTGAATTTAGCCATTTAAATAGGTACATACAGCACTACGTCAGTTCTATTAAACTCTTATGGTTAGTTGATTTACATTATTAACCGTGAAAAAACCAGCTTCTGCAATCTGTTACCCATTTTATTTCCCGTTTTCGGCTTTGAATTCACCCCTTTCTTCCTTCCTCCATGAGGATTCACAACCCACTAGGATTGCTTGCCAGTAACACACCAGGTCGGTTCAAAATTAAAACAACAAATTCAAAAGAGAAGCCGCAGCTTCCAAGTGGTCAAATAAAACATTCAAATCTGTAAAATAAACAACTTCTCCGTTCTCGGATTCCGTAAGGGACGCTATAGTACACAACGGTCGCACTACCGGCACGACGACATATTCAGTTTTATTTCGGGTTCTTAAGACAGTCTCCGATCACACCGATTTTTGTCTGTTGTTGACTGTTCGCGGTTTCATCACTGGCTTTATCGTTCTCATCCGCGAGGAAAAACGATGATGTGTTCCACACTGACTGGGACCAGTAATCCTTGGCGCTGGATTTTGATTCATCCAAAGTCGACAGAATTTCAGATTTCGTAGTGTCGGATTTATTCCATGTGAAAGGTCGAATTTCGCAATCCAAAGTAATATCACTGGCATGCCACGACTCAAATGGACTGCTAATACTTGTCTGCCACACAGCAGACAAATCACTTTCCCATGTACCAGAGGTTAGTTTTGCATTATCCTTCTCAGTTCCATCCAACCATACGGATTGGGGACTATAAAATACAATTAACTCTTAAGTCTTTAGTACCTCTTAAGTCTTCAGTTCCTTATCACACTAATCATGATAATAAACCCAAATAGGTCCGAATAACAGCCAAAGTCGAGAAAACCTGACAGATTAATTACATTCTAAGCTTACTCTGCTCCCAAACTGAATGCCGTAGTGCTTTTCACAGGCTGATGACTGCTATCCACTCTTTTGTTTGCTTCTTTTTTCGTTAAGTCCTTTTCTTTCCCTCCTTTACCTGCATCATTCAAATGCACATGTTTCAAACTGAGATTTTTGTACCACCGCCGGACTTTAACACCGCCCAGGAAAAACACTCTTCATACCTTTGCCATTCGCTTTCTTGCCGAATTTTTGTTCCAGTCGGCTATCGAAGTCAGCCAGATCGCTACTCATATCAAAATCGTCCAGACAGCTGACTAGCGCTGACACATTTGGTGCACATTCTAGGACCGGGTCCTTGGCTGTAATCATAAAACGGGCACCCGACGTAGCGATCTCGGTGCCGGATGGTGTATGGGAGGAGCGCCAAGGGGAAGCGGTATTGCGAATGGAATTATCGTTGGATGATTTACGTGACAAAGGCTGATGGTTGTTAGTACCGGCAACATCGGCATAGGTCACGGACAGCGGTGATAATCGACTGTCGGCCCGACTGAATTCCCAACTACCGTTATCCGAACCATTTGGCGACTGAGAACCCGACCACCGATCGTCGATTAGTGGCTTCGAATGCAGTGATGCCGTGCTACCTACACTGGTATTCCACGGGTTGGGTGGCGATGCTGCGATAATAAAGTTTAAGTAATTAACACATACTGCTTAATAACATGGATAGTGGCGTTTTACAAATAAATGGCACACCATAAGGCATAACCGGTATACAGCTTCATATGTCGGACACGAATAATAAAAGTGCAACTACTGCACCTAGTAATTCAACCGTAGCTACGGTATATTCATCACAAGACAAAGGGAAAACAAATCAACCACGGGACATCACGTATTCAGTATTTCACGGGAAGTTCAGTATTTTTTGTTTGCTGATTATGGGTTTTTTTTCGCAAATCGAAAAACAGTCACCGGTACTTTTTATTCAATGACTGTACCTCTTCTAATACTGGAATACACCGGCTGCTGTTTTAGCAGCGATTTGCCAGCCTCTTGAGAACGCCTGGAATGATCGAAAGGATGAGAGCCGCTCGCATTACTTGTACCTTGACGACATGACATTAACTACTTACCTTCTGTTTGTACTGGTATAACCAATTACGTTGGATTTTTTAGCCAGATCAACATAATCGCCATCAATGCGGTATCGATTCGTTTTCGTGCTTTCGATCAATAAATCCACCGCGGTCTAAAATTATCCATCATTAATTCCATCAGTTACTTGAAAAGCCTCGAAAAGCAACCAGCAAAAGGAAAGTGTCGTATATAAAAATGCGATGTGCTTGTCTTCCCATTTTACTGGCACATTTTGCATGACAGAGAAATTTAAAACGGCAATGATTTACGTAACCATAATTCTGTGAGGCAGCTGCGCATTGCACGACTGCCAATCTCGACGTGAAACAGTAATGTGATATAATATGACACGGCTCATACATACACAGCAACGGAAAAATGTGAACCATACCTTCGGATCCAACGTGAACAAATTTGGGTGATCTCGTTTCAATTGTTTGACCAGCTGCAGAGACTGATCACGATTCATTTCCGTAAACATCAGACCATTTTCTTTCGGCTCCACTCGATAGAAAGCGTGTTGAATAACGTCACACTGCGGTGGATACGTCACTGGGCGGTTATTGTGGTGGGGATGATGGTGGTTGATATCAAAACTAGGTGAGACCACCCGTGCCATGGTCGGAAACTTCTTCCTTTCCGCTAATTTTGCCGCGATCTTTTCTGCTTCTTGTTTGGCACGGCGCTTGGCGGCTAAATTCCGCTCACGATCCGTGTCAAATTCGCTATCAGCCCCACCGGTGACCTCACCGTCCTCCACCGCTAAAATGCGTTGGGCTTTGGCATCTAAAAGCTTCCGCTCCTCGGCTTTTCGTTGAGCTTTATTGTAGTTTTTTGCTAATTTTGCAGCTTTATCCGCTTCCCGTTTGGCCAAAAGCAGCTGTCTGCGTCGCATTTTCCGGGCGGTTTTAAAGCCATTCCCACCATCGGGGGATGCGGCGCGGTCTGTTTCATCACAGCTTTTGCGCAACTCGTCATCCACACTAGATTCCCGTGAGGAAGTCGGCCGAGGGGAATCAACACCACGACTGGATGATACTAGCTGCTGTTGCGCAACATCTCGTTTGCTGTAGTCAGCAAAAACATCCATTGATCTATTCTTGCTCTCGGAACCCGAGCAGATACCTTCATCTACCGTTTCCGGATTAGACCAGGAGCTGCCAGATATTGCGCTATTCAACAAAAAAATATTAGACATGTATACGGCGCAAAATAGAGAGGATTTTGCCAACAGTTCAGAAAATAAGCCTTGAGCCACATAAAACAGTGCAAGTCAGATTTGGTAATGAAGTACTGAAAACTAACCATACATCGTATCTCCAGCAAAAAAAGGCAGTAAAACGGCAGTATCCTACCGTAAAATTTTACTGCACTCTGGCATCAGTTATGATACCCCTATCTCTACAAACAACTAACAGAACAGGTTAAGTCAGAACTACCCACAAAGGATTCAGTTTTGCCACCAATCACTACATAGTTTCTAATTTGTTGTTAACGACGAGCTCGGCTTTTGAATTTAAAGCCTTGTCGTCCGTTATTGTTACCTAACGATTCTAACCACATCTTTTACGTTGTACCTATACGATTACCGCACTTTTATCAAAATTTGCGCTGTTTAAATGTTTCCGTCTTTTCACTTACTGTTCTGTGATGTCTGAATTCAAAGCTTTTACTCGCTCTTTCACTTTCCCCAAAATATCAGGTTTCAATGCAACAACTTCCGCAATGTTCTCAACAGACTCGACCACGTTCACGTTGAAAGCGACCTCCACGACTGGTTCGGACATGGTCTTATTCCACCGAAAAATGGCACAGAACCACCGGGAAAAATTCCAGTTCCAAAAAAATATCCAACCAAACACAGCCAAAGGATAGGCCTTGGATACTGTTCCGTTTTCCATATATTTATCGAAAATTAATGGTGTGTCAAACTCCGTACTATCGGAACTCTGTAATCTATAACCGAAGGCTGCTAATAACCACTGCACTGCCCGAGAAACAATCCAAAATAGACCGCGTGCTGGCCAAGCCACAGTTTCCAGTAGAAAAAAAACCCGATACTTTGAACGTTGCGGAAAGCGAAAATTTATCACATAGGTTACGGGACTGGACGCGTAATACGCAACGGCGCATAATTCCCATAAATCCTCCGGAATCTCGCTTTCGATCAACTGGCGCAGCGATCTAAATGATTGCGCACCTGGCTTGGACGGTGATTCGCTTGTTTCTCGTAGCGTTCCGCCTTCCCGGCATCGATTTGTCTTTCGCTTAGTTACAGTTCCATAATCAGACTGACGTGACTCTCCGCATCCAAAATCACTTGGTTTCAAGCCACATGTGACCTTTGGTTTCGTACTGCCCTCGGATTTCCGCCTTTCCTGAGTGAATTGGACGGTGAATCTATCAAGAAATTTATTCTGACGTGCAAAATCAATTACGGTAATATCCAGAAAGACCGCAAAAATAGCATACCCATGTGACAGTACGAGTAGAAACTACGTAGAAAGACAATATTACAGAGCGATATACCCTCTAGAGATCTTGCGCACGCAAGTACACAACCTGCTGCCGTAACCATTTCAGCAGCGACATCACGAAAACGTTTACAATAAAATATCAGCTTATCTAGTGCAAAATTTTTAGAAATCCATTATTGTTTTTACGAAATCCAGCTAAAACGTTGATCAATCAATTACCTTCGAATGAACTGGTCCCTCAATCGTCTCGTATACCATTTTCGAATATAAAGGACATAAAATCCCAACAAAATAAGTGGTATAAAATAGAATGTCCATCCCCAACGCTTGGTAAACAGAATGTAACGAATCCAGATATCACGTTCACTTCGGCCGAACACACTGCGACATAGCTTAGCGGCGCGGGCATCAACTTCTCCAGTTATTTGAAAGTACACTGGTTCACTCCGGTCTCGAAGGAACACGACGGCTTTTGCAGTTTTCAAATGCACTCCAAAATCGGGATTAAACCTTAACAAATCATTAATAGAGCGGTGCAAAAATAAAGCAATGTAATGTCGGAAACTTACTCAACCGACACCTTTCTTGATTTTTTCGGCGGGACGATAAAAGGTCCACTGTCCAAAACAGCAAAGCTTTTGTGATACCAGTCAGTCTCGTCTATCATCACCTTGTCAACAGCAACGTAGGCACCAGTGGGATTGTGAATAATCATTTTCCCAATGCGCCGAATCTGCTTCCGATCACCATTTATAGGAGACTCTATAACCATAAATCTACTGTATAGCATTCTTGCGTAACTACGGACATGCAGTTTTTAACCATCAAAACTTCCGTCAACCATGTAAAATTCTGGAAAACGCTAATTTGTATTTTGGCAGCTTTAAAACGTAAAGTACAGCTCAAACTTACTGTTGCGGCAGTACACAGCATCGACAGCAGTAAACAAAATTGATAAGTCTTTTGTTTCCGATGAAATATTTTCACTGGATATTCGTACATTCGGTTCCACGCCACAACCATGGATGTTAACAGTTTCCACAACGGTCAAATTATTTCTAAAATGGAATTCTTTCGTATATTACAGATAAACTTTTGTTTTACACAGCTAACGTATGGAAAAATACGTACTACTATTTATTAAAAAACCCTTTAACGAAAATATGGTAACCAGCTGTACTGCAAACGAATTTCAAAATCAAGATACTACGGCAGAGTATAGTAGAACTGATCGAGATTGTTCTTAACATTCTATAATTATTTAAATTAGTTTTCTGTTTTGAAGGTTTACGAACTCCTTTCGCGTTGAAACAATCATCCCACCTAATGTACAAAAGCGCATTGTAGCAGGTTTCTGCTTGTGGTTGAAAGGCAATTCGCACAAGAAAATTGCCGCGAGGAGGAATGACCAAGGCCGCAGTTCCCCGTGTCGGTGCTGGCATTCGAACACTCGTCGGTAATCGTTCGTCGTCAATTCCATAGAAACCAGTGGTAGTCCCCTGTGAAAAATTTCAATAATAGTAGTGATATCCCATATTAAAAAAAATAATTTTCAGCTCCCACTTCTGCTATGACTTACTTTCGGCACAATGGATTTGACGTAAAATATATCCCGGTTCCACAGTTGAGACTTATCGTCTTTGAAAACGTACGCGTGGACAAACAGCGCATTGTAGGAGGGATTAACTACTTCCACATCCAGTTCCTGGAAGAACCACCAAGGATGAAAGCACGCCAGATCATATATCCATTTACCTTCGTCATTACCGATGAATTCCCAATGCTCAGTAGAGGAAATTCAAAGCGCTCAGCTGACAGGGATATTAACGAAGGAGGCCAGATGAATTTCAGCGTAATTGGCAGCTGGAAGGCATAATTCTGCACGGTCGTCACCTTTACACTGGTATCAATTCTATAAGGCAAAGCTTTGATCAGTCAGACCCTCTGTCACCCAGATCAATGCCTTTTCGCCTTACTGGAAGCTATCATTTCCGCCACTGATATTATTCCACAGCGTTCTTTGACGTTCACGAAATCTTCGATCGATTTCCACTGAGCTGTAATTAATTATCCGAAATGGACGTTTCCATGTCTCGGTTCCTGAAAAATGCCGAATTAGCTCTGGGCTGCACAAAGCCTGTTCTGGATACTTAATCACGAAACCGCATCTACATATCGCATGTCATGATTGTTCTAAAACAACTAATCAATAAAGCATACCATATACACAGAAAGATGAAGCAGATACGATGGCACCGCACATATCGGAGAGTTGTGAAATCATACTAATTATAATAATGACGGTACATTATGCAATCTGGCTGTATAATGTCACTGATAACGGTAGTTGCCATCAACACGACCATACTAGCTATACTCAAATAATTCAATACGACGCGCTCCCGACGCTTGAAACAGTTACAGCTGCCGGTGTGCCAGCGTAATGCGGTTTTAACCTTTAAAATTTTTTGATAACTTCTTATTCTTTTCTTTCACAAAATGTCATTTATTATTGAAAAATTGAGAATAAATTAAAAGGATCATTAAAAGTTTTAAATGTGTCATTTGCGGTAGTGTACATTACTGCGGCAGTACTAATGGGCATAATTCCAGGTACAATTATAGTGACTTACGACACTACTAAAAAAGCAACCAATCATTTTGCAAATAATTCAAACATTACGTTCAAACAATTTTGCAAAGATACGTACTTTCACAAGCCGATTCCAGATTAAACCCAACGTAACACAAGCCGGGCAACTGCTGGCATAGATCACGGGCATCGAAGGTGAACGTATCGAACTACGAGAAAAATTATTCAAACCTAAAGGCATTTCGCAGGAGACAAGGCGACTTGATGGATAGATAATATACTGCGGCTCACACTTAATCCAGTTTTCGGATCAATTTGGATTCCGTCCAAGGCTGGAACCATTTTCAACTGGGGGAATTCCTCGCTGAATATGTTTAAAATGTCAATGGACTTTTCGAAAGTGCTGAACACCGTCAGATTTCTTTGCGCATAACTGGACTAAATTCGAACAAATAAAGTAAGCACGACTGCATCAGTTCAAACAAGTTGAAACAACTACTGGTACAGTAACAGCATCTCTTTACGGGAAATATGTCCTCCACAATAACCGGAGTTTCAGGGCCGTACAACTCGATACGACCGGGATAGACAGCAGTATCCAATTTGGTGATTAGCGTCTGCAAAAACAAACGTCTAGACTAAAATTTCATTGTAATTACACTATTACCACTATCACTCTTTCGAGTATAAGTAAGAGATAACAAGCGCCTCAAACAAACTGACAAATCATAGAAAGCCTACAGTCATCCTTAACTATGGGTAAATTAATGGGAATTTTATAAGGCACAACGGTAATGTAATCAGCACAAGCAAGGCTTCAGTGCAGACAATTTCAAACCCTTCATTCCAAACCAGTATCCGTTTTATGTCGATAAGGAACTGACATGGAGTTATAAAAGGATTTACGTTTGCACAGTAGTATTGTACAGCCGGAACACATTGTTACCTGAAAAGGAGTTTTGAGAACCAGATTGCCTTCACAATGCCCTTCCAGAATCGGTGACTCAATCGAAACATCCAACCGCAATGCAGAGCCGTTTCTAATAGTGCCCTATGAGACAAATCTCTAACAGCAATATTCCACAAGGAACGTAGCAAAGACCTACGAACCGAGCTGTTCACGAACTGTGCAGTCTTTGTGCACTGATCAGGTGCGTCGCAAAATGCTACTCTGATTACACGCATACAGTCGGACTGCAGTCTTTGTACTTGAACGGAAACCTTCAAAACAAGTGGAGTTCCATTAACTGAAACTTCAAATCTTCAACCGCTTTCTCACCGGAACAGGATTCGTATTATGTATCCAAATTTGTCGATCATAATTTTCACCACTGACGATTCCGTCATGGATGACATCCAACATTTTGGAAAGATCCACCTTGAATACGCATATTGTTTCATTTAGCACTGTAATGTGTATTGCATTACTATAAGTTTTGGCCTTACCCACAAATCCCCCGTGTACAAAGTTACAGGAATTTCAAACACAGATAACGTGGTAATCAGCCTCACTATCACAGTATGGGTAATCCGAGAATGAACAACCACCCGAAAATTGCCAACCGCGCATTCTTCGCCTGGAAGAATCGTCTTTGGAGCTGCAGATTCGATCAACTGCAAAATGTAAAACGCTTTGTTGAGGTAATTCTTCGATTTCATTATTTCCATATTCTTCATACTCTAAAGAAAGACACTTCTTTGTTTCACGCACATATATATACCTATGCAGATAATCCTAGCCAGCTAGATAGCTATACCTTTCGATTTGCAACTCATGACAAAACATCAAACTCATGATAACAAGGAACACGTCGATACCAGGTTTATTATACTGATGGGCCCAATTACAACAGTAAGTACATTCTTCCTTTTTAAAACAATTCTAGTTTCCTTTCAAACAGTCCCTAATTTTAACGCTAATTTACTGACCTCTACAGAAGAGAAAGCCGCGTTTTGGGTAACAAGAATTTTTAAAAATGTAACAGGCGTTGTAAATCCATTCTTTATATACAGTGTCTCCACGCTCGCATCCATCAAATTTGCAGATAAATGCCATAAATTAGTATCTTTGGAAGGAATAATATCCCTGAAAAACAATCTTCAAGAGCGATTCGTATGGGCTAAAATAATTTACCTACTTACCCAACAACAACAAAAGCACGATATGGTACAACAAACTCTCCAGAACTGGATTTGACAACTACATTCCCATTTACAATTCCAGATTTATGATGCTCTGACACTGAAATTTAGAAGCGCTCATGAAGTAAAATGCGCATATAAATTCATATTTGCAAAGTTTAATTCAGCTTCAAAAGATTACCGGTTAGCGACACGTTGGCTACAACCGTATCTCCAAGGTAGTCAATCACATGCCTTTGCACAATGGTAATATTAACACCAGCATTCGATGAGGCATCAATAATATCCTACAAAATGAACAACAAACAGCTTGAGGGTCCACTCTGAAGGGCTAAAATATATTACATCATATTACATCAATGTACACAGCTGCAGCATTCTCTGTCAAGCGCAGCTTTAAAGGCAGAAAAATTGGTCCATTATTGAATCTTCTCACACCGAAATGCAACACACCATCAACGGCATATAAACCGCTTCCTGCAAAAAAAGGACTGAAGACTGACCAAGGACTGAAGACTATATAGGAAGGACTGAAGACTATATAAATGACCAAAGAAAAGAAAGGGTGTTGGTCAAAACGTGAAGAATCAAGCTCGATATCCTCAATTTCATGCGCAGCATACAAAATCTCACCTTCCCATACATTGACATCAATTGGGAGAAACAATTCTCCGTGATCCGTATCGTTGAATTTCACGCGTACAAAAGTCTGCTCACGGAAGGCCTGCATCGGTTCAATAAATAACGATGCTATCACACGAGACTCAAATCCGGGTATCTCCTACAAGAAATATGAATTTTATGATCCTTATCCCAGACCGCCAACAACTGACTTTCAAAATATTACCCAAAAGCTTTTCTTTTTAGGTATGAACCTCTGGTTTGTGGGCAAATGTAACGTTTCCGGAAGGAAGAGGTGAAACGGTCCTCCACTGGAGTACACTTTGCTAACTAAGAGCGTCGTATCAAAGGGATTAAATAACACGATATCGGTGGAATAATTGGTCCAAATTGGTAAGCGAGGATGCTCTATAGGGAAGACTCTAAAATGGCTTGGCGAAACTTGCGCCGTGACCTAAGAGCATTACCCATCATTCGCTCAGCTTCAAAACTGTATTACGTAGTGCGAAGTCGGCCACGAACCGGCACAGGAATGTGACCAAAGCTCGTGAAAATCACGAGCATGGTGTCAATAATTCCTATAATCTTCGGAACCATGGCTATCCTGATTTTATGAAATGGCGCACCATCTTCCATAGTCTGCTCGGATGGAAATAAACCGAATCAGCCATTTAAGAACCTCTGTTTTACTGTTCGTTGTCGGGATACATTTAAAATGCAGAGATCCTTTTATCTTAATCTGTTTTAACTATTCACCTCGGTCGATATTACGTAGATCATCGCTGGATCCGACGGTACAGCTTTTCTTAACTTCGCTACACTGTTGGGCGAATGGAGCTGCAAATGCCGCACAACAACTTGACCAAGAGTCCTGCGGGATAAAAAGCTGGTTAAACCTGAACAGATTTTCATTCGCAACTTGATTTTGACCGATCTCTGATTTTGATTTAAGTATGCAACGAAAAGTGCTGCCAGTTGCAGAAAAGTGATCTACGTAAGATATCCCTGCACATGCTTTACCATGCATGCAAAAAGTAAACATACATTGAGCCAAAGTCTATTCGATCCGGTATGGTGTAGATTCCCGCCGGCAGACTGCTGTGTTTTTCCGCGCAGCTGTTGTTTCTGCAAACATGACAGAATTTCATTACTAACAGCAAATGCACACTACTGATAACACAGGATAAAAGAACAAATACCGCCTAAAGCGAGCGGTAGTCTATGAAAAAAATACTAACGCCTGAAGCAGTTTAGTCCCGGCTATTCATGCTTTCTCACCACACCGCCTGTAAATTATCTTATCGTTGCGTGCAACTGCAGGGCTTCAATCATTTTCAAATTGAAAACAAGCGGAAACATCGCTTTATGCATAGAAGTATTAGCACCCAGCTAACGCTTTTGTGGTCTCAAAATGTCATGCTACGATTTTCATGGCTCTAAACAAACCCAAGCGTTTGCAGAGCGCATGGCTTAATAGTTCCAGGCTCAAAATAAACTATGCGACCTTATCACAGCAATCCAACTGGTGGATGCACATTCTGGTTCGGCAAAAAGCTTCCGAGATCGAATTCCCATCGCTACTCGGTACCTGCTTATGATTCATATAAAAGCCTTCGCTCTTATGCAAAACTGGCGTCAGCAAACCCTGAAATAACCCTACCAAACTCTTACCACACGGCATGACAAAGTGCTGTATTCGCGACCATGCGGTATACACAAATTTGCAGACAATCTCGCAATGCAGTAATAAAAGGAATGAACAAAAAATGGCACATTCTTAGGTAGCAAAAGGATGAGTTTTAAAAACAATACCATTACCAAAATTTTCAGTCAACTTCCGGTCAGATAAAGGAAGGGCAAACCTTTTGCAGAACAAAGGGTTTTGGTGACCAGACATTCCAGGCAACCGGAAAAAAACAACACAATAACCATGGCACAAATATGAGTGCCAAATTCTCCCTCTCACAAGACACAAGCCTTATTAGCAAAAATCTTTCAATCAATTTTTTATAGCCGATGAAAATTACCACAACAAAACATTACAAGAACAGAAACTTTTGCATTTGTGCAATGTGCATGTGCAGTCATAATCTTATCGTGAAACCAGTTTAACTATGCCAGAATTCGTCTCTTATCGTTTAAGTGCGTGAAATATCAAACGATACTAAAAATGACAATAGCGTTCGAGTACAGTTCATAGAAACTGCATGACGGCCATCCAGCAGAATGGCAGTAAGGTCCATTATCACCAAATGCTAACTCCATTTTTCAACGATTAAGAAGCATATGAAATTTCTTGATTGTGGGTTGATTTTAAAGCATGAAAATGTTGCGGATTTTATCCAGACATTCAATTTACATGCGGTTTACAAGAAAAGAAAAAACGATACAACTATGACAACAACTATGATACAACTTTATTATAGTTCAAATATTATAATTTTTAAGCGCCGTAACGTATTCGGCCATCAAGGTACTGTACGACTGCGAGTACCAGAAATGCAGACATCTTATGTTACAAAACAGCTTGTCTCCAGACATGGAGATCCTATCTCACAGCGAGTGACGTCTCTAGTCTGAACGATAGGTAAACACCGACGGAAGTCCAACATGACCAAATTACTCACAACTTGATCGTTGATGGAAGCCTCTCATAAACACAAACTTCACACGAAAAGAAATCCTGACTAACGAGGTATGTGCCAATAATGTCACAAAAAGCATATTTTTAAAACACATGATTACTTACACTTCCCCTCGTACCGACACAGTAAGGAAAACCAAATAAATAATTCACAGAATTCTATCCATAATTTTCTCGGTAAGCTGTTCCCTGGAATTTTTTTCCATGCGTGACTCTCACATAACTGGCACAGTTTAAAATCGAAATTCCGGTACTTGAGATTTCTTGCTGAAACGGCACTCACACACCGGAGCTCTTCCGGTGAAACCACATACACATGCAAACTATACCAGCCACCGGGCTGTGTGTGGCTATGTGGAAAATTTAAAAATCCCTGACGCTTTCAATTAGGGTTCTGGCACACATCTTAACGCATGCACACTGCCACCGTTCAACAACAGAACGCGACGAATCATGCCCGGCCGCCCCAGACACGAGCGCTTTAATCGAAGAAAATCATCGGCTCGTACCTGGCTGCCGTACACACTGCGCCGGACGTGGTAGTGGCATCGTTGGCGCTGGTGACAATGACATTGATCCCTGGGATGAGGACGCCCGTCACGAGCAGCAGCACGAAGAGAGGCTTTCCCGTTGGCAGCATTCTTACCGCGCATATGACCGGTGATTTCTGCAGATACAGCATACGTCTTGGATTTATGAGAAATAAGCGCTAATATCCGCTAGCATGAAACCGAATCATTGATGATTGATCTTCAAGAAAACGCATTACAACGCCCGGGCCCTATCTCATGTTCTGGCCCGTTTTAAAAACTGCTCAAGCGTTATCAAATAAAACCAACTCAAAATGAAAACAAAAACAATTTTTCCCAATTTCGTTTTATAAACTAGGAGATGACTCAGTGACAGAGAATCATAATTATTTTAATTTTTCGGTGTGACAAACAGAAGCTTTCACAGACCAAGACCAGCTCCAGCTCACTGTCATTGATAAACAAACAGGAAACAGATTTCATAAAATAGATTTATCTTTCTGTTTTAGTACGCAGGCACACTAGTCGGAATGGAAAGTGCGTTTTATAAACAAAAAATATTTAATCAGTGAAAACTATCACAACACGAATCACATGTACGATAATGACAATTTTAAGAATCTGTTGCACGGCTTACCTCGTAATAAACTTAACAACACAAGACTCAGAACTTTCAGACAATAGATCAAATCGAACGATATTAATTCAATAGCACACATCTTGCCATTGCAATCCATAAACAATTCAGTTATTATTGGGCTTTCGAAATATGAAAAGTTGAAAACTGCAAACTTTCAAAGCTCAGTTGTCGAGAAGTGTTCCAAACTTCAAAATCCCGAAGAAGTGCGGATCAGGTGGAATTTTTGCATGCAGTGTAGGCTTTCATGTGCTATCGTGCGCTGTCGTACAGTACTTCCTCCGTTCAGCACGCCCAGACGCAGTGGTGTTTAAATACACCACTGGTGTACAAGTACAGTGTACGCACTGTATAGACTTTCTACGTCTGTATGGGCTGTCCTTTCGGTTGCGCAGCGTAAAGTAGTAGTCCTTCTGCCGAAACACGAAAATCAGCGGCAAAATGGACATAGCAGATTATTAATTTAATTAATAATTTATTTTCATTATTTCTGACGAAGCCAAGGTATATTTCTATAAAAAACAAAAAATGTACGCAGATATTTTCGCATTCGTGTTTGTAAGTTGGGAAACTGGGATTGTTTCCTCGTGCCAGAATTCGGAATTTTAATCCGGTAAACCGTAAGCAGCAGTTGCGCAATACGCAATAATACGGCAATATATTTTAGATTTCGGCATCGTTTCATTTATTTGCGACAGCAGTCGCCTGTGCGACTAAAAACAGTGAATTGCATAGATACTACCGTCAAACTGGATGTTTAAAAACCGCGAAATTATTTTTCTCTTGTTAAATCAGGTTTTGGCATCGCTCTACATTTTTAATAATCGTTATGAACCGTAGACCGGTAGTTGAAACGTGAAATTTTCAGAACTCGTGAGTACATATCGCGCTACGTACTGTACTCTTCTGATCTTCTGTGCGGATCTTCTTCTGTTCTTCGCGGATCAAAAATGTCTTTGCCAGAACGGGCAGAACCACGACTGCTACTTGTTGATCACGAACAATCCTTTGTGCGTCGGGATGGTGGCCCTGCTGTGTTCAAGTCTGGTAATTATCCAGGAAGACAGTGGAGTGGACCCGAGCCTTCTTTATTCTGTCCATCATCTTTGCAGGAGATAACGTAGCGTGCGCCGTGATTTCGTATCCGCAGCGCGGTCCACTGCGGAGCGATGGTCTGCCCACCTTGGCGGTCTCCTACGTGCGGAGTCGCGTTCCTCGACCAAGGAGGATTCAGAAGATTCAGTCAGTGTGCGCTGCCTGCACAACCTTGCGAACCCTTGAGCATGCACTCGTTTCTAAGAATTTCTTCAAGGCCCGCATACGCTGCCGCGTCCACAATATACAGCATGGACCTAATGTAAGTCCATGTGATTTACGACCAAATAAAGCTGGTTTTTTTTATTCGGAAGCTCGCGCGATCTGAAGTTAAAGGTGCGTTAATTTCACGTTTTCCGTAATTTAATTCAACAAGTTACAAGTGCGTATAACCAGACAGTCCAGACTCGTGTAAGATTTTCAGGTTTTGTCATATTTGTTGTACATATTGTTGTTTTGTGTTATTTATACATTTTACACGTTTTTGTTTTTGGGTTTTTGTATATTTATCTTTATTGATTATCTTAGTCAGTGTTCACTGTTAGGAAGTGGAATCTGCAGTGAATGCCGTGTCAGTGTCTTTGCTGCAGTCTGCATTTGACATTAAAGATGTGATAGCCGCAGTTGCTTACACCCAAAACCATCTCGGACAAGACGTCTTTTTCCCTACTGAAACAATGCTGAAAGATTCGAAATTGGTAAAGGATGCCGTAGTTATACTTACAATTTACGGACAGGCGCGGCATCTAATTGTGTACGATTTTTTGCATAATTTGTTTCCAGCTTTCCCTCTGTTATCTTGGCTTATGCGGCTCGTCTTGTATCTTTAAAATCTGCATACTATGTTGCAGAATAAGCGACCACGATTCCAGTTCCATTTCGATATGAACTTGCGAACTGTCTGGTTGTCTGTTCGTGGACCGGCTAGTGTAGAAGCTACCAAGCGAGCGGAAAATGTGTGTCGAGAAGCAGCCAGCACGGTTTTTGCTGAAATCCGGCGCTGCGCAACAGGACCGCTGGTTCAACCTTCCGCCTAAACGGTAATTAAAGACTACCTAGTGTGCACTTGTCTAACTAAACCACTTAATGAATATCTTGTTTTTAATTGTTTATGTATCCTTCTGTACAATGAAAATTGTTTAGGATTTGGCGACAGTGTTGTGAAGATTTCGTAATTTGAGATCGATATTGATTTTTGTGGGCACGATGTTTTTTGCATCTCGATGGAGTCGACATTAAAAAAGACCATAACAAGACTGGATCAGTTAGGATGTTAGCGATTGAGCGTTCACATTATCAACAAAAGGCACTGGTATTTTAGCTGGTGACATTCGTACAAAAACTTTGATGGATTGGGATACTATCGCTTTTTTCCGTTATAGCCGCCTCCATAACCTCCGTATCCGTCGTAGTGAGGAGAGTGCGCTGTGAACAGATCACGTGTTAGCGGGATATCGATTCGGTAAAAGCTGAGGGAATTACGGATTTATTTTTGGTTTGATTTGCTTTACTCGCTTACCTGGAGGGCCATAATAGTAGCCACCAAGAGGCATAGTGCTGCAAATCACCGTTGTTAATACATAACCAGTGCTAGAATCTATACATAGGTGTGTCAGCATTAATTTTTACTTACTATGGTACATATTTTCCGTATCCGGGAATGTATGTCACGGGGGGAGCTGTCGAAATGATTTTTTCTTTAGTGACGCGCAAACATTAAATTTAAGAGCTCTGTTGCTCTGGCCAGCGGTTTTAATGATAAAAAATTTTGTAAGTAATTATGTTTTAATTTAGCTTTGCAGCAATACATTTGCATTTATGCTTATATTCCGCTTCATGCTAATTAACTATCAGCTCGATGCACTTGTAGAAGTTGTGATTACCCCCATAATAGCTGTTTCCGTATCCACCACCACCATAGCCACCACCACCGCCTCCGTAGCTGGCTCCGAATCCATAAATATCACCAACAGGCCACTAAGAGATACAGAACGAGTTATTTTTGTTTTAGAAATTGAAGATTGGAGTGTGAGAATGTTGCACTGACTTTGGTTATATATCGTCCATAATCATATGATCCGCCATACCCGCCTAAATTCAATTCGAGCGTCAGTGGGATATATTTACGCATTACGCGAATGGACACTAATATCTTTACCGCCATATCCTCCTCCGTATCCACCACCACCGCCGCCACCACCACCGTATCCGTAATTTCCGTAACTACCCTCTCCCTGCAAAGCAAAACAAAAAAAATTCTATCTGCCAATCTTTGGTCATACAAATATTTTATTTAACAATGTCAGTAATTTTTCCCAGTTCATGATTGAATGGCACAATCCTCCGAGGGTGGTACGAGGTAAGAGCTGGGAAATCAATTTCACGCCAAAACGAAAATAGTTTCACATGTTTTTTTTTACTGGATTAATTCTTTAAAAACGATCACATCTGCCAGATTAAAAGCACTCGTATGAATGGCTTGCCCATACACCATACCATTTGGATCAAATGGAGGAAGCATAGAGTGGACACTGTTAAGCCGAAAAATGCACGTCTTAAATCACAACAAATAGTACGATACCCCTTCCGTGCCATTATTGGTCAATTTGGAGGAACAAAAATTTTATTCCAGATGGATACCGGAATCATTAAAAGCAACCACTAGGAATATCTTTTATCTTTGTAAACTCCGGTAATTACACCGATATGGAATGTTCATCGGAAAGCTTGCATTGCAACGAAAGATGTTCATTATTGTCACCGTCACCGTTATACAGTAGTTGGTAACTTTGTGGTCTAGCACAGAAATCCTAACCGATAAATGAACTTCCAAATGTAGAAACTGTAGAGAAACTAACGACGTATTGTGTGACAACTTACAAGAGCTAAAAACTACTACAATGCAAATAATTTCGTTACCAAACTGCACTACACATTAACTAGAGCAAACCACAAATAAAGGAACTATTAATTGATCTTAACCTTATTAACTAATGGTAAGTTTTACTGATTGTGAGTTGTGATCATTTCGTCTTCTTTGTAATTAGCTCAAAGTTAAAATATCGTTTATACGGCGTAATTAGGCAATCCTGGTGCTACTTATTTTACGCTACATTCAGTGCGTAAATTTAAGAACGGTAACATATCAAAACAAAGACTTCACATTTCGAAGCTTTTGAAAAGCTAAAGAGCAAATTTACAATCAAATTTGAATAAACTTATTTTTAACAAACTGTTTTTCAGCGCGTTCAAGTGCGTACGTAGCTACTAATTGTAAGCTTCAGTCGTAACTCGTAAGTGATACATGTACAGCCAGGATTTGCTGACCGGTAAGGAAGAACAACGTTCCTTACTGAATCGTTCTTACATATCAAATGATAAATACAGGTATCACATAAATAACTTTAAAGTTAGCATTATAATTCGATTTGACTGTTGCTAATTCACCTTGCAATTAAGCAGTCACAGGAAACAAGAAAATTATTCGAAGAGCATAATCAAACAACAATAATTGTTACAAATATACATTAAATCGATAGATGTAATCAATATTTTAGCGTGAAAAATCGATGCTGAGATTGTTCCTGACTTACCGCCAAAACACAGGATATCAGGGTTACCACTCCGACGATGGCCACAATTAGCTGATTGAGCATTTTTGTGATATAGTGTGGCCACAAATAGATACGCTACGATTCTTTAACAAGGAGCGACTTAACTAATGTAATGTTTCAAGTTGTTATAAGTTTAAATACCAGAACAACTCAAGGATTAAATTGAGGCCATTTTTACACGCTATTGTGCTTTTGTGGACCTGTATTATCGGCAATCTTGTACGAGCGAACCGGCTGTAAAAGATTTTTGTCCGCTGTTACCGTACGTGGTCGATACATTGGTAGCCAGTTGTCTCTACAGGTTATCCAGTCGTTAAGTGGCAGATGGAAAAAACTTCTTAAGAAACGACGGTTTTTCTTGTCGTGCAGTCCGTCAACATCTCCTTTTCTACCGTTGTTGGAGCAGCAGACAACCTCGTTGTTCTTGAAGAAATTTTGTCAAGGCGGTGCGATATATACGCAAGGTTTTATTTCGTGTTTTTCTTATAGTTCGTCAAATTTTCTTATATGTACATTTAGTTAAGTTGCCTGTGCATTTGTGGGAAGTATATAAACTGCCAGTGATGGCCGCGTGCGAACAGTGTTCAACGACCTTAAATAGAACGGTTTTGGAAATACATAATTGCGCATAGTAAAGGATACTAAATATATATTATAACTGTTAATTTTTGTGCGTTTGCTTGGCTTTACATAATTGCATATTACCCTACATGAATTAACCGTATTAAAACGAAAATAGTAATTTGAAATTTATTTATTACCGGTTTATTTGGAAATGCCGCCACCAAATCTCGAGCGGTGTTTGTAATGGCTTCTTGTGTTTTAGAGAAGTAGAAGTATAGATATTGTAAGATTCAAGCTGGACGTTTTAGAATCGAGATCTCACAGCTGTCGAATTGTGTTTATCTACGGTTTTTGCATCTTTTTGTTTTGACTCCTGAGTACCGTAGCTGCCGTGTTCTCATCAGAAACATAAAGTTCCGATTGTTGTACACTACGTTTATAGACGCAATGCACTGACAACAGCTAGGACCTAGCTACTGCAGTAAAAGCAACTATGGCGCGGTAATAGCGATTTTCGGTATGTTCTGGTTGCTGTACCCAGTTCTAAACAAGTAATTTGCTGGCGCGATGAGTCGGCAATTTTAGGCTCGCATGAACCCCACAAAAGGGCACCCAGTACATCCAGGCCTGGTCGCCGGGTTTTCCGAGGTGACCGGACCCTGGATCATTGGTTGCGCTACTCGGAGGACATTTTTACGCGTTATTTCGGACGCACTTGGAGCCCGCGCTGGGCCTACGTTGGCGCAAGAAAACAGCTGTTTTGGGGCAAGAAAAAGGTCATTCGCAGGTTTTAATAGAACACCAAAATACCGTTCACCGGCCGGTTTCGACACAGTCTGTACACTGCAATGTGCTTCCAATAAATAAATAAAAACAAATAAAATCATACCATGAAATTACATGAAAAATACACCATTCAGCGACCGATGTCGATTTCACACAAACAAAATAAACGAACAAAATTCCACAAAATTCAAATCAAACTATTATAGAGTAATGCCTTCACGCAACGTTTTCGAATGACATTTTCCGACAATAGCAAAATAATAGCATTTTGAAGACCAGACGAAGTCCAGGTGCTCCTCGATTTCGACTGAGACACGACGATTTGCTCCCGAAGCTCCTGCAATAATCATAGCTGTAAATTTCCATTTAAACTGTTAAGGGGCATAAAAACACAAAAAAATAACAAAAAATGCACAAAACAAAGTAAATGCCCAAAAACAATTCAAGGACTGACGAATAGCACCACCACATAAGACAACGTCACAACAATAAGGCGATAACGAACCACACTGCTAATTTCTAATGCGCTCGACTCTCGAGTTATAATACGCTTACCTGTTGAATTTCTTGCTATCGCGGGCCTCGAATTCGGCCTTCCATATCAGTGAAAGCCAAAGACTTTCCACATCCAGAAAGTGAAAAAGAGAGTGGAAAGGTTTCGATCGAAAACCGTACTACCACAGCTGGCAACTCTGTCGATTCCACCTCCATTTCAACGTTAATATCAAACTAATAATAGTAATTCTAAGAAGATGTTTGAACATCTTGAAAAATCGGTTTCGAAGCTCAAGAGTAACTGAAAGGAAAAATCAAAACCTAACTATAGACACAAACAGGCGAGTTCGCTGCAGCTAAAAAAACTTCTAACATGAAAACAACAAATTCAAACGTGCAGCGGCCCTGTGCAAAATTTGAATTCTGAAACTGAATGGGCATTGGCGGAAGTTTAATGCCCGCCCCTTACGTAGCTTGTACACTGGAAGCCGTGGCAGCCACCTGTGGGGGCGCAGCTTCAACATGCCGTTTATTTCCGGTTTTCGCCCGCTGACTGGCGGCTTACAGAATAAAATGTGTTCAAATGCGGTATTGCGGCCGCACAAACGCCCCAGCAAATTCAGCCATTCCGGCTGGGGTAGTTTAAAATTTAAATTAAAACTGTTTTGAGTAAGTAATTTAATTATAGGTCTAATACTGGAAATACTCGATACTCGGGCCGAAATGTTATTTTATTATAACATTATTTTGACATTTACCATACCTTCCAAAGTGTATCAACAGCATGGAAGCGTAAATCTTTGTGGCTCTTGATGCTTCAAAGGACATTTTGAGAAATGTTTTGTTGGTTTTTGTAGATCGTGTGCGCACCGCTCGCGCTGTGAGCATAGGCGCATTTTTTGTGTGTACATACATGGAATCAATGACAACAACAACGATAGAGTAGTTTGTTTCTAGTTACAATTACTAAAGTGCTGGAAAGGAATAATTATTGAAAAGTATGATTGCCTCAGTTGTTAAAACGATTGCTTTTATCATGGTGTCTGTTGTGCACCCAGTGCCAGTAAGAGTTTCTGAATGACCGTATGAAGTTGTGTGACACAAATTTAACTAGAGGTACAAAAGTTCTGCCGTTCATATTTTATTAAAAGTCAGCTAGAACGCGGTTACGGAAATCACATGCTCCGTTCCTTGCGAAAACTTCTTTTATTATAGTAATTATTTTAATATGATTAGGGAAGCGTACAAATGCAGCACTAACCTGGTGCCGTGATATAACGTACGGTAAATTTTTGACCTTTAGTTATAGCTGAAATCTGGAAACCAAGCTTGCCCTGTTCAAAGAAGCTGTGTGTCGAAATAATGTGTATGAAGAACAGGCACCGCGCTAATGCTTATTTTTAATACTTTGTAGTATTCAGTTTTTGGGAGATGCAGACCTGCTGTAAAGTTTCTTGGTTGGCTTTTTATGCTGAACTGTATCGCTCTCATTCAAGCAACCGCAACGGTACAGCGTATGAGATTGTCTATCTTGGCGAAGCGGAATCTGCGCTCGATAGATCCGAAACAAATGCATCTTTGCATCTAATTGGATCTTGACGGATTCGCTTGCACACCGTAGCCATGTCAATGTTCGTAATGCCGGAATGCATAAGCGGTTAATACTGGAAGCAATCAATTAGCACTTTTAAACAGGCGTTTAATTGTTGGCGTAGCGTGCGGCTGTGAACGGTAACACCGAGTGTGAAGCGCTTAACGGCTACCATACGGGCCTGGCTGTGCATGAATACACTTTATACCAACGGAAGTTTATTCCGGCACAATAAAGACCGACTACTGTGCGATCGCATACGGGAAGACAAGTCCGTAATGAAAAACTGTACCTGCACTGCGGACAATTACCCAGGCTTTAACCTTTTACGGCTGCTTAAGCTTGATACTGTATATGATGCGATGTTGATGATGCGTTGATTACACCTGCCCACGATTTACAAAGATCGCGTGCATATACAAATCACCATCATCTCACATGTAAATGCCTCAGTCTTTCGTCTGACACTCTCTTCTTGTGTACATGTAGTTTTTTACCAGTGTTTAATCTGAGATAATGACACGTTAGACACATGTCAAGTGTGTTTAATTTTTGCGACTAAAACATTGCAGTTAGATTTATACATGTAGTCTTAGTAGCCGGAACTAGCCACTATAATTTTATATCTCTACAGATTACTCCAGATCATTATTTTATAGTTCATTGCCAGTTGTTTAATTGCGTTTGTTGTTCTACTGGAAGGGATTGTGGCGATAAGAATGGATATTTTCCTAATATGATAGTGCGCTTTAATCTACTCTGCAGCTTCCATTCGAAATTCTAAAGACCAAAGTTATTGCATGGTGTGTAATTAGAAACCGGAATCTGGGCGTTTCTAACACCAAATTTTGGAAGTAACAGCTTAATTAATTGCCAACACTCTGCTCTATTTCCCAGGTAAAGAATACGTCTAACTAGACATTATGTGCCAGCGTAAACGCCCGTAAGCTTAACGAAGCACTGTGGTACGTCTATTTTGTTTGTCTGATAATCACTTACACCACCTTCAATTTTGTTGACCACTTGGTTTACAATCTGCTAGCATGAAAGATTATCAGCTAATATATATATTCTACTTATATATATACTAAGTATATGCAGTATAGAAGTATAAATAGTAAGGCGCAGAGATTTTAAAATATTTGTGGTAGTTCTGTGTAACAGCGCAATGACAGAGTACCTTTTCGACGCGAAGTGCATTTGTTCATTTTCTTGACATGTGTACTGAAGATCTACTTTCTTCTAATATGCCTATTAAACATTTCGTGCTACAATGTGGACAATGGCTTACAATTAGATTAATGTTGCATTGTTGCTGATATTTTTTATCAGTTATAATGTAGTATTCTTAGGTTTCTTACAGAATGCAGAAGTAAGTATTATACTGTAATCAGTAATCCATGCAACATCGGGTCATGTGTTTTACCTGCCTGAAAAATCAAGGAGGATGTAGATATAATTATATCGTATCTGTAGAGGACGGCGCGTAAAGGACATGTACTATACGAGTACTTGGTGCCACTATCGGATTAATTTTCGCAAATTTGATGCTACCTTCTGGAAAGGAAATTCAAAGTGTGTTAGCACCAAAAATTACTTAAGTATGTACATTTGTTAGTTGATCCCACTATACGCTTCGATCTTGCAGTGTCCGTAAAAGGCGGGTGAAATTACATACTTAGTATCTATTTGTACAGAAGTATCAGAAAAATTACGTGTTTAATTGTTTTCAGGTTCTGAATTGTATTTTTAAGTTTATTTAAACATAGACTTTGCTTTTTATTCCATTGTCAAAGGGTGTATATAATATAATTCCGCAGTCATTGTAGTTTGTAGAGAATATTACAACAGATATTGCGCATTTACGGTCACTAAGCAGTCAGTTTAAGCCGATATCGTTCTGCAAAAACATAAACGAGAGAAACGCTCGCTTGATAGTGAGGCGGCCCTTATATTGTGTTTAGACGAAAATTAATTTACATAAATATCCAAAACATGGGGCTGATTATGCCTTGAAGGAAAGGTGTTGAAGATGACCTTCATATTTTTAAACGATGCGATACGCTTTGCCAAAACTATTGTGTAATCGGTATTGTCACGCGTTATAGTATACTGTAACAACAACAACATCTGGGTTTCTTTAACCTTAGTCCCACGAATTCGTGACGTAGTCTTTCGGCAAAGACAATGCTACAATCCTTGACTTGACAGGGAACGCTTATAAATTATTAAATTTACTGCATATAAAGGCTTGCATGGCTGCCGTCATGGTGGCTACTCGAGTAGTGGAAGGCAATAATTTCTTTAGTTGCGAGCATAAATTATATTGATTGAAGTGTGGCTATATATGCAATTAGACGTTTCGCTCTATTTCGCATCGTAATATTTACTGTGCATTTACTCAAAACATCTCAGATTTTCGTTGAGCAAAGGTGGATTTATACTAACCATAAAATTTCCTTCGGCTTACGCTCATGCAGTACGGTACGCAGTACATTAATTCGTGCAATCTAACTTCGCTACTCTGAAACTACATATGTTTACAATTGTTAGATCTGAAATGAACATTTAAATTGTTTGTCGCAATTTAGCAGCTCATGTCACGCACACTTCTTTTATTGGGCTTTAATTATTCTGAACGCCCAGCTGATATGGATTACTTTCGTTTTATTTCTCCTTTAAATTGTTGCGTGATTAATTAAGGCGGGTTGAGAAGGTATGACTATGTTTTTTATGTCTGACAGTGAATTTAAAAGTTCATTAGCCAGCACCAAATATGTTGCTGCGCAGATTGTTACTTTCGCCGTCCACTTTCAGCCGGTATATATTATTGTAAAGTTTTAGCTGTTGGTTGAATTTGGTTCTTAAGCAACAGGTAGATGAAAACTGAAACTGCAACGAAATTAATAACCAATGTCAAAATAAAACATTGCTTATGTGTCTGTGAATTTTTTTATGTAGGTGTCTGTAGCATTTGAAGGAAATGGATTGCCAGTGCAGTGTTTTATTTATTGCTGTTGTATTCTCCTTATACTGCCAGTATCTTTACGCGCAAGGTATGCATAAGGATAGCAATTATTAATCACAGTTAAATATCTGCGATTTTTCTACGACCAAAAATTTGTCTATTTCGAAAAAAGATCGGTATGATAATAATATGGAGGATGCATAAGTTCGATGTCTGTGATAACCATTTTTATTATAGAGCAACAATGTCCAGCCGGCGAAGACGTTTCCTTTGTTCTGTTGACCAGTCATAAAATGCACACTGTGGATCCACTATCGAGTGTTTTAACCTTCAATCTGAGTGCCTGCATCGACGGCTGCATCAACGATCCCAATTGTCAGGCGCTGAATATTCAAAATAGTCCCAAGAACGAATTTTGTTCGTATTATTCCAAGAGCGCATCCGTTGTCGCCAACGGGACGATGACACCGGATGATTTAGCGATATTCTATCTGGAGAAGAAATGCTTAAAAGGTGCGCGTTTGTGTCATTTCCGGAAGTGCATAAACGCTTTTTTGCTATTTCTGTGATGCGTTATAGGTGCATGTCAGCGCTTATTCGCTTTCGAGCTGGTAACCGGCAAAGATCTTGAACGCGCGCCGGATACGGTTATTAAAGGCTCCACAGAAAAAACCTGTCTTGAATCGTGTTTGGCCTGGACGCAGCCACCGTGTCTTTCCGCTACTTTTGATGTGTTATCCGGTGATTGCGCCCTCAGGAACGCGAATCGCTTCACACATCCCACTGATTTTAAGGACACCAACAAGAACGTTCGTTACTTTGATAACAATTGCAGAGACGAATTACCAGGTATATTACATAATTTACGTTGAAATACTAATTTGCAATAGTTGTGTTGTATTTGCACTTATTGAGATTTGTTTGTGTGTTATTCTAGCCGTTAGATCGTTTTTCCTACAGTTTCGCGTTTTGAATTTTGTATAGTGAATAATATTTACATGTCGGTATAACAAATAGCATAAAACTTTAACTGTAAGACGTCATAGAAGGTGTTGACTTTATGCTTTTAATGTAACAATGTTTTGCGCATGAATGGTACTCAAACGCACTACTGGAATAATAATTACCACAGTAGCACTTTCGTAAATCATATACCGTACCTGCAACAAATTTATGACAGTTTTTTTCTTGCACTCGTAGCAAATGTTTCGTACGATATTGTCACACGGAACCTGGCTACACACTTTTCCGATACGGACTATGTGGACATCTCATTAGCGGAGTGTGCTAAATTATGTCATGAGAATCCTGACTATCCTTGCCGCGCCTTTTTCTTCGGGGAGACTATTTTGGGCCGCTTTTGCGGCCTGATGCATTTGCCAGTGGCGGCCGTGGCCCAGATTCCCGGCGGAATATTTCCCATTGAAGGGGTCAACATGTACGAACCGGCTGTTTCAAAAGGTGTGTTTTATAAAGAATTTTATGAATTTGACTGGAATATGCACTAAATAAAGATCATGCACATCTTCAATTTGTAATGTGAGTTTTTAATTATTCTTTTTGGGCGTAAAATCCTGAGCAATCAATATTTTTATGCCGTTTTGCTTTTTCGTATAATATATTTAATTGTAACGTTAAATGGTTAATATTCGAGCAGGTTGCCCATCGGATGCGGTGAATTTTGTCCTGATGAGCGCTCAGAGCATTGCGGAAGATCCGGCCAGTTCCAGTCCATTATCCAACCCGAGTTTGTGCATTGACCAGTGCCGGCAGAACAGTCGCTGTGTGGGATTGACCGTAGATTACGCCAATGCCAAATGCAACTTTTACACACAGTACAAGAGCGACAGCATCCAGAACGACGGCATGGTCAGCATCTATCTGAAGATATGCTTGGATTCGCCGGTGTCCTGCAAACGCGACTGGGCCTTCGAACGCATCGACGGCCAGACGCTGTTGACCTTTGACAAACGCGTGGAAGCCTTCTCGGCGCGCCAGTGCATGCTGGCCTGTCTGGAAGAGCACCGCTTCCAATGCAAAGCCTTCGACTACAATTCCCTAACGAATGAGTGTCAACTATCGCGACTGGATCGGCATTCGGTCAACTACAAACAAATGGACCTGCGCGATCTGGTGGTGCCGACGCGCCAAGCGGAAATTACGCTGTATGAAAACAACTGTTATCAAGGTTAGTACGATTATGTTGCGTTATCATAATAAACGTTGAATCAGCGTCACCTGTATTCTGCTGTTGTTGTGTGTAATCACTTGGACATAGAATTCACTGATCATTGATTAATGCAGTAAATGTTGTTTTTTTCTATCCATTCACTATGAAATGCGCTATATACGAAGTAGCTGCTGAGCACTTTGTTTGAGCGCGCACTTATTAAATTTGTTTGCAGAACCTACGCAGTTTTGCTTTTTTGATCCGGTGAAAGACGTCGACATCAGTCTACACGATGCCCTCGTGGTGGATGGGATCTCGAGCGAAGAAGATTGCAAAAAAGCCTGTCAGCAGCAGACCGGATTCAACTGCCGGCGCTACGCCTTCGTATCCAACTCCATCTGCATGCTGACGCACTACACCAAAGCCACTGCGCCACAGGTCTCGGTAAGACAATCTATACTTCTACCTTTAGTGTGTCTACCGGTCATACATTCGAAATGACTTTTATTCCGATATTTTCCACTTAACCATGTTCCCGCATGTGCTAAATTAAAGAATATCTTACAGATTTTACGCCATGAATCACAGTCCGTGTACGGCGAAGTAACGACTTGTTACAATGGTGAGTATAATCACAGATCACGTATTAAACCAATAAAACTTTTTTTTGATTTCTTAATTTGTAGTAAATGGTATTGTGATCAATGATTATTACGTATGCCAACAATTGGTAATAAATATTATAATTATTGTAAAGTCTGTTTAATACGCTTCTATGTATATTTAGATAAAAGTAATTGTAAGTATAGGGTTCAGGACACTGCAGTTTAAAATAAGCGCATATTGTACCTGAACAGACGAACATAGCGTAGAAGTACAGATAATGCATATTAACCAAACTGCTTCGACGCTATCTACTCGTATATATGTATACTGACTACTGTTCTATTGAGCCGTAACTGCAGTACCTTTCAGCTACCAAGGAGTCTACATAGAAATAAAAATACACCGAAGCTCCTTCATTCTTTTCTTTTTCGTTTCATGTAGCTAGTTCTCTAATAAACTTCTGGATGCAATCGTGTTTCTTCGTAGTTTCGGTTGAATGCGGCTCGACAATGATAGCACACGTTAAATCCAACCGGGAATACGACGGGATGATCTACGCGAAGGGCAAAGCGGATGTCGGTGACTGCGCCCAGGTGGTCAAGCAACAGTTCAGTTTCGATCTGAACTTACCCTTAAATATCCGCACTGTGGAATCGTGCAACACCTTCCTGGAAGACGAAGGACAGTTTCACAACACTATCGTCCTGCAGCACAACGCCCATGTTTTGACGGCGATGGACCAGACTTTCGGCTTGCAGTGCAAATACGATTTACGTGCCAAAGAAGAACTGACCAATTTGTTTAACGTGTAAGCAAACCCTTGATCAATCAGTGCAGCACTACACTTGTTAGATGATGCAACGCACATTACTGCGGCATTTTATTTTGTTAATCATATTCCTTTGCTTAAACATCACTTTTGCTTATATTCTTTTGCTTAACAAAGAATTTTCCTGTGAGGTTCTGGGCTTTCCAGGAATTTTTCTCTGGGCGTGTTGCCGGAAGCCAGTAAAAGCGTTGTCCGGCACACTGTTAAAATGCCAAAAATCACCATGCGAATATTGGGATTGGATGGGGAAGAAATCAGCGAAGCCGAACTGGGAAGTGAACTGATCGTGCGCATTGACATGGAGGACAGCGAAGACGTGTTCGGTTTGAGCATTCACAACATGTTCGCCACGGACGGGCGACGCAAGAACAACATGACCCTTGTCGACGTCAAAGGGTGAGTTTCTGTTTTAATATTATTTATCCGACACGGAATATTCAAGCAGGAGTTGTTTTATAGCTGTCCGGCAGAGAACTTAATTCGCAACTTCCGCCAAATCAATCCCAAAACGCTGGAAGCGCGCATGGAAGTTTTCGCTTTCCCGGACAACAACCGCATTATCATCGACGCAGAAGTGCAGACGTGCCGGTTCCGCTGTAAACCGGTGATCTGCGGGAATGGCGCGGAGTCGTATGGCAAACGGAAGCGCCGCGCAGCGGACGGCGCTCACGAGGGAGGCGACGCCATTGCACGGGACACTTTGAGGAAGACTGTCACCATTACTTCGCAGAAATTCACTCTGCCATTAAACAGCGAAAAGTCACTGAAAATAAGCATCAGCGGTAAGCCAGTGCTGGCTGCTTTATGCCAAATGTTATAAAAATGCTATCAACTCAAAATAATAATGACAAACAAATATGAATAAGCGTGGATAATTACATATACGATATATGTAAGGCGCGCTTATTAATGCCATACTCTGTACATGCTTATACACTATCACTATGTGGTTTTCAGGTGTTCGGGAAGGCGAACCAGCCGGTATCTCGTGCTTCCTTCCGCAAATCCTGGCCGTGTTGACCGTATGTTGGTTCATCGTGGAGATGACCGCCATCAGCTGCATTTGCTTCTTAAAGCGTAAAATTAACTACTTCCGCGAGAAAGTGAAGAACGCTGAAGGCTTCTACAGCCACGGTCCGTACGTGACCTATGCCACGGTGACGCGTCGGAATGCGGTCATGTCCAGTGTGCCGATGGCCTCCGATAGTGCGATGGGCAGTTCAGCCTGTTGATTTTGTTCCTTTTTGTACGCTTTTTGATTACCTTGACCCCCTACAGTCCCTATGTGATCGGCAACGCAGTTTTGCGACGTTGTTACGTTCGATTTGTTACTGTTGACTGGTCTTTTGCAATCTGATTTGTCTGCGTTTGAGTAAAATTATTATCCGAAGTAATTATGAAATAAATTGCACCATGATGTCGTGCTGAATCATGTATCACATCTCCACCAGTCGGAGACGCAGGCTGACGACCTTTGCACACCATTTACGAACAGCGAAGAAAGTGGTAGATTTATTCTTGGGGAAAAACTCGAAAAAGCCAAAACATTGCCGACTGACACAATGCAGAAAACTTTACCGAACTTGACTTAAGAAAACTTAACTTAAACTTAACTTAAGCCAAAGCTTAACCGACAGCCAAGCTGATACAATGCAATGTCATTATGCACACAGCTTTGATCGATATCTGTTAATCAAAAATGGCTTTTGCTAACGAAATATAAATATTCTCGGATCGTGATTGGGTTGCGGCTAAATAAAGTAAACAGTGGACAGCTGTTACATACTGTACGTAGGGTAAAGTACTGTATTGTAACAGTGGCCTATCTGGCTACTGTTCTAGTGGGGTGGCGATCAGCCTTTACCACGATTAAACGGCTGTTGGTGTGAAAGGTGGCACGGCCGGCAACGATGCTGGCCGAGGACGCTCTTACAGATGTAACGCAATTACACAGGTGGCTCCGATTGGGATGACGCTAGTTCATCCCAAGCGGTCAAAAGCAACAACGTAACTCAAGGCATGTTTAATGACAAGGGAATCAAGAACACAGCAAGTTTGTAAGCAAGGTTTCAGCAAGAGAAACAATCAAGTAGATGCAAGCTGTAGCAAGCTGAGCACAAGACTGAATTCTAGAAAGTCATGAGAAGGGAAACTAGCCGGTAAAGTGGACACATTAATTCATAACGCGATGGAATGAATCATAACTGGGCGGTCTTATCGTTCGTACAAATACTATCGCTACAGTATCATATTTTGCACCGAGCGCGAAGCGCGAGGTGCTGCAATAAGTCTTCGTCAAGAGCATAAAATTTGTCTGACGCCGGGTCGCATTTTATTTCAAACCATCACTTAAACACGTGTTAGAGAAACAGTTACAAAAACAACAGCTCGTTAAACATTTCGGCTTTCTCCACCGTGCCCAAAACAGAAACCGCATTACCACGCTGTATCTCTATGGACAAACGTTGTCGAAGAAATTCGTGCGAGCGGGCTTCTCCTGAATGAGAACGTAATCTTTTCCCCAGTTCTTTTATGATGGCAATGGCCGCTGGTCCCCACGGGCCCATAGTTTCAAAAGCGATAGGTGTGAATATATAGCGGCCGTTTAAATAAGAATAGAACCTAGACTTCTTCTCTTCAGCCTGCAACGCGGCCGATCCCGCAATTGCCGAAGTAGATTTGATGTGGGAAGCGGCAACAGTATCCACGCAGGTGACATCCCATGCCAAGCACATTCCTCGCTGCCAGGCGAACGTTGTGCAGCCATCGGGGCGTCGTTCGTTGGTGTGGGAAGTGCCTCGGGGTTCAAGTTTAGCTGGGATTCCGGCTGATACAAAAGCCCGACATACGATACTGTTAAGGCCACCATGTCTTGGGTGTCTGCCGGCGGAGAAGGTACAGGAAAGACCATGATGAGCGTATCCGTCGACCGGCTTTAAACATTTCGTGCAGTTGTGAGGTTCACAAATCCTGGCGCCGAGTCTGAGGCCTACTGAGATTTTCAGAGTATCGTCATCGAGGAGGTTACCTATATGGGCGGAAGGCAACGCGTTGAGCCAAATGCCGGCTTCTGGTCTCGACTGGGCAAGCAGACGCGCCTTATTAATTTCATCATCCCGGTATACTTCTAGCAGGGCAGCCAGAGATACATTACACAATGGCAAATCCCATGCCTTCTGGGAATTGCGGAATTCTGGAACGGGCAGTTCTGTTAAACGGGCTTTGCCTTCCACATTTCTAGAGCAACGGTAATGTCTGAAGTCTCTCGACTGGGAAGCAACAAAGACACCAGGTCGCCGACGGAGTGAATCGAAGCCAGGAAGGCTGGGAGTGCTAATTCCTCCGATCGACGTAGACCAATGCCTCCTCTGCTAACCGGGAGACTTGCTTGCCGCCAACTGGGATAATCATCGTGATTTGTCCGGACATTACATAGAAGCTGGAAACAAGACCGCAATACTTCATCGATTTGGTACAATTGCTCAGGATATTTCCAGGCGTTGCAACACCGCAACATGTAAATGATTTTCGGTGCTCCGAGACAGTGCCTTAAAAGGAATAAGGCGTGGTGACGGGAAGCAATTTCATTCTTTCGCATACCGCGGTCAGCGACTTCGCTTTCTCGGCAAATACAGGGGCAATCGCGTCGTCCAGCACAGGGGCTCCTAGAAGCGTTAAATTAGTGCTGCACATGACGCGGATTCCCGGATGCCTTGAAAGAAAATTGGTAATTGCCTCTTGCTGTAATCTCAGAACCGCCTGCAACGTATAATTCGCACTTTCCGACGTTAATTTCCAGGCCAGTCGCCCGTGCTCTTTCGATGACGCGGTCAAAATTCTCAAGTACACTACTAGGAAGCCCGCCCAACGTCCCATCGTCAAGGTACCAAGCGTTTAGCTCGGTATCCAGGGAGGCAATAACTGATTGCAATGCGAGGCAAAATAGTAGCGGTCCCAATGGATCCCCCTGCTGTACACCGGATTCGGATGATAGAACGTGGTCGTCGATGAACAGTGACTAAGATCGTACGTCACGCTTTTCCAATTACACAACCCCAATACCATTTCCCAGTGGTATCGGCGCTCGTGCAATAGTGTGGTTCGCAACCACCGCTAGTTACGATTATGCCACTGTGCGCAAACTTAGATACTCGTACTTAATTTTTTGCACCGAGCGCGAAGCGCGAGGTGCTGCAATAAGTCTTCAAATTTAGACCAAATTTTCTCTGTGATTAGGCCGCCTTTGTCGACTGATGCTTAATGTGATCGTGTTTGAAGTTACTGTGAAATCATTGTGTGAACTGAATGTAAGAATAAAAAAGTCTTCGTCAAGAGCATAAAATTTGTCTGACGCCACGAAGAGCGTACAGATACGTCACGCTTTCCAGTTCCACAATCCCAATACCACTTCCCAGTGGTACGGACGCTCGCGCTCGTGAAATAATGTGGTTCGCAACCACCGCTAGTACTTAATTTTTAATTGCTCGAGAGTGACAAGAGATCGACGAGACATGGCATGAATGATCGTGTCTTGTCAGCAGTTTTGGAATTGGAAGTGAATCGGACATGTTCGAGACAATCGGAACTCCTGGCGGCTTGTGAATATCAGTTTTGTGTTATCCATCATTGACCATCAAAAGCACAACAATCTTTCCTCTTAGTTTAAACCTTAAAATAGCCTGGATAGTACTAACAAAAACGCCGCTTGAAATCATTTTTGCCTGGCTGTGACCATCTGGGAACTTCGTCTTTGGATGTTTGTGAGTATAGCTGGACTGTTCCCAATCTTATTTTGATTTAAGGAAGCTCGTCAGGAATTCTAGCGACTAGCATTTCCTGTTACAAGAATTTTTGAAAGGAAAGCACACTAGCCTGTCTTGTCTATCTAGATCTGTGCAGACAGTAGTTACAGACTTTTACTGTTAAGTAGTTACAGATCGGAAGTCTGTACAATTGTATAGTAAGTAATCTACCATGTATGATCAAAACTTGCTGAAATTTAAGGCTATTTTCGTAAATTAATTAATTAATTAGTTAATTTTTGAATGCTGTACTTCCGGGTTTTGTATCTGTAGTGTTTTTGCTTTGAAATGAAGGTTTTGTTTCTTGCGGTCTAGTGATCCTCGAGTGAAAAATGTCGGAAGACAAAATCCCGAAAATCAAAGAACGAATGAAAGCTTTGCGAGAAAGCTATGCTTATAAAGCGAACCAGGTTTCCCGATATGGAAAAGTCAAGGAAGCCAAAGTTAACAAGGATTTCTTCGATCGGCATGCAAATGTAAGCCTTGATACAATGATAACCTGGTCATTTGTTTACTGTTTTTGTATTGCATTGCTCATAGCTCGTTTCTGGGACTGCTGTACGTGGCTGCGAACGACTTGTCATTCATCATGAAGCTTTATGCATACAGTCTACAGATATAGTTTATATATATATATTAATATTGTACAGTTAGAATTGTGTGCAAGTCTTTTCACTTTTCACGTTAAAATTTGTAATTTCAGATTGGACTAACGGACAACAAAGCGTATCCTACCAGAGATCTAATTCAGGTGGGAGAATAACATTGAATTGCCGCGGCCTTCGACCACTTACTGGTTAATTAAGTAATTAAATCAAATAAAATTAAGTACAGTAATTGAAATCAAATAAGTATTGACTACATGACTGCAATAAAAAATTAACAGTACTCTGTTACAGATGTTAATAATCGTTGTGCTTTGACTTCCTTAAAAAACCTGAATGTGTAGAAACTTCATACCAAAGTGTTGTGTAGTGTCCAGTGATACCACATCATAAAGTTGGAATTCGGCGAGCAGAAGCACATCTCGGCCACTGCAAGAGGGTAAGGGCGCTGATTATTTGTAACAAAAACTGACCGCTTACACAAATATGTCTACTACTGCATCGCATTCTATCCACATTAGGCTACATATCAATAGCCATTGCGCGGTGTGTGTTAGCTGTTTATGATAATCATTACAGACTCATGATGTAACGATTGACGATTGCGAGATCAATGAGAAACACCACAATTTTCGCCGGGAATTGGCCGCAGAACATTATCCGCTCTGCGCCACATTTCTCTTGCTGAAGTACCGTTTCGCACACGGCTGGCCAGCGGCCTACTACTACGAGCATGACTTCCGCAGTGTGTCCATTCGTCGCTGGAGTGCGGAGGAAGCGGCAGCGGTTAAGGAGGACTTGTGTGGAGCTGAGCCGTGGCTTGGCTGCAGCAAAAAACATCCGCCGCATTCGCAGTGGTATTTGCGCGACACCAACACACATCGTAAGCGCAGACTGATAAATTATTGTGACTCCAGTACGATTACTGTGCATTCAATGCATTGCAATTATTGCAAACAGTTTGCAGTTAACCTGAACTCTTGATAATTGCTTGTGATAGGAATAAATATTAGTTTATAATTGACAACTGTGTAATAAATAATTATAGTCACAAATCACAAAATTAATTCTGATTTTGATATTGTCAACGTTATTTGTATATGTATGTGCTGTTTGGCTGTTGCAGAGATGGAGATGACCGGAATATTGTTAGAAGATCTTTGTGAAGACGTGAAAGAAGCCGCCGAAAAAATTGAGAAAAGCCTGGATCAGCGCGCCAAGAGCCGTCCCTTGCCCAACTTCTATGGACGCCGTCCCCCCAGACTGGAAATTCCGAGATACAAACAACTGGGAGAGAAGCACTTTCCTCTAGTCCCGGTGAAAAAATCGAAGCGCGTTCATTTTGGTAAAGTACACGATCAGACGTTTTGTTCTCACCGTAGAATCTATTATCAAAGGTGCTTGCACCTTTTTTACGCTTGCTAATTTACTCGTATTGATATTAGTTTGCCGGTGTGATCGATTCATGACTATACAGACAGTTCTTTTTGCTTTCGTTGTAAATTACCGTATTTGTATTGCAGATTTCGATGCTTGGCTGTACAGCGACTGCGATCGCCTTAAAAGTAACGACTTTCAACAAGGTTATTTTCCAGCGCGCTGAAGACAGGCAGCGCTTCGAAGGACGAAATCTCAATCAGTTACAGTGAATTTAATTACCATGTACGAATAGCGATTTTACTTTTTTGGTAGCTGCGGGTAGTGTTGTTCGTTTATTGTTGACATATTTGCCTATCATATCTTTTGTTGTCTCTGTGCTTCCAGGCTTTTGTTTGTCATATTTTCGCGAAATAGTCTTTTGGGCACCGTTTTGACCACGACTGGATTACAAATCACTGTGTCCAGCGCGGCGCTTCGTTTAGCAGTAGCAAATCGATTAAGATGTATATGGATTAGTAAGTACCGTTGTATAGTTATTTCATTTTTTATGATGTCTCTTCTGTTTATATGTTGTGTTTACATATGCCCACATATACATTTGCTTAGTTTTACACTATATGTTATTATACCGTACACTCCAGTTGCATAATAATCACAGAGCGGTATTTGTTTGCATTGTCACTGTACATGCATTGAACTTTCGGTTAATGTTTGACGCAAATCGTTAAGTGGTGCATTATTGCTGCTAGTAGAAAAATGCACTCGTAAATTATAGTAACTATTTCCTGCCAGTTTCCATGCATTCGGCTGTGGGTTCGATTGAACCAGATTTGATTTTGATTTCTGATTAAATCAAAGCAGTTGCGTGCTAGTCGCTTTCAGTTAACGTTCTGACCAGTGAGGAGATTTGGATTTGAATTTGATCGAATTCGCTTCTGCGCGGGATTCTTTGGCCATGAGTTTACAAAATTTCCACAACAACTGTTAGCATGACCTTTCGATTTAGCCGAAACAATCAAGCTAAGCCGGCAGTTAAATCCTCTGTGTTATTTGCCTTTCATGAAAACAATTTTTGGTTTGTTACAGAGATCAATTTCCTGGCAATAACGCGACTTACACAATAGAAAATTTCAAATGATCGATTGCGCGCGTGATAATTACAGTATCATACGCATATTATGGAATAGAACTCTTAGTATAATTTCGCGATGTCATTCGGACAGTTTTGTCTTGCGATTTTTCCTCTTCTTAAGTGTGAGCCAATTCTCCCAGTCCAGAAACCGCTTTTATTAGCCCATTTTTGGGCTAGCAGAGCAATGGAAAAAGTGACTGTTAAAGTACAAGCCTTGGTACACGTATGGTTTGAATTGAAGTTGCAGTACGTTTAACAGAGCATGCGACGCTACCGCTGTTGATATCAGTGGTGGCTTCACTGATATGGGATGGATACTGAATAAAAGTGTGTAGTTCCGCCAACGAATAGCAGTGCACATGCGGCTAAATATGCCTGCTAGGGCCACACAGGTGTAGCTCCTCCCAACGCTACAGTCAACTTGTTGCTTCGTCTTGAAGTCATTTCGGCCAATACGTTATTAAAGCAGCTAGACAAAATGCTCTTCCTTACTTACAATTAGTTAGCTGCCCAGCTGTATTCCGATTTCACTACGAGAAATTTTCGGAAAGTTATTTGATTTACAGTTGTTAGCCACAAGCTTCTTTCTGGAATCTTTTCAAAATGTCGGACAGCGACAGCGATTCGGATAGCACGGTGCTGTATTGCAGCGAGGTAAACAAGCAACCTGACAAACTGAAGAGAGACGAGACAGACGTATGTTGCGCAACAGGCTTAAAGCGATAGTATCGTTGTCATCTTCCAGGTGATGGAAGCCAGTCCACTGAGCAATGAGTCCACCGGGTCCATTGGCGCGGTGTCCCCGAAGCAGTCGCGTATCGCCTACACGGCGCCCGATGAGAATCTGCACGGAAGTCGTGCTCTGATGCGGAAACTGGAGGAGCAGGGCATACCCCTGAATCTGGAGAGCTGGGGAGCGAAGATTAGCGTGCGTCGCAACAACTGGATCCATGCTATGGGTGTAAGTTGACATACTTCTATACTTAAGGTGCACTACGGCGTTCTGGCGTTGGGCAACAGCTCAAATTTTTTGACAGGTCTACATTAAACACAACTTTTCCCAATCATCCCTCCAGTTAGCCATATCCCTGATGGACAGATTTATCAAGCGTTATCGGCAGGTTTACAATGGCAGTCTGGATAAAGCTCCATTAGAGTTTCTGTTTGATGGTGCCGTTACCATTGCCGAGCAAATGGCTGACGATGCGCCGGAGTATACGCTGCGTAAAGTGTACGAATCACCTTTAGACGGTGTCCCTCGACGACACGAAGAAATTCAGGTTGGTTTGCGTAGAATACTGATATGTAAATACAGACTGATACCAGATACAGTAACGATGAGATGTTATGAAGATGACCGCAGAGGTACAGTACACAGGTAAAATGACTGTACACCGGTAAAATTTAAGAACACTTTAATATTTTTGAAATAGGACTATAAACTCGTATATAATATAAACTGTATGAGTTACCCGTGTACAGATAGGTGGGTGTAAATTCAGTGCAGGTTGTCTGTACCGCGTTTGAGTATTGTAGTTGCGTACAGTATATCTCCATCAGTCATGTAAGCTGACAGGTTGGTCATCGTTGTTGCATTAGTAAAATGCGTAGAAAACGAATCAACTATAGATATTTCAATGCTTAGAAAACGAATCAACTATAGATTTTTTACGACCGAAATCCAGTGATCAGAGAATTAAGGCTTCTTGTTTGTTGTCGAAGGTTAGATGAATTTCTTCCGTTTCCTGCATCATGCATCCTTCTGCTTCGATTAATTTCTTTAATGAGTAAAGTACTGTTAACTTTTATTTTCAGTTGATACTGTAGCGTAAACTTTAGCGCGAATCTGCGTGATTGTAAATGTTAATGGTGATGCTGTAAGTAGCAGTTATTGATGTTTGTACTGTATTTACACTGTACACATAAGTAATTATTTAAGTATTTTATATTCTGTTACAGTTTGGCATGCTTTCGATAGCTTATTGAAATTGAAGACGAAGAATGCGAGCTATGTTTACGCTGGGCTGGATGACAATGTATTGTATCCAATTGATACGATGCATTAGTTCTGTAAGAAGTTTATTAGGTCTATATTTATTCATCAGTCGGTTTAAGAAGTGGGGAAAAGGCAGACAGGTGGCTGTCGGCTCCAAGAGGCTTTGTAGGGGGCTATAATTTTAAAATCGCTCGAAAATCCATTTACCTACAAGTCCGTGTTTGTCATACTACATTACTCCTTCCTGCGTCGATTGACCAACCTTAAAAATGAATATTATGAAAGGCGACGGCATAGAATGCGGGCTTGTGTGGCACAAGCCCAGGCTTATAATGATCTATCCGCGCTGAAAGAGGGGGCGCGTCCGCCCGGGCCTCCTAATCTTCCCTTGAAAATTCCCTCTGAATGGAGTGTGCGTAGAATATTTGAAAAGTTTTGAAATGAATAAGGAAGTATATCGACTGGCTATTGATGTATACAGCGTAAATGTGGAGAATGACTGCCGAGCAGGGGGTCGCTTTCTTCCGCTTTGCAGCGTATTATTACAGTTGTCAAGAACGTCAAGAATACGAAGTGCGAGCACGAGTGGAACAGCTATATTGCAAGCATACGATTACGATCCGCTCTGAAGCGCATCACACCTGCCGCATCTTGCGGGAAGTTAAAATCGTTAACGATTATGATTTAAATCAGTATTAAAAGATTTGCTAAGAAGGGAGTGCCGGTAGATCGAGAAGCCTCCATCTTCAGTAAATAACTCCTTACTACAAGTTATTACAGTAGTACGTCTTTTCGCAGGTACTATAACATTAACGAGTACTGAAAGATCTAGTTTATGATTAGTAATGGCACACCGATTTCCAAAAACAAATTGCTGTATTTTGATTAATCGCCGGTAATATAAGCAGATCTGTAGACGCATTCGTGAGCAGACGAAGAAAACTTACCTTAGTCGCCACAACTACGAAATCATACCAGTTTGTAGATCATTTGCAGAACTAATTATTACAAGAGGAAAAGTGATTTGAAAATATGTATTCGCTGTAAAATTTGTGTACGGTACAGTACGGTATAAGCGTTGCAGCATTGTGATTTGAGAATGAATGTTATCTGTAGATTTTGGAATATATTTTAGTAGATTCTTTTTTAGGTGGCGATGAAACTAATTCTCCAGGTTACGGATTGGGAAGTTATAGACTGGACACCGGCTTCGTTTGTCCCGCATTTCCTGGAAGCTGTGCAATTAGGATCGGATGAGGCTTTGCACAGCCATGTGCTATCGGTTTCGACCATGTTTGTGCTTGGTAAGGGTTACTTAGCGAATTACGAGAAAAAGTTTTTCAAATCAAAATTGTTATCAAATACCATTAATGTTAATGTAAGTTATTAAAAGAGAATCTAGTGGGATCATGAACTGAAGCACATGTACGGTTTATTCCGAATTTTGATGATTGTCCTATCATGAATGTACCGTGTAACACAGGCCACCGCTGTTTGAACTGGCAGCTTCATTGGACCATCAGTGTTATATGATACTGTTTATTCTGGTGTAAACCGCACGATTATTACTTTAGGATCGATGGCTTGTAATAGTTCTGAATTTTTCCAGCCAAGTGAGTTAGGGGTGCGGATAATTGACCATAACTTTCTGTTTCCATCTTCCGGTTTCCATTTCTCACGGGCGGCACGTTTGCAGCCTGAAGGAAATTGTTGATTATCGTAATCTATTGCTTGTCGTGACTAATGCATATGCTGCATGTCCGCCAGACCAGGACCCGCAAATTTTGTGTGGCTTCTACTGTAATCCAGACAGATTGTGATAGTTATGTCTTGATAGTTAAGAGCTCTGCTGCATATAGAACTGATAGATGAACGCTTTTAATTTTTACGGAACGACGGGTTTCATGCTTGATCAGCGTAGCTGGCTAGAAAGCCGGCAGTGAGTGAGTTTGTTGGCAAAATGCTTTGCAAACCAGTGAAAAATTCTGACGCACCCAGAAAATAATTTTTGAATGAAAGCGTTCATATAGAGGTCACTTACAACTTATTACTAACGAAAACGAGGGTACGATCTAACTTTGTAGTGTAATGTCCTCTATATCAAACCTCGTATGGACACCTCAATCAGCTCAACCTCGTATGGACATAAATATACAAATAGTGATTTAAGTGACGGCACGAAAAGAAACCTCAGTCATACATATATACATAAATTACAAAGACTGTTTTATAATATTTTTTTTTACCATAATTACTTAATTTACTATAATAAATTACTATACTAAATTCTGCTATAAAAATTATAAAACGTCCATACCAGGTTGACCTGACTGAGGTTTCTTTTCGTGCCGTCACTTAAATCACGTTGCATGACATTACTTATGTCCTCTGTCGATATTCACCCGTGCGAGTTGGCATTTTTTCGCGTGCAAATGGAAAGACGTCCTTAATAAACCTAAGCGTGCAATAGCGACAGATTACTCGAGATAAACGCGTGCTCTGCCAGAAGTCATCACTTTTGTTTCGCAAGGTGTTTTGCGCAAAAAGAGCAGTTTCTCTTGGGGCGTATGATGCACTACATATGGAACTGTCTACGCGTCAGTGCACAAAGTGTCATCTGACATCCAGCAGTCATCGCCCTTTAATGCCTGCCATTTTAGGTCAGTTGGCGCATAAACAGCAAAAATGCCTCATTAGGCGGTAATTAGATGTTTGTGATCTGCATTTTGCAGTGCAGATGCCGCACCTTTCGAAGATTTTATGAATAATTAATATAAGTGAACTCTATGCGTTCTGTTGAACCGGGAATTTGTGCTATGCAGCGAAGAACATCTTTGTGGATCGTACGATTCATTTATGACCTGCAGTGCTAGCAGTGACCACTCGTCTGTCCACAAGTGTTTTTGATAGATTCGTATGCATAAAATACATACCATGTTTTTATTTAGCAAGGCTTTGTTTTCGAGTAGTTGATTGAATTTAAGTTTTTAAAGGAGCTCAGAGCCTAGTGACTTGCCTTATGCCTATCTTATGATTATGGTAGAGCCGAGAAATAAACCATGAAAATTTTTTGGCTGTTTGCTTCCCTTATTAGGACGGAGAGCAGACCATAATCCGTTTACGGTACAGAATTGCAATTATCGTCCGTAGTACAATATCTGAGTACAAGCATGAATCATGAGTACGCATGTGTAGAAGAAGGCCACGAACGTAGACAAGCAGACTGCATCCTGCAGGTGACGCCGGAGCGGCTAATAAGGAGGACAGAGTTAAGAAAGTGTGACGAGTTTGTAAGCTATTCATTATGGTAATTCAATAAGGTCCCGTTCGTAACCCGTGTTGATTCATTCATTTTGCTGAGCTAAATGGAGAAATATGTTCAGTTATTGACCTGAGATGCGAACTGGATCAGAGCGTAGTATTGCTTAATTACTTTCCTAGTCAGCCGAGCTTACCATACCCGGTCTGTTTGCTCGCCACCTGCTTTTCGCATAAATTTCTGAAATATTTATGATCTTAATCCTCAAGCTGGAGTAAGCAAGCCCTATGAATGAGAAAATATTAGTATTTCGTTTGGCTTTTATTATTGGTGCACTATATTGCGATGTGTAAGCTGCGTTAATTAACCACGAATATAAAGTATTTCGTTCAGGGTTTCTCAAGACAGAATGTAAAGATATTTAACTGTAAATCTCATGCAGCAATTTTAAATGGCTTTTTTGGCAGATGAAATCGTATGCGCTTATGTCCATCCTTCGGCCATTGCTGCTCTGGCGGTGGGATTTCAGGCATGGGTCGATTTGGACGATGGCAGTGGATCGGTCAAAGGGGTTGCGTCAGTAGTGTTTTTCCAGCGAGTAATCCAAACTCTCACGGACGTGGGAAGGATGCATGTTAAATATGTAAGTGCGACCATTCCGAACATCGTTAATCCGTGACCATAAAATCTAAATTTAAAGAAATATTTGTCGAAAAATTACGAATGAACAAGCAATGCCGTGCTACCCGAAAAAATCATTAATGAGTTTGTTAGCACCAAATTGCAAGATTTGAATTTCATGGCTCGGTACAAACATAGTTTAACTTGTAAATTCGTAAAGATCTATTTGACCTTTTGTTACTGCATTCATTCATTTTTTTTGTATTGTTTTATGGTATTTTGAAGCCAAAAGATTTAGAGATGTAGTGTGAAATACTTGGCAAGCGTAACATCTGGTTGTAGAGTTGAGGGTAATAAGCTCAAAGCGTATTCAGGTGTACCAAAACATGGCCGATCCTTTCAATTTGCGTATAAATGCACATAACCATGAAGATCGTTCTTACACGGATTCAGACTTCCACGATTTTTTCGAATTTTAAAATGAATTTTAAAATTTTCGAAATTTATTTTAAAATTTGAAAAACACGCTAGAACAGTGGATCGGTGTAAGAACGATCTTCATGATTATGCGCATTTACGAGCAAAATTTCAAGAAGATCGGTCCATAATCAGACTTTTGGTACACCTGAATGCATTTAAACTTTTTGGAATTTTGTTGCCCTCATAACTCCGCAACCGGATGTTGCGCGCGAAAACGGATTTCACACCTACGTACACAATTTTTTTGGCTACAAAATACCATAAAGCAATGCAAAAAAGTGTTTGGGAGTGCGCAACAGCGAAAGTTCCAGGGGTTGTACATGAACACAGTGCTATGTAGTAATGTACCAATAGTCTCATAGAAGTGGGTGAAGTTATTGATACCAGATAAGATAGACGAGACTGTTCTTTTCGCGTTATTCCCAAATTATTTTTTGTTTCGGTTTATGATTCTACAGCCAGAGTTGTTTAGAGTGCCACTGAAAGGAGAATATCGGTTCGGGAGCTATATTGTCAGAGGGTTTCAAAGTTTAATGCATTAGGTAACAAAAGTTCGATATGGATTGATACCTCTCAAATTTTGCATAAATGCATGAAGATCGTTTTTACACCGATCCAGACTTCCATGATTTTTTTCAAATTTTAAAATGAATTTTAAAATTTTTGAAATTCATTTTAAAATTTGAAAAACATTCTAGAACAGTGGATCGGTGTAAAAACGATCTTCGTGGTTATGTGCATTTACGTGCAAAATTTGAGGGAGATCGGTCCATAATGAGACTTTTGGTACACCTGAACGCATTTAAACTTTTTGGAATTTTCTAACAGCCATAACTCCCGAACCGGATGTTGCGCGCACAAACGGTTTTCACGCCAGTGTATACAGATCTTCTGGCTATAGAATGTCACAAACCGAAACAAAAATGTGTTTGGGAGTGCGCGAAAGTGAAAGTTTTCGTGCCTGTACACGAATTTGGTACTATGTACCGGCCCACTTCCCTTAACACAAGCTTTTTGGATTGCAGTTTGTGGAAATGGCTGATTTCGTGCTTAGCCGCTGTTTAGTAAACGGTTGGCATACTAAATTCCCTGCAATACGCGCTACCGCCTTTGCTTTGTTGATGAAAACATTTTTTGGAGCCATGCCTTTACTGGAGGCAGCCAGCGCTAATCCCAAGCCAGTGCGGCAAGGAAATCAGCGTTCACGTTAGATCCACAAAACGTTACAAAGGATTATGTTTAGAGAAGTGACGCCATAATGGTCGAATATATATTAACCTCAGAAGACCGCACTTCCGCCTGGTTAACCTTTCGTGGTTCCGGATTCCCCAGTTGTCAAAGTAGTCAGACTCATAGAAAAAACTTAAGAAATTATTTCCTTGAGTGTACATTTCTTGAATTGTGTACATTACTACGCATCGCATATTGTATAGACACATTGTATTTACAGTACGAGTACCTATCTTGAGGATTTATGATAATTGGCCTGCTTGAAAGAATTCAGTGTCCCTACAGATTTATGTTGATTGTTGCGGTTGCTTTTATTTACTTGCCTGCCTTGTTTTCTTGTCGTTGTTTTGCTTAAGCATACCCGTTATGTTACATAACTTATGTAACATAACTTATGTATAACTTCTGAATTTGTTTCTTGGGGGAGCGCATGTATGGTATGTAAAAAATTATGTGGAAGAATTTGCCTGTATTTACGAAAAAACTCACGAATTTCTGTAATTAAAACGTTTTTACTTTAGCTGCATATCATAATAACAAAGAATGTGATTATGATAGTTACATCGAGTCTATCAGGGCTAAAATAAGCAGAATGATCCGAAGTGCAGACGTACGTTTAGTCACTTTATTACTTTCTGCAACGCATATTCTACGTAAACTTTCGAACAACTCAAATACCACAAATTTCACTAAGTCCATATAACTTTATAACAGAAATACAGAAAGCTTACGGAAAGGAAAATGCACACGACCAGAATCCTCGGAAAAGTGCAAGCTAAGCGATGAAAGCCTCACAACAAGATAAAATCAACATCCGACATTCAAAATCAAAACACATTCATGAAAACCTCGTCTACAAGTGCATCATGTCCAAAAAGCAAGATCGAACATATCATAAAACAGGACGGGAACCCCTTAAGAAAAACCAAAGCTATTCCAAGCTTTAACGAAAATGAGATATTTTTACTGCTTGGGGCGCTTGTGCTTCTTTCCCCACCTCGGTTTTGTCTCAGGGTCGAATTCACTGCAAAACGTCGATTTCAACAGGGCACAAAAGAATACACAAACACGCCGTAAATAACAGAAAAATATTATGCTGACCTTTCTTCCGATGACGAATGCGATCGATGGTTTTCAGCCGAATAGGGCTCATCCTCTTGCTCTGGTTCACTATCGTTTTCCTCCTCCACTGTTTCCTCTTTCTTACAACCATCAGCCAGTTCCCGGTAATTCACTCTTCGGGTTCGACCCGAGCGTCGCAGACCGTCATCTAACAGCATATCGTCAACGAAGGCAGCAGGGTCCGTTTTTTCTGCAACTGGATAATCCACCTTCTCCACGGCAGTTTTGTTCCGATGTGACGCACGTTCTGCTCTTGTGGTATGCTTTGCCGGTTTCACGGTGGTATGCGATTCGGTTTTAACAGCACTGGTGTCAGTGGTTTCTCGGAAACCGTTGGTAACAGTGTCTTCATTATAGTTCACATGAGCATTACGGGCTCGGCGATTAGTTCTGGCTACAGCAGTGGGAGGGAGGCACAAAGGACAAGCCCATTCATCATCAGGTACAAACTAGAACCAACACTTTTTTGTAATCAGTATGTCCTCGCAAACCGCAATCATATATAATACACAAGATTGAAGATTCTAATAACATTTCTTTACTTTAATAAAAAACCAGTACGCTACCCTAACCTAAGATTAGGTTAAAACGCCCCTCATTTTTCTTACCTGCAAAGGGGGAATAACGCAGTTGAGGTGGTAGATTTTGCCACTGCAATGAATCACAAGATCACAAAATGCAATACGTTTGAATATAGTACAGTAACACATCACATAACAAAAAGATCTCACAGTCAGCTACAAAAGCGAACCTTAAGTGAATTTTATTCGGAACAGCTCTCACGTACCACCTATCGCAATAGACCAAGTTGGTGCTGTCTCCGCGTTTCCGACAGGCTTTGCATGAACCATTCACCGTTGACTTTTGCCAAACCACACTATGTTCGGCAATATGCAGATGGAGCGAAATCTGCGACAGTGTCGTACAGGTGCGCAGAGAAGCCTTCCAGCGGTCCAGTTGGCTCGAATCTTTGACATAATCTTCACTGATTGTAACTAATAGAAGAAACGGAGATGACGCAACTCAAGTGACTGCCAAACATAATGCACTTACCCAAAGGCGCTCCCAGAAATCGAATCCCAATCGTCTCGATCAGCTCCAAGACGCACTCTCCGATGTGTCCCACACTGTTCGAATCCGGTGATACAACAGGCACGTCGGATTCCCTGGCGCCATTATTGCCACTACTCTGTGTCTGATGGCTTTGTTCGCTCTTGCTTTCTTTGTCATCCTCCGCTTCAGACTCAGAATCGCTATCCAGGTGATCTTCTTCAGGTTTTACCGTATCCATAACGTTCGGAGATGATACTAAGCTTTCCTTCACCAAAAGATTTGATCCAGCAGCGCTGCCCGGAATTGGCTGACTTTTCTCACCAGAATTTTCGCTGTTAGTTCGCTGCTCATCCGACGGCGGCTCCCGAATTTCAGGACTAGGGACTTGCTTGCTTTCATAATGAAAATCTTTTGCAGGGTGGACAACAGGCTGAATCAATTTGTTTGCCCATTCGGTGTGAGCAGCTGGATCCTAAATACAGCAAACTTGCAGACCAAGAAGTTCACATTTCAAGTTTCAACACATCCATAGGCTCAGCTAAAAAAAAAGCTCTTAAGCTTGAAGATTGTGGATATGCGCATAAAATTTTAAAGCACTATATACTCACGAAAGGAAACAGAATTAATCGGTGTACTACTAATGGTAAATTTCATTAACCCGCAGAACCTGAGTGGGGTTTGGTGACCGCAGAACAACAAAGAACATTAGATATCGTTTCCTGTTGTCAACACAGCGAAATGCTCCTTAGGACTGTTTTTCCCATAATCTCTCTCCCATCGTTTTGCTATTTCAGTTTGAAAAATTCTAAATTTACCATTATTATGATAATTAAGTGGACCGTAACGATCCAGGCTTTGCACCCGGGTTACATAGCGTGCTGGAGTTTCCGTACAATACGGGAAAAAAAGAAATACTTAATTCTCACTCAAGTAGAAAGGACGCATTGACTACAATACATTGCTGCTCCCAGGAGCAAAAAATATAACCTGCGAGCGAGGTGGTACAAATTTAACATATTCGACATATTAACTGATCCTAAACTGCTACACGTCAACGTTTACGATTTTACATATCATGGAAACTTACAGAAATTCCACCAAAGCGATTATTCAGGAGATTCGTGTTGAGTTCTTTCAGGACCACCTGAATCTTTCTGTGTAGTTGGTTATCCCAGGAATCACTTGGCACAATCACAGGCGTTACGCGTTCACATTGCTCATGGTGTGCAGGCAGCGTTGCTACCTTCGGACCATGAAGCCAAATAGGAATTTTTGTGTCGAGCGCTCTCTTTAAAGCGACTTCCCTTTCTCCGTTAATCAGCAAATGCTTAGGCAAGGACGCAATGTCTTTGTCGTCCCGTATTATCCACCACGAAGTTGCAGTGCCAGTTGCACCGGCTTTCAGAATGGTTTCACAAATGCAGTCAGCGCTACATATGCTAATGTTTTTGTCTGGGCTGCATTCTAACAACAGCCCTTGCATGGTGGGTAAAAGCCAGTATTTGAAAAAATGCCTGTCCATTCCCACTGGTTCGATGCGGAAATTCTGACCGGCCTCGAAGACTTTCTTATGAACATTGTTCTTCTCATCCTGAACTTTGGCATCGAACTTTGCTTTCAAGTCCATAAATGCCTCCGACAGAGCGATGAAATCGCTTTCAGTAGCCAGTTTTCTTTTACGTCTGCCCTCGTCCAAAACTTTTAGGTCTTCCAGAATTTCTTCTCGGGTCCGCTCTTTCTCCGAGCGTGCCGATCTTTTTCGTGTATAGAATTCCAGGATCTGACGGAATCGATCATTTTTTTCCGCAGCTGTATCAGGATTACGTTCTTTCGCTCTGCAAACGATTCATATTAAAAGAAATCCAAAAATGTACTATAAATAATCCTAAAACGTACGCCGCCGCAATTTTGGCCTTTGTGATCCTGCTGACATCATCTGCCATTTTTTTCATCCCTTTCAGACTAGTCTCAGCTTCTTCCACACTAGAGCTAGCTTTCTCAACTTTTTCCCGCACATTGCCCGATTCCATCACAGACTGAATGATCAGAACCAAAAGTTCCAGTCGTTGTGCTGCAATATCAGCACAATTGTAAAAATCTTTCTACGACAAATTCGCGATGACATACCGAAAGACAGCGCAAAAACAGATTTCGATAAAATTATCCGATACATTTCCACACCCGCAGGCGTCTTCAGATGTCGCAGGATAACGCCGTCGTATTTCAGATCACCATGAGACACGGTAACGGGGATGGTTGCCACCAGCAAACACATTCGAATAATTTCCGATACGGTGCTAGCTGTTACCGGGAGATTATAAAAGTGGGTACCTAGAAGCCAGAAGCAGGGAACCCGTAATTTTCAGCAAGACAGCTGATTCCTACACTGGAATTTACCTATACGACTATCCGTAAGACGTAGAATTTTCATTCCGCTATTTTGCCATCCGTTTGAATATACAGGAATCTGCGCTTCTGTGGCATTGTTAGGAACCGCAGGAGCACAAACAATCAACGCCTTGGCACAAAAGGTCAACAAGGTTGCAAAATCTCCGTCGACCAAGGTGGACGATAAAGCCACGTGTAGTCTATCCAGATCTAAAAAATCCACAAAAATTCAATTTCTCAACTCATACAAACGCTTCAGAAAGACTACGATAGTTTGGTGACGGAATCTGCGGAGATCTTAATGAAAAACGTTCCCTGGTTAATGTTTCTATGTTACTACTCTATAATAAATTAATAACAATAAGATCAATGGCACCATACTTGTTTTTTCTCTAGAAACTGATTCTTACGCGACTGCTTCACCAGAGCCGAGCTATGCGATCAGCTCTGGCTAATCATTTCTGCATCCACTATTCGGAAACAATAAATTCGTACACCAAAATTACAAAAAAGTAGGATTTCCGTCTGCTGCATTTTCACCGCAGCAAATTAATCCAACGCTATATTGAGTAACAGAATTTAAGAGCTCAATTACCGCGGTTGCCGTAATCACAATAAGCCTGCTGCTACCGGCGGCAGCCTACCCCTTGAAATCTGTTCGCGCTGCATTTGAAATTCACTAAACTGAGATACATACAAGGGAAACACGAACGGGAATAATTTATGCCGCTAATTACCAGCGTACTATTCGAGCCCTTTTTACAGTCCTACGTTCCCAGCAAAACTACGTACCCCAAACGCTGGAATTAATCAGCTGATTGCTCTTGTCGAACACCGGACCAAATATCCTGAAGAACTCTAGGACAAACAGTCCATCACCCACGAATTCATCGGGGAGCAGGGTATCCAGGCGCAACGCAGTCACGGGGATCGGCTAAAAATCACCATTTATTGCACAAACTGACCACTCAACACATAAATATCTTACCTTTAATCCACTGCACTCCAAGTCTTCACCCACGGAGAACACTTGTGCCCACACATTGCTCAAACGCTCCTTGTCCATCTTCATCTTCTCCCTCCACTAAAATACACACTCCGATCCTAACATAATCACTAAAGCCCGCTTAAAAGACATACCCGCTTTTTGTATTCTTGCTGTTTCAGTTTGCGCTGCTCTTGGGTCGCTGCCTTGTCAGCTGAGGATGACCTTCCTGCCATGAGCCCATCGTGCTTCGAAGTCGATGCTTTGGACTTCTTGGAATGTGAATAATGATTGCCAATGTTTTTCTCATCATCTGCAATGGAAATGGGTGGAGTTAGAAGGAAACCTGTGGTCAGTTTCGTAAGAAGTTCGTACCGTCATGCTTTCGTTTGCCTTCTCCGCTGTGGCCAGGTTCGCCGCCCTTCCGATGCAATTCCACAGCACAACTCTTCTTTTTCTCTTCTTTTTTGGATTTAACACGTTCCCAGAACGCCTTATCCTGTTTATCCTGCCGGGGGAAGTGCTTTCTGGGTTTAGGTGGAACGCTGAAGTGTGGCTCCGGTCCCGTGAACATGTCCCACCACGATAAAGCATTCAAGTCGAAATAATCGATCGTTTTGTACTAAATCACGCAAACAACTTTGGAAAATATGACTTTCTAAAAAACCATAAATATTGTTACCTTTAATGACCATATAGAATCAGATTTCGTTGGTTCTTTGCATTTACAATATTGCAGAATACACTGTTTCACCATGCTGCGGGAGTGCGTTCCTGGTGGTCGTCTACAGATACGTGAATGTTAGCACATACGATACGCTGCATGTGCTCAACTTCAAGGGCTGGCCTGCACTCATACAGCCCAGCGCATCTGTAGTATACGAACAAGTAGAAGTACATCATCTCAGTTGCTTATACGTACAGAGCATTACACTGCATACATGCTGAATCAGCGTCCGCCTACAAAGCGTACAACGTTTAAAACAGCCACGCCCTCGATGTTATCTAATAACGGCAACGGTACGAACGGCATTCAAAGACTGAACCGGCGTGCCGAGTTCCTGCCGCCATATTGAATTTTTGCTCTCGCTACGAAACCGTACATTCATGACGAGAGGAAAGACGTCACAGCGCACGACAGACGAGTCAATAGGCTCAAAAATAAAAATTATTGTACAAAATGGACTATTTTCGATCGCAGTTTTCCGCAAATATTATAATCTTAAGCCACAGTAATTAACTAAGCAAAAAACTGAAGAAAATTTTCTGACTCACAAGATGGTGCTCAAAGAATCAGTTACAGATTCGAACGCTAAATTACCGGAAATGCTGTTTTTGAACTCGTAAGGAATGACCACAGAATAAAGTACGAAACCAAGTGGAAAATTACCTCACAAATTACAATGGACTTTACAGCATATAAAACTCCCTTGCAGAAAAGCCCCTGCGAACAATTTGTAACACAACCAAAATTTTAAAACGACCAGGTTAAAGGAAACGACTTTAAACAATACGAAGCGCGTGACGGAAGTTGACCCTCCAGCCGTAGAAGCCCGAAAATTTCAGAAAATAAGGGATAAACCAGTCATCCAAACTTTGGTCAAAATGCTTTCTGAAATGGCCAAGGCTGACATCTCTATCCAAGCACGGCTTCTGGGTGTTAGTGCCAAGGACAACGTAGCATGGCTGGATGCACTACCAGCTGCATCCCTGGGAAATCTCCTGAACGATTCTGCATTAAGAATTGATGTTGGCCTGCGTCTTGGAACACCAATCGTTACTCCGCACTGATGCAATTGCAGTGAATGGTGGACGCACGAGGCTGTAAGAAAAGTCGGGGTCGGAAGTCCAGACACAGCAGCTTAAACGCCACGCTTAAGCGAGCCTTCGCTTCAGACACAATTGAAACTGAACTCGAGCCTTTGGGTATATCGCGAACCAATAGCAAACGCCCTGACGGAGTCACCTTAGTGCCTTGGGAACGAGGCAAAATGTTGACATGGGATGTGATATGTGGGTGTACGATGGCCCTATCACATATCGCAGCAACATCCACGCAAGCCGGCGCAGCAGCGGCACAAGCCGAACGGAAAAATCGGGAAGTACCAGAACATCACGCAGGACTATCTGTTCCGTGCGGTAGGCGTTGAGACATTGGGACCACTCGGACCTGGCGCCTCCCAGCTAATCAGTGAAGTGGGCAAGATGATTCGTCAGGAAAGAGGCGAGAAACGTGCAAGGGAATATCTGCGTCAGAGATTCAGCATCGAAATCCAACGTGGAAATGCGGCATCCATCCTGGAAACGGCACCAGCCTCGGCTAATTTAGATCAAATGCTCTCTGTGATTCGGCCGCATGTTTCCGCGAGGTGTTAAATGCATAATGTAATGTCTCTTTTGTATCTGTCAGATTGGTCAGTTTCTGTATTGGCACGTTTAACGAATAAAAAACAATACGAACGACTACGGCTAACATCAGACTTCGTAAACATAAAACGGACCCAAAAGCAGTAACTATAAAATCGGCAATTCCTGCATTATCAGCTTAACGTCTACGGTAAACTGGGAGAGAACCGAAAAATGTTAAAGCTACCTGAGTTGTTACAAAATGCACAAGATAACCAAAGCTGCTTAGTACAGCAAAATACAAGTACCTGAATCAGTTGTTCGATGTATCGGACTGTCCGACCTTTTCTTATGCAATTAATAACTAGTCGATCTACACTTCAACTTGAGCGGGCGACAGCGTAAATTTTTTTTAAATGGATAATAAAACCCAATACATACAACCGAAGATCTGCCCGGCAATCCAGATTTCTTTAAACAAAGTATCCGCGTCCATTAAAATAGTATGAAATCGAAGTATGCTAGATATAATTATCGATACAACGATTACTTCCACTGCTTAAAGGAGCGAGTCACCGCACCTCCACATTAACTGACATGGTGAGGTTAAAATTGCCATTGCAAGCAATCTGACCAAAATTAATCGAACAAACATCAGCTTACACAGCTACGTCAGGGCCAATCTCACAATGAAAGTTAGAGGAGCCGTTGGAACAGAATCGAACGATATCAATTCTTCGTTGAAGACCCTTTATGCTGGCAAAACCTTTGAAGAAATCTGGCAGGTATGCCAAAACTTCAACAAAAGCTAACAGATCCAACAGGAGTGTATTTTTTATTACGCAATAAAGGACACTTAGAACAGGTAAGACAGCATTCTGCCGCAGTCAGGGGTTAGTAAGAAATCCAGAAAAAGCATTGAGTAAGCAGATATGCGACTCGCTCCACAAGCATTCCACGATAAATTGCCAATGTGAAGCAGACTCGCAAGCACCCAGATAACGCTCTTGATCCCATTGAAATCGTGGACTCCACCCAGACAAAGATTTTATTACTCGAACAACCGCACTGACGTCACCAAACAAACCAAATTTGAAAGCGCGTTTTATGTATCTCAAAAAGAGATGTTCAGCAGCCTACACTGCCGGTTGCAACGATCAAAGAAAAACAGCTAAAGGTCAACGAAAACCACCGACTATTGTGAAACGACCTTGGACCAAATACTGTATTTATCCCGCGAAATGAAATACATAAAGCCGACAAGAGGCCGAAACCTTGTCAATATGGCGCTCCGTCTGTGAGGGACGATATTTATTCACCATAAACATCGCGACAGATAGCTTCCTCAACGACAAATACACTCGGTCTCCGTTGGCAATCAGTTCATCTGGATACATAATGTACCGTATATCCAACACAAGAAAGCGGATCAAGACTCAGCAGAACGAATAAGTCGGCACATTGCACCAGGCTCAAGTGCCTCTATCTGTGCCCCTACTGGATTTGACTGAATAGTGCTAATTCACAGAACCTACTGACCGACAATTCGCTTTTAGACGATTCTGCTGCGACTCAATTTTCATGTTGACCGACATCTTGCTTGCCGGTCTGGATTCGAGGTATCTTCGCTTTCTTGGCTTTTTCTACTGAGTTTCTTAGCTTTCTTGGCGTTTCATTATTGACTTTGCTTGGTTCTCCAGTGGATCTTATATTAGTTGTTGTCGCATGTTTTCTAAAGCTAAATGTCTTCTTCGGTTTTCATATTTTCTGACGGTATCCTTTTACATTAGGTATGTTATTCCCCAATTACTTCCAGGTTTCCTTACGGTTTTCTATGTTTTTTCCTGTTTTCTTATTGCAGCAGATTGTCGTCAGCAAAATATCGGGATTCACCAAACTGTCGTTCAGCAGCTTGTCGGTCATTCAATTTGTCGCTTAAAAAACTGCCAGTCAGCAGAATGTCATCAACCGTTTGTCCGTAAGCAAGATAGCACATCGCTGTGCTGTCTATGGTGCGGCCAAATACGATTCACAAACTCCAGTGCAGTATCGGTCGGACCCAGTGAGTTTGCATCTACGGGGGTTTTCGCGCGCAAATATGTGGAACTGTTTGGGATTGAGCCAATGTTTCCTTAACAATCTTCTCGAATCGATGAAAACAAGAAAACCAACGGCACAAAAAGCCTAGATGCTGTGCTATTCACAAAAAAAGGACAATCAACGACTCCCAACGCCATAATTAATATCATGCAAAACTGCTCATGTACCCAATCCTGGTTCACTTCGGTCATGCAGTTGCTCGCAAAAAGCGAGTGCACTTTTCAAGTTAGACCTTTACACAGGATTTACTGCGTGGAACATTCTCTGGGTGTCTGCACGAAACCGGCATGGTCATGGGTGACCTAGGCTTTGTCTGGTTTCATCAGGTTTTACGCATACTTGAACACGCTTGAACAGTTTGTAAAGGTCAGGAACGTCGATCAAGATTGGTTACTGCCGGGCTGCGACATTTACACAGTCTACGCTCATTGGCTAGTGGAAAGTCATCATACAATATAAAATAAGCCAATGGTCGTATTTGTAATCGCTAAAGAGAGTATACAGTCTGCATCAGCTGAGCGCGAGTACAATCCGCAATTCCCTTAATGATTTTATGGGGTAGCCGTAATACCCACCCACGACTGGCAGATTTGCGTACAAAGATAACAATCATGATAGTAATGATTGTTAATTTTATTAATGATCATAGTGTTAATGATTGTTATTTGTAAATCTCTAGCTTATGACTTTTGCTGATTATGTACGAATTTTAAGGCGAAATTGCTTATTTACAAACTCAATACTAAGGCTACACTCACACTAATGTCTCATACCGTATGACTGTCATTGTACGAGTAGTCAAAGATCGAAATACTAGTACTGTACTTTTTTTTATTAATTTCTGATGTATCGAAAAGTTGAACATTAAAGAGTGGGCCCGCGAACTCAACGTTACGTAGTGGTTACTGCCTATGAAATTGTTACAACTTGCATCAAGACGACTTTCATTTTCCAGGAACAATAATAAGTCTCAGCTGCTCACCTCCTAATACTACGAGTACATACTCGTACCAATGCTATGCAATCCTTGTAATAACTGGTCCACATTTACACAAAGCTATAAACAAATACACTAACATGAGAATAAATAAAAATTTCAAATAATAGTTAAATCTAACGGGTAAAAATGATCGTATTATAATCACTTTTAACTTTATTATAAATAATCACTTTATAATCACTAATGAAAACACTTCATTATCACTTTATAATCACTTTTAAATTTATTTTGCGAATGTGGGATTAACGGCTACGCATTTTATGTATGTCATATCACTAATTAAGTAATATTAGTAATATCTGCTTTTCAAACGGAAGCATGGTAAACGTATCGTACAGGCAAAGGCCGAAAACACTTACAAACCGAAAGAACCTACGATTAGTTTGCAATTCGCCCGGCAGTGATGCTGTACTCTGTAGTAGTCTGTTCAGTGGACATTGCGCGCTTACAAAGTATGGGTAAAACAACAGATCAAGCAATTTGAAACTGTTCGGCATTGTAACTGAATAATTCAAACGATTTTAATATCAGATGTTTTTTAAACAGCTCCAGGCATTTGACGGATCACAAATTATCGAATTTTTCACTGACCTGAAACTCACCGTATATCCACACAGCGAATTCTTTTCAACGATTCTGGTGTTGTGACTGTACGCTCTAGTAGTCCAATTTCGTATATAAAATACTGCGGCAAGTACCTGCAAACAGTAGAAATCTACAATAAGGAAATATGGCAAAAACAACAGCCAAAAGGTAAAATATGTGGTGTAAAAATTAACACATTCCAATATATTTCCACAGACAGGAAATTTGTTAATAATACTTTTACACATTTCTACGAGTACCTTCCCAAAAACCTTCCCAAAAGGGTAGAAGCCAACATTCATAATTTCAGACAAACGGACTATTTGACGATTTTACCTGGTGCCATCTACCACGGCTCCCGATTTAAGGACGAAATCGTGCTGGACATCGATAACTGTTCCCGATTTCCTAAAAATATAACATTTCTGTCGACAGATAATACAATAATCTAAAATATCTATTTACGTATGCCGCGGATGTTGGAGACTTTTTCGCTCCACACTCAACTCAGATTAAGTACACAATGTCCACAGCAGATACCCCACACTCACAATCAAGGCGTACATTCCAACTTACCACTCATTTCGATGAAAAACCATAACCTTTTCGTTCTTCAAAAACCGACACTCCAGGTATTCGTACAGCGTATTCACTAGTCTGGAGAGCGAACGCATGGGGGTGATCGGGACCAGGAACAGAGTAGCCAGTTCCACGTGGAAATCCAGTCCGCTGCGGTACTCTTCCACATCGATTTTTGGCAGCGTTCGCTCGTGCCATGTGACTGTGGTATTGATCCCGGCCGTGTCATCCTTTGACTTTGGCTTGGCATTGCGAAGAAACCTCTCTTGTACGATAGATTCAAAAAAAGACCTACGGGAAATGCAAACCAACTGATGTTAACGATAAATGTTTCGGTTTAATATAATATTTCAACAAAGAACAGACACAGAACATCGTACTCGTATGTTGAAAAGTATTCTCCCGTCGAGGCCTGCTGGAAAAGGTTGGTGCTGGGATGCCTGATATCCTCGGGAATCAATTTGGAAGCCACCATTTTTGGGGACGAATATAGTCGCGGGTCGAAGGTTTTGAATTACAAATCATTGGATAAAATATCATGAGTGCATTTAGAGAACCGATAGCAGGTCGTACATGTCACATGTGAGGAACAGTTGCTGCGGGAACTTTGAATTAACGGGTTCTCGATATGCGGGTTGAAATACAATCAAAAAGCCAGACGGCATATCAAGCAGAGAGCGCCGCGTGCTCCGTCGATTGAGCGAGTGCGCACTGCGAGAGAGGTGGCGTGCCTCCAGCCTACCAAGCAGTTTGTTCGCAGCCAAATTTCTTGAGCTGCCCTGCAACAAACCAATATGGCTGACTTGATTCCACAGAAACTGCATGGCGCTAGGTGCAACCACTATAATACAATAATAAGTACAGGACAATTATCCGAAACAATAATCAATAATTTCGATAAATTTCAAATTTATTAAAATATACACTGGCATTCTACAACCGTTCAATAGACTTTTTTAGCTTGCAGGCGAAAACTTCGTGACAAAATTATCTGCTGTACTAACATTCAACGTAGCTGTCTGTAGCGTAGATGTACTCTACTTAGTACTCGTACAGAATTTTAACAGAAGGGGCCAGACTGCCAGATTGGTTTTTGTAAGGGGCCATCCATAAATTACGTAACGCCAAAATTCACGGCTTTTGATACTCCCCTCCCCCTGTGTCACCAATGCTAACAAAACTGAGATTCCCTCCCCTAAGCGTTACGTAATAAAATCACAACCGTCCATAAGCTATACCATTGTGACGTCATAATTATAACAAAACGTAACAAATTTTTTAAGGCCCCCCCTTTGTCATAAATCGTACGTTTCAAAGACTCCCCTCTCCCCCTATTTGCGTTACGTAATCTATGGATGGTCCCTAAGTACAGTACTTGTACGGAAACTGGCGCGATACAACAGGTTTTCCAAGTTTTCCAGTTTCTACAGCATTAATTATTAAGTTTTAGGTTTCCTGTGTTTGGATTTGGATGACGATTCAAAATTAAAAATAACCCGAATAAACAAACAAATAGGCAACAAAACATTAACTTCTATAACGACTATAAGCAATTGCTAATTCGCTATGTTGTAAACTTGTAATGTAACTGTATTAATATAATCGCTTAAAAATTACTTAATGTAAAGTTTTTGGAGATGGGAGATGAATAATCGAATAAATAAAAAAATTTACTAAAAATTTTAGTGTACAAGTAGTACGGTATCCGCGCGAGTTTAAGGGACAGAAAAAGTAAGTAATAAAACGAAACGGTACTGGTAAGTGGTAACTGTAAGAACTTAAAAATTTTACAATAGTGCATTAGCGCTGCAACTTGTATGTGTACAAATCACGCATACATACATACAACTAAGACGTTTTCGCAATTGCCATTGGCTGGCCCGGCCTACTTTTGCCTACTTGTATAGATGTATGCGTGATTTGTACACATACAAGTAAGAAACGCACATGCACTAATTATTTCTCATGTGAGTATGCATGAACCACGAAGTCCTCAGCACTCAGCACTAGTGCCGTATTTACTACTAAATTACTAATCTACTATTTAGAGCATACATTGCTCCAGTCTTAAATCTCAATCAATTATTGAACAAAACTGCCACTATCTTACAGTTAATTATCAATTATAATTTATCTGCCTTACTTGCCGCTTGCATGTACCAGTACTAGTAAGTACTGCACCTTGTATTGTAGATCCGCAGTCCGCGATTACGTAGACCCTAGACAAGGGAAATAGACAGTGAGACAAACAGACCCAGGCACAGCGAGAACAGCGATTTCCGTTTAAATTTGCGTACTGTATCCTGTTTAAAAATGCACTAGTAACAATTCTAGATTATTTTAAAAATTATAAGAATAAAGAAGTCGAGAAAAAAAGATTACTGACTGATTTGCTCCGTCAATGGCAGCCGTTGTGTTGGCGTTTCTTCTTGACACGACTGCCACCCAGGCCGATCGCCCAACCGCACACCAGAGCTAAACAGGGAACAAAACAGTCCATTACTTATTTGCAGAGAAAATAGAACAAATACTGTACTGCCGCAAAGAATTCCCTGTTGCCGCCGACCATTCCCGGAGGAGCGTTACGTGTAAGTATAAAAAATCAACGTGACCGTAAACTCGTTGCGTCCGTGACTTCGTAGTCTTTATAATACTAGGGTAATTTTGTGGCCTGCTTCCAGCTTCCAATGTTTTTGGTAAGTAACTTTTAAATAATCATAAATGTGATAAATTTTACTTTTTTCCTTTCCTTTTGAAATTATTTTGCAGCTTTTCTCACTTTTCTATTGCTTTATTGTCTGGTGGTTATATGCTACCAGATAACATTTTGGGCTACTGGGCTTATGATTTGTGAAGTGAACGTGAAGCAGCAACATGGTGAATCTGGAGGAGGCTGATTTCGCAGTCCTTGGGGACTCCATTGACTTGAACCAGGTAAATTGACAATACACCTAAAAGCTAGAAATCAGAAATAGATGAGCTTAAAAAGTAAACGGAGGTAGGCTAGGTAGCGAGAATTAAGCGACATTTCAAACAAGGCATCCTTTCCATAGGTGCCCGCGCTTCCTTTAAATGAAACCGTTGGCTACGTGAAACAGGCTGCGACCATTATTGTTCAACATTTGAACCACTTTGCCCAAACCGCTGACGAAAAATTACGCCAAATGTCCGCTAATATATCGCGCCTGGAGACAGAGCTGACCATTCTAGAGGCAAAGGTAAGACGGCTTGGTGCACTATATGAATGCAGTATCTGTATCGGTACTGTATGTGTACTATGCACTTAAAAATTAGCAGCGCTGATTGCAGCTGGCATCCGTTCCTGGGCTTTCTTCCATTAAGGCGTCCGAGCCTAATACACCGGGAGGGATGCCAGTCCCAGCATCTGCAGCACACGAAGTTCCAGCATCTGTGCCTGCGGAAGCCATGAAACCGACTCCTTCACCGGTTCCCGCTGATACGGTATGCCAACTTTAACGAATTCTCTGATTGAGTGATTGTCACTTGTGCTTTCCTACTCTTTACCACAAACCGACAAAGTCGCTGTAATCATTTTGCGTATCTTCACTACTGTTTTCTTTTTGAGAACGCATGCTCATGTCACCGTTAAACTTAAAATTTTGACTTTTTTATATCAAATTATACGACATATGTGTTCGTAAAATGTGAAGTCAAGTTGTTGCAACAATGTTTATGTTACGCTGTTACAGTCTTCACCTGCGACGTCAGCCACTCCAGTTCCAGATGGTGTCAGCTCTCAACCAGTCGCAGCCGCAGAGGAAACTTCGCAAAACGTCTTGACAGTCCAAAAAGATCCCATCTACGCCAAATATTTCCGCATGGTGCAAGTGGTACGATTCCAAGTACAATCTTGATCCAACCGTTTTGTGAAAAGAAGCGCGTATTTATGTTTTAACTGCGCGGATCAAATGCGTTTCACTGCATTCCATTTTCTGCATTCCCGCTTGCGAAATTTAAGCATTCGTTTTTGCTTAATTTTGCTACATGAATGTGTTTCCTTCAAGGGCGTAATATAGGGGGGTGCCAACCGGCAGTTTTTTGGAAGTTGATTCTCCTTTGGAAATACGGTTTTGCCGGTTGTATCCATGTGAACGACAACCGTGTTGTGCCTTGATAGGGTGTGCCGGCGCAAGCAGTGAAGTTGAAGATGGCCGCGGAAGGCCTGAATCCCGCTTTGCTGGACACACCGAATGCTCCGTCGCCCGGTGGCCCGGCGCCGTCCGGCGGACAGGATGCAAGCGACAGCGGGTCCGAATCCGAAGAAGACGAATAATGTCCAGTAATGGCTTTTTCTGTGATATCCGGTGTGATTTTTATGGTACGTTTTATCTGTGCATTCGAATTTGGTTTTGATTAGTCGACTGTAGATTGCATTTGACTCCATTTTTACTGTAGGAATTTTTTGAAAACGTGATCTGTGGCCTTGAGTCCTTGACTAATAATTGTTTATGTGTATCAGTTTTGCTTTACGTGATCGACTACAAACAACAAGCCGGTACCCCTCTTTTGGCGTTTTCGACATTTTTAGCTTGTTAATCGTGGATTGGCGCAATAGAATGATTCGATTTGTTCACAATATGTCAATTTTTACTCGTACTGTCATACACACTGTTACAATATACGGGTAATAAACGCAGAAACTGCATTCTGAAACTTTTTCTTCTTGTTCTTTTTGAACGATTAATTTCTTGAAATATCGACTGCCGCGGTGAATAACAACGAGTGATTGTTTACTTCCCGTCGTTTTTTGAATTTGTAAGCGTTCCATAAGATTGCCTCTCTTTTAGATGCGACATTAATGGCGGCATTCGAGCAGTTTCAGTGTTTGTTCGAAAAGATTTTATGAGCATAAGATTTGGTCTTCGAGAGTTTTATGGCAAATTCTCACGGTCGCCAATTTCCTGCGTAATTTTAAGGCTAAGGCTAACTGAAATGTGAAGATAATAATAATGTTTCCCTTAATTTTTTTTGTGTTTGCTGAACTTGTAGCGGTATCTGCCAAGGGTGTACACCCAAAAATATAACCAGCCGGTTGGTTGGCCTACATTTTTCCGCCGCTCATTGCGATCTCTCAGTTTACTCTTTGCATGCCGTGCATATGGATGCTGTGTGTTGTTCGGTATTTATTCACAAGAGTATGATTTCTCATGTCACTCTGAATGAAATCGATACCGATTCTGCAGCTGAAAAGCTGTGCGTGAAATTTAAATCATAAAAATTCAGTGTTAGGGGAAAACATGCTTACTGAACAACGAAAAAATTAAAGGTTAACGGAATTATTGAATTTACAGTAATTTAGACTTCAAAGACTCTCTAATTTAATCGAACCTGACCAAGATTTGACTAATAAATTTTTAAGACAAGCAGAACCGCTTAAATGGCTGAACTTACCATAAGGTCTATCGTATTAACTAATCATACTGTAGTAGTATGATCAGTTGAGATATTACTAAATTGCTGGTTTCGAATAATTTTCAAATGCAGGCTGCAGGTTTGCGCTCGATTTGGTGACGTGCTTTGATTCCGCTGGACTGACATCACCACAAAAATGAAATACCGCTTCGTTGTAGGCGTTGAGTTTAATATGTTAGAAATATAACTGACAAAATAGATTTTCCGAAACGTAGAAATAGATAAAAGTATCGATAGTCGATTTGGAAATTTTCGAACATTGTTCCAGATTGCCGTGCGTTTTCAGGTTTCGTTGAATTGCTGTTGTGAGTACGAAGTGTTGATGGAACTATAGCTAATAATATATGGCTAATATCGCGTATAATAGCTGGAAGTGTTTCAACCAGAAATGTGCCGATTCAATCGAAATGGAATGCTTGGATATTATTCCCAAATGGTGTGTCCCAGTTGTCGGGGCAGTGGAGGTATTGTGAGCAGGGTCAGAACCGGTGACAGTTGGCCAGCTGTTTCAGCTCCGACGGGCTGATCGCTCTTCCGGTCACAGACGTCCGCATATATGCCGATATATGCGCACACATTGTGGATCATGGATAGCCCTGTGGAAATTCCACATTGATATTGGCTGTGCATTAATGTATCCAGCTCGGACATGATTCATTCCTGGATTGGTTTTGATTATGTTCAACCTCATAATTGAACTCGCGCACTGCATGGTGCATACTTTGGTCAGCGGCGTATGGGCGTAGCATTGGCCGTGGAATCTGTATTATTGTATGATTCAAATTGCTGTCCAACTGTCATTGCCGCGACTGCACTACATTTGCCTCACTGCTCCGTCATCGATGTGTATCTTTGCATTTATCATATTCACTCCCATCTGCGCAAATCTGTTTTCGTTTTGGTTGCAAAAATGTACTTATGCAGTTAAAATTATTTGCCGGTTATGTTTGTTATTTTTTAACGTGCCGGTTCAATTTGGTATTTCCGTAATCAGTTTGTATAAATCTTATGTGTGCTGGTTGTTTTTATCATTTTGACAGAAATTTTTGTTGCTACAGTTTGCTACCACCACTAGCTTATTGCAGTGTATGCATAAATTAATGTTTGAAGTTGAGTCATTTTTGGTTTCGATTTTCACTTACCCATTAGTTCAGCCCGTGTGCGCGCTTAATATTTTACTGAATAATTCTGTTAGAAGAGTGGACTCGGAATTTAGTGGCAGACCGGAACTGAATTATATGCGCCCGTTGTTTTTCGGACTAATGCTTCCCCGAACCATTTCGGCAGTTTTGTGACCTGCATTTTTCTCGGTGAACAGTCACAGTCGTGTTTAGTTAGCGTTTATAATTCCGCGTACTGCACAGTGATTTCGATTGTATATGTGTACAACATTTAATCGATTCGTGTTGGAAAAGTTTTTTATTTGCTGCACTCCTGGAGTGCCTCTCATCCTGCGCATCATCTATCTCCGCATCGAACGCGATCACGTAATTGTCCCACTAGTGTCAGCGGGATGACCGAATTTTGCGACTGCGCTTGACACATATGCGCATTACTCACTGCAGCTAAATGCTCACAATAATTTTTAACGATATGTACCAGTAGAAATACACTTTGTACAGGATATACGCGCGCGCCGGTATTGTGCCTGGGCCAGCCTGGCCATATATATAATGATCTGTTGTGATTTTTTATTTATTTGTTCAGGATTTGACAGCCCGTTTCATAATGTTTTTAATGCACATGTTTTTCCTCATGGATTTATGCGCCTACACCATTTCCGCACTGGCGCTCATCATGATCAGGCCCTAATCTAGATCGCGAGAGCAATTTTCACCGTAAAATGCGATAACTGTTGCGAGTTACGCATGGCTGGCAGAAAGACATTTATCACCTACCTGCAGCTGCAACCGCACTGATATGTACTCCAACTATAAATGCTACCTGATGTTGACGGCCATTTTGCTCAGCAAGAAAAGAGTTTTTGTGTGTGCCATTTTTTTGCGTATATTTATCATGAAAATATCGTCGGCGGCCCTTTAGCATATGCACTGCTCTGACATAATCAAACTAATTTATGTTCATTATTAGCGCTGAGCTGCCAGTCTTCGTATTGAATATAAAACGATGAGCGTCGGGGGGACGGTCTGAGCATTCTGTGTGGACAATTTGTTCATACCGTCAGGCCATTGTTGAGCGGTACTTGACGGTTAGTACAAAAACGACACCATGACCTCCTGCAACGCCGACAACAATAACGCTGATTGTCCGCGTACACTCAGCGAAGCACTGGCGTTCTTCTTGTCACGATCTTCTCCATCGACGAATACTATACTTAACAGTGAGCCGCCGTCACCGCGACCGGCAGTGTGTAGAAATCGAGAGTCGCGGATCTTTCAGCAGATTCAGCTTTTTGAGAATAACCTTCGCCACGCTCATGTGCAGAAGGCCGTGCCGGATCCGCCAGCATCATCGGAATATTCTTCGTGCCCCCAGCCGGCGCCGCTGCATCAGGATAATCCCAACGTTAACCGTAACGACCAATCAATGAACATGCTTAACCCCAATGAACCCTTCTATGTCAATCTGCAAGACGCTCCACCGGAAGCCGTCCTCTTGCGGCGCGCCCGCGACACTAATGTTATTAAACGGAAACCGATGCCTAACCCGCGGTTATCGGTGCAGCTTCTCAGTCCCCGCCAAGAATGCCCGGAAGTACGCGTACCGGAAGTGCCGCTGGTCATTTCACCGCGGCGTCGCTCCACGGATACCCCACGCCGTGCTCCGCCTCCGGTGCCCCCTCCGCCGCCGCCGACCAATCGGCGCTCATCCGTCATTCCGGAATTGGCGCCGCTGACGTTACCGGCACTGCGCAATTCGCAGCATGCCGATGCGCACCACCACGCGCGTCGCCATAGCACCCTCCCGGGCGGCATTCGCCTGGCGCTGAGCCCGACCAGTCCGGTTAGTGGCCTGAAATCGCCGTACGGAGCGCCGAAATTCATGAACGAATATTCGCATCCCACACAGCGTCCGTTACCCGAAACACCGAAAGAATCGGCGGAAGACGATAATTACAATGATTCCTGTGGTGATCCGGTGTATCAGGAGATTGCTTGTGAAAATCCGAACGATACAACTCGCAACGGCTTGGAAAATGTTGTGCCGTTGAGTTTACCGTGCGCTGCACCGCCACATCAGAAGAAGAACAAATGCGGCCGGAAATTTACGAAAAACTTCCATTCGCTACGCGGACTACCGGTGGAATTCGACGCGGACGCCGGCCGCAGTAAACCGCGCGCCTCGTCATTTACCACGGCCGACTTAGTGCAGTTTCCACCGGCGCATTCCTCGCGCTCCCATTCCACCGGCTGCTCGTCCATTTTGTCGCTGACGGAATCGGATTCGGGCGTTTCTCTGGAAGTGGACTCGAACCGCGACGACTCCAGTTTATTGTATGGACGGTACGGTGTGTCCCTGTCCAGCGGGGAATTTCAGAGCGTAGTGGAGAAAGTGAAAGGCTTTCAGAATCGCTCGGAGAGTCTGAACAGTAAGTCATCGACGCATTTGTAATTGTCTTGCTGATTGACGTTGTGATTAATTACACACAAACACAACGAGACGGCCTGGTGCGGAGGCTATTAATGAAATGGAAAACGTATTAATCTGTTATTAATTTAATAGACGATGCCCGGGTTAAAAACAGCCCCAAGCAACCGCATCACGACAGAAATCGTCGGCACACTCTGCCGGTAACGACGACGGCAACCGTATTAGGTACGGCCGCTGGGATGTAAACAGCGCATTGTTGCCACTGCACTCTGTGTGTACAACACGGGCAGTTAGCCCAGTTAGTGTTTTTGTTACATTTTTCTTCGATATATCATTTACACCCGATAACGTCTGTCAATTTAACGGCGTTCTAAATAGCCGGCATTTTCTCCGCAGATGAGGGTGAAAATGATGCGGAACACAGCATGGACATGATTAGTGAGATCGCTCATTATCCGTCGCGCGGTTTATGGTGTCAACAGCCGAGCGTGGTGCGTAGCGGGATACTGGAGCGGTTGTCGGAAGAGGAGCGCAAACTGCAGGAAGCCACGTATGAGATCATTTGTTCGGAAGCCTCCCACCTGCGCAGCCTGAACATTCTCATTAACGTCTTTAAAAACGCCCCGGAACTGAACGCGATAAGTGACAAACTGAGTCCCGGTGAAATGCCGTTGGCGGTGTTGTCGGCGCAGGAAGAGCGCAATCTCTTCCTCAACATCACCGACATCCGCCGCATTAGTGCGCATCTCCTGCAACGCCTCCACAAACGGTGGGTGGAGCATCGCAACAACACCGGTCTGGTCACGCTGCCGGATTTCAGCGATATTCTCGAGGATTTCGCTACCGGCGAATTTAAACCCTACGTCAATTACTGCTCTAATCAGCTGTTCCAAGATCGGACGCTGAAGAATTTAAAAGAACGCCGTCGCTTTGTGGACATTGTCAAGCGCTTGGAGGCGCATCCGGCGTGCGAACTGCTCGATTTTCGATCGTATTTGATGCTGCCCATGCAGCGCATCACCCGCTTGCCGCTGCTGTTGTCCGCCGTTATGAAACGGCTCAACAGTGCATCAAGCGAGTTTAGTAAATACGGCAACGCCTTGGCTGCGGTGAACAAGGTAAGGTGTAATTAGCGGGGCAGCATTGTAGCGTTTTTTTGTCACTATACAGCGTTATTTTGTATGTTGGCTAGGTTGTGAAAGACTGCGATGAAGGGGCAAAAAGATGCGCTTGCATTGAGGAATTATGCCGAATTGATGCGATGCTGTTATTTGACGTATCATTAAAGGTATCGGCTGGGAGAGTATAATAAATGTTACGATACCGGCAATTAAAATCCGCAACGCCGTGGTCATTGTTTGCCCGTAGATTTACGAGAAGAATTAAGTCGATCAGCGAACATGGCTTTTTTATGCTTCGGATTGAAATGCTACTTCATTTTCTTCGTAGAAAATTCCCATCATTTCCGCATCGCGGTCGCTGGTCAAACGGGGTACCGTCGATATGATTCAGATTGAGCACAAAATTTTACCGCGCCGTACATTCCATAAAAAGTTAGTACGGAATTCGGTTTCAGTCAGGCATGTGTGCTAACCTTTCTGTTTTTATTAGGTCCGTCCATATTTTATTGTTTAACGATTTGTTTGTGCTTACGAAACCGCGAAGGTGAGATTCATGGGGTTTTATGTTGCTCCTGTAGCGAAAACAGATTCTTTTGTAACTCAATTCCGATTCTGTTGTTGGTCAGTCGAATGAGCATATTGTTCTGGCTCAAAGCAGTGGTTGAAAATTTTTGAATGCTATATGTTTTACGGTTTACCTCGTACAGTTCTACTAACTATGCTTAAAATGTAATAACAAAATATAACAGTAATTAAAAATAGCTATAACAAAAATTCTTACAACTGTTTCTGCCGTATGGCTTATGGTTAGGTATGTATATGCTTAGCTTATCACAGATTATTATGTACTACAAAGTGTACGTGTAAAACTTGCTCACGACTGTGATTTTACGGTGTTTGAGCATTTAAAATTACAGGTCAGCTTAGTACTTCGTTGTGGTTTCAGCAGTTTTCATAATTGGCAAAATGCCGATACAGTTATGATGGTCGGCTATGCACTGATTAGCATTATAATTTGACTGTTATAGTTCGCTGCTCTTTTTCAATTTTTTCTCATGTTGCAGTGGCAGCGAAGAAACTCTGACAGTAATGGACTACTGTCCGCGGAACCTCTTGGACTGCTTGCCGGTGAGCTATGCCGAACGTGACGATCTGCTGGCCCATACATCCGTTAGCACGCAGTTTACCACACCGGATACATTCCGTGGTGTGAAATTGGTTCTACTGCGAAACCATGCTCAAAAAACAGTGGAGTTTTTCGTCGTTATGACACTTGAGTAAGAAGGCTATCGGCAGTTATTTTACTGTCGGATAATTTTTGCTTCGTGGCAAATAAATTGTTTAGCTAATCTTTGTGACACATTAACGCTTGTTATCGGCATTTAGGAGTGATTATATGCGATGGATCAGTGTTCTCAATCCGTCGGAGAAAGTGGAAGGTGATGAGAAAGTTTATGACGTCTGGGATTGCCCGCAGTATGAAATTCTGACGGATTACGAGGCGAAAGAAAACGATGAGCTGAATTTATCGGCCGGCGATGTAGTGGATGTGTACCGGAAATCATCCGATGGCTGGATGGAAGGACGACGCGTCCGTGATGGCATGCATGGTTGGCTGCCTACCGGTGTCGCCAAGGAGCTGATGACGGAACATGCCAGGGCCAGGTGAGTGCGTTTTGTAACCGTAATAAACGAATGCAAGTAGAGATGCCGTAAGATTTTAGTTTTTTGTTATAAGTTTAAGCATGTGACTGCAGAGTAGCTAATATTATAATGTTTTTGACGTATGGATGTGTGTACATTTCACTGTTGCTTGCATTTGCAGTATTTCGCTTTGGTGCCTTATTTAAATAATGATTATAATGTATAAGTCAACTGACAACTGACTTAATCTTTTTTTTGTAAAGCCATTGTCTTTCCGTTGAAGTTCTGTCCAGGTTGAACTTGAGTCAACACAGTACAGTACAGTGAGTACACAAAGTTTTCGTAAAATAAGTGCGTTTTCTATCTTGATTTATAACTTTCGTTAATTGTTTAGACAAGCTTTGCTTAAAAATATTGTCATTATGTAATGAATTTCTCCAACAATAATATCTTTGAAATCTAGAATTTCTTCTTAAGCATTTGAACACAGCACCATTTTTAATGTCTTACTAACACCTTTCAACTTTGCTTTACTTCATGGAATTCCGTCACAGAGCGAAATCAGCAATAGTAGTGTGGTATTATTAATTTCTTTATGATTTTGCCGCTTTTTTCTAACCTATCGGGACGTTCGTATAGCGCGGAGGGCTTGATGTAATGTTTTAATGGATAATGGTTTATTGAATTTATTGGATCAGTTATTGAAGTCAATTGCTAATAATAATTGCTAGTAGTATTGCGCGTTATTGCTAGAAGTATTGTTCGAAAAGTGCATACTTGGCACAGAATGCGCAGTATCCATGTTTCACAATAAAAGGTAATGTTCTGTAGTGAGTCTGTAGACTGTACATCGTGTCCGATAAAATGACCATGGCCTGCAGCGCAGTAGCGTGTGGCAGACTGAACTGAGTATTTAGACATTAAATGGCTGTCTCGCGCATAACTTTTTTTATGTTTGGGTTTACAAGGGTTCCGTGGTTTTTGAACAAGGGCAGGGTTAATAAAAATGCCGCCTCTTATATACTCATGCAGTACCATGGCGTGGCAGTAGCCGCAGTACTATCGTTCACACACGATACTTTTGCTTGAGCTTTTCAGTTCTTATCCGCTTCACGTAAAACGCACACCCTATCTTTGTCTCTCTTTCTTGTCCTCATGCAGTCTTTTTTTGCAGGATTCTGAAAGAGCGCAACAGACTCCTCGTGGCATCTGCTCAATTTATGCATGACAGGCTAAAGACAACGCCATAGATATTTTCCGGGTTGAATTTTCCAATCGAAGTCCAAGAGCAGTTTATGTTTCTACTTCCGATATGTAAATTGTGTATTCTGGTTTTGCTGAAGATTCTGAGATTTACTGTAATTCTTCAGGTGATAAAATCCGATGTGCAATAATAATTTCCAGCAAGAACACAGCGCACAAGAGTCCATCCACATCACGTAGACTTTCCAAAATATGGTTCTAAATTTCTCTTAGAATATTTAAAACAGCATAGAAACGAAATAACCTAGCATGGTTTAGATTTTTATTTTGGATTTACAGAAAAATACAACTCATTGACCATTCGAAAACAGGAACAGAAGTATCAACGAAGCCACAGTCAAACTAAATCTAGTTGACAAGTAAGGAAATGAACCTAATCTAGTTAAAACAACCAACAATGCTGCGTTAACAAGCAACATATACCCTAGTAGTCAACGACGCTGTTAAATCTCAGTACTTAGATGCATATACTACTCGGGTGGGTTAATACAGGAAATAGCTTGAGCGTATCATTTAGCTGATACTGACACCAGAGGAGCTTTTAGTATGTACACGACCAAACAATAGCCAAAATGAAAAAATAAAACTGGATAAAATACAATCAGAACCGTTCAAACAAAAGATTATCGTAAGTAACGTTTACTACTATATCGAAAAAAGCGAAAAACAGGATGCCAATAATCGTTAAAAGTTTCTCCAACCGAGATCACGTAATCCACACCACCGACAAAGACAGCACTTCACGAAATACAATTCCAAACGGTGCTACCGCAGTTTCAATGGCAGCAGCAAAAATCCCTCTGCAAAAATAAACAACTAGATTAACATATAACCATATAACAACATATATTCCATACAAAATATTCCATGTAAACAGTTAGATTAACATAATTATAAGATACAACATATTAACACATTCCAATTACGTATCCATGACCTAACATACAGCAAAAGGAGTACGCCCAATCCATAATTTTGAAACTTTCTCGTCGCTTTATATCGAACCAGAAGAAATTATATTATATTTGTACTCCGCAGTCTTAAGTTGATATCGTGATTAAAAATTTAAAATGTATTTCTTAAACAGTATGGCATTGACCATCTATATACAGCTAACAATATGTATGTCTGCTTTTGGCGGACGACTTTGCACCGTTGAGAGCTGGAATGCGACAGATGGCAAACTACTCTAGGAAAACAAATGCGAAAAAAGAACAGGTGCACACTACGTCCTCACTTCGTATCGCCAACCTTGGATACAAGAAGACAAGTGAGTGTCTGTGTAAAGGTCGCGACTTGCTGCGTCAAGGCATGACAGTGTGAGCAAAAACAGTCCCGGGAGTTATCGCAGTACCAACGGGTGAGAAGGACGAACAGGTGCGGTCAACTCACAGACAAATGGATCAAATATACACAAAATGCACAATTAACAGTCTCCTGTCATGCGCATACAGCCGATTTCCAGACCATTTACCGTTTCTTGGTTTTATTGCTTTCATTATTCTTCCAAACCAGTTTGTTTTAGGCCATATATCATGGCATGAATCGGTGTCTTCTATATCCCTATATGTCATAAAAGAGAATGGGAGCCGCCAACTGCCGATAGGAAGCATCAAAGTTACTCGGTAAATGGCAAATTTAATCAATCTGTCTGTAGACTTTCTTTAGGACAATTTTTACGACTTGCAGTTAACACAAGTGCATCAGATGAAAAGTTACTGCAAACCTTCGAAAGTATATCAAGACTCATTTGAAAGACGACATGGTAGCTCGAGGTAAATGCACTTTGTACTTGCTCTCGAAATTTGTTTTCCTAAAAGATTTCGTTTTCTCCTGAATTCCGTCGATCAGGCTGTAAAAACCAGACAAGAAAGACCGTCGAGTCGAAACGGCGGGCAGACATGCGACTAGTCACGACAATAGTAAAATCTCGTAAAAGCCAAGACAAGCCGGACACACACGTGCATATCCTACCCTACAAACTACAAAGCAATGCCTATCAATCCTAACGATTGTGTGTTCCTTGAGCTGGTCTCATTAGTCGGACAAAGACATTTCCCAGAACCACTACGAAATTACGCATATTCTCAGAACACTCATAACTCGAAACAAAAGCCTGATCGTTCCAAACCTTTTCTATGCGTGATTATTCACATTAGCAGCCATCTGTGAGACTAGATGAAATCAGACCCCCGCTCGACTCACATTACGCGCGCATAACACCAAGCCCTTTAAGGACAAGCGCAAATGAGTCATAAAGAAGAACAAACGGATGTCTACTATATTTCCACACATCGTGTCCTTAGAAATGAGGACAATGCTAGTTCAGAATGATCGACAATAATCCCAAGACAAACCATGCCGCTAAATCTATCAAAAAAAGAAATACTTCAACCATATGCTTCAACTCACCACTGCAGCGCCTTTTTCTTCATTTCAGTAGCCGGACGCGATACCCTTCGTGAGCGTGGAAAATCATCGTCTCCGTCGACAGACTTTCGCTTGCCTATTCCTTCCATTTTCAGGGCTGAACGTCGGGATCGCAAGAAATCTAAAAACATAAGAAAACATAGTTGTTTAACAATAATATAATATACGAATTCCTGCCGAGAGATATTTCAATGTTTTAAAAGTGAAAGGCAGTCGACTGCAATATACGAGTAGCCTCGTATTAGCCTCTAACAGATGGATGACGGACATTCTGAGAAAAAAACGCCCATGTGTCAAAATTCCCTCACATTGCGACAAACGCCTAGCCACTTAATGAGCAGGTATAATTAGGCATCAGCTCATCTGAAAAATGCTGATTGCCATAAGTAAGTAATTACAACTTCAGAGGAGTTGCACGGTTAACTACCGTCGTCATAGAATTACTGACAATCAGCGAAAATTGAATCAAAATTCTCACAGTCAAATTCTCAATCGTACCCAAAACCAGACATGTCAGGCATTTGTATGTATCAGTACGCTATTTAACTAATACAATGCGAACAATGCCAGATAACCCCAAGGAAGCAGCAAGTGTAAATTCCCATGCACATTTCAAAGATTCAATTGGTCAGCCGTTGAAAAATGGCATACAACTGGAAAATTGCTCGGGTTAATGCACTGTCGTTGCGATGAGGTTAACTTAATCGCACCATCGGATAACAATCACAGATGCAGTTTAACAAGTTGCAGTTATATTAATATACGACAGATAATACGAGCACAGTACCTGTCACCTTAATTTTGTAACGGTACTAGTGTTCTTGTTTTCAGTTTTCAAAAGTAAGTAACAACTGATATGCCCAAAATTTTATTTTCCAGGTACACAAATTCAATAATTAGCCTCCATGCAAACAGTTCATAATTTTTGTCAGAAAGTGTTACAAAACAAAAACACAAGTGGAAAACCAGTCAAGTTCAAGATACCTTTTGTCTAATTAATGTTTTTTCACTTTACTGCATCAATTTTTCTGCTGACGAATATTTTATTGAGTTCAAATCGCGACATTACAGTCATAATTCGATTAACTACGGCCAGCACTGCACAATTAAGAATTAGAAAAACAACCAAAATCAGCATTATCAACCAGTTTATTCTTTCCCGGTAAAGTTCCTAAAACAGCCGCCACGTTTCCTTTAATAATTGCGAGGCTAATACGCTGCTTTAAAAAAGCCGTGGATCGGCCTTCTCCAGTTTTCTCCTTGATCTTTCGTCCGAAAAAACTGACCATTTCTCTGGCATCAATTTTTTTTATATTATTGTTACTGGCTGCCACGCGGCACCATATATTATTGTTATTATTGCCTATTCATATTACTGATGTAAACCGCTACCTGATACAGTGATACCAGATGAGGAAACGCAGGATCGTGCCGAATGTTTCCAACTGATAAGCACGTACAGTACGATACACTACGAAAGTGCTATGTTTTATTGGCAAGTACTGATAAAAATCTCTTTAACCTTTGGAATTTCAATAAACGCCAGAATAAAACGCGTTAATACATGCACGATGCATCCAGTTCAAAAGCCAAGAACGAGAACTAGAGTATGAAACAGACGGAGAACGAGCGATCCCCCTCATCCGCTCGTTTTCTGTCTATTACCTTTAACAACTCTCCCAAAACAAGTTACACTTAAAAGGAAAATCACGAAATTAATTATGTTCTTACCAATAACCATCTGCCTGTAGCAATCGGGTTCACAAAAATAAAATGTGTAACATGAAATGAGAACATTATGAAATCTACGACCGCTCTGTTTTTTACATTCGGGATCCAGCATTCTTGTTCGCGATTTATATTACAAAAAATATACTAATTTAGTATAACATACACATACCTGTATATACTAAAATTTTGCAGCCGATAAAGCATAGCAAACAATTAGAAAATATCTTAAGAAATTTCAGTGTATTTAACGTGATAATTCATAAAAACGGGCGACAGCAGTAAGGACTAAAGACTCAAACAAAATTAAACGAAGCAAAAAACAATGGCTAAACCGCTTTATAATGATTTTTTAGGCACGACCAAACATGAAGTTAACTTAAATTAATTGATGTAGAAGAACGGTGTGCTCTCATGTGGCTGTATCAACTACCAAGTCCACAAAAAAACAATAGTGACGGTGCCACAGCTTCGCACGTACGTACCTGCTAATGTGCCTTGTTTAGGCGCTTTCTTTACAACCGGCTTGGGCAACGGCAGATCGCCTACTTTGACCGGGATGGAGGCCCCCACAATCTCTATCACCTCATCGTCATCGTCTCGAAGGGTACACTGGGGTGGCTGTGTTGTCTCCCTACTCTCACGCAGTAAGGGAGCATACAGACCAGCAATCCTGGTCACTTCGATCACATCCCACGTGGACAAGGTTCCTTCAGTCGTTCCACTGGTCCGCGCTACGGGACATCCACTGATCGGATCAAAGCCCCAACGACTGATCATTTTCTCTCGACTGCCAAGCAGCTCCCTTTCCGTTTGCTCTTTTAACCATTTCTGCACACTTTCCCTGCACTTCTTCGCTCCAAAGAGATCTTTGCAGTAAGCGGGTCTCTCCATAACAGTCTGACAGGTTTCGGTCCCCATCCTAGCTTGACAGCCAGGTCCTATCAGTGCTATAAAAGAGACGTCTATAGCATGGGCAAAAACAACTGCAAATTAGGGAAGATAATAATATTATCGTCTACTTAAAGGGGCAACAATTACGACAACATTTAAGCTGCTTCCCAAGACACTGAAAACACGAAAGAAAATTAATGGTAGTCCTGCATTAAAGTTGTCGTGTAATGGAATTCACCTACTGGCGAACACTTACCGAACGCAGGCTGTTGTATTCGCCATTACAGACTGCGCTTACACAGATTCAAAAGCCGTCAGCGAATCAAAAAAAAGAACTCGAGCAGGGTTAATACTATTCGTTGGTGCTATCGATTCACCCTATGACAGGCGGTTTGACTCCGCCCTGAGGCGGAGTGTGGTGACTCAGTCATTCTAACTACCAAACGGGCGGTTAGTACTCGTCAGCGATGTTGGTAGTAACTTGGTACAGGGTGACGGTCAGTCAGATTGCATGACCATTCTCCATTTCTCCTCCGTTCTGCTCTGGTTCTCTGATCCGGATGCAGAAATGGACAATTTTGCGAGCATCAAGTTAAACTGCCCATATTCTTGAATAAATCAGTCAAAAACGTATATGACATAGCGCCAAGAAACAACGGAATAGGATTACAAAGAACAATTTTGATCTGTCTTAGCTGATGCCGTTCCCGGAAGGTCGCCACGTTTTCATGATCACGTTGGATTTTGATACTAGTAGTACTGATCCGCTCCCCATCCGCTACACCCGTTCGCGCTCCCGAGCCCCGACAACCAAAAAATCCCAATCCCGTCCCGGCAAACTTAAAAACAAATTTGAAAATACTTTTTCCCGCCAACGCTCGACCAACAGCAAGCGTCTCAGCAAGCGTCTCAGCCGGTCACTGCCAACAGCAAGCGTCCTGTAAAAATGAACGCGCAGTAACGGCCGAGAACGGGACTTTGTTGGGACAGCGGGACCTGTTCCGACTGACAGTCTGATGGCCCAACAGTGGGCCTCGCTATTGATACTTTCTCCAGATATTTTCTGCAAACTTTTTGAAAATTTTTATTTGAATGATCAATTATCAAAACCAAACTTAAGCCTGCTTGATAGCATGCAAACTTACTGTAACCAACCAGCAAGTACTGGCAAGTGGCAACTCAACTACGCGGCACGCGTTCGTAACTTGCTCATGACCATCTTTGCGTTTCCGGCCTAACGGTTGGGATAAAGCGTTTATGTACTAACCCGTCTAACTGCACATGAATACAGAACTAGGACCTTCACCATAGGCCGGTTACCTTTACGGTTTACATTAATGAGCTATAACTAACTTGACCATAGTAATGAAATACAGTACAGTACGATAACGCACTCGGGACACAATATGTTATTACTCTCGTAACCTTTCGAACAAGAATTAAACCAGAAAGATGAAAAACCTGTTAAAAGCCACATTAATTTTTTTAAAAAAAATTTTACAAAATGGTGGTAACTTTATGAGGTACAGTAACTACGAACTGAAAGTCGCGCTACATATGCGGAAGGCAGGTTTATTACGATTAAAACTCGCTATGCACACTACTGTATTGAAGTGTATTCTCAGTTTTCCGATGTAATGGCATCCTGAAAAAAGAAAAGCAACGTTAAAAATATCTTACATTTGGCGTATCCTACACTCAGTCCTAGGTCTCCACTGGTTCGGTCATCATTCTCGCTTTGAGAAGCTAGCATGCGGATCTTACTTTTAAACCACGCTAAAAAGTACATCCTTGTTAACTTCACCGTATAGAAGACACAGTGACCTTTGCACATTTTTTATCATTATTGATGTAATCATGCCCGATTCCGATACGGAGGAAGATGATTTATCTTCGTTACAGTTTGTTGATCTTGTTAATAAGCTGTCATCTCTTGTCGAGCAAATCTATGCCAACAAGCCACAAAGTCCAACGTCCAAGCTCCCGCCGATTCTCTTAAAGAATGAAGTGACTCTGAAGAAAATCCCTAGTTTATTGAAGGACCACCACATTCGCCTGTACGATAATTCGCTGAAAACTGAGACCGAGCTCAGCATCGAGAAAGAACGCGTCATCATACTCCTGACGGACAACGCCAAATCTCTGCCCACCGCCTCGAACACCGACGATGCCCAGTCCTCTAGCAGCTGTATCAAATGGACCTATGCAACAGCAGCAAGACAGAACAATGTTGCCAGAGAAAAGCCACCAGCCGTCATCCTCAAGCCGAAGAACGTGCCGGTAGTTGATCGTTCCCGTACCACTCCGAAAGATATGTCCAAACTGACTAACGCCCTTAACACCGCGCTTCCCTCTGGGACATCTGATTTGAATGTCACCGGCATTCGTCCGATCCATGGCCAAAGCGTCCTTGTGGAATTCAAGAATGCCGACAGCGCCGAAAAAGGTAAGGTCGCTCTACATGAGCATGCCGACGCTCTCGGTTATGAAGTAGTTAGCAGCAAGCCGAAATTGTCCCGCATTATTGTACGCAGAATTCCGAAAGATTTAACGAACGAGAGCGTTGTAACTGAATTGCGTAAGAAGCATGACCTTTCAGCGGATTCCGTTATTCGTACAGTTACCCGATTGAGTAGTCACAGAGAAGACGTTTCGACCTGCGCAATTGTATTTGAAGTCGACCAGATCAATCGTGATATTCTATTATCGAAAAAGTCGTTAATGATTCAGTGGTCCGTTTGTCCTGTAGAAGATCATTTTTATGTGCCTCAGTGTGGTAAATGCTGTGCTTATGGGCACACTAAAAACAAGTGCAAGAATAATTCTCGCTGCGCTTTTTGTGCAGGGCGTCATCTTTCCTCCGACTGTAAAGAGAACATTGATTTCAAGTGTGTCACTGTGTGTGTGTGCAAATTGCTATGATGAGGGGATTTATTCCCAACAGAATCATCATTCTGCAACTGCCCATGAGTATTGTCGTGTTTATGAACGTTTGAGAAATTCGAGATATTTTTATAGTCAAAACATGCGAAAAAACTAGCATCGTTTACGTTTATGGCGAATCGTAGTATGGTTGATTTTTCAAGTGACCTTTTGGTTTCTGTGAATAATATAAATCAGTGCAGTACAGTAAACAAAATCAATGCACGCAAGGTTTTTCCCGGCAAAAATGCGGAACATTTCCATACAGTCAGAATCCGGTATTGCAACGCCAACAGTGTTAATTGTAAGCTCGATCAGATAAAACTCTTTTGTTCTGATGCGGATGTAACTGCCATAACTGAAACATGTGAAAAGGATTCTGTTGACGAAGAAGAATGTCTGTTTGCTGACTTAAATGTGTTTAAAGTTTTTCGAAAACCAAGAGTAGGTGACAGTGGTGGTGGTGTTGCAATTGTTGTTCGTGAAAGTTACAAAGCAATTCGTAGAACGGATCTTGAGGTTTCTTTTGTCGAGGCTATTTTTGTAGAATCAAAACTTTTAGATCGTTTGTTTATTGTTCTATACGCACCACCGGATAAATGCCAGCAAGTTGTACCGGAATTTATTGAGCATTTACGCAATAAGATTTCTCCTGCTTTGCTCAGCAAGGCAGTAATAATTGGTGACTTTAACCTTCCAGATATTAACTGGCGTAGGAGAACAGGTTGCTCAAACGCTAGTCGTGAATTACTGAGCGCTGTAAAAGAATTCGGTTTTGTTCAGATTATTGATTTCCCAACCAGAAAAGCAAATTGCCTGGACTTGTGTTTTCTAAGCCGTAAAAGTGTATTTGAGCCGGCAATTCCAATCAGCCCGCCATCTGTTACAAATGACCATGTCGGTTTTCAGTTTACAATAACAACGAAAATACCTAAGAAGAAAAACAGGAAGTTTAAACGATGGATAGTCAAAAATAATAATATTTGTCCGTTTCAAAATTGTCTTCGCAATACTGATTGGAATTCATTGTTCAGGAACCGTAATAGCAGTGATCGTGCTAAAATTTTCGAACAAACTTTTCTTGATGCAGCAAGTTTATATTTTGAATACCGAACCATAGCTATTCGACCAGGAACGATAAGGTATCCCGCTAATATAAGAAAATTCGTTAAAATTCGTGATCGAGCGTTTACAGCTTACCGACGAGCTCAACAGCCACTAGCAGATGAACTAAAATTGCGATGGAAGGTTGCTTCTAAACGATGCGAAAAATTAGTGAAAAAATTTGAAACGTCTAAGATTACGGATGTCGCTTATTCGTATCGAAATAATTCCTCTAAATTTTGGAAGTACGTCAAGTCTACCCGCGACAGAAGTGGCATGCCACCGCTTAGAATGCCTGATGGCCGCACAGCTGATGCCGAAACAGATAAAGCTAACCTTTTGAATGTGCAGTACAGGGAGTCGCAATCAGCGTGCGCCTCGCATTGCAACGAATCTGGTTCCGATTTAGTTTGCAGTAATAACGATGTCTGGGAAATAACAGAACTGATTGTTCATGAGCAGTTAGCTAAACTGTCTGCGAAAACCTCTAGTGGTAAATTTATTATCACTAATTTACTATTACTCGTCGCTGGAATTTCCATTATCAAACCTCTGAAAATGATCTTCGAAGCCGCGTTAAATGAAGGAGTGTTTCCAGCCGTCTGGAAACAATCATTCATAACCCCCATCCCAAAATCGTCATGTGATATTCGGCTACCGGCAAGCTACCGGCCAGTTTCTATTCTGCATCCCATTTCAAAAATATTCGAACGGTGTTTAGATTACCTGATGCGTGATTTTCTCGACCGAAACAATACGCTTCTGAACCATCAGTTTGCCTACCGCAAGAGAATGTCTACTGAGCTGCAACTTTTTCTCTTTACTAAAGAATTATCCGATTTTATTTCAAACGGTATTGAAGTTGACGCAGTTTTTATAGATTGCTCAAAGGCGTTCGATAAATTGTCACATGAGTCGATCGTCAGTGCTCTTGTTAATCTTAATTTTCCCAGCCAAATTGTTCATTTGATTTCTGATTATTTAAAAGGGCGTACTCAGTGTGTCACTGTCGATGATGCCTTATCCGACATGCTGGCAGTTATTAGCGGTGTTCCCCAAGGATCGGTTTTAGGCCCTCTCTTGTTTATTTGCTTTAAATTTCATCGTTTCCATACTAAGAAATGGTAGTAAAATATTTGTATTTGCTGACGACATTGTTATTCTGCGACCTATTGTGCATAATAGTGATTCTGCACTGCTTCAAGAGGACATTTCTTGCGTTAACAATTGGCTTACCTCAAATTGCCTTTCACTAAACCCTACCAAATCAGTACACATTTGTTTTTCTGCTCGGCGAAGCGTTAAAAGTGTGAATAATTACAATATTAACGGTACCGATATACCGTCAAGCAAGGTAGTGAAGTACGTAGGCGTTCAAGTAGATCGAAAACTGAGTTGGAAAGTAAACAGCGAAAAGCTTTCACTAAAATGCAACAGGCGATTGGGTTGCATAAATCGAATGTTTAGGTATTCTCATTCTGGCGCAAGGATCAAGTTATTCGAATCATTAGTTTTATCGGTGATTGACTACTGTGCCTCCTGCACCCACCCAGTACTAAAAACTTCCAGCGATACGATCGAAAAATGCCAAGAACGTTTTCTGAAGGGTTTGCGCCTCGGTAGCGCCCCGTCCGAGTATGAAAAACGTTTGAAAGAATTGAAATGGGACAGTTTGAAACTGCGTCGCATAAAAAAAGCACTGGTGTTCATTTACAAACTGAAATTTGGTAAAGTGCCCTTTGGTGACTTATGCATAGTTACTTTGGCTAGTTCGGTTGCTGTGCTTGATTCTGTTGCAGATAATACTCGCCAACGCGCCCGACTTCATCGACATCCATACGCGATAGCACCGGCTCCAACTACGATTTGCGGTACAACGGTGACTGCTGTCCATGGAACGCACCTGGAACAGTTGACTGCACTGTGGAATGAACTACCTCTTCCCGTTGAAGCTTATCAATCTGCAAGCACTTTCCAGAGTGCATTGGATTCTGTGGACTGGATCAACCTTGCGTGGATTAAAGACCATCCCTTCTTTGTCACAAAAGCTACTTGAGTCAGTTTTTATTTAACTGGCACATTACAGTGTGTTAACTTCTACTGCTGATGTGCACAGCTATGCTTCACTTCTATCCCTTGTTTTATTTCTTTATTTTGATGTTCATGTTTTTCCCCCTTCGCGATCCCCTGTCTTAGCTTAAAAGGAGGCGACGCCTCGTAGCAAAGGACAATAAACCAGTTATTATTATTATGTAGTGCACCCTCAAAAAGCAAGTGTACTTTCCAGTAAATAACAGCCCATGATAACATTTATAAAAAATATTGTAGCAAATATGTATCGCTGCAGTTTGGTCAAACAAGATTTTAGCAAGTACTGGTCGTATACATGCGGACAATGACATGCGGTGAATAAAGTGAATGGAATAAGCTGCCACTGGAACCGTTGTATGCGATCGCGGACTGGACTCCTTCACCGGTACCGGTAAGCAAACCCTCGCCCTTTGAATACAGATTGCATGCTCTCCATGAAATTAAATCACCCGAAACATTCCCTTACTACGGGCTGCTACGGGGAAGCATGCACCCTCTTACAGTGCAACATACATGTACTGTACTACTCTAGTAGTTGCAGACCCTTTACATAGTTATAAACTGCGCACATGAAGAATGTTGCAACTGTGCACGGTTGCCCTTACTTATAATTAATAAATCTTATAAGTATTTATAAGCAATCATTTTATTGCATGATTTATGCGCAAATTATAAACGTAAGGCATGAAACCCAAGTCAAAACAATTCTCATTGATTTTATAATGTTTTACGTTGCTCAGTTGAGCGGTTGAATTTAACAGTTTTGTATAATGGAAAACTCGTAAACAAAGTCTCCTGAAGCGACGCCGCTGTCTAATTGTAAAGCATGTTTAATTACTATTACTTAAATGAAGAGTGGGCTGTTGCATCTGTCGATTAAGACTAATGCCACAAAGGATCACGTAAGTAAAGAAGTTGGTTTTCATTTCAAAATATGACCCCTGCATCATGCATGGTCACCCGAATAGCAGGTTTTCCCGCTTGCCCATCAGTTAGGTGGCGATGACAGGATCAGGAAGGGTTTTCGTGTCAACCCCGGAATCCACGGGGGTGGCGGCGCATTTGCATTCTTCGTAGCCTCTGTCGCGACAGATGTCGTCCTGTGTTGGGATGTTCCTGTTGAGTGCTATGTCCTCCAAAATCTTGGCACAGCACACCCTGTTGAAGCGTTCGCACTTATTGTAGTCATTGGTTGTGGTTTCGGTTTGTAAGTTATGGAAGCTCTCCAGTATCTTTACGGGATCCGGGGTCATTGTAGCTGCTTGTTGATTGACTTCCAGGTCAGCCGTTTCTGTCAGTAATTAAGGCAGTAAATTACTTAAACTGGGTTGCAAAACAGCGTAATTTGTGAAAACAAGTAACACCTTCGGCCCTTTGATTTCATTATCTACTTAACAAACGAAAATTCGAATGGCGAGTAATGCATTGCATAACGCATTATACCTACCACGTCTGTAACTAAATGCAGTTTAAAAAGGCGGTAGCAGCACTAAAAATGGAAACTAATGAGGGTATGGAAAATAATGGAGATAAACAATTTAAGTACTGTACTCACCTTCCGAATGACATTACATTAGTCTCCGCATGATAATGAAGTCTACATTACAAGGAGAGAAAGAATTTGTAAAGCTTTGGGCGATTATCAAGAATTCTCTTTCAGAAACTACGTATAGGTTTTTGTGCTTTTTTTAGTTATTATGCTTGCTGAAAAGTTACTTACGTATACATATGTTGCACACAGCAATATATAATACTCGTTGCATAACTGCCCATGAATTAACATGTACATTTGAATCTTAAAATGATTATAGATGCTTATGGAATGGAATAATAAATTCTAGAATGAATATAATTTCATGTATTTGTAAAACGAAATTGCTTTTTGGCTTCTGAATTTCAGGATAATTGCTTGATAAACACGTGACAATTTTGGGAATTTTGTAGTTTATCAGCGCATGTATAAATGTGATGCAATAAAAGTAGCTTATATTAAAATATAAAACAACAAAATAATGCTTAAACTACCTACCATACCGAATACGTAATAAAACATGTTTTAGCAGATACCTGCATTTCCGCCTTCGATATCAGAGGCTGGTCGATTTGGCGCATCACTCAGCGAAGCATTTTCTAGAGAAATATTTTGTCCAGACACCACGAACCAATTACAAAAATATATTACAAATCCAAAAAGAATGAGAAACCGAATAAACGGGCCGATGGGATGTGATGCTCGATCCATTTGAGTTATCCAGATCGAAAAGTAAATGGTATAAAGCAGAAGCTTCAGCAGAGGGGTATCTCAGTGTCTCTTCTATAAGCAGCTGATATACGCAAGCTTCCGTTATCCTGTATTAATTTAGCATTTTTATCTCATGATCAATAAACTGCGAATCAGCCTCTACCATAATTACATCCAAATATCCAGTCACAGACGCGAAGTATTTCGAAATTTAAATTTCTTTCGGTAGTTTACTCGAAAACCGAATACAAAAATAAACAACCAAACATCAGTTATTTACAGATACGCCTCAAGAATTGTACGGCCGGCTGCGATAGCAGTGATAAGTGTACAGTACCTACAGAAACCGTTCTAATGTGTAAGGCAACGTTTCTGTACAAGAAAAAAAGTACGCTCGATGGAAGCGCGTTTTAAGACGGCAATATATTTTTAGAACCCATGATCGACAGACTTTGGCACGAAAAATGTAAGCTTGACCATGACCACATATGCTGCTGTTTGTCTCAAAGTGACGGGAACAGAGATAACAATTACAGGCGATGGGTGTGTGCAGATTAATATTGCACATGGTATGCATTTGTTAAGAGTCATATAATGTAATTATAAATTGTGTACTTGCTGTACGAAGTTATATTGACCTTATGTCTGCGTGATGTGTTTGAATTGCGCTTTGATGCTCCTGATGATTGTTGTTTTTTGTTCATGAAAGCAATAAATTTTATTAAATTCTGTCGGAACGATTAATTAAATTAAAACGGTTTGGTCATTGGTACCAGAATTATCAATTTGAATCGTAATCAGAGATGTACGGAAGTTGAACGTGAGATATTAGCTTTCTTCTCTGTTTTTTTAACAGTTTTTTATAAGTACGAATGAATATGATGGCTGATCATCATGTGACCGAACGGTTTGAAAATGTAATTAAGCATCAATCAGTTTGTATTTAAACCGCTAACACATTTCACAATGACAAATTTTTTACTTGCATTGGTCAGAGCATTTTTACACACAATCGAAACCACGTGCACAAAAGTAGAATCGCAAGCTACGTTAGATTATCGGACAATAAAAGCTATTACGTTTTGTTATTATAGCGGCAAAGAATGAGAGCGGGTTAAAAGGAGTGATGAATATGAAGTAACGGCATTTTGACATTAAACTCTCAGTTCAATAGACAACTTTGATTCAGTTTTTGTAATGACCGGTGGTATTGAATGCGCACGAAGGGATAGCTGAGATCAAAAAGAGAGAGAGGAGAGAGATCAATGAATATTATGTATATACCCAACTTTTTTGAAGAATCAGAAAATCCTTCTATTGGGATTTCTTTCAATCTATTCACATGCGGGATTCAGTGTCGCCATCGCCGGGAGTGACTTCCTCACTGGGAATTAGATGGTAACTCGTTACAGCCAGGCCGCCGTTGCCGCGCTCCTTCGCCACCCGCCCGGCGTGGTTGACCTGTTGAAAGCTACAAAGTCATTGACAAAATCCCGATAATATTGTTATTTATCAAGTCATAATGTGTAATACACAAAAGCGCTGACCTCAAGTACGCAAGTGGACAATCTCCGGAACGGGTCAATAGGCGACATAGGAGATAACGGCGACAAGCCTTGCTCGTTCAGATTGTGGTCTTTTTACAACTTCAATATCAATTTTCTCTAAATCTTCGCGACATAAGTGATACACTATCCCAGCACCGAACGCATCTCCCAAAACGTTAATGGATGTCCGTATGCGATCTCTATCAATAAATTGGACGAAATTCAGGCGTGCCGATGAAAAAATAATTTTCAAGAATAAACAAAATATGTTTTGCGCTATCAAAAATTTATTCTGTAAAAACAAGAAATTGTGCATAATGCAGGTTTCTGCAGTACTACTATGGATTATCACATGTATAACATCAACAGAAATTCAACAGAATTATCTAAGACGTTTTTCTGTTGCAAGTTTTTTAAAGGGTTTTATCTTTTAACGATGACGTATATGTTCACTCGAGAGCGGGTAATATTTTTCACTCGAAACAATGGACGGACGATGTTTTTATTTGAAGACTGGTGTTAAGCACGTTCCAGTAGCCGCACTTACAAGAGCCAGTCAACCGCCACAATGTATGTTACATCGCTGGTCGGAAGTCCCAGGGATGTCAACACCAGCAACATGGTAACTAATCCGGCTGAAGGAACAGAAGCCGCACCGATGGATGCCGCTGTAGCCGTGAGACTACAATGGGAGTGCAGCATAAAAAACATCAAAACACCAGCGGCCACACGCGCTTCCTGCCGCGTAATCCTCTTGGCCATGCACATGCACTCGTTGCCGGCATTGACTCACCTCACAGTCACAATCTGGCCGTACGTGAGATCCACTTTGTTCAGCTGGGCAATGAAAATAGCGGCCACGGCTTCATACAGCGCCGTCCCGTCCATGTTCACCGTGGCGCCCACTGCAGCGAGACACGGATATATCAAAAACAGTCGCATCCACTGTGCGGAATGGCTCGGCACAGCAGCATACCGTTGGCCCGCTTAGCGCGACGATTTCAGCGACGGGGATTTATCAATGTATAATTAATTAGACATTTACCGGGTAAAACGAACCGCGTAACCCGCTTGTCGATGCCGTTGTTCTCTTCCAGGCAGCGGAAAGTTATGGGTAAGGTCGCGGCACTATATATCGGCAAATACGCAATCCATTAGTTAACAACACAACACCGTCGTTCGCTAAGATTTTATTTCGACTGCAAAGTTAAAGCACAGCGCTGAGCTGAGACTGATCTTTGACAGGACACAACGCTGCCAAAGTGGAACATGCAGTTCATCAGCCGCTTTTCTGCCCCGGCGCGCGTACCTTGATCCAGTTCCCAGCGCCATAATCCAAGCCTGCAGCATGCCGCGGAAGAAGGTCCAGGGATTCTTTCTCGTTACACCGAAGTAGATGCAGGGAAGGATGCCGATGGCATGGATAGCCAAGCCGCATAATACTGTCACCATGTACATGCCTAGCATGCGCGCCGTCGCCGCAATGTTCGTCACATCGAGGATTTTGGCCGAGATCAGGCACATAATACCGAGAGGAGAATACCAAATAACACACTTCACCAAGCGCATGATGATTTCGTTGAGAATAAAGAAAAAATTGGTCATCACTTGGCCTTGGGCTCCCATGGCGCCCAGGATAATGCCAAATCCGATGCTGAAAGTTATGATACCTGCAGCAACAGCGGTTAAGCCAGCACTCCTTATATTAATCTTTACGACGGGAACTACGAAAGGTCACCCAAAGTTCACCGCTTGCTGTCCTGTTGCGCCAACCGGCTCACTCACACACATAAACACAATGTCGATGCCGGACGACGTGCATTAGTAATAAAATTTAATATCAACCAATCTGAGTGAATAAGCATGACATAAATATTCATATTGCATTTTTGATAAACATTTGTTAAATGCAGTGAAGATATATCGTCCTATCGCCGCACATTTAGTCTTTACACTAAAATAGTTCAGCAGTTTACTAAGATTCAACCTATTTTTTTGCTAAGAATCTGAATGTAAAATATTATCTCCCTTTGTTCAAATTTGCATTAGCTGGAGAAAGCCTGTACGACAACAAACAGTTTTTACAAAACGATAAGGCAGTCAACGGTTCAATGCAGAAACGCTAAAAATTTTATTAAATTCGCTTTATACCTGCCATTGCAATGCCTTTATTAACAATCTGTATTTCTGCTAGTTACAAATTGTACACCGTACCAAGAATATTCATCCCGTCTTTCGTTATCAGAGAGCGGACCCGCAGAGTGGGCGGCACTATGGAACTGTTGTGGATGCTGGCATTGTAGGCAGGATTCTTAACGGTTTTATACACGGTCTCATCGTTCCGGAAGCATGCTTGGACGATGTTGTCAGGGAAGATGTTCCTAGTGTCCAAATCAAATTTTGTCACCGAAGCGTTTCCTACGCGCGCGTACCATAGTATAGTGCGTATAGGAAGCGGCATGCGCATCGCTTGTCAGTTGTTGCAGCTTTTATGCAAGTTAATTAACCACGACTGCTCCACTTTACCTAATCAAATCAAGTACGGCATCCAGAGTCGACACTTCCCTTTCTTCGCCCTTAAGGATCTCTGAATCCTTGTCCGTATTCTGACCGGGTTTAATTGCGACTACCAAGATAATTCCCAGGATTGCCGCTATTAATGTGGTTGACATATAATACAATAGCGCCCATGAACCCATCTTTCCGCTTTCTTTAGCATCCAGCTGGGCCAGACCTAAAAAAACGCACAGAAACGGCTGGCAAACGAAATCAACATATATTAATCGATTACGGCTGCCCGTTTACAGATTTCATTAACAATAAAATGCAGCTTTAATATGTATGCTACGAGCTAGTTCCTATTTGGCATCCATAATTAACAAAACAAGCAATATGGACACATAGAGCGCTTCTTAACGAGCAGCAAATTCAATTTTGTATGACAATTCTCGTCTGTCGTCCCATGTACTGAATCACGACAAGGAAAATTAATACATTCTGAAATTATTAAACGTAATATTTTATTTCACATGCGGTATATTTTTTTTAGTCTGTAGTACTAGTGGTACGGTGTTGCATTTCCCGGATTAAATATGAAATCGTATACGAAGCCGTACCCGATATTAAACTCGATACTATTAGAGGTAATATCATCATTTTCAACATTCGCATCAATATTTCCCCGGGATACTGGATAAGGTGTATGGTGGTTGGCTCCAGATTGGCGTAGCGCAGTGCCGAGCCCAGTACTACGCCAGCAATAACGCCCCCGATCGTCAGGGTCAGCAAGATGTTGTCGGCATCCATTTTGAAGCGACACTGCGGCAGAAGCACATTGTTGCCAGTAATAAAGTTTTTTGCTGTATTTCCATAACAATGTGCATGGATGTACTGTATATGCCTACATGTCTCAGTCTGGTGAGGAAAGTTTCAGGGCCACCCGACGTGGATGTGCGATCTGCGCGAGGCACCGGCGGAACTACTAAGCGTACAGCAACTTCCGGTGCATTGTCACGATGGGAAGCATTGCTGTGTTTGCCAGCTCTCGGCATTTTCGGGGGAGTGTGTGTGTGGTTGGAGAAAAATGATCTCGTCGACCAGACGCACAAGTGAAATCTAAAACATATGGTACATAATCAGTTTACTCCATTTTAATAATGTTGAGCTGCTACGCACTTCAAACAAATGATAAATCGCCGCCTACCATGACGCAGGCGTATTTCCCGGCTTCAGTTTGTGAAAACAAAGGCAAACATAAATCAGCGATAAGTGAGATTCTTTGCGAACTACTATTTCTTTACGAACCATATAACGATTTCGTGATTTTGATGTTACATCATGCTAAAAAAGACACTGTTAAATGGCAGCCAGCTTACAGACCTAATCGTGCGGACTGGAACCATAAAAACTAACTTTTCATTCCTTATGGCTGCAAAGTTAATCTTCAGTTGCAGAAAGTTGCACAATCAATTTTACTATTCTTAATTTCGTTACATAAATTCAAATAAGTAGAAAGTGTATTAGTTAGGTGGTATGTATATTGAAACTAATGCCTCGGCCACTACTGGTTTAAGTTTATACTTAATTTCAGGACGGTGATATGTCAATGCACTTGCATGAATAAACCCAGGTGCACTTCACCAAGACACCAACGTTAACAGTTGAACTCGTACTGCTAACTGCAGCCATCCATCCACTAGCATGAATGATGTAATCTGTGCGTGGACAATTCTTTTTTTGTGAGCAATATACCGTACACTACTGCTTTGGGGTGGGCTTTTTAAAGAAAACCTGCATAATAATCCCCTGTTACTGCCGGATCTGGTGGGAGATCGCAGCAATTTCCGGTTATGATCCCTGAAAAGGCACTGTGTACTTTGCCATCTTAACAGCAGCCCGCAGCAACGTTGGCCAGTCTTTCAGTCCCTGGTTGTCGATAATTGCCACCATCATAACCTAACCCGTCAATAGAATTAACCCATTATAGGATATCACCGGCTTCCGCGCGTTTTACGAATGTTAAAATTACGTTACCTAACGGACGACGTTTTACCTAGAAACGGGCATATTGCGTCGTCTATAAATACCTATATAAACGCGCAATTACACTGTAATGCTGCAATGCAGTGCTTTAGCAAATTGAAAATTGCTGACTAGTATGCAGCTGAGTATGCTTCATTATCAGTCTAATATCTGCGGTTTAAATCCTGAATGAAATAATTATCCAGTAAATTCATTACATGTTTTAAAAATTATGCCGAATTAGAACAAGCGCGCGCAAATTAATTTTGAATGCGCTGACAATTTTCGCACGCAATCGGTGGTCACTACACTTTATCCATGCTTAGATATGATAATTTATTTGCCAAAAATAGAAAGATAAGTGTATGTCATATTCTATTAATTTTACCGGTTATCTATATTGTGCATGCATGCATGCGTTCACAAGAGTATTTTTTTGTGCTGCATTGGCTTGAGGACTACTGGATTGTAATCGCGCTGTTACGATTACATGGGATATGGGAAGCTTTCCCCGACTGGTACCGGCGTTTACAAATTCTGAGATGTTTACTGGAAATTATAGTACTAATTATGAAAAATGGAGTTGCCTATTTGTGTTGCGTAATAACAGGCATGGCAAACCGTCAGCCTATCCGGCTCCAAAATACTCGTTTGGTAATCATTGATATGATCAGCAGTCCATTTCGTGCGGAGCGGAATGCTTTCATCAGTAAAAAAGTAATGAGATTTTCGTGCATACGGCAATATTGATGGATGAGCGCTATGAACAAAAAGACGACTGTACCATTATGTTTTGACTATTGGATCAACATTATGGCTCCCTAACTGACTGTGACGGGACAAAATAACACCCGTGCCACTGATCCTTACAAACGGCGTGCACACAGTTCGGCTGAAAACGCAGCTACCGAATCAACGTCCACAGCTAATTGTTGCCCTTTTTATCCCAGATCCCATTCCTATAATCGCATCCTTGCCTGTGTCGGATAAGTATGTTTTTATTACACTCTTTCCACTTGGATTCCCAACACATCATCTCAAAAAGCAATTTTTCATATTTAGCAACAAAGACTTATCCTCTTTAGCCTTTTCCCAGAGGATCGAAATTGAAAAAGCGAGCGCGCAAATTAGCGCGATATGACACTAAACGGCTTTAGTAGCTGTAATAAAGCATTCGAAATTTAGGTTGGAATTACAGTACGCTCTTAGCCTATAAGTTACTTGCGCTGCGGTCAAAACGGGTTACGGCGTTTTTAATCGAGTAAGTGCTCTTAGGAGCTTTAGAAATACGCAAGTTTGTATGGTAATAAAACATCTTAGTTTCGTCGCTCCATTGCATAAAAAATAATTTTTTCTAACATTTCGTTCCACTACTTCTCAAACATCATCTGCAGCTGTACAACTGACTACGCATACTCTAGAAAATATGAATGGCGCAATATGCATGCCACGTGTGTAACGCATCTCCTACATGCGAACATATATTATTAAATAGCAACTTGCCAACCTGTATATCCAAATTCAAAACCAATACATACAACAATACACAAGTACAGAGATAAAATTCAATATAATAATGAATTATATAATACGAATTGCGATTATTCAGAACATTATTGACCACTCTCCAATCAACCGTGAGATGATGAACATTTATGTAGATATTTGCAGACAAAGACAAAACGCTAGACTATATACATAGTGATTATGACGAAACCGGCTTGTGGCGAAAATTCCTGGATGGTCTATTGCTAACGATTTTTTAAACATTTCGAAGTGTTTGTAGACACTAGATTGGTTGCACTGTAACTATATTCGCTAATGAGTTCTGGAATCCAGGTCTACAGATAACAATTTGTTTTGTATCAGACTTGACCCAGGCACCATCCAGAATGTGGTGCATCAAACTCGTTTTTAAATATTAATACCTGGCTGAAGCAAAGGCTAATCAAAACAACAAAAGCAGGAAAATTATAACAGCTTGCATGATGATATCAGGCTTATACATGCATTCCACGTCTATAATTCATATTTACATAATATAGCTATGCTCACAGGAAAGAAACAGCACAAATACCGAACATATATAATGATAATTAATGTAACTGAAGTAAAATTATTAACTACGAGCATTTAGTGTTTCTTATCCCGGTAACGATGTCCTCACATGATTCACATTCCGTATTAGTTAAATTAAACGGCGGCTTGAAACTTCGCCATGATCAAATTAAGGGATTATAGAAATGTGCTCGCGTTTTCTTGTGCAGTAAGATTCGCGAAGCCGAAACTCTTTTGCGGCAAACTTTTAACGTCAACTTACCCTCGCTTATTTGCAAAAGTTAGAATAACCGGACTGCATCAGAGCATATTTAATGTCGGTACATTTTAGGACAGCAAAGGATGACAAGGATTTATCCTATATTTCTGCAAAGCAGGTCCATTGCGATTCCTCTCGTAATCCATCGTAAACTTCTGACGCGCCAGGCTCAATAATATTCCTGATAACACCGCTTGGTATCATAACATCAGTACTCATATCGAAGGCTCTGCGCAGAATTCCGTGTGCACTGCTGCAGTATCAGGGAATGTAAGAAAGGTCACAGAGCTAAATTTTTTCTGCATGTGATCGTACATTCAGTGGCAACAATGCCTGGAAAAACCTCGTTGCAATGGACGATCCGTGCTCGCTAATGCAATCTGACTGGCAGCTCACCGCCACATTAACGGGAAATGTGTTTTAGGTCGTACATCCACGTCTATACATGTGGAAGAACTAAGAGCCAAGTACCAGAAAGTCTTATATAGACCACCCGCCTGCATTGTGGACGGGCAATCAATAAATTTCACATACATATAACAAAACGATTATCGGCTTACCCCCGTTAGTCTCCTTATCAGCTTATATGCAGTAGGGTATTGGACGACTAGTTAAAAAGTAGTAGTGGAAAGCTGCACCGACATCTCTTTAAAAGCTTGACTTTTTGACTTTAACACATTTTTTCAAATCAGATAAGCATTCTACTTAACAGTAGTGATGATTTGCTTGTGTTCCTGCTTTCCCCTAAACCCTGACCGCGGACCATGAAGGAGAGAAACCATGCATATTGAAGAAAAAAAAAGCGAAAAGCTTTTATACATACAATTTAACAGCAGAAATTTTTCATGTAAATAATTACTATTTTACGTAATCAAAGCATGCACTCGTAGTTTCTTAACCCTTGTTTACTTTATATGCTTTATGCTTCTGTTCCTTAAAAACCCACGTAAAAACTATTATAAGTAGCGCTAGCTGTAGGATAATCAGGTGCTTAGCCGTTGCTTAGTTTGCTTTAGTGCGGGAGAAAACCTTCGCTACAAATGCCGATGATCGAGGGCACGCGCGAAATTAAAACTTATTATGACTATACTTTTTAGCATTTGTTACCACAGTTTGTGCAACGGAAGCAAAAACAGAAAACCGGTTTTCTCTACAGTTCACTTGGATGGTTTTGCAATGTTTCAGAAAACAACAACAATGCAGGAAACCGAAAAAAGGAAGAAAATCTTGGGAAAGGTCGATCAACAACAGTAGCAGTAACGATTGTGTAATTTTAAGCACAGATTAATTAGGTACTCGTATCAATCATAGCGTGCATGGATTTGGATTTTGTCTGCTACAGTAATTTTGCCAGATGGCTGGCAACAAAAAGGCGTAAAGATGTTAAATATTCAAAATATGTATGATATAGGATCGTGTGGGTCCTTGAACGGAAGCTGCAGAGAATCAGAAACTGATGAAGCTGGGTGACAGACATCGTCGCACAGCCTGCAGTGTCTTTTCAGGCCATGGGAGATTATGGTCGTGGCACAAAAGAATATTTTATCAAACAATTCTTACCGGTTAGGTAAACAATTACATAGCGGAGAGGTGAGCGCGAAATAATTTCTGGTTTCTTCAGAAAGGACATTTACGCAGCTTATACACGACCAGCAGTCTTAACACTTTCATGAGCACCAGCAGACTCTTTAAGAAAACCGCTTTTAAATTTCCGAAGAATCTGTAGCTGATCGAATGACCTTAAAATTTAAATTAGCTGCTTATATACAAAAAATACCCGTAATTAACTAACGCTAAAGGATCAAAATAATTCCAAACCTACTTACGAGTATTGTTAACTACGAATCCTGCCACGAGCAAAATTTAAGTACTCATACACAAAAGTTATTTTAAGACGTTGTGCAATGCTGGAGATCTTGGCAAAACTTCGCTACTTTTCGAAATTAAAGGAAGACATAATTATCACTGCCAGCATAAACACGGCACTATCGTTGAACAACAAGATGAGGCCGAATGTGAATCCAGCAGGGTTAGAAAGTGCACTTTTCGAACGAGCATGGTTTAAAATATTGTTTACTTCATAATTTGGTTATCAGCTAGGGTTTTAAACATCACATTCAGAAACATTACAAAACAAAGTAAGGTATACAGCATTAAGACCATCCGAACGTGGAACGGTCGATGTTACGGACAACGCATTTCAACTCTGTGTTAAAAAGCTAAGACCTTGGAGCAAGAACTCAAACGATCGCGTCGTTCTCCCATAGCATCTTTCAGCCACGCGCCCAGTTCGCGCAAAAACTTCGTACATGCTGGGCCAACTGCGCCGAAAGTTTCGAAAGCTAAAGGAACAAACGTAAACTCATTTGCCAGATATATTCGTATTTCCGGCGTTTTTCACCTTCAGAGTTCAGCTTTCCTGACCGCTCCTCCAGCTTGTGCGCTGCTGCTGATGACGGTGGACAAAGCAATTGTATCCACGCATGTTACGCCCCAAGCCAGTCGTATGCCATTTTTCCAAGGCAACTGCGATACACCATCCAGCCGGCGGTTATCGTCGTTGTTGGTTCTAAGCGGTTCCAGTACTTATAGCCGGCCGGTTTAAAATTAAAGCTGACCTTTGCGCCTTGGCGGAGCGGATGTGCTCGTGCCTAATGTTCACTAATTTCTGAAACTGCATGAACGTAATCTGTTGTGGTCATGAACTTAAAGTTTCGACTAGTATAATTCTGTATGCATTAGTAATATTATGTACATTATAGTTGCTGTATATATAAGCGTTTCGCGATCACAATCTGCCTTTGCCGCTTTTTAAGCGAGTTCTAATGGATTCCTAATGGGTGGTGTCCATTAAAAATCAAATGCTTCAGGGTAAATGTTAGAAAGATCTGTATTTGTCGTAATTCTTCAGTGTCCGGCAACTCCAGCGATCGGCGCTATAGCTGACAACATCCACTCCAAAACATTGTTCTGTAGCGGGGTACTTAGTGGTCCGGTCTAAAGACAGTAGGAACAATGCACTGCACAGTAAATACCGTATTTACGAGGGCCGTTCCAAAAGTTTTTAGCCACCGTGTGCCATCTTTCGCTGCAGCAAGTTTTCTTCTTCTCTTCCATAAAATATATTTCTTCAGTCTATCTACTTCGTAGAAGTCTATTTACTAACTCTCAAAAGGAATCCGCATGAAATTTACGCGGTAACGAAAATATCGTCCCCTGAAAACTTCTTACTCCTCTTTATCTATTTTTTTGCCTTTTGCCACGAAACAATTTTTCTGAAGTCAGAAATGATTTAAACGTTTGAGGTACTAAGGTACTTGAATAAAATGGGCCCGTAAAGAGATTAAAATGCAAAAAAAGGAAGCAAATGATCAAAAAGTGCATGTGCGCATTTTCTGGATGTTGAACCGTACGGAGTATAGCGAGTCAAAATCAATCTTCCCCAAGCTTATCAGAGAGGAGCTGCAGAACAACTTGGACACTGTTCCCTGCTAAATGTTTTGTCCCTCTGCTAATGTTTTCCATGATCATACGACAAATTCTGGATCATATATGGCTGTTATTCAGGATACACTTTTCTGGGTGTTAACTCAACCATGTTGTTCCTCAGTTCGAGTGCCTTCGTTGAAAACGAAGTGTTCAATGCACAATCCAAGTTTTACCAGTCGGTAACTTTAGAGCGTGATGGCGATGAATTAAGGAAAATAATAAAAAAATCGGCAGGAAATAAAACTTCAGCGTTCTTTGTTAGCTGTTTTGAAAATATTAGAGCAAGAATCGATTTTGGTGAAAGGTTAAGTGATTAATGACGCAAGGCATTTTCAAACCTGGCCATCCGTGCTTGAACAGATGCCACAGTCGCTATCCGTAAGCAGTATCACAGCACCCTATGATGATGTTATGAATGATACATTTTTTAAAAAAATAGTTCATAGTTCTATTAACGGGAAGAACACATCTTCGATTACCAGCACATAATTATAATAAAATAAACTGGCCGGTCATCTGCTAGAGTAGCGGAAATAAGAAAGTACAGTATGTAAAGAACTGCAGATGCATTCAATAGGGAAAGGTTACTTTGACCTGCTTTCATGTACCGCGAAAGTTCCCGCGGAATGATCATGAACACGAATTCCGTGCTACGTACCGGTTCACTTCCACATTAACGGTGGCCGCACGGCGAATCTTATCACGAATCTTATTACAGTACCTACATGTGCACAACAAATTATTGTAAAAGTTTGCGAATAATCCGTAGTACAGACAATATATTGCCCTACATGTATACCTTGGTAGGATAGAAGTATATATAACTGTACATGTATACCTTGGTAGGACTTACTGGTTAGTTTTTTAAACTTTTTTTTCCTGTTAATACATACATCAGTGATACATGTGTTGTTAGCGTTGTGACTGGATTTGGAATCTGTTCACCAAAAAACAGAAAAACAGAACTGTACTCGTACTTGATCGACTGGAGCGAAGCGAAGGCAGCGACTATCTATCCAAATACAACGGATAAACGCGATTTGTGTAATGGGTACGATCCCCGATCAGGATAGCATAGAGGAAGTGTTTCTGTTATAATATAATTATTTTATTTTTGGTACTGAGTGGTGAGTTTGTATCCGATATGCGATATCATGCATCAGACATTTAGAGTATTAATAATAAAGGTTTCACACACATAAAATATTGGTAGCTGGCGATTAATCGTGTAGAACGTGAATGACTCATGTGAGCGAGGTGCCGGTATTATAAGAGTAAGTAACCGCTACGCTGTTATTCCCGTACGTGAGAATGTTGCTGTTAGTTGATATTTTTTGTTTCCAAATCCCAGTCCTGCTTTTGCGGAGATGTTTTAGTTTGGCTACAGTTGCATTGTGGAACCATACTTCAAACCGGTAAACAACAGTTCACTAGTCCACCATGCTACCGTTTCTGTAAGTACTTGTTCTATCCAGTGCTGTCACTAGAAGTATGCCAATACCAGACGCTCACAGGAATCGCTATCTGCGATTAAATGGTTTTTCGTGATTCAGAACTGAAAATTTATTGGATAATTTGAGTAGGTACTTAAAAGCCGTTACAGTATAAAGCAGGCGATGACCCTACCGACAAACATGAATTTAAAGAGGAAGTAAGGATAAAGATAATACACGCATAATAGCACGCAATAAGTAGTACGTGAGATACATATCTGTACTACTTTACGTGACTACTGACTGTGTACTAGAAGTACTCGTAAATCGTAGAGTACTGACTAGCGCGCTTGCAAATGCCTTACAACAAATGCCGCCTACGATAATTATTTTATCGCAATAATTTGCTTGGTTTCATGGGAGACTGGGAGTGCCCAAATTATTTTTCAGGTCGCCTGCCGAATAGAGCGGTGCAGACTGCAGACAGTTTGGCGCCTTCTGATTTTGATTCATCGTACGTACAGTTTTGACGGATTGGGGTACATTTCGTGATTTTGGTGTGTTCTCTTCTAGATCTACTCTAGTATTGCAGTGCTACCGCATTATCGGTAAACCGAACAGGTGCGTGTTCAACTTACTGTTAATCTCAACTATTACTAAATTTAGAAGCGTTTATGCTTTCCTTTTGGACTTACAAATAGTTGTATGTACGAGTGCATCCATAAAAGCGCTCACCAATATCATCTTACTTTATTTTGGACTAAAAAAGAAAGTTGTACTGTATTCATTAGCAGCTAGCCAACTACTGACATCTAATCTTATGACAAAACCAAACGATATACGAAGCTAAAACCTCAACGGCATAGTGCAGCTTCGGATTTGGTGTGAACTGATTTCGCTTATAATAATTACAGTAGTCGCAACGGACAATCAGAAATGAACCCCACACAATATCCTGGCTTTGGATCTTCAAATTGGAATCAATTCAATGCGGATGGTGTACAAGCAATGCCTCAAGCAGGCTACCAACATGCGCCAGATATAACCGCCGGCACTCCCAGCCGGGTCCGATTAGAGAATATTGGAAATGGCTCCAGTAGGTCAAATCAGGTATGCTCACCTTACCATTAGTCACCTAACCCTCGTTGCCAGAATCTCGCGGTGCGGAAAGTCGATAGCTGAATCATATGGTTTTTTTGCTAATTCGTGACACTTCCCTATGAAGTTATGGAAACGGTGTATTGTGATGTGTCAACGTCAACGTCAACGCAAACGCTTTAATTTTTCACCTAATACTTACCGCTACGGGCGTCAGGGTGCGATTTATTATTATTATTCATCTTGGAGTAGGTACTAGATAGCCCATTTCCGGCTAAGGTGACATACAGAATGACTGTACTAGAGCATGGCATTTTTAACCTGGCTGGAGAAATGCTGAAAATAATAACATCAATGAACTAAAAACTGTTTTAAAGCCCACCAGCACAGTCGCTTGTCAGTACACAAAACAATTTACTTACTGTTAGCAGAAATCATTTGCATACAATTGATACAAAGCGCTTTCAAAACAGCCAAGGATATGTACCGTAATTCAAAAATTTACATATAATATAGAATTCAAGAATTTATATTATATAAATATATTACTGCCGCAAATTCTATGCTCGATTCTTTTATTTTGGGGAAGCAGTAATTAAATTTCGCGAAATAATGCCATAAATGAATTTGATTTAGTTTTGAATTTGATTTTGATTTGATTCAAAATCAAAAGCACAACATTAATTGATTCTTACTTACTGTTTATAGAATAAATGAGTAATATCGTTTTTCTTGGAAATTGGAATACAATTACAGTACTAAGTCTTACGTGTATTGCCTACAGGCCATGTTTGTGACTTTATATTGGCAATATGGGTAATAAATTATGGGTATGGCCTGATGGCCATACTTCTATCAGATGAAAGGTTCTATGGGTGATGGGGCTGGGGCACACTGACTCAATCGTCGTCTGGTTCAGAACTCCAAAGGGAGAGAAAGCATGTGCCCGAAATGCGCGGCTGTGCTGACTGGTGAGAGTTCTGTCACAGACTCACAACAGACTGCAGTGTTACTTACATGTAAGTGCCACTGTGCACTGTGTGTACATGCGTGCAACTGCAAATCACTCGCCAGCCGCCTCTCTATTCTAGGGCTATGGTGGTGGTTTTAAATCTGAATTTAGTAAATAAATATTTGCACGCAGTTCTGTTTACGTTTTTCTGTGCTTGATTGATATTTTTATATATTTATGAATTATATAAGAAAGAGCCTGCAGAGGACAGAAGTATTAACGTTATAGTATAGGTACGTATTTTTATAGACCTTGCTTTGGCCGTTGGTGATTAGTTTGCCTATTGCAGAATCAAGCTATCCAGTACCACCTCAGCTCCATGCACCACACCATGAACAGCCAAAGAGGCCCTGCACCTAATGGCTCGACGAACCCGTTCCCCGCTAATCAAGGGCAGCAACGGCTGCCTGCCGGATTCCATGGGCAGTCGCTGCGTCCTAGTGGGGTCCAACAAATGTACGGACAGCAGATCATGCATCCCTCCGACATGCAGAATGCGTACCCGCAGAACCTGTGGATTCAACAGGGGCAAGGACCCCAAGGCCCCGCGGCCGATCCTGTACAGATCCTGGCACAGCAGCAGCATCGAATGCAGCGGCAGAATGTCGCAGCAGTGGCACACGCTCAGAACTCCAGAATGAACGCGGGTAACGGCCCCTACGGGGTGAGCGGCCCTTCTAATCAGCCAGATTTTGAGTATGGATCCGGGTACGGCATGCAGCTGATCCAGAATCCTGCGTTCATGCAAATGCCTCTGTTAGCCCCGCTGTGCAGAACGTGCGCATGAACAGTCCAGGACCGATTCGTGTGGCCAGTGTTTCAGCGGAAGTCCTTCCTTCCGCTCATCTGCCCGCCGCTGCTTCCGCGCCTGTCTCCGTACAGCCAGCCTCGCAGTTGCCGCCGCACTGCGGCTACGACTTCGAGTGCCTGTTTTGCCAGGAGTCCCTGCCCACTGCCAGTCCTTTGGTAATTTCGGAGACCGAATTTCGCCAACATACGAGGCAGAGCGCGTACTGTTATAAAAAGAACCTGGATCACATTAATGAAATGATGAGACAAGGAAATATGGAAGGGGACAATCCAGTGGCGAATGGACAGGTGAAACAGCAGTTGGTGTGTCGGCTCTGCAAAGATGGAGGGCAGATTAACCGATACAAGCTGGCAGATCTGGAGCTTGTGGGTGGGTGCGGTAGATTATTTCGACTGTATCATGTGGTTCCAGCGTTGCAAACCTACTATTTATCATTTTATCCTTAACAGTGATAACGGTATTACGGTAATAATTAATATTAGCCACCTTTTTATGGTCGACTTATTCCGTATTTTATTGGGGCTTTGAATGGTAGTTGGTTGCTTCCTTCATCACCTCATTAACACTTGCCACGTTTGCAACGGCTTCTCCGCCTATGATAATATTTTCCTTACGAATGGATCTGATTTTATGTAATTTTTTGTGCAACATCGGTCCTCCTTGTCATTGCAGCTCATCATATGCAACGCTACCACACCGGCTCCGCTGCAGTGCAAGCCAGTCCTGCTTCCACACCCCCATCGAATCCTGCCTCTGTCTTCGTAAATCAACAGCGTCGGTCGTCAGGGGACCTGGTTACAGTTGGAGAGTACATGCAAGGAGTGATCGAGCACCAGGTGCCGGGAGCACATGTTCCACGGACTTCCAGTCCTCGTGTGTACAATCCTGCCCAAACACAGGCGGGTTACAATATGACGCCACAGAGTACTCACGCACAGCAGATAGCACGAGCGCAGCATGTGCTTGCGCAGCAGCCGCTACAGCAACGGCGTAGCGGTCCGCAGCCCAACTCGTCTATGCCTGCTGGGCGGCCGGTACTTGGGGAACGCCGGAGTCAGGATAGCCCTGTCACTCAGCACTATGTCCAGGACCAACCAGTGCAGGTATTCACTGGATGAAGCGTTAAAAGAAAATATTTACCGTTAATTTAATGGTCACCGTTAAAGAAATTAGTTTTGGCACATGTATGTTTCGTGTCATAGAACCGTGAGATCGTCATGGGAATGGGGAACTCCCCTGTTGAGGGTCGTAGTGGTACGCCGGGGGGTCGGAATACTGCTAGTATATCTGGTATTGCTGCGCTGCTTGCGCAGCGAGGTGTCGGTCATGGCGAAGTTGCGAGTGTGCCGGAACAGGACCCTGAAGTGATCGCAGCACAGCCACCAGTTGCGTTTCCAGCGGCTTCCCCAGCTAAAGGACCTGCCCAAGCCGCCGAACAGGCACCAGTTGATGCTGCTCCTGGGGTCGTGGAACAGGCGCTGGCACCAAACTCTGTCCAAGTTGTCGCCGATGTCAGCCCACCACCAGCTTATCACGCAGCCGTAGCTGCTGTCCATATGTGAGTTCGCTAATGGGCAACATTCCGTTTATGCGAAAATTACTGTTTCTGGTAAACTGATAGTGCTTGTGAAATGTACAGGTTGTTTTTTCACTTTTCGAACGTTTCTCATTAAACAGACTGCAGTCGGTTTTGAAATGTATTAATAGAGAAATATATAGGTAAAAATGTAGAATATATATATGTTCATGGTGATACCTGTGTGGAAAAGCGTTATATGTATCCGATGGTATGATTGGAGCAGACAGTACTCTCAGCAAGTATGGAAATTTGTAATGTTTTCAATACAATGTCATGGTGTGGCTTTATCGTTCTAGGGAGGGAGTGCGTGTGACAAACCGAGCTTCTGGTGCATCGGTTCTGGCACCAGACTCATCTACGTCACCCGATGGCGAACCAGCACAGAACATCACATCTACAAAAACCGGGTAAGTCCAATTTTGCGAAAACATGTTGGAAAACATGTTGCATATTCTATCTGCGCATTTCTGCAGAGTTTAGGATCTAAATGCTGATTGCTTCTCCGGTTTGCAGCAGCTTTGAGTTAATTTACCAGTAACCTTTTTTAAAGTGATTTGGTTTGCCCTTTTCCTGATTTTTCTGCATGCTTTAAATGATTTCTGGTTTTAAATATATGCAGACAAGAATATCTTTGTCGCATCTTAATTTGTCCTTCCGTCCGAAATCCCTCACTAATACGCTATTTTTCGCTACTCTTATGTATGATTCTTTTGCTTTGTGTGTAGCTCACATTTGTCTAAAAGGAAAACCCGAGCTCCACTGAAGCGAACTGAGCGTGCTGGATCGTAAGTGATTAGATTAAGTGATTGCTGGATGATGCAGTGTTTTATGTTTGTCTTCTTTGGATTTTTGTGGATTGCAATCTATTTTAGCTTTTTAAAAGAGAAACTTCTCAAACCAATCTGTGCTGGATGGCTGTTTTTCTGGCTTCAGTACTACAGTAGTAATACCGACACTCGTGTATCGAAAGTCTGAATGGTTTGGGCTTTCCAGGGTGGAAATAATCGAATCAGTGAGAGCTGGTGGAGATGATTTGGCAGACCTTTCGTGTGATTCGGATGGAAATCCAGTTGTAAGTGAAGATGAGCCGATGCCGGAACCCGTTAAGCCCTGTGAAGTCAAAATGGAACCTCAACCTGCCGCGCAGCACCACGATGAATTTTTCTTCCCGGATATCAGTCGAAGTGCACATGCAGTGCTTGGGGAAGCGCTGTCAGTGGAAACTTCTATCCCTGCAGTCACCGAGCAGCGTTGTTCTAGCATTGATTCTACTAAAGAAAATGCTATGGTAGATGGTCTTTCCGTTGTTACTACTGCGGGACGCCTACCACTACGCGAAACGGCGAAGAACGCGGTTAGGCAAAAAATTATCACACGACGTTGGATCTGTAAGTGTGGAGATTCGATGGAATCACGGGATGAATTCAAGCGACATTATGCTAAGCACCAAAAGGTTCTGCCGCGCTCTCGATCCGGCGTGCGCTACCTTTGCCCGCGGGAACTGTGCAATTATTTGGCCGAAGATGCAGATGATTTTGCGACACATGTCGCTCGCCATATCCTTCTGCAGCACTATTATCGCATGGAGAAAATTAAACGGGAAGCAGCCGAACAACTCCCTTCGTCCAAAAAGAAGTGAACAGCGATTATGACGAGGAAAGAAGTTTGCAAAAAATGGATGATTTTCTGTTTGAATAAGCAAATCTTTGTTAATAAGCAGGTCTACGTGGCGCATACATTGTTTGGTATTTCTAACTTCTAAAAGCTTGTTGCTTACGGATTATAATCGTTGGTAAATTTTCATTTTAAAGAATTCATGGGACTTTTTTCTGTATTATCTGTGGTACCACATCATACCGCTTTTTTCATGTTTTTCTGTTTTCACAGCCCTTTGATTCCGCTTTTAAGTCATGAACAAGACTAAAGATCCGTTTCTTTTAATGACTGTTATAGTATTTGAAACATTGTGTGAATAATGCGTTGTTACTCAATAAATACTAGTAGTAGTAGATATATCGAAGCAAACGGCAAAATGGATGCAACAGGAGGTTATTTCAGATAAAATAATTAATCCATAGTTACAGAGGCAACGCCGCCATTAAACAATGTAACAACTTTTGATGTAATTAAACAATTTAAATGAGTCATTTTGATTAGTGTGTCCAGCGCACAGGCACTTTTATGTGTGGTGGCTATTGCCAAATAAAAATGTCTATGTACTCTATACATATCTTTAATAAGTAAGTACGGTACTTCCAGTACTCGTAGTAATGAGTCCATTGTTAATCCGACAAACTTTGCTCATTCTTACAAACTTCCAAAAACTACATGGTGCAATTTGCAAAATTATTTGTAAATCTGCGGAAAATAGAGATCGAAAAATATACATTTTGTCACTGTGTTTTTAATCACTAACTATCGCTGAGTAAATGAAAGTGCGAAGGAGCTAATACTAACTGCGCGAAATGATTTAGCGCACCCGACGATTGTTGCAAGTACGTTATGAGACCAAGTGCATATTATGATCTTGGGAAAGCAGGATCCATCTTCCCTAATTGCTGCGAATTAATTTACTGAGGATAAGAGAAATCGCGAAACCAGACGGCTTCCGCACTTCCGGCTGGAATGGCAGGAGGAGTGAGCTCAATTGTGCGGCCAGTGAATTCCTGCTCAAAGTATCTGGTGTCTGTACTTTCGCTGGACACCTGAGGCTTGAATGGTGGCGCAACCTACGGTAATTATAATCACAATTGCGGTTACATCAAACACCGTATGATTAATTTGATCAATAAGGATGGTTTTACTCTTCGGGCGTATAATTCATCCCAGTCGATTTCTACGAAATATTTGTGCGCTTGGATCTCCTTGTAATCTCCCGGACCACCTCCAAGTCTGTAAATATTGTAAAACATTATTCAAAGCTCTGTACGAATTCTTTTTATTTATAACAAGGCAAGCATTTGCCAGGCACACAATGCATGGAAAGAGCCGATCATGCCATACGAATACAAGCAATGCACTACTTCTAAAATTCATTAAATCTTGACCTTTCATCTCAAACGAGGCGAAGCTCCTTGAGATTTGTATGCATGCATAAGCATATCTATATAACGTGCGATAAACAATAAATAACACGATCATGCCGGCTTTGCATGAAATTCTCCTTTTGCAGCATTCAGCATATGGTCCTTGTTTACTATCTGACCTTTTAGCGGGTTTCTTATTTAACAATCCGGATAACAGGCTTCTGGCCTCTCGTGACAATGTTTTCGGGTATCTGACGTCGTACAGCACGATCATGTCGAATAGCACATCATGACTGCGATGGTGAAAGGGCAGGCGTCCACACAGCATTTCGTACAGCACAACACCCAACGCCCACCAGTCGACAGCGCGACCATAATCAACATCATCCAGGACCTGCATTTATACACAGGGAAAGGATATTTCTTGTCAGATTTATTAGTTTTCTTTGATATTTGCAGCACGACGAAACCTTACTTCCGGTGCGAGGTACTCGGGAGTGCCGCAGAATGTTTTTGTACGGTCGCTAAATCGTAAATCCGCCTTGCATAATCCGAAGTCGGTCAGTTTTATATGGCCATCTGAGTCAAGTAAGATATTTTCCAGCTGAAACGCACAAAATTATTAATAACTATGACGTTTATGACAATTGTAAATACGGGTTTCACCCATCCAGAATCAGTGGCTGTTACTGTTATCAGCAAGACCTGTGTATTGCATTGTACGCGTTATAATAAGTTGTTTTTGGTTCAGTTACGTGTGCCATTCCAGGCAATGAAGTCTATGTTCACTACGCCAGTTATGATATTAATAATATTATTTTTGTCCCAGATACTGCTCCTAAACTATATTAAATTTATTTTTACTTGTTGTCGTATCATTTTATGCACGGTGTATAGCGTCTTCTCATGATGCTTATCACTGAATCGCAGGATACTAAAAATTGTGTCAGGCGTAATATAAATAAAAATTTAAAACTGTCAAAGGTGAGTAAAACGAATCGGATCGCAAACAGTCTCACAGGACAATTATACGCTATAAAAAGCGCAAGCAAACCTCAAACCTGCACTGGCTGCACATCGTTTGGACTTCTAATATTCCGTTGCATAAAACTAGAACTTTCTGTAATTAAGTCGGAGCAAATAACATAGAACATAGAAAAAACATAGACATAGAAACATAGAAACTGCCTTAACATAGAAACATATTAACATAGAAACTACCGTTTGTGTTTAGTGTACAGCAATGTTGTAACTTAAAATGGTAAGCTGCTATCAACATGCAGTTGCAGTAACACTGAAAAGGGAAATTTAAAGGCTCCCGCCTTTCGGCCTCCAAGCAATTTTTATAGACTACAGATTGTGGTAACCGAAATTAGCTTTCGGTAGTAAGCAAACTAATACCTTAAGATCGCGATAAATGATGTTGTTTTCGTGAAGATATCCTAATCCAAGTACGATCTCCGCTCCATAAAACCGCACTCGAGCTTCGTCAAATGTCCGTTCTCGAGAAAGATGAAAGAACAGCTCTCCACCATTTACGTATTCCATCACAAAGCACAATCGGTCCCGAGTTTGGAAAGCATATTGTAAATACTGCAATTACAGCGATGTTCAGTATAGCGGAAGCAACACGAAAACAGCACTACCGCCACCGTGCATACATGGAGCAGACATTTTCCTACAATAATATGCACATACATATTGTATATATAAAAATACGACGTAAAACTTAGGCGCATTTGTGACACACTATGAAATTTGTACGTACTGCATGTACATTATCGTACTGGTAAACTGCACTTTTGTTTGCAATAATATAAAAAGTATGACTGTTTCCACAAACAAAAGCTACAAACGAGTGCAGAATTGTTATTTGTTAACTATGAACTTTTACGTTAACCAGTATCCAAGTACAACTGCGTTAATTATGATATTTAACTACTGTATATTTATGGCAACTGTCATAAGTTGAATTTTGAATAATTTCAAGGTATTCTGTAAGTATTTAAAATAATATATACTGGCTTTGCTAACGATGGCTAGATCGCTTTAAGAAAGAACATGAGGGATAAACGACCAGAGAATATAAAAGGCATACAATCGTTGAGGCTTCCTGACAAAATCCGGGAAGACTGTCATAGCTGATTGTCATGTCATATGACATGACATTGACAATCGTGGAAATATTCTGCAGCCATTTCCGTACCGTAAGAAAAGGATGTCTAGTTGATTGCAGAACCCGTCGCTCCGTCAGCGTATGCTCCACTTCATCTTTACTGATAATCACTTCTTTGCGTAGCATTTTGACAGCGTATAGTTTGCCGCTTGATCGCTCTTTGCCTAACATCACTTTTCCGAAAGTCCCTTTTCCCAGGAGCTTTATGTATTCGAAATCATCCAATTTCTTCGTGTGAAAGGAGATGAATACATGAATTAAATTTCCTAATTGTTGTAGCTGCCGTGACAAGAAAGCCGCATTTGTAAATACATACCATTTTTAGCGTTGTTGAAGGATCGCGAACAGTGTAGAGCTTGTCGCTTTTGGTATTCATGCTGGGTGCTACACAATCAGCGGATACGATAAATTTGTCTGCAAGCGACTGGATGGAACTGCACCATAATTCCCTACATAAACAGATACCGACATGTATCTAACAAGACAGACTTCAAAGTAAATTAAAGAATAACACTGCAAGTTTGTAAAGGTTCACGCAGTACGCCAATGAATGTATAAAATAAGCCAGCACAAATTTGAGTTTGTTTGGCAGCTTTTTCTTAACGGTTATTAAAAGTTATTAAGCCTTTCTTCTTTCTATCAGCAGCGCTTTCAGCTAATTAGTGAGCGGCGGCGGGTACACTGTACAATACCTACTTAGTTGTTTCTGTACAATACAAACGCTTCTCAAGTCTTCAGTTTATCAAAAGGTGGCCTTAATTAAATATGCGTGATAAATCAGGAAGCATATATAGAAGTATGTATTTACTAGCTCAACAGGACATATGACTATGAACAGCAGAAATAAATGCAGCGATACAATGCTAAATTTTAATGCAACCTTTCTTCGGCTGATTCCACATGGAACATCCTTTCTATTGTGACAGAATCTTGTTGCAGAGCTCGCATGATAAAAGTAAACGGTTTCGGGCGGTCAGTCTTCAAAATCTGCGAACCTTAACAAAAAAACAAGCATGTAAATATGTAATTACAAATTAAAAGTACCTCTGAAATTAGCCTTATAATATCGGAACCAGGTATGTACCGGTACTATCGTTATTAGTTTATTATCATGGAATTTAACGAACATTTCTGCATATAAACAGTAACTCTGTTCACGTCGTTCTCATAGTAAAATTGAGAAGACGACGTCCTGGCTAATAGAATGACATTAATTTCATAAATAAATAAAGTAGTAAATTACAGTGATGCACAATCAGTCAATCACGACGGATTTAGCTCTCGTAAGCAATAAATCCTTCGGTACATCGCGCCGGATGTGCGGTTTGCACGTGTTTTCTATTTTTCTATGGGTGTGTTGGACTGACAAAGGTATATTCTGCAGTAACCACAACGTACACATTTATACATTTTTGCTTTTAAAGTAAAAGATGCATGTAGATGCCAATAGCCTTCACACTTTGCAAACAACCCTGGGATTGTGCTGCACCAGTCTATGAAAAGCGGATAGTCCCGACGTAGCGAAGTTGTCAATACGTCTTAACCCTAACAACACTTTTATTCGTAATGAAACTTTAAAAACTCATCAAAAACTTGGCAGCATTCATAAAAACGCCAAGTAATGAAGCCATTACTGGCATTCTCACGGGGTAAAATGTTAATCCCGGTTGGAAGCTACCCCTACCCTTTACTCGTACTGGTGGAAAACATGGCAGCCTCAACGGAATACTTTACTTGTCAGCAGCTACAATCTGCATCCGCACTCGCGCTGATAAACACATGTCATCTAAAATTATCCATTACACAACATTAACTATGTATGCTTTTTCCATTATCACACCTAATACGTCTTCTCAAGATCTGGCAACTCGATGAATTTTTTATAATCCGCAAAACCACGCAGGAACGTCGTTAATGTGATGTGCACGTCTACGCTCCATCAGCAACATTCCCAGTTGTACAACGACAACTACGGCTGCGGTGTGTGATTCAGATGACAGACAGATTTGTCAGCAGGATATGGCACCCGATTCCAACAACATTATACATTATTTATTGTCAAGTCGCTAAAATATTAAATTAACAATTCTATGATACGATTTTAATTTTTCAGTGTACACACCTATTTTCAAAACTGGAGTTAATTAGGCTAACCCGGTTTAAGAACTGATTTTGATTCGGCTAACTAAATGATAGTCATGCATTAATTTTAAGCGTATATGAAGATTTCGACACCCGGCTTTAGCGACACGTACGTGGTCCTGACCATGATACTGTAACTCACCAGTCAGTTCACTCAGTTGTAAAATACGGAAAAAGATTGAAACTTATTCTGGCATGAATTACCTATGTTGAACATGGCTAAAAATTATTATCACCGACTTAGTGACGGAATAATTTACAAAAACCTATTCCCTAAATTTTACAGATATAATTTATGCATTCTAAGTAAACCGTTATAAGACTATAATCATCTATTAGTTCACAAACGCAATCTGCAGTAACTTATAAGGACTTATATGTACTTAAAAGGACTAATTGCAAGTCATGCAACTGCATGACGTTTACCTTTAACTGTAAAGTCATTTAGCGGATTAGCCAAATCATCTCCGGGAGCAGTCTTAAATCCCAGAAGTGACCCATTTGACAGCAACACAAAGTATCGTGGTCGCCAGTTTTTGATGTGCTCGCCTTAAAACACAACAGTACACGTGTGCACAAGCAGGGAGATGTTATACAATATAACCGTAAGCATCTATAAAAATAGGATAAATTATATTACATTAAAAGCGTTCCGTAAATCGAGCAAAAACATTCAAATATATTTTTGTGTAGCTAACAGCGTCGTCACCTCGCTTCATTAACCACCCTTCACGGATCCTAACGGGCGCCTCGGGTATTGTTGGAAACTGGGAGTTGGTCATAATCAACCGGAAGTGAACAACTAGCGGGGCTGGCAACTGTTGGAATGATTTTTGGAGGAGGCCGATTAAGCGGCGAGACTGAAAAAAGGCCCCGTGAATAATCAAGTAGAATCCCGCTGAGCTGTTAAATCCAGACGCACCAGCCAGTTGTGCAGCAGGAATTGATACACTGCGTGTGTATGTTGACGGCTGCAGTGTGTGCTGTCAACCAGTGCCTACTACCGGCTGAGCACTAAATAAATGCGCCGCGTATCTGTTGCGGCGCTGGCTTTTTAATTTGCCACAGCATGATCCGCCCGCTAATGCCCGGCGCATCGGGCACCGGGACGCCCAGGATCCCGTTGGAAAAATACATGCAGTATTCCCAGAGAATTGTGCAATCGGCGTACAGTCTTTATACGGTCACGTCAGTCCGATTACACGGATCAGGTGATCCTGTGCTATTCGACGGCGCCCAGCAGAAGACAGAGATTAGCGAAGCGCGCGCGCGGCCACTATTGTGTATTAACATGCGCAGCTGTGCGGTACACGGAAGCCGACGTAAATCCCTTTGACCAACATGATTGCAGAGAACTACCGAACCTGCAAATTAAAGTTGGCGCCGACAACGCAGCCTGGCTTCTGATTTTATCATTAGCAGCTGTGTGCTGTCTTGCTCGCACAGTTCTGTACAGTATCCTGGCTCAATTTCCTGTTGCACACTTGTGTAATCAGTCTTCTAAGGGCAGCTATCAACGATGGCTTAACGTTGTGGAGTTTCTGATTACCTACAAAGCTACAGCGAACCGGCTTGCAATAATTATCCACTGAGTCAAACAAACGGGACGAGCGCGTCATTTCAAACAGCTGAGAATAGTGCTGAAAACGACACGTGAAGCGTCATTAAGAAGGAGGAGACGCTTCTTTGTTTCTGTAATTGTGCCATGCGAATTCGCAGCGCTGCTCCGGGGATTGTGATAATACTAACATTCCATGAGTAATGTAGGGCGTTATGTACTTATCTGGTAGAGTACATGCGTGTTTCTTCCGTTTTGAGCTTACTAATTGGTCGATTGTATGCGCCGTATAATGACGTCGGCGCTGTTTTACGTTTTGCTAACTTTCCCATGTATAAGCAGAGAAGTGATCATCTGTTTTGGGATAGCGAAAGTCAGTCTAGACAAAAGTGATGTGTGAACTTGCAATTGCTAATAAGAACTTGTGTTATGAGAGCTCTCGTGTCTTCTGTAGCGAAAACATTAGTGTGTGTACCTACCGGAAGTCACAATTATCTGGATAACTACATCATCCAGATCGTATTCGTGCACGTAGTTGGATTACTGGTAAAGTGTTTTGCTAGTAGTCAGAGGATTAGGCATAAGAAATAGTTCATAGTGTTTATTTCCCACTTTATCTGCTGAGTTTGGATGGTCATCTAGTACGGTAGATGTAGTGCATCTTCCGTATAGCATGTCAATACATTATAAATTTTATCCCCTCCTTCGAACGGGCATACTACGCACTGTCAGTTTAAAAACACTATTATTAATGTTCGGGGTAGAATTCTTTATGCGTGCGTTATTTTAATTTAAGATATACCTAGAGGGTTATACTGTATCTTCAACAGGAATATCCGAGTGTAAAGTCGGCCGAAAACAGATAAATACCTACCCGGTTTATGCATGCAATCTACCGTACAACAGGTTATGCAGTCCATTCGTTACCTCACTGCAAACTGTGGAAATGTATTCAAGCACGACAAAGCCGGCACGTATTCATTTAACAACATAATCTTGTATTTAATGCTAAAATTAATACTACTTGGAGAAGCGTACTGTAATATCTGGTAGACAAATGGTAAGTACCCCTGACCATGTATAACCCAGCTTATTGAGAAATTACGGACATGATTACATTTCCTTGATTCAAATAAATATATGGTCCGTGCAGGGCATCCATGATTGATTTCGTACAATCATATCGTACGAGCAGGCTGCAATTGACTTTGAGCAATACTCATTTGACCATGAGGAAGCTGGCGTGAGATCCATGGTTCCTTTACAAACGCGCAGCCCAAAGCGTTCAGACAATAGGACTGACATTTAGTAATAAGCATTGGATCCTAACGATGGAAATGTTCCTCCGTTTGAAAATTTGCACCACCGACACTTCATGAGCAATTTGTCCACTTTCGGAAAAACGCTCGGTTGACTAACGATAATAAATTACTACTGTATATTGTTAATACAACTACGAGTACCCAGTAGTGATAAAGCTGAAGGGCATAGGCATCAAATATTTTGTGCAGAAGCAGAGAAGTTCTTCGAAGGATTCGTTATCATGTTCAAGTCTGTTATAATACTTCAAAATTTAAAATATTAAAATAGACTTCAAACTGATCATAATATTATAATAATTATTATTTAATGCGTTTGATAATACGTCTGTTAGGGAATAATATGAATAATAATAATTCAAGAAAAATCTGATACGTGATTTTGATGATCCGCCCGTAGTGACCGTACTCCAACAACCTCCCTTGACCGGCAGTCTGTGAGGTATAGAACACAACTGTTCGACAGCGTTTGAAACTCACTTTCAAAAATCAAATTATTTTCTGTTGTTTTTTTAAGTTTTGATCGCATTCGCATCTTTTAATCGTAAGGCTTGTTTGATTTCAAATTTTTAAGGCCACAGTGGGGACTCGGTAAAGACGTTTCTCCGTGAATAAGGTTAACCCATCCAGCTGTCTGCTATCTGCACCTGATTTCGTGAACGGTGAGCCGTGATATGCCTTGTTGTGTTTGTTATGATGAATGTTATCATAAATATCATTGCGTGAATTGGATGGGTGTTTTTGTCAGATTTAACTTTTGAGGAATGTCGAGCGAGACACCATCGAACCTGGTGCGTAAGAATTAATTCGGCATTTTATTCACCATTACGACACCGTCATGCCAGGAATGCAGCTCGCGCGGACTTGTCTGCGGACGTGGACCGTCGCCAGCTCCTTGGTTCTGGCGCGTTCTCTCACGTGTGCGAGTTTGTCAACTTCTGCTGTTGCGTTTAAGGTTAATAAGGACGATCTCAAGGAGAGATTGACGCCCATGCAGTACCATGTGACCCAGGAGAAAGGAACGGAAAGGTACACAGTATTTTAATTTCGCTGCGGTAGGCTGGTGTACAAAAATGTTTTCCTTTGCAATATTTCCTAGTTCGCGATATTGTGTGTAATTGTGCAGTCCGCTGATAAAGACGAGTTATTTCACGTTGTACAGGGCCTTTACGGGAGTGTACACGAACAACAAGGAGCCTGGCACCTACCACTGCGTTGTGTGTAATGAAGTCCTGTTTTCAAGTGGCTCTAAATACAACAGCGGATGTGGTTGGCCAGCGTTTTCCGATGTGCTTGATAAAAGCAAAGTGGTCTTGACGCCGGATCTCTCCTTGGGTATGTAGTGATCAGTAATTTAATTCATTGCGTTTTCTGCAGTATCCGCGCTTTTCTAATCACTACGAAAGACGGCGATTTGTTTTTGCTTTGAGGTAAGTAGGCTTTCCATAGAAAAATTATAACTGATACCGTTCGAAAATTTGGTGTAGTTCCAGAGTTGTCAACTTGTCAATAGCTGCTTTTGTCAGAACTCACTTTTATTACTTACCTCTAAATAATTGGCAAGGTTTTTATGAAAATCAATGGGGAAATTCTATACCTTTGTACAATTTTACGAAAATATAATTGTAGCATATCTGTATCGTGTACGGTAGAGCCGGGCGGTGTTTGAGGTAGTTCTGAAGCATGCATATAACCAGTATAGTTTTGTGTTTGCTATACGTTTACCAGTTTTACTTAGTTAATATTGTAAAAAATAATACAATTAATGATCTATGACATGCTTAATGTGAGGCGGTGTTTTTGAGTCAGTGCTTGGGCGTGTTGTGGTTTTTTACTAACACTTGGTGACGGTCTTCTCCATTAACTGAGTGTGCGACTTTGTGTGTTTCTTCCCCGCGTGTTCATCTTTGTGTCGGCGTACTAACCACAGTCGGAAGGAATATTCTCTTATTGGCTATCAATCCAGGAATGGAACGGACAGAAGTGACGTGCAAGAATTGTGGAGCACATCTGGGCCATGTCTTCGACGACGGACCTCAGCCCACGGGTCAACGCTACTGCATCAACTCCTGTGCTTTGAACTTTGCCAAGAAGGAAGGCTAAAACTGGAAATGGGACACATCTGGGCTGCAGCTTTTCGTGATTACTTTTAGTACCTTTTTGTGCAGTGCTTTCTCTTTCGACATGCCAGGCTTTATACAGGTTTTGTTGAGCTTCGAAAAAGCTGCCGGATTTTGTTATTGTTTAAGCTGACGGTTTTTACAAACTCGGCGTAAAAACCGCCTCTTTATTGCGGGTTATTTTCCGATTTACAACAGTTTTAATTGTCATTCTGTACTTGTATTTATCACCTTTTTTAAATATATTTGTGGAACATCGTTGTGTTGTTCGAAACTTGAGCTGCTTTGCATGTCTCCAACATTGACAGGATGTATATATCGCGATTACAAAACAGTAGCAAACATTCTCATGCTCCTCATCTGTATACAGAGTAGTTATTGCACAGTTTTGGAAGAATAGACAAACTTTCATGAACTTCCTGAATCTGTTCTTGTGATAATGAGAAGTGTAGTTTCTGCCAAGTTTAATAATAATTGTATAACCGCACATTAGTAGTTAAAACACAAAGACAAGTAAACAACAACGTAACAATAAAGATCCAGTACACTTTAGGCACAAACGGTGTTGTCATTAGCATCATGTACAAGAGCAAAAATGAGCATTTTCAAATAGGGTCACATCAATCTTTGGCTATCAACAAATTGGTTCCAGTGGACATTGAATGAAATACTCAGCTATTGCTGGTCATGTATCGATACTGACTCATTGAGAAACAACCGGAAGCCAATCGGGACACTTTTATTGCTGCGCATGTGGAGACGCATTGTCTATGAATAGAAGCTGCCATCAGTGGTTAACCGGTGCATTGATCGTGATTCCGTGGCTTTTCTTGGCTCAACCTGGAAAGAATTGGAAGCGGCGCGAGGCAGTGTGTTGCGCGCAATGGGTGGTACAATGTTGTAACGCCGGGTACTCGTCAAATCCACCGGTACGGTGTCGGTCTCGTCCTCCTCGGTGTAATGGGTGTTATATAACGGAATCCGTTGTTCCCGCGTTTTCGCACTGAGCGCTCGTGCCGCCGCACTCGACTGCGACATCACAGTCTTTGATTTGTTTTTCTGTTGCTTCCGCTTGATTAAAAGGTGCACAAGCAGGAAGAGCATTATCAGCAGCAACCCAATCCCAGCAGAAAGACAGGCATATAGTATGCATTTTTCCTTGTTTTCTGCAAGCACGATAAAACTTGCAAAATGTGAATTCTTATTTAAGCAAAAATCATCACCATGAATTTTTGTAACGAAGAGGGTTAAACCGATTTCACATTCGTGGTTTTTTTGGGCGACTCATACCGAATACATGCGTTATTTATTTCTCTACCACAAATATAGATATGATGTGCGTAATACAGTATTTCTACGATCACTTTTCGCATAATCGTACATGCACTACTTCTAAGTATGGCAAAACTCGAAATACAGTAGTAAACATTAAAAACGCGAATCTCTGCACGGCAAATACATGAAAGTGTGCAGACTTATTTGCCGTGCACAGATTCGCGTGCAGACGTACCTTTACAGGGTCTTTGATTTTTTAGCAAATACTTACTTTTTGTTCCTTATAAACAAAAAAGCTGCGCTAAATCGAATGCAGCAAACAAAATTTCTATATCAGCCATTACAGTTGATAAGTAAAGCATCAAGAACACTCCAACCGTCATGTCACATTCAGTTTAATAATAGTTATCCATAAATTATACAGACTAACCTACGATATTCGCAAATATGGATAGCGCCAGAATGTTTTCCTGCGCGTGTCAGTAATTTGTACTTGTTTTAAAAATTCAGAATTTGGGCATATAAATAATGATATTGATAATAACAACTTTTCATAAATGCACATAATTTCTTAGTGTAGAAATGTGGTTAAAATTTTTCCAGGTGACTCATCTGAAGTAATTTTATCGTTTTCATTCTGCGGGTGTATTAAATACGCTACTCTTTTGTCCACATACGTGTACCACTGTACGTACACCACACATGTATTGATTTTCAAAAATTGAGCGGAGTCTGATAATTAACGCTTGTGAACTTACGCTTGATTTTTTGGTACGCCACAATCCAGTCCATTAAGACACTGAAGCTTTCGGTGCAGTTGCATTGACCTTCGTGGCCGTAACCATCGGCGCCGGTTCCCAGGGCTTTCTTGCTGGGTCCGAATTGATCCAGCTTGTTTTTCCGTGCCGCACCTGCCGGATGATCGGGCTGAATGGCCTGCATATCGACAGACTGCGCCGGGGCGCCCACCGCTGCAGATAACGCAAAGGTCAATGGTACTTTGCCGCGTAATGTTTGCATCGTGAGCGCCTATTCACGGTGGCAACGTTTACTTAATGCATTATCCTCGTCCATCTCCAGCGTCAGGTAATCCTCGGCTTTTTCTTCCACGACACTGCCTGTCATGACTGGCATTCGTCCATCGACATTCTTATTCTTGGTTGGTGGACTAATGAGTATTCTTTGTGGGACTGCAAAAAAAAAATCATTTAGTGAATAGAATCTTTTTCCAATGGTTTAAATGAATAAGCGTCCAGCTAATTGTTCGACCGTACCACAGGCATAGGAGACGGTAAGGTATTTTCGTGTATTGATTGGACACTGATTTCCGAATGTCGATTCGTCCGCCTGTATGGTACATATCCGCTCGTTTTGGCACTTTTGCATCACGATTTCCGTTGCGAAACTTGATGCGCACTCTGTGGCGGCAAAAAGAGCTTCATTGTCTATGCTGTTTTTATATCTACAGATATATTCTGTGAAATACAGTATGTACTGCAGGAATAAAAAGTGAGCGGAAGTGTGTACTCGCCGGTTTGTGTTTCAGGTGGCAGCCGGCTGGGCGTCCGGCTGTTCTGATGATGACACACGGCGTTTCCGCCGGATCTATCCCGTCCAAACATTGCCGTGTGAACAGCCAGTCGATGGGCTGGTGATTCGCACTCCAGCGTCATCTCGTCTCCCTCGCAGACGACGTTGGTTTGAAAGACATCTGCAAACAAATTTTATGAATCTCTCAAATCCTGAAGGCTTTTGATCAGCTGCCAACGCAGTACGCACTCGGTATGCATTTGTAGGCCACCTCCAGATATTTCCATGTCCGCGGACACGGATCTTGTTTGAAGATCTCCGCGTTCACCGGGATTTTGCATGTGCGCTTATCTTGACACAGACTGACAACTCTCTGAAACAGAAGTACTTATTTTATTACAACATACCGCGAGGCAGATTGCAACAGCAACAAAATACGTAATTATATAAAACGTTGGGATATTAATTAAAACATGTCCTAGTACGATTGTGCCCAAGTTAATAATTCTGCAAGCAATGGCCTTGTAGTTCGTTTGCGATATTAGCAAGGCTTGCGCTCACTTTTCGATGCTATTGTAATTGGTCTAAGGATGATAGTCCCTATAAGTTACTAAAAATTTGAAATGTACAAACCTTGAGTACGTGCCTACCATTTCCTCATTCCTGCTCTCACTCTAGCTCTTATTAAATAGCGCTGAAAATCCTTAAGAAATAACGCCATGCCTCTCGTTGACTATGGTTCCCATTCATTTCGTTGTCTACACACTACAAATTTATTTTTAATTCAGGAATTTCTTCCAGCATACAGATTTCGAATTGCATTTTTACACGAAGCTAGATAAGAAGGAGCGAGCCAAAGACAGTTCTTGTGCGACAGCTAATGCGCTTCGGTAATTATTCATGCGACAAAAAAGAGTGATGAAAAGTGCATCATTAGATAACTGTAGCGGAGATGGTCAAATGCGTAGCCGACAAGTAGATGCACAACACTCAGCGGAACAGCGACATGAATTATTCGGATACAAGCAACAACATTCCAGCAGTAAAAAAGCTAATCCATGGATGCATGCATGGATGAAGTAGCTAGTGACTTTTTATGCTTTGAATCACAACGACGAAAAGTTATGAATTACGATGTTCTTATTTAGGCTCCGAGTGACAGTAAGATAATTTACGGAAACATTCCGAAGATGAATGAGAACCATTTGTATTTAATTGGAGTGAAAAGACGGTACAACGAACTTCTGCATGGATGAAACGCAACTTGTGCACAAAACGGAAGCAACATTTTGCACAAAAATATCTGCCTATTCAATATAATCCATTCTGGTTTATTATACCGTCTACATGGTGCTGACTAGTTTAAACAAATTTATATAATTTGCACGTAGCGTATTCAGAAATAGCATAACGAATCCTGCAGGAGGTACGTTAAATGTTCTTACCGTAGAATTTACAGCAATTTGAACATAATTTTCGGTAATAATTAGTCAGATTTAAAAGCTTAACACGGCCACAGCTTAACAAACTCTAGGGTTATTTAAAACATGAAATCGATAAGCGAACTCAAAAAGTGAGGATAGAATAAATCAATATACTAAATGCTAAATGCATGGAGGTCAGTTGCTTAACTGTAAAGAACTGTACCTAGACTCAGTCCCAGAGATTTGTAATCAGTGTATAAAGCCTGCCTATATTTATGTAACAATGTACTACGTATACTATGTAACAACGTAATTGCGATGGTAAGGGATAGTTGTAAACACAATTTACAAGAAAAAATTTTGAAATATATACAGTTTGAATAAAACACTGTAACAAAGTCATTTTATAAAATATATACTTCCAAAGGGTCCAATAACATAATAGCACACAGTACTTTAAGAATCCCTGCAGCATGGAACCACAATCTTTAAGAGGAGGTATTTTATTATCGACCCGTAACCTTTATGCCCGATCCCACTTTGTTAGCATGAATTACATTCTACTACACTATTTGCAGCTCACGTGTCAATTATCGCATGCAAAATCAGAATCGGTATTCGCGTCACGCCATGCTCTTTTGGAGAAATGAACTACGATCCTTAAAAAGTGTCAATTACCCATGCACAAGCGGTTTTATCACATTATCTCGGTGTTGAAGGAAGTCGTCCTTGTTTTAGCAAACTAAAGCTAGAAAGTGTCGAGCAAGATTTGTGGCAGTTTAATTTTAAAATTACCGTAATTAAACCTAAAACTTTCTAACAAAACCTTTTCCTAATAATTAAACCAGCTATACTTTCCTTTAAATAAACCATACAGACAACACACCTACAAAGTCCAAGTTCATACATCATGCAGATTACCTGTTTAGTGTCAGTTACAGTACGATCGAAGCTTGCTGTCCACCGAAATTACAACGCGCTGCATGCATGCTTGATAAGAGGGAAGCACTTACTTCTTTACTTTGAGATGCTATACAGTTCCTGGACTCTTCCTCGATATCATAAGGCGAATGAAATATGCTGACGTTGGGCAACGATCCCGTAGGAGCAACGATGTGGCAAGGACGTTCTCTGCTGGACACCAGCCTGCCATAATTGGCAAACTGGATATAAATCAGAGTTTCCATCGGACATTTTATCACCAACTCTTGCGTCTCACAGGCAGCTTTCTGAAGTGTTCTGATGTTGCCGGATACAAGAGCTTTAAAAAAACCAATTACATACTTCTTACTTGGGTTTGGAATAAACCGGTAGCAAAATTTATGCAAACCAACTTATTTGCCAATAAAAATGAAAAACATAAGAGCGTATACCCACATTTTTGTACGGGCTCACGGTTATCTGCATACATTTCTAAGTGCAAGTGTATGTAGTTTTATACACATCTATTCTTACGCTCCGGATTTCTCTATTAAAGTACAGTAAGTGATATGGATGTCAATTCTTTTAACAAAGTATGCATTTTCCATGTTTTTAAACAGCAAAATTTTATTTACCAAACACTTCAATACTGTCTTAACAAAGTACTACTCGCAAAGATTTCGTAATTGTTGACTAAGTCTAATGCGGGTTGTTCGGTATTAAATGTTGAACAGAAATTAAAAACCACCTCGAAACATAAACCTGTCGGCAAAGATGTTCGATCTCTTCTGGTTGCATTAGGATAAGTTTCTGTTATTGCAATCACACATCTGTAACATGTCAAATTCGATTGCTATTGACCGCTGGACATTCCGTTTCGATATGCGCTGCAGCCATGTATGACTCATTAAAATATCTTTGTTGCAGTTGGTGTCTGTGATATTCATTAGATCGGGACTGCCCAACAGATTAATAATAATATTATTGGGTTAAAATGACCGCACACCCTAAAATGAAACGACAAGCCATGGACAGCAGCTGTCGGCCAATGATGACCGATAAGGTTTGCGGTGAGTTCATAGCATTAACAATCAGCAGCGCCACTAGTATATACGCCACTATTCACCACTATATTTTATTCCGCGACAGCTTACTGATTAATTGCATAGTAATATATGTAGCTCAAGCATTTGCGCTAGAAGTGTAAACTGTGTAATGGCGAAGTGTTATTTACTGTATACTTACACTTTAATCATAAACAGATACTAGCTACGAGTAGTATTTTATGTCGTGCTGTAGTGTTTTTTTTATTGTATTGTAGGTGGGGGACTGGGGGTAGGAGGGAGGTGTAACCGTACATTTGCAGTTGTGGTAAACAATGCGAACGGGAATCTGCGGTGGACTGCATATTTGTACTGCCACAACTTCCGGTACAGCATGCGCAGACATTTGCAGTTATCGGGAAAGGGCAACGGAAACGCAACTTCCGGCCAACGGATGAAAAAATCACGAAAAATGTGATCATGAAAGGCTTCCTGCGTCAAAAACACTAACCGATACGACTCCACAAAGTATAAATATATTTAGTAATAAATTATCTCATATATCGATGTGCGCATAAGGACACAGTCGTTTCTCGACCCTTTTGTGCTTAACGCATTCAAAACATAATATCAGTACAGTAAACAGGGATAATTGTATGCATCATCATTCTTTACAAAGTTGGTGTTGACCTTCGTCCACGTATCATAGAGATCGCCAATTTCAGTAGTTCATTTGCTGAGTTAGTTTAGGCAGATGATGTCAGTTTTAACTTATGCCCGGAATCTAACCCGACTGTTTTCTTCGATTTTGTGCATGTACTGGCAACGTTAACAACTGTTTTGAGCAAGCGTTGGACAACATATGTTACAAAATTTTCCGTATTTTTAAACGTCACGCTAAACGATTCTCTATCCAACTATTCGCGCTACACCAACACGAGAACGTTATGGCGTGCCTAATAATGCAATTATTCGATAAAATTTAGAAAGCTCTTATTAGAACTTAAAGTAGCCAAGGCACTTTTATGGCGATTACTATTGCATCAGTTCGTTGACATTACCTTAAGACTACGAAAGTACATTTCGGAATATTCATTGGGGTTTCTTTGATATACCCTAGAGGAAAACACCCTGCATGACAAAGGGGGCACTTGAGACTAAATGACATCTGTGATGCTTGTGAGTTGAGCGCCATTCTACAGCTATACGCAGCAGCTTACAAGTACCAGCAAATTTTCTGTAAAAAAAACACCGATTGTTTCGATTATGCTGCTCAAGCGCGCCCAACATTTTGAGCGGAAAATCTCCCTTATAGTTACACTATCCGCATGTGATTGTTATCGTTGTCAAGAAATCACTCGGGACAAATCCGGCCATCGTAATCGTTTTTCAAACACATATTGCGATACGGTATTATTCGCCTGAATTCTACTATGCTAGATACGAGAAAGAGCATATTTACTATGGACCGGCGCAACTGAATCGCAAAAATAGTTCATATGAGACATGAAAATGCATAAGGGACATTATCCCTCCATTCGAACCCGAACTGATCGATATATCAGTATTTCTAAGACAGTACTAACGTCTTTATCTCCATTTGTACGTCAAATATTTGTACAGCAGGCTACAAGTAATGATAGATTGTTGGGAAATGGCTTTGTATGTTGCGTATTATCGGCTACTTAGGGACACTGCGCACTGGGCCGCCTCTGTGCCTCATATGTGGGATTTATGGATCCAATTTTAAAGGACAGATCAATGCAACTTTTTCTTTTCTGACCCAATTAAGTAAGATTCGGATACAGAAAACTCGGCAAACAGAAAGAGCAACATGTGTCGAGGTGCGTTATTTGTGGTGAGAATGAAAAGAGATGAATGTGTCCTCTTGACCCGAAAGGGGAACCCCCGAGTGCCGGCAGCCACTGCATGAAATGCAATGTTCTGGAGGGAGTATGCTGTATGTATGTAGTCAGCAACCGGGCATCGTCGCACCGTCGCCGATATAATATTGTGGTGCCCGCTTTATTGTATACAAGCCGATGTCCATATAACCGATTTGTAGGACGATTGAAATACAAATCCTTTGATTAGAATTGTTGGCGAAAGCGCATTGCTATTATTAGACAAACGGTGCGATTTGTTAATTGTGCCCAAAGCATGCGCGATTTTAAGCTTTAAGAGCAGTTTCCAATTTAGTCCAAGCCATTGAACTGCAGATTGAGCGTCTCGCTCAGTACTGTAAACACGTATCGCGTATCTGTGCAGCTTTCCCAATTTTCATCAAATATCTTTTAGCCGCCAAAAACATCGAAAACCCGTGAGACGTTCCTAACCCGGTTACGAGCGGCAGCAGTATTTGTCCTGCTAAACAGTATCAATTTATTTAATAGACGCTGTTTATACAATTTCGACAGCGTCTCTCTCCAGCGAGCGCATTTGGAATTCAGCAGATTTCCTAAAGTACTAATTACAGAATTTTATCGTCTTACACACGCTGGGCAGTGCCAAAAAACGCCTAGCGTCCAAAGCGTGTTTATATCGACTGCCTATCACTTTAGGTTAGTATTATGTAAATTTAATTATAGATACCAGTTCAAGTCTATCAAAATGATACGATTGCAATGGCAAATGGCAAAACAGTGATGCACTGAGGAATACGACAGAGAAAAGGATGAGCCATACGGAAGTAGGGATATCGCATGTAGAAGTTCATATATACCTGTTCTTCATCAAAATTCAAAAAGTTCATACCTGAGCAGTACACCGGCGTTATTACGCTTATCCAGCAAAATATGAAGTTTATTCCTTGGACATAGTACGCTGTGGCCAGGGGCATGAGATCCCACATAACCGCAACGTTCAAACAAAATGAAACATGTAAATAAAATTTGCGGAAGCGAAATGTATATTGATGGACCGATCGTAGTTGTTAAAGTAGAGCCGCCAAATATCGACAATGAAGCAGCGCAGCGGATAAGCAGTATATAATATGCAGGCTAACCGGCTTCGGAAATAACGTTAACGGCAAGTCCAATAATCAAACGTTTACAGCCACTCAACAAATTATTGTTGAAGATCGCATCTCCCACTATTTTTCCGTCTCGATGCTCAGCGCACATATAAATAAGCAAAAGAAATTTGTCGGAATAATATTTCTCGAACCATTCCTGCCCTCTCCGTGCTCATTAGTGCAAAGAGTCATGGCGATTCCTGAGCGGATATGAGAATGTTATTTTGGGATATTTTAGACTGGCTTTCATGATTTGATAGTTTCCGAGAGGATTCACACGTATGTTTATTCGACACACATTCTACAGTAGTCAGTCCATCATGCGGCATGCAGTCATATAAGCGAGTAAAGCGTTCGAAAACCGGGAACACATTACCGTCTTACTTTCTTTTTCCTTCCGATCTTAAAATCTCATACCCATGCTACTCAGCATATCTTGTGAGATATGATTGAAATCTTTAGACGGACGGGACTGACACAGTGCGCAAATGTGATTAGATCCATTGCGGGCAGTGTAGCATTCTGTATAGCATCACTTTGTCTACCACCAATCATGTATGTGAACAGAAAGTCAAGTACGAACACTATTCATTTGATGTATGGGTGAAATACATGTCGCAGATCTCTGACGTTGGGAATCGATGACATAAAGCTAGCTGCTCCTGTATCCCGACGTAAAAGTTGTTCAGGTTGAACTGCACCGATGACAATTAAACAACTAATAAACAAAGGCATTGTTTTGGTTACGTATGGTGGGTCAGTATTTAAATTATTTTACTGCCATACAGTTTACAGTTACTTCTGTCCGATACAAAGGAAAATTAATGAATACACTTAGAGTAGTAAAACAAAAAAGTAAACTCAAATTCCAGCGTTTCACAAAATACAAAGTACGGTAGCTGCAAATCTCTTTGCAAATATATTATAACATGCACCACCAGAAGCAAGTATATATAGCTATTCTGTAGAACCATAGTTTATTTAAAGAACATCTAGTATTAAGTATGACAACGGGGATGCCAAAAGAATAATAATAGTAAGGATTTTTTCTATCAAATCTCTCTCTCTTTGAATTACCGTTTTAGTGTAAAAATGTTTGCCGTACGCCTACAAACCTGCAATTTTCTTTAACTAGCACTTGTATTGTTAATCAAAAAATAACCATTTTCGATCGCATACAACCAGAGAGGTGGCCACGCAAGTACGCGCGCAACTACGTGCATTTTGTCTGGTAGTTTTTAGACAAAACGTTAATTAGAAACTTATTTCCAACTAACTATGGACAATATAAGCACAAACTAACTGTGGGTCGACTGACAGATAATTTGCGTGATAATCCTTTTGCTCTTTGTTGCCGCAAATGTTGCATTTGCAGTGTTATCTGTGCTGTACTTTACCTAGCACTGGCGTATTCTCTGGCATAATGGACACCTCAGATTAAACAGCATACGTGTATTAAAACTTTGGGATACCAAATGCAGAAATCGTTTATTAATCGTCAAACCGATGTATTCCAAATACGCAGTAATAGGTTTATTCCCCTAAATCCACTGCATCGCACAAAGTCCGTATTCCCGTTTCCAGCGTCCGCAGCGACGTTGTAACACTAAAGCATTAACGCTTCTAACTTCTGGTTCCTTCTGGTGAGTACATTTACCAATTTAACAGAGCAACAAGATATGATACAATAAGCGTAAGGTGATCTACCGCAAACAACAGCGGTTGTTACTACCACTCTAGTTTAAAAATTTATGTGCAAATACTTTTCGTTTAATTGGTTATAATTCAGCAGTCACAGCCTTGTTGCAGTTCAAGTCGTCAACAGGTGCGGAATTACTGCGACTGCGGCATTTTAGGTAAACCGGGCACCGGCAAACTTTGGAACAAATTTGTCGAAATTTCTCGCTCATTAGAGAATACAATATGGAATCGAGGGCAGGATTTGCATGGTACAGGAAGCCTAAAAATGCCATCAGAAAACTAACTGCGTATGACAAAAACTCTTATGAGTAATAAAAACTTGCTTCTATTAACACCTGGAGGTTTATACACACAACTGTACATGCAGTGTTATTCGTGTTCTTAATCAAATTCTTCCATCAGTACAAATACATGCAGGCTCACTTTACCGGAAACCGGAAACAGTATGCTGTTGATTTGGTACATTTTGCGAGCTTCTTCACGATCATTCCAGTCCACTAAGGCAAACATCAGCCTTTGTGCATGGAACAGACCATAGCACAGAAAGAAATTTATGACGATGGCAACTGCAATAATTTATTTAACAATATAAGTAACTTTATCGGCAATCAAGCAAACAGCCAATGGGCTGCGTTATAAGGTCAGCATTAAAAGGTCCTTGGGTCAGCACTTACGTAAGCCGTAAAACAAGCGCTTGTTGCTCTGGCAGTGCTGCTCGTATGTTCTGGAGCAAACCGACAGTCGACTGGGTCGCTTAGAGTAAGCGGCCTGCAGATGCAGATCAATTGTCCCAAAGGTCAAGTTCGGGTCCGTAAAGGGCGGAGAAGGTGGACAAGTGTAAGCTTCTTCCTCTTCTTTGGCGGCAAGGGCTCTCTTCTGGACCACAATCCAGATTTTTAAATGCAGGACGATAAGCAAAAGCATCGGAACGGCGTAAAATGTTACTGCTGAGTCTACAGCATTGCGAAATTAGCCATCAGCCTTATATACGAGCTTATACACACCTGACCATACAAAATTAAGCACGTACAGTAAATCAATATGCGCAGAAATAAAAATTTATTAAGACACCGGATTTAGTTTTTGATATCTAATGTGTAATGATGCATACATAAAAACAATGGAGCAAGTTGGGCGTTGAGATTGTAGTGAATCGCGCACCAAGAAGCCTCCGCTATGTCGATTCCGTCAGGGCTTTGCAAAACGTTTACATTGTCTGCAAAGACAACAGCTGCATACTGCAGTACAAAAACGTGTTGAAAGTTAGAATAAAGTAAATACTGTCACTTTAAGTGACCGCAACAAAAAGTATTACCGCTGTTTTTCACTTTGCAACATTGTCATTATTAAGGGCATAAAGGATGGTAATACGAGTATGGAATACATGGTGCACTCTGCAGAGTACGTACGGTAATAGGCAAAGGGCACAGAATTGACAATGGCTAATAGCCAGCACAATAAAATTGTCTTCCAAGGACGAGCTCCTCGGTAAGACCGATACGCCTTCATGGGATGTACTACAGCTATAAATCTTTCGATCGTGAAGGCAACTATAATAACAAACGCAATTATTTTACAAGAGTTTTTCAAGCCGAGGGGAGTTTTTTGTGTTATGGACGACGTACTAATGGTGAGGATAGAGGAACAAAGTGCAGCTTCTGCAAGCAAGGCTATGGAGGAACAAATAAACTGTCCAAATACCCACGGATACTGTAGACACCGTTCAGAAGAAAACATAGTTAATTCTGGTGTAACAAAAAATGTTGTTTCTTTCACCTGGTTCCAGTATTTGTAGATTTCCAATGGAAGACCTAGAATATTAATGGCAAACCATCACAGACCTAATGGTAAGTTTAAAGATTATATGCTATCGGCATCTGCTTAGTTTCTGAAACGAGCGACATAGTTCGATTTTTCATTTTTTAACCTTTAATAAGTATCATGATATGAGTACAAACTATGTACCAAAACGAAGCAGCATTTATAACAGAAACAGTTTTTATAACAGAAATAGTTTGATAAAATTCCAGTGTAATAAATTATCATATTTTTACCAAGTTAGCAGGGTCCAGCACATCAGTAATTAAAATAAACAAATGCCTACATCAACGTGTTGATTGTAAGAAATGTTACTTATCCCTCCAGAAACAAGCCAAGTCTGACTAGTACTAAGTTAACTACTAATTCTGGTCAGCTATAATTCAAACAAGGATACCATGTACATGTAGTTATATTTTCTAAGCAATAAGACCGATCGGATTAGTACTTCCTAAAAAGTTAAATTTAGCACACACTATTAGTATCAAGACATCAGTCACAATTCTTAACAGCGGTTTATTATATGATAGTCAACAATGTTGATTCAACGTTGAACTTACTAACTAATGTTTGCACGAGATCTGTCAAGGCGAGACTGCAAAAAAGCGAATAATTTATTTCATTATACTGCATTTGTATAATTATAGATATAAGTACATCACGTCGGAGTATACGTGGTTAGTTACTGTATATAAAGATGTTACGGGCATTCTTGTATGTAATTCAATGCAATGATTTGAATCAAAACTGTAAAAACATTTGATGTACAACGACATCGTTGACAGTGGTCAACGCAATAAGCGCGCCGCAAGCACGGGATTAGTTACCGCGGAAGGTACTGTATATTAGCTTAACTGTTCGCATAATTACACATACCATTTGAATGTTTTGGTTGTTTTTGCGGTCTTACTGAGTGTAATGTCAAATCGTATCTCCCGCCCACCCTCCCCTTTTGTTTTGGGAGGGGTCGTTGTAGAAAGGGCTCATGGGATCCGCTGCGCCGGTCACCTATGCCCAAGCTACGCATTCTTGCCCAAAGTACCAATAAACTCATTTCCGGTCCGCACCTGGCGCTGCCTTAACAATAAGGTACGAGATTCCTATACATGCACGGGACTGTGACGGGAGCATTCATTTTCGCGCTCTCCCTCATACTTTTTTGCATTGTGTTTTAACATTAATTTTTATAGGCAAGAATAAATGAATACATTTTATGCTTCAGAGCTCCAATAGCCTGGAAGAGGTAATACTTCGTTAATTTTATCCTTTCGTTAACTGGCAAAAAATTAAAGAACAGCTTGAAATCAGAATCGTGAAAATGAAAGCAAAAAAACCACGGACCGTACCACTAACTAGCTAATTACTAAACTTGTTATTTAATAATTTAAAGCGCGGTTTGTATGTCATTATAATGCTCGTGCATCGGCATGGGAGTGCGCAAAATGAAAGGTTCTGTGCATACCTTATGCCGGGTCACTTCTCGATCCTATCTTGCAGTATAGAAAAAGTCGATTAGTGGGAATTTTATCCGATTACAGTTTTGTAAGGCTTTTTTTGTTACTCGGACAACTTCGCCTTCTTGTCCTTTTTGTATAAGTTTTAAAATGGTTTGCAATAGTGCATAACGGAGTTCAGCTTGGAAGTTTCTCTAGAGCAGATACGTCGCCAGCCGGAATGTTGCTAAATGCATCTTGTCGTTAGTAAAAAAACCTCGCCGTGATTGCAACTATGCAGATGCTTCCAGTCCTTCGGTCATTCACAAAGACAATACCAACGGCAACGGCGGTGTTCAATACATTGCATGCATGTAAGTACTTACAAGTATTGCCCTAAACACGCACAATACTTGTACTTACACAGTGCAATGAAATCATGAGCTATAACAATAAAGTTTAAACGAACTTCCGTTGGATGTTTTACGACCACATTACGTTGTCGTCACCACCAACATAAAAAGACCACAAATCCTTTATAGTTTTGTGTAAACAATTTTCCGTTTCGCTGAATTTTGAGTCAGCGCAGTTAGATTTTGCCATACGTATGTATGTCATAATTCTTCGGTCGCTTTATATGATAATAATTATATCTTAACCTTTATTGAGATCCGTTTGCTGTTATGTAAACATAAATACAAGCAGGTTAAAAGGCCATTTGCTCTCCTTAACTTTACACAGTAGTCTTCTTTTGGAAATTCTCTCAAAAAAGATTTATGAAATACAGGTACCATAGTAAATAACAGATCAAGCGCTCTACTCCCAGTCACTTCCGTGGCGCAAACAGTGCGGCTTTGCTAGTATCGCACGTAGTTAACTTAAAATTATATCGAATCGAATACAAAAATGTGCAATATACGTACAACTAGTACCATAATATACTAGGGTAGGTTAGTAATATTATGCTAGTACTTGTATCAGTTGTTTGCCGCTGTACCGCAGTATAAACGGAAGTTGTACGAGGCCGAGGCAAGATAATTACTTGCAGCTAGCGCTATAATTACGTTACAGTTAACTCACTTCATCACATAAGGATCGATCCCATTCCAGTTTCTGCTTCTGTTCCATATTAAGAGTAGGCAGATGGTGGAAAAATTTCCGAATAATCCAAAGACAAACAGACTTCCATACACTACCTAATGCACATTAAAATTGCACCGGTACCATACTTCTTCCTTTGCTCCAGTACTGGTATTCCGAAAGCTGTAACCTCCATAAACAGGTGATAAGGGTAATTTTATATACATAACGCAGTACGGAGGAAATGGGGGTATATACTAGTATTGAAATAAGTACATCGAGTTTACGATAAAAAACTCAACTACAGCCCAATAATACTACTACTGCTGTGATTCAACTATACGATATTCAGTTATGCAAACGACAGGTTGTGCGCTTTTTTCCGGGCTCGGAATGAGTACAGAATAGTCCTTCTTCCTCGACATATTTTTATGAGAAATATATGCGTGGTCACCTTACCGTAAGCAGATGGCCGTACGGAATTACGCGATCACCAAGGTGTTGCCGAATATATTTTTCGATGTCAAAAGTAGCATTCAATTGCCCCGACAAATAAGCAACTGACAAATTAAACGATCCGGCGGCAAAATAACCCATTTTTTGAAGGTAACAACAATCAACTCCTGAGTCGTGTGCCGCTTTATTGGTTATTCGGCACAGTTATACACGCACAGTGCCAACAAGCCACATGTTATAAAGTATGCGTTTACGATAGTTCATGTCAAATTACGTGTTGTATGGTTTTCTTTCGTAACAACAATAGCGGCAATGCTATTTAAATCTAAAACAAATTTGTCGTAGCTATATTACTATACACGTGTCCGTGCGCGGTTTGTTGCATCTTGCACTGTCTGGAACAGAAAGATGCAATTAGACCATACGCAAAGCATTGCACGCAAAGATGCGACTGGACACCCTTTTTGATGCGACTGAACAATGGAATAAAGAAGTATGTAATTATAATGAGATTAACAGATCTGTGCTAAAAATAAAGTAAGCACGAACAAATTTATGCAAAACATAAATGCCCGGCGATGAAAACCGCAAGCCGCTATCTGCCTTCGTTTTGGGTACATTATGTTATACACATTTTTTTCTAGTTTTGGTAGCACAAAACGTTTAATGACATTTGGATTTATCGGCCTACCTTGCAGTGCATTATTAAACATCCACTTTGTAGCCGAAAATAATTTTAATAAGCAAATTATAATGTTAACGTTAGATTATCCTTCGAGCAATGCAAAATGCACAAAGTAACTTGAACAAGCTAATTCATTAGTACTGCATTGCAGATCGGCCCGGACTTGCAAAATTAAAGGAGATTCTTCAACCAACATAAGCTATTTTGTCGTCGACGTCTGTTTAATGAATTCGCTCATCAATAACGAATACATCCGTCGACTGGCACACTTTACAATGGCAAAGAAGATCGATTTGTCGGCAGACGGGACAAACTTACGTTTGTACGGATTTGTTACAATATCGAGGGAGATCCATGACGCTATCGGTATGTGCATTAAGTGCACAAACTGAATACAGCCGATTCCAGCGGCACAATCCTCTGGACTGCGCACAATGCAATAAAACGCCGGTTGCCGCAGCTGCTATAATACATCGGACATCCACTGGTGTAGAGGTGCATCTTCCAAACCTTGAATGCAAACGCATAAATGTTCCGTTCAATTAAAGATGACGCTGATCATGAGCATACTGCTGTTATAGTCACCTTCAGAGATGTTGTGCTACTACCTCAGAGAGTTTGAACAACACTACTGCCACGCAGATTCCATGCAGCATATCGTGATTTCACAAATTGTTAGATTGCACGCTTCACGTATTAAACAGAGAAGTTTATAGTTCAATAAATAATAGTACAAAATAAATTTTTTGAAGTAATTACTGTAGTTAAGCGGTACTGAAGTATAATTACAAGTTGTTCGGATCCAACACAATAAAAATATTTGGCTGATTTCCGATTCCGGTTTCCTTTCCCATAATTATGCTAGCTGGAACCGGAAGCGACAAATGAACTGGACGTTACGTGTGCTGCAGCGGGCGGTACGCCAAGAGAACCACCTCCAGGCGGCATTTATGTAGATTCTGTTTTTGATCACTAAAGATGCATCGTCACTTTGGTAAAGGACTGGAAAAAATTGCTTACTGGAGGAAACGGTAAACTATTAAATGTTTTATTTTTGTGATTTCACAGTTTCGAAGCGAATACGAAGAGAGAGGAAAGGTTTTGCTTTGCGAACACCGAAAAAACTGGGATTTCATATCAGCTTTTTCATCCGTAGATTTGGGTGGACTGTTTGACTGGATTTACAATCATGGTGCGTTATCTACGTTTGTGATTTTGTTTAAGTGGGTTCTCAACTTCTCAGTAACTGCCTTTTTCGAGCCTTACATGCGACGCGCTCCAGATTTTAAGAAATATTGGTGCAGATGGTTGCCATTAATGCTATTATTTTGTTTGGTATTATGAAAGTTCTCTGTTTGCTCATACTCTGTGCGTTTTTAGTTCCGAAACCAGTACGATTACGATGTTACCATCTGGAGTCCTCAGGTTTGCTCTCGATACTTTGTCGTTGCTGTTTCTTTAACAGGATGCTTGCTGACGGTAATTTGTAATAGGGCCGCTTACACCAGATCGAGTACGCCATGGAGGCGGTCAAGCAGGGCTCGGCTGTCGTTGGAATGAAGAATTCTTCTCATGCGGTGGTGGCTGCTATTAAAGTACCTTTATTTGACGTTGTGACGTCGATAATGCAGTAATATCACTACGGATGTGTTTTGCAGAGAATGCCTTCGGAACTGGCTTCCTACCAGAAGAAACTGTTCGGTATTGATGATCACTGTGGAGTGGGAATAGCTGGGCTTACAGCCGATGCGCGAACCATCAAGTGAGTTTAGAGATTTGTTTTTCGTATAATCGCGTCGTTTCGATTGGTACCATCGGTGCAAATACGTGACTATTATCGAGCTGCTTGTTTGTAGCACCTTCTTACAAACGGAATGTCTAAATCACCGTTATGCCTACTCGAAACCCATGCCACTTAGCAGACTCGTGGGAACATTAGGCAACAGTAAGTAATTTATAATTTTGTCATTTTTCTGCACCTTGACGTATCTGTATTTTTTCACCAAAAAAAATTTCCGGTCGCCGCTCTTCGCTTTTTAGATGTAGAAAGGCTTTGTCATAAAATGCACTAAATTTGTTTATGTTTGATGGTTGCAGAAATGCAAGTTTCCACACAGGAGGAGTCCGGTCGTCCGTACGGTGTTGGACTGCTGTTAATTGGCTATGACGTATGTCGTTCACATTGGTTGACAAATACTTCCCTTTTCTGAGTGAATTTTCTTGTTTCGTGATCTGCGCTTTTTTTCTAGCGTCTGTCTTTAATCTAAGAGGTGAAGCTTGATCTGTGGTTGCAGCATAAAGGACCGCATTTAATTCAGATCGATCCTTCCGCTAATTACTATGAATGTAAGGGAATGTCGATTGGTGCGCGCTCGCAGTCTGCTCGGACTTACCTGGAACGGCATGTGGAAGCTTACCTCGGATGTAAGTATTTCAAGTTAATTCAGGGTTCTTGACCAAATGTGTAAGCGAAGCGAGCAGAATGTGTTGCGATGTTTCGATTTTGTCGGTTTCTTGGTTTAGTCGTTGTGCTGGAGTTGTGCGATTACCTGTATAAAAGTAATCAAAACCTCTAGTCTGATTCATGTAGGATGTTGTTATTTCATTTTAGCTCAGTCAGTGGAAGATCTTGTGCGGCACGCTTTGCGTGCCCTTCGGGACACGTTGGCGAATGATCAAGAGCTGAGCAACAAACTTGTTTCTGTGGCTGTCGTGGGGAAGGATCACCCTTTTCGGGTTTACGATGACGAAAGCGTACAAAAACTGGTTGGTTAAGAGCTTGGGATGGTACCAAGGACTGACTGATAGGTGACCCTATCGTTATATGGAATTGCAGGTTGATGAGATTATAAAGGAGCCCCGCAATCCCGCCCGTCCGGCTCAGTCGGTAAGTCTTTTCGGCATTTCAATTTTTGTGGCATAATGGCACCAATAAATTTGACAGGGTTTTGCTCTGGACACTGGCGTGGAGAACATGGATGAAGATGTTTCGCGTCCGCCTCCACCTGATCCAGAGGCTACCGTTGCTTTGGGCGTAGCTGAACACCGACCGGAAAATCCTTAGGAGCTTAAAATTGGTAACCTTTTTTATTTGTGGAAGTTGTCCATTTAGCGATTTATAATTGTTTCCATACACTGTTTCAGAGCACTAACCAGTTTAATAGAAAACCTTTTTGTTTTGTGGTCATCTTGTAATGTTTAGTACGGTACCAGTAAACTAATAATAAGGTTCAATTAAAATAAACAGCACTACTTTACTGTTGGCACTGGTTTCTTTTCATATTATAGTATTCGTATAAAGGAAGCGTGAGAAAACGAAAGGCTTTCGAAATTGCATTTTACGTTCCGGCAAATGCTTAAATTTATTGATACAATACGAGAATTATATACAATTATCACAACCGCGAAAGACGAAATATTTAACATAATTATAATATAACAACATGGATTACGGTTCCCCGACTACTATATGTGCACATGTAATCAATCTATGGCGATTCTTCACTTTTTGCTGACTTGAAGGATTCATCACTCTTGGCGTGTTTTAAAATCGGTCTCGTTGGAGACAGCACAGATGGTCGGTTGTTTGCGGCTGGGGCCTTCAAACTTTTTCGTCTAGCAGTCTGACTGCTTGTTTTTTGATCATGAGAAGAATTCTTTTCTAGAACTGGCCGAAACAAGCTTGTTTCAGCCGATCTGGAAGGCGGCTCGGAAGAACTTCTCCGGTCAGAAGAGCCTCTGCGGTTGGGAGGAGTCTGATTTTTGCGTTCATAGTACAGCAATTCACGCAGTTCATAAACATCCCGCGATATCGCGTCGATCTACCAATGTAGAAAATTTGAAGAATATGCGCTTATTTACAAATAACTGAATAAAAAAGCACATCTTCACATTGTACGAAGAGCAAGAACATAATCAACGTGACAGCGAGCATGCCAAGAAAAGAGTTGCAGTAAAGACATACATACCACATTGTGCATTATTCCCAGTTTTTCGGCAACAACGTCGTAGCCGAATTCGGTTTTATCAGTGTTGAAGTAGCCCGTATGATCCAGTTCCTTATGGGCAAACAAAAGACCCATTTGTTTTCTCCTAAAAAAGTGACAAAAAAACAGAAATTAATCCCACATGATTTTGTTCATTTGGGGCTCATCTACAGCGCATTATCAGACTTTAGAATATCGTTAATGTCGATATGCCACACCTTATTAATCGCAGTTTGTTAAACAGCAGATGTTTGTCTCGATTAAAAGGATAACGATTTTCCTGCAGAGCATCCATCAGCCGGAGAATATCCGCATCCACTTTGTCGCTTTCCTCCTTAGTAAAACAGATCTTCGGTCGCTGCGATTCTTCTCCGGAGGCAGCGTGGAATTCCGACAAGGTGCGGGATTTATCGCGCACAATATCCCGGAACGGGATCTCCTCCTGTTCAGCCAACATGTTCCGTCCGGGCCGCTTATTCCGCTCCTTCTTCCACACATCCGCTTTCTCCTTCAGCGTATCATAGGAGAAATTGCTCCGCACAGATGGACCCCGTCCAGACGGGACAGGAGGCGCGGCTTTCCCTTTGCGACGACTCACTTCACGAACGGGGGGCTCTTGTACCACGGGAGTATTCTGCGACGCATCGCCACTGCCATCCATGGGAATAACCACGCTTTCATGGCGAGTGCGTTTGTCGTGCATGGAAACGGATGGCGACAGACGGGGTCTCTGTGGAGCATCCGACGCCCCAAGGGAGAAATTGCGACGCACTGCACGGCCTTCGTTGACATCGGAAGGATTCTCGAAGCCGACGGAGATGTTCTTTTTATGGGATTTGTCCTTGATGGAACTGCGAATGGGGCTTCCATTCAGCCATGACGGAACCCAAGAAACTGGTGGGGATGCCTCGGCCTGCGCTTCCTGCTCCGGGACTGCGCTCGCGGGAATAACTTGGATAACTGTACGATCACGCGCTGTAGTCGATGATGCCATGGTGCAGGTAACCGAATACAGTTGACAAAATTGGACGGCAACAGAGCATCTAGTGTTTAGTCATTTGACCTATCCTATGGTGGGTCTCCCGCATTCACGCACTACTAATACTTAGTGAAAGCACAAGTCCGCTTGAATGGAAACAAAATTAATTACAAAAACAGAAGTTTCACAAACTTTTTTACGTGGTAGTTGTTGCAATGTTGTATTTTTTGTGGTTATAACGTTTGTTTTACTGTAAGCCGTGGTATAAGTGTTTTCTACGACCGCGCGCTGATGGAGGCACGCTCTGGAGACAATTGGTGTAACTAACAGCCGCCACGGTGGACGGGACAGGTGCAGGCTTTGCAAGTTCAACTTGTCGCCCTTCGCCACTTTTTTATCTGGGTAATTTGTTTGGAACTTTATGCGATAGATTTGTTTTTTATTTGTTTTGCGAAAGAACCGTCCGCTTTGAGTGAATGTCGGAAGCGGGATTGTCTTCGGTTTATGGTCATCCATGATTTTTCAGCTGTAAGTGTAACTTATCGTTAATCCCTGCACATTAATGATTAAGTTGATACGTACTCGTACATAAATTATAATTTATAATAATTATTATTATAAGTTTTATTTAGACTTTGCATTATGTCTTCGGTCGAAAATTAATGCAGCATTTTTCTGTTTGCCAGCACCTGGAAATATCGGCCAGTCACCACTCTTTGGCGCAAGATGTCGACCTCCATTTTAACTCCTCCGGCTGCCGTGCGCGGCATGAAAGAGCTGGATAAAAGCCTGTTTGTGAAGGACATACAAGTGCCGTGCTTGTATATCCCGGCGGATTCTTTTCGGATTCCGGACGTTCGCTATACGATAAAACAATATCTTATGAGGATAAAGCGATTTATTTCGACTGTTCAGGACAGCGAAGAGGAGAAAAGACTAGTCCTGAATCCCGACACGGTGCAAGAGTGGGACTCTCTTGAGGCCAAGCATCGGACATTTCTGGAAAGCAAGGGAATATCGAGGGAATCCTTGCGCAAGGAGAGTGTGACGCTCAACTACGACAGCTGGGGTGCTCATGAAATTATTTCGGCTATCCTTGGCGATTCAGCTCCGAGTGTCTCTGGCTTCAGCAGAGTGGGACATATCATCCATTTGAATCTTCGAGACGAGCATGAGCCGTACAAGCGTCTGATAGGTATGCAGTACTACGTTAAAAAAACAAACTCATATTGTTGTCTATGAAATTTTGTAACAACTATGCAATCTGGCGCAAAACAGTGGGGCGTTTTTCACTCACCTTAAAAAAATTATTACTATTGTTGTTCCTATTAAAGCAACCTAAATATACTTACTTTTCGTTTCACATTCCTGTTACTGTAGTTGTTGAAAATACGCTCTCATTTCATCATCCCTCTCTGATGCGTAATTCCTTGTGCCCTGATTGTTCTTTGTTTTCGGCTTTTTAATTACAAGATTGTTGTCATTAGACCAACCGGAAATTTTTTTGTTTGCGTTAGCCGCATGCTTATATTTCTGCACTGCTTAATTTAATTTGTTTAGGTGCGATTTTACTGGAGAAAACTCCAAATGCTCGATCTGTGATCAATAAGTCCTCGAATATTGAGTCGGAATTCCGGAATATAAACTACGAGCTGCTTGCTGGAGAAAGCGATCTAGTCGCCGTTTCGAAGGAAAATGGTTGCACATTCCATGTTGATTACGCGCATGTGTACTGGAATCCGCGGCTTAGTTCGGAACACGAGCGGTTGGTTAAAGATTTGCAGCCGGACACGATCTTATACGACATATTCGCCGGCATCGGTCCATTTGCTATCCCGGCGGGAAAGAAGGGATGCACCGTGCTGGCAAACGACTTAAATCCGGCTTCCTATCAGTGGCTGCAGAAAAATATCGCTGTCAATAACGTCTCGCATAATGTCGTCCCTTATAACATGGATGCTAGGGAATTTATCAAAACAGTAGTGAAAGAGGATATGCTTAAAAGATATGCCAACGATCCGGGGGCTGATTTGCGGTTTGCCATGAATCTTCCTGCATGTGCTGATGAATTCCTTAATGAATTTAACGGACTGCTGCACGGACACGAATTCCAGGAGCATGTCCATCGCCCGCCGACGGTCTGCCTTTACTGCTTCGAGAAGGATACGGATCCTCTTACTCCTGCGGGACGAGTAAGAAGAAATCTGGGATACTCCTTGGATGAGAGCAAAATTTCACAACGAATCGTTAGGCAAGTGGCCCCTAATAAGTTCATGCTAATGTTACAGTTTCGCGTCCCTTTCGAAGTATTAATGCGGCCTCCTGGGTTGGTACATTTGCTCATGGATAATGCAGTCGAAGAATCAGGAACGTCCGAACAAAATGCGCACGAGTCGGATCATGTTGGGACTAAGCGAAGAAGACTGCACTCATAAACTGAATGAGTCGTACACGTGTGACTGTGTTGTCTGCGATGATTTGTACGATGCTGTCGATGTTCTTTCTTCGGACCACGGTGGTTTTTTTGTCGCACTGAATTTGTTTAACTTCATCGTTTCTTATAGTATGTAATGAGAGCGCGGTATTCTTTTTATTGATAAATCACTGAGCTTAGTTTTATCATGTAAAACAGGTAAAACGTAAACACCGTTCTGTAATACTTCAGGGTTCAGTGCGAAACTATTGCATGCAGTAAATTATACGAGTATATCATTTCACAATTAAACATCACATTTCAAGCGCTAAGAAATTTAAACTTCTTCGAAACCGTATCAACGATGTGGTCGGCTATAGCTAGAGACGAAGTCGCAGCCGGTGAAGGAGCATTCCTAACGTGAACGACTTTTTTACCCAATTCATCTTCAGCGGTATCGATAATGAAATCATCCACTAAATTTCCATCACTGTCCAGTGCTTGTGCTCTGTTGCCAGAATGCGCCCTTTCCACATCGGCTGTCGTTATCTCTGGTATATATCTCTGCAACTGTTTGATTTGTGCGGGAATATATGCGTTGCGCCACATCTCCGCCAGACCAAAACGAGTGTAACGCGCAGCCATTTTCAAAAAGCCGGGAAACGTTACAGCTTCCCACATATCTCTAAAGCGGAAGCTGAACATGTTGTAACCTTCTCTATCCATGGAGAATACTGCGGTCGGGCCCAGCCATAAATTCCCGTCCATCCGTGGAGTGAAATGCACACCCAAGAAGGGAAACCGCGGATCAGGAACCGGATAGATATTCCCGCGAACCAAATGGCGTTTTCCCTGCTTCAACTGTAAATAATCGCCACGAAAGGGGACAATTTTTGGTGTTGGTGGACAGTTAGACAAGACCGCAAGCCGATCAGACTGCAACCCCCCGCAAACGACAGCTCCTTTGCAATGCACAACTCGTCCGTCCGATGCGATCAGCTGGACTTTTCCTTCCTCTGGAGCGGACTGGAATTTTACCACTTCGAAATTCAACACTGTTTCTCCCCCGCTTCGAGCAACGCTATCGGCCAAGGATTTGGTGACCAGACTATAATCCACGATTCCTGTATGTGGTGATAAAAGTGCCTTAATGCCTCTGCAATGTGGTTCGTGCTCCTTAATTCCCTTCTCGTCGATCAGCTGTAAATCTCGCACTCCATTCACTTTGCCATTTTCATACAGTTTTAGCAGCCGTGGTATTTCCTCCTCTTCGACTGCAACAATAAGTTTTCCCGTCTTTATGTATGGAATGTGGTTCTTATCACAGTAATCGTACATCAGATCGAGTCCACGCACACACATTTTGGCTTTCAGTGAGCCAGGTTTATAATAGATTCCACTGTGAATAACGCCGCTGTTACGGCCAGTCTGATGTTTTGCTAAGGCATTTTCTTTTTCCAGAATCAGGATTTTCAAAGGCTTAGAACGAGGTAGTTGGGAAATTTTGTAGGCCGTAGCTGCTCCCACGATTCCACCACCTACAACGGCTAAATCACACTGCAGGTCCGAACTCGAAGATGGCACTGTGGACATGCAACGCAGCGATGGATACGAATAACTTGTTATTCGAGTTTTTGCACAAAACTCAATGGTCGAACTTCGAAGAGATGCCAACATTTTGAAAACTTGATAATACAATTACAGTCTAAACCTCAAACATTCCAGAATTACAATGAAAAAATGCAACTTTGCAGAATAAAATTTTCTGCACTAAAAAATTTACGCCGTTTGTGGAGTCTAGTCCAAAAAAATAATGAATAAGCAATAATCAATAATGAATCCAAAAATTCTGGAATTCGGGACCACTACTGGCGGCGGTTACGTATGCTTTTACATAGAGCAGCGGCTACAGGTCATTCTGGAGCATATGACACGGCGACACACGTATGCCGTAATGCCGTATGGCAGTGGTGAGTGGATGAGTCATTGTCGGTTCGTGTCAGTCTAGGGCGGTGTTCAATTCATTTCAGGCCAATACGTCTACGCCACGCGCATGCCTATTGCCTAGCCGGCTGCAAATCACCATGAAAATGAAACCAAAGTTTCCGCATAAGTAATAGGGTACAAGTAGGTGCACCGCCGTCATCTTCTTCATTACTTTTCTCTTCTCCTGCCTGGACTGTGGTTTTAATTTTAATTAACCTCTTGATCCTTAACATTAAAACATATTAACACCATCAGTTCAGGGAGACGTCGTTGGAGAATGTCTAGAATATCACTTTTGTCGATAGTTTTCCTTGCGGCAGCTGTTTTCGCCGCCGAGATCAAGGAAGAAGAGAACGTGCTGGTCCTCGAGAAGGATAACTTCGAAGCCGCCCTGAAGGAACACACCGATATCCTTGTGGAGTTCTACGCTCCATGGTGCGGCCATTGCAAAGCCCTGGCTCCCGAGTTTGCCAAAGCCGCCACCAAGCTGAAGGAGGAGAACAGTGCCATCAAACTGGGCAAGGTCGACGCTACGGTTGAGAATGAATTGGCTCAGAAGTATGGCGTGCGCGGATACCCTACTCTCAAGTTCTTCCGAGACGGACAGGAATCTGAATATAACGGTACGTCAGTAAAGCTAAGTATCTGATTATATGATTGCACATTACCATGTGTTTGTCAGTTTGTGCTAAAGAAATCCTGAGATCTATACATTTTTATTATTTCGGATGGATGAGACTTGTGGAATGCTTGAGCGATTTTTCAGCCACTGTCAACGCTTTTACGTAGTACCTGTTTGCTTGTATTTTATCGACTTATCGATTTAAAAATTTCGTGTTCACGTTTGTAATAGTCAGGAGTTGATTGAGAACGGGAGAGGTCTTAACTTTATAGATTTATTTTACAGCATTTTTGTTAGTTGTCTCATTAGTCGGTGTCTGCTTCCTGAGATTTGCAGATTACAGAAGGTTTTTAAAGCCTCGCACTAATGATTTCAAGAAAATGAATTGTTAAAAGTTTATCTGATATTAGCGGTTAACTATGCTAGTTGGAGTCATTCTGTTTTTTGCTGATCAGGGTCCATCGACGACGTGGCATCACACAGATGTATATTGTTTATTTAGGCGTGTGACATTTAACATAAGGCCTCGCAAACCGCGCGTCAGTAAAGTGTGACAGCATTTATTGTGCGAGTTTCTATAAATCCTCGTAAACTGCCCATGACAGCGCAGCTTCAAAGTTTTTGTTCTGCATTTTGGTTGATTAATTAATTTGCCAGTCAGTTGTGCCGGAACGTTTATAAGAACTACCCTAATAAAAATAGCGCTCAGGCGATATGATAGATATCGTTACTCTTTAGTAGAAGCTGAATTTTAAAAAAACCAGGTCAAGGTTGGTGGATGGTTAGTCGTCTTGTTTATTGACACAAGAAGACATCGGCATTGGATGTGTTCTTTATTACAGTAATATGTAGCGAATGCGAAAACGTAGTACATGTATAAGGTCGCGTTATTTATAATTAAAAGTTTAGAGAAATTGTAACTGTTTTACTAGTGAAAAGTTTTCAAGGCTCGTTCAGTTTCGAGAAATGACGATTTTTTTTTCCTTTAGGCCCAAGGCAAGCTGAAGGCATTATCACGTGGCTGAAGAAGAAAACCGGATTCCCGGCTGCCAAGTTTGCCGACTTGGAAGCCGCTAAGACGTTTATTGGTGATCGCGAAGTGGCTGTCGTTGGATTTTTTGACTCTGAAGACAGTGATGCCGCGAAAGCCTTCGTGGAAGCCGTGCGTGCCTTCGATGACGTCGAATTTGGCTTCGTCACTGATAAAGCCATTGCTGATGAATACAAAGTCAAAGGCGATCGTGTTGTCCTCTTCAAGAAGTTTGATGACTTGCGTGCCGAACACACCGCTGATTTCACCAAAGATAAGATTATCTCGTTCGTCAAGGAGAACTCGTTACCCTTGTTCATTGAATTCAACCAAAACTCAGCCCAGCGCATCTTCTCTGGAGATCTCAAAAACCATCTGCTGATCTTCATGAGCAAGGATGCCGAAAACTTCCAGCGCATCAACGACAGCGTTCGCGAACTGGCCAAAGGTTACAAGAACAAGCTTTTGTTTGTCTTCGTCAACATCGATAACGAGGAGAACTCAAGAATTACTGAATTCTTTGGCCTCCAGAAGGAAGATTTCCCTGCCGTCCGCCTCATTTCCCTGGCTGATCAGTTGGTCAAATATAAGCCAGATGTTGCTGAACTTAACCCGGAGAAGCTCAAGGTCTTCATTGATGATTATTTGGCTGGCAAGCTCAAGCCCCACCTGAACTCCCAGGAGGTTCCCAAAGACTGGGATGCGCAACCTGTCAAAGTTTTGGTTGGCAAGAATTTCGACGAAGTGGCTTTCGATAAGAAGAAGGATGTCTTGGTGGAATTCTATGCTCCGTGGTGTGGACACTGCAAGAAGCTGTCCCCAATTTACGATGAACTCGGAGAAAAATTCCAGTCTCGCGATGATGTCGTCATTGCTAAGATGGATGCCACCGCTAACGAACTGGAACATACCAGGATCGATTCCTTCCCCACAATCAAGTTATACAAGAAGGGAGATAACCAAGTCGTTGAATACAATGGTGAGCGAACACTGGAAGGTTTGACCAAATTTGTGGAATCTGGTGGAGAATTCGGTAAGGCTGCTGCAGAACAAGAAGGTGAAGAAGATGACGATCTTGATGAGGATGATGATGAAGTGAAGGAGGTTAAGAAAGACAAGAAGGATAAGGTTAAGGAAGAACTTTAGTCACTTTTCGGGCTTTTTTTGGTTGTTTTTTTGACATTCTTCACGTTTCCGTTGTCATTTTTGTTGTTTTATCTGGTGTCTTAGTGTTGGAACTGGCAGTTTTTATCATTTGCGCGTATTTATATTCAAATTAATTTTAAAACCATAAAAAACGACAGTGTATTGATGACATCGCTCGTTTCGCTTGATTTCTTTTCCGGTCTTTCATAATACAGTCTTGTCTAACAAAATGCGGTTGTGAGTTGTGATTACACGGTTTTCCGCTTCCACTTTTCATCAACCTGTACCGGTTGAAAATCTTGACGTTTCACTTGTGCTGTTAATCACAGTTTCAATCTGCATGCGAAACTTTGTAAAATCATTGAAACGTCTGCTTAAAAGTTCGATGCTAAGTTTTAAGCTTATGCTTTCTTCCTCCAATTTGCTTGAAAGAGCAATAACGCCACTTTCTTATGTGACTTCATTGTGCCATACATAAACATTATTGCTGTTTATGTGGGTTTATGGCTTCATATGGCTTGTGATTTATGTTGTACATTTTTGGAAGTTGCATCAAATTCAAATTTCTACTGAAAATATCACAAAAAACTGTCAGTGGCTGAATTTAATAAGTATGTAGACTAATGTAATAATTACCTGTTGACTATTGCACATCTTAAGCTTTACCACATTCACGGTGTCTGTTCCCATATTATATCCGTTACACTTCACAAGTACAGTAGCATTCTGTACACAAACAATCAAAATTATCAAATGAATAAATAATACACATGCCATTGCAAGAAATTACAAAAACATGAAATTTCAAAAAATCGAAGTAATAATTTAAATTACTTTTAATTACAAAAATATCAATTTTAAAATGCAAAGTTGCAAACGTCCGTATTGCCTGAAACTTCAAACTGATCGATAACAACTCAATGAGAGCGCCGTCAGACACTACTAATGGTAAGGCATACCAACCACTAAAAAGTTTCATAAAATATTTTCAATAATTTGCACGAAGCGCGAGGTGCTGCAGTAAGTCTTCGTCAAGAGCATAAAATTTGTCCGACGCCACGAAGAGCGTACGTCACGCTTTTCCAATTCCACAATCCCAATAAAATTTCCCAATGATATTGGCGCTCGCGCTCGTGCAATAATGTGGTTCGCAACCACCGCTAGTAGCTTAAAATTAATATAGATATTTCATGACTGCATAATGCAAACTTTGCAAAGTACCGTTGTTACGTTAATAGTACGTACGTTCATCGTTCAATGGCCCAAGTCGAAATGCACCGCCCGAGGCAGCTCTCACCTGAATTCCTGCCACCGTAGTGACCATAAGTACTTATTAGAGAATGCAGGAAGATTATTGCCCTGTATTTTGCCAGCCGTAAACGACTAAACCGAAAAGAAATTTGAAATACGTCTTTTGACTTTTTTCCGTTTTTTTTATTCGGAAGTTTTTAAAGTTACGAAGGAAGTTCTTGCCTCGAATTGCGAGTTGTGCGCATATTCTATTATTTGTGGCATAATAGTCGTTTCGGAAGCTAACCATGGCAGGTTCTGAGTAAGTTCTTGCTGTGTTTTTGTGCCACTGTATTCCTTGCGATATGAAGTCCCGTGAATTGTGATCTTTATTTTCGGTGGTTCTAATGATAATCGCGAATTATATAGGTCCGTGCGGATGACAAATGCGGATTTCCGGAAGATCTTAATGACACCTAGATCCGATGAGAAGCCTTCTGGATCCCTACCATCAACTCCGTCGTAAGTCAATCAAGGCAGTAAAATAGTGTTAGGACTGGCAGCTTGCTGTTTTATTCCATAAGTAGTATAAGATCAATAAAACTAAGTCCACTTGGTTTATTTCTTGATTATGTGTTTTCTTTCGTACTTTACACTTTTCTGTTTCTTGCTGACGCTTTTCAGTTTCTTATTTGTCCTTTTTGCACTCAGGTCCATTGGTTCAGATAGGAAGGCCAAGTACAGACCCCAAAAGAAACGAGTGTGAGTTGTGCTTCCGATTTGCTTGATTTTTTGCGCTAACTAGTTATTGTACATTTCTTTTTGTTTGTTACTTTAGTCCTCCAGCGCCAAAATTTCCAAATGAAGAAGGGGCTCCACCACCGACACCAGATTCTCACTACCGTGATCGAGTACAGTTGAATAATGAATAATATCATACTACAAAGGACATTCCAAAAATAATTTTCCCTGTTTTACCTCTCCGTCAGTTGACACAATACAGAAATGATATATTTTTCTTGGATAAACCATTATGTAACCTATCCGAGGAAACGACAATTAAAAGTTTCGGTGAAGAATAGGAAAACGAAAACCGAAACTTGAGGTACGTTTGCAGTTTTTCAGGTCCTTTTTGGAAATCATTCTTTTATTGTCAGTTTCGTCTTTGAAATTATTTCGACGATTACTTTTAAGTATCAACTGCAAATAGTGTTAGTGTTATTACGAAGTTAGCAGAACGCTTTGAAAAGCTCCGAGTTTGAGGTAAACATTTATTTTTTGTAGGACACCAAAGTTCTCGGTTTTAGCCTTCTCGCTTCTGTGAATACATCGTTCTATGTATTAAAAGAAACGCATTTTATGGCCACTCGTGCGCACCTAAGATACCAAAGAAGTTTACTTCTCACCGGCACAAATAAATTTTTTTAATGAATTTTGTCACTTTTTTACCGTAAGGATGCTAAGAAGCTTTCTGTTTTGGTACCTACTCCCAGACACTTTCAATTTTCCCTCACAAGCGGATGGACCACATCATTTTATTTTAAAATCTCTTGTTAGAAGAAAGAATTTCTAACGTTACCACATTTTTTGTTTCTCAAAAACTTGTGAGGCGATTGAGAAAAATTGCAAAATTAGTCCATGGAAATCACGTGAAAAAGTGCGTAAGACCCTTCATGGTTTTCTCCGCAGTTTTTTTCTGTTTTAGTGGAGTTTAGGTGAGTTATGTTTTGTTTCGGTTCCTTAGTGAAGGACTTTCCTAACGATATGGCTAATAAAAGCTGAATGCGTTTTGAAGGAGATACAAAGTAGGAAAATTATTTTGGAATGTCCTTTGTATGACAATATAAGGGGCATTTTTCCGGTGGCTGGCTAATATCGTGGACCATTTAAAAAGTTTTTGTCGAGTGCGTACATTATTTTAGGCCAAAGAACGCCGTGAGCTGGCTACGCAGGATCATGAGCAGCTTATCATGTTGGCTGCTACAGCAGGCTACAAAGCGGTTGCACCGGATTTTCAATCGTAAGACTGGATAAATATCGTTCGTCGTTGTTCCGCTGGCCTTTACTCTTTACCATTCAGTAAAATGCATGTTCTTCTTAAAATTAGTGGTCTGGACGCAGCCGAACGCCGTAGGAAGATTATAGAGGAATCCAAATTTTTGGGTGGTGACATTGAGCACACCCATCTCGTGAAAGGGCTGGATTATGCGCTTCTGCAAAAGGTACGAGTAGGGTTGTATTAAAATTTGTTTTGCGTCAACTGCTAAGAGAAACGGAAAAGTTACGGTAAATGTTGGCTTACTTACTCATTTCTGAATGTGTGTGCAGTGTGACTCATGTGTGCACGCGTTATTTCAGCTTACCAATGATCTCACTTAATTAATGGTTGTTGTACCTTGTAGGTGAAAGCGGAGCTTGATAGTAAAGAGGAGGAAAGCCAGCCTGCAGTCGAAGAAGAGGAGGAAGCGCCAAAAACTAAAAAATCGGCCAAGGATCTTTTATCAAAGTAGTACTTTCTTGTATGCCCCTTGACGGTGCATAGAATTTGGGCGTTAATCTTGTAGAAAACCTGCGACAAAGCTCAGCGAACAGGATAAAACACCGGAATTCAAAACACGCTTAGCGAAAAACGTCTACAATATCCTGTTCAATCAAGAAATCCCCCAGCGGAATCAGTTTTTCATACCTGGACGCATGGCGTTTCTATGGGATTTGGATGATGAATTTGGTAACTGGGAAACACCGACCACGCTGCTGCGCAGTAAAGCAGAATTGCGGCAAGAGGAAGTAAGATTTTAAAACATTAAATTCTATCCACTGACTTCGTCGCTTAAAATTGTCCGGTTTTTAGGGACCGGATAAACATGCGGATCATCATATTGTAATAGAAAAGTTAACCCAGATCCTTTCTCACTTGCGGCAAGGCATCCGAGTGTCAAAGAAATCGAAGAAAGAAAAAAAACTAGGTAGAAGTACTGTTTCTGAGTGTTGATTAATAATTTCTTATCTTCTCTTTGATTTTTTTTTATTCAAAGTCTGCTGTGTCACTAGTAAAGAATACAACATATGTGCTTTGTGCTTTGATCAAAGGTGTTTTTTGTAAAGTTAATAAACATCTATTTCAGTGTAGTCTTCTTAGATCAACATTCGTTGTGGATGTAATGTCGTTTTTGGCCCTTTTCAGCGTTCGTTGATCCAAAAACTCTTCCTCAAAGCAAACCACCTGGAGAAAGGTCAGTAAATTTTTTAGTTTTAATTATTTGTCTTTCATCACTACATTCGAAGTTTTGATCTTAAGTTTACACATACTGTTTATGGATGCAGTATATTTGATGATGACGATGGAAGTTATAAACCAACTACCACTAAATTATTCGTTCGACCCGGTGACAGTGAAGTGAAAGCCGCTTATTTCAAAAAACCCGAAGGCGCAATCGTACGTAGCTGATTTGATAAAAGTTTTGCGTATATGAATAATTTGTGGGTTTGCAAAGGTTAACGAAACTGCTGAGGAAAAACAGAAAAAAGATCACGAGTACATCCGAAACGTCATTGGCGCGGTAAGTTTATCGAAAATTATTGCTTAACATTTTTAAGTATGCTCATGGTACTTCAATACATGTTGTCTATATGCACGGTTTTTTGGATTCCTTCAGGCCAAGAAACTCGACATTGCCGAGAACGGTAAATCAGAAGTTGGAATTTCTAAGGCCAGTGCTGCGGGACCGGAAATGAATCGGCTGCGAGTTGAAAGCGGACCGGATAGCTATGCTGAATGTTATCCTGGGTTGGTCTTATGTGAACATCGTTAATTACTTAACATAGCCTTAGACGCCGATCTCCGGCTCACTGACCGATTTAGCCCTACCGATCTACCCTAGTTGTCAGAATGTTTTGCTTTTAATCAGGCTGTTTCAGAAAATATGAATTTATTCAAAACGGTTTTTAAGATGCACCCACGGCGTACATTGCATATTGAGAACTATAATTGTAGAATTCATGAATAGTTTGTGTATATGAATGGATCAGGTGACGATATTGCGAATCTTGTCTCAATAGTCTGCAGCTGTAGGCGATTGCATGTGCCGTTTGAGACGGATTACGGCCATTTAAATGTGCTGTATTTTTCTTTCTTCAGATTTCATGAAGCTCTGGAGGCGGCGGTGGATAGTGATGAGGATGATGATCTGAGTAAAATGGATCATGTAAGGAATTATCTTTTAAGACAGGAATAGTGTATCGTGTGTTGAGCCCGTTGGCAATTAGCTGGGCTGGCAGTCGCTGTACAATTGCACATGTGTGGCACTATACCCTTGACGTTACGGCTGCGTTTTTGTAGGGTAACAACAAGAGCGCAATCAGCCGAAAAGCTTTCGATACGGACGAGGATTACAGTAATTATATGGCTCAGAGGGAAGCTTTGCCCAAGTAAGGATATGTCAGGAGACTGGCAATTATTCGGTTGCTCTATTCTAATCTCTTTGTGCTGTACCCGTACGGAATTAAACACTGTCTGTAATTAATACGATTTACATCGAAGTATTAAATGTCGCATCACGCGTAGCGTTGGAATATTTTCTGAATATCTGTGTGTAGGCGCGCATGGAGCAGTAATATCTTTCTAATTTGAAGTACATTTTTAGAGCGGCCTTCCAGTACGGTGTCAAGATGACGGATGGGCGAAAAAAAGCCAAGAGTTCCACGAAAAATGAAAAAGCAAAAATTAATAGTGAATGGACAAAAATTAGTGCACTCATCCAGAAACGCAAAGACGGGGGAGATTTCCAGTAAGTTGTAGTATGTCACGACAGTCGAAGCATCATAATTGCGGATCATGAAGATGCATTGCTATTGAGTTTTCCTCTTTTCGCCAAATTGCAGTGGTGAATCGAAAAGGGCTAGAAATGAATGATGGCACTGCGACCAGAGGACAGTCTCGTCTGTCAGTCTGTACACGTACACACACAGAGAGTCCCCTATTCATTTTCTGCACTGGAGTGTTCGGGACGGGAATTAGTGGTATGGATTCGCTTTACGCATGGCTGATCATATTGGCGGTGTGTGCGACACTGGCATGCCAAAGTAAAGTGGTCTTTGATGGGGAATGTTTTACTCTCTTTCGATGTTTTCACTTGACAGCTTCTTATGAATATTTAACGGACTGATCGGCGTAATGCGTCCGCGGTATCGGAGGAATTGCGGTTTTGTGTGCTTATTGTTATTAGCGCATTATAGTTGTCGGGAAAGTTGAAATCGGGAAGTTGTTTTTCGGGCTGGATCATAGATCAAATCCCGACAATCTGTCAGATGTAGTGCCCGGATTGACTCTAGAGAATCCGCTAAATATAACAGATCCGTGTCGGCTTATTTCTACATATACCGTTATCGTATTATATTTTAAGTTTCGGAAAACTGTTTTTGAAATATTTGAATTTCAAAAAGTTTTTTTATTAACGTTTCACTGGAATTTTTGGCCGTTTCTTTCACCACACACCACTAAAAAAGTAGAAGTACGAGCGCTTACGCGCAACAGTACCACAACTACTCCAGATTTATAGGGTCACGAGGATTATTATTACTGTAATACGAGTAATACCGTCAGGTGTGTCACTGTGTGTGCCCCAGTTACCCTGTGATGTACATAACAATTAACATCGACACTTTGGGACTGCAGTTAGAATTTTGTACAAATATTTCCTCCAACTATTTTTTGTCTAAAAATGCCAGGAAACAATATCAGGGTCCGTTAACTCTCTATCAAAATAATACCGGTCAACGCTTATGATCGCATCCATTTTTACATATATAGGATTGGATATTATTATGGAAAACGACAGTAACCGTCTAACAAATGTAAGTAACCATACAAAACAGTCCGTGATTCCAAGGCTTAACCATTTGGTTGTATCATAAAACGGTGCATCCCTTTGTTTCCTTGAATGGGTTTTCGGATTGGGAAATTCCTTGCACCAGCACATCGGTTTTTTGGTTATCTTGGCAGAATCGGATCAGACTGCAAAATTGCATAGTCCAGCGTACAAAGTCGAGTAATTAAGCACATACAGTATTTTATATAGAGACAAACGTAGACAAGCTTGAATGTTCGCTTCTGTACTCGCTAGAGGTCACTTTTTACCAGTCGCGTGTCAATATTATTGGCCAGTTCTCAGTGTAAGAGCCTCAGCCAAAGTTAGACGTCATCCATAAACGTGTCTTAACTTTAATTTGTTCATTTCCTGAGATTCTGAAGTGAAATTGCCCACGTAATAATTATTTGAATGAACGCGTATGTTGTGTCGCTGACCATCGTGCCGGTCACGCAGTGCTCCTGTGCACGTAATGGCTGGATATTTACGGCGCAATAAGATGCCGGTTTCTGACAGCGAGTCATAAAGAAGAAAAATACTGACAAACCGATTATCCATTACATATTGCAACTTAACCATTCCGTCAGATATTCCCGACGTTCGCGAACAAAGCGAGCGCTCCACACGCTTCCGTGGTAGAAGACGATCTCGCAAAGTTTCATGCATAAAATTAACTTTCCGATCGCAAACTAATCCTTGGGTTCTAATATATGCAACCTAATTTGGGCGCATGTACTGAAATGTGTATAAGGCAAAAAGTTTACTTAATCACTATGCTGTCCTTCGTATTCCTTCGTATACACCCTATGGATTCCAAAAATCCATAGAGTTTATAAGCGTCTACTTCGAAAACTCGAAAAGCAATAAAAAAACAAAGTTCGCGACATATTACAACGCGAGCGATCTGATGATACCGGAATTTTGAAGTTATTTAAGGTATGCATTTGTCTTCTATCTTCGCTGCAGGAGATTATTTTTGTAATTAAGCCGTCTATGAAAGTCAGTTAAACGCATTTCAAAAATATTGCTTTACAATTCTACAATTCCGCATTTTTGTTTATGTGCGGCTTCTTAATTCTGTGCAACCACTGACTCGTTCTAAATAAAAATGAATCTTCGATAATAATAATTCATTCGCTACTGGAACGATGCAATGATGCAACCTACGAACAACATATATAGCATAATTTGGAAATACAAGTACAAGTATTCAAACCAACTTTCTTATGGCGCTTTCGCTAAAATAAACACACGTAATAAGCCAATTATCAAACACTAATCCAGATACTAACGCTGTTTATACATTTCCCCTAACAACACTTATTAGTCTGGAATATTAATTTCCACATATGCGAGTTCCTGCATTATAAAACTTGTATATATACACGATATTTGTATGCATAGTCAGCGGCTGTAATGGGATTGTACAGAGTTAAGTAGGTATCGATCAATTTGTTTTCCTTGATGTATATTTGAATGAAGACTTTATGCTATCTGGAGCATGAAAGGTTTTAATGTCATTGTTTGTTGGAGCGCCTGATGTTGCTGTGCAAACAGATTTATCAATAAACACTGTTTACAGAATATGGCCATGTCGCATTCATGTGTCCGTCTGTTCCTTTTGTGGCCTATGCAAACGATTACAAGCGATTTGTTTCCTACCGGGAGAATGGGCTGCTAGCTTATGAGCTCCATCTGTATTCCGTAGTGCACTGTGTTGTTGTGCGCGTGGGCCAAAATGAGATAACTGCGCATAATCTTTTTCCCGGCTGTGCTACTGCAGTCGGACGGTGGCGGCGGCTGATGTTATCCTACTCAAGTACGTGTACTATACATGTCACAGATTTCTGTCAATCAGTTATCTAGCTCAATCCTTCTCGTTCGTTAGCCAGAATACCCACACGGAAAGCTTAAGCAGTCTTGAAAACCCCTGGTGACCAGCTCGTTCCAGCTCAAATTTCCGCTAATGCGCAGGATACACTATTCTTCCAATGAAATACCATTTGACTGCGAATTACGGCGCCCGACACATCCTCTGCATGCTAAAACCTTCTTGTGTCTCACAAGAAAATAATATTTTAGAAAACTTTTGAAAACTTTTCAAATAGCATCTGCGAGAAATGAGAATCATTCACCAACCGTATACTAACTTTCAGGTATTAATACATATTTGGTCTGATATCAACACCGCTGATTAGTACAGTATACTAACTTCTCAGCTTCAGACAAGCGGCACACATAATACATTACATACAGTACCGGTAGCAGAGACAACGCTTACAAAAATTGATCGGATTTTCAATGTAAACAGCCCACTTGCATATTATCATCTTAAGCATAAGATGCTTCTAATAAACGCTTGGATTTATTGCTCTATCTTTTCAGTTTTGATAATTTTATGTTGCTGAAAATTTTGTGTGAGAGATCGGATACATACACCAGTACTGGATGTTACAGTATCAAACTCGGTCGTCAAAGCATGACAAAAGCACAATACCGGAACGCATTATGATGTTGGCTCTATTCATCCACAGTTAATAATAATTGCTGCCACACTTACTCATCGCACGCTTTGGAGACGGGAATCCTTTGCACGCTAGCTTCTTGCCGCAGTTGCTTAACTTGATTCTTCATGGCCTGTACTTGGCTGGACATTTTTTAGTCTAGGCACTCTGACAATGGAAAGATACACCATCAGTGTTGAATTTTAATTTGTTCATCCATAACCCATTTGTAATGCTTAATGTCTTGTAGTTGTAGGTGTTAACTGACACATGCTATCACCGCATGAGGCTAATTATGCAGTACTGCAATTAATTATAACACTCGCAAATGCCACATAAATTCCATTTCTCGACACATAGTTTCACTGAAAAAACTATTGTTATATAGTCAACTTCAATACAGTTGGTTTTTCGCCTTTCGTGCTGAGACAAAAGAAAAACACATAAAAAACGGTTGTACAGCGCACAGTTACTGCGGCATACGTAGCATTTATGGTTTGGCAGGAATACCTGCCCTGTCAGCAGCCGGGGAAAGTACGGATTTGAAAGATTCTAAGGTGATGATCACCTAGCTGTTGCAACATTAACTGAACCAACCGTTATTTATGTGCCGTCAATAACTGCGCTCGTCAATAACTTTCTTTGCAATTAGCATCTATCTTTAGGTAAAGTAGTACCTGTAACATTAATTTCGGAACACACATTTCATAAATATTTTTGTGTTGAACGAAATACTGTTACATAAAAAAATCAGTGTTATATAAAAGCTGGATATATTTATAGAACTGCTACTTATCGTTAATACTGCTTAATGATACCAAATTTTGCTAGCTTCTTGGTATTCGCGACAAATGCACGATGTTGTATGCAGACGTTTAAATCAATCAATTTGCAATTGGATCGATCGTTTATTATGATAACAGTGTGATTGTTATTGAAGACTCACCTTTTGGTATCAAATATTAAATAGATATTTAATCCAACTGAGTCGATCCGTCGGTCGGTCGGTTGGTTGGTGGAAGCGCCGGGCAACGTAAACAACGGGTCTACTGTTGATGGGGCAATCTAGCGGCTGTCGTTGGGATTTAATTTAAATAACAGCAGATCAAGTTGTATGACGTGGGTTAATCTTGCACTTGATCTGTTGGGAAAAAGAAAGGCAGAAAACGCACGCATATACACAACTCTTCGGATGGCACAGCAAATCTTTTGCAGACTGACGGTAGTGTATGTAGATAGTTTAATAAAGTGTGCGGTTTTTGGTATATTATGGATTGAGCTCCATCCAGCAAAGCTTCGCGGCGCAGGCTAGCCAGATCTACATTACCGGCAACAGGATGCAAATGGCAACTCAGGCGCATATATGTACCAATATATTATATTTGCGTGTAGTCAGTGCACTGTGCTCATGCACACACGTATATATGTCACACATGTATTGTATATAGATATTCTGTATTGCACAGCAATCCGATGGGTGAAGCAGGGACAGTGATCCGGCAAACGTCTACCGCATGCTGATGTTCATCGCATTCCATGCGGTGTAATATGCACTTGACGTAATTTACGTTTGTTCTGGAGAATTCAATATCACTGGGGCTATATGTGGAGCGCGTTGTATGCCAGTGAGAAGATGACTAGCTGGAGTCAAAAAAGCGGAAGTGGCATCCACCAGCAGGAAGGAAGGAGTGGTGTCGCTGGTTCGTGTTGTTGCTGGCGTTAGCCGTGTGTGCACAGTGTGGTGCTGTACTGCCTTTGCCCCGGAATCACGGCGGCTTCGTCAAGATATCGTACGATATGTATGTTCTACTCTGGCGGTTTTCGGAAACAGGATACGCCTGACGAATTCAATATGTACCGCTAACCTACAAATTTTCAACTACCATATTTTCCGCGCTGTGTGGCGTGCCATGCCAGTTCTTTTAACCACACAACTTAATATGAACTGGGCTTTAGAAAATTACTATTTGCACGCACCATTTTTCTTTATTCTATCTTTTAAAATGTAGTTTTTGCTTGCTGATTGTGGACAGTATACTGTAAATGTACACTCCAAAATGAGTACCCCACGGTTGGAGTGTAAGTACCTGATTTCGACTAATCTGGTGTAATTTCAGCAAGAAATGCACGATATTCCCATTTAAGAAATGCTAAAACCTGTTGCATAAATCTAATAATGAAGACAGTGCAATAAAGTGGTAGATACTGTTACTAATTGTTGGGTCAGAGATCCGTGAAGTTGGTATTTCAAGATAGCAATTTTTTGAAGTAACAAATGCAATCCTTTCAAATGTCTTTCACGATGACCTTTGAATGCTTTTTTATAAAGCAATATTCTTCATCATAATTAATTTACTGATTTTACTCATATTGTCAATGAAAAAAATTTGATAGTTTTGTTAACAAGTTGAAACGTGAACAGTAACAGAAATTTTGTTCAGTTTAGTTGCTTCCTCGCCACGCCCCGGCCCGGGCGAAAAAAGTAATTTTCTTTTTCTTGTACAATATAAGCAGCGTTGCACTCTATCTGCACGGTGGTATAATTGAAGGCAAAATATTTCAACATAATATATGAAGTAGTTCGTAACATTTCGGTGAAGGCAACATACGGTACAACTTACAACTTACCTATTTAAGAATTCCCTACGGGTGGGAATACCAACGTGAGTCATCAACACCACGTATTACAAAGTCGGTGACAACATAGGAACACAAAGTGTTTTTTCATTACAGCATGCAAAAACCCCTCATCCACAGCATCATCATCACATTTAATCTTTTTACACCTTACATCACCTATATCTTTTTAATCGTGGTATATAATTGCGAAAACGGATTCTGCATGAGAATGGTTGGTGAATGATATTTTCTTGTACAACGAAATGAGACAAGCTTAATCCTGGAACGCTACGAATAGACTGTAGACTGAACTAACCGCGTACTCTCGCCAACAATAGTGAGGTGAAGCAAAACACCAATCGCAATAATGCATAGACCTGAATAACGTTTTTTAAGGTACGCTAATAATACGAACATTCATTTCGCACGTACAATACGATCGCCTTTCTGTCGCACCTTTATGGTACTCAGTATTTTCAAGCTGTCACGATTTCCGACTTCATAACAGCTTTAAGAGTATAATGAATAACATAGAAGCTGACAGCTCTCATGAAAGTTTGAAACCTAACAAAGTATACAACAAAACAGCATGCACCTCTATTTGCATAAATTAAACAGGAAAATTAGTTTTGCTAGCCCTAAAATCAAATAATATTATTGTGACCTTTTCGGACGGTGGGATATACATTTTACTGTAGCGCTTCCGGAAAAACAGCACAGCCAGATGAATATAAATATTTACATCCAAAACAGCTGCAAAGAGGCAACTTAACCAGTGGACAAACTAAAACTATGCAACTTCGGAATGTTGAACTTTCCTCCCTGAAACAAGGAAAAGTTGATAATTATATGGAGAACAGCGGCTAATGCCACAGGTAGACTGAAGATTCTTACTGAGTTCTAGGTCGTCAAGTAACTGCTTTAAATTTAATCCAATAAACAAAAAAACTGTTAAAGCCTTACTAGATTGGAAAGATGGATAGCACACTAATACTCCACAAATCGCGTAAGTAAAATTTAAAATTAAAAGAACTGCGCATAAAAAATGACTTAATGTGACATTTAGCAACATGTAGGTAATTTGGCAACCTTTACGTACACTATAGACATTTTGTGAGACTAGCATAACTAGTACAGTAGCCAATGCATTGCAAGCTGCATTGTCAAAATATGATATCTAGAGCTCATAGGGTACCAACTACAAAGTACCGCACTAACATAGGAAAGGTCAATGCACATGTACAGGAACCACTCTAGGAGTATAAGGCTTATGTTTACTACCCACAAGTTTACAACAATATATGCAAAATTACAATGCACTGGCGAAATAATGCAAAAATACATAAAATGAATTTAATACAGGCTAGATATGAAATAGTTGCGAAAATTCGTATCGGAACGGTGTGGGTGTATGGTGTGCCATAAGGTCAAAATGTGGTGAAGTAAGAAGTACAGTATTTCCCATCGGATTGGAATGCATGCTTTTCCATGCAACGATCGGATGCAGTTGCAGAGCGGTACGCCCACCATTACTGGAGCAGAATATATCTACTAGTAGGATGACCATACCTCGTCAAACCAAAACGTATAAATGATCCAAAAGTACCAAAAAAACAGTGTAAGCAGTTTCCGGACTGATACATCTTTAATACAAACTTTGCGTCTGAGCGGCAACATGCGGCCAGTGCACTTTAATTGAAGATTACAGCAATCACCGACAACATACAAGTTGATTCGCGTCAATACAATTGAAATAACTTGGGTTGTCGCTGCAAAACATTCATAACCATAATAACTGTATACACAACAAAACATGAAATATATCTGACAAAACTATGTTTTCTGATCATTCCGTCACTTCGATCAGAGAGCATAATCACATGGGCAATGTATGCACAGAGAAGAATTTGCCTGGCGTGCAGCAGCAACAGCACAGTACAATTGGTACTTTGATTTTTGATTGTATTTTTCTAGCTCGCGCCCTATAATATCAGCGTACGTGCTACGAAAGGGGCTGAACTTGTTGGCCGTTGGGGTTGTCCTTGCGGCCAGGAAAACTAATAACTGAACGCAGTCCACGTACGGAACTCTAAAAGGAAAACAACAACCAAGTTTGGGGGGCGCACGGATGCATGGATGCAGATCAAGATCAAAGCTTAGAAAAAAATCATACAGTGCGTCTATATATAATTGTGCACAAAATAGACTAAGTGATTAATCAAGGGATTAACGCAATGGTTGTGTAGTGGTGTCATGCTGGACTGCGTATGCGCCGGGATAATGTATCAGGGAACTTTACCATGCTAGGCATAACCAAAAAGTTAATTGTTCTGTGTCGAACAGAATAATAGTACAAACGGTGCGGCTAATAATAACTTGAGGGAAAAACATGATTCGTAATGCGTGTCAGACGGATTGTTAGTGAATTTGCAGATAGTAGTATTGTTAGAAGTGTCAGTGTATTCACATGGACGTTCTGGTGATCGCGAGGCGGTTAGCCGATCTTGGACGGGAACTTACTTTTTTCTTCGCACCCGCTAACAACTCTTTGTAGAGATCAGATCGGAGGAATCTTTGGTAGCTATCGCGGCCCATTAGATTATAAATGTGCTCCTGTTGTAAAGCAAAAATTGTATGGTCAGTCTGCCAAATGGTTGTAAAGCAAACGTATGAACGGGAGAAAAGTTTAGTTTCTTGGCTTTACAAACATCAAAGACATATGAAACCTACTGAATACCAGCAATTTAATTTCCGATCTTCTCCATTAGAATCAAATAATAAAATAACAGAATCAAAGTTTTGCATTACTCCACAGAATTTCCTAAAGCTTATGAGTACGTACCGCAGCTTCCTCGAAGGTATACCTAGAAGGCTTCTGCATATGTTTCCTTGTCACTTCGGCAGCTACTGCATCTATGTTGACAGGAGAATGAGCGCCAGGTGCCAGGAATTCCCTAAAATTATCCCATGCGTACGTTCAATGAATTCTCTAGTTTAGCAATACACAGCAGCGCAGTGAAAGATGCCATGATTTATTTATAACCTTATCTAAAAATAACACTGTTACAGTAGTATTAACTGACACTGTTTTGCATAGCATGCTTGTGCATTGTTTTAGTTGTGCTTTGTATTCTATCGAAAATTTTCTTAAAACAAAAAAAAACTATACATGCGTACATCATTTTAAAATACACTAAAGGATTTCGAGTTATCAATCACCACAACCATTCCAATACTGCTACCATACATTGACCTTTACATAACTAAAGCAGAACCTTTAAATTTTACGCTATTCCTCTATACTTTCCTTGACCAGGATTGCATATAGAGGAAGTTTTTCTGTTGTGAATTGGGTTTTAGTAAGCAGTTAAACCTACATGCGATACTTATTAATTAAAGGTTCAACACATTTTTCGCTACTTATTTTTAATACAAGCGTATGAAAAGTGATCAAATAAAGTCGTCGAATGAAAGAAAATCACATACTCGGTAGCATAATAGCATCACCGCTACGCACAATAACGAATCTATAGACATACTCACAGTAAAGTCACAAAAGGCATGCAGTCATGAAAAAAGAAGCAATTTGAGCTGTTGTTATGATGGGCAAAGTTATGGTGTTATAGCGAAACTGTATTTAAGTTTTTTTTTAGCATACGAAAAAATGCACTGGCACAATTAAAGAATGCTAACCGACAAACGAAAAATGCAATACATAGTTAATAGACAAAAATTTTATTCTCAATACAAAGCTAGAAAGTAAATTTCCATTATACCGAAGGGTCTGTCGGGAGGTCGTTCCCAATCACAAAAACACGTATGGTATATCTTTGAACACTCACGCATAAATTTCGCATAAGTTTATGTACTATATCTATTGTAGTGCGTGTTAATATGTTTTAATATGTTTTTCCGTTTTCCGATATTTATCTACACTGCCTACACATAAATATTCGCACAGAAGGTGCTATTTATTTCATACAACGCGTTAAACTTACGCAAAAATTTCCTTCACGCGATTGGAAATCTGTTTGTTTGGCAGACGTTTGAGTTCTTGCACAGATTCCCAAAATCTAAGAAATCCCCGCGGAATGTGTTAAAAAATGGTACACATGTCAAATACTTCATCTTCACAAAGATAAATGAACTATATTAAGCATACTTAAACGGACTATATTGAACTATACATATCAAACTATATTAAGCCTACTTTAAAATAGTCATAAGTGAAAAAAACTATATTAAGCATACTTTAAATAGTCATAAGTAAACCAGGAAAAACAACAGCGCTGGATGGAGTACAGTGGTCATATCATAAAAACATTTTACTGTGGTTTGGCTAAAGTCACACGGCACACACCTAAGGTTTTCGCCACTGACTTCTTTTTCTAAAAACTTCATAAAATGATCTCTTCCCATAGGATCCTTTAGGAGTTCCCTTAAGGAGAAAGCCCATCGCTTTACGCGCTTGCCGGAAGGATCTTTGCTGCAGGGTAGAAAACACAGCCGGCGATTATTGATTGAAATGCATAGTTTAAGTGGTCAGAGAGTGGCAGCGATTGTGCTGCAACTTACGAAAGTTTCTCTTGTTCCCAGAGATCGGGGTTATCACATATCCAAGGATTAGAAGGCTCCGGCGGAGATATGAATGGATCGTATTCCGCGTATTGCTCAAAAAATGCTATATGGCTGCAAAAAAATCAAGACCTCCACTAACTCATTCCAGCTGCACTTACCGGATCATATACACATACAATAAGTACTTTAAGCTATGTTAGTACATTTAAGGCTACGGATGATGAGAAACATCATGGATTTTAAAATTTTTTCAACCATTCTGCAATCGCTCTCAGAAGATAACGAAGCGAAATATTGATACAAAAAGTAACAAAGCATTACAAATTAAAACTATTTTGTTCTCTTTATTATCGCTCCTTTAGTGGCACACGTATTTATTAACATTGTACTATTTATTTTTACTATAGTTGACGTTAATAGTAAACATTAATAGCAGTCGTACTTACAATTTAGAAATTTCCGACATTTTAAGGTGTCTCCGTGCTAAACGCTGGCGTAACCGGTCCACTTCTTTGACGAAAATCTCTATCACTTGTGGATCGTCTGCTATTCTAGGACGACTTGAACTTCCTGAAGTTAATTGATTTGCCGACATTCGACTCAGTCCTTTAGAAGCCTTTTTTGTTCGGGAAGCTTTTTTGAAGTCCAATTCCGTGGTATTTACACAGCCAGGCTTCAAAATACGCATACGTAATAACTGCAGCTTCGTTGTAGATCGAAGTATTACCACTGTACTGTTGTACACAAGTATTTAATACCAGTATTACAGTCTTGTCTTGTTGCAGTAGTAAACGAATTATTATTCATCTTACAGCTTATGACATTAAATTAATACTAGAATGAGGTAATGCAGTACTATATGTAGTACAGCACTCATACTTCTGATGTTAAACACTCCGTCTAAGAATTGCTTTGCAAAGATCATTCATTAATTACAAGAGGAGCGCTCAACGGTGTACTAATGCTACTGCTGACCGGCTACTGCGTTAAAATTTAAGGTAAATTATAATTTGTCTGTTAGAAAGGCAAAATAAGAACAATTCTTGTAACAAATAAAAATATGCGAAAAGATCAAGAGAAGATCTGTAATTTTGTTGATTTCTTTTTCACTTACAAATGGCCGGTGAACATCCCAAAATGCCCTTTCTTGACTATCCAAAACCTTCCGCTCTAATTTATCACGCTTTTTGTCTACCCTGTAAAGCAATGCAGTTGTAGCCTCTTAGAGTAATGCTAAGTACTGCGCTAGAAAACCCTATTTTTAAATTACTTGGATTGAGCTTCTGCCTGCATAAAAATGAATTCCCATTTCCGGGAAAACATTTTCTGTAATCGTGCCAGATTTTCCGCTTCATAATCAGTTAGCTCCAGCCGCGTTTTATTTTGCATGGTGCGCTTGCATAGGTAAACCGCTGCAAAATACGCATCAAAAAGGAATGTATTCCATGTAAATAAACACAACGATAATGTTAATCAGTTAATGGATAATGCATTTCATAGAAGTATTACCGTAATCGGTATTTTCCGGTTCCCAGCAGTTGGAAGGCCAAAAGTAGGGAGTCTAATTGAAAAATGCGGTGCTTGGTAAATTTCAACTTCTATTCAGCTAGAAGATGACTTTCTATTTACACCCACAAAACCTGCTTCATAACAGTATTATTTACCTGAAATCTATAAAATGTGCTGTCGTTTTTAACGGTAAGCACATGGTCATCAATGGGGAAAAAGTATCCATGGGCCGCCATAAGGTGTGCTAAATGCAACGCTTCCGCTGCAGGAAAAAAGCAAAACATTAGCAATAAAGCGTTTGATAAATCGATGACTAAATGCAATATAATGTAACAGATAGTCATCCAATTTGCTACGTTTACATCGTTCTAGTTAAGCGACATTGTGTACATTATCAGCATAAACTCTGACGGCGGGCACAGTGGGAATAAACGTTTAGCAAGAGAGAAACGGAATTTGATTATTGGACATATAGCACATATAGGCATAGACATCTAAGATAGCTGGGCGCGTCACATGAGCGCGCCACTACGGGAATCGATGGCTGAACCGGAAGTCGGCCAGGAAGTATGATGCCGCGAAAAGCTGCTCCTTTTGGCTTAGCATTGCTTTGCGGTTCGCTTACTTACTTTGATCATCCACATCCAAGTTACGCACCATCCACTGTATCAAATCCGAACCTAGAGTAGCGCACATACCAACATAACACAAATAGCCGGAATAATCCATCTGGATTTATAGTATCAATAACAGCAAGCTATCAGCATCTTACATATACATATGCTCAGCTTGTCTATGCACCGCGAAACATCTATATATCTTTAAATTTAAAAACCGACTACCACTTCCGATATGCGAGCCGCTAGCGGCAGAAAATGTTTACCCATAAATACGCTAGGGATTTTGGTCATAAAGCTTTTCACAGTTCGAACAGGCACTCCCGTTTGTTCATTCTGCATGTGCTCCACAATCTTTTCCATCTGCAAAGAAACAATGAAGAGTTAGGCACCGGCTTGGAAAACAAGCTGATCTATGCCACAAACCCAGTTTCTAGAAAACGCTTTGAGATATTTTGGAAACAATTTTTTTTTGTTTATTATAACCGTTTAAATGATTTCCCTTTGTGTAATTTGTCACTTAGACCGCGGGCCAAAACTGCAGTTCGGTCATGGGCTAAACTGATGTGGAAGAAATTGTCAAGTGGCATTAAGAAAAGTAATTTTCCGACATACTGCTCCTAAATCCGTACAGCTAGAAGGAAAGCGTAATTATACGCCAGCAAAAACAATAGTAAGTACGAACTTACCAGTTGGCAAACTATTACTACAGTAATTGTACAGTAATTGTCAAAAGCGCCAGCGTTAATGATTGTGACGTGACTATATAGTCAGTAAATGTCAATAACATAATAAGTAAGATCTTTGTCGTTAGGTAAAATTTAGGTAAAACCAAATTCAACCAGCCAAGGAGGGCTTGGCAAATTATGCATATTCGTCACAATGAGACCGAACAAATTACTTGCAATGCGACCAAAGTCACATTAATTTTTATTTTCTTCTTTTTCTCCAGTATTTCTCCAGATCACACCAGTATTAATAATCTTGCATCAGGTATCCGATTTGCTGAATTAACCAGCACGAAGAAGTGTAATTACATTAAAATAGCCGCATCCTCTTCAGAATTTCGATAAATTAATGCTGCGACTTCACTTCTTTCGGCAGATGGTGCATATTCTTTTTTAAATTTACATCACTGCAGTTAGAATAGAGAGATGGACTTGCGGCTGCGAGTAGCAACTGTGCAGATTAATCAGTATTTTGTTCCATTTGTCAGCAAACTAGTAATTAACTCAACCTGTTTTTCCTTCTTTAATTATTTTTTTGCAAACTACTGTAGGTATTTAGACGCATGAAACGCTCGTATAGCAAAAAACGCAAACTTTCCACCTAATATTCACTCACAACGTACCTTGCAAACAGAAAAATAGAAATGTGATATATCCTAATTAGGAGTGCGGTTCTAAAAGGTACGAGATTCTAAAAGAAACGAGAAACTGAATAACAGTTAACGAAGTGAGATTTTCGTGTCATTATGAAATGCCCTCATAGCGGGAAGAATGCCGATGTGGCCTTGTCGTAATCGAACGCGCATATCTATATTATCATTGACACAAGGTGTTAGGTGGGACACTAAATTAGTCGTTTAACTGGTGATTCCTTTGAAAATGTGCACTAAGCAGTCAAGTGGAACATGACGCAATTATCGGGGTTTGAATAACCTTACCTTTTTATACACCAAATAGTTGGGATGATCTTCGGGATAAGCTCCATGGGATGCGGTGCCTTTGACTATCCGATTATTAGCAGTGCTGTTATTAGCCAAATGATCGCTGGTGCCGGTCGTCGCAGCTGCTGCCGCGGCGGCGGCGGCGGCTGCTGCACTGCCACTCAGCGGGCTCGTGGAGTTGGATGTGGAAGCAGTGGGATGCTGTGACTCGGTTGGATTATTGGACATTGTCATTGGCTTGATAGCAGTGTCCGTTAGTGAAATCACAAGATCAATTGACTTATCAGACACCGTGCCGGAGAGCGTAGTCCGGAGGGTCTGAATGACCGGACAATTAACAGCCGGGACGATCGATGATGATGCTGATGATGATGAGTGTGGCGGCTGCTGCCGTCGTCGACGTCGCGTTAGGCACGTACTAACAGGTGTCGGCAGCTGGAGCAAATGCAGCCCGTTATGCTTCCGCCAGTTAATACAATGGACAATGGAAACGGACGGTGGTGGTAATAAAGTACACATGGAAGATTAATAAATTACAGTCTGGAGAAAGAAAACCATCAGGTTGTCCCGTCATAACGCAGCGCATCAGATCGGCACGTCGCACACTGGACACATGTATTGTATGTTTGCAACGGAGTGTGTATGGTACAATTAATTATTTATCTCGTGTACGTTAAATCAATGCACACGAATATGACGTGATCGTAACATCCGTGCAACAGCAGCCGTGTATTGGTCTATGATATGGCAACTCGCACGCCGTACAAACCGGTGCGATAGCAGTGTGCCGCTCGCACTGCACGTCCAGGTGGATTCAAATTAATCAGCTGAAAGGGGAAGTTTCTTATTTCCGCTGGCTGGAGAGTCAAATCCCCGAGTCCGTATACAAGCAAATTAGATGATATCGGCGCTGACAGTAATTACTGACGTTAGCTCGGCAGTCAGTTGGGTGCGAATTTCTTTGGGGAATTTTATCTCATTGCACCGGTTTCTTTCCAGCGCATAAACTGTATTATAGCAGCTGGGGAAAACGCTGCATCGCCCACCGTACGTAGACACTCCACAGGAATATAACGCCGCGAACAGACCACTGACGGGGAGAGAATTCCCGACCATTCAATGGCGCGTTTGTACGCGTGTAGCTGCGCTGCGGTCAAGTGATGATGCGGGATCGTTAAAAAACGCAGCGCCGACTGGCAGTCAGTATAGTCCGTGTAGGATCGATGTTAATGAGTTCATCTCGGCTGCAGCTGTTACAAAAATCTTGTTAACGAGACGATGGGCCGCGGCGGCGGCGCTGGATATGCATTCGGCAACATGCACTTTACTCCAGTGTACGTGCTGAGCCGGGCTGCGTCGGTGCAGTGTACAGATACACGCGCGGGCGCGTATGTATTCTGCAGAATGAAGATGCTGGGCGAGTGTATAGTATATAAGGACGGTGCATGCTAATCGATGTTAAAATTAGGTTGACGCTATCACGCCGTCTCTATCAGATAACTAACCATTGTTTCTTAACATCCTGTCTTGACCTACTTGCACATCTCGCGCTGCCTATCGGTTACCTGCTTCTTCGCGACTACACTGGAATCGTTGACACTTTCAGTTGAAAATTTTCTCCGACCTGCCAACTCATTAATCGCTCAACAACAGCAGAAGAAACACCAGGAGCAGCTCGACAAGATCCTCGCAACAATGGGCGTCTAGTGCAACCGCCACCACCGCCGCTACCACCAGCACCGGAGGTTATTCCAGACTCGTTACCACCGCAGCCGCCACCAGCGCCGGAGCCTGTTCCGGCTCCGTCAACACCCCAGCCATTATCACCGTCTTCCACCTACAGATCCAGATCGGTGACGACTTCGGAAGAATCGTGCACCAGACTGATCATCAGGCCGGACATTCGACTACCCGCAAACGTAAGCGCAACCAGGAAAGAGGTAAGCGTAGCGACTCCAGGTCATCTCTTAGCAGCAGCGAATCATCGGACAACCTACCAGTCCGTATACCGGTCCGCGAGCGCCTTGGAGAGCGCAGACGTTTTCAGCCGACTCGGACACATGCCGGAAGTGCCGCCGGTAACACAGCCATCCTCCGCTTCCGAACCATTTCCCGTCATTGGACAAGAAGCTCGTTAAGAAACTATTTGATCCCACCGAGTACATCGATCTCGATCTGCTCTTATTGAAAAATCGTGTCGAAAAGCAAAGAGACTGGACTCCAAAATGGTTTTCGATAACGGAAAGGTCACCATCAAGCCGGAAGACGGGAAAGTGCGGATCAACTGCCATACTTCATGGACGCGTGCCTTTGGCGTGTTCGCTAGCTACCGCTCCCATATCGCACCGGAACTGAGCACCCGCTTCTTTAAATACATGGATATCATTGCGTCGTACGTCGAGCGTGGGGTTCCGACCGCCAATTGGCTCGAGTACGACCGTCAGTTCCGGGCGCATATGACAGGCCATCCGTACGACTTTGATCAGTGGACTCACCAGCACGAAGATACCTACATCGAATGCATCAGAACGCGACAAACGCTGGACGGGAAACATCGCCGAGTGCGGAAAAGATCAAACCAAAGACGACCGCTGTAGAACTTGCGGAGGGACCGGCCATTACATCATCAACTGCCCAGCACCGAGGAAAGGTCAACCAGGACAAGGGCAGCCCTTTTGGGCGGCTCGCGCCGCAGACGGAGAAATCTGCCGCAACTACAACTACGGAAACTGTCCAACGCCGTGCCGTGCCGGGAGAGTCCACGCTTGTGCCAGCTGTGGCGACCCCAAGCACCGGACAGCCACCTGTCCAAGACTGGGCAAGTAAACAAGCGACAGTGCTGGCAAAGGCAACCACGCCGCTATAATTAAACGCTTTTGCCAGACTGCTCGCACAACATCCGGACCCTCCCTAACATCATTTCCACAACGCTTACTAACGGCTGTACAACATATTATACTGGTCCTCAGAGCCACGCTCAACACCGAACGCCGCATCGACACGCAAACACCATGCGGCGGTAAGCTCTACTATTCAAAAGGGTCAGCGCTGGCCACACCATCGGACCATTTCCTCCCACCTTTACCGCACTTTGTCTGCAACGCGCTGGGCGCGCGACTGAAGAAAAGACAGTAACATTCGCACCATCCTGGACTTATCCCAGCCGCACGACGACAGTGTAAACGATTACATTGACGCTGCACAGCTCCCGCTCGTGTACTGCACCATCGACCATGCAGTATTAATCCTCACTGAGCTCGGCAGAGGCGCACTCATGGCTAAAATGGATGTGAAATCAGCCTTCCGACTGATACCGGTACGCCCAGCGGAGTGGAACCTCCTCGGGTATCAGTGGAACGGTGAGTTCTATTTTGACGTAGTGTTGCCTTTTGGGTGTAGGGCGTCGCCGTACGTGTTTGAGCAATTTGCTGGCGCAATCCACTGGATCGTATCGAACCGCACCGGTCTAGTCAGCATGCTCCACTACGTCGACGACTACCTATTTGTTGGTAAGCCCGGTAGTGATCAGTGTAACACAATGATGTCCACCATGACTCAGACGTGCAGTGAGCTCAGGGTCCTTTGGCACACGACAAGACCGAAGGGCCCGCGACTCAGCTGACGTTCTTGGGTATCCGGCTGGACTCTGTCCGACAAACCCTCAGCCTCCCCGACGACAAGCGACAGAGCATTGAGGAAGCGCTGAAAGAATGGAGCAACCGCAGCCATTGCACCAAACAGCAGCTTCAAAGCCTAATCGGAATACTCACGTTTGCCACGAAATGCGTTCCAGCGAGCCGCCTGTTCACACGGCGGATGATCGCCCTGCTCACCGACAACCGCCACGAACGGGTCATCGCCCTCAACCGCGAATTCCGTAAGGACCTTGAATGGTGGAAAGAATTTCTTCCAGCCTGGAACGGCACTGCGTCCTTTATACAGCCAGATTGGACAAGGTCCGACGTCCTTGACCTTTACACAGACGCGTCAGGAACTCTCGGGCTGGGCGCATATTTTCAAGAGTCGTGGTTCCAACTACGCTGGCCACCGTGGATTCTGCAGCGGAAGCCGTGTATTGAATACCTTGAGCTGATACCCATACTTCTAAGCCTAATTGTTTGGGGCTCAAAACTACGCGGCAAGCGGGTCATTTTCCACTGCGACAACGAAGGCGCCACCTATGCCTGGGAAAATCTCCGCTCCACCAATGCTGGCGTACTAGATCTTATGCGCCGAATGTTAAAGGCCGCCGCTTGCGCTAATATGACCTTCACGTTGAAACATATACGCGGTGTTAATAACGCAGTTGCTGACTCTTTATCCGTTTTCAGCTGCACAGATTCCGAGCGCTCGCACCAACAGCGTCGGAACGACCGGATCCATGCCCGGATATCTTTCCGCAGCTTTTAATGGCGTACAGCGGACAAGCGCCCTAAGCGACCTCCTGCATGCTCACATTGCCAGCTCCACCAGGCAGACCTACGTGACCGCCGTTAAACAGTTTTCAGCATTTTGCCGGACAAGATCAGCGCAACCGATGCCAGCTACGCCAGATATTACCGCGGAATACGTCAACACCTGTACTCCACAAAAATCACTCGAACCGTGACCGTCTACCTTGCCGGCATCAACAACCACCACCGTGAAGCCGGCATGAAGTCACCAACAAGTCATGACATCGTGATCCGCGCACTGCTGGGCTACCGACGCTTGGCTCCACCGGGCGCGGACATACGACAACCAGTCACACTGGAGACGATGCGATACCTGAAAGATGCTATCCGTTCCAGTGGCATGTCCCTACGAGCAATCACTGCACTGGGTAACATTCACGTTCATGTATTTCGGCTTCCTGCGCATCGGAGAAGTGACCTGCCGAGTACCAACCGCTACGATCCGCGGCGCACTCTCATGTCAGCGGATGTGCAAGACCACGAGCCAAATACTCCTACACCTTAAAGTCACGAAGACCGATCCAACCGGTCAGGGCCACTCCGTAGCGCTGACGGCGACAGATCGTTCCGTGTGTCCCGTGCAGGCCTACCGGAAGTACTTGGCTCACGCTCAGTTCATGCCGACAGCTCGAGCGCGGCCGTGCCTCATCCATCAGGACGGCAGATACCTCACCAGGCGTTCTGTAGAAGCCTGCCTCCATCGTCTCCTGGAGGACACCTGACCAGCTCGGATAAACACACGCAAGCTTCCGCATCGGCGCAGCAACCACCGCCGCGCAACAACGTGCCAGACCGCGTAATTCAACGCGCAGGGTGATGGAAGAGCAACTGCTACGTGCGCTACATCCGGACGCCGGCGCCAACCGCGCTGAATCCCTACTCCAACGGGTAATGGTTTTTGTTTGGGGCAGTCGGGCAGAAATGGGATACCGGAAACTCGTTGTCGGGAGGTCCGCCTGCACCGAACTCGATTTCGCGTATGCCCAATTATGCCGACCTGTTCGCTCTCAAAACCCGCAACACCGCAGTCGCTTCCGCCTAATCGCATATATCCACAAACCAACAAGATACCGCGGCGAACCGAATTTAAAGGACGATTTGCATGCTAATCGATGTTAAATTAGGTTGACGCTATCACGCGTCTCTCTATCAGACTAACCATTGTTCTTAACATCCCTGTCTTGACCTACTTGCACATCTCACTTGCTGCCTATCAGTTACCTGCTTCTTCGACTACACTGAATCGTTGCGCGGGCGCGTATGTATTCTGCAGAATGAAGATGCTGGGCGAGTGTATAGTATATAACAGTTAGTTGGCGGTCGGTGTGGAACGGACTGGATGCTGATGCTTGCTATATACGTGAATTCCTCCGATTTACATGCCGCATCGCCGACAGCAGAGGAGCAATCCCGATAGCATCAATGACTTCTTAAAATTTAATTGGAATTCATCAGACTGGGCTCTCTTCACTGGCCGGGTGGGAAGTGAAGGATGCCAGATAGGAACGGCAACGGCAGCTAGCGGCGAGGAGAGAATCGCCTTGCAGCCGCTATACACTGCCTGCAAGAAGCAGCGCCTCAGCAGCAACAGACGGGCAAAAACTCACGTATGTATGTATAAAGAAACAGTGGTAAGAGTGTTGTAGCCCAAAGGAGAACAACCAATGATAAGGGCCGGAAACAACGGATAGTCGAGTGTCACGCGAAGAAGACCAAACAATATGCTCTGTCTATAGGAAAATGCGCCGGCTTGACGACACACACACGGAAGACAAGGACGGACGATTTTTCACTTCTTGTCAGTTTACGACAATAAACCATCGGCAGTTCCAATCAAGAAATGGATGCATTAATCGAATTCCCTTCCCATAAACAGTGGATGATTAAAGGCTGAAACATAACTTGCTAATGTAACATTGATACGAACAAGCATAGTAAGCACATAATGTCGCCCGCATCAGCATGCAATATGAGCGATGCTGGCTTATTTTAATATATATACACTGTATGTACATTCACGGGCAATGATACAGAACACCATAACCTGCGATACTGTTTTAAATCTAGGCTCATTTGCTAAATCTTTGAAGTAGTTCTCGCAAAGTAAAAGATAAATTCGGTTGTACAAACAAATTGTACGAGCTGTCCAAAAAAATTACTAACTGGCGTAAATTGAATATTTATTTGCAAATAATATGCGATAATCTGATTTTTCTTGCCAGCCTGACAGTTAACACTGCATTGTAGTTGTATTTTTTATTTAACTTACGCGATGCAAACGAATGAATGTAAACGTACTGTATGATGTGGTAACCAAATTTACGTTATCGTTGCGACATTAGTTTTCCTTGTTACTGTTGCCGATCTGATCCAACTACGGACGTCTACGGTGCCCACATTTTCTCACTCTTGTTTATGATAAAACACTAACTCCAATGGAAATCCGTTTCAGTAAACCCGTTAAAAATTTCGAAGTAAATCTAGCTGACGATGCTTTGCGTCTTAGGCTGAATCAAGATCATTAAATAAAAATAAAAAAAATAGATATCATTAAACAGAAATAATTATTTATGCGTAGACAGTATGCGTTATGTACAGATACGTACAAGTCATCGCAACTGACGATTGCATAATGATAAAGCTACAAAGCAAGAACAAAAGTGTTTAACTTCGTCGGGAATCGGGATTACTCCTCAGTCCTCACCTGCAAGTTCCCTAATTCCCACCATACGGATAATTTGCGTGCTGCACTTTTTCCTGTACTTTCCCTCCGGCTAGAAAAGCAGGTCAGGACATTTCTTAATGTTTAGATGCTATGCTCTTATCAACAACTATTACAAATTCTTATATTTCTTATTATCATGTGATGCTTACTCTAGAATTTGGATCGTAGCTATGTTAGGTAATCGCGCATGTTTTATTTATCCCAAAACTAATTATTTAGTTACAAATAATGCCGCGCAAATGCAAAAGGAAGGTAAGCAATAATCGTATTTGAATAAACACAGATAAACAGCTGCCAAAAAATTATTTTTCTCAAGTACTGCAAGCCTATAGCTTTCTAAGAATACGTTATTAGATTCAAAAATCTGATTGCTAATTGCGCTTTTCGCGGCTAGCGGCAGTTAATGTTAATGCAGTTAGCAAAGCAAAGTACTGCCGCGCACAGCAAAGTATCAAAATTGGAAAGAAAATTTATTTGATGGTGGCATTCTTTTTGTTAACTAAAACTAGATTGATGGCGATTTTGGCCGCATAGCGTAAGAGCAGCAACAACACACATACCCTACATGTGAATTTTTTATCCCATCACCCCGCTCACGAAAACACTTGTCAAATTTGATGCATGGGATCTGCGTGCCTTTTCCATCGTCAAAGATGACTTTGATGCTGCCTAGTGCCTACGTCTGCTGCATTATTCGCTGGAAGAAAAGAAAACAGTGAATTTGAACAGCAAAGCACTGTTACTAGTCTGTACATCGCCGTTGTTTCAGAGTGTAGAAGTTTTAACCGTAAATAAGACAAAGGTTATACAGTCGTGCCTGCTTTCACTTTTTTCACCCAAATATACCGGTTAATTATAAGCTAATTAATTTATAGACGTAAAACTCACGAGCATTTTTAATATTGTTGGGATATTAATAAACTAATAATGGTATTGCACCAAAAGACCTTGAATCTCTGCCACACAAAGTACGTGTATATACGTTGATAGCATACAGAATATATCTATATGATATACATGTAATATGGCATATCTCTGGTTATTAAAACTCGGTTATTGAAACATCAACTCCATCTTTATTGGATTTTAAAGTCAGTTCTAATATTAGCAAAGTATGAACATTCATTACAATATGCAGTATAACGTGTATGTGCATTAACGATATCATACATACATTTTACCGGCGACCCAGTATTATGTATGCAATAAAGAGATGTTCCACTTTAGCGAACCAAACAAGCAGTGAATTAGCCAGCAAGGAAGCGCTCTTGCACTTTCCGGTTTTTTGTGGCTATTTTTTCTTTGCCTTCTCCGATCCTACTTGCATCTGGCTGCATCTAAATGCTTTTGCTTGAGTGATTGACACATCGTCAATGAGAAAAAGGAAAGCCGGTCGAAGTGAATGAGAAAACTTTGCCATGCTTACGTAAAAGGAGGGTATAAGATTCAAGCGAACGCTCACTGGCGCAAACCATTAAACACGTAATGATGTTTTGTGGATGGGCCGATTTTAAATACGTTTGCTGCGATCGTTCCCTTTTCTGCTGTTCCTTTAGAATTTTTCTTCATATGTGATTAGTTTGGCTTGTCGTTCTATACCCACGTATTCTAAAAATTAGTGGACAACGGGTACCGAACTTTTTCAAACTAACGACTGTTGGCTGTAAACTTCTGTAGGTATACTGTATTTGTGCACTTCACTATTACGTACAGTACAGTCATGTACGTTAATAAATTAGCAAAATATAATCCGTGGTGGGTTTTATTTGGTCATGGAAACAAAAAGCGGACGAAGACGTACTTCTGCAAGGATGGAAAACGATGTTTTTGAATGTACAGCGAATAAACAATTTCCTCTGGTAATCATTTGTATAACCAATATTATTGTGCGAAGCTGACGTCATTTTTCGCTAATTTTCAAGTAAATTTAGAATGAAAATTGTAACAAATTCGCAGTGTTGGTAAAATGAATCGCAATTTAAATTTGACAACGCAAAGAGCGCACAGATCCCATGCAGAGGGTAAATTTTTAATTAGCGACCGGCAGCGCCAAACGATTGTAATTTACGGTATTTGGTAGTGCTGTTCAAAATAAGTAAAAGAATAGTAATTTGGCTAAATCATCCTTTGTGTTGCATATATTGTACATAAACCGAACTCCCGCTTACGTGGATACTAACACTTGTGTACAATAAGCAGTTCACGCAACGGTAAATTCGATCGATAGGCACCGTATAAAGTATGAAAAAATAGAATCGTTGGTATAATTAAGCTAATCGGTATGTTAGACGCCGCTAGGATAAACTTTCCAACCAATTAGAGATAAAGCTTGTTATTCTATTGAACTTCGCTTCGGTATAAGCAAATATTACGTTGTCACAAAAGAAAATTACAATACTGCATATACAGAGATGAGCTGGGTAATAAGCATAACTTTCTTACTGTTTGGAGATAAATTATATCCATATTACGTTAGATGAGAAAAAATGACAGTTGTTTGCAAACCTATGACTTTCTTAACGTTTTCATACTAGCCATTTTGTTACGAGGCATACAGTTAATACTTTGTAATTTTCACCATTGTTTGCGGGTTGGTGATGCTTTCGATGTTCGGCCTTACCTCGCTAGATTACACAATGTGTTCTTGAACGTACAGTAATTAACAACATCATGACAAGACAGGAAACTTAAATTCACTGACAAAGAAACTTTTTAATGTCTTTTAGTATCCGTATAAAGATATACATACGGTCTTTTAAAGAAAAATCGGAACGATTATGTTAGGCTACACCATTTAAGTAGCCTCGAACTGTTCTATCACGTACTGTATATTACTCGTATCTGCGTTTTGGTTATCAACTTACGTAAATTTAAATGTTTAGTCAGTGACTCACTGCTACGAGTGATGCCTACGAATTTTTCAGCTTAAAAAATTTCTGTTAAATTTGTTGCTTAATGGAGCTGTTTTGAGAAGATTTAACAGACGGTAGTAATTTATCCAGGCAAGTTTGTTTTGCTTAATTTACACAAACAATTTAAATATTAACTAAACCAGTTAAAGCAGTAGTTCATCTGCGCGCTGCGGTTATGCACCGCATATTGTTATGATTTACATAAAACAAAATTCGAGGAAACCCTTGGAGCATGTACCTGGCAAATAAACAGCAACCAGCCTTCATCGCTCAACAATGGTCGACCAAGTGATCCACCTTGGCGGATGATAAGCGGATAAGGTAATTAGGGGCACTAGAAAGTTAAGTCCACTTTCATCACAGGAGAACGACAAAACTGCCTCAGCAGGAAAGGTGTTGTAATAATGCAGGATTTACGGGATATTAGAGCAAAAACTCAGAAACCGGACTGCTTTAACCAGTAAGAAGATTCCGGGCGGAACCCAGCTCGGTGTGTACACTTCCATGATACTCGCATGATACAGTATATGTAGGACTCGAAAATGGGTGTATGACGATTTGTCCCAGTGCACAGCGGAACACACACTCTTTATTAGCTCCTAAACATCAACATTACGAACGTTGGCATTAAACGTACCGTACGCGTAGACCTGCCTCAACGTCCCATGAAGAGCCTGCTATGCTCCCAAAAGGGTGTATACAATATATTGCCAATAAGTACACTGTATATCCGCATGCGGCTGCGCAGCGTTCTGTTGATGTATGTATGATAAATGTTGGCTACACATAGAGATGCTGGCACACATCATTGTGGGAAAACGTGTGGTACATTTTTGCGTACATTAATAGAAGTACACAAACGAAACAGCAATACTTGTACTTGTACATCTGGGTATGTGTTATGCCGTGCAGGAGCTACACGTTTTACGGTGGGTCACAGCAGCTGGGTTATGTGCACTTGTTTAAGCGTCGTGTGCGCCATAAGGATAGACAGTTATCCGAAAAGGATCTATCGATCAGTTTTCGTTTGCCGCTACCAGCTGGGCGAACGGCAAGATGTCTATAAGCATAACTGACCGAAAACTAACCCTGTCACTCGGGATATTAAACTGTACCCGGCGCAAGTTCATCCAGGATCGCAGCAAACTGGTCCATTTTGGTAATCGTTTTTTCCCAACCAGATATTGATGAACAACTCGTTTTTGGATCCGGATGTTCCCAAAAGCAACGATTACTTGGTACACGTATTGAGCGACCTTTCGTGTCGGGCTCGCGCAGTGTACTTTCAACTAGGCTTACAATACACGTACGCGTAGTTCTAGAATAAATACCTGTGAGCTGCCTACGTCCACAAATATACGTCAGATGTGGTGTTTATGTTAATCAATGCAAGCATAGGATCAATAACTTGTCTCTTCGCTCGTGGCCGAACATTATGACATTTAACTAAATTTTTGCTGTTTTTGATATGATGTGGTCGAATTACTTGAATCGATTTGCGCATCTGCTTCTTGGTCTTATTCTCTATAATTGATTAAGCTGAAAGATTGCAACGTACGATACGAGTTACGCAAAACCGCGCTAGAACATGTTAAGTAATTAATTTTTTCACTTACAATGAAACAGGACTATATGGGCACAAAAGCTACTCCCCACCCATTGTATAAACCGTCTGTAGCAAAACATCCGACCCAGTCGGATCCACCCACCTAGCGCTGGAAGAAAGGTCAGAATGCAAAAGCTTGTTCTCTCTTGCTTTCGCTGACGTTAGTAGTTAAAAAAGGACCGTAGCAGCAATCTACTTTTATTTCGCACCTGAATGCATACACGGAAACCTAGTACGTATTAGTATACCGCGGTATACCTGTATGTCGCGGTATACTGTAACTAATGTAGTCAGTCAACCTATGTATGTTGTTATCACTGTGCAATACTGTATTGCATGTATTCGTTAAAATATTACTTAGAATTTCAATGATGATCATCATTCGGTTAGTTCAAAAAACAAGTATTTTATAGAAAACGTATGTATCGAAGTAACAGTTAGACAGGCCTAAATTTTTTCGATTTTTATAATTTGAAATACAGCAAATAAAAAGTAGTTGCTAGTTCATTATAGATCTTAAAATATGCCACGAATTATGAATAGCTTTCGACCGCAAACCCATCAGCTCACTGAGTAATTCAGTTCACCGAGTAATACTTGTAACGCAGCCGGTGTACCGAGATTATAATACAGTACTGAACAGTGAACATAATACACAGTATATACAGTGGAACCTCCGATCTTGAACACCCCCGAACCCTGAACAACCCCAAAAGCATCCGGAAAGCGGTGAACGTGTTCACGGATCTCATGTTATTGTATTAGCAAGTGTTGATCAACTGAAATATATTTAAGGACAGTATAATATATCCTTTTATTTATTGGTATACGCACTAATATAATATAAATTATCCCCCCCCCAATGGAATTTTATGCGCCCCCCCAGGGGCAGTACTTCTGAACCCTGAACACCTCCGAACCTTGAACAAGAAACCCCGTACCGAGAGTGTTCAGGGTCGGGAGGTTCCACTGTATTACAGATTGTGGTTCGTTGTTCGCAACTCAGAACTGAAAATAAACGAGCTTGTATACTTAAATCATGAGCACTGCACTTTGCACAAGCTACAATAATTAAACAAACCACAGTTACCACATTCGTGACAGTCCCGAAGGAGAAATCGACCTAAAAATAAGTTGACAAGAAGACTCGCGGGAAGGTCAATTTAAAGGCGGTATCAGTTCCAGAATGTGAAAAGCATACTGCACGTTGTCTGCTGTTCGCCGCGGTAACCTGCTGGACACGTACTGTACTTTAACACCTTTCTTTTATATAGCTACGTCTCGTCTCCCACCAGTTGGAACTTCTCATGCGTGCATTTGAGGAGAGGTGATCGACGAACCGGGTCGGCCTGCATGGACTCCGCTGCCAAAGCCACCAGAAGACTTTCAAGACCTGACAGTGGCAGCGGAGAATACAACCACGGACTGAAGGCAGCCAGTTAGTAGAATGGAGAACCATATAGGCCTATCCGTAAAACGGTAAAAGATCACAAAGGCCGAATGTCACCACACTTGTACCATGGGAACGTTAACGAGGTAAATCAGTGGCCGTCGACATACATAACCATAACTTGTATGGATACTCTGACCGGGATAGCAATCGCCTGCGACCAGACCGGACCATCGAAACAATTCTTCCGACCGGCATGTCCAGATGCAGCCGGTCAACACGAGTGCGTTCCCGAACAAGAGAGCATAGAAGTATTTGTCTTGTGAACCTGATGTTCTTGGGATCTCTCCGCATTATCGCTATTTGTACAATTATTAATTTTGGCACATGAATTGTTTTCATACGAGTATCCTAGACAGTTGACACGAAACCTCCGATATTAGTAGCAACAATTAAATCTGAATATTGCTGACACAACCTTGGTCACTCCTAACGTAATGATGGGAAAGAGCAAGTTGCAAACGCTCGAGGAAGGTGCCAAAAATACAAATCGAATCATTAAAAGCAGAAGCAGCAATGCAACGCATCGACCTCGGGTTTTTAATTGAATCATATCATATCAATATAAAAAGAAATAAGATAATCGTAAAACCAACCCAGTAACAGTGAAAGACGTCCTATTCTCATCAGGAACGGTAAAACAGCATGCTAAAAAAATCATACCTTACAAATAAAAACATAAAGACGCTCCTTATTAAATTAACAGCGGCCTGTGGCCAGCCTAGCTGCACTCGCTTTGGTATGTCGTAAACAATCAACAACAAACATAGTCAGCTGCCCAAAGCTAAAAACCAACCAGAAGATACGAAAATGCACACATAAAAGGGGAAACAATAGGGGCAGAATATGCCAGCCTATGGCGAAGCCGTCACCAACTTTATCAGGTTTTCCCTCGTATTAAACCTGTCCTCCTTATCCTTGATAATAATCTTCTGATAGTCACAAAACGTGCTGGTCCATGGAATGCAGTTAAAATATGAGCACACTTCACAGTTATAAATGGGGTGGATATAGAACAACACAATGAGCACTGCAAATAATCCAGTGGCAACGAGAACTGAAATTACTATGATCCACACTTTTATCTTCCGTTCTCGTTCGCTGAAGGCAATGTATGGCAGCAGCGCCAAGGACAACAAAAAACCAAAAATAAATCCGAAGATGTGCGAATAATTATCCGTCCACGGGAAGAGACCAATTATGAACAAAAACAAGGCAATTAACAACATTTTCAATAAAGGCACCCATGGCTTATCCACCAGTTTCCATGAATAGATTATCTCAACAATAACACAAGCGAACACGCCGAACTGGGAACCAGATGGACCGACCTACAAACAAACCAAGCAAGTATGACTGTAATTCGCAAATATACTGCTTCATCAGGGAAACAAACAAGGAATTTAATCAGGAAATTTTAGTAACTTTACGTCATGCATACTTCCAAAGTATTCCATTATCAGGGCCAAAAACTTACTTCTGCAACGTAGGGAGTAAATATTGCACTGGCCAGATTGCCAGCCACTCCGCTCATGATGTAAATTATGGCCATCCTGATGCATCCCGTCAGTTTTTCCGTATCTCGCATAATATAATACTGGAACAGAATTGTTATGGCCAAATGCACAAACCTACAACCAGATCGGTGGAATATTAGCATAATAAGTCAATGATCCACGATTAAAATTTAACTGGCCATGCCATCTGATCGAAAGAACTAGCCCAATAAAGCAATCGCAAAGTACGGCTGTGTTCTTTTTCGTGCAAATGGTGCTAGCCTTAATCAACCTACCATAAAAACGAATTTTAAATTATCAGACTATGAATATCAATATGTACAAAGGCATTATTTTTAGTGATCTGATAATTTCAAAACAAAAATCCGAACAGTTTTAACTTGTAACTTGATAACTTACCCAGCATGCAGGAATATGGCAGTCCACAACCGGTAAAACTGATCCGGCACTTCTGGGTCAAAAAACGGTAGCATACCACATATTTTGTCTAAGCAAGACACTTGTGAACATAAGAGAGCGGTCTCGTGAAAGTAGCCTTGCACAAAATCACAATATTCACGCGTTGTGATACGGCAACCACCTTGAGTGTCGATACAACAGGGGTGACCCACCACCTACGAAATGTCAATCTTGGGAATGGTGAGCACAGCTTGCGTTTCAAAAATTATCTCCGCTTACCTCGCACTGCATGTGCTGGGGCCAGGCAATCTTACTCGTGTTGTCAATCTGTTTCTTGCATATCGGCCACTTTGTAATATCATCCGGCCATTTTTGACTACCCGTCGACGGTGGATCAGCGCAGTATCGTGGATCTAATCCGCATACGGAACCGGATACGCGACCACTGGAATCAGTGTCCGGCCATTTGGCAAATGTTGCCATCGTGCTCTGTTAGCAAACCAACGTTAGAATATACGTCCATTTTTAACAAAAAGTAAAGGCATTTACCGAACACTTATTTTTTGTACTCTGTACACATCCAGATTCTGCAAAATAAACACTCATTCACATGATGCCGCAGTGACTAGCCGAAAATCACTTCTACATAACATGATAATTATTACAGTACTTACTGTCATTGCTAATACAGCATGCAGTTTGGTTCTCTTGTTCGCGATGAAATGCAATTTTTTTGTTAATCTCGTCATCAGGGCGCATACAAGGTGCATATTTAGCGCCCAGGTGTATTAAGTGAGCCTGCAGAATTCCAATAATTTTCAAGATTCATAGAGGGCGGCGGAATAAACAGAGATCTGACAGTACTACGAGGTCGTACAACATACCGCACGTGGACCCAGCCAAAAATTCTCCGGTTCGTAGTAGTCAACCGTTTCAAGTGCAAGGCTAGTTTCCAATATCTACCGAAAGATGAAATTGTATTCCACGACAAACCCCAGACTTAAAGAAGGACAGAAACGAGACTGTATGCTCAATAAACTACAGTATAAACACACAAAAATTTCTTATTACCAGTGATGAATGCTGCTTGGAGTCGAATCCAACCGGTGCAAAGCCGTACACGGCAACTGACACGACAAGGATCAAAATCTGCGCTACCGTTACCCAGTAAGTAAAGTATGGCCTGCAAAGAAAGGGCATCGCTGTTTCTGTAAACAAGGTTCGATAGATGTTATACAAGGTTCTGTCTCACCTGTGATCAAGCAGTTCGTATAACTGCTCTTGTGTGGCTTTATCAAGATCCTTTCGGAAAGGCCTCATACAGCATCGTAACAAAATGCTCATCCCAAAAAATCTCGATTTCTCTCGGCCCGGCGCGGGCACTCCGAGCATTTTTTTGGCTGTATCCGTAGTTCCATCTGTGATTTCCGCTGTTTCCGGCTTGGCAATGGGCGCCAGAGGAGGTTGTGGTGCACTGATAGCCACTCGCAAATCTCTTGCCCGGGCTAAGGCCTTCCCTTTCAACAATGTCGTAGCTTCGGTCGGGGGAGCATGGGCAGGTTCTTCTTTAGGGGGAGAAGGAGCAGCGTGCACAGCAAATGGTGTAAAGCGAAATTCACCAGACAGTTCTTCCACAGGTCCGGTGGCCTGATCGAAAAACTTTTCATGTCTTATTGTGACATCGGCCGGCTCCAGCTCCCGTAGTTCTGGAATCTGAATACGGAACAAATGAGAAACATTAATAATTTCGATGCAGAAGAGAACATTAAGATACTTCATCGATACGCTGACCAGGAAAGCTAGCCATCGTTCCAAAGGTCGGCCGGCCCGTGGAAGGCATCGGAGTAGTGACCATGGAGGAAGGTCCCATTCCCTCCACTTCCGGTCGTTCTCTCGCTTTTCGACTTATTCTCTTCCAAGCCATTTCCACGGCTGATGGTTTCCGGAAAGCTCGCAAAGCGTTGCGGATCCGTTCATCATCACTCGTTATGGTTGGACCGACCTGGCCATCGATATTGTCCGGTCCCTGCACTACAGAAACCACGAGAATTGACAAACAGCCAACTCAGTGCCCAATGAAACAAAACACTGCTATTAGTCTGCTAACTTGTATCAAAGAAAACGTTTTTATTTTCAAGTTGCGGAAAATTTAAGATATACCGACTGCCAGTAAAGTTGTAGAAGAAGTTTGTGCACACAGAAATCAGTCAAATCACAAAACGTACAATAAGACATTTATACAACTATGCACGTACAGATACAACAAACTATTTAATAAACTAGTAAAGTTAAAAAGATCACCTTGCGAAGAAACTGAATCAAAAAAGGATGAATATTTTGATTTTGTATGTGTTATCAGGAATAATAACAGTTTAACACCGAAAGGCGAAACACATTCATCCACTTTGACTAAGAAATGGAAAAAGATGTTTTCATTAGCCCCATTTTAAAGTCAAGGGCTGCGATTGCATCAGCATTAATCCATTTATCGGAATAAAACACACACTGTGTATTCTACGTGCAGTCATTACGTCGATTACGGCTGATGTTATTCTCACCCGCCAAGCGAACCGGTGATTTGGGCTTCGCTCCCAGTCGACGGCCCAACTGAGCCCGTCTGACTTCCCACATCGCTTTGCGCTCATCCTGCTGTTCTTCGGGAATATGCTGAACTCCCAGAAACTGGGCAACGGCGCCCTGGGATCGCTTTACACCGGAGCTTAACGATCTAAGGCGGACGCTGTGCAATGTATATAATTCCCCGAATTATCACGTAGCAGAAAGCGCATGCATTAAGGTTAGATAAGCAGTGTTAGGCGAGCCATTGTACCTGCGCAGTGATGTCATGCGAGTCAAATTCTGAAATGATGATCGCTTCGTTTTTGGCTCATTCACGCTTCGCGAAGAACCGCCCGATGCGGATGCGGTGGGCATCGGGGATAAATTGGGGTGGACATCACCATTGTTATCCATGTCGGGATCCATGGTTAACAGTTTACCATCAGTTGGGGCAAATCGGTACAGAATCGTTCAACCAAAGTTCCAAACAGTGGACAGCAGGACTGCACGGTGAGTATGTAAAATCACCCCCAAATATGGCCAGCAAATTCCAATAAAATATTAAACGCCCGGCCAAAACAAACAACACAAACAGTCTCCGAGCAGATTATAAAGCACTTATCACAAATGTAACACAACGATAAGATCGAAATGCTAATATCACACCAGTCTCTCATAAACCTCAGAAACAGTTACGGGCATATAAATTATTGTATTATTAAGTAATCATGTGCAAAGCTGAAAAGGAATGTACGGTAAATCACGAAGCTTTTCCACGGAATTCTGATAGATCACATTGTACCTGAGCTTTAATAATGAGTATAGATTATAGAATAGAAAATCCATACACTGGCACGTTGCACTGAATTGCTCGATCACAAAATCTGGTCGACAACTTACGGTATGCGGCCCTTCATAAATCATATTTGCATTTGTGGTAAAGTCAACATCGCAATCTACAAAACAAATGACTCCGGTCTTAAATGGACTGACTCACTTTCAAGCGAACCTCCATGCGATGACTCAGCAGACAACGGGCTACTACGTCTAATGCCTGGTAAGTACGATCCGTCAAAAAAAGCAGATAATATATCTATATTATTAAACTACTAATCCATGATTAAATATTAATGATAGTCAGTTTCCGGCCTTTCAACAAAAGTAACTGCCGAAAAATTAAAGCTCTACGTGTCCTCAACATTAGGTATTTTTGTGATAGTACTGTAACTGTAGGTACGGCACAGGCAACACATCGGAAGCTTTGTCTGGCCGCCACACTCCCGCGATGGTGCGCTCTATATTGTAACGTGGCATATATTTCATTCATAAAATTATGTATAAATAAACTGCACTAATTCTGACGATTGGTGACTTAACAGTAACGTCATCTTGACATCGTCTGTCTCAAGGCACAAGTATTGAACTGCTTACCGTGTCTTGCCTTGTTTTTTTATATACGACTTGTTATTTGTGAAAAATGGAAGAACTGATTTAATAACCTACTTAGTTCTTACATATTACTGAATACTGATTACTTAGCTAATCTAAGCAAAGTTTAGATAGCAGGCAGAAAAATTTTGATTTTCGTGACTGTTTAGTAAAAAATAAAAAATAAAAAGTTTAGTTTAGTATTGAGAATAAAAAAATTCTTACGTGTGGACGTTTTTACGGATCTCACTGGAACCGGAAATTACGCCCACCGAACCGGGAAATCATTAGTAAAGAGTGCATTTAAAATGGCTTGATAAGTAAGAATTTCAAACCTGGAGCTCCGGCGAAATCGCAGTACAAACCTTATACTGGCAGAGTAGATGCACTACGACGACGCTGTTGTGTGTGATTACGTGTTTGTTAATCCGCATCTGCCCCATCGACGATTTCCACGACACGAGGTGCTTCACTCTGTTTATTGGTATCCTGATGCGAAGTTTTCCACTTTTCCTTCTCTGCTTTGAAAGACCTACGAATATTCCCAGCTAACTGTATTGAAAAGGTCGGCATTTCTTCGTTCTTTCGGCTGGCTCTTGGATATGGCCAACATGAATCCCGAATAGTAAGTGGCGCCAGATTGCTTGAAGTAGAAATGCTGGATGTCCAGACCAGCGATGAGTGTGAGCTCTGAGTGGTACTTTTTCTCATTTATAGCTTTTATGAAAGTTTTAAGTTTCTGCTCACACTCTTAGTATATTCATGATTAATGTTCGAGGTTCTGGGAAATAGGTGAATCGCGGTTTAGTAATTGCGAGCTTTAAAAGTAAAATACATAACTTCTCCGGTCTTCGTGAAGGTTGTTTGTGACAAACGGAATTTTATTGTTCATTGGTGGAAGAATGACGCAGCATGGGCATGTTCCTAGTCGCTCTGCGTACTTACAGGTTTTCAATTGTTTTTAATGAAAAGATACAGCCCTTTGTGAACGCAGCCCAGGTTTTTTAGGTATTGAATGTGTGACTGCGTGCCAAGTTTTTCCCCTATTTCTCTTACTGGCTTCGATTTCTTTCAGTGATTATTTGTTCAAGTTACTGCTCATCGGAGACTCTGGCGTCGGAAAATCTTGCCTTCTTTTACGTTTTGCGGTAAAAATATTGGCGGAATCTAACTGCATATTCGTTACGCGAAGCTGGAAAAGCTTTGTTTCCTATATCGCTGTACTTTCAGGATGATACTTACACGGAAAGCTACATAAGTACGATTGGCGTGGACTTCGTAAGTGGCTGAGTTCTAACCGTGATTATTTTCGCGAAATATTGGAAGTATTTACCCGATCTGGAGAAATCTTAAATTGAATCACCTATCACATGATCATAATAGTAATAAATAATAATAGTAATTAATCTTTTGTTGTGAATTTGCTTTTTTTTTACCTCCAAATTTGCCCTAATTAATGATGTTTTTATTTATTTGATGATGTTTTTAATTGCAGAAAATTCGGACCATTGAACTTGACGGAAAGACCATAAAATTACAGATCGTGAGTTAAAAGTGTCCGAAGCGAAACCGCCGTTATACTTTTACCATTTGATCCTTCGTGAATATTAAGTTTTCTGTATTTTTTCGTAGTGGGACACAGCTGGACAGGAACGTTTTCGCACGATCACTTCTTCATACTATCGTGGTGCTCATGGTATCATTGTGGTGTATGACATTACTGACCAGGTATTTTACCCACCTATTTATTAACCATAACCTGCGAGCTGGTTTCATTGGGTAATTTCTCACAGGATACTTTCCACAACGTTAAGCAATGGCTTCAAGAAATTGATCGTTATGCTTCCGAGAATGTGAATAAACTCTTGGTGGGGAACAAATGCGATCTTACACCTAAACGAGTTGTGGAATACCAGACAGCCAAGGTGTGTTACATACATATCAGAATGGAGCTAGACTTTGTTAGGCTTTTGGGTTTCAACTGTTCCCCTGAGATTACGTTGTGCGTTATGTGTCAAAATGGAAGTAGCCAGAATTCTGGTACAGTAAATGATTTGAGTTATAACATAATTCGGTCCAAACAGGAGTACGCGGATTCTTTGGGCATTCCGTTTTTGGAAACGAGTGCCAAGAGTTCCACGAATGTTGAGCAGGCTTTTATGACCATGGCGGCTGAAATCAAGGCTCGGGTTGGTCCTCAGCAGATGGGCTCCACAAGCAAGGATACGCCAAGGATAACAGCCGGCAGCACTCCGGTCAAGCAGTCTGGCGGCGGATGCTGCTGAGTCCAATAGGCGGAGGGGAAGTGCTATCACGACGTTATCATGGCGAGAGATATTATTTTATCGTTTCCTTTTGTGCTCCGCAATGAGCGCACTGTTCTGATAAAAGCAGTTTTTAACTCGAATGTTATGCCTAATTTTGACGAAGTAATGTTTTCTTTTGCTGCGGGATGTTTTCGTGCGTAGACATAGAGAATTAATTCATGAGCCCAAGAGAACGGTACCATATTTTGCCTCTTAACGTGTTCTGTTCTGGTATGTCTCCAGTTTGATTCGATGTTACATTCTGATTCACTCTTTCGTGTTGGCTTGTGTGGCGTTCTAGAGTATCACGATTTTATTTATTACTATTTACTGTTTTCTACAAAGTGTTAGATTCATGTGCTAGTCTTGTCAAGCATTAAATTGTCTCTGAGAACTTATGTGTGGAAGACTGCGCAATATTTATGTTCTTTCGTGCAGCACACTGGAGAGAGTGAAGTACTGTTATTATCTGCATAAGTACCCGTAGGAAACGTGGAGATTATCATTTTAGATTCTGCCATCTTAACTTTTCAATTTGCTCACAATCACAATTTACTACGATAAAGCGGAATGAATTATGATGATAATCCAAGAAAAACGTACTTACTGAAACTTATAAGAGTAATATAAAAAACAGTCCAGCCCAGCTGGGAAATTTATCTTGTCATCAGTAGATAAGACGATGACCTGTTCCTTCCTGCTCTTTGTTCTTTCTTTTTATTTTTTTTGCTCCTTTTTTCATTTTGTTATTTTTTTGTCTTTTCCTTCTGCCTGGATTTCGCTGACCACGTACTTGGAGGGAATGCCATGAACACCGCGCATCCAACAGACATTGCACATCTGTACACATGACGACGGTAACCATCGTATGACAAAAGCATAACATCTAGAGTACGAATTTTAGATTGTTTCTGGGAAAAATACTGCTTACCGTAATGGAAAGCAAATTAAAAACTTAAAAACAAGCATGTTTTACTTTGGCTTACCACATGTGACTGGGGTGGAAAACCATTGTTTCATGTGACCGTACTTCTTCTACAATGTTTCTGCGAACGGACATGTACACCATTGGCGTTTTTCTGCCACTGGCTTCTGATGTCTTCAAATACTTTTCTTTGCAATATGCTTGCAAGATTCACGGCTGGATGTCTTTGTGCTGATCGTGGTCGCGAAGATTTTTGGAGGTCAAATTCACAGGACTTCACTGCGGCGTGTTTGTTAATAGGGATTTCGGTCATTTCTACAGTAGCTTCCAGTATTTTATAGTAACTGTATGCTACAAAAGGGAACCGGGTTGTTAATAACCGTGAACATCAAAAAGTGTAAGGTATCATTCTTTCAGTATATATCCCTAGTCAAGGTCGGGAGAACCGTTACAGTACCATTTTGCCATTGGGCAATTAGCCGGTCCTCATATGCTTGTTCCCTTTCATTTAAAAGGTCATCCACTCTTTCTTGTTGGGAGCCGGATCCCAATTCAGTTTTAGCCAAAAAGCTAATACAGTGCAGCTTTTTGCTTCGTTTGGCTTTGTTGTAACAAACTTTCAAAGGGTTGCGGTCGGCTGGCGCGGACACTCCTAATAAGCTGCTCGCCGCTAGTGGCCTCGTGACCTCGGAATACTTTTGGATGGCGCCATGGCTTCGGCCTTCCTGGACGCTACGGTTAAGCATAAATTAGTGTTTGTGCACGAATTTTGAATTTTGTATAGCTTGTGGTACGTGGTAAACAATCATTTCTCCGCATCCTTACCAGATCTCATTTTCTTTATTTTCCTTTGAAAGATCTTTCTGCGAGTGCTTTCGAATATAGTAACTGGCCATATTGCCAATTTTCAGCCGCATTAACCGATACCACATATGGTTAGGTATACTGCTGCTGTTTTCGAAAACCTTGCAAGTGATCTTTCCTAAAGAACTGCGTTTGTCGCTCTGCTGGGTATTTTCCCGTAGCCGGATACTGTGGATGCTATTCCGGCTGATATTGGTGCAGTTCTTTTGGTTCAAAAAAGAAAACCCGCTTCGCCGCATACAGTCCGCCATATCTTGGTAGATTCCGTAATTTTTCAAAATTATCTCCTGATATTTCTTCATGAAGTTAAATTTATATAATGGCAGATTAGTGTTTCCATTAATCAGAAAAAGGTTCCCAAACCATGCCATGGGAGTATAGTTTCCTTTTTTGATTAGCGACTGTATTTTCGTTACACCGCGATGCCATTTTCGATACCCTGTATCCTTGTACAAACGCAAGCACTGAGCCGGTTTTGTGGAATCCTGATACAAATTATTGGCCGATTTTCCTGCATGGTCTTGTTTTATGTCTTGTTGGTCACTGACTGCACCAACTGGCTCAATTTTGCTATTGTCATTAGGTATTGGGAGTTCTTGAGCAGCCTTTTCAAACTCCTGCACGACAGTACTGTCGCCACACGTAAACCAAATATCACTGGGATCCTTTCGCTCTTTCGGTGGATTGTTCTCAGCAGTCTTTTGGTTAACTGCCGCGTCATGATCGTCGCTGCTACTTACCTGTGCAACGGCTTGTTTATCAAAATCACCGCTGCGTATCGGTGATGTGTTGGAGGATGTGCCCAACACTGATTCGCGGGAGACCGAGGTGAAGTTGAGATTGATGATACCCTGCATGCGCACGTTGGGCGGAAAGCCTTCGCGGGGAGGCGATCGGAATTTAATTCCGGCCAGCGGCTGCGTACACGGCGCAACATAATTATCGAACACTTCCGCATTGGTCTCCTCTTCAAAACGATAATCCCGCAGCTTTCGCAGCCGCGATAAATAGCCGGTGTCCGGCTTGCTGGTTTTCGGCGCTGATGGAATTTTGGAACGAGCGCGCAGCGATGCCGGCGGTATGAATGTGCCATGGAGAATATCCAGCAGATTGCTACCGTACTTGAGCGTCGTGGTCAGCAGTGCCGTGAACGTGTTCTCGGCAGTTTGATTTTCCAAAGCAATGAACCTGCAAAAGTGAAATCGTGCCAGCAAACAGCAAACTGCATACAATACTTGTTTGTTGTAAAATGCTGTAGAGCGTGTGCTCTAGTATATTTTACACGATATTACAAGTATATAAGTAGCATTATACGTTGTCATTACCTTTCTGTTTTACGTTTATATATAACGACAAAATTGAAAGAGAGTATGGTAGTTTTGACTACTGCAAGGACTTGAATGTTAAGAGTTTGTCGACATCTACATAGGTCACTGGACACAGGACAGTTTGCATACAGATCGCACAATCCTGCCCGCACTTCCGGAAGGTGCGCCACCGCACGGACGGCTGTGTAGTTGCGAAAGCAGTCCCACCAGTCTTTCTATACAGAAAAAAATATTAAGTGCTGTACTTAACAACAAATGGCCAGGGAAGACTGGAGTTACAGTCATAAATAGCGAATCAGCAATTTTTGCTAAATATAGGCGAAATGTTATCATACATCGCAAATCTCACTTGGGATTTCCCTGACAATATGCTCAAAATGCGAATTGGAGCAAAATTCTTCGACGGTTGCGTCGGCCCATTCAGGTACGAAATTGCTGAGGTCACTTTCGCGAAAGTCCTTTACCGCTGCAGTCATTTCTGATTTCTTTTCATAACGCACGAAACTGCGGTAAAAGATGAGCTTAGTCAGTTTTAAGACCTTGATTATTATATCGACACGGTACAACAATTAGGTTGAGTAATTTAAAGCTTAATTAGCACTTTGTATGTTTGTATGTACAATACTAAACATTATCCGGCAAAAGCCAATGCACATAATGCAGTACGCTTGCGCAAATTTGCCTTAATTTTGCAGGGTTGAATGTTGTGCATCTGACAACTTACACGTAAGTGCGGTCATCGAATGGACGATGGACAGTCTTAACATTTCCCCATTTCCGGAAAACCGTGTGAATGGCATCCTACGATGCAAATGGGCAGAGACGAAAGGTTATCACAGTTGGCACCCTTCGCACCCGTTGTATAGACATTATTATTATTATATGTATAATACTGTTGTGGAGCATTGCAATAAATTCTGCACAAAAAATATTAACAAATCTGTTTAAAACGTTAACTGCTGTATTCGCTGTAAATGAATGCACGATGAACGTATAGTACGTACAAGAGAAATCACGCAGTTCAAGTTTAACAACAAATCGTAGGTTGGAATTAGTGACTGTTTTCCCTTTCGAAGCGAGCATTGCATATTTCTAAGGTCAAAGTGGAAACTCGACGAATTGGGAGGCTTTACTGGTAAAATTGCAGCAAGAACGAAAAGAAAGTGAAACTTCTTACGTCAAGGTTTTAATAATCCAAACTACTGTACAGTATTCAATAATTTAGAATCTGTAATTATGAGCAGCAATTTTAATGTCACGTTGCAATAACGTGAGGGTTGCCTAGCATATGACTTCTCAAAAGTAAGTACTGTACGAGTACAAAACATATTCCGCAGTATAAATGTTGTGAACTTGCGACTAAATTTCCGGCACATTATTCTTTCATTTTCACATCTTTTCCTTTTCGATCAAAAAACAGCTGCAATGTGGAATGTTGTGTACACTTGAATTACTTACTTTCAATGGTACGGTCACACAAATCACCAAATTTCACTCTTTCTGATAGAAGCAACAGAAATAAACTGATAGAAGTAACAGCACCGATAAATTGTATACCGTGCAATCCGTAATTTTTTTGTACTCGTACACCGCAGAAGTTTGGCGCAGGAAACATACCTGAAAACTTTTTCCCGCTTCTATTCGTTGCAAAGTATAGAGCGGATGACGAAAACTAGCAAGAAAGTTACCGACTCCCGAGTGAAAGACAGTACTCGTATGCGCAGTGAGCATTGAGTGAAAACTGAGAAATTCTTAAACCTTTTGCAGCTTTACTGCAGCATGATTACACACCCTAAAGTAGTACTACTTAACCATCAGAAGAATATTCCAGTGCACCACACAAACTGCGCTGCAATAATTTCATCCAAAAAGAAGCACAAAATTTGGACCCGTCAGTCGGGCGTCAGACAAAAACACGTCAAACGACAAAGGAGCGCCTGCCTAGGTTTTTACTTATAGCATACCGATAATACAGCAATGCCGATTTCTTTATTTACAATCTTATTTACATATTAGCGTGATTTGGCAACAAATAAATACAGATTACAGCAACATTTCTAAAAGAACTTACTGTACGAAAACTTACTAATGTAACACTGACATCAGCTTGATCTCTGTACGATGATAATAAAAATCTTGTGTCAGCGCATACAACTGACGTGAGGAGAATACAGTAACAAGTTCAGAAGAAAGAACAGTTTCAACCGGTTAGCGAATTATTACAGAATTAATAATCAATTAAATAAGGGATAAAATCCAGCACGCAATAACCAATCATTTCTCATGATCCATCCACGATGCTGACCCTGGCGATCACGTACGACGTCAAAACGATGGACTGATTCAAATAATGCCAACGCGGCGTCGGAACATTTGGGAGCTGGAGGCAATCTTATTTCAGGTTCACAGGACCGACAGTCCCAAAAATACTAAGAATACTCCACCGTCTACAATGCAAAAAAACTACTTACTTAAAATATGGTCATTTTATATACTGCTTTTTCAGTGTAAGAAGCATGTACTACGCAGTAAGCATCATTCGATGAAATCTGCATCATCAATGAAAATTTGCAAAAGGCAAACGGCAGTAAATTGGTTCTTACAGTTTCTGAAACGTAATCATATAACGGAAGCACTACGAAAGAAAACATACCTTAATGGGAGACTTCAACGGATAATTTATGTTTTTATGCCTGCTAAGGACAGTTCGAACGTCGCGCGTAAACCGCAACGAATCCAAAAATGGAAGCAAATCCAGCAGGGCCATATCTTTCGGATCACAATACCACGAGCTTATCGGCAGCGCATTATCTACAAAGAAGATAATAGCGTCTGCAAAGTGCAGTCGAAACAAATTTGACGCAGACAATTAGCACTTACGAACAAACCCTTTATATGCGATGGGAGAGTTATCGATAATAAAAATCGACGATAAATCCGAAGATATGGACGATAAATCTTTGGTATAACCACTTGAATCCTGGGTGCAGTGCTACACAACCAAAAATCAATGTCACTCGTGGAAGGTCGCGTTACGTAACACCATCTCCAGTTTTTCACACCACACGGAATCGTAAACGGCTGACTAATCGTTTTCACACCAAATCACGAAGCCACGTCAGAGACAGACATGCAACCACTCAAGAAATCAAAAATGCCGTGCAAACACAGTAATTAGAGTAGATACACCATCAAGTTTTATACTATGTAATGTAAAATCCTGAAAACGTATTACCCTAACTATTATCGAATATCGCGCATAACACTGGAAATGGAAACTTGACATATGCACACAAACTTGACATAAGCACACAACACATCAAACAATAAAAATTATTTCGATTCCAGACTTCCAGGAAGAAGTCAAGATTATTACAGAAAAAGCATGTTATCAATGCTCATTATAGTAACTAATACCAAATTCTGTCGATTCGAGTCGCGTTAATTACCTGCCGAAAGTAGCGTCGGTTTAGGATATTGCGTCCACCATCAAGCTTGTCGCTAACCGCTGAGCCGTATATCTCCATGCTTGCGGTGAAAACCACGAGTTCGTACCATTGACTGACCTAGAAAACCATCGAATCGATGAGCAACGCGAATCATCTGGAGATGAGCGCGATAAGAGCCACACAAGACCTACAGTCTGCAAAAAGAATTCCACATGTGGCCGTTTATGAACGAAGAAGCTCACTGGATGCCTTTCGATTACGACCTGCAGAAAGAAAACATGAGAAATAACTATTAAGCAATGCGGGAAAATATATACAAAAACGAGAATCTGCTTTGTTTCGCAGTACTTTTAAAACAAAATCTGGAGGTCTGTTTCCGGTCCTCATGTTTGGTCGCAAAACGCCATCATGCGTGGAATGGATTAACGTTTCGTCCAAATCGAGAACAAGAATCTTGTGCCTGATGGATACTGCAAAATAAATCAATAACGAAAACGCATAAGGAAAACGTTTCCATATACGTGGCTTTAATGCTGCGCGCCCTGATCAGCATAAATATGCTTTTTTGGCGAAATCGATTTAAAGAAATACTAAAATTAATTTGTCAAGCTTACAGAGTCTCTGAGAAGTTAAGGGGGAAAGAGGAGCAACGGGGTACTTGACAGTCTGGTGCTGCACAATCTGCAATCAGCAAATGGGTTTCAAATTGAACATGTACACTTCTGCACCAGCAAAGTGGCATCAAGCATCTAGCTAGCATACCGTTTTGTATTGTTTCTGGAAGATATAGACAAAGAAGCTCCAGATCTTAAATAAGCCTGCCCAGAACTTCCGTAATGTGGACCCGCACTGTGAACGCGACATTCCCTTGGGATAATCAGATGCAAACAACTCCTGGATAGCGTAACTGTTAAAAAGTGGCAACGACGATATCTCTCCCGTCGCCATTGAATAAACCAAGGGGTTTTTTAGTTAACTTAGATCGAAATACTGCAGCAAAATAATTGTTCTTCATAGCTTTCGACAATCGACAGAGCAATAAAAAACAGTCCAAAAAAATCTACGACGATTTAACACTGCAAAGCCTGAGGAAAATGCGCAAACATGTCAAATCAAAGTTAGTATAGTATGAAAATAGGACAGCTGCGCAACGTGCATTTTGATACAGTGCAGTGGTGGCTAGCCGCTACGTAAGTACGTAAACGTACTACACGTGGTGAAATACGTACAGTACTGGTGTTATAATTATAATGAATTATAATAATTATTATATAGTACGATTAATATTAAGCTAAATTTTGATAATAAAAAACCTAAAATCAAAATAATTTATTAACAGAGACTAAACTTAAGGCCTAGTGTTAAATTGTTCTTTTATGTTAGTCTGAATGGTTTCCTGTTTTATTTGCATTTGGTGCTTCACTAACAGTAAACTAAGCCTTAGCATTTTTATTTCTTTAACCTTAGCATTTGTTTGGAACAGACGAACAGTTACTATGTATCGTTTTTTTTTTTTTTTTCCCAGCATCTTTTTTATTTTCGGTCAGTAGCAACAAAATTTTTTCGCACTTTTGTAAATCGCGAACTTACACAAGCGAGTTACAAACAGGCAACAGGCGGGCGGATGACAGAGAATATTTCGTCTAAATTGCCGCCGGTGCTGTTCCATTATATGCTGTGTTTCCCGCTGTATTTCGATGCTGATCCGTTGACGCAGAAACTCTAGTGCTCGCGGTTCGCCTGACTGCTGCTGGATCATCTTTCCTAGCACGTTCAGTAGCTGGGTGGTTTCTGGTCCGAATGTTCCGTAGGTCTCAAAAGCCAGGGGCTTGAACCAGTAATCCTTTGATGTTGCGGTTTTATCTCGTCTTGCTCCTGAAGCGCTTTGCTGCCGTCCAGTGGGCTGCGATGTAGGACAATTATGGGTATGTTATTTCCCAGGCCAGCTTTTTCTTATGCGGTAATTGTCACTCCGTCTGGTCGTTTGCCATCTGTACGGGAGATTCCGGGAGGTTCCAGCTCAGTTTCGATTCCGGCCGATGCAAAGGCGCGCTTTATTACCGCTTTGAGGCTTTCGTGGGTCGGTTTCCGTCCGGCACTGAACTTGCAACTTGAACCATGATATCCATGCTCATCCGCTTGGTCACCGCAAATGCACTGGTGTGGTGTGCATACCGGTGCACCAAGGCGCAGCGCTGCAGCCGTCCTTAGGCTGGAGTCGTTTAGTAAGTTCCCGAGGGATGCTGCCGGTAGTTGGAGCCATGCGCCCGCCTCTTTGGTGCTGACTGCCAGCATCCGCGCCTGACTGGCGATATCGTTTTCAAAAGCCCGCTCCAACAGTCTCAGTTGTGACCTTATGATAGGTTCGTCCCACGCTTCTGCACTCCCCGAACTTCAGATGGTGGCGCGCTTTGATTCGCCATCTGCTGCCATTTGGTGGTCGCTTCACTGCAATACGTCTCCGGCTGGAATTAATGGCGCAGGCTAAGGAGCTATTGAATAAGCCGAGGCCAGAAAGGCCGGCAGTGCTAGCTTTAACTGCCCAATGCCCAAACCGCCTCTTGAAATCGAAGTGACGCCTGCGCCCAGATAACGTGGTGATAGCAGTGTTAGTTATTTTGGACAGGCTATCGCGTATCATGGTGTCAAATTCAGCCAGCAAGGGTTCCTGCAAGTAACATCGACCGGTACGCAGTTTGTAAAGCAGGCCTTACCGGTCCCATACTGCATCGCAGTAGATAGAGTGCCTGGTGGGCTGGTACAATTAGCAGACGTTCAGTCATTCGGGCGACTACCTCCGTTACTGAGGTGCGCTTGCGCATCATCATGAAGTGGTGCGCCAAGGTACTGCAAATCCTTCAACGACGGGCACTTCAGGTCAGGAAATGACTGGAGAAAGGCAGCCGTAACCGAGTTGCGGTCTGCTTCGCTTCCCCAACCACCACTAGCTCGTTAGTTTAAATGTTAGTTTAGATGTATCGTTAGTTTAAATGCTTTTCGTTTACAGCATTCCGCAATCTCAAGCTAATGAAGACTCATTTTGTGGATGCTGAGAATATATCGTCGACTAACCTTTAAAAATAGCACACCAAAAAAGAACATCAAAAGATTTGCCACGAAACGAGAGAAACAGCACCGACATAACATGCATACTTATGGTGATTATGGTGACTGCAGCGTAGTGAGTCAGCAAAGTAAATTTTCAATCCATTTTCACTTTATACCGCAAATACATCCTAAGATTTATTCTAACGTTTAATTATCGAAAATTGTCAAGAAGCTAATTTTACGACAATAAAACCAACATAACCAAACCTTTGTACTGTAGTAACTGTACTGTACTTATATTAGTTATATACATATTAATATATATATATAAATATATTATGTATAAATCAAAATTTTTAGAGTGTAGGCACTGGGCGCTGGGCACCCTGTGACCTGTGTTAACTTTCGTATGGAAAATTTGAAAGCTGTTTAAATTGCTGCAGGCAGTACAGTACAGTAGCAGTACTATGCAAAAATTTGCTTGGCCTACCGCCTTAGCTCACGTAGTACGGTGAAACTCGTAGTTGTACGAGTACCCTGTTCACTGAATTTTCTTGCCAGCTACTCAGTACTTACTCAGTAGGCTTTGAGATATGGGACCTGTTCATGGCAGTTTTTTTGCAGCCTGTTGCTTCGAAATTCATAGATTATGGGTATACATTCGTTGCACATCTCAATAATTTTCCATTATTTTGTAGTAAAGGTTTTTATTTTAAGAGCAGTTACAACACAGCCTTTCTTTGCTTGATATAATGTCAAAGCATTTGAATGCTGTAAATTTGGCTGGATTTTGTGGCAGTAGTATGCTTGTTGAGAAGTGTTGTTATTGTATAAGAACAGAATAACATGAGACGTATCAAAATAACACTCACTTATTTGAACTTATTGTTTTTTGTGGAATGACTTCGGTATCTGTATGCGGATGAACTGGACCAAGAAATGTTCCCAAATGAAGTGAACCTTACCCGCTTGCCGTCAAAGATCTTTCTCATTTCTAGCTGCAGGTATGAACTACGCACTACGCATAGTCCAGAGATGACAAAGTACGTTCCGCTTGACTCTTGAGGTACACACTGCACAGCACTTGACGTGATCTAGGACTACTGTTTAATGTAATTACTGTATATATATTTCCGTTGGTAAAATGATTATGCTTATTTCAAATGAAAAAGTCTTGATTTTGTAATGCTGACACATTCCATCATATTTATATAGACACGTACTACAGTTATTCCTTCAGTACTACGTAAGTGCATAGAAAGTACAGTATAGGTGCATTATTACGAGTGAACCGACAAAACTGGGAACTGGAATTACGGTTTTTAGGGTTGATTAGATTATTTCGGGAACTGTTTCCTTCTTTTTGATTGGTTTATTTATTAAAAGAGCAGCAATAATTTTATTAAACAGAACGGTCCCCATGTGCAGTAAAATGCTGTATATTATTCCAGGTTGAGATAAATCCGGACCGGATTGACTCAGTCTGACCATATTGGAAAACGATGCATTTGCCATTTGTTTGAATTCGCGTTTTGTCGGCTTCCAGCAATAATGATGAATAACGAACGTAAGTTGTGTCTGCAGTTTACATTTGAATGTTTGTAGCACGTCCTTTGTTTACGATAATGATTGTGCCCATATGGCTGTTTAAAATGGTTTCCTTAACTGTACTTTTCGTTAGGAATTTTGCATAATTATTTCATTGCGCAAATTTGGCAAATTGCATGGAGGTTGTATTTTTATGATCTGAAGGGGTAGACAGTGTTGCCTTGGTTGGCACTGGGCAGAACTTTTATCACTTTCCAGTTGGTGGATGTTGCACTTTTGAAGCGCGTGCACTGAACTTCGTTGATTAATTATTTCTGCGTGACAGCGAAGAAGAATGCCACTTTGTTGAAGTATCGTGAAGTCTACCGTGTATGTAGGTGTTGTAATAATTATCTGAGGCACGAACAGTTTCAAGCGCAAGCAGGACAATTTTTGTTTTGTTTTGTTTACTAATTGGTTTCAGTCCTTTTGTACGAGTATAAATTTACACGCTACGTTTTGAAATAAAATCTCGATGTGTTGTGGTGGCTAATAACTTTGTGATAGTAACAATGCGACGCACGATTCTGCACGAACAACGAAGTGGATACTATAATTACTTGACCAAGACGAACACAAGTACCGCAAGATCAGATCCTCCATGCCGTGAAATTTTCCGCGAAGTTGTTTTGATGAAATTTTAGAGATTTAAACTATTGGAATATTCAGATGTGCTTGCAGAATATTTACAGTTGTTAGTTTTGTAACTTTTGCCTTCTGGTCAGCGTTTCGATAGCCGGTTTATGGGCACTGAGAACATGTTCATGTGCACTTGTGCAGCGTGTTTGTACCGCACTCCTGTTAACTTTTAAAGCGATGCTTTGCGGAACGCGTGAGTTTACTCGCGGCGGTGTATGGCGTTTGCTTGCTGGAGTACCGGCTCTTCAATCAAGATCTGAAGAAAATTGATTGACGTAGATGTACATGCTTGATTCACCGTGAATGAAATATTTCGAACGTGCAAAAACTGAGTCAGGTGATGAATGCATTGCAGTGTTTTCATTCTCCATGCCGGAAATTTACATAGGCTGTTGATTACGGTGATATACGAAAGGCTCTAATTATTCCTGGGAAACAGAATTCGTCTGTTGGCAGTGGAAAAACTTTGATCGAAGTTGAGAAACATTGATGTTTTGGTCAGTTTTCGGTGCAAAAAGTTATACGAGAAGTACTTGTAGTTACGGTTACTAAATTTCGTCCTTGCTACCGGGCGTAATAGGTCAAGTTCTTCCGACAGCATTGTTACGCTCCACGCCTGTATTATGGGAACGACAATAAGCCCAAGTGGTGTAACAACTTAATGTTGTTCTACAAAGTTCGTTTCAGTATACTGTACACAATTTGTTTACTGTTTTTTTGAAATGTACTTGTGAAACGTGATTATGAAGGCACAACAGGCCAGCACGTCTTGATTAATTTGCAGAACCGGTACAAGAGCATGGATTTGATATGAAACATGGTGTGTAGGGAGTGCGTACTGAATACACTACTTGTACATAGAGATTGATGAACTTTAACTTGTTCTGTAACGTTAGAAGGAATTTGAGCTAAATTTGCCTGAATATTAGCGATGTATCAAGCGGTAGCCAAACATGTTGATTGTGTACATATCCGAGTTATATGGTATATGGGATTGTCGTATCCTCGTGGATGAAGTTGCCGGGAAAGGAAAACGCTTTCCAGTGTGTACACAGTGGTGTAATTCTCGGTTGACCCCTCGGTAGATTCTCAGATGATCTACTGGGGATATCGAGCGTTCATTTTCGGGTTAACTTTGCGCTACTGTTTACATAGCATTGTTGGAATTCTCCTGGCCGGGACGCAGCTGGATCTAGTGTGCGCTGTAAATCTTCCATAACTTTTGTTGGGAATGACTTCGGTCGAGTGTCGATTTTTTGATGTTTTACACAATCCGCCATTGTGTTATCGGTGTCGGATGATATTGAGGCTCTTTTCATGTGCATAAAATCTATAGTAATTTGATTATGCACACCCTATTCATATCCCAATCCCCGATGCTACGAGCACCTCCAGCGCGATTGGCATACATACCGAAATAATCCATTGTGCTTATAACTTCTTGTGCAATAAAACTGAAAGAGGCATATCGGTCATTACGAATCCTAAATTTCCGCTGCACCGTTATTGTTGCTACCGTTGTTGGGACGATTGAGCCACACAAATGCCTGCAAACGATTGTGTTTTTCAGGAATAATAAAACCAACGGGGAAATCACCGCCAACTGAGTTTGAACTGCGCGAAAGCAGTCTGTCGTTGTTGCGATCGGAGTTGAATTTAGTCATCCAGGAGCGGGATACGTTACGCTTGCAGCTGGAACAGCTGAGAATGTCACGGCCACCGGACCAAGATGATCTGCATGCATTGTCACCGCGGCTAGACCGGCTCAGTTTGCCTGCCGAGTACGAATACAAAGCTATGAAGACTCAGCTCGAACGTGCGTTGTCCGAAGTGCAGAACCTTAAAAGTAAGATTAGAACGTTTTGCTAAACATCTCTTTTGTAGCGATTATGGACTTACAATCATACAGAAAATATTTCAGTTGCGAGAAGTTCCAGTTTATTATTATTATGCGTAATTGTGTTGATTCTGAAAACGTTCGTGTTCATTTTCTTGAAAGTAAACTGGAATAATTAGTTTTGAATGGCTTTGGTCTACTTAAGTTTAAGTTTAGCTAAATTTGGTCTGGTTGGATTTGATTACTTGGGATTTTTTGAACTAAGCTTGCCCTTCTACTGTAGGCACTTCCCGTGTTATAATTTACGGCACAGCGTCAAGTTGCATAATTATTGTTTTTGATGCTTTGCCTGTCTCACCAAGGAAGAGTCAGTAACTTTACAATAAATTTGCTCTTTTTACTCGCATTTGGTAAGTATATGATTATTTCTCGCAATGTTTTCTGGAACTTTAGCTTTGTTTTACCCTTGTAACCAAAAACTTTAACAACTTGAAAAGTTGGTAAAAAATAAACTGTTACAGAAAAAATTGCAGAAAACGCCAAAGAAGTGGAATATTTTCGGAGTAAGCACCGCACTGCTCTGCAGGAAATCCACCAACTGAATAATGAGAAATTCGATTTGCGAAGTCGTTTAAGTGCGGTGGTGATCGAAAAGCAACAATTAGAGTTGGAGGCAAGTGGTTTTGACGACAATTTATAGCTAGTGCAGTATAACGCATTTTGAATGGTTCTCTTCAGTGTAAGCGTATTGGACTTGACAAGTGCGGGCATCCATATCGCATATGCCATAATTGATTCTGTATGTATCTGTTGTCTGTTTGTAGGTCAGTGATGTACAGCATAATCGCGATGTTGAGCACGAGGAGCTAATGGAGATGCGGCGGCTCTATCATGAAAACCGGGATATGTATGATCCCGATGGGCGTATAAGTAATCTGATGGTTACGGAAAGAGAGAATTTGCGCGAACGCTATGAGAGTTTAGCGAATAAATATTCTCAGGTAATTTTGAACTATTGTTTCGAACATTGACGGTAAAATAGCTCTTAAGTATGGCCCTGACTTCTCGACAATATGCTTTTTTATATCGGAAAATGCGGAGGCATCGTTTTTCAAAATTTGTAGTTTTAAAAATAAGTGCTTGTAATGCACAGTAACTCTTCATAAATAAATAGTAAATTTGTTTCATACTAATCTGATTAATTTATTCTAAAATGTATGTTTGAGTGACCTACTCTGTACTTCTTGATGGATTTAGATTGTGATGCCTAGTAATTATAACGAGCAAGCGGTTCATAACTTCAGAGTTTGGAAGCTCATGCGACTACTATGAAACAACTTGAATCATCTGAAAAGGAAAACTCTCGGCTCAAGCGTGTGTCCGAGGAGGCAACAAGCGAAAAGAATGATGCACTGATCGAGAGAAACACTTTGAAACACCAGCTGAATTCCCTAATGAAGAAGCGTGACGCCGCGGTAACCGAGCGCGATCTTGTAAGTCATATGCGGTGCCTTTACTCAAAAGCACGATTTTGACAGTTTCATTGATAATGGTGTTTCTTTGGACTAAAATAGAGTCATCGACGTGAAGGAGAGCTTATCATGCAGATAAATGATTTAGAAAGTGGGCGAATCAATCACGACAAGGAATTACGCCGATTAACAGAGGAACGCAATTCCGTTCTACAAGAGTACACTCAGATTATGTCGGAGCGTGCGACTGTTCATCAGGAAATGGATAAGCTGCAGGAGGATCTGGTAGCTGCTCAGAAGCAGGTGACCAGCCAGAAATTCGATTGGTCAAATTGAATGAAGAATGTAATTTTTTATGTCCACATATTGGGAGTAGATTACCACGATTGAACAAGTGAAGAAGGCAGCGGCAAATGAGGTGGAAACGCTCCGGAGGGAAATTATGAGTGCCCTGAACGATCGCGACAAGGCCATGAAGGACTGTCATGACCTTCGGGAAAAACTGGCTAATCTGGAGATGGATGTTCAACGAAGTATGAAATTTTTAGCGGCCACTTATTGTTAATATGGTTACGCTGGCTAAACGTGCTGTAATTTTTACGTACAGTAACTGTTTTTGTTAATATATTTTGTAGCGCGCAGAATTTTGAATTGCATTTTGAAATTTGTTTACTGTTCGATAACTGCTTTAAATTTCTAAGTAAATGTGATTTATGTATATATGGAGTAAATGTGATTTATGTATTTATGCTTATTGTGAAGTAGGACATTGTCGAACCTCTGACCAAGTCTGCGTTTAATTGTTGTTTGAACCGAGTGTTGTTGTATAGCGCCTTTAAAGTGACTGTCATGATTTTTAATTGTTTTAGATGCCGACAGTGAAAAGTATGCTGAGGATATGAATAATCTGAAAGCGGAAGTGGAAACGCTGAAAAGTAATGTGGTTAAAGCTGAACGTGGAAGCCGAGATTCTGGAGAGTCGACGAAATTGGGCGTTCAGTGAGCGTGATAAGATTGTACTGGAGCGAGAAAGTATGAAGATTCTGTGTGATAATTTACGTCGAGAGCGTGATAAGGCGCTAGCCGATCTGGCGGAAGTGCGGCGGGATCTGGATGAGATGCACAAGCTGCGCAGTCAGGCTGTCAATGAGGCGGCCGAGTTGCGTGACAGAGTCGAGCAGCGCTCTTATCGGGATGTTCGCGTTAAACAACTCCATAACAAACGCCATAATGAAAGTCGAGATTCGGCAATCGATGCAGATTTTGCTGTTGATATGCTCACCGAGACACTTGAAGTGGATTTGAGTGCTGAGCCGTCAAAACTTGGATTTGATCTGTCCGGCGGCATTGATGATCCCAACTATCGCAGAGCGCTGTATGTTAGCCATGTGGCTAAAGGAAGTGCAGCAGAGGGAAAACTACAGTATGTGTCATTTGGTGTCATATTTACCCGTTTTAAAAACTTTGAAAAATTATTCTAATCTTTGGAGATGAAAAGTGACGCACAATGATGCGTAATCTAATCGAGAATTTCCGTTTGTATTTCAAATAACCAGAAAGATGGAATGTGGCGTCCATACGACGGCATTCATCTGTGCCCAATTGAAACTCAGATTCGGTTTTCAAACACGATGTTGCCGCGGACGAGTGTGTGAAATTTCTTTCAAAAGCTGTGTTATTAAAATTCAGGTTATCATTATCTGGTTTTTTTAATGGTTTGCTGCTTTTGGCTTTAGATAGTTTTTTTTCGGAAATCTTTAAATGGTCTTCACGCTTGTGAGGGGCGTAATCGCAATGCACATTAAACAATTAAATACACACCACGAGTTTGTTTGAGAGTAAGTACTTCACCGATTTCACGGGAAAATTTGAATATCGATTAGACCGTACAGGAGGTGTTGTCATATAAATTCGAAATCAGAATGCACAAAATAAATTATCACTGTTATGTTTTTAGAGTAAGTGATCATGTTTTGCGGGTGAACAATGTGGATTTGATGAATGCAGACCGGCAAACCGCACTACAAATATTGCATGCTTCCAATGGAACCCTTAGTCTACTGATTCGACGCCGGAGAACAGTCAAACCGACACCTAAATTCATCAGTCTGAACTGCCATGTTGCGCCGGCATCAGAATTGGGTTTAACAACAGCCAAGGGATTGTTCATCACCCGTTTGTCCAGTTCCTCACCTTTGCGAGATATGGGTTTGTGCGTTGGTGACCGGATTACCCAGGTGGCCGGAGAAAATGTTGACGAAAAGTCACCGGAGCAGTTGCAGTCGCTGCTTGAGGTCTTTCAGAACCACGTCGTGCGTATGAATATCATCCGCTACTTTGCCACTTCTCCTTCTCTTTCCACCAGTCCATCCGCTCTGATGCAGTGCAGTTCCGATGTTTCGGAGAGCGACAAGAACAGTAATCGCATATCCTCAATAGCAACCAATTCAGAATCGCCAATACATCAGCCGGTCTCCACTAGCTCAGTCGCCGTTCAGACGGAGCAGGATCTGATAAGGAACGACTCCACGTTGAGGCAAAAGAAGCCTAGTGACTGGCGAAGTCTGTTCGAATCTAAAGAGAAGGCGCGACCCCGATTGGATAATGTCTTCCCCGGAATCGATATTAAATCAGGCTCCACCGTAGTGAAAACTACCCGCGTGAGGTCAGTAAGCCGGTTATTGCGAAAATTTTCTGCATTTTATTTTTGATTTCTTTTATTGTTATGCTTATTGCTTGGTATCGATTTTGTCGTTATTAATTTTGGTTTTCGTTTTAGCTCCGCGAAAATTCCCAAAGCGCAAAACTTCTTTGATAAGCTACTGGGGCGAGAGCGAAAACCGCGTCCCACGATCGAATTGGTTCCAAATGCTATAGAAGAGCGCAGCGCAATCGAGCAGTTGGAGTCGGTGGTGGAGCACTATCAGTCATCGCACGGAAGCCGTTCCACCACCAAAAAGCGCATTGAGAATTACAGTGACAAGTTTCCCGGTGGCACGTGGCCGAAGATCAAGGGATCGTCTCCAGAAAATCTGGAGAAAATGGCAATCGATAAATCCTCACCGAAAGAACTTAGCCGAAAGTCAACAAATTCTCTCACTCTGCATTCCCGCACACCTGCTTGGGTTGTGACTGATATAAACATTGACGATGATGCCACTGTCCCCTCAACTCCCTTTAACCGGCACTGTCAAACTAACCGATCAACCTCACAAGTCGCACCGTTTGAGCATGCCGCCGATATATGATACGCGCATTTTCTCCCCTCCCTTGCCGCAGGAAACTGCTCCCCGGCAACTCCTGACCAGTTATCCAGAAAGCATCGACGTAGACAGCGCGTCGGTATCGTCATCGGTAGATTTTCCACCCACACCGAAATTTGATTCGCGTAATTTTGCCATGGACTCTGTTAGCGGAAGTGGAATGTACCAGCGGTCCGTGCCCGCCCAATATCCCGGCATTCCTACGTCAAGGGTCTTCTCCCCGGTGATCAATAACAGCATTTATAAAAGCATCGATTCTCGCGCATCTTCTGCTATGCACCCGATGAGTCCGTTGCCTCACGTTCCCATGGATCGTCTACCGATGTACGCCACGGTGGATCCTCTGCTCATGCGCCGACCGGTCTCTCTGGGCATTCCCACCCGCCAGCAGCCGTGGATGGAGCCGGATTACGCATCGCCCCGCAGTCAGCGAATGGTTTTTCCTCCCGGATTCTCCAACCCGAACGGTTCATCCAAATCGTCGCTCAGTTACGCCTCCAACGAAGCGGATTGTCATAGTCCCATCTTGGACGGACACTCTTTGAAAAAAAATCCCACACCGCTGTACCAGACCGTCCGAAAGCGACCGGAACTGGGACTGAAGCGCACTGTTCGGTTAGATTGGTACAACAGAGAATATTCGGGATTCAATAAAGAGTACCCGTATCCTGGTTTTAAAATTGTCGAACTGGAGAAAGAAATTTTGTGTCGTCCGGTGGTGGAGAACAGCGCAGCCGATCGGGCTGGATTGGTGGCTGGTGATCAGTTGATCGAAGTGGAAGGCATTAATTTTCGTAGTGTGCAGTATCACGATGCGGTGAAAGTGTTGAAGAATGCATTCGACAGCAGCAATGTCCGAGTATCGCCGGTTATTACCATGCAGGTAGCATACCGGGGTCCGTTCCAGTCCCTGGGAAATTCGACTGGAAGCTTTGTGCAGAGCCCGATATCGTCCAGCTCAACTGTCAACACAGACTCAATGCGTGGTCCAACCGGAACACTAAAGGCGACGCTGCGCCCCTCCATCGAATCAGTAAAAGAGCAGAGTCCAGGTCAGTATTTGTTGGGTTTGGGCGGGGTTATGCGGTTTGTTTTGTTGTGCTTGCCTTATAATTTTGGTTGTATTTGCTTTGCAAGACGCTGGACAGAGAGCCGCCTGGCATATGTCATCTGCAGCAGCAAAATTGCGGGTTTACGATATTTCCGAAACAGATCTTTGAATTTATTATGAACTTTTGTACTGCATGGAACTTGATATGGTACAGGTGACTGAAAATATACGTAATCCATTTTTTTATTGTGGCATTCGCGTAACAGCTTGTGTGCCTTCATTAACCAAACCTTCTCTGCTTTGCGTTAACATAGATTTATTTTATATTTTTGGCAGTAACCGCTTGATTAAAAAGAAAAAGGCCTTTGTGATGGCACTACATAGTTCACTTGCATAAAATGTTCGGAAATTGGATTGCTCTTTAATTTCGAGGTAATCTGTGTTAATAAAAACCAGTGGGTAAATTATAAATCATTTGCGCTTGTTGCATTTTTGCATTTACTGGTGTAGTTATTTGGGCTGCTGCTGTGATTGGCGTCTGCATTCGCACTGATGTTTCAAGTTTTAATGCATCTTGAAATAGCTGCGTTGTTGAATGGGCTGGTGTTTGTGGTTCGGCGCTTCTTGTTTCTGTGCTTGCAGACAGAAATAAACTATTATTTCTTAGCGCATGCTGTAAAGAAAATGCTTTATTCTTTTCTGATTTGTAGATTCGGTTAGCGGGATGCACGAAGCCCGGTTCGTTAAGTTGAACAAAGGCTTAACAGAGAGTCTCGGCGTGAATTTAATTGGCGGAAATGTCCATGGCATTTTCATCCATTCCGTCAAGCCCGGCAGCGTGGCAACTGGTCCCAACGGCCTTGGTTGCGGTGAACAGATCTTGGAATATAATGGTGTAAATATGCGCAATCTCCTTTTGGAGAAAGCTATGAATGAACTGTGCAAGCCCGTCCAAACGGTATCCATTGTGGTGCAGTATAATCCGGTCAAATACGAATTGGCGAAATCGACGGCCGGCGATACCTTATACGTCCGTGCTTTATGGGATCGCGATAAATCTCAACTCCAGGACGAGGATCTCATGTTTCACAGGGGTGACATCCTGTTGATTGACAATACACTGTACAACGGCGAGATTGGCTCGTGGCGAGCATGGCGCATCGGGGGTAATGCCGAGAAAACCGGTGATTGTGGAATCATTCCCAATCGGTACAATGCTGAGGAGGAAGTGCAGCGGTTGCACCAGTCCGTGACTGACGTTGTGGACAGCCTGGATCCCCATCGACGAAGCGCACGGCGGAGCTTTTTCAAACGCCGGAAAATTCACCGCCAGCCCGGACGGGAATTAGCCTCGTTCTCCAGCAGTTCATTGGGAACGGATAATTTCTCCGTAGCACCGGAAGAGCCAATCATTCCCACTTATCAGAAAGTCGAAAAATTGGTGTATGAGGAAATGCGTCCGGTTATCATCTATGGACCGCTTTCGGACGTTATCATGGATCGATTGGCAACGAGTTTTCCTCACAAATTCTGCCGGTGTCCGGTAATGCGGGCTCCGCCAGAAACCGCATCCCTTGAAGAGTCCGATGTGGTGGAAGTGAGGCAGTGTATGGAATCATGGGAAACGGTGACTGTCGATTGTGTCCGCCGAGTGATGGGCGAGGAAAGGCACTGTTTGATGGACATCAGTGTGACCTCGCTGGAACGACTGCGCGGTCACGAAATCCAGCCAATTATACTCTTAACCAAATTCCGTTCTCCAGCAAGTATTCTGGGCGTTAGGGACGAGAACAGTGAGCCGGTGGGTGCGCGTTTATCGTCGAAAGCGGCAAAAGAGTTGTACGAGTTGGGCGCACGAATGGAATCGGAGAATGGTAAGATGATTAGCGCCATCATACCGGGTGATGCGGCCACGCTTTCCTATATGATATCGTTGGTGTTGAAGGCGGTCGAGGAGGCACAGACCACACCGCAATGGATACCGGTTGGTCCCGTATTGTGATTGATATTCGGCAGCTTTTTCTGCACCTTTTCTAGTTCATGGTTTTCTGAATTTCTGTATCAGATGTTTTTACTGGTTGAGCAGTTGAAAGTTCTGGCTGTTGGAAGCTATACCGTAGATACGTCGGAATGGTCCCTGAATCGCTTGTATCCCTGTAATTTCTTTTACCATTTTATCAATTTTATTGTTGTATGTATTTCATTACGGTCAGTAAATAAAAAATATGAAATGATCGTTCCTACACTCCCACCTGGGTTTTAACTGCGCCAGGTAATTTAATAACTAACGCATCCACACTTTCTGACTTTTGAGTCTACCCTAATCTTCCTGCCATATTTCATAAGCCCGTAAAAATCTGATAATTTGAAAGCACGCTTATTCCAACATTGCTCTGAATCTTTCAAACGAAGGGTGGCAGAAAAACATAACCTCTCATTAAATGTACTACGTGCAAGTACTAAAAAAATCAAATATTTATTCCACATATTATACGAGTACTACTTTCGGCGTTTAGTCGTACGCGGTACATTTAGAACATTTTTAGACGCTCAGTTGTTGTGAAGTGACTCACTTTACAACAATTGCATGCCAGAAAATATTCTAAATGTACGGCCTACGACTAACTGTACTTCTGAATAGTAATACCAGCGTCACTACTCATAAGTACAGATATAAAAAACAAAACACTGCAATGAAAGCTACGTATTCAGTGTTTTCAGGAATCAGGGATCATATTGGTCGGAGACGCTAAAATACTTCGGCGCTCTGAAATAAAAACTTTTCGTACGAAAGTAAAACCAAATGGAACGATTTACTGGATATGAGAAAATAATACGGAAAATCGTCAAGTCAGTTCACATGACCACAATAGCACAGCGCGTTGTCGGAAATGCTCAGTAAATTGACCTAAGATTTATCTGGTTTTTGGCGAACTACGACGATAACAGTCAGAGAACACGAAAGTACTTTATTAGCATCGGCTCCGGCTTAAGCAACTAAAACGCAAGCACCACCAACACGTTTGATCTTCTCTTCGGCCAACCGACTGAAAAACTTGGCTTTGACAATAACAGGGATCTTAGGAATATTCCCCTTGCCCAGAACCTTATGATATCCGGCGCGAGTCAAATCAATGACCGGAGCTTTGCCATCTTGACGTTCGTGGGCCTTCTGCTTGGCCTGATCCGACAATAACGTCCAGATGCGATCCACATTCAGGGTAGGGCAATATTCGTGATTCCGGTTCAGATGGTAGTGCCTCATGCCCACCTTTCCAAAATAACCTAAAAAGGAATTTGCAATCAGAAGATATCACTCAACCTCAAGTTCTCAACTGCTGCTGTTTTCTCACGGCGTATCTCACAAATTACCATTATTAACTTTGAAAAATCAGGCTGAAACCGTGAAGCGCACCAATGCTGTATTAAATTACGAAAACAGGTTCATAAAAAATTTTATTAAAAAAATCGTTTATAGTGTGAACCTCGGGCACACAGAAAACAACGAAACTTGAGCCCTCATGTTCTAAAATCGCCTACAGACTACAGTACATCTTGAGCTTTAACAAACACGAATCTAACCTACTGACGAGTAAACAGGAATAACACATGCTGCAGCTCCCTATGCCAGTACTAATATTTACCACGCGGTAAAGTTACTGTGAGCATCATAAACCATCCGAATCATTAGGATTCCCAATCAAAACGAGGACAATTTGAAACAAATGCACCAAACAGAGTAAAACACGAGGCAACTTGAAACACGATATAGAAAACTACTACGGAGGTTCTCGCTGATTCCCTGTTGCATCACTGCTCAAGATACCCCATAATACCGATGGATCAGCACATGCGCCACATTATTAAAACGGGAAACCCAGAATTTGCTATTCGTTAAAAGTTAAAACAAACTAATATCCAGTCGGTTCCTTACCTGGATGGTATTTATCGAAGTTTATCCTGTGATGATGCTGGCCACCAGCGTTACCACGACCTCCGGAATGCTTCCTGTGCTTCCCAATACGACCGTGGCCGTGGCTGACATGACCGCGAAGTTTGCGGGTTTTCCGCTTGTTATGGCAAGGCATGATCTGTCAACAGCACAGGCAAAATAAGAACCAATTACGTCTGGAAGAAGTATTGCACTTACAGACAGCAATGAAGAAAACAGATTCCTCTTCAAAAAAAAGCACGATTAACTTCCAAAAATCGGAGTTTTTGCCAAGACTCCGATGTCTGCACTGCCGATGCCGATCCGCGTCTGAGGCTGAATGGAATGGTTAGCTAAACAGTTCACAAGTTACAGCCACGCTTCTCTTCGTTATACAGTTATAGCAAGCGGATAGTCGCAGTAAACGGTTATTACGCCACACCGTTACGGTATGTATGCTTTAACCGCCCATGATGGCGCCTAGTAAGTATAAGCATGCCTCTGGGCTTCTAATAAACTTTTATACCAAAGTTTTATACCAAAGTTTATAAAGTTTTATACCAAAGCCGGGCACAGCCTGGAAGCGTGGAACGGAAATAAATTTGGAAAGTGGAATGATCTCGAATTACCGTTTTTCTGCGCTGTTTCCCCTCTTATGGTTAGCCTCTTCCATCCATTTTTCTGACTATGCAGGGACACACCATGTTTCCCCCTATTGTACCAGTCTGTCCGAAACTGTACATAGGGTATGCTAGTGCAGCGGTTTCCCGCCCGCAGTCAGATTGAGATTTCAACCGGTACTGTACTTTTGGGCACTGACAGTAGTGACTACACACTTCAAAAAAATTTCACTTTTCAGTGTTATTGTAGTTCTCTCCAGCAACGCTCTTTGCGTTGAAGTAGGACAAAAAAATCAAATTAACGCTCTTTTAAATTACCGCTTTCGGCAGAAAATTCCCAGATTAGCTGGAGTGCCAGTGCAAATCGTATGGATACTGAATAAACCATAAAACTGATAACTCTAAAAGCAAACCGATAATAAGCAAATTTAACTTTTTAAACTCCCAAATTCCAATCATCCTTTCCATCAGCGGATAGTTAAAATGATATATAGTACACTACCACAGTCAATAGTACATTTGTCCGAAACAATGTATAAACCTTATTTCAATTTACATTTTGCGCTATAATCCGAAACAGTTAAAAGCCTCTCCATACAAAAAAATTCCAACAGCAGCAGAAAAATACAAAACATGAAGAAAATCCATAACCAACAGGAACGAGATTGCATCACGGTAATCATTTCCGGTGCTTTGCCGCAAGCGCATTCACCTGCGAATCGGCCACTTCTTTCTGGAGTTTCATTAAGACTTCTTTCTGTTTCTCAAGATTCTTGTGCAGATCCTTTGCCGCGGCGTCTACTCGTTTCCTGCAACACGCATGCGAGGGTTATACAATTAATTAAATTAATTTCCAATAAGTACTTGTGCAGCAATCAAAATCCAGGAACACGTACAGTTCAGAATTGATCCAGTCCAGCCGCTTCTGCACGTTCCCTTTGGCTTCCTCCAAGTCCTGAGGAACCAAAACGGGACCAACCTGCTTGAACACCTTCGCACTGGCGTCCAAATATCCGAATTCCTACGACCAAATAGTCACTGCAATGCTGCACATTTCTTATCAAAACAAACAAGGCGCTCGCATTTAAACACGTTTCATTACGTACCTCTTTAACCGAAGTGTTCTCCGTCAGCTGAGTCTCTAACTGCTGACGGGCCCGCAGATTCTTGTTCAATTCTGCAAAGAAGCAAACAGTTACAGCAGCCAGAAAGATCAACAGCGTCACTGCGTGAGATGTTCGCAAAACCGTTTTGAGTGCGTTAAAACTTTACAATAAGCTGGCTAATGGTAAGCATGCCGAGATTTCCCTAACACTGACTGTACCAGTGTACCTGTACCGCACGGCGCACATGATGCCAGACTGCCAGTGAAGGATTCTCATCGATGATATAGGAGGAAAGTATTTTCATTTTCAGCAGCTTCGCGAACGTAAAACCACTCTACAGACATACCTTTCTGAAATCTGTTGTACGCTTCCGTCGCATCCTGCATCTGCTTTTGCCAATCGCGATCACTCATCGTAAACTTCCAGCTGCACAATCTCTTCAGTAAATTCTAGAAGCTCTATCACGAATGGATACAATGCTGATATTTATGGTTAGTAAAACCTCCGTACGATTCCAGGCACAGTGGATTGAAAAGTAAAGACCAATCACCAAATTTACAGCGAGGACTTTTAAAACAAATTATTCATTAATTATTTAAAACAAAAATTCAAAAGAGAAAAAGTTTAAAAACAGAAAGAAACCGGGATGTCAAAATTGTACGGTACTGTATTGGCAAGACGTTGGTTTGGAAAATATTTTTCCTAATTTATCCTCGTACTCATACTGTCGAATATGTGTGCTGAAAGCTGCATATGACTGATCCGATCAGCTGACCACGGAACGGAGCAAACCAGTACGCACTTGATTTCAGTCCCACTACGAGTACGATTTGAAAACACATTTGTTGAATTTTTGACAAAACTTGTACAGCAGGATTTACCGATACTTCTGCCAAGCATCGTAGTTTGAAAACTTTGAACTTTCAGTCAGCAGTCGAAATATTCTGCAGCACAATAAACATTTGCGTTGACCTTTAAGTCCATAGTGTTCCAGTTTTGTTATACCAATAAATTATTATTATAACACTCGAATTCGATAATATATTTCAGCTAAAATGGTAAGCAACTACATGTACATGTTTCAGGATCCGGTCCTGAATCCGACAGGATATGACCGGTTAGATGTATTGGATTTTCGGTTTTGTGATTCTTGTGGAACAATATTTATTTTATCACGTCTTTTGCCAGGCACCTTCATGTAATGACTGCTCGTGCAAAGATTGCAAGCCAAAGCCACGTAAGTTTCCCTGTTGTTTATAAACTGTCTGGTGCAGAGTGCAATGACAACTGAGTTTTGTGACATGCCGACTTTTCTTGCCGTTTGTTCTGTGAATTATTTTCTACTGCTATGACGATGCTTATCATTTCACTAGCAGTGATCATTACCTCTACATTTGCTTTGTACGTAGGTGCTCGCAACACCTGCGACGGAGAAGCATGCAAACCTCGAAAGGTCAGTGAACTAACCCAGAACTAAACCAAGATCATCCGATTTGTTCATTTCTTTAATTCATCTTATGCAATCGGTTCATAAAATCAACTGCTGCATTTTACAGCGATCCACTGCTACTTCCACCGCTGCGCGAAAGCGGGAATGTGCGCCGTGTGCTCCACGGAAGCGAAACACCTCCAAGCACTGTTGCGGATGAAGAGGTCAGCTAGTTCAACGATGTCTTGACTGTGGTTTTACACTTTTACTGTTGTGCATTTTTAACCGATCTGTGTCCCGTTTCTGCGATGCCCGACAGTAAGGCGCTATTGCGCGACTGGTTTTCTGGATGTTTTTTTGTAACGCATCCGTGAAATTGTCCGGTTGATACTTTTAATTATTTTAAATTATTATAATTTCATTAGGCGGATGTAAATGTGAAACGCCCAGAGTTATAACTCTTCTGATGCTGTACAGAATTACATTACTGGTTATGTGATATACCTGAAAATCTATTAAAGTTACGGTATTTATGGAGATTTAGTTGCCGCACCCTGCGACGCACAAATGTAGAGCCCTTTGCTTGCTGCTCTGTATGTCCTGATTTGCCAGTAGTTGTAGCATTATCGCCATTCACAAAAATACTGTTGTCAATAACTAATTTCGGAAGATAGTGAAGAAACCCATGGTGAATTGGGTAGGACTTTATTTTGCGTATTCTTGTACGCTCACTTCCCACAGACAAAAATAAAACAGAATCCTATAAACAACAAAAAAGCACTGCAAAGCAGCGATAACAGATTAATAATAAAAATCAAAATTCACCTAGCACGGTAAAAACCTAAGGCATAACAACGGAGGGCAGGCAGGCGCAGCTGCCGTTTCCCCTTTCCAATTGCAAACAGAAAAACTTGAAAAAAATTACAGAGCTACAATCGACAGCCATCCTTATCACGTAGCCGATCGCATCGCGCAGGCGGTACCATCCCCAAAAATCAAAAACAGTAATCCACCAAAAAACATGTACAAATCACAGGCAGACTAGAGCATAAAAATATCTTTATTCCCTTGCTTTGGCGCATTGGTCTGATCACGTCGGTGTGGGCGCGACGGGATGGCTGACGGCTTCCTCGGCTGCGGCTGCCAAATATCCGAACGACCACTCAAGTCCTCTTCACTCGAGTGACTGCTGCCCTCCAGGCTCGCTTGGCGTGACAAACGCAGACTCGCGAGATCTAGCGCACGCTTTTCCCTGTTAAAATCAAGCAAGAATAAACGATCACGATGCGTTCAGTTTAAAGATCCACAACAACGACCTTTTCGTTCAAAGTAAAACTGAAAAACACAATATCAACAGCTAATTAATTAGATTTACTTTTCTTTTCGCAGAGACTGAATTTCATCGGAAAGTCGTCGCTCTTCTTCGTCAACGTCGGGGATGGTTTCGGGGATATTCGGACCCGTAGGAACATTTGTAGGTGCCACAAACACTTTGGACGACCGAATGACCGACAGACGCGTGTTGGCACTGACCGCCTGTGTGTCAATCTCCACAATGTCGTTCAAAGTCAATTGCAGTTTTTCCAATTGTGCGTCAATTACAATCTGAATACACCTACAATGATTGTTACTCACACATCCAGAAAACAGACAATCAATTGCATCCAACTTGGTGAATACTTACTCGATCTGCTTTTTGTAGTCATCAGACACTTCAAATGCTTTGAGATCACGTTCTGACCTAAACAAGCACGGGGCGAAGACAATGGCCAAATTTTCCGGCGTCATTTGGTTCATGGAACTTTGCTGGGCCACTCTAAAATTCCGATTCGTTAACACAATAATTATATGAAAAATCAAAGCTTGGTTCCCACCTTGCAAGGTGGAAAAACAGCCTTTCCAACAGGTCATGGTTCGGTTTCTGCATCTTTCGGATAGCGCAATAAACATTCTCCAGCTTTTCTTTGCGGTCATCGCGAGCTGTATAATAGCCAAAACAATATTTAAATTAATAAGCACACAGGAGAAATGCAAAAAAAGGATTTTGCGAGAAAACGGCAAGCTATAGCTCACTATATTTTTCTGTATAACAATGTATACACTATTTGATTCTTGACAGCAGTGCAAATTCAGACATCAGACTCCCGCATACAGCGGAACAAATTTACAAAAGCGATCGCTTCGTCTACTTGAAGAAAAAGATCATGTAAAATCACCACCTACCCATAATGTCCATAAGTTCATCGTAACGCTCAAACGTCATCAAGGGTTCTGGCATTTCCCGCAACAACGCCTTGAACGTCGAGGCCACAATATGGATGCCGGCATCATGATACTGGTCCCAGTCAATCTTATCGGGATTGTCTTCGATGGCCGCTCGCAAAGACCGCATTCCGTGCGCCGCTCCGGACTTGCGATAAATCCATTCGGTGTAGATTCCCTGCATTTCTACGACCGTTATCAGACGATCCGCTATGGCCGGAATCTTCTCCCCGCTCAATAACAAGCAATCCAGCGGGACTTTGAATATTTTGCCAGATGGCTGATTATTGGCCAACGCAGGAGCCGCGGTGCTAGGTGACATCGTAGCGGATTTTTTTATCTTCCGTTTACCGGTACAGGGAGTTTCGATCTTCTGGTAACATTTTTTGTGACATGTCGTTTTGCACAGCTGGCAGACAAGGCTCTTCTCCATCGGCCAGAGGAAAGATGTGCAAACTTCGCATGCTGTTGGAAGATTAAATATATTAACCGCGCCCAGCTGATGACCTTGCCGGTGGATCATTGCTGGCTCTTGTTTACGCTTTTTGCTGGAGCTCTGCAAAATAACAAACGCATTCATTAAGACATAACTAGCGGGACAGCCGATAAATTTAGTTCTCTATAATTGTCTAGCTGAAAAATCTCATTTACCAGGAAAAAAAGTACGCGTTATTCACATAATTACTTACACGATGCATTTTGGTTTCTTCCTGCTTTTGTTTCAGCTGTTGCTTCTGCATGAATTCATTCATGAAGGATCGGAAAGCGTTGATGGCCATATTCACAGGAAATCCATCATCATCGCTTTTATACTGGGCCAGCGCCGCTGTCGTGAAGGGAGGCGATTGAGAATGCACGATTTTATAGCATTCCACACGAATGGTCTTCTCAAAATTAACAATCAAATCCCGATACCGAATACACAAACGTGCATCCTTTACCGCCACTGAGTAGGTGCTGATCAGATTGATTCGGAAGGTCCTCATTCCCTGCTGGAAAATCTTATCTGCTTTGGTCCAATTCTGACCCTTCCGCACATAATCCATCTGAGTGATCTTCTCAAAAATGAAGTTTTCCAACTCCCTTAGTTCTTCCGCAGAAGATACCACCCGATCTTCACTATCCGTGAACTGCGTAATACTACGGATATTCCATACCGGTTCTTTTTCTTTCAGCATTTCAGAATCCTCCTGCGCTTGGCGTCGCTGCAGGCGATTTTTGGAGAAAGTGCGTGTTAACGGCTGCAGGATTGATTCTCCAACCGGTGCCTTGGCGTGGGCCGATTGAGCACGCTTCGCCTGTGCTTTCAGAGCTTTGGTTGACTTGACCGGAGGCGGACTGTGCTTGGGAATCGGCACGCCCTGGTGGTGTTTCAACGGGACCCTACCCGCGCCACTACGCAGAATTGCGGGTTTCTCTACTTCGCTTACTTCCGGAGAAATCTGAGGCGTTTCATCAGCCGGACTAGGTGGTTCGTTTTCCCCGAGGCTCTTCTTTTTCGGGATAGATTTCTTCTTATCGAGCCAGTTTTTGAAAAACGATCCCATCTTTCCGCTTTTGGTATGCTCCGCTGCTATATGTGCAGCTGCCGCTTCCGCGTCGAAATGATCCCGCTTGGGGATGGTATCTCTCCGACTGGTTCTCGGGATTATTAACTGCTTGGGCGGACTCGGCCTAGATGGTTTCACAGCTGTATCTTCCAACTGATCCACATCCACTGCCTTTTCATTATATACATCGATCGCACGTTCTTCCGGCTCTTTTTCCTTAGCAGGAGAAGGCTGTGGTATCGGTTGTAAGATATGATGCTGCTCAATCGCTGAGTATCGCCGCCATTTAGGTTCGGCTCGCGGTGGTGGCGTAGGAAAGGCTGGTTTTACTTTCTCCGGTGGTGCCTGCGTCTGGAGGGTGGGAGTCGTTTCGGGCTCCGAATCGTCGAGAATTCCACTGCTTTCTTCCTCAGAATCCCGCCTGAGGAGTCGTTCAGGAGGCTCGGAATCGGATACCCGTCGTCGCGTGACCTTTTGCGGCTGTACAGCAATGATCAGGCGACCAGGAAGTTGGGGCAGATCCTCGCTGCTGGTAGTTTTGAGCAGCTGCACTCCTTCGTCGCTGTGGTGAGAATTCCAGTCAGAGGAGAAGGAACTAAAGGGCGTTACATGACCATTCGTGGCATGGCTAGCCGGGCTACTGCTCAACGGCACCGGCTCTTCGTCTTCCTCCTCTTCGACGCCTTCCTCGGCTTCTACAGTGCTCAATTTCCGATCAATCATGCGACTGGAAGGCCTTCTTGCTCTGCAATGATTATACAACGCTTAATTTTGTCAGATCCCGGATATATCAATCGCGCATGCCCACTTCAGCATGAAACCCTTCCACGTCAGTTCAAACAACTCTAACAAACCCATGGCAGTCTCCATCCAACACTTAACGCTTTCATTACGCCATCATGCAATGCTGGGGACAGAACACACCAGTCGCAAGGTGCAGGCAGAAACCGGGAATGCAAATTCACTCAAACTTTTCTGAATCGAATAATTTTATAATTATTCCAACCGGCGCAAGCAGCGATTAGCCAACCTTGTCAGTGTTTGCGCCAGCAGCAGCCATCTCTGGCTGATGTGGGGATGCCGCGTGCTGCTGCTCTGCCCTAACCTTCGCTTCTGGTATGTTGCTCTCCACCAACGCTGAATGACCAATGTGGCAACGCGCTGCAGCTTGTAATCCTTACGCACTATAAACCCGCGCCAGTGACGCTGTATAGAAATGGCTGACCTTTCGCGCAATTGCAAGTGCGACACCCGCCACCATCGTTGGATTTTCACAATGTTCCGAAGTATCAAGCGATGCAAGATGTCGTCCAGCCGCTGCTTTTCCGCTTCTCGTAAGTAGATCTGAAAGCCACCAGTACGATAATGAAGCGAGCCATGGCATCAAATGCAACAATTCACCTTCTGGTGGCCGATCTGAAAGTTGTTTGGATCCAACCCCCAGCGTAACAAACACAGACGAATGTCACTGGAAGAGGTATCGGAACCTTTGGGAAAGAGCGCGTGATAGCTGTTGACGAAGTCCTATACAAAAAGCTCACAATGTATCCATAAATAAGAAAAACGAATGTAACACAAGTTAGGTAAAAACGCAAACTTAAATCTACCTTAAAAGGTAAACGAATATGATATCCCGACCGACGAATCCTGACCGTCTCAAGCATTCCGGAATAATGCAGCTGTCGCAAAACTGTCTCCTCGTCAAATAACCCCGGTGTCTGAAATTATTCAAATCTGTCACACTTACAGCTTTGATCGCTTCAACATGGTCAAACTACCTTAGAGTTGTTGGCTTTGATACAGCGAATAAAATACGGATCCGCCTTATTCAGTGCCTCCATTAACTTAGTCAGCGACTGCTGGAACTGGCTAGTCACTGTCTGGTTGGATACTCCGCGACGTGGTTTCACGCTCGGGGCATGCGAGGCCAAATCCATCGTCCGATGCTGACGAGAAGCCGCTTGAGGACTGAAATTTCTCTTTCCACCCACCGGTATTCCTCGCGTATACAATCCTCCAGTTAGAGATCCTCTTTCCTGCATGAAAGCGCCTTTTGGTGGACTGGAACTCTCCACGCTGAACGACTGTTTCCTGCGGGTGCGTCGCGAGAAAGTTAACACAGTAAAAACTGTCAGCTTCAGCATGCGCCACCGGGCCATGGCAGTTGGACTTTCGGCCACCATTTCCCGAAGTAATCCCAACGTGCTGGTTTTCAACAGCGTTACCAAATCCGTAGCACGATTAACGTCGCTATTTTTCTCGCGAAAATTCTATAATAGAATAAAATTATACATAACGAAGCACGAGCTCTAAATATATACTATAACTTCTCTAGAAAATTTTGCAAAACACAAAGAAAACATATATTTCCAGATTTAATCCACTTCAAACACATCAGTCAAAAAGTGCACTCAAAGAAAAATTTGAAGATATCCATATTTACAAAGCACAAAAGTTTAACGACTTACTCATTCCCACAAATTATCCCAAAGCACGAAGCACGGAAACTGAAAGCTACCTTTACAAGCTCGTACCTTTACATCATACTTGACTGTTCCCGCGTAATGATGCACGATAAAAGCATTTTCTCTCTTCTGTGGTGATCCAAAATGTTCATTGGTCACCTGATGACGCCGGTACTTCTCCAAAAGTGTTTCATTTGTCGCACCAGGGAAGCTGTGAAATGAAGAAATCTCTGTCAGCAACGCGGATATTAACTCTTCAAATGAATTCGCTCCACTACAAACCTGCACTCTTCGTTCAGTAACGGCAACAAGCCGTATGGTTTTTGCTGAATGAGATCCAAACAAGGACTATTGTCCGTGTAGGCAATGGGTGACCAGTCGATGCCTTCATTCATATACTCGTCCTGGCGAAAGTGTCCCAATTAAACCAGATCAGAAACAGTTCACACCAGGATTCCACGTAATATAGATATAGATACTAGTACCTGTTCGTATTTGAACACATGCAGGTTGAAGTAACTCTGCAGGTGCTCGTTGGCATAGTTAATGCAGAACTGTTCGAAGCTATTGCGTTCAAAATTTTCGAACCCAAAAATATCCAAAACACCAATTGATACTTCCTGCAACAAAAAATATTCCAATGCGAAATTGTTGTTCGTTTTAGCCGAAAACTGTTTAGTTCTCACCTTCTCTTTGGAAGATTTGGGGTTTAGCAGACGGTTAGTTTGATTAACAATCCAATCGAACATTGAGCAATACAACAATTTGGCTAAAGCATCACGGGCATTTATCGCCTAAACCAACAACGGATAATGGATTACATACCCATCAAAGAGCCGTTAATGTGTGTATACAATACACCAACATGTTTTAAGTAAATAAAAAGTGTGAACAAAGCGATCAACTGCGCATGTTTACCTCGGGTAACTTGTAATTCATTATCAGCGCCTCATTATAAGCGATAGCACATTTCGATATCAAGGCCGAATGAAGAAGTTCCTCGTTGACCTGCAAAATTAAACAAACTCTCCACCACTTATTGTCCATGTTCCCAATAATTTCATACACGTGCAATGAAAAAAGCAGTAAGTCAGTTTGCTCATCCGCTCGCAACGTTTGGTAAAGTTGCAACAATTACAGAATATCCTCGCTTTAGTATTAGTACGAGTGACTTTTTCTGCCGTGCCGCTGAAGAGCATTTAACTGTAACGCCCATTTTTTTGTTCTGCTAGTAAAAAGCGAAATTCAGACTCTAAGTCGACTCCCGTAACGCTGCAAATTCACATCTACCTCACAAAAGACATCAGTGGCTGCCACTTCGTAATATGAACTGATTAAATTCCATACGATTACGCTCTCAAATGTCTCAGCTTGGACTTTTTAAAAAGTAACACATCTCTTACCCTCTTCTAGCTGTAGTTTAGTACTAACCTACTAAAGCATATGCTGACAAATACACGTAATAATTTCACACGAGATTTCAATCGTTAAAGACAATTACTAAGCTCAGCCAATTTCTAAACACCGAAATTTTATTTCAGACAGAAACCGAGATTTTCATACCTTCACGATAGTTTTATTGACGAAATAACAACACCATTGTATTACCTGGAGGAGTGTGGCAACAGTAGCCAGAACTTCCCGATTCTGAATGATCACAGACTCATCATGATGATAGGAACTGGCTTTCTGTAGAATGTATAACAAAAACAAGAGCATAAACATCGATTATCAACACGTCAGAGAATATCAAAGATATGGTAACTGCTCTCTTGCGTAAAAGCGCTCCTAGCTGGCCAGCAGCAGCAGCCGGTGCGCACTTGAGTCGGTATCATATTACCTTGACGTATTGGATATTGCCGATATGTAATACTGCCGAAAGCACGGAAAAAATCCTGAAAATAAACATCACTGTTGAACTCTTGATCATCACCAACTCCTCATCAGACAGATGCATTTTGTGAGAACAGCTTAACTTGGTGGACAAACACTACAGCCGATTTGAATGAAAACACACGTGAGCCGAACATCATTATTCACATAAAAAGATCACGTTAGGATTACAAAAGTTTTTTTTTACAAAAGGCCAATCAAAATAGCTATGAACTTGCAATAGACTAACATTCTGAATTCTAACATTCCAATCTATGTATTTAAAATACGAGGATATAAAAAGAAATATTTACCTCGTCTGGAGTTCGCGTGTAAATCCGACCATTTCCATGGCTTGCTTCAGTCGATCAAATTCGAACGTACAGTCAAATCCACTCATATCGGCATAATCACTTTGGTTGAGATAATCATACGATTCAATACTATCCAGCCGCAATTTACTCTTCTCTTCGGCATCACTTCCGGCCAGCATATAGTAGAACACATGATAATTCCTAAACAAACCGTCTTCCAATACCACAACGTAACACATCGTTCCCAAACAAAACCTAATTATTGATTAAACGTAATCCGGCCATCTCGGAGGCCACTCCAACAAAAACGGAAACAACTGGATTCAAATTCATCTTTGAAAGGTATTACAGAAAATGTCTAACACGTAATTCAAAACAACAAAGATCAGCCCATTCGCTAATTGTAAGCGAGCCACCAAACGTGTTTGTTTATGAATTGCAACAACTTCCTCTTCTGCACCGCGGTGGATGCATTTCGTGTTCCCGTATCTCACCGATTAATCTCAACCGCATCCTCTCAAGCCAATCAGCGTATCACATGAATCATCGGAAACCCTTTGTCGAATACAGTACGCTCTATGCTACACGCACACTCGAAGCATTTTAAGAACGGACCACACCCTGATAACCTATTGGATAAGCGTTTACCCTTATATAAAATTTAAAACATCTTTTGTAAACCAGATTCAACAAATTTCAACACAGTTGTGCAAACAACCATATGCCTCTGTTCATCAATTCAACCTTCCGGAAAATATGCAAAAACAGCTTTTAAAAAGATAGAAGTTGCTATGTCGAGAACATTAGAAGCAGCTTTACAATACTGTTTGCTAATTGCATTACTGCTCACCTTTCGTTTCGGGCTTGACTGACAATCCGCGATTTTTCCAAAAGGTACTGCTGAACGTTGGCTCTATGAGAAAGACAACATGACCGCATATTTTATACAAGAAAACTGTCATCACCCAAGAAAAGTCAAGAGAGCTAAGAACATCCCAGTGCACACAGACATGAAATGCTGTACATATCGTCACGTAAAGGCCACCGCAAAATGGCAACGAACAAAAATTCGATCCTCTTATTTGTTGACTGCTAAGAAAGCCTACCAAATTGGGATAACTATTTCGTGCGGTTAGCATAAATTTCTCACGCGATTTTCAAGTGTGCAGTTGATACACAGATGCACGTTTAAATTAAAATTACGACACTGACCAACAAGACGACTTAAAAAACAAAAAACCAACTAACTGGCATCGGTTTACTTAAACTTCACATACAGTTTCAAAATTATCTACTCAGTATCGTTCACAATTTGCGTTGTTTCTCCATACAATTTAAACATAAACAAGGATTTCGAAGACAAATTCTGTGGTAACAAAATTATCAAATACTGACCTTGCGACTTTTCCATCAGGTTTATAATGAACTTGGATGTATTTCCCAAATCGACTCGAATTATTGTTATGGGATGTTTTCGCGTTTCCAAACGCCTGTAAAGACAGCATTATTATGAACAGAAATAAGTACATTAGCGTGAATGGCCGAATAAACTAGGATACCCAAGTTTGAGAAACAAAATGCATCATCCTACTGGACTAAAACAGCGTCCCAACATACAGTGTCCGGAAAAAGTTTTCGGGTAATGCCGTAACACGATACAAACTGCCCGCAAACCCAAATTTGAATTCAACACCACTCAGAAAACTAGCACCACCAACAAAAACTGCAGAATACAATTATTCCTGCACGTGGGAGCAATAAAGCTCGTTGTGACCGTTAACAAATAACAATATGCTGACACGCAATTCGCACCATGTAATGCGACAAACAGTTTTTTGTCAAAGTCATTTTTGTCTAGAACTGTTCTTCATTGTGTTAGTGCAATTAGTGACAATCGGCGGTGAACTGTTATGATCGCAATTTCCCATTGTTGCATCCAATCAGTGGCACGGCAACAAAATCATAACCGCCTACCTTGCTTGTCAGCTGGCTGCTGGCCCTAAATTGCGGCTTCCCAAAATTCACTGTGTGTATATTAATTTTAAATTAATTTAATAATAGAAAAACTGTTTTAAGGAACAGAAACCTATTCTGCACCGAAAAGAATGAGATCGATAGAATACCTTTTCATAAGGCAGTTGCAAACCTGTAATCGATGTACCATATCGTTTGAGGTAATATTCTAACGATCTGTGGTTTTTTGTAACGCCATCAAATTTACAACTCAGAAAAAACTCGCGCGTCATATGCAAACACCTAGACGATTCGCTTGATTAATTTGTCACGCTGTAGCCAAGTGCGCTATGCAGTTTACTGGGTCTTCTACAATTCGCTCTGTAGTTTGCATACCGTAAGCATTTCAGCAATATTAAGGGTTAAGGTTGTTCAAAAATAGATATTTCGTACTTTGAAAATTTTAAGCATCCAAGCCGCATAAAATTAATTATTTTAAAACTACATCGCTTTGTTTACTTTGGAAATTAATAGATCACTCTAAAATCTTATAACTGAATGAATTACGAACATTCTTAGTTTTCACCAACAAACAGTTTGAAAGTTCGTGTCTATTGTCAGTTACCAGACTTATCAATTGAGTAAATTCACCAAGAAAAAGCTGCAGCAAAAAACAGGTACTTAACAATCGGTTAGCATAACATCTGCAAGAAATTCGCATGCAGGCACAAAATGCACTGTTAAACTGCGTATGATACCAAAAGTCTTATAATTAAAGCCTAGATTATAAGAGTTTCTACTCGTACCACGGTAAGCAACATGCTAACCCTGTGCATTTTAAACTTAAAGGTAAGTCATTTAATGTGATAGGCACCTACCGACAAAGTAAAGCACGTGAAAGAAGGCAATCCCATTTTCAGCAAGTTTAAAATTAGCAGCAGAAGTCTGGCATGATTTTTTATCTTCCCAAACCGATTTGCCGCTCGCTGTACAACTCTACCCGTAGCCAAACAAAAAATACAGCTGGACTAATCGTTTTCAACGAAAATCGAAAGCATACATTTTGAAACTCGACCCACAAAATAGATTCTTTTTCTTAACTTATATAATATTCAACAGCTAACATCTGGCTCAATATCAACACTTCTTGGTAAAAAATAAGCCTGACCTCGGTTTGATCGTCCGTTGAGCTTCGCTGCTTCAGTAAGTATCGCCAGCATTAGGAAAACCCAGGAAACAACCGACAACAAAAATGGACTAATCCACTTACTTCACTGTTTTTACTATCATGATATGGGGTAACTAATCAAAACATTTATTGAAAACCGGAAAGCTAAAAATGATCAATAACATCGGTAAGCAGCCATGTTTTTCGAAACACTACAATATAATGAGTGGTAGTAATAAAACAATATAATGTAGTATAATTAAAATAATATGTGATCTCTTGAGTTTTCTTCCAAGCATATCAGTATGGGTATTTCTCTTACGTCAGCAGTGGTGCAATACTGGTTACTCACTCACAAGTCGCAGGTGGAAAACATCTTCGTGTGTGGGCGCGGAGTGGTTAAAACCAATATTACACTTCTACGTCTTTTTCAAAATAACTTTTATAACCAAACTGACGTATAAAATGCCATAAATTTTGGTTATGCCATCCGCGGTCAACTTCTATATACCAACGCGTTTACCATGTTACCGAAAACACTGGTCGTTCTGTGTACTTAAACGGAGATTCGTGCAAAATTTTACGGTAACTCATTACGATATGTACCTACAAGGATAAAACACAGTAACCACATACGCATTGACAGTTAAGATAAGGAAAAACCGAAAATCTAATGAAACAACCAGCCGTAAAAATCAGCTATCGAAGCAGTTTTAACAAAATAATGCATATGGTCAGCAAAGTAAAGCGTCGTTCAGTGCTGTAATCTAAATTAACTACCGAACACTAGATATAAGAAAACTTTAAAAAGACTGCACAACTTCACATTATTAACACAATTGTAGTCGCAACTTACTTCCAGTACTGGAGCAGCACTTAAAATGCTCTGCTCAATCCGACCACCCTGCTGACCTTTATGACTTAATGCGGTGAGATGATGGAGGATAAAATGAGTACATTCCGTTTTGCCACTTCCGGATTCCCCTGGAATAGCCATATATACTGAATTTATCTGACAAATCACAACTGTACAAGCAATTTTAATGCGAATTCCATCGATACTCCATTCCTTGCCAGTTGCCACTATGCCGACGTACCCGAAATCACAACACACTGATCTCTTCGATGTCTCAACATGGTGCTGTATGCCGTATCAGCGATGGCAAAAATGTGCGGCGGCAGTTTTAAAGAGGGATGAATATCACTTTGGTATAGCGACACTACTTTGGGATTGTACAGAGGATAAAATTTATAAGGATTGATTGACACCAGGATGGACGGTCCAGCGGCAGTATAAATCCTCCCTTCTTCAAACCGCTCCCGCAAATTATCCAGAATCGATGTCTCGGTAAGCTCCGGTAGCTGGCACAAATCAGCCACCGTATTATCATCGCTAAAAAACTTGTGTAAAAAGGAATCCGATGCGAAATAGCTGGCCAAATCACATTCAATCCACGTGGAATGCGGCCCTTGATCCGACTCATCGGTGGCCACATCGGTAATGCGGAAAGCGTAGGTTTCCCGTGGTAAATCCTTGCTATCCGAAGCCACTTGCTCCTTGGGCCACAGGAGCTGTATCTTCACGGGATGATCGTCCAACGTCAACCGTCGGTCTTTACACACTTGACCCAAATCATCATAGACCACCTCACTCAGCGAATAATGTTCCAGTGGCCGGCGCTGGTAGCCGTCACTGCTCAGCTGATGCAAAACATGCCGCAAAATCTCCTCAGATCGGGTGTTTTTCGTGGCGCGCAATGGTATTTGACAGACGGGTGTCCCTTCCAGGACCACGTCAAACATCAAGTCATACTGGGGTTCTGTGAGCGATAGCGCTGCCGCGTTGGGCTTAGATTTCCGATATGTCAGATTGGAAAGCTGTGACTGCATTTTGATATTATTGGTAATGGCTGAATTATTATGGCTTGATTGCAGTTGTGCTGGCTCGAAATCCTTCATCATCTCCACATTCCAACTTATATCGTACCACAGCAGTTATGGCAACAAAAAATCGTGATTTATCAAGCAATAATCACTAGTGACCAGAGATAAGCGCAGATAATTCAACCCATTTCTTCAGCTCGTTGGCCGTAGTCTTGACCTAAAGAAGAGAAAACTCACGTAATTTTCGCTCCAGTACCGGTCCAAGGAGGTTTTTTTATTATGCTGTGCAGTCATGTGTCGAAAACTGAATGCAACGAGCAAAGCTCTGGATTATACGAGTATTTAAGCCCAAAACATTAGTCAAGCAGTAAAAAACGCACCAGCTGTGGAAAGACATATAGATGGATATGCGTTGCTGTGCCGCAAGAGGAACATCCTAATTAAATTACTACGAATATACCCGATCCAATACAAAATGTCCAGATAAAATTTAAAAGAATCCCAAATCGTATCAAAAATCCCAAATCGCATCACAGTCAAAAAATATTTTAAAAAATCAAAAAAAAAGATCCCAAAATTAATCGTATCAAATATACGATTCAGACTTCAAAATGAATGCATTCTGCTTCGATCAGCCGCATCGGGCATTAAGTGAATCTCTACTTCTAGGATGTTTATTAGCATTAGCAATACGTAGGTAAAAATTTATGCTGTAAAAAAATTTTGAGCGCCAAATTGTACAGAAGACCTTCGAGCGCGAGAAGTGCATTCATTGGAATGGCTTTCTTATGGATGGACGATTAAAATATGAATGCGCATGCGTTATTAGGCCGTCAAACGAACACCAAAAGTTATGGAACAAATAGTAAATAAACTCAATTTACTTACAAATGACAATTAATATGCACAGAGTTTGTTGTACTTGTGTTTACACAAATAATTACACATAGTTGAAAAACAGTGAGCATGCAACACAAGAAGATTCCAATGATTCAGTACGCTCAAAACTCTGCAGAATAGTATACAAAGTTAACAATGAAATTTTCTCCAGTGTCGTAGCAAATCTTCCTTACTTATAATATTAATTATACAATAGAAATCAAAACGATAGCTAACGAAGAATAATTTTGCCATCGAAAGGAGAGCAGTAAACAACCCAGCAAACAAACTGATCCAGGAGCAGATTATAGTTCCTAACTTCCTATACGTGAACTCCCGTATCAATATCATAATCCATTACTGCATGGACCCTCACCGTTACGGCATCAGGTAAGGCATGCATATTATTAATTTACCATCTTTTAACTGCACTACTGGTTTTTAATTACTAAAACCTTGTTAGGTATGTAAATATTAGTAATCAGTTTCCAAAACCGTATATTCATAGGGCGGTAGGTGTCAGCAACCTTACATACTGGTGAAACAATACAAAAAATGCCCCTAGAAATTGTACGCTAAAGCGTCCAATATATCCAAAATGCCGCAATCCAGTGAAATTAAGTCACATATTTTAGGCTTTTCCGTTCAGCTAATAAATACTATTCATAATACTTCTCCAGCACCCAAAACAGGAGCCCGTAGTCCAAAACATAACTGCATTAAAGAAAACTGAGGTTTTTTCATCCAAACGACTTATAAAAGTGATAACATAGAGCATTCCGAAATATAATACCATTATGTATCCCATAAGCGCTTCATCAGATTTTTCATCAGTCGCATCTCCCCATAATCAGAAATCGTCAGGCAAGAATTCACTGAAGTTTTACTATTGTTGATTATTGTAATATCGTAGGTTGTACCTGCTAACCGGTACAATCAATCTACGTACGCGGTAGATGAAAGTGATTCTTCGTAACACAAACGTACCACCACCGACACTGATTTTCCTTAACCGCGCAGATATGCATGCATATCATAACAACATCTTCAATCCGCATTTAAAAAGTCTCAAGAACTATCAAGCACGTCAAAGTTTGCCTCTTGAAGCGATTTCGATAGCTGTTTCTCCTCCCGTGACAGTCTCTAATTTTAGATTCCAACTGCCCATAAAGTGCACGCATATAAATACCAACCAAAATTTGTTCAGAATCAGCATGGTGCATAACGTAAGAAACAAATTCATCTGGCACTTTCGAAGAAAACCAAATCAGCACTGGGAAGATGTATGAAGACAGACTGTAACTCAACGAAACCTATCAAACTCTGCCATCGCCAATTCATCTCAAAACTTTCAAATCTTGAAAAAATACAGCCAAAAGTTTCTGGCTACCGCACATTTATCGTACAAATATTCACCACATACCTACATGTTTGTGAACATCTGAATACCTACAGCAATACTGGTAGTTAATTCTAATGTTAATGTATCCAGTATTCACCTATGCATAATCATTTCCAAGAATTTTCGCAGAATTTTGTTTCAAAAACCTTGCGATTGATGGCTCGTGATTTAAATTACAGTAACAAATATTATTCCAACAAGGATAATAATAGATTACAGATTGCTATCATCAGCAAGATGGAGCAGAATGTTAAAAACACTGTAGAACACATTATCACATTATTGGAGTGAAGGCAGAAAAACGATGATGAGCTAGTTCATTCACTTATCAACCACCTCATGATGCTCGCTGCTTGTCAGTCGTCGTCTTGTTGGAACTCCAACTGTTATCGACAAGTTCGAATGGTATATTTTAACCGGACGACATTAATGAGACATCATAATACTGCACGCTCCGGAGGCGCGTGAGCACGGATATAAAGCCTTGTTTAACGCGACAACAACATTCTGGAGGTAATTTGCAGTGGTTTTCAAGAACCAGCTGAATGCTCTTTCGCTACGGGCACAGTTCAAGTCAAGGTCGCTGACAGTCTTACCAAACAAGGACAATTACGTAAAATCACACTAGATAGTAAACAAATGCTGCAAACTCCAGCATCCACGCATGAAGCCACCGTGAAAACAAAACAACATCTACTGGGGTAATATTTTTATTTTAGATTATAGACGGTACCAACAGCCAGACTGAGACAATGCGGAATATATTTCTCCGTATGGCGCATATTCCAGCAATCCTGACTCTAGTTTCCAATTTACTGTCTTTACATTACGATATTTGAATTTTCCCATGCCCGTAATGCGATCTTGAACCGAGTGTACCCCTCACCTTGCATTCGAGAGCTTTACGCAACCGTTCTTGCACAATCAGCAAAAGTATTGAGAACATCAAATGCCAGTAAGCAACAGGTGAACTTGGATGTTTGTGGTTTTATAATCGATAATAAAAGACCGCGGTGACACAGCGCAATAAAACGGCTCTGATCAAGCACTGACGACAACTGTCGAACTGATGCAGAATTATATCCACAACCAAAACACCAGAGGAAATTAGAAACAAAGTTACAAATATAATACAGCAGTTAATTGGCTTTGCAGGTTGTTACAAGTTACAACTTACAAAATTAATAAGAGATAAAGAGACGATTACTGCTAGTTTACTCTACGACAAGTTAATACTGGCACTAATGTAACTCACCACTGCATTCCAATTGACTGTTGCGAGTTCTCATATCCGCAGCATAGATTTTAGTTCCATATTCGACAAGCAATAAAGGCTTTCATATCCCGATAACAAATTACAGCTAAACTGAAACAAGAAATTCTTATCAGCGAAAGATCCACAACATAACAGTACCTGCTGCGGATGTGGCTGCTTTCAGCACCTCACAATCAGCTAGTAAATGAGATCTCTACATGTTCAGCGGTGTCCGTGAGGAATCGGATTTCCAGCGGTGAATCATCCCACCACTAGTGAGTCATGCTTAAAAGCTAACGTGCTCGTAAAGTCGTAATTGTAAATACTTTACTCGTACAATGAAATACGTACATCGCGGTACATGACGCCAAATTTTTCGTTTTCTTTACAAGTTACTGTGGAGAAGTTAACTAGAAATCGATGCAATTTGATGCAATCGATGCAAACTAAGTTTTAATAAGCACGAATACATAGAATTACTTTCGCAAAAATCGTTTGGAGTTCGAAGATATAAAAATGAACTAAAGCGTGACTTGAAATCGCCACAAACAGAAGTTACAGAATCAAACTCTGCAAGTAGGAAGTTTTCGAGAATCATAATTTCGAATTAAATCCTGGTAGTTGCATTACTCGTACTCGTACAGTAAGTACAGTAGCTAGACTCGAAACGCACTTTAAATGCGTTCTGTACGATACAGAGCCGGAAGTTCTGTAACTTTTCGATCACACCCCCTTACCACTGATTGGACGGCCGAGTTAAAGTGTTCTGTATCTAAAAGGAACTCTCCTGGCTCCGTTACGATACAGAACTCGCATTTCTTGCTAGGTCAAATTATTTTTTGATGTGGATGCACAGTCCGCTGTACGTCTAAAGACTAAAGTCCTATTTTAATTTTCAAGTTTTGAGGGTGTAATTAACGGGAGTTTAATTGTTTCTATCGAATCAACATTCCAGTTCTGCTTTGTTCACTGATTCTGATTTTAGCTGCCTCCGACTGTACATGTTTGATTTGTATCGATGGCAACATGCAACTTCGCCATAGCCGTCAGCGCGAGGAATACCTCGGCGTACTTTATACGTGCAATTGCCTTTCGCTTTTTCACCAGTCGTTTGATTTCTTAACTTAACAAAACTTAAAATTACCAGAAAAACATAAAGGAAACGGCCACAAAATTGTTGTGAAAAGTAAATAAATCGTTGACCAATTCAACTACGGTAACGGGGCGCTTTTAGAAACCGTGGTCTCGTTGCGCTGTAACGCTCTATAAGATTCAGCGCTGTACCATTGGCAGATTCACTTTTACAGAACTCCCGGCTCTGTATCTTACAGAACGCATCTAAAGTGCGTTTCGAGTAGTACTAGTAAGTATTATGCCAAAATATATAGATATTACTATGCAAGCCGCCTCGTGCACTGACGTGCAGTGCACCTTTCCGTACTGTCTGCACTATGCATGCCTATATCCTATAATAATTACTAAATTATTAAGCATCTATGATCTAAGGGGAAGCACTTGTACGTACGATATAGAACTATTATGTAAGTACAGTAGTTTCCAAAATTTTTATTACATAAAACTTGATAAAAAGTTATTTAGTAATCATGCTGTACAAATACTAGTAGCAAGTACGAGTGCACCTGTAAAGTTTTGCCCGCAGGTTTCTCGTATTTTCGTCACGTGCCTTATTTTAAATTTTGGTACGAGCACATTAGATAAATAATTCAAAGTTTCTGTTGCACATTTTTTGAGTAAATCAATAAAAAATGAATAAAGGTTGGTAAAGAAATACTGTAGAATAGTATTGATGTGAAACTGACAAAGAATCAGAAATTTCGAAGTAAGTAAATTAAAGCGGCTGTCATAGTTAATCTTTAATCTGCAACCGTCAGGGCGGCTGCTGTGCGGCCTGTGCCACAGAATTCTACGCGGTACGGCGGTAGTACATAATCGTTCATTTTCATCCATTAGACTAAGCGGACTCACTTGGATTTGCCGATTCAGCAGTTCAGTCAAGATTCCCGAGTATTTTCGGACCTTGTTCTTGCAACTTGCCCAACATCATCCTTATTTTTTCTTCATATACAGTTACATAATCGACTTCTCATGAGGATCATATGCTGCCCTTAATCGTATACGTGAACAAAAATTGGTCCAAAGAAAACACCATCGTAAAAATAGTTCCCAGCCCTGGTGCAAAGCGGTTGAAAGCGCTTAAGCGCACATACTCATAATACAGATTCATAATTACAAAATGCCCCTTTGCCGGCTTTGAAATTATACAAAACTAGCCTAATTTTTGAACATTTGTATGTATAGAAAAGGTGTAGTCGGCGAAACCGAATCTGGTTTAAATTTCGATTTAGTAAAACTTACAGAAATACGCTTTCGTAACTTGAAATAACTTCTGAATTACCTTTACCATCCATATTATGGTAGTGCTTGTAGATTCATTAGTTCATAACTGTAAGTTGAGAGTCTTGAGACATGTTAATTATTGACGTTAACGTTCCAGTACATAGACTAGGCATCGCCCGTTCTTCTTGTGCAAGTTGTGTCTGATCGCTAAAGCACGGTATAAAAGAGAATCTCTTCTATACATCTCTTTTATATCATGGCTAAAGTATTGAAAATATATAGTTTGATAAAAGTAAAACGCTGGGTGCTACTAATTCTTAGAGTTTATTAGTACGTTTATTCTTATTGTTCGAGTTTTAACATAATTATGTACATTCAAGACTATAAACAGCAGTGAAGTCTGCGAACTGTACATGGATTTCCGGTGATACCGCAAAAATCCTCCGGGGGGCGGTTACATTCACTCTGCTTATCTTGTCCGATTTTCCCTATTCCACAGTCGGTGACGTGATATAGCATACGGTAGCGATGTAGTACGTAAAGTGACGGCTTTACTCGTACTTTCTATTATTCGCTGTACTTTCTCGATCTTTCTCTTTTGTGTTCGGATTTACTTTTGGTTGTTTCTACACGGATGCGCCGTGTCTATACAAGTCCCTGAGTGGCAGTACTTTAATCACGAGTTCTCTCACTACGAGTTTTGGCAGTTTCGGGTTTCTAATAAAATTATCGTCGGAGATGCAGTTCTCGCTTCGCGTAGATTCGTAGACTTAGCTATGCCACATTGAGATATTAGCTCATACTCTGTCGTTGAGTAGGTCGGTAGGATAGATTATTACGGTAATTATTCCTATCGTACTGATCTCTCCGTCATCGGGAAAGCCGGAAAGGAAATATCTACGTACTTCTTGCTTACATACATTATGATTTTTTAGTCATGCAAGTTGCAGTTTAAATATTTTTTCGCACCCTACTACAAATAAAGTATACATTTTACTCAAAAAATCGGTAAGCGACAATATGAATGCAGAACTTCGGCAGTGCATATCGGTTTCTACGCCGTACAGTCTGAAGTCATTGTGGTACGCGGTGGAATTATGGATTGCTAAGCCCCATCTTGTTAATCGCCGTCTGTGTGGAACTGAATCTTTCTTTTCGGGAAACGTGGAGGATGCACTGCAGTACGCCCGGGAAGATTTCCGACTGCAGGAACTGGAGGCTTCGCTCTGTAACCTGCGCAGCACAGCACTACTGAAACTGCGCAATTTAATCCCGCGAACAAAAGTGTTTCACGAAGTTATCGAGGCGGTGCTCGTAGGTTAGGCAAAGTTTATCCAGAATTAATAACTATTTTGAAAATGTTCCAGGTATCGCTTTGTTTTTGGCACCTTGATTATTACTATCAAATTCATCGTCCACTGGCGTAACTTCATTTACAGCTTTACAGTAAGAAAATTGTTTTCAGATGAGTATAATCATTGTGCTACGTTCATCCCTTTGGCGAGTCATAACGTTCATGTTGACAAAACTGACAATCAAAACTACGCGGAGTCTCAAATAAATTTGCCTCGCACCAAAACCCCGTCGATGGAATCAGCTTACAGGATAGCAATTAAATCGCTGGATGATAACGAAGGATGTGTAATACGTGTCGAAGTGCTTTCCGATGAGCAGACATCTTCGCCATCCCAAGATTGGCTGAAGCAATCGCTGCTTCCGAAACTTGTGGGATGGAGTAAGAACTACCACCCGGAAAAGAATAAAACACTCCCGATGAAAAGAGTTCGTTGCGGCTTGTACCGGTCAAGAAGTATGCAGAAATCGTGAAAAGATTGAAATTAAACTATGGGCAGCAGATAGTACGGGTATGTAATTATATGTAAATCAAAATTATACGTAGTAATTATCCATATATATATATTTCGTATACTGATATAGTATTCCGCACCCACGCGCGTATTAAAATACTGTCTTGTCGGTGTGAACATTAAGCCTTGGAAAAAATATGATGCGGTTACTTTAGCGTACTGGAGTGCCAGAAAGCGATCGCTGTTCCTCGTGCTTTTAATGTGCGCTTTAGTAGGAGTGGTCGGAATCGACGGATCCTCATAAATTCGTCAGTGAAGACATTGGAATAGCCGCCTATCTCATGGTAGCCGCCTATCTCCGCCTATCTCTCGTTTCCGTTATTTTTCTTCTTTATTGCATTTCTTGATTCACGATCAATATACGTGACTCTCTTCTTGTTCCGTTTTCTAGACTCTTTGGGAAGACGAACAAGAGCGAACGGGATGTCAAAAGCAGAGCTTCGTGGATCTCGGCTGTGGCAACGGATTGTTGGTGCATCTTTTGTCATGTGAAGGAGTGAGTTTTTTCAAATGTTGTGTGCACTTCCGGTTATGAGAACGTAACCTCGTTAAGAGCTTTTCAAAATCTGAGTTTTGCCCAGGGCTTATGTGGTTTTCTATGAGATACTCGATATTTAGCGCTTACTTAAAATTAGTGATTTCCACCTATAACTTCCGCTCAAGCGGAGAAATGGTGTTTAGTATCTGTTTAGCATCTGTTTAGTATCCTGGTGTTGGTATCGACGTTCGGGAGCGCAAAATATGGGCGAAATATGGCGCAGATACGAAGCTAGTTCAAAGGACATTTGATCCATCAACCGAAACTCTTTCTAATGTTAACTGGATAATTGGCAACCATTCCGATGAGTTGACACCATGGATTCCTTACATTACTGCCAGGTAGTAGTAAATGGTGGCACTCCTTTTTCTGCTAGTAACTGATCTGTTCACTCTGTTGTTAACATCTCGGTAACGTTCTTTTGGTTTTATTTGTCAGGTCATCATATACAGCGAAATTCTTCCTCCTCCCATGTTGCAGCTTCGATTTTAACCACAAATTCAACAAACCGGGAAATGAAAGCGAATATCAAGCTTATTTTAAATATTTACGATTCATCTGCTCCACTCTCGGTTTTGTAACCGCGGAGGACACTTTGCGAATCCCTTCCACGAAGCGAAAATGTTTTATTGGATGTCAGCGATCCTATCCAGCCGAAGAACACGAAGCCAAAGAATCCCAACGTGTTGCGTTTTTGAATTCGCGCTTGCAGACCGGCCGGCCGAATTTCGTCGTTTGTTCTGGTCACTCTCCCATTCGCAACTGCACCACTCTTCCCCCATCCATGCGAAACTCCGTTATTTCCGTCATTGTCAAAAAATTATTGAGCACTGATAATAAAATTCCTGTCCCATCAACAGACTTTTGGAATGCTGGTGGACTGCTGCCATTGCGGGATGTAATACGATTGCTGGATGAGGACACGGTTTCCTCCATGAAAAATCAGTGTGGTGGACTGCAGACGTTCATTCGAAACAATCAACATATCTTCGAAGTTCATAATGCAGAAGTAAAACTGAGAAATTATGCTGATCCACATAAACGAAGCAAGAAGCTGAAAATGGCTGCGAAAACCAAACCATGCTGGTTTGTTGCGAATCACCCGGATGGTTGTCCACTGGACTCGAACTCGTGCTCGTATATCCATCCGGATTAAGGTTTCATAAATATTGGTAAATTCATCTTGTGATCTGTATTATTTTTTGGTTGATTTTTTCAGACTATTTTATAGCCGAATGGGTTAAGCAGAATTCGTTGCGGGGGATTTCTTGCCAGTATGAACACTCATCGACATCGGTATTGTGGCTCTCAGCCTTTTTTCTCTTACTATTCGTTTGAAAACGAGACTTCTTGATGCTTCCGCTTCTTTGTAACGATAGCTTGCATCCCATTCTTGAAACGGTTTATTCGATAAAGGCATATCCCCTAATCTGTCCATTCTGCCGTCAATTTTCGCCGATTCGGTAAACTGGGGGTCCACAAAATTTCCATTATCGTCCATATAGAAGAAATGCGTAAACTGATCTTCTTTCTTTGCGATGTTGCATTTAACTACAATCATAATTATCACATATACATTACTCTAAATCATCCGTACGTTATTCATAGCCAGTCTTATGGTTATAAGTTATAACACACTAATAGTAATAGACAGGAGATTTCGAAATCTGTTATAAAAACTGCGACAGCAAAAATATATTGCGGTCATGTAATCAGTAACCTATGTACCCTTCAGTACTGACCTTTGAATGCGGCTTAATTACGTAACTACTGAACTACCCGGGATGCTGGCGTGTGCCCGTGTATCCTGGTACTACCAACTTTCTTATCGCGTATTTACTGTTTGTGTGTTTTTGCACTTACCAGTGAATTTTGAAAGAAAGACTATCAGTATCAGGATTAGTATTTTGGCTTCCGGAATGGAAGTAGTCGCTCGGATTGTTGTCGGTGGCATAAACATAATGCTGATCGGAACTGGAGAACGGCAACGGCAGACGTTAACAACTACCCGAAATTAATCAAAGAGTTTACACTTTGAACGGTTAAAATTATCCGGAACTCAGCAAACTCAGATTCCTGCAGTCTATCTCCAAACAGACTATACGAGTATTTAGAGATCCGGATTTAGCAATATTTATTAAGGACTTTGCTGATGAAGGAACAATTCAAATGAATGTACTGTATGCAGAACTCGCCTAGGCAATGCAACGAAATAAGACAAACTCAAAGTACTCTTAAACCAGGAAGTGAACGAAGTGTTCATGGGTAATTAACGATAAGTATAAGGGAAATGACTAAACGTTTGCGGCAAAAGCTCCAGGTAGAACAATTGCATAACCGCTAAAAATAATCTTATGCATTGCCAAATTTGATTCATGACGGGTCGACGATGAGTTACAAACTTACACCAGGTTTGACCATCCGAGATTATATACGAACTAGATAGAGCAGCTACAACATCATCTGCTAATAGTCAGTAGTAACTTGCTGACTGGAACTATTTTTGTTAAAATACGAGTACTGTGATTTTGTAGAACTTCAAATTACAATGAAACTGTCAGTTATAGAAAGCTGAACTCTTGATCTTAAACACGTTCAATACATACAACACCTTTGATTACAACATATACACACAAGCACACACATATGTGCACTGCACGTTGAATTGTAATAAAAATTGTGGTCGAATTGTTCACGTTATGCAATGCATCTTTTTTTGAATTGTTGGTTTGTAAATTTATATTTGTATCCGCTCATAAAATTAAATACATGTAGATATAAAGTCATATAGTAAGTATAAAGACCCGGCTATCATGTTCGTGATCAATTAAACATGCTTGTGTGCCAGCCGAAATTAAGGGTACAAATAATAAGTTAAATTCTGTAACCGTCGGATTAATATCGCTTATTGTTGCAATTTAGGACATTGTTAATTTTTGTTATCTCATTAGATCCAGTTAATACTTATGAATAATGACAATGATAATGTTAATGGTTGAGTTCCCACCACCCGAGTGTGAGGCGACTGTGTTTAGGTTAGATATATTTAACTTTCGATTTGCACCTATTTTCTTACTTTTACACGGTCACACATTATGTCACAGACTCACGGTGCAGATATACATACACCCAAGAACTATTCTCAGTCAGGAACAAAATATTCTGGTGTAAACCAGGATTAATTGTGCTGAAACATACATTTCAAGTGTTAACCAAGTTTTGTGTTGTTCGTGTGTGCTGCGTTTCTCGATAACTGCACGGACATGTATGTGATTTAGAAAGTAAATGTTTTTCCTGCCATTACGTTGACGGCATGTTAGAATTCAATAAATTGTTAATGTAGCTATTAAGCAAACGTCTGTAACGATTAATAACCAATAACGGTTAAAGTTATCAGAGGAACGTGATTTTATGGATATTTTGACTGACAGGTTGACATGGGATAGACAAGCTTCTACACAAAAGCCACTTTGTACTTAAGGTCAGTTATACGGCACTTAGTGAATCTGCAATAGCGGCCAGTTTTGGAAACACTTATGTCAGACAGAATGTAATTTCATGATAGGTAAATATGGAATATCTGATTAAACAATCATGAATTGATTAATATCGCTGAAGCTTTTAGTTGATCATTTAGACTGACATAATGGAGCGCATAAATACGTGTTTCAATTACACTGTGAATAGCCAAACAGTCTCAACGTTATTCCGCAGACAAACATTGAATTTACCGAATAAAAGTTCATCACCGCAAAAAGCTTCACCTTTACAATAGTTTTATGTTTTCATATTAATTGCGTACGTGTTGACGGTAGTTAGTAATTCAAACTACATGGTTATGGGAAAGTAGCGTTCTGTATGTAAAGGTCTTCGAGTTTATTCCGCCGCTGTCTTTTTAATTTGCCAACGATCTTTTTGTCAGCGCTGCCCTCTCTAAACGTAAGTAAGTGCGTACAAATTTTAATGCCTTTTCTTTACGTATATTTAGCACGAGAATTATATTTAAAAACAAAAAAACATTCGAAGACTTTGCTAAATAACGAAACATAAATTTAAATAACAAAAGACCGAGGTTTTGCAAAATTATGATGATGCTACCTACATGAACTTAACGTTCCAGTAATTCGGGCACGTTATTATTATTAACCACTGTACACTCGTCAACTATTACATTTTATTGTTACGGGTTACCTGTAAATCTGTAACTACTAACTACCGCAAAAATCAAATGTTTTAAATAGCACCCTTCGCATACATTTTTACCATTTCTTTTTTTGCACTTGTTGCAAGGTGCATGTTTTAAAGTAAAACTTAACCTCAGCTAAATCTTTCTTGCTTAGTATAATAAAGGGTTCACATATTTTTTCGGTCTTATTTGCAATTAATTACAGACTCAGTGAAGTAGGTCGGTGATCTTTCATTTTTCTCGAAAAGTGATCACAGGTGTACGTAACAGTCTTTTACACCGTCTTTAAATAATGTGCATTAAGGCAGAAAAAGTGAACACTTGCAGAAAGGTTTCGCATAACAATTAAATGTGATTCCGTTTAAGCCAATCATTGATAATCAATGTGTGCCACCATTTATGTGCTGCTCTCTCCTGGTACTAATCAGGATCTAATCGGCTGTTGCAGAAAATGTTGTTGATTAGGTAGTCATTGTTTTACACTGTCAGGTTACTGTAACATTAAACCTTTCTGTCAGTTAAAGTTGAAAAAATAGTGGTTGTGAACTTGTGATCACGAGGAACCGAAACACGCTCTAATTGGGGTAACTACCTACGAGCGAATTACGCACTGGTGTATTAACGGGAAAGTCAAAGAGAGATCTGACATATAGCGAACAGGGTTGGTATTGGTAAAAAGATTGATACTTTACTGCAAGTACCATACGTACAGCGGTATAGCGGTTCCGTGTACAATTGTATTTCAAAGCCACCTGGATGATGCGACTGAAAACCTGACCTCTAAGAAAACAGCCAGATTCAATGAAATCTCGTACTGTATCACAGCAGAAGCGTGCTAATGATCCCAGTCTGTAAGAACAACTATCAGTGCCAATATAACTGCTGAGAATATTCACGAAATCTTGTCTTTAGATTAGTGCAGAATCAACCTTCATGAGTATAATACATAGATTTGGAAACTTCCATTGCGAACCAAATAACGTTTGTTTCGGATAAATTCCGTCATATTTCGCCAAATTTTGCATTTTGGCCATATATTTTTTAAACCGCTGATTGGCTACCGGTAAGACATCTTTTTGAAATTACAGATACTAAAAACAAAGTTTTGGTTACATATTCGAGTTTATGATTATTTTAAGTTATGGGCTTGCCATGTACGATTAATATACATATCTATATAACGCTAACAGTCTGCCGTGTACGTTCATAAACGAAAGCTACACACAACAACAATAGCGATCGTCGTAGCCAATTAACTAAAACCTCGTGTCACTGTATATGGCATATATATTTTTATGCTACCGTATATTATGAAAAAGAGTTAGTTGAATGAGTAATAAGTATGTGATGAATTTAAGCTTAAGACTAGCAGCGCTGTACGTAAACCTTCAATATTTTCAGTATTTCCATTATGGCTGACCTTTCCCGTGCAAAAGCCAAAGATTTTTCGATTGACTCCATATTGTTCCGCAAAGGACGCACCAGTCCAGACACGTGGTCATCCATCCGGTCAACTACACCCCACGGCGAATCAGAAAGTATCAGGCCCAGCATTTTTCCCGGAGGTCATCGTATGCTTGCCACGGCACCTTCCCTCCGTGCACCGTGGGTAGCTCCAACGGGATTAAAAACTGCAGCCACGGATGTTTCGGTGACAATGCAGCTTCCGCCGTTGATCTCGAATTTACAGCATATTTCGCCTAATTCCCAGTTTCCCATATGTTCTTATCCAGGTTTGTATAATATATTATGTCGAGTATGGTTTGCTGAAAGAGAATATTCCTACCAAATTATAGGTATAATTAAATGCCGGTTAAGTCTATATTCCACGAAAGAATTTTTAGGTTTTCGAAATCGGCGCTCGAGGAAGGCTAGCTTTGATCGGAAACCACGACAAGCTTACAGCACAAAACAGCTAGAACGTCTGGAAACGGAATTCAAAATCGACAAGTACTTAACCGTTTCGAAAAGGTTGGAATTGGCGGAACTTTTGGGACTTACAGAAGCACAAGTGAAAACATGGTAATGCATACGTAGCTGAAGTTTCTTCACTATAAGTACGTAATCATTAAGTTGACGGTAGCGATCTCTTAAAAAATTCAGTACGATGTATACGAGTACGCATCTGGATCCGAGTCATCCGACCCTCGTTAATGTGCCGAAAAACTTTTTTTAAATCCGTCTACCTGCCTTTTAAATTTTTTTAGGAATGCCAGGCAGGCAATTTTTTACAGTGTTATTTTTGGGCAGTGGTGGGTACTCTGTAGAAGTCTTATAATTTCATCCGACAGCCGACAGGTATGCAGGCATTAATGTTTTCTGTTATGTTTTCGTTCGATCGGGTTGGTGATTTGGTAAACTATTTTTCGCTTTGTTTTATGTAGCTTTCAAACTAACGCGGATAAAAACAATTTTATAGAAAAATTTGTAAAACACCTTTTTTACCCTTTAAACAATAAGTACAGTACGTGTCCAGTTATTTGGAATCTGTTAGTTTTTTTACTCTATGTACAATAAATACGAAAGTAATCATTCCCGATTACCAAACTGCAAGCGAAAAAATCCTTCTCTTTACAGCGATAATGGTGCGAGGATAATCCCAATGCTGATTCTCTGACGAATATATTCTTCTTACTTATGCATAATTTTGTCGAACTGACCAATTTACCGCCGTTCTTTTGTCGAACTGACCAATTTACCGCCGTTGGGTTACCCTCCCACAACTATGTTACACAGTTTAAGCTTTACCCTGCACCGTACTCAACCTGCATTTTGTAGCATTTACATACATGTGTGTTTTTAGGTTTCAAAATCGACGAACGAAATGGAAAAAGCAACTAAATGCTCGGGCACGAACAATTCAGCGTCAGATGTACTGCAGCTGGACGGGATTTCCAAACAATGCGATCTCACAGTCGACAGTTTCCCCTAATATAACCATTCCTATGAATTTTTGAAGGGATTAACAATTCAGCAGTAATGATTATAATCGGAACCATGTATAAAAATATTAATGTAATATGAAAGCCGCATTGTATTTTGCGGTACTTAAATATCAAGGGGCAGTATACTTGTACAGCCATGGCCATATGTAGCACTGACCCTACATATTTGAAGATGACGCCTGATAAAAGAGCAATCGCAGACTGACCCAAGTTGTGTAAATTAATTTTGTTGTTGCGAAACGCACTAGTACTAATGCTAAGCATAATAAGTTCAGAACACATTCGACCTAGTGGTCGAATGTGTTCTGAACTTATTATGAAGAGTTGTCTCCACGGAAATTGCATTAATTCAGAAAAACTTATGCCCGGGGTTGAACTGCATGAGTTATTTCGATTTAATTCTTCTAAAAACTACACATTGCATCACTGATGTCGAAAGGATATTGTACAACCCTTTATCAGCAGTCGAGAATCGCATCATAAAAACGAACTAAAACAACAAATTTAATATCGTAGCACAAAACAACCATTACCCTGATCAACAAAGAGGAGACTTTCCATGAAAGTTATCATTTCCCAAATTTCCACATTACGCATACCACGGTTCAATTCAAAAATTATGCGCAGAACAATCTGTGCATGTAATTTATGTGCTACTGATCGCATCACTGATATCACAGGAAATAAATCAATCTTAAGGCCAGTTTCTATCCCAGTTCTTTATTGCATATGCTCCAGAATTCATCCTTTAGTTGATCCTCGACATATGTTTGGAAAGTGGTAAACCGACACCGGTGTTTTTGTTTACCACAGTGTGGTCCAAAAAGAGACTTTCGTGTCATGTCTTCTCCGTTATATATTATTCTAATGTATTTGTCCTCCTGAGTGCTCCCCTCCGTCAGGGAATATATTTCAAAAGCCAGATAACTAGCATAGGGAATTGCGATTTGAAACGGCAAGCCAAGCGCATGAAGTACCGGGGCAATGGTGGAATCATGAGCGGAAAACAATGTGAATCTGCTGGCGTCATCTGCTCCTTCTGCAACTTTCTGTAGATTTCCCATGATTTTATTCAAAATTCCATATGAGTCGACAACGGCATATTTACGAAGGGTCGGTTCGCGCGACACTTTTTCAGCCAGCTGCTCCAGTACTTCAAATACACCCACCAGTTCTTTGTAAGAAAGACAGGTTCCATCAAAGCACGGCATGTGTCCGCCGTGACAAGCAAAATGCAATATAACGTCGAATACGTAAACAGGCCACACCGCTAACGGCTTATCCAGGTGTCCGGTGAGGAGATTCCGTATCGTGGTAATCAGGGCTGTGCTTTCCCGATCTTTGTTGAAGAATTCAGTGGTCAAGCGGAAATATTCCCCGAATAATTTACTATCCCTTATGCATTCAAATGTGCTGGCTAAAGAGCAAAACTGAATCTCGTCCGGAGGGGCAAAAAACACACTGTGAGGTATTTTCGGATTAGTTGTCGGATTCAAACCATGCATAAACGCCTGCAAACATTATAACAATAATGTTTTATCTGATTAATGCGTACTGCAATATACGGTAAATAATTATTATGTACATGTTGTGATCATGCTGTATAAACCTGAAAGTTTTAACTGCTCCCCGATAACCAGCAAGTCACACGTATACCGTTAAAAATTTTGATTAAGACTATGCACTCTACGACAGAAAAAAATATCGTTCCCATCGCTAAAATTAATGATAATATACAGTCGATATAAAAACAATTCCGTTTACGTTTTCACACTATGACATGCGTAATTCAGTAAACAAAGTTAAATGTTCTTCAAAAAATCAATACCTATTTTAGCAGCAACGAAACAAATGCTTCGACAACTTTGGCAAAAATAAGTCAGTGACAAAAGATTAGCTGGCAATGCAGTCCTCAGTCCACATACCAAAGCACTTTGGTATGTTCGTGGGAACAATGTGGAAAACACCGTCGTTTCGGGAGTGATCCACTTCTCCGCCAAACCACCCAACCGGCGCCGCACCGCGGAGCCTAACTGAATATGCTGCAGAACTCCCTTACTGGTGAGATGTCCACTGGCACATGAAGATCTCTCGGGAGCAAAGCCGAAATGCGAAATACTTTCTTCCGAAATTTTTAACAGTGATATCATTTCGTAATACGAATGCACAACGTCCGGAAGAGAATAGCTCTCGTCGTACGGGCAATATTTATGGGGTAGCTCCGTTACGTTAAACAACGTTCCGCGATCTCCATGCCGAATCAGCATCTGCATGGCCAGTATTTTCTCGTTTTGGAGAACGGACGCTGTCGGGAAAAAATTGTTAATAATCATAAAGATATTTTGTATCATGTATGGAAATAATGACCAGACGCCAATTCATTTTGAAAAACTTTTGAAGTAACAGCGCAGACAGTTTTACCATGAAGCTGTCAGAGCGGCATCCGCTCTCTATAGGATCGTTCGATAGAATATTTCATTAGATTTGTATGCTTTGCCGATAGCCTAGTGGTGCCTCTCTCGGCCTTAGAGTATGGAGGTTGTGGGTTCGATTCCCTCAATCGGCAGATTTTTTGCGAGTGTCTGTGCGAGCCTAGCCCAGCCCTTTCAAAGCCTTGCATTATTTGGAAATTCGCAAAAATTACTCGCAAAGGGAGAAAGGGGAATTTCCTTCGAATAAGCTCAAGCTGCAGACTGCAGCGAGAACAACCAAACAGTTGTTTACCATGCTATCGTTAACTGTAATACAGGTAAAGTACAGTTTTATTATCAATAGAAGTATGCTTTGCATACTTCTATTGATACCAATTACAGCGCGAATTTTACCTGGAAATTTTGGAGCTTCGCAGTAATATTCAATCCGATCATATTGTTCCTCCCCTTCATTCTGCTCCAGATGAGAAATCCAAGGACCGTGACTTACTTTGCGCGGCATGAGCCAGGAAAAGGGAAATGTAATCAATTTGATCACAGTGGACACCGCATTCTTCGCATCTGATAGGGAGAGAACGACAAAGACGATAACGTGAGGAAACGCGCTACGAAATACCGCTACATTGTACTTGCCTTCCGTCAAATTCAAGAAAGAAAAGCCGGGTATTACTTGCAGCAGCACGGTCCATAGTAATCCCAGCAACAGTATTGTCATAATTATCCGCCGACGCTTCATTGCTGATCCTAGCATGTCCATGGATTGTCCGCTTCCGCCTTTGGAAGAAGACAAAATTAGTGTAACGTCTTGCCACTTTTCAGCGGCATGATATTGTGTTGCCTTCGAACTGCGTGGTGTTTATCAGGTCCGATGTTTTCTTTCGCGTGAGTATACACCATACGGATCGATGTTCTTGTTGCCAATTCTGATTCACTTGCAGCCTTTTACCGTCACAATGTCGTAACTCGTAGGCACGTTCGTCCTCACATGTTACCGTTCCACAACCAGCTGCACTCATTAATAAGGAAGGAAGGTACCGGTTCTTTACCGCGTACATACGTGCACTTCATTCATACAGTAACTACAGATACGTGGTTCTAAATAATATTATCATGTACAGTACAGCCTGTAATGTAATGTGGCGTAAGTAAACAACAACTTGCTCTAATGGATCTGCACAAATCTTGTATACAAGATTGAGTTGATAATAATTATCAATTGCAGTTTGTAGTGTAAGTACACTCACAAAAAGAGCCAAAGGACTGTTGTGTAGCCTCTTTGTAGTGGATTGTGTCACTGTAGTGAAAATAGTGTTTAATTTTGTAGTGATATGCAACAGCATTAGCGTTCGTCGAAATTTGCTGAAAGTACAGCTAGAAATACATAAATTACTGCCTGAGAAAAGGGAATCTGTTGCATCACTCCCAGACAGTTTTTATTTAATACGGCGGTTGAATGCCCCATTGGGTCACTGGTCACTACTATAGTGTAGTCGAAAAGAAGGCCCTTGCGGCGACAGTGTAAGAACAACACACAATAACAACTGTCCACCTTGCAATTAGTTTTGTGTTTTAATTGGATATTTCTACTTTGTGCGGCTGGGGCTGCTTGTAAGAATCGTTATTTCTACCCTACAACTTCCGAAGTTTAAAAACTATAAATACATACATACATATCTGTACGTAGTAATAAATACTTCTCGAAATTACGTTATCAGGTAGTTCTGGTTATATCTATATTGCTGAAAACATACCACGTATTTTCTTGCAATACTTTGAGGATTGAATACAATATTTAAATTTAGTTCCGCCTGTTACTACGAGACGGTTCGATTAGTTTGGAACATTCGGCCGCCCCCACACGCTATTGTTATTATTATATATATTATACATACAATCCTAACTCCGCCGTTTTTTTTTCTCCCTTTTCCTCCAACACTGTCCGGCGCAGAATTTCGTTCGATAGCTTAAAAAACGGCTAAAATCCTGTAGTTTGTCCCTATAACTTTAGTTTTTCGACCTTCTTTTCCTTCGAATTACGAAACACGACCAAAACGAATTTTGCTGATTGGTTTATCATAAAGTAATTATTAGTGGATTGGCGGAAATGCGCATATTTCGAGCGGAAACTGCTGACACAGCGTGGCAAACTGAGACATAAAAACTACGGTACATCAGTAATCAGTAAAACTTAATACTCCTGTTTGTCGAAATTTTGTAACTGGCAGAGCAATAGTACTCGTACATTATCATTTCTTTGGCGGAAAGAGGAAAGGGCAACAGTATAACGCGATTAACTGTAAGGCAACGGGTAACTTACGTATAATCGGAAACATCATTGCTGCGTCTTAGATTTTGGTAGAAAGTTACTTTGAAGTTCCAGACACCAAATTTCATGAAATTAATTGCGTATTTTTTCTGCTTATATGCACAGTGACTCCGGTTTTCCCACGTGACATTTTTATTTTTAACAATTCGCGGTATGCTAGTGATTATTAGTGGAGGAAGAATTATTTCTTGAGTGAATTACTATTATTATGGATTATTAATTAGATAATTAATTGCTCTACTGATTATTATAAGAGCGGTGTTTTCACTGTTTTGGTGCTCTTCCATTTCCCCATAAATTCATTTTAGCGCAAGAAATAAATTTCATTATGCGGACATTCACTCGCTGCATCAGGCTGGACTTTCGCCATACCATTGTTGCTTATACGGTTCCGTAAACTAAATAATAGTTTTATCGATAATTTAATAACCAATACTGTTAACAGAAATATTATTCCTAAAACACAAAATAAAGTTCTGCACTCAGTTTTGAAAAGAAAAAAGTAACACCTAAACAAAGGAATAATAAATATTACTATCAGAAATAAACAAATAACAATTATGAATAATAATACTGATAATAATAAAATCAGTCATCATAATAATTGGCTGGAAAACCGATTGCGCAGTTGACAAACGTGATCACCAAATAAAAATAAACCATGTCAAATTAAAAAAATTTTAGCAAGCGGACGCATTTACTGATTGTTTCAGGTGGAAATTTCGGCATTCGGATTGGTTTTAAAATAATGTCAATTCGGCAAGACAGGTTTTAGCATGCGGACATAAGAGCACAGAATTGAGGCCGGTTAAACTCGGAGTTAGGGATTTTCCCAGGTCAGACAGGGGTAAGTGGTTCTCCCCGGTGAGACAGAGGGGTAGAGATTTTCGCCGGTCAGACAAAGGGGCATGGATTTTCGCCGGTTAGACAGAGGCGTAAGGGTGTTCGCCGGTCAAACACAAGGGTAAGGATTTTCGCCGGATATACAGAAGAGTAGTAGTTCGTCATATGACAGACTTTACAGTAAAGTTTGCTAATCAATAATTCCATAAATCATTACATATGAACAATTATAGAATAAAACAATCAACCAAAATTCAATCCTACATTTTCCCGACCGAGGCCGGAGGCCGAGGTTGGGCTTGTTATATACAATGCTAACTTCGCCGTTTTTTTTCTCCCTTTTCCTCCAACACCGTTCGGCGCTGAATTTCGCTCGATAGCTTAAAAAACGGCTAAAGTCCTGTAGTTTGTCCCTACAACTTTAGTTTTTCGATCTTCCCTTTCTTCGAATTACGAAACATGACTACAACGAATTTTCCTGATTGGCTAATCCTAAAATAATTACTAGCGGATTGGCGGAAATGCGTATATTTTTGACCGCAAACTGCTGACACAGCATAGCTGTATAACTGGGGCATAAAAACTGCGGCACATTAGTAATCAGTAAAATTTAAAACTCCTGTTTGTCGAAATTTTGGAATCGGTAGAGCGATCGGAATCGGTAGATAGTACATTATAATTTTTTTGGCGGAAAGAGGAAAGGGCAACATTATAACGTGATTATCTGTATGGCAACGGGTAACTTACGTATAATCGCAAAAATCGTTACTGCGTATTAGATTGTGGTAGAAAGTTACTTCGAAGTTCCAGACACCAAATTTCATAAAATTAATTGCGTAATTTTCCTGCTTATTTGTACAGTGGCTTCGATTTTTGCACGTGACATTCTGATTTTTAACAATTCGCGGTATGCTAGAGATTATTAGTAGAGGAAGAATTATTGTTCGAGTGAATTACTATTCTTATGGATTATTAATTAGATAATTAATTATACTACTGATTATTAGAAGAGTGGTGTTTCGGTGCTCTTCCATTTTTCCATAAATTTATTTCAGCACAAGAAATAAATTTCATTATGCTGACATTCACTCGCTGCATCAGGCTGGACTTTCGCCATACCATTGTTGCTTATACGGTTCCGCAAACTAAAGTTTAGTTTAGCACAAAGTTTAGCATGCGGACACTGCAGCACAGAATTGTGGCCGGTTAATGGAGAGAGTTAGGGATTTTCGCCGGTCAGATAGGGGTAAGGGTTTTCCCCCGTGAGACAGAGGGTAGAGAATTAGACAAAGGGTAGAGAATTCGCCGGTTAGACAAAGGGGCATGGATTTTCGCCGGTTAGACAGGCGTAGGGGTTTTCGCCGAACAGACACAAAGGTAAGGATTTCCGCCAGATAAACAGAGGGGTAAGAATTTTTTACGGTCAAACAAAGAGGCAGGGATTTTCGCCGGATAGACAAAGGGGTAGGGGTTTTCGGCGGTTAGACAGAGGGATAGCGATTTGCACCGGTTAGACAAAGGGACAGGGATTTTCGCCGGTTAGACAGAGGGGTAGGAATTTTCGCCGGTCAGACAGAGGGGTAGGAATTTTCGCCGGTCAGACAGAGGGGTAGGGATTTTCGCCGGTCAGACAAAGGGCAGGGATTTTCGTCGGTTAGACACACGGGTAGGAATTTCCTCCGGTTAGACCGAGGGTAGGGATTTTTGCCGGTATGCAGAAGGGTGGTAGCAGTTCGTCATATTACAGGCTTTATAGTAAAGTTTGCTAATCAATAATTCCATAATCATTATCAACAGTTATAGAATAAACAATAATCAAAATTCAATCCTACATTTTCCCGACCGAGGCCGGAGGCCGAGGTTGGGCTTGTAGATATTATGACGGCTTATTCGTGGAACACGCATCCGTAGTGTCACCTTTCGCCATCCAAGGCCCAGAATATTACTGAGCGAAAGCTCGCCGTTATCAGCTAGTACTTTAATTTAGATGAGCCCCTTTTATTATTTTCTTAATTGGCATTCCGGTATTTCAGTTGCGCCGCCATGGTACGGCCACCAAAACAGGCCGCCCGCTGTCCACAGAAGAGAATTGTGAACGTTGCTCGTAATAGGAGCCGTTCTAGATCGCGCTCTTCTAACCGTCAAATTCGCGCACCACGAAAAAACTTAACCCAACCACCACGTAGGCGGAACGTAAACATGGCGCGTTCTCCTTCTCCGTCGCCTTCGGGACCGAGCTCTTCAAATGGTTCTCAAAGGTCACCATCGCCACCGCGGCGACCCAACCCTCTCTCGGGCAACAGAGGCCAGGCGCTACGCAAGGGAATTCCCAAGCCCCGACGTCGCAAGCCGGGAGTGTTGGTGCTGCGAGAAATCCGTAGGTTGCAAAACACTACTTTCAACCTAATCCCGCGGTTCTCCTTCGCACGCGTCGTCCGCGAAATAACACAGAAAATGTTTAAAGCTAATTTACGCTTTCAAGCTGCCGCGTTGCAAGTGATACAGGTACGTTACAAGTCCTGCAGCTAAAACAACTCAAAGTAGCAACTTACACAATTCTCAGGTTAAAATTAAATAAACAAAATTCCCGGATTTACGGCACATGGATGATGTACTCTGTATCCATAATTTACTTGATTATTACTTAATCCTAATTAACGGATAAGGCCAAGCAAGGGTTGACGAAAACTGTTACATCCCTAAATCGGAGTAGAAATCTCAAAACAAATATTAACTGACTTAGCTTTTTTTTGTTTATTTTATTTAAGCTTTGTTTCTGCAAGTCACCGTGTTTTGCATCTTTGATAGATGCTATCGAATATCTTATCGTGCAGCAGTGACTTTGTGAATTTCATTCAATGATTTCATATTGTGTTGACGATATTAAATACGTACAGTAGTAACCTTTTGGTGTACGTTTAGGAGGCCGCTGAACATTTCTTGGTTAGTGTCTTTGAGGACGTGAACCTCCTGGCGATCCATGGAAGGAGGATCACCGTCATGCCCCGCGATATCACCTTGGCTTTGAAACGTAGGTTTTTCCGGCAAAAGTTTTCGATCAGTTTCCGTTTCTAATTGAATAAACATGTGGGGTGCAACATAAAACTGTTTATATGAACTATCCCTAATGGTAAGCAAAAGCATCAGCAAGAATCGCATGACAGATGCTTTTCGTCAGTCGTCAATAGGAACTACAGTACAGTACTCTACTCTATGCAAGGTTTCTACTGTAGATATTTGCTTATTCAGAAATTAAGAATATTCATTATAAACGACTTGCCATATGCTCACTCACTTATTTCAGTTTAATCAACTTACCAATATCAAAGTGAACTGGTACATAATACAATAAATAAATTATACATTGACATACCGCAAGTCTATAATGAAATTTATTGTGCACGGGTGGGTCGCTTGACTCACTGGCCTGGAGCATATTTTTATCGGTGTCATTTTTATTTCAGTGCGACGGGATTATGGTCACCAAAGAATGTTGCGCTATACAACCAACGAATAATCATAAGGAGATAAAAAGCAGTGGAAGTTCTTTGTCTATCATTATAGTCCAACCTATTACATAGAGCAACTGACCTCTACCATTGTGGGGAAGTGACCTTTTACTCGATCGTTGAGGCCCTCGTGTTTATGCTATTACACCGAGAGACGCCTGGCGTGACTGTGACTGCAAACAGTAACTCCTGATGCAGTAGTAATTACACAATTACGTAATTCTGTAAATTATATTGTCTAGGTCTGGATCTGGTATACGGTATTCTTGAGTACTTAGTACTTACTAATTGCGGCAGCTGCGTCGGGCGGTGGCGATTGCCGACATTGACGTGGGACTGGAAGCGCAGCCGCATACTATCGGATACCAGATTCTGGCTGAGCCTGTGCGGGAATCGGCGATCGAACTGAATACGTTGAGCGGACGGGTTGCATACGTTAACCACAGTGAAACCTAATGTGCGACGATTTTCGATTTAGAGCTGTGTTTATTTTTTAACCCTCTTGTTCGCTTCTTTTACTATGTACGATACAAAATTTAACTGTGTTATACAGGGATGAGAATGTTGCGTACTTCAACAGATTATTCAATTGTTTAACGCGCGTGCGGTTTTGTTTCGTAAAGGAAAAAGAGACTGCTTCTATGGTAATTTGGTTGTGCGGTACTTGCATAGCCTCTTGGAATACTTTCACTATCTGAAAATGAAAGCGCTTTTATTCAGATTCCATTTTCATGTCCAATTCAAAAATACCATTTGAGCAAACATATAATGATAAAAGATATAAAGGCACAAAATCCTCAAAGTGGGTGTGTTTTGACACAGCGGGTTGAGGTTAAACGCACACAAGGAATAACAACCATGTATTCAGCGAGGAAGAAATAACAAACCCGATCAAACTAATCTATGTACACTCATCGAGCGCATGTACAGCACACATCTGCCGTCACTGCCCAGCCTAAAAATGTCCAATTAAAATTTGTATCACACATAAATGAACAGTTAAAACCGGAAGTTCTAATAAAATGCAGTTGTGCCAGGATTGACTGTTGGCAGCCACGATCGAAAGATACCGTGGTCTGTTGCATTGGGACCGAATCACAGATTCGCTCGTGTTTCCCGGAGAAGATCCTCTTTGCCACATGAGAACATTCTTAAACTATAGTACATTAGTCTTCCTGCGCTGGATCAATCTTCGAACGGGATAGCAGATACACTACCGTTTCATATACAACCATCGTAACGGCTGCAAACGACAAAAATATTTATGAGTCGTCCTTCTGTAATTTATCGGTCACTTATCGCAAGTCATCTCAATGCAATTGTAACTGACAATGCCAAAAGTATCATGCGGCATGGAAAACGGATCTTTCAAAATATCCAAATCTTGCAAAATTGTAATTCAAACTTAAATCGGTTGTCAGATAGCATCCAGTTTGGTAACTTAAGATTTGCATCACATGTCTGCGAAACGTACGGGGCGACCACGAGGACGTACCTGTGTTTGGTATCTGCCGTATTAGATGTGTGGTGAGTCCCCGATAAAGGCCGCGATAACCTTCTTCCTTCACAACTGTTGATAACGTCTGCCAAAATTTTCTGTACTTCGTCCCTTCTTGTCTTAGTCGCGTTCTTGCCACTTCTGCAAAACATTTTCATTCAAAACCAACTGGCCATCGTAAGAGACATTTAATTACTATTTAGCACTATCAACCGTCTCGTCCAGGGCTTAACTTACTTTTCTGCGAAATAGCGTGCTACAGTTGCAGTCTATGGAAAAATTTACATAAAGCCGCAACTAAAACTTGATGATACTATAAAAGTGAACAAACGATCTATTCACAAAATGAGGAAGCATATTTACGTAAGTTAACAAGTCGCATCTTGTTCGCCCTCAAATCGACCAATGCGAACGAAATAAGCCAAAAAATTAATACAAAGAAATTATGCCATTACATAAATACAAACCGTAAGAAAAATATTTCTGAGTACTACTGGGCAAGAATACCATGTGGATAAGCAAGGGTGGTAGCGATTGTCTTGCTAGTGGCAGCTGCCCCCATAAACCTGAGGAAATCATCGGTGGTACGCTCCTGATAAGCAACGCGAAGATTTCTGGCCAAAATCCGCTCTTTGATGGATTCATATATCACAAAATGAATAATGGTCTCCGACACACCGACATACGACGCAGATATTCCTTTGTAAAATCCCAGTATGCCAGTCTGTGAGTAGATCTGCTTAACACATCGTAAAGCGGTTAATCCTCCGTCCTTACTGCAAAAATAACAATGATTAAAAAAATAAATTCGATGGATAAGCAAAATCGAAGCTATTGTGTTAAATTGTACACAAAATTGTTGCTAACTCATTTCAGTTAGCATGCAGAAATTGGCAGCCACGATCGAAAGATACCGTGGTCTGTTACTGGGACCGAATCACAGATTCGCTCGTGTTTCCCGGAGAAGATCCTCTTTGCCACATGAGAACATTCTTAAACTATAGTACATTAGTCTTCCTGCGCTGGATCAATCTTCGAACGGGATAGCAGATACACTACCGTTTCATATACAACCATCGTAACTGCTGCAAACGACAAAAATATTTATGAGTCGTCCTTCTGTAATTTATCGGTCACTTATAGCAAGCCATCTCAATGCAATTGTAATTGACAATGCCAAAAGTATCATGCGGCATGGAAAACGGATCTTTTAAAATATCAAAATCTTCCAAAATTGTAATTCAGACTTAAATCGGTTGTCAGATAACATCCAGTTCGGTAACTTAAGATTTGCATCACATGTCTGCGAAACGTACAGGGCGACCACGAGGACGTACCTGTGTTTGGTATCTGCCGTATTAGATGTGTAGTGAGTCCCCGATAAAGGCCGCGATAACCTTCTTCCTTCACAACTGTTGATAACGTCTGCCAAAATTTTCTGTACTTCGTCCCTTCTTGTCTTAGTCGCGTTCTTGCCACTTCTGCAAAACATTTTCATTCAAAACCAACTGGCCATCGTAAAGAGACATTTACAATTATTACTATTTAGCACTATCAACCGTCTCGTCCAGGGCTTAACTTACTTTTCTGCGAAATAGCGTGCTACAGTTGCAGTCTATGGAAAAATTTACATAAAGCCGCAACTAAAACTTGATGATACTATAAAAGTGAACAAACGATCTATTCAAAATGAGGAAGCATATTTACGTAAGTTAACAAGTCGCATCTTGTTCGCCCTCAAATCGACCAATGCGAACGAAATAAGCCAAAAAATTAATACAAAGAAATTATGCCATTACATAAATACAAACCGTAAGAAAAATATTTCTGAGTACTACTGGGCAAGAATACCATGTGGATAAGCAAGGGTGGTAGCGATTGTCTTGCTAGTGGCAGCTGCCCCATGAAACCTGAGCATCATCGTAAGTTACGCGCATCCTGTTCGCAACGCGAAATCGACCTGCGAACGAAATAAGCCAAAAAATTAATACAAAGAAATGCCATTACATATACACCGTAAGAAAAATATTCTGAGTACTCCGAATACACCGACAGTACGACGATTGTCTTGCCTTTGTGGCAGCTGCCAAAACCTGATCCAGTGGTGCTCTGATAAGCTGCGAAGACACATCGTAAATCCGCTCTTTGATGGATCATCACAAAATGAATTGGTCTCCGAACAAACATACGACGCAGATTAAAAAAATAATCGATGGAAATAAATTCGATGTTGTGCAAAATAAAGCTATTAAAAAACAAAATGTAAGCTAACTCATTAGTGAAATACAGGTTGTTAAAGTGCTAACCTGGATTTGCACGAAATGTGGCGGTCACGTTAAAAAATTACAATGGTACGTAATTAACATTAAAAACAATTATGTAATGCAAGCGCAGTCAAATAATGCCTCAAAACTGAACCACTCTTTCTCGAAAATCAACACACACTCGTCAAGGGAAAGTTGAATTCCCTGCGAGTACAGCCAGAGAAAATAGCAAAACTGTTATCATTAAGATAACGTCTAACACTCTTAAAATACTTCACTGCTATTCTGTAGACCTATACGGGTTTTGAAAACAGAATTTGAAAAAAACACTAGGACGCGCAATCCAAGCAAAGGTACAAAATCATTAGTCAAAAGTCAGTGCGAAAAATGCAATTTCTATTCTAAGGTAGTAACAGTACCACATTAAGTATAACGCATCCTGTAATGCCCCTAAAATTAAATAGGACAAGGAACACACACTCAAAAATATTAATTTTCATAGCCATTACATCAGAAAAAGGTTTTCTTCCACACTTACCGCTGATCGAGCTGCAAGCGCGTCTTGACAAACCATACAGGATTGGTAACCGTACACGCTGCGATACCTGGAAGGAAAACACATTGAAAAGCAACGCGCTGGTCTGTCTTCGCAGACACGCGGACGCACCTGCAGATCCAGCTGAACAAATATGCACCAGCGGACTGTTGGGCGGCAGATAGTCGTTGTAGAAGGATTTGGAGGCTGAGTATGCTGAGAAGTAAATAGCACGTGAGGGGGCGACCCCTACCACCGTGGGGCCCAGCCCCTTGAAGAGTCCGCGCACGCCTTCCGTTTCCAGAATGTACCTGCACGAGCAGCACACCGTGCGTTATCACTGGAAAGACTTTCCTTCCGATCACACTGACAGTACACGAATCGCCAGACAAACCCTCGATCCTTTGCTCAAACGCTGCAAGACTCACCGTAAACACCGATAGATCGTCATATTGGCGAAGAAACTCCGCAGGGTTCTGGAAGGATGATGCGCAACAGAAACATCGGCCGTTGAGTGACTAAAGGAGGAAAAACACGTCTGTGCTACTGGATGAGGAACATACGAGTGTGTTGCTTGCTTCTGGAATTGGAAAGTGGCCACAGACGACTGCAAACGGGTTTTGACGACCTGAAAATGCAATCAGTGATGCAACGGCGCAGACTAAGTGCGTCAGACGCACACGTACCTCCAGCGGACAGGTAACGATAGCTCCAGCAGTTCCTCCAGCGCTGCGGGAAGCAGAGAACCTTGCTCAATATCGACACTTTCAAAGAAGAACAGTACCAATGCGCACCACTTACCCTCCTGCCACAAGATGAACTAGCGTGTCTGAGGGCATCACATACACAAATGGTGGTTAATTAGTCCCATTGCACATTACACAACAGATATTCAAAACAACCAGGATGTGAATTTATGTTACTACAGAAAGGACAAGGGTTAGACAGGTAATTACATGCTAATGTATCATGGTCCGCATCACGGTTATCCATGGATGGAGTGTGAATGGATGATATATCAGATTCAGCGGATGCAGGAAAGCAACTGGCAGCAGCGTAAAAAATTCAGCGTAGAGTCGCAGACTGTGTAGTAGGCAGCACAAACCCACAAGTGCATCGCAGTGAAATGCTCCAGATTGCATAGAGAAAGTTTTTTACCATTTACCAAATTACACAGGAAGTTCACGGTCGTCCTGTGGCACAGCTTAATTCATCACCATGAACTCTAAATAGTCCGGATTTATGTACACAAATTAAAACCAGTAAATGATTATCAAACCGTTTTTACTTTCTAACCTAACTGCAATCTTCTCGTGAGTCGTACTACAGCGAACACGTGCCGAAAGTGTGTGCGACTGATGCGGCAGGTTGTAAAAAGTATCGAATAAGATCGCGATCGTATCCGAGCAGCCGCAGCGAAACGAAACTACTGTAACAAAAACGGCAGTACCTCCGTAGTAGTGTAAATGTTTAACCGATTGACCAGCATTCCCGTCGTATTTCGTTAATCCGGTTGCGTCAATCGGGATTGGGAACAATACAAAGGGAATGCGGTTAGTATTATCGCTAAATTAGTTTATGGATAAATTAATAAATTTTTCGCTGATTTGTGATTATTAATCAGTTAGCAAACATGTACCGGCACTTCAAATTAGTACTGCGTGCGGTAACAAAATGGTTCTAAAGTATTAAGTTAAAAAAATATGCATCAAAAAGGCCACAAGGTCGGCATACAATACTGTAATATGCAGGAGTTTTTTAACGTAAGTTGCACTTCTGCTGATTTCGACCATTTCTGTTGCAAAAAAATGCAGTTTCCAATAACTTTGCTACGTACTCTCGGTATCTGACATGGTTAGCCTGATTAATGTGTAATGTTCCAGACGCAGTTTAAAAATTCTAATCAGTTCATAGTAGTGCAAAAAGCAGACCAAGGGCTTCTTTACAACAGGCACCCGGTATTTCCAATCTCGAACTGCTTAATCGCGTGTTTCCTTTTTGTTAATCTGCAGAGCCTGCACGGAGCATGGGCATAAAACGGTACACAGCATCAATTACTCTTGGCTGTAGTAAACGAAAGGACTTAATTAACAATTAGAGCATTTTAAAATATTCGCGAAATTGCTGGTACAGCCCTTTATAACAAAAAAATACAACAAAAGGTCAAGCAAAATAATGAAAAAGTTACTATTATCGCGCAGAGCGTACAGTGGTGCCAGTCAGTTGTATTTAACGATTGACAATATGTATAAATATGCAACAAATCCAGATAAAATAATAAAATTATAATACAAAGAGAATGTGGGTACGTGAATAATACTGGGCAAGGTTACCCATCGCCGGTATCTTTCCGCATTTTCTTAGCTGCGTACATGTTGGCTTCTTCCTGTGCTTTGCCAATATTCTTTTTGTATCGAATTCGTTTGTTACCAAACCAGTTAGACACCTGGAAAATGGAACATCGTTAACGGTACGTAGTCGTAAAACAAAAGCAAAACTTTTATCAACAGATGTTTCGTTTGTGGTGCAAACAAGAAGTACCTGCGAAACAGTAATTGAGCATTTACGCGCTAACTCCTCTTTGGCTTCTTCGCTGGGATACGGATTATTTAAGTGCGAGTAAAAGTATTCATTCAGCACTTCCGTTGCTGTTTTGCTAAAGTTCCTGCGCTTTCGCCTAAAATTGAAATACAGTCAGCAATACCGTCAGCGTAAACTACATTGAACTTCAAGAAGTTCACATGCACGTAAATGTACTCCCCGGGAAATACAAAAATACTGTCACTTAAAGTACCTGGCATCGAGAAATCGCGATCGCAGTATCATGACCGCTTCGCAGGTTGACTGCTTGAGCTGCATTTGGATTGAACTGAATTTCTTGTGAATAATGTACACCATTCGCTCAATTTCCTTTTGCGTGATCGGGCGCGTACGACCTTGCTCTCGTAACAGATTCAACACATGCTCCGTGAACTCTGCGCACGCCTGCAAATCCAGAAATAAATTACTCTTTTTATTTGCCGGTCAGGCAGCGTACATAATGATGTAATCATAACACAATGACGATTTTTCTAATTAATATCTTTACCGCTTCATATTTTTGCAGTTCGGATTGGTATATCCCCCTTATTTGAGCCAATTTGGTCCTATATTCGCTATGTTCAATAGGAGATCCAAACTCGCTTCCAGGAGAGCCACGAGAACTCGCCGTAACGCCAGCTGTGGCCATAGCATTGGCAGCTTGACTTCCTGCCTAAAAATCCAAAATCTAACATAGATCGGTTTCGCGAAAAGCGTAATGTTTCCGCTAACTGTAAAAGGTTTTACTGTTTTACCGTGGTCCCATGAACGGTGTCAGTTTCGCATGGTCCGTAATATGTTGTAAGGGTATTAATTTCAATAGATTATGTGAATGGTACCTTGTCAGGTCCGGCAACTCCTTCAGCGATCAACATGTTGTCCAGACGCACGAGCTGTGGATCGGGCGGCTCATCTTCCTGAATGTTCCGCAAGGATAACGCTAAAAATGTTACGAGTACTTGAAGTACTGTTAATTAGTAACGTACAGTAGATGAGTGGCAAAACGATCGCACCGGTTTATTATACTGGCACGGTATTTTGATTACAGCAATCTGGTACAGAATTGGAACAAAATTAACTACCATGTGTTTCATTGTTACAAAAGTGGTGTTCCTTGATTTTTTCAAAAGGAGCTGGAAAAGAGAAAAGCCAGCCGGTATTCAATGTATAGCTAGCACAATATCTTTTCTTATTGATTTAATTCAGGTTTGCAATTAAATATGCACTTTTCAGGTTTTCGGCACGGTTATGCCGTCTGGATGCAAGCCGGAATTGAAAGCGCAGCCACTCTAAAATTTCACCAATGAGAAAGCATGATAAATAGCTACAACCATCTTGACTTTATAATCCGACAGACGATCCATCTTCCTTGAGCAAACTTTCAAGTGTCTCGGCTTACTTAGGCGGTGCCATTTTCAAGAAATTGTTGTGTTTTATACTTGAAAGCACACTTTGAAAGTTACTGTACCACTGAAATCCATGGACATTTAAAAGAGCATGGATGCATGCAGCCGTCGCTGATGAAAAAGTATTGATCGAATATTGCACGATACAAGATCGCAATATTTCTAAATTATCCAAGGAATATGTTGACACTAAATACAGAGTATACCGCCGCTGAATCATATCTAGTTTTCAGAACCGGCTTATTGTCAACAGCATGCCTGTATATTTGCTATTACTTAATCACTCATTAGTATTAGCATGAGAATTATTCGAGAAAATATGTATGAAAACATAACTAAGCATTTTCTAGAAAACCGATTTAGCACCCATAAAACTGCAGAGAAATAATATTGTGTATGGATTTCACAGTTGTCAATTCATTACTGGAATTATTAACAGAAACTCAAGTTCACCTAGAGTCTTCTTGGAATTCATAATCAGATGAATAAAGCTGACAGTAAAAAAACAGAGATAAAAACGATAATATTGTAATAAGTAAAATATTACTGAACGTAATTTAACTTTTATACATAAAATATCGCACAATGTACGCGGAACATGCAATCTGTATCCAGTAATGAAGTACGGTAATAAAATTAAATATAAAGCGCTTTAATTTTGCAGCGACAATTTACGTTTGTAATAGTTTCATAGTTTATGTTCATCAGTTTACTATGACATGTGCTGTATGCTTATATTAAACGAAGATGCTTCAAGACGTACCGGTACGATCTTTCATTTCACAAAGGACACTGTACAGAGCTGGCTTGAGGCGATGATTGTTGAGATTCAATTTTCTGCAACGAGAACGATTGTGGTCATTACCTTGATCAATTTAATGAACAATCAATTGAATTAACACAGGTGCAAGCTACTGAGACATAATACAAGAAAATTAAATTTCAGATGAACACGAAATGTACGCGTATATAGATATGTGTACATTTAAAGAAAACGATTTAACGAATTCTCACTAAAAACAGCTGCATTAAAGATGCCTCGACGTGTGGCGATGCGGCAGGCTGACAGACAACAACCAAATGCAAAAGAGCTGCCTTTAATATAAGCTACAGTAGATGCAGTTCATATGCAGTTCTTTAAATTTTATTTTTTTATTTTATTTATTTGTTTAAGTTTTATGATGTGAGTACTGCTATGTTTTATAATATTATTATAAAGCATGACAGTATCACACGCCATAAAATGTTGAGTGAGCCACTGAGGACATTTATTTAGTCATTATTATGTTATAATTATGGCAAGATTTTAACAATAAGTCACGAATGTACTGTAATTTCTGTACATATTTGCTACTTACTTGCTCTGAGCTTCGTCCAGGCTCTGCGTGGTTATATTCATCAAATCCTGCAAGAGAGTAGCCACGTCTTGTGGAGATTTCCCATACAGATCGGAACTTCTTCCAAGCTGCGGTGTGGATGAGACAGGAACTGGATTGCCAGCCGCCTGGCCATACATCATGCTCGCAGATGAACCAAACAGGGATGCTGAGTCGTAGTGCGAGAAGAAATTCTGATTCTCAGATAAACGATCCATTTTGATGGTTGATATGCACAGTCTCAGATTACTTGCTAATTTCCCATGTGGTGCTTCTGTACGTGTTATAAAATAAAAAGTAAAAGAACACTAACAAATATTCCTGAATGTACCGGAAGATATGGGAAAATGCATAAGGATGCTGCAGCCAACGAATTCTTCAGACTGCAGCTACAAAGCAACAAAAGAAACAATAAAATGACACAGATAAGAAAATCCGCTGGACTGCCAGTGGAGAAACTGCTGTGTTAGCAAGTGAGAGCCCAGAGGATGCGGAGCAGTGGGGCAGACTGGTGAAGCGAAGCGCATCTATGGGATCCGAGTCCGAGCGGTTAAGGACACGCATGAGCGCAAGTTAGGTGTTCACACAGCTCGCAAGCGCTGCACATGGACATGCTGAATGTTGGCACGATTCACCATCAGATGGAGTCTCCGCGGCCGTACACAAATACTCATACGTGCTCAAAAATAATATTGTCTACGCATGCGTCTGTCTGTCTGTCTTCCTTTGTCGGTGGAGTTGTATGATTTTGCTCTCTCTGTCCGTTCACTGAAAATTCGTGGCGAGTGACTACTCTGTGCCGCCTACCCGGGCGGAAATGCAGACGTTTGGCAACAATGATGACATTGAGCAATGATAATCTCCAGATTCTAATTAATATAATAATTAATTTGAAAGTTTCAATTTGACACAATGAATTTAGTAAGTAATTCAAGGTCAACAGCAGAGTGGACTCAGGAGCACGCGCTCGAAGTCAGATCTACTGCTTCCCAAGTTCCCCCACATAGCCACTATTAGCCAGAGCTACCGGTATCCCTATTAATTAATTAAGGACAAATAAATACGTACATTAATCATTTTATTCATTAATTATCCTTTTATCTTGAACCACACGTGTAAATAAGTACTGTACAATACCTATTGTAATTGTATGTACTAAATTTGAGTGCATTTGTATCTTTATGGCGCTTACAGTTAAATTAAGTACAGTAAATGCGTGACTGCGCATTTTGAATTCTGATGAATCTTATCGACATTGCGGAAGATTTTATCACCACTAACGATGAAAATGGTTTGCAATGTTTACTCTCGCATTGGCCAGTTGACTGTTTACGTATATCTGTCTTCTTCAAAGTTTCGATATCTGTTCAAGGGGGCAGATTTTGTTTACGCAAGAAGTCAAGAATCAGTTTCTCCTTGATAATGTAGCCTTATCGCAGCCTCTATGAATTTCATGATAATCGTGATTCGTGCGGACCAAATGAGCGCAGTGGTGGAGAGTCATTTGTATGTTGGGGCTTGCTTTCGTACTAAATATAGCATATTGAGATACTTGCTATACTATTATCAGTATTTTGTATTTAAAATGTATAAACCTTTAGTAATTTGAAGTTGCAATAATTTTCGCAAATGCTTGCCGCTGTATGACATTTTTTGGAATGCGATTTACATGCTTACAGCATATGTTGGCAGATTAAAGTGGTTAGTATTCTGCTTGATCTATTATTTTTGTTTTTATACATGTATAGGGGGTTCACGTAGTGATTGAATCACTGAAGTTACAAGTCTGTACCTAATTTTCCTATTTCGCAAGCTGTACCACAGAACTATAACTTAGCATCTATATGAATGAAATTTTCCCGATCGCGTTCCGATTTTTAGTTATTTTATTAGGTAATCAAATGATTCATCGATGTAGCGATGGGAAGCTGCCTGGAGATTGTCGATTTTGTCGTGAACCACGCTGCGACATCTGTATGTGAAATTGTGAATACCTGATGTTACCAATGGCGCGTTAAAAGACTGCTGGAGTTGATTTTGACGATACCTGAAAAATCAAAGCGGTGGTTAGCCGCCTGTAATAACTTTTCGAGGAAATTAAAGCGAAGGAAAATACGGAAATGGCTGTTGCGGGTCCGGATATAAAAGTTGTATTGTTAGGCCGTCACAATGCCGGTGAGCACAGTTTATGCAAAGTATAGACGATAAATTCATTATTTCTTTTTGATGGAAATTATTGCATCAGTTACATAAATTCGGTCACGTCTTTTCGGGTTTTAATACAATAACATATCAATGTGAAGGCGTTTTTTAGGTAAAACGTGTCTGGTGGATCGTTTTGTAAACGAAAAGCACAGCGCTGCAGCATATCAGACGGCAAGAATAAGATTGACAGTGAATATCAGTTATGTTCTTTTTTAAAATTCTGGTTAGAAAATGATGTCCGATATGATGTTGTTGCAGACAATTGGTGCTGCATTCGCTGCCAAGCGGGTTGATGTCGGTACGGATTCAGTCATAATGGGCATTTGGGTAAGTGAAGGCCTTTAATTTCTTATTTTTTACAACTTGAAAGTCAATAGTATTAGGGTGCACCGGAAGCCTCTTCCGATCTTCGGATCTGCTGTTGATTCTGACTATTAGTACTACCGTACTGTTCTTATCTGCTATCGCTTTGTGTTACTCCCAATGGAATTTTCCTTACAACTGTAACAATACTCGTGCAATACCTGTTATTTGTTAATGCTACTGTAAGTTTTTTGTACAGAACAAGTATTTATGTATGAATTTTATAATCGCAGTGTGAGAATTCAGTTAATTCAGTGTTTCCGTGTGAAACTCCCATAACAAGTGAAAGCTAATCTTGCAGGACACCGCGGGAAGTGAGCGGTACGAAGCCTTGTCCAAGATGTTTTATCGTGGAGCCTGGGCAGCAATAATATGCTTTGATCTGACAGATGAAGACAGTTTTGAACGCGTAAAATTCTGGATGGCAGAGCTGAAAACCAATGAAGAAGTATATCAACAGAGTGCACTCGGGAGATTCTCTGATTTTGTTTCACCAATGAAAATTCACTGTTTTAGAACTGCAAGATTTATTTATGTGGAACGAAGAAGGACAAAGTAGAAGTCGACAAAGCGAACCGGCAGGTGGACTTTCACACCGCCCGAGAATTTGCGGATGGTACAAAAATGGCACATATAAGTGTCATAGCGTACTGTATTTTTAATAGTTTAAAGCAGGTTCTAATGTTTTAGAAAACGGCGGAGAATATGTTGAAACATCGAGCATAACAGGGGAAAACGTCGGTATGTCTGCGGAACAGATTGTTACTCTGTCTGGGGTTAATAAATTAATTACAGTTTTTATCCGCACAAGGCAAGGCGATGAAGACGTGGTCATCATTGTTATTATTAGGTGAACTGTTTTTGGATATTGCCAAAGCATTCGTTAACTCCAGCTCCTATCGGACACGCAGTACGTAAAGTGGTTACCGAACAGTCTGGTGCACGCTCAATTTTTTACGGATAAATGTCTGTTTATAAACGTAGTATATTTATTTGTTTTTGGTTAACAGTAAACTGAGGTAAAGAGTACAGACTACTATCACATACCCTTTTTTTCCAGAAAATTCCTCACGAATAATACTTCGAAAAACGGGAAATGTCAAAAAAAAGCGATGGGGATGTTGTTGACAGAAGGGATTCTTATTCTTTCCAAGCTTTGTATCAACCAAGTCGCTTATTGTTGATTTTTTCAGTTTGAGCTTAAGTACTAATGAATGGAAGTACTAGATACAGGCCTGCCGATTTTTCTCACAAAGCTTTTTAAATAACAGGAGTGTTCCATTCATTAATTCCATTCTAAATCATTGTCATACTGTATTACAGTACTGGCCCAAAATACAGATTTCTTTAGAAGACAGTTTATTAAAAAACATAAAAGTTCACCATACGTTTACGTACTCGTACATCATAGAATAATTTCTCACCTACAATCATTAGCTCAATACCACATTTAGTGCCAGTAATTATAGTACAAATCGCATCATATCGTGGACTAACAAATCGAAGCATTACAGCTGAAATGAGCAGAGATTGCATGAACTATAGCTGTGGAAAGTATGCAAGTCGAACCAAAAAACATTTCTCACTCATTCGTGCATCCACAAATAAACTGAGTTGGAATCCATCGTCGGCAGGGAATCGAAATCGAAGAATCCTTTGCACCAGGCTCACTGGACGTCTTTTAATTCCGCAGGAAGCTCTTTTCCGGGATGCTTATTTTCGAAATGTTGTTTATATGTTTTCGCATCTGGCATTTGCGACTACAGACAAAATTTAGGGTTACTCTGACTATGCACATACTTGTTGCATATTAGTTATTTAATATGGAAATTTATTTTCACTGGAACTTCACCACTATTTGATGTTGGTGAACAACTCAGCAGAATTATTAAAAAAAAACTTCAATCAACTTGTCATGACTCAGATCACAACAAAAAACATCGAATTAGTGTTGCCTGCCATATGAACAACGATTACATAAAAAACATAAAACACAAACAGTATTAAATAAAAAAACAAAACTTTTTGAGGTCGATAATCCGTTTTTTTTATTGTTGAACATATACCGTATCTGTTAATAACACTATATTATATCTGTTAATATTCAGACTTACACCAGTGCTTGTACCCTTTAATACTGTTACATGAGATACGCACATAAGGTTTAAAACGTGTAAACTAGCATACAACGTAACAACAACGGTGAAAAGCCTTCATTACGCGGTACCCACTAATATCTATACAGTACGCAGTGACTGACCTTACAAACAGCACAACTGTGTTTCAGTGCAGCCGCCGCTGTCCCGATTTGACTTGATCCTTGTTGCTAAAAAAGGAAAAGCACGAAAAAATCAGAGAAAGGTATTTTAGAACCGATGTATGATGCCATGATAAGACTCAAAAACCGCAAAGACTACGAAAACGGAACTATAAAAAATAAGTATGCAATTCTATTGTGACTTGTGAGCGACGTTTTACAGATCAGTTGACGTACAAAACGTAAACTGATTAAATCAGCGCAGCAGTGCTGCTTAAAGATTTTACCTTTTTCAATTTAGCCATCTTCTCTTGATTTTTTTGTTGGGATTGGATTTTCTGTTGTCCTCGAGCCATGTCTGCGACTCTCAAGCTGCAGATAAACGGCTCTGAATTCTGCAATACGGTACAAAATGTTTGAAGAAAGAAAAAAAGGATTTAAAGAAAAACGGTAAATCGTAAACAACAACCCGAACAAAACCCCAACCAAGTCACAAATGACTTTCCTTGGCGATGATGGAGCGAACTGCTTGACGTACCCTGAGCTTGATAGAGCTTGATGCGTGAGATTTTTAACACAAAAAACGAATCAACTGTGGAGTGTCCAAGAAAACGTATTCACGAAGTTGTTGAATAGATCTACGTACTACGACAATTGGTAGCGAGACTAGCGACGCCAAAGCGCATGCTCAGAGCCTGTCAGAGGTACAGTCATACTGATGCAGATAACTTTTTTGTAAAAGTTTTGTCGATGACAAATCGTAGGTTTAAAGTGGTTTAAAAGCAGTCTGCGATCACCGTACTCAGGGGAGTGCAGTCACTCAGGCGCACTGCACAATGCACATGTACAGTACAAGGAGTTTCTGAGCCGAGCCAAGGAGTCATTAAAATTAACTAAGTAATCAATAATCATTATCCCTAATTAAGGCTAATTTATTAGAATTTGGAAATGTTAACACAATTGTCAAAAACGATTAAATTACAGAATTTTTTAAAAAATTACATTAAGCTCAGCTTTGGGGCAAGAGAGTAAGACTGCAAAACTCCGAATCTCCGACAACTGTTTACTATACCAGTTTCCGGTAGGACAAAATAATTGTGATTCATAAACTGTAATCCCTGTACCGACCATTCATGAATTGGCAAAAAACTTGGTTAGCTGTTTCCAAATTTCACGGCTTATTTAAAACGTTTCACAAAATTTACAATCTTGACGCTGGTTTTGTAATTTGTCATTTTCCCCACAGACTGAAAAAAGCAGCAGTAAGTTTTCTTGTTTTCCTTGTGATCGGGAGACGTATTGCCATAACCGCTGTGAGCGCGGAACTCTTCTTTGCTCCTGAGTCTTGAATCTGGATGTGTTGACGGCTTGAGTCGGACAAATAAATCCTAATTGTTGTTTTAGGCTTTCGGTTTTAGCATCTTGAGTTGGTTTTCTTGGAAATATCCACAAGACTGAGCACTTCCCGAAATGGTTCGTAAATCTCCTTAATGCCATGTTTGCACGCGGAGAAGTATGCATGTCGACTCTTTCAGGCGCGGCGCTTCGATACCCGTACAACTATATTCTCTCCGGAAGGTACCGTACGGCGGCTGTTTTAGCTTCCTATTAATAGTTTGCAAGCTGCTGACCGGAACTGTTGATCGATAACGTGAAGGATGTCCTACCTGTTTAGGGCGTCTGTACCAAGTGGAATACGCCATGGAAGCAATCGGACACGCTGGCACATGTCTCGGAGTGCAGGCCATCGACGGAGTGGTTCTGGCCGGAGAGCGACCCACAACCAGCAAACTCCTTGATGAGAGCGTCTTCAAGTCCGAAAAGATTTATAAACTGAACGAGTAAGGGACTGCGCCACTGCGGTCTTTCTGGGGCTTGTGGACGAGTCGGAGATTTATCTCTTTGCTTTGTAGAGATATGGCGTGCAGCGTCGCGGGAATCACATCGGATGCCAACGCTTTAATAAATCATTTGCGGATGGCAGCTCAGAGGTTAGACTTTAAACGGGTATCGCTGTGGGCGCTCTGTTTTGTGGAATTTTTATTTCTGAACGTTTGTAATAGTTGTGTTTTCGACTTTTTGGCAAAGAGCTTATGAGATTGCAGATCATCAGGTAAAATTTTATTTATGGAAACCAGGGCAGTATGCGCTTTTTTATTTTTAGTAAGCAGCGGTTTCGCACCTTTTGTTACACTTACAACTTCAAATTGAACTTTTTACTTACCGGTTATGATGTGTCTACTTCCAATGCACATCCTCCGTGCCGTGATCAATTAGAAAATTAGCGTAAATGTAGTGATTCGATAGTAGTACTACTTTTGCTCTCAAGTCTGGCAATAGGTTGTCGCGTGCTGTCCTTGCTGTTGACACCGACTTGATGCACATCTCTTTAAGATTTGTGAATGGCAATGAAGTGGTACCTGAATTTCACAGATACGCTTTGAATTATGGAGAACCGATCCCCTGCGAACAGTTAGTGGTCAACCTTTGCGATCTCAAACAAGCCTACACACAGTACGGCGGTAAGCGAAATTGTTGCATTTCTCGTTTTTGTGCTTTCCTGCTTTTCAAAGCGAGCGCATGTTGTCCTTTTTTCATATCTGTATGTCCCTGTACGAGTACGTAGTACATACTTTTGCTTTGTACGCTGTGTAATTACTGATGGTAAATTGCAAGAATTTCATTCGAACTACATCTAATCGTTGTTAAACATTGTTTGAACCAAAGATTGTTCTAGCCAGAAGAAAATTGTACATACCGTAGTAATTATTTGAATTTATTTCCTAGTATATTATTCATTTACTTTTCACGCTTTTGTTTAGGCCAGCGGCCATATGGCGCTTCTTTCATATACATGGGATGGGACCGGCATTATGGTTTCCAGCTTTATCAGTCAGACCCCAGCGGAAACTATAGCGGATGGAAAGCCACCTGTATCGGGAAAAACGCTGCAGTATGTTTTTCTTCCAAGCTTTTTCGGTGTGATTGCGAAATGAAAAGTTGTTCGCCTTTGTCACTTTCAGACCGCGATAGGCATACTGAAACAAGAATTCGAGCCAGAATCCACTAAGCTTCCGGATGCGGTGAAGTTGGCCGTCAAAGTCATGCACAAAACGCTGGATGTTACTAAGTTGACGGCTGAAAAGAGTAACTACAAGTTTTGCAGAAGTCGTAACTCGTAAGCGCGGTTGACAAATTGAGTAACGTTTGACACTATTTTGCAGTTGAATTGGCAACCCTTACGAGAGCCAATAACCGTACTGTCCTTCGAATCTGGAGTAATGAGGAGGTCGATGTTATCATCAAGGAAGTGGACGCCGAAGAAGCTCGTCTTGAAGCAGAGAAGAAAGAGAAAGAAAAAACTATTCCTCGCAAACCAGTACTAAAATGAGTAAACACAAGCCTGTTTTTATAACATTTTGTCGGCCTACGATGATGTCTTACTGTGCTGACCAGAATGTACAGTTCTTTCCGTCATCGAACTCGAAGATTACTAATAGATCATCACGTTCACTAACGCTAACAAGTGCAAGTTGCGTCTCGGGTTGTGTTCATGTTCCGTGAAATATCGTACAAGTGATTTAATAAAATTTTCGATTTTCAACGATAACAGAAATTAATAACATAAATTGGCTGCAGTAAACTTACTGCAATGCCATATTAATTTTAAAGAAACTCATAACGATAAGTACAGAGTACTAACATACGCATTCAAAATATGGTACTGTACTTTAAATTCGACAGCAAAAAGAAACGATTCGATGGGGCATCAACAATTGTAAACCCAAACAAACACCGAAATTAATCCTTTGACAATTCTTGGACCCTTGGTTACCTCATTTCTACATCGTTCACTGGTTTGCTTACAGTAAGCGTGCCGGTTTCCACTTCCATTTGATTTTGTAACTTCTTTTCGTGCATCAGCTGTTTCACAATCTTTCGCTGCTTCTTCTTCGACAGTCGGTGTTGGAGTGTCTTCTGTTTCCCTTGAAGGTCTTTAACTGTATTCTTCACGGTAGTTTCAGTCACAGGTCTACCCTCTCGTCGAAGAATGCTTGTAGCTGCTTTTGTCCGCTTGATTTCCTTCCTCTCGCGGCGGATCTTGGATGTATCCTTCTACAAAATTACAGTATTTCAGATCTGAGCATCAGAAACAAGATGGGTAGTCACACGTGAAAACCAACTTGAACGCAATAGCTGAATAGCAGCAATATTATTACAAGCAAATACGAACCTTCCTCTTGTTGACATTACGATGTGCTCCCATAGTTGAAATCCTCTGCGATCCAAAATTAGTTGACCGTAAGTGATAGCCGGATTCGTGACGGACTCCTCCTGATTCGGCGAGAGCGCCCCGGTGTGAGCTACTAAACCTACTCGGGGTCTGTACTCTGCAGAGCAACAAGTAGTCGCGCGTTCCGGATAGTTCTACCTGAATGCCTGCTCACTCTTTTAATATTTAACCATCTAATGGCCAAAAGTGGAAAAAGGAAGATACAAAACTGTGACAAAAGGATCGAAATCGGATACCCATCAATCCGTAAACATCAAAGCCCAAAGCCACAGGAATGTGAGCTTTAACTGAGGTCTGGTACATTCGTGAAGGAACTACATAGCGCCCGCCTGCTCTAAACTTTTGTATTTGTAACAGAGCAAAAAGAAGTCGGACGCGATCATCGCCTGCTGACAAAAGGATCGAAATCGGATACCCATCAATCCGTAAACATCAAAGCCCAAAGCCACAGGAATTCGTGGTTCTCGCCGGGACTGCAGACTGGCAGTGTGACATTTTGACGTCACTAACTACAGGAATTTCGCAGTGCGCCAAAAGGGGAAACGCGCATGCGCCATGTAACACGCGAAAACAACCGCACGTTAGGCGTTATCCAATACCACGGCAATCGGCATCGCCGCACAATTTACAGGGCACATTTATGGCGTACAAAACGCGCAAAATTAAAATAACGTGAAGTGATGAGTTATGAGTGGTGATCACCGTGATCTATAATTAGTGAATAATAACTGCTGATAAATTAGTGTTGATTAGAAAATGGGGATGTGAAAGTGAGAGTTAATCGGTGATTTATATGCGGTGAGTTCTGGGCGGTAAGTTAAGAGTGGTGAGTTCAAAAGCGGTGAGCTTAAACTCCTGATGTAAAAGTGATGATTGGAATGTGGTGATTTAGTAACGTAACTGGCGCCTTGTGCACCGGAAAAGGCATTACGAACTTGTGGTTTCGTTCAGCACGTTCGACTCACTAAATGCTGAGTCATCTGTGTCTGCCATTCCGCTGTGCTAGTTTTACTGTTTACACTTTACAGTACTGTACTTGCGAATATGCGCCCAGCTTTTAAAACTGAATTCTTCCCGTTCTTCCCATTTCTTGGGTTTTCTAGGAATATTTTGATTCATGTGGCAGTCATTTGATTTATCATTTGGAAAATGGAAGCCGGTGGAGAAGTTCTGAGAACCCAAAATCCGCCAGTACACCACTAAAGAGCATTTTCAGCCTTGAGCAGAGCTTGATATTATGTGCTTATTATAATGGAGGGCTGAAAATTCCTTATTCCGTGGCCCGCGCATATCGCTGAAAAATCGGCCAACCTGGAAGCCACGGGAAAAAGGAGTTTGGACTTGGTTCAAGAATCGCCGAGAGAAAGGGAAGAAACTCGCACAACTGGCAGAAAAGAAGAAACAGGCTGATGTGGGATCCGCTACTGTTATGTTTCAACCTCGTCTACCACAGGATGTGAATTTGCTGCAGCCTGCAGATGTGTTTTCCTCGTTATCTGCCGCATCTGCGACTGTTCCGAGAACCAGTCAGGCCGAAGTGCATGACGGCATTCCGTTGAATTTTGCTTTTCTGGAAAGTTTAAAGTAAGTGCACCGATCCGAAATTAGTAATCATTTAAATTAAGTAATGATTTTAAATTCATTTTTTAAAACGGTTTATTTTGTGTTGCAGCTTGAAGGCAGGCTGCGGTAAATTCAGCCCAGAAATGGTGGAAAAGTTTAAAAAGGTCTGTGAAAACTTGAGGATTTGCATCGTGCTCGTAATCGCTGCATTTCGGTGTGCAGCCAGCTTGCGTGGTCGATACAGTTATTTACACGATGATTTTGTCTTGTTCAAGTTGTTGCGCGCAAGGACGTTATGCTTGCAGTGGATTCGGACGAGATTGAGATTGAAGGCGTGAAAGACTTTCTGTGGCGTGTTGAAAATGAAGAACCATAAAGTTAAGGTTTGCGTAAACAATTAAACAGGTTAAAGTTTTTCGAAATTTGAAAATAAGTCGGCCGGCAGGAACGACTACAGACCTTCTGCCACTGGTTGTCTCTTGATTGTAAGTGGTTTCGCTACGTGTCGTTTTATTAAAATTTAAGTAACACTAGTGCTCCTGCGTTTAATCGAATTGTCGTAAAAGCCTACAATAAACAATTTATCGTAAACCTTGCCATGCTTACGATAAGGATTGCAAGGTATCTGATTTGTTGCGTTTTCTGCTACAGTACTAGTTTGGACAACATCTTTGAGCAAGTTGCGAGGTTTTTCGTCATTGTTAAATTGATTTGAATGACTGCGTGTGCAGCGTGTATCCCCTTGACACTGTAAACTTGCTTGTGCATACAGACAGCGGCCGCCGCAGGTGGTCATCCGTACTTTTATATTTTCGTAGGACTGCATATCGCTGGTTCCTCCCTCGGATAATTTGACGTAGCTGATACCTTCATCATGGATGCGACAGCAGTATTCAAGGATTTTATGACTGGGGAATTGCCGCAGCCATTTCCAAAACGGCTGTAGCCCCGTTAGAGCGTGTCAAGCTCATTAAACAGGTGCAGAAAGACTATAGAAAGCAGCAGCGCTATAAAGGCAAGATGGGCGCTTTCATTTGTATTTGGAGGAGCGGGGATAAATCAATTTCTGATGTGGTAACTGGGGCAACGTCATTCGGTATTTCCCCACGCAAGCCTTGAATTTTGCATTTAAAGGCCAATGTGAGCGCATCTTCTTGTCGGGCGTTGACAAGAATAAACAGTTTTTCTACTCCTTCTTGGGCATGTTCTGGCCGGGGGTGCAGCTGGTATGACGTCGCTGGTTTTACCTTGGATTTTGCCCGAACTCGGCTTGGTATGTACTTGTACGAGTACTATATACTGACTGGTTCTTTGCGAGAAAGTTTAGTTCTTCGTTTCATTTAACCGGATCGAAATTGTTGATTATCCGTTATTGCGAGTAACTGAATTATTTTTTTAAAATTAATAGATTTATGGAATTATACCAGCTTATAGTGTAGAACTTGGATTTCCGAGTTAATTACATTAAGACGTATGTTCCAACTCTCTTTCTGCTTTCAACAGTGTTTTTCGGAATTGACGTCATTTGTTGTGTAATGTTATGTGATTTCCATAATTTAATCTCAGAATTTTGGAATTTGAACAACAAACACAAATGTTGAACAAAAGTATTGCAAAAGATTTCAACAGTTTAGTACAGTAGATCGGACGTGCATGGAATTGCTGGCTGACTGGCTGACTACGTTTGAAATGAGCTGTTTTTAGAGTGGATGTCAGTGAGAACGCGGGGACTCGTAAGTTCACTGGTTTATGAAACTGTATGAGAAAAACCTACCAAACCGATGGCATTCGCGCCTTGTATCGCAGCTTCAACGTTTCCGTCCAGGGAATATTTATTTATCGAGCTGCATATTTTGGTGTATCTGACACATTTAAAATTTACTTCAAAGAAGGCAGAGTGCCCATCATGCTTAACTTTAAGATCGCCCTCACCGTCACGGCGTTTGCCGAATTTATGGCATAATTCTAACTCAGCTCCGTTATTAGTACGTTTTCTGAATTTTGTTTGTGCTTTAGGTATCCGTGGGATACCGTGACGACGCGTGATGATGCAGTCGGCAGGCAACGAAATTTCTACAAGAATTCACTGGACGCCATGATGAAAATTGCCAAAATTAAGGTTTCGACATTCTTTATGGGCGCCCTGTCCAACATGTTCCGTGGCGTTGGTGGTGCACTTGTATTAGTTATTTTGATGAATTGAGACGTGCTATGGAACTGCAGCCAGGTGCGGGAAGGTCGGTCATTAACTGGGCACCGTGTGGAATGGATTGCTATTTCCGATTACCGCAGTTATCGAAGTGTTCAGTTCGAGAAGTTTTCTTGATGCATTTGATTCCGTTGTCATAATGATTTCTTTACTACAATTGTGTTTTACATACCTAATTCTGTCAATTTTATTTGTTAGATGGTTTTAATATGAGCCGAACAGATCATGATCCAGGTGGGCTGCGCTTAAGACTTGAGTGATAATAGATGTTATTTAAGTATAGGTACCGGTTAAAAGTTTGAAAGTCTCGTGTGGAAATATTGCAGTTGGCTCCGAGTAGCCGGTAACAGATTTTCGGCTGACGAACATCGCGTTTAATCAAAATCAGTTCAGTTTCTCCATCATAACATGAAACACGGATAACAAATTATTGAAATTAATTACGCTGGAACATAAAAAACATTCCCGTTGCCGAAGGAACTAGTACTCAAATGCCATGCGGCTATTCATATGCTATGCGGCCAGCAAATTGTGCTGGAGAATTTCCTTTAAAACCAAACAGATTTCCACTTAACGGTTATTAAAGCCATTAACAGCATGTTGCAAAACTAAATGAAGTCCAATATTCCGTAATCCATTCAAGTCGGATCCAAATTTAGTTGATTATTCCACCCAAATCAGGAACGAAAACAAATCCGTTATTTCTCACTCCACACGACTGCCCAGCTACCGCTTAACAATCCTCAAAAAAATACAGCGATTTAGCAATAATTTAATTTAATTATGTGATTTATGGTTGAATTAGAGGTGTTAAAAATTCAAATAGTCATTAATAAAGTAAATTTCTCTTACACGTTGTTCATTTTATCTGGAAAAATCCCGCCATCTCGCTGTCCACAGATAAAATGCACTCGCGAAGGTGCAGCCGCAGTTTGTCCTTGACTCGCATCCGACGGGCAGCATAAGCTTATGGCTGCATCGTAGATGCCTGAGGGCGACGTTCTTCTTCTCGTCCAACGGAAAAAACAATTGCGATTTTCGAGTGGCCGGAATGCGGTACCCGGAAGTAACAAAACGGAGCAGTTGTCGTCGTTCATGGTGGCTCAGGTCGTGTTTGACAATTTCATCAAACCAGTTCACAATCTGCAGCTGCTCAGCCATCAATTCATCGCTAATATCTTCGGCATGTTCATTGTACGGCAGAAACTCTTCCAGCAAATCGTCTACTTCTTCGAATTCTCGATAAAGGCTTTTCTCGAAGAATTTCCATTGAGCACGTATTTCTCTCAGCTCCTACAACGATTTTATTGCAAGTAAGGGAAATCACAAGGAACCAAAAACAGTGATTCATACCTTTCCCATCGTTCCGGCCAGCAAACCTTCACTTAGATATTTCAAATTAGAGGCTCGCTTCCCGCACAGTTCATACTCGGCGATGTGTCGACACAATTTCTGGCGTCCTTGTTGCACCAACGCAACAGTCTGCAATACAACATTTCAGTGCTATCCACAATTTAGAGACGTTGTTAGCTGTTCAATTTTCTTAAATTTAATATTATAGGGCAATTTCGTCGAATTTTACCGGAAAGCTGGATGATTCTCTGCCCAAGTCTGCAAGGATGTTTCATTTGCCCAGACGATCGGCCCCGTGCCCGATAGGATGTCCTTGATGGTATCGCCGGTTCCAACGTTGAAGCGGAAAATGTCATTCACTTCTACTGGCAAGTTCAGAACGTACCGGAAAGCGGAATTATTAAACCACTGAGGAACGGACTCCCATGAAGTATTGCTTCACGCAGAAGAAATCCAAATGCCCGCAAAGCCGAGATACCTCCTTCTGTTGTAATCGCTTTTCCGGTTATCAAAGTAATCCCATCAGTCACTTCGAATAAATCAATATCAACATCCGAATCTTGTACGAGCGGAACCCTTCCAAAGCTCCGTGATACATTCTTTGAAAGGCCCGTCCCAATCCGACGCACTACAAGAATAAACTTTTGTGTGCATGTTATCTTTAACACGGCGTATTTTAATAAAGTTTTCAGTACCGGTGCATAAACTACATAATACATCTCACAAGTTACAGCCCGTGTCTGTTACAGTAGCGCGCTTATGTACATGTCAAAATCTTCAAACTGAAAAGCAAAGTTATTACACTTACTCATCCATTTCCACTTCCATTCTTCCGCCATAAGCCAAACCATCAGCACGCGCATAGTAAAAGTCGATAAAATTTTGTACGTTGCTGCTTCTTTAATCCAAACAAATACGATGTCGGATTTGACCATTGGTCGCTGACCGGTAACTTTAAGCACAGCCGAGATCTCATGCTTTCAATCGATATTTCACTTGCGCCTGGATCAACTTCAGGAAATTCAGCGACTTCAATAATCTGCGAAATAAAACCATAAATTTTTGTTCGATTTAATTGTTCAAAGCCAATAACCTGTTCTGTAACTGCGGCACTACTGGCCGCGACAGCGTTCTTCTTCTCCTCTTCAGCTTCGCTGTTATCCGAGTCACCAAGTGACGTGCTTTATTGACGACGACGCACTATCGTTGAACATTAATCGACCGCGACGACGGCGAGGCAAATCCGGTGAAGATGGTGGGAGACGGAGAAGTATCGTCTAACCGTCCCCGAAAGGAATTCCTTGATGCGGACATTCCAAAGCCGTATGTAGAAGCAACGAAGGCACTTCCGAAGCCTGATGATGCACTGGATGCACTCCCGAAGCCGGATGATGCACTGATGCACTCCCGAAGCCGAATGTAGAAGCACGGCCGGCACTCCCCAAGGCGGATGTAGAAGCACGGAGGCACTCCCAAGGCGGATGTAGAAGCACGGATGTTTCTCGCAGACCAAAAGGGGATCGGGAATTTGTGATACCAGCTGGAAAAGTCTTTTTAGTAACGATAGCAATATAGTTTTAACCTCGGATGTATTTATTACTTGGAACGTTTCGTAAATCCAGTTCTTCCACAGTTCTTCCTTGATCCTGTAAACACACATTATCACAGCGGCATACGTCATATCGTTTTGTTTATACAAACTATTTACCGCAGCAAATTCCTCAAAAATTTCCCGCGGATATTCAGTGTACCATGAGCTAGAGCGATATACATGCGTCTTCGCGCTTGGTTTAGGCCCTCTCGGTGTATCTAAAAATCGTACGCGACAGTTCAAACCAACAGAATATTTTATGCGAAATTAACGGTTTAACATTTTTCACTTCGTACGTACAAGTCTTGATCCGCCCAAGATGGAGATAAAACATCCAAATCTGTTGGCCAAATAAACGGACTCTTTAGCTTTCCCGGCTCATCAAGTCGGCTCAACAACGTCCATTCCTGGTTGCCAAGACAATCGCCAAATGCTTCGGAAATTTTTGTATAGATGTGACGTCCTTCCAGTACGTCAAACTCAACTTGCCGAATTAGTCCCGCTTTCCGCATGAAATCTAGTTCCATCTGATATTCGCTGTAAATAACATCACTATAAAAAAACGTATACATTTCAAACATAAAACGTACGTTAAAAACTAACTAGCGTACAAACATTTTATTTTTAATTAAAACTGACAAATATTTAAGGTTTTAATTTTGCTCAAATAAAAAACCCTTACACCCACAAAATTCAAAACTTACCCCACTCGCTGGGACGGAATCTGATTTCCTTCGGCGCTACGAAAAAAGTAAATCTCCATGGATATTTACGGTGTACTACTGGCCTCTGATTCACTGGCTGTCCGAATTGGTTTGAACTGGTCATTGAGCGAAATTCCTCCGTTCTGGGTCGTTTGACTGCATACTGCTGCCCACCACGGCCTCGCCGGCTGCCCCGGCCACTGCCGACCGGCAAAGATGAAATTCCTACATTCGAATTGCTTGAAAATCCAGGTGGTACAGATCCACGTGCCGGTGCTCTTGGAATGCCTGGCTGTCCACCGCCAAATGTACTCCATGGCAACTCACGCTGCTGGAAGTTTCGCAATGGCTGTACTGAACTACTTCCCAAGCCGTAAGGTTCCATATTAAAGGCTTGATATTGACCCTGCCCCGCATTTCCTGTGAAAACCTGAGCTCTGCTTCCAGGAACTGGCGGCTGAACAATTTGTGCTCCGCTTCCTTGCGGGCTGATAGCAGCGTGCTGGGCTGTAGTTGTGGATCCGGTGATACTTGCAGCATTTTCATTTTCATTCATAAGGGGGCGATGGCTAGCGGAGTTTCCCATGTTTGAATTCAATTCGGGATTAACAGCTGCCAATAAACTACAGCGAATATGCAGACCGTACTCGTGATTACATCCAAAAACACTGCATTTAAGCCCGCCCAACGGTCCGCTCCAGGAAAAATCGATGTCAGCCTTTAATGGGATCACACATGGGCAATCTCTTACCCCACATTTATAGCTAAAATCAACCATTTTAGTCACACACACGAAACGCAAAACGAAAAAATGTTTTGTCAACGAAAATTAGATAAAATTCGATGTTTCTACGCTCCACTTTAAAAGAAACCGAATGATGTGAATTAATCTGAATCTGCCGCTTAAAATGATTTTAACAGTTCTTACAGCAGCCCATGCGTAAGGCGTGGCAATAACTGACCAGCTACGAGCAAGCTGCGAATAAATAACCATTGGCGCCTCAGCAGCTTACAGCGGCATGCAGGTGGGAACAAGAACAGACAGCCCACATGCGGTAACTTAGATCTTCCATGCCGCTCGCAAATCATTTGTCTGCAAATTTTGGCCGGCATAAAACAAAGGCTTCCGCGCATTAGTCGTGTTCCACTGCAGATTTTTACCGTACGCGTATTATTCTCGACAACAAACTTTCGTGTGAAACGATTTTGAGGAAAAAAGTAAAATGAATCAGCAGAGGCGAATTGACATACGAAGTACTTCATCGACGCAGAATTTACCCGCAAATCATCCAGCATGGCGAACTCACATCCGTAAAATACAATCACACCGTTTCTACCATGCGGATCTTATTTCAGCTGTTTACAGATAAAATAATGTTTCCAGCAGCGCTGTGTCCGGTTGCTGCGTTCATAGCATGCTCCACTCTGGTACGCCAATTTTCGGGCATACTGCAAATATCAACAGCGTATTGATTTCAACTACGATCTGAAATGAAACATATTATTCCGAACGTACCATGCAAGATGCCGGCACGAATAGTTCCGGTGTCTAGTGGTAGTATGTCGGTCAGTTTAAGCCTTGGATGTCATCCACGGTCAACCTCGGTTCCGGCGGCTGGCAGCACACAATGAAACGAACCGGTGATACGCCTCACGCACATTTTGCGGCACAAGATAGAATCGTACATATCCCGGCGAGTAATTCCTTCATCGCACACGGTTCCTGGTTTAGGATTCAGCAAAGTATTTTTCTGCAATAACATCATGCGCTTTGTAAAAAAACAGGTAGAATTTTATTTGCAATGCATTCAACACATTATGCGGCAAACAGCTAACCGCCGGTCAAATACAACTATGGACCTTTGGTTTTTTTGCGCATAGGATTATTAACTCAAACAACTAACAATTAGTAACAAAAAAACGAGTGCAGTTATAACAATGCAGTTATGACGATCCCGTTATCTTGCACAGGCTAAAAAACGAACGACAGCGAAACCAAAAACATAACGGAATCATAGGTCAGCCAGTTACATACTTTTGCTTAGCGCGTTGTAATACTGTAACGCCAGACATTAGCTCTGTTTATGTCCTTTGGCATGGTAATAATTTGCCTCCACAAAAGGCATTTTCGAAACTTTTCCCTCCACATTTTACGGACAAACTCCAAGTTTGCAAAAGCATTGTTGGGATGACATGCAAACGATACCACATCCTTGATAAATCACATCCATACAATGTCATGCGTAATATGCCCGCAAGTTTTCATACTTCGGGCAGGTGCTCTAGTGGAAATAATTCCAACACGTTTCTTCTGCACCCCCCTTTGATTTGGGGAAGGATTTTCTCTGCACCCGGAATTCCACCCTCTTTGCGACGGCGTTTTCCTACAATTACGCATATATTTCCAACAATTAAAAAAATTTTTGGAATACTTTGAAATTTTTTTGCTTGCTTTAATAGGTTTACCTATCGTCCAGGTTAGGTTAGCTTCTACCGGTGTCGCTTGTTCGTTAATATCGTTTCCGGACAAACACAGATCGGCTTCCAGCCGGAGTGAATCCCTGGCTCCCAAACCAGCCATTCGTACCTGCCCTTCATGCGACTTTAACAATATATCACATAAAGGCGCAGCATCTTTGGAAAGACAGGATATCTGCAGTTTGAATTATGCATGGGAACACTAAAGCGTACATAGTGAATTATGCATGGGAACACTAGAGCGTCCATGGAAAGACAGGATATCTGAAGTTTGAATTATGCATGGGAACACTAGAGCGTCCATAGTGTAAGCACTAAGCACGTGCCTCAACGCCATCTTCGCCGGTGTAGCCGCATTTGGTAGTTCGACATCCTCAAATCCGTACAGTGTACAAAACGTAGTCTGCAGGAATTCCAAGCTATCCAACGAATCCTTTAAGCCGGGCTGAATAACTCTTGACATTTCCGGTTCTAATCAGAGAAAAAAGGACATATATACGGCAAAAGGTTAAGTGTCACTCTGACCGTAACTTCGAATCAAACGAACGAAAACCAAAGCAGATTTTTCTTTAACATAATGCCGAATAGGTACAATACTGACAAAAGTCTGTTTTATCGATAATATGATAACTCCATGCCAATACATACTTTTAACAGTTTTTTAAACGTCGTCATGCTGAAACAGAACGTGAGAACTCACTTATATAATCCGTAACCCGTAAAGACGTGCAATAAGTCAACTGAACCTGAACAGCAATTATGAATACAGATTTCCGTTACAGCAAACCTTGAACTGCAATCAAAGCTCTTTCCTGCACAGTCACGATGCCCATTTGAGCACCCTTCCCCTTCTTCTGGAAGTCCAAGACTTTTTTCGTTAAATATTCTAGATCTTTTGCCGCACAACCGGCGTTAACAACTACGAAGAGATGTCCGTGACTGGTGTTCATCTGCACCGTATCATCAATGATGCCACCGCTCTCGTTGGATAACAAACTTAATGTGCCGCTGTTTTCCGGTTGCTTTTTAACATCCGACACGCAAACAGATTCCCAGAACTCATGCCGATCGTTGCCGTGAATGACCAGCTGTTGCTTGAGACACCTGCACAACAATTAAAACAGCATAACAAAAAAAGTAAACATTCACAAATTCAGACAATCCGATGCATACAGCCATGGAAAATAATACATGGACTTTACGGTAGTGGTAACGTACAGGATAACGTAATCGGCAGTACGAGTATCGTAACCGCTGACTGACCATGAGATACTTAACAGGTACTTTTTTAAGCATAAATTAATATCAACACGAAAATAAAATCATAATTTAATACACGGCACGCAAGAAAAATGCAAGACCTTCCGTCAGCAATACTGTACTTTCATCAAAAATACTGTAGTGTTTCCGAGTATGGATGTGAGATTCCGAAATGGACTGGTCTTGATAAATCAACGGCATTGACCGGGACTACCTGCAAAACGTCTGAGAAAGTCAAATCTCTTATGTTCTACTAAAACGCTCATACCCTTGCATACGAAATCATTGCACAAGCGAACGAAAACTTTAACCCTGATGCCAAATCCGTTTTTGGTGGCTGAAAGTTACAACGACTATGCCAGTGCGTGAAATCGTCGTCCGTGCTAGCCACCAAAGCTGCGATCGAATCTTTTCTTCGTTTGATGTCGTAACAGGCGTCCACTCCAATCACCACAAGACTCATTGGATCTTTCTTCTGAAAAACAAATTAACAATACAAAATTTGTTATCATTATCTTCATAAAAGCAGATTTAGCCTTACATTGTCAGCATTTTAGCCATATGCCAAATGGATCCACCCAGCCTGCAATTGATTTGCAAAGCGATTTTCTGCGCAAATGCGCGCAAACGATCTGACCTTCCCAGTGTACGACTCATAATGACCTGCGAAGCGATTAAACAAGTTTAGAACTGTGATATCCATAGAAAAACTTGTTTAATTATTAGAGAAAAATATTATACTTCGTTTTCCACCGCGGCTTTAGCAATGCTACGGGCATATGTGATGTTTTGATCGGCAGTTAGCATCATTATCTGAGGATTTCCGAGCGGCATGCCAAGACTTTGACTGGCGTCACGGAAGGCGCGAGCAGAATCTTCCGCACATTTTTGGTCCCGCTTTTCGAAAATCAAGGTCCAATGTTCCGCCCCTCTGGGATCCATAAGCTTTCCACCGGTCGTATTACGCGTCCAGTCGCCGTTTTCCGGAACAGTAACGGGATTTGGTGATTGACCACAGATAAAGCTGTTCGCGCTGTAACACTCGCCCAGGCATACGTAGCAATTCTTTACTAATTTTGATGCCGAACGTCTGTAGAATTTTCTGGGCCTCTTGGCCTCGGTCAAGGTCATTTAAAATACCCTTGATTGTTTCCGCACGCTGTTGGGGATTCAGTTTGGTGGCTATGGCGATGGCCTGAGCAAAGTGAATTTGTCAAACATAAACGCCTTAACCAGTATCAAATATCGATATTTCAAAACGCCGTACTGAAGTACTAAAAGTTCCACAGTACAGACAAAGCGTTGTACGTGTAGCAAGCAACAATACTCGCAACCTCTGTGCAACCTTACAATGTTTTGTTATACTTGAAATTTACAAAGAATTAATTAAACGGTGTACTAAAGTACATCAGAATTTCAACCACAATCATCTCAAGTTTCAAAAAGGCACTTTTAGGCACAGAATTTTCTATAATACAAAAGTAAATAAATCATCAGCGGAGAAATGGTACCTTCATGGCCGCAAAACTTGCCCGCAAATCATCCTGGATGCCAGTCAGCTGACAGAGTCGTCGCTTGTTCATCTGCCGATCTTCATAGCCATGGGAAGATAAATGATGCAGCGTGATCCACGTCAACCGATCCCGCGTGCGTGCAGGGATGCCGGACTCCTTAACGCAGCTGAATGAGACCAGAAACAAACCGGATCAATTCGCATAAAACTTCCGACAATAAAATAATGCACGTGAATGTATCATACTTTATAGACGTAAATTTTAATAGCAGCCTGTACGGAATAGCACTTCATCGGATTTATGTGTCGTCAATACCGGCGGCACGTACATTTTCAGGAGGCGGCGTACTGTATTAAATTTAATGCGCAGTAATAGTTACTACTGTATTAAATTAGACTTTTCTGTCAGCGCAGCGGCCTTTTTGTCACTTAATATGCTCGCCGTATGTTTAGTTTTCAACAGGCCGCGTTGCGCCTTCACGATAAAAACAACACATCCAGAATTTACAAAACCTTAAATTCGGCAGAAGCAGTAAATTACAACGCTCACTTACTATGACATAAAGCTCACTTCTTCCATCTAAACTATCGCTTTTAACTCTGCCGGTATCAGTAATATCAACGGAAAGTAACACCACGGGTTTTTCTAAAATTCGGATACACTGATTTGTCATATCTACCTTTATCCAAAATAATGTTGTAACATTTCCTTTGCTTCGCAAAAAACCTGAATTCCATGAAACCCATCATCCCGCATCAGATCCATACTAGCCCGAATTAACTGAGCTTCAACAGGGAAGCGGCTGATTATATCGCACACCGGGACAGAATCCCTGGAATGGCCAACTTGATTTCTTAAGTACTGCGGGAAATTTTCTGCGACATCCACGTCGGCGTCAGGCAGTGCATTATCAGCCGACAAGATTTCTTCCAGAGGAAAACCTTTCAATCCCTTCTGATTACAGCCGAGAACAAACAACTGCCTTGGTGACTTCTCGCCCTCCGTGCGCAATTTGTGGTTATTAAAAAAGGAAATAAAGCTATTTAGCTTATCCTGAATTCTTTCCGTGAATACTAAGTGCAAAACCATCATGTCGCGGGCACTGGTCATATCCAAAATTCGCATATTTTCCATGTGAATGAAGATAGATCGAAACAATTTAATCACAACGCGACCCAAGTCTCTCCAAAGCCGTTCTATCCGCTGATTGTGAACTGACGGTCCCATAATGATACTGGCGCGGTTCGGCCCCATATAATGCTCCATCCAGCGTGCAACTCCGAAATTTTCTCCTAATTTGAAAAAAATAGTAAGATCATTCACTACTGAGAATTGACGACTCGTAAAAAGAAAAATACACTGAGGAAAAGCAAAAATCGCAAAACTGACAAAAGCGCAAAAATGGTATTGTACCGCCGCAATCGCTTCTCACTCTGGACGGTACTCCCCAAGCTTCAGCACCAACGAGGAAGGCTTGCAGCACTGTGCTTGCCCGATTGTTCGTTGCAACGACGAGGGAAATAACCGTCCGAGAATAACCGTCAATAATACCGTGAATTACGAATCCCCAGCGGACCAACTTGTGATTGCCATCAATGTGCCACAACGCGTTCGGTCCAGCATTTGAATAAACGCGGCGAGGAACAAAATGGAAAAACCGGTTGGCTATGCCATAAGGATCCACTCTTCTCATAGAAGCCAGAATTCTCGTGCGTTGAACTGTTAAACCTCCTGATTTTAACTGGCCGTTAATGTAACGATATCCTACGTTCGGGAACGAATTTAAAATGTCCACAATCACGCGATCCAAATCCACATCACTCAATTCCGAGTACTGAAAAAGCAAACGAATTTAAATTAACACATAGCCTGCTTATACCGTATATAACAATCAAAAAAGATAAGAATTCACCAATGCAAATCTGCAACGAACTAAAATATCTACGAGTACTACACCCAACCGTGCCGTGATGCTGGCACATCCACTTACTTTCCTATTCAAGCCAGCATCTGCCAATCTGTACGTGACGGTCCTCTTAGAAACTCCATACAGCTCAGCAATATCATTCACAGTAAATCCCTCGAACCGCAGATCAGCTAAATCATCCTCCGGAAGGAATATTTTTCCATCTACTTTGGTGTGCTGCGTGATGGGAAAAACGGACACAGTCCCGTTTTCGTCTTCTTGCAGTAGATCCCGTAAGCGACTGGAGTAGTTTATTAACACATCAAAAAGCTCTTGCGCTTGCACCGTCCGCTCCTCCGGAATATTTTCGCAGATATCTCTCGTATATCTAACAAAGAAAACATTCAAAATTCCAACAAATTAATTTATCAACCGTTGCTGTTTGGGCAAGTTACCCAAGCAAATAATCCATCTGCGTCAGCGCTCCGTCAACGCCATCTTGATCCTGATCCCCATTCTGGACTATTAAATAACGCTCCGCACGTCTTACAACCGAGTACGCAAACTGAAAAAACTGATCCATTTCAAATTTCTCTTGGTTTTCTCAAACAAATAAAGTGGGAAGTAAATACTGAAAAACATTAGAGACTTGCTCTTAAATGGATCACCAACTAATCCAAAGTCGCTAAGAATAAACAAATTTCAGTACCATTAGAAGAGCATTTCCAGTAAAAATAACTGTCACTTCCAAAGAATGCGTTAAATTCCACTCACTCATTGGAACTGGTAGGGTGGAATTGGAATGTACAAGAACTCAGAAAATTCTTCGAAGTCCGGAAATTAGGCTTCCGGTTCAGGAGGCGGCAGTCACGTTGATAAATCACCACTCTATCATCACCACTTTTTACACTTTTTAATCACCCCAGTCTTATCATCATTGTTAAATCAGCACTATCTAATCAGCTCTATCTGATCAGGACTACTTATTTAATCAGCACTATTGATTCACCGTTGTTAAATCACCACTTAAAGATCACCGATGTAATTAAAATCAACACTTATTAATCAGCAGTTATTATTCACTAATTATAGATCACCATTCATAACTCAGCACTTCACGTTATGTTAATTTTGCGCGTTTTGTACGCCATACACATTACACTTTTTTATCAGACATGTGTCGCCCAATTGGTAGTGGTTAGTGTTCTATTAATTTTCATGCGATTGCCGCATTATAAAGCGGAATAATATGTGCGAACCCGCGCTGTTTAAACAGTGCCAGGAAAAGCACGTATTGTTATGGGCCTACGATGACTTCTGGGCGTAGCGTGGGCGTACGGCTCCCAACCGCCACGGGCGCCATCCTGGCGAGAATCATCAATGTGACAGAATCAAGATTTCGAAGTATCGGAAGTTTCGCAACTGGATTTTAAAATAAGTACTTACGTAGCCGCCTGCCGCGGTACCGAAACATATTCAGCGACATTTGCTTTAGCCAAAGTAGGTAAGTGCACCATTGTGCGGTAGCTGGAGAGCTTCTGTTTTTAACCATTTGGCACTTATGTGCCGAACGTTGCAGTTTTTGCACAAAACTGTACGAGACGATTGACGATTCTCGCCCGGATGGCGCCCTGTGGCGGTTGGGAGCCGTGCGCCATAACAACAAGTGCTTATCCCGGCACTTTTTAAACAGCGCGCTTTCGCAAACTATGATGTTTGTTAATTGGGCAGATACATGAAAATTTACAGAAAACTATCTTCTTCAAACGAGAAAAAAACGTGTGATAAAAATATTTACAATATTCCTAAATTAAGCGACAGTGCTATGGCCACGTATCACACCACCGCCCATACGAGAGCACACGAACAGAAACAGAGCGAATGCGTAGTTCTCCTGTTGGCGCACCGTAAAATCCCTGTATGTTAGTGACGTCAAAATGACACACTGCCAGTATGCATTCTCGGCGAGAATCACGAATTCGTACTTCGACTCGTGATTAGGTACAGTAGTGAGTCGGCGATATCCGCCGTAAACCGTAAAACGGGCACCGCTTTTAATCAAAAGTACAGAGTTAGACAGAGCGTGTGTCTAACGAATTTCTGTCTGCTCCTTTGATTTAATGCGTTTTACGGCGCCCGGTTGCTTCCCCAGGCGGACATCGCCGACTCACTAGTATTGAAGTACGAGTAGTTTGTTGATTATTCATTATTAATATTGTTAGTTAATTAATGATAATTACATTAATTTTGGTTATGCTTATTAGCGTAACATAATAATACAAACTTTACAAAGGGTGATTTTGTGTGACCACATGGATCCTATCATATTCCTATGCTTACATTGTTAGATGACCAATGGATCCGATAGCGGTATAACTGACTGCTTTATGAATACGAAAAATGCACAACTGGCTTCCGCGTTGGACTTCGATGCGGATCCGCTGGCGCATATATTCCGTCGCCCGTACGATCTCGCCCGGTTGAAAATGCATCGCGATGTTCATATGCAGTGCCTGTTCCGGACCTATCATCTTCCCAAGTTTGGCGACCAAGCGAGAGACATCCGGTCCTATTTATCCCTCGATCTTTAAAATGGCCAATGGGTGGTGCCCCGCTGACGAAAGTTTCAAATGCAGCGATCGCAGATGATTTCAGGCCAATTTCCTTGTTTCCTTATTATGCAACTTGTCGAAGGTGTTTGAACTTTGAACGTTGTGTGCAGATCCAGTGATTGGGTGCCTGAACGCGCCAACGGCGTGCTTTCCAGTAAACAGTCTGGATTCCGCAAAGAATACCCATGCATGGGTATTCTTTGCATGGGTTTTGCATAAGCAAAACGCTCTTAACAGAAGTAACGGAAGCGTTAAACGCGCTATGGATAGTGGTCGGATAACCGTAGTAGCCTTCCTCGACCTGAAAAAGCATTTGATTCCGCGAACCAAGAAAGGTTATTGGCGAAGTTGCACCAGACCTGGATTATATAAAGCCAAGAGTAAAGCTGTAAAGACCACCAAAGGCGTATCCAGCTGGTTACCAGTTATATCAGGTGTACCTCAGGGATAAGGCTCGGCCCTGTTGATATTTTTATCTTATATAAAATTCTTAATGCAGAAGGACATTAACGGTTGTGAAACGGAAGCATTTGCCGATGATTCAATCTTTCACGCAGCGGAAAAACGAAAGCGGAAGCGGCTGAACGGCTAAATGGCGGCATCGTTGTTGCATCGCAGTGGTTTACCAAAAACCAGTTAGCGCTAAATCTCGGAAAATGCATCGCGATGTTCAAATGCAGTGGAAAATTGCTACTGTATCACATTCAGAAGGTCAAGCATTGTCAGTCCGGACTCAGCATCCCCCAGCGAGTTACCATTTATCACGCCTTTGTCCAGCCACACGTAGCTTCTCCTGCTCATCCGAAGACGCCGCTGAACAAGCCAACGCCCAATATCCTACGGCAAACGCAACCTTGCGGACCATAACATTAGAACATCAAGTTATCAACCACTGTATTCGAAAATTGAAACGTTATTAAATCACCTTTCGTCTTGTACAGATAGTGCACATCATTACTGTATCCGCTCGCACATCTTGAACCACAGAGTTTGTGTACAGGAAAAACACGCATTCAATATACACACTCTAACCGGGCAAAATGCACGACTACGAAATATTGCTCATTTGGTTTCAAGATGAACAGTTCTTCTTGTGAATTTGTCCAATAAACCAAGAATTTTCATTTAAATGGCAGTTCACTCTGGAAAAAAGGTTCTGCAGCTGAAAGCTCGAATTGTTCTGTGGCTCATCGCCATCAAGAATGTTAACGCTGAACGTACCATCCTCCAGGGTACCCCAAAACCACAACAAATCAGTTTGTAACTCGTGCTTACGGCAAAGCTGTATGTTAATGGCTGCTATCGAGCATAAACAAGTTTAAAATTGTTAGAGCTCCAATTGTTTTTAATATTCAAGAAGTTCTCCAGACCAGATTTTGCAAAGACATCAGAAATTTATCAAATCGCGAATCGCGCGTTTGGCCCGGTTAGAGTGTGTATATTGAATGCGCGTTTTTCCCGTACACACACTCTGTGGTTCAAGATGTGCGAGCGGATACAGTATATGCTTGATCTTGTGCGCACTAAGTCACATAGATAACTATTCTAAGTACTTACATATAAGGAAGAAGAGAATAGAAAGCGCATAGAAGTAAGCCGTTTTTTTTCTCGAGATTAAGGAACAGAGAAATCTCCTGACAGCCCAAGACGGAGCCGATGTCTAGCGCGGGCGGTCCAGGGAAATTCCCTGTTCATTAATTGAGCAAATACAGTACGTAAGTACTTATGTACTTATCGAGACTGGGCTTGTCACGCAGTCTGATTCAGTTTTAACTAGGTCTTTTGTATATTAATTGAATTCAACAAACATGACATGTTTACGCTGCAAAACTGGGATTCTGCGAATGGCTCCAACAACCAGCGATGCCGGTTCGAAGAAAGGCTGCTGCGCGTGTACGTAAGCGAGCGGCCTTTTGTGTGGGCCATACCGTACGACCGAGTGCACGTCACCTACTGAAAAGCGGTTGAACAAGTCTCTCGGCCCTTTTCGAACAGTGGTCACTCGCGAACACCTCAATAAAGGACGGTAACATCCGCTCATTCGTCGAAGGAGGGTCACTTTCCGCGTGATAGTCCAAGGTCACCTACGCAATTAAGCGAGCGTAATAAGATGTGAAGCTCAAATGGGGCCATTGAACTACAAATTTCATCGTAATCCGTTATTATGCAGAATCGCAACTGTAAATACAGTACTAACGCTAAACTTTTGCACACCATAGGCATAACGCATTAAGTGTCCCGGGACCGAGAGCAGTGGGTGAAAAGTCACTGCAAACCACGTACTGCACTGTACGTTTAGTCATGTCCTCTGGTTGAAAGAAACTACTTTTGTACGGATAGTTCAGTAAAATTTTTAATATTATAGTATAGTGTTTGCTTACATGCTTAAATGCCTAGACATAATAATGTAATATGAATATTATGTGAAGTACAATACATACGGAACAACACGATTGTATAATTTTTATTTCTAGCAGTGTACTTTGTGGTGGTAAGTGTAAAATTATTTTGTGTAAATTTGTGCACATACTTTACTGTACTTGTGTGTGTACTTCTACGTTGTACTACAAGCTCTAATAATTAATTATATTATCACAGACGTAATTGTTGTAAGTATTCGTTTTTATATAATATTTCCTTTCCATGTTAAATTGACAAGAAGCCAGCGGCCAGAAATCAATTAGACCGGCTAATGCTAATACTAACAGAGTAATACGCATACTCAGTCGCATAGGTTGAAATGACGTATTGACTGGTGAGACCGCTGATCGGTACGGAGTGCTTGTACTGCATCAGTTGTACGAGTACTGTATGTACTTACGGGTCGTGGTCTTGGTCAGATACGCTTTTTATCAGCCGATACAGAATCCTTCCGAAGTGAGCAATTCCGGTTTTTATCTTTTCAGTGTACACCACCGAAGTTCTGCTCAGATAAACGAGGTTGTTTGCTTAAAAATTTACGTACTGCAAAACAAACAATCTGTATCCGCGACATACATTCAGAATCAAAAAATTATATTTCTGATTCTGGTGGATTTACTTATAATCCGGTGTTCGCAGCATCAGGACTTTATGATTGTGTGAACGGAAAGCAGTGTGATTATTGTTACAGCTGACCACATCCGACGGTAAGCTTCTAGGGAGAGTCGAATTCGAGTCATTATTCTTATCATTGTTAGTTCCTGAACAGCAGAAGTTGCTTGCGATTTATTACAATTACAGCTTCCAATCAGCCACTGATACAGTCAGTAAGGCGTTAAGTAATGATGAGAATGCCTGTTATACCGAAGTTCATATTATCATCTTCGAGCCGGTCTTCTTTCTTAATATTTCTGTACAATACTTGATTTGAGATTACGTTTTTACGTTACTGAGGCTTTTACAAATGACAACAAGGTTAATAATTGTTGAATAATTAAGTACTTACTTAACAATTTGTCATTGTTCTTAAATCCGTAAAGATGGCCGTAATTACGTAATGCGTGGTAAATATAGATATACAGTAATTATGGTAAAGTGTGCCAGACGTGGGCTCCCGAATTTTTAACACTGCATCCCATTTGAGTCCAAGCTTAAGAGTTGCATGATAGAAGTGATCCTGCAGTTGTAGTCTGAAGTCTGAACTCTGCAGTGCAAGTACCAGTACCGTATCGCACGTAATTCTTTCGATTATTCAACGGTCCAACAGGCATGGATTTTCAAAATTTATTGACCACAACCAGTACGGTCATATCTGTATTTTGGGGCTTTTTTTAGTTAGCCGCGTTCAAATCGTGTCAGGCTGCAGCAGACACAGGGATAATGAGTCAGAGTTCATTGGCCTGGCCTCGTGCGGCCTCCAGTCGGGATGTCTGAGCATCCGGTCCGGCTTTGCTGTTAATCACTTACACTTCTGTATTTGGTCGAGGAGGCCGATAAGGGAACAGAGGCATTCAGTCCTGCAACAAACATAACGGTGCCACACGTAGGGGCTGTCTTCGCTTCCGTTCGCAGTGAACGGTCTGATCGATTTCCACGTGCCGCTTCACACGACCATGTGAGTTGTGGGCCATCCAAAGTATCCGTCAAAGTCATATTAATTTATGAATTCTGTATATACTACTCTTTGGTTTGTTGTGTTCCCTGTTTTGTACGGTACTTCTATGCTGCAAGTGTAGATGCTTGGTTCGTTAAGTGTATTTTTCTTTGGTACATGAAACCAGGAAAAGCCAGACAAAGCGCACACCGGCACAGAGTGTATCGTATTAGAGTACTAAATAAATGTAAGTTGTATCTAATGACGTCCCACCGACAAGTCTTAAGAGTTCGCTAACAAGCTATGATGGTCAACGGACAGTTCCGAATTTAAAAGGTGATCGGAAACAGAATTACTGGAACAGGTTAAAATCTCTGAGTTGTTGAGGATACTGGAAATTTTCGAAGCGCCTTTGCTCCGTTTCTGGGAATTGTTAGGTACTGTCCAGATGAATACTTCGCTCAAAATGGTATGATACATTTAGTTTGTGCTCGTATATCCATATGATGTATGCATATATAATATAATGAATACTGTTTTTGTATTTGTGAATGTGTAGTATGTACAGGATTTCGACTCCAGGGAGAATTACTACAATTAGAAGTACTGAAGTAGTGATAAGTTTTGTAATGCTTTGTCGGTTGACCGGTTGCACGACGAAACGTATACGTGCCGTAGTTGCCTAAAAGTCGCGGAGACGGAAGTACATGCTCGTACTATTAATTTTCTTATAAAAGTTTAAAACACAGTACTACAGATATGACTACCCTAGTATTTATTCAAATTCAGTGTCTTTTTTCGGTATTCTACGGTGGTAATTTTCCGACGGTAGGAATAGTAAGTGGGTAATTATAAGATATGGCTAGTCACACTTACGCAGCACGGAAAAGATAGCAGCTTGGAATACTGAATTGCAAAGTCTGAATGATTCTGCAATTCTGCTTATGGGGGGAAGACTTAACAATTTTGATATAATTTTGGTGTTTATCAGACTAAACAGGATGAGGGAGAAGGGATAAAAGATTAAAATTTAGTAATACATATTAATGCGTACGTTTCGTGCTGACACGACCTTGGGTTGTGGTACGGTACCTCGCACGGCAGTCTCGTTGGCAGATGTTTCATTGTTTGCTCGGGTGAAGGAGTTGTAAGGTCGGCCTTCTAGAGTGCAATGGCACGACTATCGTAAACACCACATTAACGCGAAGGATAACCAAATTAAAATTGTAACGTGTTTTTTGGGCTGCTTTTTTATCTAGCAAGCACCATGTAACATATTTACCAACGTGCAAGTCGAAGATGAATTACAACTTTCGGAACCAAGTTAACGAAACTGCTAAAAAGTGTACTCGTACCTAAAACGCTAAAATCTACTGACAACGCGAAAGGTGTTCGTTCAATTGGACACCTCCGTGCTGATCGAAAAGTGACCGTGTCACCGTAGCATATTTATAAAGCATAATTAGATTGCAGACTGGCTATGCAGATTACAGATTTACAGTGTACGTAAATGCAAAGTCCTGAGCTGTTGCTATTGCTTTGATTATTTATCAAGTAGTTTTAGAATGTCGGAAGTGTCCGGCTGGATCACACCACGAAATCCACCTAATAAGAAGCAAAAAGCAGACCACGATAAATCTGCCGGCAGTGTGTTCAAGAATAATCTTTCCTTGCAGAATCGCACTGATAAGGCCTGAGCGATTAGATTTGTTTGGCACGGTTTTGGCGGCCTGCGCAAGACGCAAGACTAGGTCAGACCGCCTACCTTCAGTCCGAAGTGCGGACCGGCTGGGTAGGGTCATTGACTCGCTGAACTGAGCGGGCTGTTGCCATGGAGATGCTGAGCAAACTTTGAAAAAGTAATGCACAGAGCGAGAGCTTTCTGTTTGTCCGGTGGTGGGGTCAGTTGACGAGTGTCCTTATGCCGGAGATCTGTGTCGAAATCTCGCATGGTCTCTTGACGTTGGCGTGAAATGGCCACCACTTTTTCGAACAATATTATGCACGCTAACAAGATCTGTAGACTGACGTTCATATAGGTTGTTTTCTGTTTTCGTTCGCAGAATCCTAGAGATTCAACTTCCGACCTTACTGACCAGCAAGCGCAAATTTCGAGAAACCTTTGTGATTTTTCATTAAATCAGTCAATAACGCAGTTGTTACCCATTGTTCAAGCAGAGCATTTTTTACAAATTACGAAACGTATGTTTTCAATCTTTTGCTCTAGCAAAACAAAATTTAAAAATGCAGTGGCCTTGGTAATTAAAATTTGTTACACGTCGAACTGAAATTTAAAATCCATTAAGGAGTGCACTACGTTCGCGAGCGCAGGTAATAATGGCCATTTCTTAACCGCTTCGACAACTGAAGCAGTCGAGGGCGAAGTTTACAAAACTTTATTTCAGCGAAGTAGTTTTACTAGTTTGTCAGACAATACTGGCAGCTTTGAGCCTGAAGAATTTTCTGGCTTAAAAATCGTCTGCTGAACAGAAATGTCAGAAATTATGCAATTGTTGTTTCGTGACAATTTTAATAATCGATTACAGCCGGTACGTTGTCCTTCGTTGGTTGTTAGTGTTTGCAGTTATTAGTTTCGCGATTTCTAAGCTGGGTTGACCAGTTGGGTTGATTTAGAGTGCGCGCGAATCCTGAGTCAGCGACACTGCCGCAGTAGTATCCTTGGAAAAATTGTTCAAGGTGACTTCGAAATTCATTCACCTCAATAATTCGTTACATGCTACACTTTCAAACTTTGATGCGCGTTGCATGATTGTACTGCCAGCTGTTAGAAGCGAAGAATGGATCTGCTGGGCAAAACTAACCGTAATATTGATGATTCTAATTACTACAGCTCTTTTACATTTCAGAAAATATTTAGATAAAATATACGTGTCACTAATATTACGGTTTCTTAATTTTTCTCGTTGCGTTTACAAGTTAGTCATGTATTCGTACACATGTCTTTGCTCAAAATGACTTTCGAAAAAATTCATTAATTTTTAGTTATGTTTTCTCGCTGGCTTGCGTGTTGGGTCCGTCTATAAGGAATACGAACTGAGAGTATACCATTATAAACATTTTCTGTAATGCTGGTTAATTAGAACGGCTACGGTGTATTATTATACCATGATCACCTAATTTGAAGGAGTATAATTTAAAAAGTTTGTATTACTGGCTGTGGCGAAAAATTCGAATCTGAATGCATGCGATGCAGCGTCTGTGTTCCCACGCACTCCACCCATTCCCAACTGGTTTGGTTCGACCGTGTACGTAAAGGAAGAGATGCTGCCGTATTTGTATTTATGATTAGATGAAAAACGCAAGAAATTTTTCAGTAATAATATTATATGTGGACGGTGGGCGATAAAACTGTTGATCGCGCTACTGCGGCAGAACTAATTTTACCGACAGACCGCAGTAGACTTGTGCAACCACAGCGCATATAACATTTTACAATCATGACCTGCATCATTTCTTCCAAAATTTTTTGATTTAGTACTTACTCCCAGACACCTATCCGATGCATGAAGGTCATAGCCCCATTTGATCAAAGTCCAATTTGCGAATGTAGCAGCTGATTGCGCAGCGCGCCTTCCTGGGCTGCGGACGTTGACTACTTTGTTCATGCATTTCCTGCACCGTGCGCTGCGCATGCAGTGATAATACTGTGCTTAACCTTCCCAAGGGCATTTTTTGCCCCGATGTATCTTTAGTTTGCGCGCGCTGTGTCTCAAGCGTATAGCTGCTGCTGATTTTCGTTCATTTTACTGTTCACAGATTCTGCCGTGCATCGACACGGTCTTCTTCTCGATAGAAGATACAGTTTTTTGTTCCGATCGCAGTTTACCGTTTAACTACTTATTATGTGGCCTTGTATGCGTGTAGCGCGGTGCTCATCAAGTGTTAAGCCGGTCAGGTTATTGGAAAAAATATGATGCGCATACACAACACTGTCATTGCTCGGTATCTACCCATGTTCCACTGCGCATCTGTTCTCTAGTGCTGCAGTGTTATCAGGAAGCGTTACACATTTTAACGCTATTGTGTACGCTGAGAAAAGATTTTCTCAATAGTGTTGCTCTGTTGACGCTTACTAACGCGGTCGATACGTTGAATGTCCGCCGGGCAGATGTTGATCAGTTGTACGTGAGCAGCAAAATTAATCGGCTCATGTTTAAGTATGCAGTTTTGTTAATAATTTCGATATTGCACTGCAGATAGAAATTTATGTTAAATTAGCAAGTTAAGCCAGTTTTTTGTCTGGCTCATGGCCAGCATTGTAGTTTTTAATTGTCCAAGCCTTATTAATGTTTATTTGTCCAAGCCTTATTAATGTTTATTTGTCCTTCCACCAGGAAACGACATGGTGCAAATTGGCATGCTATCCGAGCAGAATCCCTCGTCGACGCCGCTTTCGCGTCCCGTCAACCGGCGGGACAGTCCTCCTCCGCACCGACTGTACATCAACGATGAGCACGTCAGCAAGTACGCTCGCTCGGACAGCCGCATGTCCATCGAGGGCAGCAACAGCGAGGATGAGGATGCCGGTTCGCAGGAGTCCGGCAGCGGCGCCAAAACGCCCTCCTCGGACATGTCGCTGCGGCTGCGCAGCTCCGACAGCGTTAGTCCCAAATCCGAAGGATTCTCATCGTCGCCCATGAGTGTCTGCGGGGATGAATCGGGCTCGTCGTCATCCCGCGGCGGCGGCACTCGTGCGGTGCTGGATCTCAGTATCTCCACTGCGTTTTCCCGCTCTAAACACAGCGCCGATGCCGACCGGACGCCGCCCACTTCCGGCTACGCCCACAACCTGGTGCCGCCCTACAGCCCGCTCTCCTCCTCCGCCTCCATGTCCACGTCGCCCTCGGGCTCCCCGTCGGCGACGCCGGAAGTGAAGATGGACGAAATCTCCGTGCACGATATCGCCAAAGAAGAAGTCATTGATCGACGCGCGCGCTCCTCCTTCAGCGATTACCACAGCCGCCCCGGGGGACCGCTTGCGGCGGTGGCTACGGCAGGCCCCGCTGGCGCTACCGCCCGCTACCAGCGATTTTGATCTGCCGAAAAACTTTTACGGCTACTACGTGTACCAGCTGGAATTGGCCAGCCGCTTCAGCAGTTCACTGAAGACGGTTCCCAACGGAAACAGCAGTCCGTTGGTCGGCAAGGTCAAGCCGACGATGAAGAGCGAAGCCAAGGAGGAGGACGTCGTCAGCTACGGATCCCTCTTGGAACAGGCGCTGCGGAACGGTCTGAAACGCAGTCCCAGCGAAATCCCTTCCGGTCACAGCGAGAAGAAGTCCAAACATTCGACGCCGGTATCCACGCCGCCGCCCTCGCAAGCCAACAGCCCACCCCATCAAGGCGGCAGTCAGAATGTCAGTCGCACTAACACTGCGCACATTAGCGTGGAGGATGTGGCCGAAACCAGTTTGCGGGAGTTGCTGCACAGTAAGCAGATGCAGGAGGCTAAAGCGGCGGCAGCGCTGTCACAGGGTCTGCCTGCACACGGCACATCCTCCCACGGGAGTCGCAGCTCGTCGCCGTCGGTCAACCTGAAGACCCTCCTGGAGACACAAAACCGCGAGGGAATGAAAGGTCAAGGCAGCGGGTCATCGCGAAGTATGGGCGGGGATGTGGCCTTCCCCAAACATGCCATTCTGCAGCAGCAGCTCCACGTGCCCAGTGGCAAGCACTTTGCCGCAGGGCAACCGCTCTTGTATCCGCACATCCTGACGCGCCAAGCCAGTCCTCCGCCGTCAATGGGACGAGGAGGGCAGGACGGCGGCTCGGCGTTTATTGCACACTCGGCGGCATCGCTGGCGCAGCCACCGATCGGCATCGGATTTAAGCATCGGAAACTGCTGGAATGGACTGCAGCGGATGTCCGTGACTGGATTTCTACGCTGAATTACTGCGCTGAATTCGCTGATGTAAGAATAGCCATGGGCCTATATTTCTATTAGATTATCCTGTTACTTATAATTATTTGTCTGTGATTGTTTTATTGTACAGCTGTGCTTATAATATCTTTTGCTCGGCAAAGTGCAGAAATAATTTTAATACGTGCAAAGTCTCTTTTAATTTTAATTTTTAATACAGTATTTAATTTAATACAGAATGCGAACTAATTCTGTTTTGTTTGCAGATTTTCTTGCAGCAGTCGGTGGACGGAGTGGCACTGACGCTCTTGAACGAAACCCATTTGATGAAGAACTTTGGCATGAAACTAGGACCGGCCATCAAACTACGCTGCGCCGTGTGGGAAATCCTGGGTTTATGCCAAGCCGCCGGTGCGATGCAGCCTCAAATGCAGATGCCTCATTTTCTAAACCAAAAACAGATCCCGGTGGGACATTGCATTCCCCAGAATCACAACAGTGCCATGCCAAAATCATAGGTCTTTGATCGCAGTGCACACTACTGCACATCCCCGGTTAGAAAAAGGGATTACCTATTTTGACAAGATAACAAGTGGAATGTGTTGTTCTCAAAGTATCGGCGTGGTTTTTAATTGTTACTTAAATAATCGTGCACTTCCGGTGCACAATTTTTAAATAATTGTCGAGTATTAGTCAATAAGATTCTGCACATGCATGAGTTCCCATTTTCTGACAATATTATATAACTATGTAATTTCTGTTATTGGTGTTTATTTGATCTTTTAATGATTTTGAATTTTTGTTTTGTATTACTAGATTGCTTATTACTACGTCTTATTCTTTTGTATTGTCATTGTTGTTTGTTCTGTATTATACCAGAAATTTCGGGTGTTAAAATGTACATTTCTTCGTTAGCTGTCTTTGTGATCTTTTTTTGCGGTTGCGATATGGTATGTGGTTGGATTGTTAAATTGTTGTTGTTGTCGATGAGTTGGGGTTGCGTTGCCGCTACAATAAGTACTAGAATAGCCAATATAACAAAATCAATAATTCTACTAATAGCTGTTTCGTTTCTCTCAGTAAATTCAGCCTACGGAAAGAAGTTCGAGCAGTTTCTATCTTTTTGTGCATAGGCCAAAATAATGAAGATTTATCAAATACAAAAAAAAACAGAACAGTAAGTAACGTCAGTTCATCCCACAACACCATATTGTCACTCTCGCAACAAGAAATTTCTACAAAAAGGTCAAAAACAAAAATCGAAGACAGAATGATTGATTTACTGTACATAGAACAGTTATCCGGAACGTAAAACAAGGCAACAGCACTAGCACTGCCCAGACATAAACCCAAATCGCCCTTCCTGTAACAATCCGCATCATTTTTGAGCAAGCCAAAATATTAGGCAGCACCATCGAAAAAGCATTTGGCCAAAGCAATATATTTGTTCCACCGCAGCGCGACCTTTCGACTGCTGTGCGTCACTCTGTCCTGGATCTGTCACCCGCGGCAACAATCTCATCGGCGATACAAATCCAGATATACTTAACTGCAGCACTCTGCAGCGTTATAAAGAGCTTGTTCTCTTTGGTATACAGCACGATACAGCTTTCCAGTCCGCCGCATCCCTTCCCCGGAAACCCGCGTTTCAGGCACACTGAGCGCGTATCAAGGGAGATACACGCAACGGAATGCATTTCGTGGCTAATACGCACAACAACCACACCCCATGTGGTTCCGGATAATAATATAAAGATAGATACTTCATTGTAATACTGAAAGCCCCTTGGTTCAACCATCACGTCGAGGAAGAAGCATTCCCCTCCACCGCCAAAGCCAGCCCACCGAGAACGGCGCCAAATGCATCGGAGAACGTCGCTATCCACACCGTGAGTGCGCGTTTCCGACCGAGATCAGGTCATTCGGCACGCATTCCCCCATCCACCCGTTCAAGTAGTCCCCAAGGCAGAAAGCAGTGAAAGGTCACAAGGAAGAGATCCCACCCGGAAAGGAGATTAAAGGTAGACCTTTTTACTGGGCAGATTGGGCTTGGCTTCTATTGTGGATGTAGCGTGATTTTTCAAAGTGTTTCGCTGGAGATTCAGCACGACGTTGATGGACTTGGAGGAGGGATAGTCGGCGGGGGCGTAGATTGGTTCGCTTCGATAGTCGGCTGGCCGGGGATCCTGGCCGGGGCGGTGTGGACCGTAGGAGTAGTCGGATGTCTCCGACAGGTTACTTTCTTTGAAGGCGGAGTTTCGGTAGCGGGACACTTGGTAGCCGATGAAGAAGCCAACCAGGAGGGATGGCAAAAGGGTCATGACGACGGCGATGGCCAAAGTTTCTTCTTTGTACACGTTGCCCAGATCAGTGTTAGCGGTTTGATATTCCGGCACTATAATGAAATAAAAAAATGGTTCTTCAAGTATTGCCGGTCTGTCACACGTGACACTGAAGGATAAGCTAAAACACATTATGTTTTGAAGCATAAAAGCAGCACTCAACGGCCAGGCCACTGTGTCCTTCCGTGTGTCTCATCTTATGTTAAATTCTCGGTTTATGTTTTTTCGTTTAATAATGTTCGTATATTGATGTACTGTAAACTTTTTCCAAATTTTCATGATTTTCAGCTTTTTTACCAAAGACAGCGTACTAGAAGCGAGTTTCGAAAAAACGTTGTGCTTTTAAACTGATTCGCATAAGCTAACGATAGTTTTATGCATACGTAATCGAGGAATATTTGAATGCAATTTAACGAGGATCACAAAAGTTGCAAATTTCTCAGATCGCCAGCCGGCATCAGTTTTAACGGACTGGTGATCTGCCTAGCTACCGGAGATCAAAACATGTGCGGATCTAAATTTATCCGACTATTCTTAGGTTTTCTGAGCTATATCTTAAACGTTTTGAATACGCCAGCGATCTTGTGTATAGGTAAACAGAAATACTTTTTCTAAAAACATTTTAAAAAAAGCGCGAAGGAAGCTGCATTTCTCTCCATCTCCGAAGCACAGATAAGCAGGAAGCCATAGAGTGAGTAAAAGCCCATCACCATGTTATTAAAATGAGTTACATCAATAATGCTCACCAGTCAGGTCAATCATCGATTTGATGCATATGAAATTCGTTAGTGCAAGCAAGGCAGAGTGAACAGTGATCACGCTGAAACTGCTTTAGTAGGCATTCATGGAATAACAGCAGATTATGAAAACGAGAGCTAGTCGATACCGAAATTTTAACTATCAGCAACGGTAAATGACACAAATCTGTAGACATTCCGAAAGGAAACCCCCACAACGACAAAGACTGGCACGAAAAGGACGCGAATACAAGCACGCAAACAGCAAACAAACACAGGACGGATACTTCGTCGAGAGAAATACAGCTTACCTTCGTTGTCCTCGGGCTTTTGCCGGTTATTTTTCGACGGATCGTGAACTGAAACAAATAAATTTCTCCGTCGCAGACCAGTGCATTAGACATGTCACGCAAAAAGGCATTAGAATTTCTTACAGTGGTAATCTTCGTTTTTCCAAAACGGTGAAAACACATGCCTAATCGTAATTATTAAATAAATTGCTCCTTATACTGCATGAAGCCATATTTACAGGGTACAAACAAGAAATTCTGTTAAACACAAATTATCTGAATTCCGCTTGAATGGTTCTAATGCCTTTTTGTCGTGCTGACAGCAACGAGTCATACGACGTACTTGCTACGCGATTCTGATCATGCGCAGAATGGGCACTGTTGGGACAAACTGGACACTGCAGCTGTGTTATGCATGGCCGACACAAAGGCACAGTGGCAGCTGCTACGGGATTACAAAAGTGTTATCCAAAATTGCACATTTGTCTTTAATTCGCTACAAAGACCTAGCAACATCCTCATCTTCCATACATACCCTGATTCGTTGTTGGCGAGTAAGGAATGGACGGATCTAAGGAAACCACACAAGCAACAGTGAGAACCGGGTTAAAAAAGCCATAAATCAACATCTGTAGCTTTACCGGCAGGGCATCGTTCATGTAATCCGGTTTTGATGTTCTGAATGGGTCCCGCGCCGGACTTGGGCCACGGGAGATTGCTAAACAAAATTAGCCCCAATCTGTCAGTTATTTTTCATCAACAATTGTGGCGCGTCATCCGCCGGAAAGCGGACGCGTGCAGCACGTCCGCCTTACCCGTTATTTTCATCCATGCTCATACACTTATCGTTCACCCAGGCACACATAGGGTCCCGGAGGCGCACGCACTCCCGGCATGTGGATGCCAGATAGCAGCGCTGCAGTTTCAACGAATGGATCTCGTTTTCGAAGACCACAACCACGTGATCGTTGGCCACCAACAGATTTGTCACCGGTTGGCCGGGTAGAACTTCGATGTCCTCGATTATCAGCTGTTCTTCGCCATTCCTGTAATAAATTAAGAATTAATGTGTTGCCTGACAGGAAATGTAAATGATTAATCAGCCGAGCCATTAAAACGTTGGCGCACCTTATAGAGGTCTTTCAAACCGAATTAAAATTAATTTCGCAAATTAGGCCAACGTTCGCATAGTTCTGATTCTCGAAAAACGTTCAATCTGACATCAATCCGATCACAAATTTTAAAGGGGTGAGACAGAGCTTTTGATACAGCATCATCGCTAATCCTGCAAATTTGTCTCGATCGGACACGGGTTGTTGCACTACACAATTCGCACTGTTATTCCCCCATTAACTTTCCATACATGCAAATCGCTCTAGCTAAAAACCTTTCAATAGAATTCATATTCACCAATATTTAACCAGTCCGAACGCTTACATTTCTCCGTGATCAGTTCAAACAGCCATTACCTATTATCCAAATCAAGATTGACTGCCTTGATCACTCGTCCATCATTGGTGCCGATGAAGAGCACATCGTACACCCGCCCGTCCACGCTGGGTTTCTGCGGCGCCACGGCCACCGTGGTGAAGCGCGTCTGCAGACTGATGTGAATGAGCAACGGTCGCCCGTACATGGCCGGTACTGCCTCGTCCATCAGAGTGTGCTTGGACAGGAAATTCAGCACGTCATCCGGCAATGTCAGCGAATCGTTGACACACCTAATTAATCCAAAACGAGCGTGAAAATCGCAAAAAATCCATACCGAGTATGCCAAGCATCAAGTAAACAATGAAGTTGCTGTTCTGGTGAAATTAAAAAATTCTGGTATGTACCTTCCGGGCCGCGGCTCTGGAACAGTATCCGGTGCAACGGGCAGCCAGTTGTTATGAGGATTCTTCTGTTCTTTGAATCGTCCATTGAATGTCCGTTCAATGTCCCCAAACGTAAAGGCGCAAACTGCAGACCCGGTCAGACTGTTCTCCGGCGTCCCGAACACGGCGTAGACGACATCCTGTTGCCGACCGTTATAATTGCCCTTGACCAATCCCGAGACCGACTGCAGTTCATCGAAATAAAACGGATATTCTCCGGGCACCGAGCAGTTCAGTCGGGACTTCAGGAACGACGTCCAGATGTACTTGGTGCGCGCGCTTCCTTTGTCATTCTTGCAGACCCGTGCCACGCGACCGTATATTGATTTGCCACAGTTCGTGTACTCAATAGCCGATTCACGGAAGAAAAAGTACGCATATTCACCATTGGCAAGCGATCCGATGAAGTTGGGCTCTGCAACAGCCAGCACACAATGTGAGTGTTATGCGTCAACATAAAGGGGAACAAGACCCGGTCTGTGAGATAAATTGACTGATCGGTTACAATTTGGTGTCAGAGAGAGAAAAACTCGATGGGCTGAAAATGGGACTTGGCCAAAACAAACCAACTGCGATGCGGTCGACGACCGGCGCGCTGTCAACGAGTTATGTTTGCTTTTTTCCCACTGATCCATAAAAAGTGCTACATATCTAGCTTACTGTGATCCCAGTTGGAAACGGGCTGAGATTAACACCCCGAGCTGCTGAAAATGCGCAGAGCGGGTTTCGAGTGAACGCACATGCAAATAATCCACTAAAGCCAAAAATCACTGTGCGGTTTGTAATCCATTTACTCATTCGAGACGGTAAGGAAATATATACCTAGCTTATCAAAGTTCAGAAAACACTCCATTAAAATAATCCTCAATGTAAAAATAAGAAAATCGTTTTGTAGATGGCTTTAAGCAGAAAGTACAGTTACAGAAGCGAATGAGAAGCATCGATTACGCTTACCATTGAAAAAACTTGTACCATCCTTCGTTTTCAACGTTTTCGGGCTGCGAAATATCGAGGGGATCTGTCCAGAGAAGTCGGATACTGTCCCGGCGAAGAGCTGATCGTCCACTTGCAGTGCGGTGCTATTGTGTCGCGGATCGAAAGGACTTGACCCAACCCCACTAAATTCCCTGACTTGCTTAAACTGGCCATCTTCGAACAAATAATCCCGACATTTCGGGTTGTACGCATTGGTTCCGCAGATGAGCATCTGCTCCGTCGCCGGTTTCTTCATTAGAACCCGAATGTAATTCTGACATTCCTCCTGCAAAACAGCAAAAACCCGGTTAGCCACGACAATACAACCATCTCCACTCAAGATCCGCATTCCGGCACAATTCATCTGAATGGTAAACAATCTCTGGGCCCGTGTAACCCTATACCCAAACATGTCCATCATCATTGAATAGGCAGTTGACTTAAATATGGATTATGTGGACCTAACTGATAAGTAGACACGTTTCAAGCAATTAGGGCCATTGATTATGTATTCACGGAGAGCGGGAGTACTTTTATTCACGTTTTATGCCCGGCATCATTTATCCCAGCGTCTTCCATAAGCGACTCTGGGGACTTCCGCATAATCTATCTCGTCAGTGGGGCAAACACACCATTTTCACCATGTGTACAATTTACTCGGACCCTGTTATGTCTTTCATGTCGATCCCCAACTGACCGCGACCGGCTTCTTAGCCGCTCTCAACGCTTCTTCGCTCGATTGGTCTGTGTATGCCGGGAAGATTAAGGTTCAAGCGCCAAATTCCATTTCGAGGGGAATGACCCCAAGGGGATTCATCCTTTATGCGCTCCCCGAAACAATTTCGCCTCAGATTACCCGGCACTGTGTGCGATAAACACCGGAAATCCAAAATTCATACCCAACTTTTCGACCTTTTGTCCTGCTTTCCATAAAGATGTCAACTGGATCCAGCAGTAATTTGTCGTAAGGGATCTTTAACAAAGAAGTCTGGCTTTCTGCATTGTGTTTTCGACTCGGCAGCCGAATCGAATCACAGAAAACGAAATACCTTATGCGTCCTGCACCCCAGCACATAAATGTTAATATTATATAATGTTTTATGTAGTCCTGGCTCCAGGTGTCCGGCTTTCTGGCACACCAGTGCCCAATGCAACGGCACCATCTGGAATGCCGATCGTCGTACAGGTAGTAAGACACAGCTCGTGGAACGACTGAATTTTAGCGTTACAATAGGATAAACAACCTGGAGCTATTTTAACTCAATAAAAAACATGTGGTGCAGTTCAGCTGACCATAAAAAGCGCTCTCACCGGAATGCGGAGATAAATTCAAGCAGATGAGTGCCTTGTTATACTTACGCTGCTCTTTCCCTTAATCGTGCATGTCTCAATATCCTGCGTGGAGGAAAACCATTCCAATCGCTGTAAAATGCAAAATTTATATGAGAAACATGATCATTAATCATGAATGAATGACCGGGATTGTGAAGAGTGGACAACTGGCTACAATGTATGCACGCAGATATACTGCCCGGCATTTGAACGGCTGCAATAATATTGCTAAGCCATGTGCGTGATGGATGGGTCAGATGCTGTCATGGGAGATTTTTCTAATAGTCTTCCATGAAAGCACTCATAAGATTTTAATTACGATAAAATTTCATGAGATTTTTATAAATAATCCCTAGCATTTTGCGAGCCGAACCATTTGGTACATAAGATTTACAATCGTATATTTCGATTTCATCCCACAAATATGTGTCATATTTATGTTGATTGCATAAGCAAGATCAAGAAAATGCCACACCAAAAGCCTGGCCCTTAACAGGCATTCACTACGGACACATAACGCTAATTACTAATGGAACTATATCATCAAATTGGGGATTAATTCGATCATAGTCAGCTTGGGGAATCTAAAGCATTTGGTACTTAATTCAGGTGACTGGGTCAACTGTAGTCTGCATGTATGCTGATTGCGAGATGCTCTCGTTGAATGAAATGGTCACCGATCGCGAATAATACTGTAACAATCTGCCATATTTCATATTCTTCACATTATGCCTTATTATGGAGCAGTACTCTAGCCACCGGACATGCAAAGCCCATTTATTCGACAACTGTGCGATGGTGCCGAAGCGATTACTGTTCAAATGTATTTATTGTAAAATTCACTGTATGCACTACTCGTACAATAATTTCCCTAATGATTTCCTCGCTTTGAATCTGTACTGAAAAACAGCTTGAAGCCAGCCATTAGAGGTCCGAAAACTGCCCCAGGCAAGCAAGAGTGACCATTTTAAATTCCCCAGTTCCCAAACATTATTGCAATCACACACCAACACCGCAGTCCATCACAATTTTACTATCGCACAGCAATCAAAGTAGAAACTAGAAATTCATCATTCTAAACTGATTGTGAGTTCAACAAATTCTAAACCAATAAACTATAACCCTCTCTGTTGGGCGCAGCTGACATTCCTTAAAAGTTTTGAAGGTTCGTGAGAGTTCAGAAGAGAAATTTTTTGTTTTGTAGAAAGAACAGCTTGATACGACACAGCAGGCGCCAATTTCAAAACATCAAATGTTTTGTAATGCCGATAAACTAACTATTTGCTCGGCTTAAGTTTTTGGAAGTAAACAAGACAAGTGCTTATTTGGCAGAACCGACTGCAGTATCGAATTACGGCAGCAAACAATGGTGTAAATCCATGCTCAAAAAGGTTAACAACATGTTACCAGCAGAATCTGCCAACAAAGTTTATTGTGGTGTTCTCGGCACGGAATATTTACACGGAGCAACTGGAAAACATTCGCGCGGTGGTATTCATAAGGTATGTTCATAAGGTACTCATAAAGCATATTCATAAATTCTAATTTAAATGATAGGAAATAATGTGCAATGCAGCCTGAAAGATAACTCTAAGCCAGGAAAATAAAACAATGAAACTGTGACGGTTCAAGGTTACCTTGCCTTCATTTTTATGATTCGCATACAGAGGATCAAAATTTACGGGCACTTTGTGAAGGCCGCGGCGAACCATTAGCGAGCATTGTATGCAACATGGTTGCTCTCTGAGTCCAGTCATGCCTATTTTATCAGGTGCATACACTGACCGTTACCGGGCCCCAAATCAAATATGCACTGCGCACCGCAGTGAATCAACAATTCAAATTCAGCCCATACTGCACCTTCCATAATCCAGGAAGATGACTATTTGTTCGCTTGACACAGCAGAACCGAGAAGTATTTTCGTCAATTTACATTGCATTCTTTGTTATGGAGATGCAGGCACTGTTAAAACGAAATATGACACCTCTCTTCCCCATTCAACCAGCGAAAAATTACGCAAACGAAAGAAAAATAATCGGCTTACAGCTTTTGATTTTACGCTGATAGACGCATATGCGAAAATGTCCTCGCACTCAAGGGAATGTCAAATAAAACTCCAAAATATCTCTGTTTTACTGCAGTATTTGCCTATTACAGGGTACCGCTCATTGCCATACCAAGCATTTTTACGGTTATAAAACATTACAACTGTTTAGAATTCCTGAACTAATGCTGTGATAAAATGCAATAAATTTTTAGCCATTAAGGGTTACATACAACCAAAAAAATAAAGTGTATGCGTATAAACAAAATGCATTCGAAGTTTTGTACACAAGGGGATAATTTTCCAACTGGCAGTTACCACAAGAAGAACTGCAAGTATGTATTATTGATTTTTTTAGAGTAACCATGCTTATGAACCAGCTTAATACAGTCTGATTGCAAGCGGAATTTTCAAAGCCTCCTTGTTATGTATTACGTAAAACTCTTAAGAATTGCTTGTGCCTGTCTATAAAAAAGTAATTCCAGCTATATCATCAATATGCCCATTAATTTCCATATCCCGTAGTTTATTTTGCGGACCATGACGCATCGTTAAATAATCGAAATTTCGTGTATCTTCCTACACAAGCAATCGGTAGTTAATTGCGTAATATCGATCGGGCTGTGCAAGTGAAGTGATTTGAATCGTCCCTCTCTGACATTCGATATGTGTGGTAAAGTTTGCATTTGTATGTTTGCGCGATTGCGCCAGTTGTCCCCAGCGTTATTACGAGCATAGGCTGCTGACATGATTTCTTACCTGATTCTCCCGTAATGTTAGCAAACTGATGTTGTACACCAAGTTTCTGCAACAAAACAACCAGGCAAAACATTAGCATTTTCAACGACAACCATTCATCTGCAACAAGCTACTCTACGCACAACCAAACGAACGCTAGTGGTTCTGTTAAACCCGAGCTCCAACTCTCTTGTTGGAACTGTTTCATTTTTTTTTCAAACGGGACAAGTGGGTCACTGGCTAGAGTTAATAATGCGCTTAATGGCCAGTGTGTGTTTCAACATTTCAAGATTTTTCTCCCGACCATAGCGATGCGCTTAACATGTAAAGCGCATTTTCTGTCTCGCGTCCATCGTCTATCGGCGACGTTGGCTAGGTCAACATTTGTCTAATATGTCAGTATACGATACACACTTCGTCCTTTTCATCGAGGTACACACCGATGGCAGTGCCAGTGTGGCTTGGCTTTCCGCTCGATTATAAAGCACGTCGGTTCGCTTTGACGTAACCAGTCAACAGCAAACCTGTGACAACTTAATCGTACTACAAATCATCAAATTCCAAAATACCATGTAAATGGGAGAGGTGATTGGAGCTGACGAGAGATGCCGGGTGATTAATAAAAATGCAGCTTCATCCTAATGTTATGCAAATTACACTAATAAAGCACTTGGTTGATTATTGCTAACTAATTGTCGATTGGTGAAGCGTTTGTGCGGAATCTGCCTAATCTATCATTTGGCTGCGAAGAGTGGTTAAACAGGAAGCATCGTTATTGAAATATGCATCGTCGAACTCGTCTGGCGCTGAACGAGAGACTGCATAATTTCCCAAACAAATACAAATACACAGTCTGACGCCCCGTCGAGCGTCTTCCGCTTCCGCGAGAACGCATCGTCCAAGAATGCTTTCTTCTTCTCTTATATCATTCAATTATAACTATAGTAATATTTCCAATACAGTTTATCAGCAAATGCCCTCACCGAGCTCCGACCAGTAATGACGATCCGTCGCGCTCCAGTAACCGGAAGTAATCAGGCCCACTGCCATTTCCCGTAAACTGTTTGGATGTTTTCCTTAGTTCATCTGAAATCACAAATGAAAGCCTTGAACTAATTTGACGGTGTGTCTATATGACTATAATTTATTTCTAAACAAAACTACAGCTAAATAAGTAACCAAATTTTGCACAAAAAAGATCTTACAATTAATTCAGTTTTATTTTGTACTTGCGACCGGCAACACACCGGCTCTGTAACATTTCTTTCCGCTCTTGTCAAACCATCAGGTCAACGCCGGCTCAATCATCGCTGATAAGGCGACGAATGAATTAAAAATTTATTGTGTGAACAGCAGACATTATTAATTTTCTCATGAGCGTCTTTGGGCCAGAAATGTAGGCCGGTCATCGTGCCCAGCACCGGGTTCTTTCGAGACCGCATATGGTTGCGAGGAGTAAGATCTATAAAACGCCACATCTCCCTAACCACGCACAACTTCCCACCATATAAAAGTCATTACGCTAACCTACTCATCAATACTACTACAGAGATATCGGATGACCACCGCCCATCCGAAATCTGAATCAAATTTAGAAGCAATTCGAGCGTGCAGAGCTATTAACACGAGAGTCCATATTGGTAACAAGCTGGTTCCATCATAATGGACCATCAGCATCCACATGCCACGTTTACGCTTCTGATCAATATGAAGTTTTCATATCACAAGCCATCTCTGGCGACGCTTTCTCCTCCAAATTCACCCAAATGGTAATGGTTCTAATTTAAATTTTCAGTACCATAATGCCTAGAGGTGAATGTCTGGAGTTCTAAACACTCTGAACTGCATAAATGCATCGACAGATGGGGAGCAGCAAGCGTTTTACTGTCCGTTTGTACTCTTACTCCCAAGTTTCCAACCAAGTTTTGTACTTTGCCAAGCCGTGACATGCAAGCGAATTTTTACTTTGGTTTTTGTAAACATTTAAAGTACGATTATAATATGTAAATCAAACAATTTCTGATGTACCAAACAGCAAATATTACGATTCCAGGCTCAAGACGTCTTAAGTTTAAACTAATAACGGTTAGTGCGAAATTCTGTAACCTGCTGTCCAAGTACTGATTGAAATCAAAGAAAATTTTGCCATCAAAACAATTTCTCGGTCAAAAGCGTCTTCACAAGATTTCTTTTAGAAAATGTCGACATAATCGAAGAGCAAGTAAAGCTGGCCTGCGGCTTGCGGATTACGATTTGTTGCCAGTTTTATGATCAAGCGCAGTGAAATATAACACGTCATGACTGCGCTTCGAATAAAAGTCTATCAAATACGATTCGCTCAAGCGCACCGAGCACATCAGTTCAGTGAGAAGGAAAGCAAATACGATCAGCAATCTCCCAAAACCATATCTACAAACAAAATTTTGTATACCCCGTATAAATACAACATAATCTTCCGTGAAAAATAAAACGCTAAAATCCACTGACAGCCAGCAGAGGCCTGGGTTATTATGGGCCCTCACCGAAGCACATCATTAATATCCGTCAGGCCATCTTTCAAGAGATTTTATTCTGCAGTTATGAATGCCTTACTAGTTAAGGAAGCACTTTACCATTAGAATTCTACTGACATTTTGACCGCTACCATTGAGATCTCATTAATCAAAAATGGAAAAAAAATATTACTGTTACGTATATCTGTACTGAATATCCAATTTTAATGGAATAAGATGGAAACTCTGCAGCTGTGGCAAAATTTTACATGTCTCGAAAAAGATACAGCACTTATAAGCCTCTTCATTATTACTTCGGCAACTCTACCATAACAGATATGCAGACTGCAGAGAGTATACTGAAATCCCAAAATAAATTAAAGACGTAAATTGTTCGGAAATTTTCCCACAAGAATTGCACAAGTGAGATTTTACTTTGCTATTCCATTTTTCTTTAACTGTTGAAATCTTTGTAGCCTAAACAAAGCCCTAGTTGCATGTTGCTCCTGCGAAAGTACACACAGACGATATTCTTCCTTGTGGATGTTTATAACACAGTTGAGAAGCAAACAGAGCACATCCGCAAAGTGATCCCCGAAGACCGGCTACTGAAACAATCAATTTGGTCCTCTCACTTCAGTTTTCATCCCCAGTGTACGCCTGGTTTAAAATGGAGAGCGCATCTTTAGAGTTTGAAAGACGGAGCTCTCTTCAAAGTTTAAGAAGTCCATCAGAGAATCCCCTCGTAATGCCCCAAGTGTACTTGCAACTGTATAAATAACGATTCCCACCAAGTGAAGCGCATCGACAAAAGGTCATCAGGCTACCAGAAAACAGATAAAAATGCAGAAACAAGTGCCGGCGCTTACTCTTCATTTAACTTGCCCGAACAAAGTGCACCAATATCCTCCCTATTTTACTCTTTTCACTAATTCATTTTAACTTATTGAGGACAGCCTGTTAGCATAAAATCCATTTTCTGCGGTTAACCAGTGGACGGTGCCGAAAATGTGTGTGCAGATAAAACGCAAACTCGTGTTTCCAGGCCATCGATGTTTATAAATCATCAATATCAATATTCCCACTTTATACAGTTGCGCCGTTAGTCAGACGGTGCACGAGAGGAGAGCCTAGATAACGACAGAGTGACCAGTTGTCCTTGCGTTTCCGGTTAGGCACTCTCCATACCCTGCCATCGCTAAATGCTCCACATTGACATGTAGCACACAGATTAAAGATTTCGTTGCCTACATTTTCCAATCAGGCAGGTTTAAGACCCGGCACGTGCAAGCCTGCTCTAATACGTTATCGAACGGATATCATAAGTGCTTGAACAGAAATCCAGCCAGAAAAATATGCCATCTTGACCGCATTTTGTAACATTTTTCAGACACGGAACTGCGTGAAATTGTAACAGCAGCTGGCATCCCTTGCTGCCCTGCCATTGTACAGCAGTTGCAGTCTCTTTTTTATTTATGGAGGTCGGCAGCTTCTCCACACATTTCAAGATCTGCAACAAAGGCTGCTAAGCAGCAAAAAAAGAGAACCTTGGTTCTTCTCAACAAACTCTCGAGTTTATTTGCGGTCGTGGCTTTCTTTACTTTGGCTTGTGTTTGACTAAACAGTAAATACAACATCCATTTGCCGTGCTGTTTCTCTAAATTGTTTGTATTCCGGAGGTTGTACAACGTCAGTGCATTTATGCCTCGTTACCTCATAAACAAACGAAAGTGCAAAAGAAATTATGCTTTGCATAGATATAGATGTGACACGCTTGACTAATCAATCTGACCGTGCAACGTATATTTGCACACGTTTTCTGTTTTGCACAATATTAAATGTGATCAAATAACGATGCTAGAATGCTGTGTAATATGTGCGGTATCAATAAAATGCACAGACCGAAAAGAAACGCGCTCAGCTCTCCGTCGACATGCGTACGGGATGCTGTGCACATGTTAACAGACATGTCTGTTTGAATGTTGCCAATGTTTTGCATGACAAGTAACCGAGATTTTTGAATTTAATTCAAAACGATACAAACCGAATCACATAACATTGGTCAACCAATGCATAAACCAACATGCAATGTTGTAATCAGCTAAAACCGCGCTCCGCTGAACTGAAAGCCTAATTCAATCATGCAAATTCTTTACCCATACACTATACAGGCATGACTGTGGGAAAAAACACCAATCACGAAAAGTGATGGATGCTAAAAATCATTAGAGAGATGCCCAATAAACCGATACACCAGAAAGAACACAGCTCACGACAACAAACATGACACAATTTCCCAACAAACTCACGTCAAGACTTCTGTCATACGAACGGTTTTTTGGGAATTCGTGACGTCGTTATAGTGTATGTCACTGTATCGCTAAGCTAACTCGTAAGTTGCCAACGACATTTACAGCTTTTTTTCCAACGATTTCTGTTTTGCAAATACTCTAGCCTTTGTTCAACAAAGCTTTCTGACAATCCTGAAAAGCAAAGCCTTTGGATGAAATCCAAAATTATGGATTACGTTTTTTGGTATAAAGCTTCTAATCCTTTTTTATGGCAAACTATGAATGGCTGGCAGAGTGCGTCACGAAAAGCGCCTTGGAATGTGCGATTTTCAAGAACAACAATACAAAAAATAAAAACACGCTCAAGTTATGACAAACATTCTTCTGCCATTTGAGGAAAAATTTACTGAAAATAATCTGCAGAGAAGCGTACTTCATAATATTTGCCGAACGGTCAAGGAAGTAAGATGCCTTATACAAAAACATCCACCCTCTGACAGAAACAGACAGACGTCTGCTATGGAAGATCGCAATGTAAATAGGTATATCTTACGAGAAAAAATCATCAACGTCAGTATTCTCAAATATAGGTTCAGTCTTCTCTAACCCTAAACTCAGTTGGTAAACAGCTCGTGAACGGAAAAAATGTGCCGTTTCAAGGGGTTAATTGGTAACCAGCATGGTGGTATCACATTCGCCAGAGTATCCTATCGTCCCAACAAATTGCTCCCCAGTAGGAAACGCCCTATAAATTTGCCAGCACACCGAGATGAATTTTCTATTCGATCAGTAATCTTGAGCGGTTAGGATATCAGCCCAGTTTTAGCGACACCAAGAAAAGTGAGTTTTCAATACTGTCATTGCACACACATTTCCGTAGTGTCCCCAACAAACGTGGCAAAATAGTTTCCCTACAGCTGGCGCCTTGTCATTTCGTGATTGCTCCGTAATAAATAAATAAAAACCGGCACACTTGCTATTCGGCCTAGTTACCCAACAGGAAATTAAAGCTAACATTATTCCCATGTTTCTCTGGTGATGACATTTGCACTTGTAAGCAAAACTTAACGGCTCTGATGCTCTTTCTCCAGGGAGCTCCCTGGAAGCCGTTCTTCCGGTTTGCGTACGATTGCATACACGAATATGATTACGCGACAGCCCAGAGACAATCGTCATTATCCAATTGAGACGGGGAAAAAGTGGTGGCAAGCTAGAGCTAAGCTTTAATCGGCAGTATTCTCCGGCGTCGCACATCGCATATTCCGTGCACGAAAAACTTGAACAAATTATGATGGATACTTGATGGATGAGTCGCGGACTCTGGCGTTTGTCGCGCCACTTTTTATCCCCTCAGCCAAGAGCGAGCCCCCATTAATGGATGTACAGGAGGGTCAGCGAACGCACAATACCATATTATCGACAACGTCAAGGATAGCCAACAAAAGCCTTATTTGTAATTATAACACTTTGCATTGTGACTACAGACGGAAGTATTTCTTGTACACCAGTACGGGAAAGGAAAAATAGATATTTGGAATCATGTAGTGAGCGCCTCTGCAGCCATCTTTTAGTTACAGAGTAATGCTAATTGGCACATCAATCGGCCAACTACTTACAAGAGCACTTCCGTCAAATTCATCAGTGATTTGAACCAGTTTATATTCATAAATGCCAATGTGATGCATGCCAATGTGATGCAACACCAGACTGCCCACTATTAATTTCTGGAAGTCAGGCCAGAGGCAAAAAAGCCGGCATTTAAGTTCCTTACGCATACAGACGGTTTACATAGTTTTTGGGATTACAGGATGTAATAGATGATTCTCCGTTTTTTAATTAGTTCACAACTGGAAAATAAATTTCTGCATTTGCGAAAAAAAATCAACTTTTTTTGCGAAAACGCTGTGGATGATTGAAAGTTCCTGTCATCCTTTAATAAATCATCCATTCAAAGCACACAAAATTATATCAGAAAAGAGGCACACCACAGGAATACGAATAATAATACTCTTCTGTGCATTCCATGTTAATCCTGTAAGTCACCTAAAAAGAATAATTTGTCCGAAATAAACGACTTTACAAAGCCAAAATGTAGTTACTCAATCCTACGCCCTGATAAATTACTATTGCATTGTGTCTGTTTATTTGTGACCTTGAGTAAAAATGCTATTACGCGCATTTCAAACGTGTAAAGCAAGCATATCGCATTACACACAATAATCAAAAAGCAGGATATTCTAACTGCCTGTTGCAAGTTGCGATTTATGGGCTTTATGGCTCAATTTTTTGCTCATTAGGCACACCTTTCCAGAGTGAAAGCCATAATGCAGGGACGGACATTTCGTCACGCTTTGACAATTTTCTACCACCCGTGCCTGGAAGTCAAAAATGATACAAAAGCGCACATAATAAAGTGTCAACATTGGGTTTTATAATTAGCAGGCTGGTAGTGATAAAACTCGGGCCATGAACTGCCATCAACTACCTTTTTCTGAGTAGAATAATGGCTTTTTCTGAAATTTTCTAGGCACTGGAAACTTGTTAATGGTGCAGTTCTCAGCACAAGATTATAATTATAATGCTTTGATATGCCATAAAAATATGCCTTAAGACAAGTTTTTTTAACACAAACGTATTATAAAATTAATACAGCAGCAAGCAATAAATCCAAACGCCAAGTTTCAGGCACCACCATTTCCCAGCAATTATGTCAAATTAAATTGTTAGAAATTATTATTTTGGAGGCGTCCGATGTGTGAGCGCAATAGTCGATTTGCCTTTTAATTTATCAGTTAAAGCGCTGTCCAAACTGGATATTCCAGTACTTGGTTACTTTATCAAATATGTTTTTGAAAAGCAGCGCAAACTCAGCACATGCCGGCTTGTATGTACAATAGTGGGCATACGAAGAAAAAGAACGGAACATATTTCGTTTTTCATGTTCACCATGAACAGCGATGGTGCACACAAGTTTACTGCCCCCTACTCGACTTTCAATACCGCTAATGTAAAACCGGCCCCAAATGTATTTCCTTATAATCTCAACAAGTTCACCATCAAAATACCACGCAAACACAGACTATTCAAATCTGATCCAAAGATTAAAAAACTTACAATAAGATCGCGCTGCGGCAGCGGTCAGATCGATTCGGTCAAGACCATACTTGGCACTATCGAATTCAACGCAGATGTTCAGATGTAGTTACCACTCATGCATAATTTTTGATGTGCAGCACAGCATACTTAAAGCCCACGGAAAACGAAAAACCGCTTTAAGTTACTGTATTCTTCAAGTTTCTACTTTCAGGCTAACTGCGCAAAAATTATCTGCATATTCAATAACTTTACAGTGTACAGCAAGCCACCCGTTTAGCAGCAAGCAAATAAAATATAAACATCACGTATTTTCCGCTTCCTGCTGAAAGTTTCCGGTGGTTTTGTTCCATGCAAAAAACCAATCAGACACGGCAGGCTCCAGCTCGATTTGTTTTCCAATACGGACCACTTGACGGGACTTTTCAACTCAAATCCATAGCAAACGCACAAGTTGATGCATCGAAATTGTAACTTTCTTTGTAACTGTTTCTTTACTCAGACGCTCACTGTTCTTCAAAGACCCTCTTCTACAGCAAACGAACAACTGATCGACTTTTTCCAGCCATGTTTATCGTAAACCTCACTAACACACATTTATCGGCGAAAAGGATTTTCTGTGTCGAGAAAGATTTATAGAATATCGCTTAAAGGGTCGCTTACTGTTAGAAGCACAAGTACAGTATATCTATATGGATATTTAGCACCGAACAAGCGTACACGTAAAATGGCGCGCTACTGCCTTTTGTACGCGAGGAAGTAAAACAAAAATACGGTGTCTTCGGACGCGCTTGAAAGCCGAACTATTCAGTAAATTTCTTACAAATTACAATGCTTAACAGGCACTTAATGGTATTGCGGCATTTAAGGTGGGCCTTCTGCATAACACTACTTAAACTTATTACAAACGTTCCAATAATATTGCCAGATAGACATAGCAGTGTAAGTACGAATTCCGAACCGTTTAGGTCGCGCATTTCGCCATAAAAACGGCTCTGTCAATCCAATTATGTACCATATGAAAAACCACTAACATCCGTAACATTATATCGTAATGATCTACCAGGCATCGCACAGTAAACTACTTCCATTGAAACCTTATGCAAAAACTATGCGTCCTCGTACTGCAAATATAAATAGAAATAAAAATTATGCATGGTGTCTGACTATCTGCATGCACGAAATTCCATGCCATTGCAGTACTCTGAGTTTGATGCATGTTGCAATCAGCTTGTCAGGACAAAGGCAACAAATGTTGCAATAAGCTAAAATACAAGAAACGGCAGTTTTCTGCTTGATGTGTGGATAAAAAGGTCGAAATTTAGAAAGCACCGACGATAACGCATGCCGGAAGTACGCTAATCACATAAGTCAGCACGGAAATAAGATGAACAGCTCTCGGTTGAGGTTCATAAGCAGATTATGCGCATTATAGTGAGAAGGACCGCATATCATAAGACCCCTTAGGACACTTCACCAACAACAAGCCGGGCGCGGTTCGCCGCTTTAAATTCTTATACCATTATAACATGATGCTACACGGTTTACTGATGCGGTTATTTTGTGATTAAATACGAATTAGGACTGCACATGAAGTATTATGCACTTTAAGGTATTAGATGGCAAAGCTAATGGGAAACACCCGACCCCACACAGACACAATGCATGCATAAAATATACCGCATCACTGGATGACTGCATATTCTCACTCATTCACATGGGAGCACTGCAGAGCAACATATAAATTTAATGCAATTGTGTTAGGCTAATTATTCTACTACGCTGACTGAAAACTCAATACGACATTTCTTGACAAAAGCAATGAATAACACAAGCTAACCATAAGATCATCCGAATGAAAAGAAGCAAATCGAAGAATTAAAAACTGCCGAACGGGAAATGGTAGTAAATGCACGTCGTTTGTGCTCAAGGTCGCGGCACGCGATCATAAAATATCAGGAAAACAGCAATGAAAGTGAAAAAGTTTTGCGGGGGAAGCGGTCAAACTGAGCCTTGTGATTTGTGATGAGTTGGATCGAATAAAATAACATGTATGGTGTATTGCTGCTTAGAGTGATACACCCCACCACCGCCTCATATGTAGTCCATCAAACAAGAACGAAAATTAAATTTGTCACGTCACACTTATACCAGCTGCACAGACGTGCAAGAAAAAATATTATGATTGTAATGTCTGTTATACTGCTTTTCAAAAAGATAACCGATGTTCGGCTAGTGTCGTCTGTATGGCCCAATGCTCAAATCTTCGAATACAAAAAAAAGAAAATCCCAAAAAATCTTATGTTCCAGTTAAGTGAAAATCAGCCAACATAATTCCCAAAAGAAATATTCAAACAATGAAATAATTAAAACAATAAAAACGAGTGTTTACGCAATCACACAGCAATCTGGTGACTGGTACTACACATTTATGAGCAAAACAAATCTCCAGAAAAAAAACCATAATCAGCTAGGCAGTTAGCATTCATCTCGGCATTCGGTCAAAAGAAAACGATAATTAGACATTACGAAAAAGCAAAGATTAATATTATCGAAAGCGTTTCGATGTCGACACCGCTTTGTTCCAGGTGCAAGAAACAGCTTCCGGCGCGGTAAACGCACCGCATTACATGCATACGCAGTTACTCACATAAAAGCCACTGGTGGCGAAACCGTTAATTAAATATTCATATTTTCTGTTCGAAGAATTAATCAGAACCTTATCGGGTCAACATGACCAGCACACAAACACTGAACACACCAAATGTGCCCGGCTAGAACAAGAGAGAAGCGTGCAAATGCATATGTCGAACATGGCCACCATACAGCGCCAAGATCGTTGCTTCCTGCTGTGCATTACGTCCTTTCTTCAGAACTTGAGCGGTTCGCATCATCAACAACGCCAACCAGCTTGATAACAAAGCAGTCTACATTTACGCAATGACCACTTGAGAAAAGCGTCAAAATTCTTAATGGACAACAAATGGAAAAAACTCGTTGTCACTAATCGCTTAACGATTTCTGTCCTGCCATGCCAATATGTACTGCACTTACCCGCATTGACTTTCTGGATGGGCTCGTAGTTTTCCTGCCACAAGCGGGAGTGTATTGGCGGGAAAGCGCAGAAGAGGAACAGGCTGGTCATAAACCATCCAATTAAGGGGATTTTATGTCCACCGTGGCAATGCAGCACAGACTCCATGCTCCGAGTGTTTTTCCCAAGTAAATGGTCTTTTTGTTGTGTCAAGCGTTGAGGTTAAGAGGCGAAACGCAGCGTTGAGCCGAGGATAGCTTTTTTGCCAAACTTATCCTGCAACATTACAGCGACATTCCGTTAGAAGGCAGTCAGAGTGCAAACGCGGTTTGTGCTGAGCAAAAAGCACAACACAGCATTTGATTTCCTGTTTTAAGAGAACATGCGAGGCAGACTGTTTTTCTCGCCGACTTGTCCATCAAGTTGCAACTACGCACGCACACAAAATGCCATTTCAGGCGACATGCGGTTGTGGCGGTTTAAATGAATCCGCACCGCATTCTTGCCGGTTTCAATCAAGAACACAAAAATTAAACAATTTTCTTATGGAATAAATTAATTTGTATTGATATGTTCCTCCTTGCAATGGATACAATGACCGTTGCTGTCAATTATGGACAACGTTTGCGCCACAATGCGTAAACATAAAAGTTGCCGTTAAGATGCCGCATTAAACCACATTCAGAAAGTTCAAACTGGAATTGCTCGGTGTTAGCAAATAATCAAGGGAAAATTGCCGCTAGCCATAGCAGAGAAAAGCCTTTTGCATCCTTATTTCATAAATTCAATCAAAGTTTGTTGATTAGATTTTATACGGAACAAATCACAGTACAGGAAAAATATCGTTTGACCACTTGGCACCAGCGAACAGCGCACGAGCTTGACATCGAAGTCAAGCTGCAACACTAATAAATTCGGGCTTACATGCTCCACAACTGTGGAGTGTTTTTCGGCCATGGCTCACTGCGCTGAGACCTTTTTTCCTCTCTCCGGCAAAAATTATTCATTTTCATATTCGCCGAGGGATATTACTCGTCACTCGTCAAAGTCGCTACCATTTTCCCGCTCCATAATGGCCCAGGGAAAAAAGAGAAAAGGTAGCAGTAAACTGCATAGACGCACTATTATTCACTGCGGTGGAAGAATAAGTAATCGACGTCCGTCTCTCTGGCAATTATTCTCCCCTAACAACCACTGCATTGGGGGAAATTCTTGGCAGAATAATGCAGCATGGAAATTCAGTAACGTATCCCCCTCTTTACTAGGCATTTCCTAATTAGCCTTAGCCAATCGCAGAGCATTTTCGCTCAGCTGGAACACCACCCGAACGCCGAGGATACACCGTGCATCCTTTATGGCCGCAGTGTCGGAGCACATGTCAGAGCACCCGGCTCTTTACTGCCTTCGCGAGCAGAACCAATTTTCCTCTATCATTTTGCTGACCACTGGTCACCAGTCTTTGTTCTACATCGGTCAACTCACGTTGCCATATGCAATAATCATCTAGCTTTCATATAACGGCACAGCGCTAGATGGCCGCAGAGACAGCTCAAAAGCGCCAGCGATGGGAACGCGCGCTAATTTCTTTGAAACACTTTCGAGGAGATAATCCGCATTATGCAACAAAACGCTTAGAAACCCATTTCAAAGCGATCTTTAAAAAATTACGCAAAACCTAGAACGCAGTACTCATGCGTATGAGACAATTGCGCAACGATACGGATTAGTAAACCTCTGAGGCGCAGTATTGTGCAGGAGCTAACTCATCGTATGAATCAGTCAAACACAGTATGGTCATAAACTTCAGGTATACTATAGTAACTATACCCATCCAATATGCACTATGTACACAATTAATACAAACACCACCATACCCAAAATTTTTCGATAATCCAAGAATCCCATAATATCGTTGTGATAACGATATAATGCAGCAATATTCCCTGACAAATTAAGAAATAACTGCCACAATGTCCGTCTTCTGAAAGGCACTGCCGGTCAGTTGTTCAGAAAAGAAGACTGGAATGACTACCAGAGGCGCACTACAGACTACAGAGTACTAGATGAACTCCAAGAAACAGTCCATTTTTTTGTGAGCACGATTAACATTTTCAAAGGACGGCTCGTGATGAATAATCTAAACATCGAATGAAAAATACTGATGGAATTCAAACCATAATTCATAAAGCAAGTCCGGACACTGACATGGCAGGAGAAATTTATCGCAGGTAACAAAACGCAAGCGGGAAAACTTCTGCTGTCTGTAATAGTACGAGTAGTATTCTGGTAATAATCGCCGTCTGCACAAAATACGTACGCCAGAACTGACTCAACTGGCGGCTGTCGGTCGCTATCAACAAGATGGAAGAACAAGCTGCGGTCAGCCGCCACCGAGTAGTACAACCTCCACTACAACGGGCATTTGAGTGTGCATGCGTAGTACGTACATACTTAACCATGGTAAGTTCACTTTGCGAACACGCGACCCGGCCCCGCTAGACGTGTGGGGCGGATTTAAGGAACAATGTGAGTCACCGATTGGCTATCGCATATGCCAACCCCTCGCATTTATCATAACAAAATCAAAGCTATCGTTTTTTTGCTGTAACAACTGGTATCGACTGGGCCGGAATCATGTTCGCGTAAAGAGGTACGTGTTCAAGTACGAAGCCTTGTCACAATTAAGCCATGTCGCCAAAACACCGAAAATGTACCTGTCCAATGGATTAATTTATTATATAGGTCAAACGAAAATAATTAACAGCTGTTACCTAAATATCAGATAATGAAATCAATAATAGTACGGCATCAGTAAACTTTATTCCGCATAGTTCTAGGTTGCTAGCAGATTGTTTGACCTTACTGATCAGATTATAACTCCCTGCAAAATGCAAATTGTAAACTTGCACACACGTTGTTATCATTAACACGTCAGCATATATAGTGTGTAAATTTATATCTTATTTATAACTATTACAGTAATAATTAGTAGTATTAACCGCAGTTATCTTAAGAATATGCCGATATAATTTAACACTTAAATGTTATCTATTACAGTACTTATGCGTAAAATAAGGGTACGGTACATTGGTACAATACCAAATCTTTTCGTCATCAATCTGTGCTAAACCGCATTCAAAGCATTAACCTCCCTAATAACAGTTCTTTTATTTGTTTCTGAAAATAAACACCCTGAAAACCCTGAAAACCCTGAAAACAAACACAAAACCAGTCGTCTAATACTTCCTAATCCAAAGTTCCAGACTCGCATCGCTGCAGTTCCAGACTCGCATCAAATTTGTCCAAATGCGCCTTAATTCAGTATACCACTTTTTCGGTAACAGTCGATCAGTAAAGTGTACTTTATAAATATCCGTATTTCAGTCCGTATAATACTTCGCATTGTATCCATTTAACTGCTTCAAATATGTCACTATGTAGCACACCGGTTAAGTTATTTTGTAACAACGCACCCTACTGTTGCCGCTGATCACACGTTTTCATGACATTTTATCGTGTGCATTCGATTAAGATGTCCATTTAGTCATTTATCAATGTATAAATTTATGCAGGTGAGTATAACAACGATAAAAAGCGCGGCATTTTGGGAATATCGGCCCTAATTATGATGCACCTTCGGCGCCGGTATGAGCAACGCATCGCCACATAAAATTTTATGTAATGCGTAATAGACGGTCAATAACAACAAGTACTGCAAGTTTAGAGAGCTACAAAATACGGCTATCCACACCCAGTCAGCTTCAGATTCGCACTTCCGTTCTAGTAGGATAAAATTGTACACTAGTCTAGCAAACAGAAATGACAAAATTGCGCCAGTTTTAGGTTCAGCCGTTCAGGTATCTGGTATCTACTGCAGATAATATTATTGTACACCAGCATCATCTCGAGCTGCATAAGTTAATTAGCAGTTACAATTAGCCCCGCTTCCACCAACGCATGCAGTGAAGATACATACAGCGCTAGTTTGCTTTCCCGGTCCCAAGGCATGATTTCGTACGCTCGCCTAGCGAGCACAGGATACAGATTTCGAGCACCCAGCGGATCGCTTGGCGAATACGCAAAACTGTTTGATTCAAAATGGCTATAACTTTATTCTGCCATTATGCGCGACAACTTCTTTGGTATCAAAAATCTTCCCACAATTTTCCTCATCTTTTGACGCATTGGTTCGCAGACTTCATCCAGAACTAGATCCTGTTTTAACAGGATCTGGTTCTGGATGAAATCTTTTGTTATAACAGGATCTGATTCATGAGATCTGTCAACCAAAGCGTTAAAAGATGAAGAAACGTTTGGGAAGATTTTTGACTCTGTCATACCTCTTTAAACGTTTCAACCGCTATTTGTATCCCATTATCGCTAGGCGAGCGCACGAAATCAGCCTTAAGGTGTCCACAGACTTCGGCTTGATACACGTTTGAAGTGAGTGTCAAGCAATGTTTGCAGCAAGTATGTGTAGAAACCATAATTCAGTGAGTGTCATTCACGTGAAACAATGTATGTGGGGAATCGAAAACTGTGTGACAAACAGGTGTTTGTCACACAAAAAATCCGTGTTTGAAGGGGGAGGGGAAATCGTTCCTCTTCAAGCATGTTTGAAGGTTTCTGGCCATTGCCAGCGTGCTGACCACAGTGACGCAATGCAAAGTCCAGCACTGGAGAAGTATTTCCATCAGAACAGTACGTGTCAGAACAATATGAATCCCATAAGAACAATACGAATCCCGAGTAGGTCCTCTTTTCGCCCGCTACTTGCCAGAAGCGGGAAAAAGTTATGTGTGATGGGCAGATGTTGTTGTTATAACTTTTGTTTTGGTGCTCAGTTAGTACTTCTATGTATACATATTAAAGGAAACGAAACTTTTGTAAAATAACTAAAAAAATTTTCCAATATATGCATAAACATTTACGTGTACGCAAAGTGCGCGAATGTTATTACTGTAGAAACGCCAGCACTAGATGACCACCATTCTGCACCATAGTCCAAATCGCACAGCTTAAAGCGCATTCTTTACGTAAAATGTTTGTAACAAATCACGATTTGTAATACATAAGTAATCTGAACGAGGAATACATAGTACATACTATTATATGAAAAAATAGACATTCATATAATATAAATAATTATATACCCAGACTGTGCAATCCTGCCGTTTTGGACTGCAATGGCAGCCCATGGACCGCCTTCGCTAATGTCTTGCTTGATGTTCACTACGAAGTATGTGTGCTTGGGTAGCTTCAAACAAACGGACTCACACTCGTTTGCCTCACAATCGTTTGCATGAAAAACGTAACCTTGCAGCATGCAGTTTTGTTCTACACTCACGACATTAACTTCAAACGTGCATCAAGCCGAAGTCTGTGGGGGCCTTTAGGATCGGGTTTTACCTTCATTTTATCAGAATTTATTATAAGAACTAAACAGGCTGCTATTAAGCTACTCGTACCATCGCATTAATTGGAAATACTCTAAAGTTTCACAGGTATGAAAGTCACGGGTGTGTGGCCGTAATCTTTTGCTTTTCCAGTTTTCAAGTGGTTTGGCCAAGGGTTTGGCCGTAGTGCGACAGACAGCTTCTCCTGGGTTAATTACGATTTTAAGGTCGACATATAAGAGGAAAGTCATGTTATGCGATAGCAGAGTAGATCATTTAACACCCATTCCAGTGCATGATCCCATTACGATCCCATTAAAATTAGTGTTGGGTAGTAAAAGTCCTTGCCAATATACTTATTTTTACTATCGGCTTTTGAAAGTTTACTTATTTTTACTTACTATTCAAAATTTTTCGGGACTTTTACTTACTTTTACTTTTTATTTCAATTTTCCCAAGGACATTTACTTACTAAATTAAAGTAAATTTACTAAATAAATGTAATTTAGCATTGAAAGTTTCGAATTGCGTTAGTTTCAAAGCGCAACAGACTACTGAAAATAGTGCAAATAAATTTCTTATGCATTAATCGAGCTATTATACAGGTGCATACTGAAAATAAATACTGCTGCTTTTGGAGGGCGGGCTGGTACCGACTACTGCACTCACTTTACCTGCGAGTGGCGGCGGACATGCCTGATTTTCCCGTAACGTTGATAAAACGATTTAGTAAATAATTTAGTAAATGATTTTTATTTATTCAACGCTGAACCTTAATATTTACTTACTTTTACTATTCCGTCCGCATTTACTTACTTTTACTTACGTTGTTTCCAAAACCTTACCATTTACTAGACTTTTAATATTAGGCGGACTTTTACTAAGTAAATGGCCGTTATTTAATTTTATTTAGTAGCACAACACTAATTAAAATCCTTTTTGTATTTTGAGTTTCTCAGAATTATCCAAATTCTTGAAAGAGCCGCAGACAAGAAAGTGTACCTAACAGTATGCATGTGGTCAGTGGAATGAAACGTTTTACAGTATTCTCCATCAGTCCATCTTGCTTAAATATGTTAGCACTGTCACTGCAGACCAACCATAAACATATGCTCAAAACCGAGCAGACAAGAAGATGTTGTCAAGATATTTCATCTGGTCAAACCACTATGCGTTATCATGGTGCATTATCGTTCGTAATAACCAAAAATTTCTCCTTCGGACCGTGGTCATCATACACGCTAAGCGTTGTGTTGGCCCGTTTTGACATGGACCAGTGCGGACATACATAAAAGCAAGTTGGAGCAACTAGTAACCTTCCCAATCTCACATTTATTTCGTTTCATAGCAAATTTCACAATGACCACGCTATTGCAGTGACTACTCAAGTTGATTTACATGTTTGAAAGAAGTTTGAAGTGTACCATATACGCATGAACAAGTAAGTTTATCTAGTAAAAATTCTAAATAATCATTCTTACAGCTAATGTTAATTATAGAAGCACAGTTGTTCTATTAATTTATAAATATCTACATGGGACTCCAACTATGTATAAAATTATTGTATAGTGTATACAAAGTTATATTGTACGCACGTCTCTGAATAAGACCGCGACAGCACTATACAATATACAATAGGACAAGCTGCACCGACATGGACTACTTGTTCTGATAATTTACTACTTCCGCGGACTAACCACAAGTAATTATTGTACATACTTTGCTATAAAATTGTAACTTGAGCTAACAAGATTTCTCGCAACCCGTTTCCGAAAGATGGTGGTAAGGTGGCTAACGTACACCGGCATTTCTCATTAAATGCACTGACAGTACATATCATTAGCAGCTGACCATGTACTTACTTGTGTAAAGTAATTGTTGAAGTCCCTCCATAAATTTCTGATCGAAATTATTGCAACGGCTAACAACAACACGGTAATTTTAAGCGAGCTACAGGGTAATCAGA